TTTGATCTGTAGTCAGAGTCCAAGTGCATGTTGGAACACTGCACCAACCAACTGTTTGAAACATACAGTATTCTAGCAGTATTCTACAAATTGTTGCTACTACATGATGATGCAGTTTATGTTAATTTGTGTGAATCAAATCAAGCTTATAGTTTAATTAGAGTTTAATGACATGCTCGTAATTGAATTAAACTATTCTGCGTGTCATGATTCGCATTAATATTGTATTGATGTGCAAGTATAAAAACATCTGATTTGGTGTATAACATGCTCGTTAATTTGTCTATTATGAAGTTTACTATTATTTCGACTGTGATTATCACTGCTTCTGCAGTCATTGCTGTTCCTGCCATCAATGACAGACTCCAGTTTAATGCACCGTCTATCAACCAAAATCAAAACACTGGTCTCGATACTGGATCTGGATCTGGTCCTGGTCTGTCATCTGAGTCTGGTTTTGGATCTGAGTCTGAATCTGCCATTCAGGATGCAGCCAAAATCCCGATTTTTTCAGCTCCAACGTTTTCAAAACCAGTATTTCCACAAAACACTGCTGATACTCAAAACATTGATATTCCACATCAATCATCCGTCTGTTCAGTTGACGATTACGCAAACACCATCCAGAATTTGCAAAATGTAATCCAACAACAAATGTCAACCATCCATGACATGCTGGATAGATTGCACGCATCCAGTATTCAACAACCAGCAATGCCTGATTCATCATTTGATTCATCGTTTGGTGCACGTCATGATGCATTGACTCGTTTGCATGATTTGAATGATCGTCTTGGCAACAATATGGTCAGATTCACGACTGCTAGCCCATTGGTTATGGATTCATGGTCTGATGTCAAGAGCGGTATGAAACCATCATGTGCCGGAATCAATGCGGTTTCCACATGTCAAGAAAATGCAATCAAGAGTGATGTGTCGTGTGGTGAAGACAAGTCTGCAGCAGTAGATCGAGCCAATGCAGTGCGTGGATTCATACGTGGCATTGCATTGCAAAAACTTGCATTGTTGGACTGTGCAGCATCTAATCTTGGACAGCAATATCAAGGTAACCAAAAAACACAGCTACTGCAGCAACTTGATCGTGTTCGTAAAGCCACGGCAAAACTTGAATTGCAGTCCAAATTACTAATCTACCATGTTTGTAAAAGTAAATTCAATATGACTAATGTGATGAATTTTAGTGCCAATTTATTATGCAACATCACAGGTTTTAATCCTAAATTTGAACATGCATTTATGAGTCCTGGGAGTTTCCAATACGATCAAAAAGTGGATCTGACTAGTTCATTAGCATAATATACTGCTTCAACTCGTACAACACATTATCCTTATAATTAGCCCGAGACTATATTTAAATGGAAACTGACAACTATATAAACATGTTGAATGCTATTTCCAGTAATCCACTTATTTCTCACATAATAGCATTTGGTGGCGATTGTCATGCAAGGCGACATTCAGATAAAATCAATAGCCCAATCTAAATCATTTTGCCAAACTCATGGCATTTAAGCGTCCCATCCTTTTTTATTTCATTAGATCCCAGTATTTTCAAGACATGTTGGGATTCATTCTCATGAGTGTTAAGATTATGGCAATATCAAGGAATGCAATTTAAGCCAGATCTGTAGACCCAGTTGCAACAGTAAATCGACAAGAATACCAAGTCTAAAAAAGTATTTATACATCTTATGCGACTACTGCGTTGGTAGATTCATTCTTGTTCTTACGTTTCTCTTTCTTGTCCTTCCTATCCTTTTTTTTGAGAGAGTCCATGTGCAAACGAGTGACTGTTTGATATTTATCGGTGAATTGAACTAGATTAGAAGAATCAACCAAAGTGCTGAGCTTTTTGTTTCCAAAAGTAGCTCGCATGAGGGTCTGGTACTGGGTATCTTTAGAATGCAGAATGGATTTAGCATCTTCCGACTTTTTAGCTGATTTGAGTTGTTTATATGCATCTAATGATATATTGGGATTAGTGTTGGCACCAGCTGATGGGAATATGCACAAGTTTAGAAGATTACATCGTTTCATGGTCAAGTAGACAGAGCCCTTTTCTTTTGATCGCAGCATCAACTCATGAAGACAGCTCAGGAACTAAAGGAAATAGTTGCAAGGGAAGAGATTAGTAACTGGAGAGTGTTAGAATCAATAGTAGAACATACCTCATCATTGGATAGTAGGACCATTTCAGTGTTTGATTCAAGGGAGAGAAGTTGAAGACAAGGCGCCAACTTGGACTTGACTTGAGCAACGACATCTCTCGTATCATCATGAAGTTGGTTAGGTAATAAGAATCATGATCGTGCCATAGATGCATGGCTAATGAGTTGGGGTTGATTGAGTTGCACAGGCTGTAGTAGGTGGATGCTTCCTATTACGGCTCAGGCCGTCTATGGTTTAGACCACCTGCAGCAACTCTTTTGATCTGTATATCCATCCTGTACTGACTCCATCACTGGATGCAACCATGCACTAAAATGGCCCTCTTGCTCATACTATTAAGCACTGTTCTCCATAGTATCAAACTCACATGTAGATCATTCAATGACAGCATGTTCTTGTGATTGGTCTGTCTAAAACCAGACAGTCCAACATTCTAATTCTCTCGTCGAGTTGGATGGAATCATACCCAGTTCATGGTCACTAATCCCTTATGCCTGTGTATCAATCCTTTAGGTTTTTAATGAAGTGCTGGAATGAAACAGTCACTATTGAACTTAAAAACGGTACGACCATCAATGGGACTATCACTGGTGTCGATATGCAGATGAACACTCATCTTAAAACTGTCAAGATGACCGTCAAGAACAAGGATCCTGTGCATTTAGAGACCTTGTCCATCCGAGGAAACACTATCCGTTACTTTATTCTACCAGATGCGCTACCTTTGGACACACTGCTGATTGATGATAGGCCCAAGTTAAAGGCAAGCAAGAAGGTTGGTGACTCTAAAGGTGCTCTAGGTAGAGGTCGTGGTCGGGGCGGTATCCGTGGTGGTCGTGGTGGAGGTCGTGGACGTGGACGATAGATCAAGATCGTTGGGTCCTATTACTGATCTAGTATTAGACATGACTTTGGTCTGACTTCCAGTCATGATTGAGCTGGTGGTCCTTATGCAAATATAAAATTCTATTTTGAACCAACTTTCAATCCATTACTTGCATTAGAATTCCAAGATTTGGCTTGGATTTTAGCAATTCAAGTTTAGAAAATATGCATTCAATCAAATTGAACTATATTGTGGGTATCATGATGCTACCCTATTTATTGCTGTTTCAGTATCCAGTCTACTTCCATCCGGCATATATACAAAACTTGCGCTTCATGTAGAATCATTTTGTTTAAAAATCGAGTTTCAACGTCTCCGACTATTTAGATCTTGAATCCCCAAATCTCCAATGCAACAATTTGGAAATTGGAAGAGCTGGACAATTTCTCGTTGCCAAACGTTTCGCATCTGCCGCTGTGTCCATTAAACAATTCATCATCAATCCACAAACCAAAATGACCTTCTCTATAATACCCAAATTGATTTATATTTAAATATCAACAATTAGTTTAGAATATTCGGCTTAAAAATCTATAATACATTGAAAGCTTAATTATAGTAAATTCTTACCCTCCGCCAAACGCAATACAATGAAGTTCGTTCAGTACCAAATACTCGTTCAGTCCTGTTGCGGAATACACACTAACCTCGCCAGATTCAGCATGCTGTTTCCATAAAAAACTAGAGCGCATCGCTCTTGTCAATTACTGAATACGCAACTCTCTTGATTTGCATGAATAAAAATAATCTTACCAAGTGCCATTGCCAAAAAACCCAGATCTGGGACCAAGGCTTTCGTTGGAAAATGCGCCAAATACATTCGAGTTGGTATCACGAAGGGCAATTAAACATGGCCCGCCTTCTTCGCATAGTCGATAAAGTGTATTCAAACTGATCCCGTGCTGCTCAATGCTATACAGTAAATCAATTGAAGATGCTTCACGCAAAAGTGGCGGAAGATATGCATGCAACTGCAAAGAATGGGTTAAAAAAGTAGTATAGCTTAAATCACCAATTTAGCTCGATAGATTTACCTCTTTGATGATGTCAAACGACAAAATTGCGACTGCTTCACCTGCCTCATTTCTTCCACGAATTTTTACATCAACATGTGCAGCCATACCTGTTTCGGAAAAAGCTGGGAGTGGACCATCCAATTCGATATGATCAGAGAATATATCTGCAGTGTCACAACCACCTCTATAATGACCACCAACAAGAAATTCATCAGGAGGAGCTTGACTTTGTGTCGAAGAGGTATGATGATTGGGTGAGCTACTTGGGCCCCTGAATGCATTGGCCGATGTGGCTGAGATAGGAGATCTGGCGGTAGATGGTAGTGGGGTATCTCCTGTACGAAAAAAATCCCATATGAATGATCCCAAGCTAGTACTTTCCATTGAAGTGGGTCTGGACCTGCTACTGCTGATACTACCATTTACAACAATTGAATCTGGAGATGCACTCGACTTGGCGGATGATATTTCTGGTACTGAGACTGGAAAGCTAGTTTTAGGCTGTGCATATGGTAAAATAGTCATGGCTGGAAATGCCGCAACTGCGGGTGGAGAAGATTGAACAGTTTCTTTAGGCGAGTGTTCATCTACGCCCTTGTCATCGTCATCGTCATTCGCATCTACTCCACCAAGACCGCTTGCTAGTGATGCTGCAGTATTGAAGATGAAAGAAAGTAGCGGGTTTGAGGTTGGTGATAGGGTAGCGAGGTCTTGATGGTCCTTGTTGGTATGTGTTGAATCCGCATGTAACTCCATTGCTTCCATACGGTCAACCATGCTTGGTGGTGGAGGTAAATGAGTTAGTAGCTCTTGCTCAGTCTTTTCAAATGAAGGTGCTGAAGATGTGTTTGAACCATGAAGAGTTTCCATTCCATTTACTGTATAAGTAGTGGTTATGTGTAGATAAAGCACTAAGCCACAACAATGAAATAAGAAACTTCAAATCAGATTCAGCATCCATGTTTGGTGGAGCAAACTGCTGATCAAATCTCAATCTAATTGCAGCGTATATTGCTATACAGTTCCAGCATCCTGCTTTATATACACAAACCAAATATTTCATCTTGTCCAAACGTTTATTACAAACATCAAGAGTCGGCGCTTGACAGTTTAAGCCATTGTCGAGATTTATTTTATAGTTTCACTTTTCTTGAATCTTTCTGACCAGCTTGAGTACAGTTTTGGTGAAAGTGCTCCAAACAGCTTGCCATCAATCATAAATAAAATCTGCAGATCCATCTAATCAGTGGTTATGATGAATTAGTCTCTGACTAAACACACTTACTGGAAATCAAGTTACCTCGGTTTGATTTGTAGTACATTGGTACATCATGGTAACAGCTCGCTGCAATTTCTGTTTCAATCCAGCCAATGCATCTACAAAATTCATTTACCAACTAATTAGTCAAGTCACGGGAAATCAATGCATACTATTCATCAAACTTTTTTACCTGAATCTACACGAGTTGTCATAATGTCTAAATGCAGTAGCCGCCATGCCTCTGCAACAGATTTAATGATTTTTCCTTGATACATTGATATTCTATTTAAACAATTCAAATACAATTCAAATTATTCGCACTATATCAGCACAGTAACAGTTTTTTTGCAAAATACAGCTATATAGCATAGTAAGGACTATAGTTACCTTGCCCATCCCAGTTCAATCAGTAAAAGCAGAGTATTTGCTGCCATCGTTTGAGTTTCTACGTCACGTTGATTAATCTCAAGAACGTCCAATGCCAGATTAAGTAGTACCTATACAAAATATTCATCAACAGTTTAATACAATGAGAGGCAAAACGCTTGCAAGATAGATTTATATCTAAGATACCACCTTAAGATACTTGAATACTAGGATAGGACAGAGTCGTATTAATTCACAGGATTCGTGAAACAAAACCTAAAACACACTCTCAGCTATCAACACTTGTATCCAGAATCAACAATGAAAATACAATAATGCTTACTCTCATGGCTATAACTTGTAAACCAACAGCAAATGTAAATCGTGCTACAACACGTTCACGCAAATGTGCATCAATAGCCAATGCAAAAGCAGCTGAATTGGAATTGTGGATTCGGGGAAGGAGTAATCGAGCAGCTTCAAATGACTCGCTCATTAGTTCATATTGCGACATGTAGAGTGTACCAACCGACAATGCCTGATTAGTAAAAACGTTGCATAGTGAGTAATATAGCCTATTCATCTGCATGCATAGTATAACTAGGCATATTGAAAAACACTCACCTCAAATAGAACCAATCCAAGACCACTCGAACCTAGATCTTTTGGTGTGGACTCGATAATAAAGCAGTGTTTAGCCAGCTGCACACCAAAAAGTTTAAATTTAGCCTCATGGTCATCCAGCAGTGACAAAATAGGAGGAAATATCAAATACAACAATTCGGAAATTCTAAAAGCTCGTAGCATCAAACAACAAAATGCCAAAACAGAAACGCAGCCCACTTTCTCTTCCTTCCATAGCTGCTGTTTTCCAAAGTATTTATCGGAATCGTCAAGCTGGAGTAAATTTGTTTGGGGTTTGGACAAGTTTCCATTTTCATCAAATGATGCATGTAAAAACAGTGGCTTGATGTATGTTGTAAGTATAGACTCGGCGTGATCAGATACTAGGGAAGACAAATCCAAGTGTTTTGTAATCGTAACGAGATGATCAAGAATCTGGTGAGTAAGTGATTGGATTTCTGTGGTTGACCAAACCGAAATGGGTTTAAAAGTAAATTGCCCACATGCAATAAGAATACGCCTAATGATGCTATTTGTTGTACGAAACTTGCTTTGAGATATTGAATGGACGGGTATATGCAACCACAATAGCACAGTTAGAATACGAGGTGCTAGTGTAACAAATTGGGTTGCAGGTTTGCAAGACCATCCTGACTCTGATCCAAATATAGAAGGAACGTCGAGCGCATTGACACATGTATGCACTATTTCTGATGAAGCTTCATTGTCCTTTAATGAAAAATCGATTGTGCCTGTTGATTGCGGATTCGTGATTCGTGATTCCACAAGTCCTACAAATATATTCCAATATGCAGAGCTGACTTTATAATCACAGTTATCACTGTTTTCGAGAAATATGCTGCGCATCACAGTACATATCGATTCTGATGCTAGCAGCGAGCCTAGCAATTCAAGAGTAAGTCTAATACAATCATTAGATTCAAGAATTAAATACACATATAGTGGTAAACAATGATATCGTGGTCAATGTCACCAATCTCACTTTGACTCGGATGATAAAATTGATTTAAGCTGAAACTGTGATATTATCCAGTTTAACATTATCAGCACAAACTCCTGATCGTTGATTAAATCCGGAAGGGTTGCTATGATTCCTCTAGCAAGCAACAGCTGCGCTTCAGTGTCTGTATCATCTAATCCATCTTTTGAAAAAATCTATAAAATGGTCGTGATTCAATATTTAATGCGCCATTAGCAATACCAGCCTGTCAATATATCCCATATCAAACTACCTTTTTGCAAAGTTTTTGAGCATATGAACGAACAGTTTGTATCTGTCTGATATCAAATAAAACACTCTCAGTCATACACTCTGGAGCCTTGATCATCAAGTGTGCACAAACTCGTATATAGTCGTCCAGATATATTTTATGAATCGCATAAGCTCCTGCTAGACATTGTACTGCCTCTATGCGAACGGTATCATGCTGGCTACCACATCCTTTAAGCATAATTTCTCTAGTCACATCTGGATCCAATACATTAGTGTTTATATTGTAGATACAATGAGGCTATTGGCATTATCAATGGTGATTGGTCATGAGTGGATCAATACCTTTTGATGCAGCTGCCGATTGGCTAGGCAATGAAATTAACTGTCGTAGTAGATACCATGCACTGCTACAGATATTCACATGTGCATGCTTAGAAGCCTGTACAATAAGGTACATTATATCATCATAGATTGCAGACTCGATTTGAACATGTGGGTTGAGTTGATGGATGCAATCTGCTAATGCCTGTTACAATCCAATGATAAATAATTAGTATCGATCAGCGCCTATTCAGTCTATATAGCCACATACTCTGATAGTATTAGCAATAAGATCATGTTCAACAGTTTTAGCCATGAGAGATTCAGTGACCAAAGCAATCTCTGAATAGATGTCCAACAAATCCAGCTGTGATTTATTCTCAAGGTCTTGCAAACAAGACAGGAGAGAGTTTAGTTTGGATTCACACGCAGTGTCATGGGTAACAGAAGCCAAAAGCAGTTTTAATACAGAAGAGAGGGTCGATAAATGGCCTGATTCATGAGGGATGTCCAGAATCAATGGCAATCGGGTCATTCTAATGTAACGATTGAACTTGTCGAATATTTGGTAAACTTGATTCGCGGCAAATACGATGCAGGATCAATCAGGTCGGGATGGTCCGTTGTTGCTACAGAAAAGCCATGACCATCACATTGATTCTGGAAGTGATTCCGACAGCTCGTTGCCTGCAAGGCTTAGACCATTAGTGTTCTGGAGTAGATCTGTGTTTGTTTGTTCTTGGCCAGGTTGTCATCAAACAGACTTTAAACCAACAAAGGATCCTATGATAGCATTGAAGCATCTGCAGCAAGTGCATTCCATCCATATCCACCAAGTACCGCATGTTATGCCCTTTTTGGACGAATACATTCACTACTGGGCCCATCAGGTTGATTCTCATGGAATATCCATTCTCGACTCATTCAAGGTCGGAGCCAACTATTACCTTGGCAGATCAGACCCGACTGTTTATAATACTAGCTCTGGTATTAACCACCAAGACTCTATCATCAGAGCTAGATTCCGTCAAACAACTCTAGAGGCTGTTTTGAGAGTACAAGAGCAGGAGCGAGCATTGGATGCCCATCACCAGCGGCAGTGTCTTTTTTGCAAACTGGATCTTCCCACTAGAGCAGACCTATTTTCTCATATGTTCTGTGAGCATGGCTTCAATATTGGACTGCCAGATAACCTAGTCCATGTAAACGAGTTTCTGGATACTTTGCATCGTCATCTGACTGCTTTGGAGTGTATATACTGTGAGCGCACTTTCAAATCGAACATCATTTTAAGAAAGGTATCGAGTGATTTACTACAACTATTCTGTGTCGAAAGGATGAAAGCTAATCTGGTGGATATGAATAGCATATGCGCAAGAAGAAGCATTTCAAAATTAATCCTAAAAATCAGTTTTATGACAGATACTATCTGATCAACTATGCTGAGCCAGATGCAATTGCCCACAGAGATGAGGAAGAGTCTTTGGAGCAGGAGTAAGAAGCTGTTTGTTTGAAACATTCTGAATATTTGCAAATATGCTAATGTACGATGTATTGTTGCTACTAGTGACTGGGAGGATTGGAACGAAGATGATGCAGAAGAGCCAACAATGTGTTTGTTTGAAGAAACAGTTTTACCGTCGGTTGAAGGTGCTCATGAGCATATGATATCACAGCATGGATTTGATCTGCGTAAACTTGCCAGGCAACATCGTAAGATTATATATTCTCTGATCTTGCATGCGCTTCACTTGAAATCGCCCATATATATTTAGCTTATCTGGTTTACTGCTTCCAATCTAGATTTAAGTTTTCATGACGTTATTCGATTAATTAATTATATCCGATCACAAACATGCAAATATGCGTGTTTCACCTGTTGCAAAGCATTCGAGACTGCTAGTCAACTTGATTTACATTTTACTCAAATTTGCCAGTACCAATTTCCAAAGCGAACAATGTTGTTTTGGACAGATCCTCGGTTTCTTGTACCATTTTATGACAATGATCCGCTGTTGACTCTGGATGTCTTAGATGATGATATGTATCAAAACGATTCAAATGTGCATGCAACAGTTCAAATGCGGTCAGAACTTTCCGAGCATGCTCCGAGTTTAATTGAAGAATCTGCCATCAAGGACTCCAATATCAACAACTAATATATACTTATCTCATGTATTAATTATTTGCTTATCGACACTTATACGAGATAAAAATCTTGTCTGGATTGTCAATAGTCGACGTGGCCGAAATGTTGAAAAGTGAGCTGCATGTACGACAGTGATCATTAGCTGACTGCCGAATAAGTTTGATATAACGATACATATGAAGTAGAAGACGAGTCATGATAACTTGAGTAGCAATTTTTGCTTTCGAGTCTGTAGATTTTACAGCCATGTTCACGTAAAATGGAACACTATCTCGCAATGAGTACCTTGAAATAGACAATAGTTAATATTCAGGTTTCTTACTAGAAATTGACTTGAATCGACATTCTCAACTCTTTAATCAACAGTGTCCATCACATGATACACCAGATTGTAATTCCGAGTCGAGACTATCCTTTTCTCCACCTTTGGTACAGCCATGCATTATACAAACACCAAGCTTTAAATCAGATTTATCCATTACAATACAGATATTGAGTTTGACTTTTGATATTATCAAACTCTACAGTTCATCTTTATTGTATCCTAAAAAATCAGATAAGTTTGCGCTCTAGTCAAGAGAACAAAGATTGCACATTTCAAGAATGCATCTGTTGTTTCTGTTCAAATCAGTGAGATAGTGTTCGGTCTGTAGAAGAGAGTTGATTTGAATGACAGGAGTATTTATCATTCGTGTTTCGTGTACCATGGTACAATCCGACTTGCTGAACCATTTAGTGCTCTCGATTCAATATAGAATGTCACTTATTTGGTCTAGCAACCGCTTGCTGAATTTGGTGCTAGTTTTGTTCTAGCAAGAGAACATTGGCTTTTACTTGTACAGTCTATGCTAACCTATAATAATTGTACAGTTTTAGGAATGGATAATTCATGTTGTTGAAAGGCTGCAACAGCTGTTTGTTTAGATATTGCTTAGCTGGCTCTGCAAGTCATTTCTAAATCCACAAAACCACAAACTTGATTTCGGATTCCCGAATATTAAAGAAATCTTCAACCTATACCATCTTATCTTACATTCATTCATGTTGTCATACTTTCGAATGCATACTATTTTGCATGCTTTCTGGCTGTTACTCTATACTCATGTCTGTTCTGCTGCTGGTAAGTACTTGTTTCATTCACTATACTCAACTTAGTATATACCATCAATGCGCTGTACTTAATCACTTGAAAGCTTGGTTTAGTTTCTTGTTTGGTACTCCCTTCCGACCAGTATTGACCCTTTTCATTATAAGCTAACTGCCTTTGGTTCATGTCTACCATCACTAGTTTATCCATTCTCCCAGCAATTACTATCGTCTAATGTTCATACCCAACAATTCCCAGCTAGAGCTCAACTCATGGGCACTCCAAAGCCCGTGAGAACCTACGACTTCGTTGGCAAGCATCGCATTCGTCGTATTACAAGGGATGCTGTCGAGCTTTCATTCAATGTATGTATGTCTTGGACCAGGCTAGACTGGTCACTAATGGCTGTGCATTCGCATAGTTGTGTTGGTATCACTGACACAAGACTAACACTTGTACTCATGCACCATTCTATCTATATAGGCTTATAATCAAACCTTGACACTACATCTTTTACCTAATCATCAATTAGTTCATCAAAATGCAATGGTGGAGATTCATGATCTTGAATCAAGCCAAACCCCTATTTATATGCCTATTCTATCCAGCAATGTGTTTGATGGAAAAGTAATCAAAACTCTCTTTGATGGCAGTAGGGTTGAGAATGGCTGGGCTAGAATCACATTCAATACCCCAAAGTAAGCATTTAACAGCTGGACTGGCAACTCGTATATTTGCTGTTTGCCTTGACTCATTTAATTATTAAATTAGCTTCGATAATGGAGAGGAAGTCCTGTTTGATGGTGTCATTCAATCAGGTTCCAACATGCTTCATGTGAAGCAAATCAAACATTACAAAATATCACAACGACAGGTATGTTTTGCAGTCATCTTTTTTAATATTGCTAGTATGAGAACCTTGTGATACTGAACCTGTATTTGCTTTGGTTTGCAGATGGACATCGAGGTTGCATCTCCATTTTCTCGCCAGCCAGATAGTTGGGGTGCCAATATGATGGTGTTTACAGATGAGGCACAGGCTGTTGTTGAGGAGCGATGGGGGCCAGTTTCCGTATGTCAGGCATCAGATTCCGACCATCCACTAAACCGACCCAACTTGAATGACAGTTTTATTGTTCCGCCCCTTACTGGTGCCTGTGAGCTGCCAGATAACAGTGCCGTATACAACAGATACTTGGATGACATGAGATTGAACGATGAGAGACGCTTGTTCACTCGTGCTGCCGCTGGATGTCCTCAGACCATGCAGGTTCTTCCCATGGGTGTAGCAGCAGATTGCTCCTATGTTCAGGCATATGGTAGCACTGGTGCTGCTCTAGCTCAGATACTGTCTAATTGGAACCAAGCGTCCAAAATATACGAGTCCACATTCAATGTCCAGCTTGCAGTCGTCAAGGTCAGTCTTCAGCAATCATGCACTCCAACGAATCCACAGATGATATGGAATCAAGATTGTACCAGTGGATACACTATCACTACTCGACTTTCCGATTTTTCCAACTGGCGTGGCAATATCGAAGGCAATGGTGATGGTATTGGATTATGGCATCTGATGACCAAGTGCAGCACTCAACCTGCTGTTGGTGTTGCTTGGCTGAACATGCTGTGCTCTAACACTGCAACTAAACAAACGTCTGCAGGCGTTGACCAGTTTGTATCTGGCACGGGAGTCTCGTCGATTGTGCCTGTCGAATGGAAAGTTGTGGCACATGAGATTGGACACAACTTTGGTGCTTTACATGACTGCATGTCCAGCACTTGTCCATGTTCTGGACCAACGTCATCTTGTCAATGCACACCATGTTCACCTCAGTGTGATTGTCGAGGCCAATTCATCATGCATCCTCTTGATAATGCTGCCACCAGTGCTTTCTCTCCTGCTTCTATTGAAAGCATTTGCTCACAGTATCCCACGATTGGTAAATGTCTAAAGGCTCCAGGCACGCTTAGTACTATTTCCACTGGTATCTGTGGAAATAGTGTCAAAGAAGCCGACGAAGAATGTGATTGTGGTCTACCTGCCGACTGTGCTAAAGATCCATGCTGTGATGGCACTGTGTGTAAACTCAAAGCACCAGCCAAATGTGATGATTTAAATGACAGCTGTTGCTCCAACTGTCAACTCAAGGTATGTAATCCATCTTGTTTTTATTTTATTTTACTCTGGCATGATATTGATTATATCTGTTTTTTTCATTTTATCAAGACTGCTGGCACGGTTTGTCATCCCTCATTAGGATCTTGTGATACAACAATGACATGCAATGGGTTGAATGCCACATGTCCCACCAACTCTTCAATTGCCGATGGAACATCCTGTAATACATCTTCTGGTGTTGGTGCACAATGCGCTTCTGGTGTCTGTACAAATCGCGATCTGCAATGCAAAGGCTCTGGATCAGTTGTAACAGTATCAGCATGTCCCTCGTTCTCTAGTTCGTGTGCATTGTTTTGTCAAAATAGTGCTGGAAACTGCTTTCTTTTAAACGGATATTTCCTTGATGGTACACCATGTGGATATACAGGCAAATGCTCAAACGGAGCGTGTGTGGGTGGAAATCCGGCTGGATTCATCTTGGAATGGATCCAATCCTATCCACAGTATGCTGTACCTCTTATTGTCATTGGAGCACTATTGCTTATTGCTGTCATTTACAGTTGTTGTAGATGCTGTTGTTCTAGACCTCGCAAGCCTGTACCTCAACCTGCTCGGCAGTCTCGATCTGGCTCCCTTAGACCATCAGCCACTACACTTTATCCTCCTATGGCTGCTCCACCACCACCATTTCAACCCGCTATAACCCAAGATCTTCCACCCTATAATCCATCATATTCATCACAACCTCAGACAACCGCGCAACCAAACGGATGGGTCAATCCAGCTGCATATAATGGGTTTGGTGAGGCTCAACAGCCAAATACCCATAGCTCAGGAAATCGTCCTCCCACAATGGTGGTTAATAATACGCAACAGTAGCCAGTAAACTGGTGATTTAATGTTTTAGGTGAATATTAAAAGTCGTATACTTTTTTGTATTTATCTTGCAGTTGGAGCCTCTATTTGCTCCGAAATAAATAGTCGTTACATATTCGTTATTGGAAATTGATTTTTTTATTGAAATTCTATTCTAATATCAGATACGTTTACGATCTAGTTCAAGAGAACAACCTCATGAATGCAGCTGTTGTTTCCATGCCAGTCACGCAGTGTTTACTTTAGATGTTCATTTTGAAGGAAATATGGTAACTTTAATAAAAAGTCTCGATTTTATGAAACAATGTTTGGTGGTATTACTGTTACTGGCAAAAACAATGGATCAAAAGCAAGTCTTTGGTTCAAATATCTCATGTCTAGCGAGCAATTTACTATGTAAACCTTGCATTAAAGTTGAAGTATCTTCAAGCAGGTCGATCTTGTAATCCCAGATTAGGATGGTATTCAACCTACTTTTGCAACCTCATGCTTTACCAAACAAATAGTTGGACTCAATATCTAGACTAAAATATATAGATTCGGGTTTAAAATTGGTGATCGTACCATGTATGGCTATGCCAAAAGTGAAGTGATGATCTTGAAAAGTATAGTTTGGTTGTGTACGCATCATATAATTCCCGTTCTTGATTGAAGAGTTGAGAATGTCGATTCAAGTCAATTTCTAGTAGGAAACCTGAATATTAACTATTGTTTATTCCCAAGTAGTCATTGCAAGATAGTGTTCCATTCTACGTGAATATGGCTACAAGTAATTTCACGTGATGTGGTACTAGTTTGTTTCCCCAGCAAAATCAACTTGGCGAGTATACTCGACGTGTATTTAATCAAGATCAATGTCCAATACCAATCTTTCGACTATCAGCAACACAAATTCAAGCAGCAATGTAAACATTGGACCTTTATCTCAGTACTCTGGTTCCACAGAGGGACTGGCAAGTGGTCTTCCACTGGCTTCCGGACGCAACAGTGTATCTATATCTGGCAACACGGTTGTGCCCAACATGGATGATATACTTGATAAACTAAATTGTCTTGACTACGTCAAACAGTTTATTAGACCAAAGTAAATATGCTGGATATTGCTTTTGATATATTTAAAATGTCGTACGGTTTGGCATATTTTACCAAAATTTTGAACCGGTTTAGTAGCAAATATAACAATGAACTAACTCATGCATTGTATCCAACACATATTCTCAACTATTAAATTGCATCCAGTAATATAATTCCATTTCATAGATTTTACTTTACTGCACCAGCAGTCAATTCAAATGAGCAGTTCTATCGCTTTGTACTGCTGACGTCATGGTTACTGAAAGTATCTAATCATGCATTTGAACCGGCTGGACAGTTTGACGACCCCAATGCCGTATCGGCCAACATTGGTAATTTCATATTTTTGTTCAATTTTCTACTTTCAACACTGGTCTATAAATGCCATGCTCAAAATCATCAAGTGGTGAAAGCTAAACGAATTTATAATATTTTCAGCTGCCGAGTTGAAAAAAGCTGGGATTCAGTTTGATTACCCCCCGACAAAACTTAAACAGGGATACGGAGAAGCTGTATTGTTTTCATTGCAATCCCTTGTCGATATGGCTATGGTATCCACCAAGTTTGTTTTTCAAAAGCCTATTCACAAAATTGACGAGTTGAGTCTTGATCGAGTCTAGTGGCGTGTAATTAGTATCAAATTAATATATATTCAACTTTGTTATTTTGTATATTCAAACTTGCCCAGTTATCCTGAAGAGGCTGAAGTAGATGTAGACGCTGAGGTTACCACAGAAGATGTCGAGGACAATACGCCCGAGGTTGAAGAAGATGAAGAAATGTACATGGGAGCAATGCAGTCTGAAAAGGTCTCCAGCGATACAAAGTAAGAACTTGTAATGCTTAGTATTTTTTAGACTGACTGATTAGAGCGACGTGCCCGAGTCTATTCAATAGATTCAAGTACCACTTTTAAACAAATAGCAATACGTGTTTTACTGATATGCACCATTTTTATAGATCATTAGCTCCGACGAGCATAAAGATTGATCCCAGTGAATGGAAACTTGAGGTAGAACGAGTTACGCCCATGTTAAAGGTTCAAATTCCAAATGACAACAAAGACTGGCGTGTGCACATTGAGCAAATCAATCATCACCAAAAGGTAAGGGTTGAATACTCAAAGCTGGCTCATAGATCATGATTTAAAACTATTATAGCTCGATGGCACTTAATCACGGTAAAATAGACTATTCAAACATGCATGACAGATACGCATGTCCAATTGGCAAAGCTGCATTCAGAGATTGAAAAAACGCTTGAAAAGATTGTCTCGCGTGAAAAGTACATCAACACACAGTTTGAATCTCAAGTAGGGACTTGCAAACGAATGCATTTAGTACTCATTTTACTTGAATACAAATTACTGATTCATTCTATTTTATCAGATTGATCAGTACAGAACTCTTCAAGACCAGTCGTCTGATGTCAGACAAAAGTATAACGTATTGAGCTCGAATGTGAGTGAACTCACAAATGAGCTGTCTCGGATTTCTGAAGAGCTGGATAGCGTCAAAGTGAGTCAGTATTCTTTGGCAAGTGATAGTGTACTATTTTCCAATGAATGAACCATCGCTGTTTACAATTTTTAATCTAGTCAAGAATGGACGATCTTGGAAATGGCATGACCGACTCTAAACCATTGGTTGGAATCAAACAAGGTCTTGCACGACTCAAGGTAAGATTGAATTATGTCGAGCAACTCGGGTTTAACTGCACAATGCATAAATAAATTTCCAGAGTTCAGCAACTTATATATCAATAACGTGCTAGACTGAAACCAAGCAAATGGATCTACGTATTGGAGTCATTGAACATACGTTGCTACATGCCAAAGTAAGCAAATTTCTTGCTATGAGTTGAGCATCTGCTGTCTATGGATTGGTTACTTATTCAGTTCATTTTAGCTTAAAAACAAAGGCCCGATTGGACCAGATGCAAATTCATTCTCGGCTCAAGTACTGTCTTTTTTTAACCTTTAGAACAATAAAGATGGCTGAATAGAATGCCTTGATTCAGCAGCAATGAGTTGTAAATAATATTGGACATTGTAATGGGAACCAGCTCATCACATGACATACAGGCGGAAGCCAATCTCAGGAAGCATAATCCACTCGATTCCTACTTTGTACCCATCTATCCAGCTACTATTCTACTGAAATGAGGTTTGCTATTCGTCTTTTGCTATTTATGCCAACCCTACGACAACCTTTGTTAATCATCTTCCACGTATACTCTGAATATTAGCTTCTTCCGTCATGTCACTAACCCAGTCATTGCTATCCTTGTGAGCGCTGTCTCGCTTGGTCTTGGTGGTGGTACCTTTATGATCTTTGTAAGTTTACTCTTGCCCTCTACAGTATATTCCTTATCACCAACTGTTGCCTTGATTGTTGGGCATAGCTGTTGTCCTTTGGCATGTGACCAGGGCTACTGTAGAATGTATACTTTGGTCATGCATACTTGGCCACTGTTATCGTTTGTGCCCATATCTCTGGTCTATCAATTGATATCCGTCCAAGTTTAACTAAATATTGATTGTATACCTGCAGAACGCCTTAACCAGAGACCCTACTGTCGCCCTCTTCAATAAGCGAGAGAATCCGTAAGTGCACCCTGATATTGGTATTTCAGCTGGATTCAAAACCGAGTTGAGCTAAATAGCTAAAACATTGAACCTATTCCATGTACATCTACTCTTGATGCTCAAATATTTGCAACAAGATTCCCATGGCTTAATGTTGCTCAAGACCAAAACATCAAGCTATATGCTGTCAACAACAAGGTATATTCGTGTTTTGATGTCCTAATGCTACACACTGATGGCTAATATATTTGATCCAATTATTTGCAGTTTGAAAGCAAAGAGGGTATTCGAACCACTTATATCGGGAACCCCAAATAAACAGTGCCATTTGTCTATTGAAGTTTATTTATGCTATTGGCTTACAAACCTATATCTTGGCATGAGTTGAAGCCTGGTGATGACAACCTATTATTTGCTACTCAAATCAGCTGGCCAACTGGTATTGTACTGCATTTCAAATGATTCACTGCCATTGTGCTACGGTATCAACAAGTAGTACCTCGAGTTTAGCAAGCATCCAGTCTGACTAATCATGTCAAAGCATTGGTGGCTGTTGGGTTACATATGCTTTATACTTTGGACGTGCACATGATTGACAATAGACTAATAAAGCAATACTCAAGCAAAGTGTGAACGGTGTTATCAGAGATGGCAATTGATGTGATGACCATATGCTTGGAACTGACAATCAATACAAGCTCAAGTAATGGAATTCCAATATCTTGATGACCGCTCTCGCTCTGACCAGTCCAGTAAATGCTGTGCTCGTACTTGAAGTCAGATATACTTGCAGTTGATGCTTTGGTCGACTCAGCAGCGAGTTTAATGGTCATACTTTGAGTAAAGCTGATCTGTTTATCAAAGATCACAACGCATGGCTACATTTACCCGACTAATATTCCATTGTCCGATATGGTACGAATGGGTCACAAATGCTTATTAGCTGGACCATATCATATACCTGATAAGTGTGGCACTGTATTGAGTGGTACGCTATCAACTATTCAAAGCAATTCAAGAGTTGAACGGTATGAATCAATACTAATACATTCAAAATACTATCATGGCATACGTTTGATAGAGCAAAATGGTATAATATGCTTTTACACGCTTCCCAGACTTTAAACCATCTATATGCTTTGCGTTGCTATGCTGGTAAAAGCTAATCTCAGTTATGAGTATACAACCGTTACAACACTGGAAATATTTTTGTATAAATACGACTGATTTAAAACGTTTATAATTCATTACAGCACTCCAATCCAATTCAATCCAATCCAATCCAATCCAATTCAATTCAACTATTGACAATATGAAGCTCATCTCGTCGGTGCTCGTTGGAATGTTGACCTTTGCGTCTTTCGTCGTCTCGACTCCAATTTATACTGTTGTGTCGTATGACGGTTACAAGATCTACAAGGTTAAAATTGAGTCCGACTATGAAGCCGGCTTGATTCGCGAAATTCTCGAGGATATACAGCTTGGAGTCAAGTCCTGGAACAAGGTTGCTATTGGATCAGAGGCACACCTTCAAGTTGCTCCCTCATCTCAAGATCGCTTTATATCAAAGCTAGAAGGTGTTCCACATTCTATCATGATCGAAAACCTGCAGCAAAATATTGATGTCGAGTATGCTCGTACACGACAAAATTCGGAAAGGCTATCAAGCTTGTTTGCCAGAGATGGCAACCTCGCTCTTACTGCAAAAGAGATTTTTACCGACTACCAAGATCAGAGCGTGCTTGTTGCATTCATTGCTAGTCTTCCTGGCGTGACTCAGTTTTCGCTAGGAAAAACATATGAAGGCCGTGACATTACTGGCTTTACTTTTGGCACTGGTTCCAAAAATATTGTTTTTAATGGTGGAATTCATGCCCGTGAATGGATTGCACCAGCCGCTGCTACTTATATTACCCACTATCTGACTGGAGGTAGTGCCGATGCTGTTGCTTTACTCAAAACTTACACATTTACCGTTATTCCAGTTCTTAATCCCGACGGATATGCATACTCTCGCTCGACCGATCGTATGTGGCGTAAGAATCGTGAACCCAACAAGAACCCAAACTGCGTCGGCACTGATCCTAACCGCAACTTCCCTTTCAAATGGGGATTTGAAAAGGACTCTTTTGATGAATGCTCCGAGACTTATCGTGGATCGTCTGCTGGTTCGACAGCAGAAGCCAAAGCATTGATTGGTTACATGAAAAAAGTTAAAAATGTAGCTTCTTACATTGATATACATTCTTTCGGAAATATGCTTTTGTTCCCATATGGATATACTTGCGCGAATGTTCCCGAGCCCGACTACAGTAATTTGGTCAAAGCTAGTAAAGTTGCTACTGATGCCCTTTACGCTGTTCATGGGGAAAAGTTTGTCAGTGGACGTAAGTGGATTGGATTTGTCATGTATAACTGTACTGTTGTGGTTGGCAGTATCTAACCCTGACTTTTGCGATTTTTAGCCGCCTGTTCCACGATCTACCCAACCAATGGTGATACCACTGATTATACTTATTCTCTTGGCATCACGTATTCGTTTACGTTTGAGCTTCGTGGAGGTGGCCACGAAGGATTTGATTTGCCAGCTGAAGAAATTGTGCCATCTTCCGAAGAAGCGACTGCAGCACTTGTTGCACTATGGAAAAGTATTAGCTAGACATTTGATTTGAAAGTGTATAACCGCATAAACTTTACTATATTGTATGTTATTTCTACAAATAAATTCAACCTTGTGGAGTTATTAAATTGGTGTCTTTCAGATCAAGTTTATTTTATGAATGCAATAAAAGTTAATGATGGAATAGTTGACGGGGAATCGCTTCCCATTCAACTACTTTGGGGTGTTCCAGAACAGCCTGGTAGACGCCCATAATTCTTGAAAATGGATCGCCGATATTGCCAGGAACACCCACCCACATATCCTCTTTTGCCATTGCGATCATTACATAGATGGACAGATCAGCAATTGTAATCGAGTCGCCAACAGCCCACTTTCCACCACTATGCTGGGCTAGTACCTGTTCAAGTTTTTCAAACATCAGTGGATACTTGACTTGCACAATATCTCTGCGTTCTTGCATAACAGTTTCTGTATCTGGCCTGCTCATTGTATCATACAGCAGATTCCCCATGTCTTCCATATGCAAAATAACCTGATCAACCAAAGCAGCCTTTAGCAGACAATCTGTAGGATAAAGTCCAGCCAATATTCCAGTGTATTTGACGATTCCAATAGATTGAGCAATCTGGATAGTTTTATTGATAGTGAGCACAGGGATTTGACTGAAGGGTTGAAGTGGTTTTATAGCAACAAAAGCTTGACGACTGACTCGATCATCTTCAAAAGAAATTCCGCCAATATGAAGAGCAAGCCTAGAAGCCTCTCCCTTTGCCCTAAATGGAAAATAAGTCAGTTTAAGAGTCGGTAGACTCGATGTCATTTCTAATTCAAGATGGAAATGACATTGAGTTTTTATTGTCCAAAAGTGTCCAACACAACTTTACATTTCAAACGTGACCACCTGACTCGGCAACTTTCACTCGAAAACACTTGCCAAAATAGTCTTCGATTTATCAACAGTTCAGTTCCTAAAGGGTGGTATTTGTCATGGTATGTGGTTGCTGTAGTTATTGATGCATTGACTATTGAATAAAGCAATCCTACATTTGACTTGCATATAGGCTAAGAATTTGTTGTTGCCATCAATTGATCCATCAAGTGTATTTGTAAAAAGCATATGCTTGATCTTGCTGGGCATTGCAGATATTACGTAATCTAATAACATAGTGTTCACTGAACTCTTTTATACAATGCTCAATTGTGCTGTATTTCATCTTAGTCTCAAGATATCCGCAACTTTTTTTTAAAGTCCACTTCAAAAAACAAACCAGCAGTATGTTTTACTTGGTGATTAGATCTATAATGAAATACAGCATTGTTTTCATTGGTATTTACTTTTACATAAATCATCTATTGGTATTCTTAGGGGAAAAAACTCGAGCCAGTTTTGGCAGCTACCAACACAGTCGGTATGAACAATCTTGTTGGACAAGTTTTCCATGTAAATATATTCGACTCTAAAACAATTTTGGTCATCTAATCATTACATACACGGCATCTACTTGAATTGCAGAAGAACATTCTTTTGGGTAAGTTAGTACACTGCAGCCCCACTATCAACAAGCACAGCTAAACTAAATGCCACTTCAATTTAACATTGATATTTTTTCGTACCAAGTCGATCGTCTGCTCAGTTGTCCACTAAATTGAAGCGCGGGCGAGCGATTAATGAGTCTCAAAATGATTCCGAGCCTGGACACACTGCTGTAAAAGACAGTGATGCAGAGTTATCCTTCAAAAATGTTGACAAAAAGCATTGCACGTCAGTAGATATTACCGGACATTCTGAAACAAAGCAAGAGGTCTCTGACGTGCTTCCCAGTTCTTTTTTCAGTAACGCCAAGATTAACCAAAGCACTACAAGCATGACTGTTGTGTCTCTGCCCATCTCTGATTCGGTCGTTGAAAAAAAGTCTACTAAAAGACTTGAAAAGGGTCGCAAAAAGGCTGCAACTAAAACCTTACCGGATGTCAAGATTGATGTAGAGGATGATATGAATGGCCTGAATGATCAAGATCTTATTGCTGCTTTAGAAGCAATCGACAAAAAGTATGCTATCATGGAAAATACGGACATTGATACTCAATCCGTTGCTACAAACAAAAATCACCCAACTCAAGACTTGGTTACTACGTCGCTGAAAACACCATTATCAGAACCTACGGAGGACTTTTCTGAAAAACGCTCGGCATCTTTGCGCTCAACAGAAGTATTAAAATCAAAAACACCAAAGGCTAGTTCAAAAAAAGCTCAAGAGCAAACGTTTGATCGTGATGAGATGAATAGTCCAATCCCACCCTCAAAAACAATATCTACCAAGCGAGCTGCTGAACAAATCGAAAAACTGCCATCAAAACAGATCAAGACAGCTATGATTTCTAGTGGAAAAGTACATGATGCCAAAACTCTGCCATCTGCAAAACCTGATGTAGTGGACACTCCCATTGCACCAGTTATAACTCCCAAAAAATCTGGATATGCCAAATTTATGGCTCGCCAAAGTGCAGGTCCTAGAAATTCTGGATCTCGCCCACTTCCTGTTGGTGCAGACAACTGTCTGACTGGCCTTGCATTTGTGTTTACCGGAGAAATGCCATCTTTTTCTCGGGAAGATGCCACTGATCTTGTCAAAAGATATGGCGGACGAGTTGTTGGTGCTCCCAGTTCCAAAACGTCATATGTGGTAGTGGGTGAAGATCCTGGAGAATCTAAGCTTAAAAAAGTACGCGATCTAAAACTGAAAGTCCTCGACGAAGACTCGTTTGTCAACCTTATTTCATCCACATTTAATGGTGCGTCTGCATCCACTGTAACTTTGGCATCTCCTTTGCTTCCTGTACATTCAGCACAGTGTACAACACCAGTTTTGACTTCTTCCATGACACCAGTCTCTAGCACGATCAATCATCTTGAAAAAGATAGTTTTATTCAACTTTATAATAGTATGCGCGCCGATGTGAAAACTCTAAAGCATAAGGAATCTAGGGTTTCTCACAAGACCGGGTGTGTTTTGCTTTTATATGTTTTAGTTTTACCAAAAACTAACTTGGATATTTAAATCCGTCTAGTACTACAACACAGCTTTGGGTTGACAAATACAAGCCCATCAGCTACAGTGAAGTTATTGGAAACAAAGGGCTTATTGAAAAACTTTCTAAATGGCTGAAAAACTGGTACTTGCTGCATTTCTATGTTTGTTAGTTGGCCTGTACTGAAAAATTCTAAACTTTTACTATTTGTAATAATCAACGGTTAGGGAATCCAATCGTCAATATGGGTTTCCAAAGGACGTGAAAGATGACAGCGCTACTTTTCGCGCATGTCTTCTTTCGGGATCGCCCGGGTTGGGAAAAACCACATCAGCGCATCTGGTGGCTCGCTTGGAGGATTTTGATGTGGTTGAATTTAATGCAAGTGACGTTCGAAGCAAAAAGGCTCTTGATGTTAGTATATTTACTGCCTGCTATTTTTCTAATTGAGTTTATTTGTATACTAATCTACGTATTCTCTGGTGTTTATTGGAATCACAGAATTTGGTCAAGGAATCAACGGGAACCGTGTCAATTGCTTCTTTATTTGGTACAGCAAGCTCGTCACTTTCCAAGGTATTGGTTTATATTATTGAAATAGCCAACGCTTTTGAATACAGATCAAATTCAATCAATCGATTTATTCCCTTGCTTAACTATACATTATACTTTCAGGGTAAATCTGCCGCACCAGTAAACCATAAAAAAAGAGGTCGTGTTTTGATTATGGATGAGGTTGACGGAATGTCTGCCGGTGACCGTGGTGGCTCAGCCGAGCTGATTTCCATCATCAAACAAACAAAAATTCCCATTATTTGTATTTGCAACGACCGCTCTTCTCCCAAAATTCGCTCGCTTGCCAATCATTGTTTTGATCTTCGTTTCCGTCGTCCAGATGCCAGGATGATATCTGCTCGTGTTGAAATGATCTGCAAAAAGGAAGGGCTGGATATTTCTCCAAACGTGATTGCTGAGCTTGTTGATAGTACATCGGCTGATATTCGTCAAATTCTCAACATTCTTTCAACTTATAAACTAACCAACAATCGGTTGACCTACGATGAAGCAAAAACCTTGTCAGCAAATACTCGAAAGAATTCTACCATGTCACCGTTTGATATTATTGGCAAACTCTTGTCCCATGGTAGTTACCGCAATCTGTCTTTTGGAGATATGATTGATTTATACTTTCACGATTATTCCATGGTTCCGCTTATGGTACATGAGAATTATTTGAATCAAATCCCTTCATTGTCTACTGAGCTTAGGGCTACGGGAAAACAACTTGATTTAGAAACCGTCCGGTTGTTGAGTGAGGCTGCTGATTCAATATCTATGGGCGATTTGGTTGAAAGCGTACAACGAAGGTAAACTGTTTTGTGTTGAAGGCTTTAGTGTAAATTTTACTAATACTGAGGCATTTCAATTTGTAGTGAGAATAGCTGGAGTTTGCTTCCGCTACATGCTGTAATGTCTACCATTCGTCCATGCTTTTTTGCACATGGTCGTGGCAGTTTACGATACAATTTTGCCAGGTATATATTATTGATGTTTTTGAAATCACATACTCTTAGTTTTCAACATCATAGCACCAAGTTAAACCTTGTTTTTTACTATAAGCTGGTTAGGACAAAACTCTAAACAAGCCAAGGCACAACGATTTCTTCGTGAGATTCAAATTCATATGCGGCTGCGAACATCAGCCGATAAGAACCAAGTGTGCCAGTGTTATCTTCCCACTCTTGCACAGCTTCTTACTCGACCCCTCAGTAATTCTGGCACGGACGGGATAACTGAAGTGATTCGTTTAATGGACGAATATTATTTGTCCAAAGATGATTTTGACGCTATTATGGAGCTGGGATATTCCAAATTGATTAGCGGCGTAGCAACTTCAACCAAAACTGCGTTTACAAGAATGTAAGACCGACCGAGATCAGCCTGTATTGACAGCAGTAGTGAAGTTTACTTTGTTCCTAATTATAATATCTGGGTAGCTAAATCTATTATATGTTTGAATTCATACTGTAGATACAATAAGATGAACCATCCAAAAGCTACCATGGATACAGTTCCAGCAAAATCAGTAGGAAAAGGGCACGGATCTGAGCTCAAGCCTGATATGGAAGAGATTATTGATGTGGAGGATCAAGTTCTTGACGATGATGCAAGCGATGCTGGAGGAAACGATGGCGATGATGCCATTTCTAATGATCGTAGTATTAAGATAAAAAAAACAAGCACTGGCAAGAATTCTCAAAAAAATAGCAAATCCTTGGCTTCCGAGTCCAGTCGTGGTGGCAAGAGTGCAAGAGGAAGCCGTGGTGGACGCAAAAAATAACTGTAAACGCCAAAACCATCAAATTTACAATTGTTTCAGATCAGCTCTAGTATACCTTGGTGATTCATCAAGTATTTCACTATGTACTCAAACTGCCATTTGGTTTCCAATGAATTTTTTATTATTTCATTGTTATATTAACTACCCATAAAAAGTTTCAAACAACAAGAATGGCCCTACACTCATCTCATTGATTTAGGGGATGGAAACAATGTAGATGTATCCCCGCACTCCAGCTCTAGAAAAATCTTTGCCGATTGCCTTAATGGTAGAATTGCAATTTGTGAACCAGCACTTATATTTATAACGGCAGTGTACTGATCGATGGATTCACTATCTGGTCCACTCAGGACATTTACGCTTGCATCAGGAAGTAAAACCTGGCCAACATGTAGTGGGCATAGTACCACTTGATACACACTTGGTTTGCCCTTCTAAAAACCATCAAAAACAGGCCAAAGCATTGTAAAAAAAGTCAATTGAAACTACTCTGTTGATCAATCATGTAAGGCACACGTTTAATAAGATCGTTACCTCTATTGTGATACGCTGGCGACGTTTTCCACTCATGGAAAAAATGGAAAAGTCGACATGAATTTCATATTCTGCCTCGACAGTGTTTACTGGAATATTCCAAGTAGTGGGCATCACTGTGAATGTGCACGGTAACATATCACCAATCACAGTATCCTTTACAGCAGCTCTGTTTCTATTCATGGTATTAGGCTCTAAAGTGGTAAGTACAGTGGGTATCAATGACACTTGCAGCACGAGATGCGGTGTCATATGCCTGGAAATATAAGTAAGAAAAGATGGTTGCGGATTCGATTCTTTACGAACTCGGTCCATAGAAGCTAGTTTCACATCCTATTTTGTAAACAGTAACTCGTGTTAAATTAAATAAGGATTTTGAAGCTTTTACTTGGCTTATCAATATAAACCAACAAGGTATATACTTACATCCCATAGTATCCGAATCATACTTTTTAGTTTTGCTTGAAGATTTGCATCTCTGCCAACAATCATGGCTTCAAAATCGATTATATCTAGTGGACTGAAGTCGACCACTTGAAATGCAGCGTATTCAACTAGACTGATTTGAGAAATAAGATGCTTTCGAGCATACTCTGTGATAAATGTTGTATACTTGGACAAATCTTGTTTTTGGAGAATGTGTTTGATACGAGCCATAACAAATGATTCCAATTCTTTGATATAAAAATTAGTGGCTGTAGAGCAATCTACCATCAAAATACAAGTTTCAAAACATTACGAATACCTTCAAGAAGCGGAATAAATCCAATTTTGAGCTCAAGTGTTCGGTTAGTGTCATTGCTAGCCATGACAGCTTCCTTTTGTGGACTAAGTCGATACAACAAATTAACTAGTGCTCCGGGAAAGACAGTCTACCATCATCGCAGCCCAATAGATTTTAATTAATTACAAGCAATTGTAAATTGTATAACACCAACACAGTGCAACTCAACCTGCTCATGAAATAGACACAGAGACTCAAAAGCTGCTCCATCGGCACAAGTCGTATCAAATGATACAATACGGAGTGGGGATCCATCCTTGCATTTTAGCCCAAACTGTACAATCGTGCTGTTGTTTGTCAAATCAGATAGCAAAGTAATTAGTATTTATAGATTGGTACGAGTATGCATTAGTGAGTTAAATTACTGACTCGTAGCTTTCAAACAGCAGTGATTCGTTGATAATAAAATCATGCACAAGAGCAACACGAACCACTGATGAAAATAATTTTCGTTGAGAAAAAGATGTGCAACTAAGTAACATCTTGAGCTAAACAGTTTAGTGTGTATTGCGTCAGAAAAACCAACCCAACCAAAAAATAGCTTATTTATGCAGTATCAATCTATACAAGCAAATACCTTGTGTTCTACACTTCTTGAATCTTGAATCAGCTTAAATGGAAGCTGAAATGTGATTTGTTCATATTCCTTAACATCAGGAAGGCAAAGCTTTCCATCTTCAATACCCATTGAAACCTCACGTTCAGCAGCATCTATAAACACAATTTTGCAAAATAATATGAATAGTCGGATTCAAATATTATTACCAAATAAACCAAACAGCAATATCATTAAAATTTAGTACCTGGAAATGATACGATGTGATATACCACAGCTCCATCAATAGTCAGGCCAATGTTTGACAAAGCAGAGATAGTCAAGCGAGCATCATTGAGTATATTAGCACCAGTTCGAATCTCAAACGACAATATAGTTTCTGGCTCTCCTTGTACAACTAAATAAATGGAAAAAGTTAAATATCAGCTGTCTGTATTTTGGGTAATAAATCAACACTACTAAACATACTTTTTCGAGGTAATGTAGCATTCATCGTGAGAGATTGCGATGTTTCGTTGATTCTAATAGATTTTTGGCGGTCTTTATGACTAAGATCGTGATGAAAATGCAACTTTCCACTTTCCATTGACATGACAGATGGGCTATATACACCAGGTATGGCCGATTTCTAAATAATCTGCATTAGTCTCTCAAGATTAAAGTATTCTGTCAACTACAGTGTTATGGCGCGCTACCTAATAGCACTTGAAATAGCATATCTTACCTTGCATACTACATGAACTATATTTTTACCAGATTGTAGCATAATATCTTGTCCAATGCATGTCATCTCCTTCCCGTCTCCAGCAACAAGTGTCAATGAAATTAGTGAAAAGTGAAACTCCTAAATGAAAAACCAAACCCCATACAGTCAATTCCATAATAGCATAAGGCAAAACTAAGTGAAATTAAATCGAGTATGTTTTGCAACCACCTTGGATAATACACTGTCGATACTAATTTCAACAGAAACCGCCCCATCGTCATCAAGTTCAGATGAACTTGATAAAATTAAAACTTTAAACAATTCTAATCCTGGATGAGATAAAACTACGTAATTCAAAATATCATAATTAGTCCATACAGTATCACTAGAAACAGACTGATATCAACCCACCATCTTTCATAGATGCGGCAGCACTGACTAGGTCATCCACATAATCGTTTGCATGCTGCTGATCTGTCAGTGAGGAGTGTGCAACAAGATACAGACAACATTCAACTAGCGTATGCAATATTAAGGTCAAGGAATAGTTGCAGTAATGCAAAAATATCACAATATAAAAAACAACAGCCCATCAAAATTTGGCATAAAAAGGATATTTGTCAAAGCGACCAAGCTCTCTATAACACTTGGCTAATCTTTCAATGATAACGATCTCAATAAAATGCCACCCCCTTTCGGAATGTTTGAATGCCATTATTTCCCAGATTTCAGATGCTTGCTCATAGTTTTTTCTAAAACTGTATATTGGAAACGTCAATAGCTGTTGAAATACATACTTGATTTATCATGATTTGGCAGTTAAAAACTTACAAGTACCAAAATGCAAGATCAGATTGTAGTGCTAGAGCAGAACGGAACCGTCCACTGGCGGTAAACCCCTGAACAGCAAGATTGGTAATATGCTGATATAAATTGCCAAAATTCTCTATTGATGAAATTGCAAGAAGTAATTCCGGATTTGAAATAAAACAAGTCTCTGCAGATGTAGCTTGGGTTGAATCTGTCAATGCCAAGCTGTCTACAAAAAGCGGGTTCTCACACATCTTGATGCGAATTCCAATACGATCCAGCTGAGTATTATAAAATACATGTATATTAGATCAATCTTTCTAAACCAAGCTTGAGATATCTACACAAGTGACGCATACAAAAATAAAACCGTTCCATAAATAACATAATATGTATACCTGAAACTTGGACATTTGCAAAAGTTCCGCACGCAGGCTTTCATAGACTTGAGCTATAGCTTCGGGCATTGTAAGCACGTTAAAAACAGCATCACATTTTCGAACAGTTTGCATGCACAAAGAATAAATCCAAGACTCTTTAAAGTTGCGAGGCAGTGAAACCTTGTAATCGGTAAGCGTTTTGGAAAATGTCACGGCAAAAGTTTTGGTTCTTTGACATACATCAGCAGGCGACTCGAGTAGTAAAATCAAACAACACTGACGGCCAAAAAGATATTCGCGAAAGTCAAAAATAGTGATCTGGTTTTGAATAATCAAGTCACGGTACGGTTTTCGATCCAAACTAAAGATATCAATGTAGTCGTCACCCGTTTCTACGCCTCCAAATTTATGGAACCAAGGAGCCCCTTGTTCATTTAGGGTTTGGTGAAATGTTGCTTCCAACTCGTCATAGTGTAAAAGCGCTTCTTCGTAAAATTTAGCAAGCTCGTAAGTAAATGCAATGGATTCCTTTTATGATTAAAACCCCGTAAAGATAGAAAAATCAGCAAAGCAGTATTAAAAATAAACCAAGTTGAAAATGTAGGCATCATACTTTGAGAATAAAATATTGGCAATAGTTCCATCCAGGCATTAGACGTTGCTGCTCAAAACGACGTGTATCTTCTTCTAATTGTGAAATCTGTTGTATCATGGCACTCATAAGACTTTCCTTGATACGGTCAAATAGGTCTGACCAAAATTCAGAATCTTTTGCATCATTATTACTGAGCTTAAGTTGAATGCATCTAGAATAGTCAGGGTTGTAAAAAATTGTATTGGTTAAATGTATCGATGCTTTATCATATAACACAGGCTTTTGTAATGGAAATGATTACTACCTGTCTTTTTTCAAGCTGAAATCGGTACGGATTTTGTCAAAAACCGAGTTTGATCCTACCATGTTAAAGATACCAGATCTGCTCTTGACAGCACCGCCAGAAATGTATACAATCATCCATTCTTGACCTTTTTTGGTCATAACAATGTTGAGCCACTCTTGAATCTTGGATCTTACATTATTTTTATAGTATTCCATATCCTAGTGATGTTTGTAGCATTGAATTAAATATTTGTGGTAAAGACAATCTACATGCTCTAGTTTATGAATTGGAGAAACATAAATAGTAACTTGTTTACCTCGCAACCAACAAGAAATATGTGCACAAAGAGTGAATTTTGGTGCAGTCCACCAGGAGCCAATTTAGGGAACAGGTCTAGAGAATAGGGTTTGACATCCAGATTCAGACTAGGAATAATATGAGTTGTCGAAGAACTGTTTCTGCTGGATCTAAGAGGATTTTGCCAGGAAAGATGACGGAGTGGGAGTCGAGCATTAAATTCATTAGCCAAAGATGACCATATGGAAGTGTCCTCGGCATCTAAAATCATGGCATTCATGTTAATCTCGGCTATAGTCACGACCAGAAATTAATAGTGACATTATACAAAGCATTTAACCAATGCTTTGTATAATACGACATACAGGTAAGAATGGGATTTTTCAAAGTAGGCCAGATAGGCTGAGAATCCAGATCCTGAAGAGTGTTGGGAGCAGCAGGAGCAGAAGACTGGCTAGAAAATGTCCGAGTAAAATCACAGTTTTGCAAACCAATATCGGCAGATTCCATATTTCAGAACAAGACGCTCAGCGAATTAAACTCGAATTTGGGCTCAAATTCCTGAGGATATTATATAGCTGTTTTGTGGCCAATTCCAACGTATCGCATCTGCCATGAACTTCTATCCTGCCAATGCCAGTCTCCAGCCGTCATTGGCTGGAACAACTCTTATAATGGTACGATGAACAGTTTCTACTTGAAAATTCACTTGAACTAACGCTGTTTCATTATAGCCAGGGCCGAATGCTTTAGGATTTGTGGGTCAATTGACTCTAGATCTGCTTATATCAACTCTAAAGCTGCAAAAGGTCGGATCCATTGACTGTCCTGATGTTTCTGCTGTGGTGGGAATAGACTCTTATGGTCCTTGGGATTCTCCTTCTGTTCGCACTGCTATGGAAGGTAGTCTGTTCGTCCCTAGTTTGCATATCGACCTCTGCATCATATCATGTTTTTATTAATATATCTGAATCCAATTTGTTGTCTAGTCTATCAGGGTAAGACTCAGAGCAGTCAGTCGCATTCAATCAAGGAACAAGTCGTTACTGTTCTTATGATCCGCTCCAAAGTTGAAAAGGTCAGATTCGCTCATTTATTGCAGCCATATTCACACGAAATAGAACCACTGTCTTGCAGTCACTTTTTGCTTTGGAATGGACAAGGGTTAAATGTTTGCTACGCTCTTCTACAAATTGATGGTCTATTCAATAGACACAATGACCATCATACAAGATTAAACGATCTCATTTTGGTATAACCATACATTGTACGATCACCAAATTCATCCACTGTAATTCATATATCGGATTCGACTATTCTCAAATTCGGTATACACTCATCATTGTCATATTCTGAACTTGGATGCCTTTGCGTTCTAGCTCAAAAAACCAATGATCGCATATATCAGTAATGCAACTGTTGTTTGCATGCCAATCACTCAATGTCATAATGCATTAAAACTGTCAACATTTGTTCAGTTTTTATACAAAAACGAGCACGGACAAACACTAGTCAGCTTTAACGAATTCAGAGGACACAATGTTGCTCAGTACATGTGGTGCGAATCACCATTCCATGAGACCAGCAGTTTATTGTAGATTTCAACTTGTTTAGTGTTATTTTACGTGAATACGGCTGCAGTGATAACCTAGCTACTCTACTTTTAGCACTCTCGATCATTGAATTCTTGTTGTACTGAAACTGTAATTTTGTATTTTAGGAAAAAGGTATGGTTTTTTCCGAAGCATTAACCTCGTGGATTCAGTCTATTGGATTCTCAAGAGTGCTTTTGCTTACAGCGTTGGATGGAACCAGACGAACCGATAAGCAACTTGGGTCTTCTCCGTTGAGGTACTGTACTGTTGGATCCGAGTTTTCTGACCAATTTCCTGCTGCTCTTAAGCTTGGATGGACTGCGATTGAATCATCAAGTGATATATACACGGACACTCCTTGCATAATTCCACCCGGTGGGGGCCTTACTCGCTTCATCTTGAACGAGTTTAAGCGCAAGGAGATGTCATTGACAGTACTAAGCTGGTTTACTTTTGAAGGAGGTAATGTATAGATATTTCTAAATGTTGGGCATATTTGATTGGAATAAAACCGTGCAGTCTTTTCATTTGGAAGCTTCAATCCTAATGACTTGTTTAAACCTCAAGCCATACATTTGCAATCACATTAATTTTTGACTTTGAATACAATCTTATTTAATAGATAATATGGATACGGTTCATAGCATTGCAAATGCAGTCAATGATCTCGTTTGCCTATGCTCTCCGAAACCGCAATGGTTACGTCCAAAATCTTGGGATCATATCTATGGACAAGAACAGTACACAAGGGAGTTGTTTTAATGAGATTTTGCTGATTACATTTCAAAAAGCATCGCCCGAGTCCTGACATGTGTTTTATATTGAAAATGCAATAAAGCAGTTGAATTGGTTTTACTGAAATAGCTCAATACTCGAGTATTTTATCTGTTTATTGACTGGTGATTGCAAAAGCACTAATCCGAGTATGGAGATACGGATATTAGAATTGCCGGTGTGGTTGAGACCGCAGATTCGCCTGGTTCAAACACTCTATTTCTTGCTTGAACAATTTCGGCAGTTTTTGTGGCTGCTTTAATCTGCATCTCTCGCACATAACTACGACTAATGAGCTCCATCTTTTGGATATGCGCAGCGTGCTCTTTTATGATTGCAGTGAACATGAGCTGGATTGAATCATGAATGTCTTTTGTAGCCTTGTAAACTATGCATGTTCAGTATTGGGTTAAATTTAATTATTGACTAGCATAGGTAATCGTCAAGATTGATTCAAACGTAAAATTACATTTTTGTAAATGGGTTTCCTTTTGAGCCTCGTCACTTGGCCGTATGTCGTCCGTGCTAGATCCATCTGTAACTAGTAAAGTTTAATAGACACGCGTTGTAGTCGAGCCTGAGTATTTAGAATGAAACAAATGGTATTTACTAATAATGAAAAACATACCATTGATTGTCTGACTAGGCAACAATGACATTTGTTTTAGTTGCTGAGTAGCCAAATCTTGGCTGGAAGCCGAGTCTACTGTTATACCAGCTGCGACAACAGAATGTTTTTCGCCACTAGTCTTGGTCTGCGTGCTACACATGATTACATTGGATGGGATAGTTTCGGCACAAGCTGCAAAAGTGCATTCGGATTCACCTGGAAACTCTAGTTTGTCAGCACATACTTGGTCATGGATAGCGTATCATAAATACGGATCATTGGCAAATGGATAAACAGTACAATCAGTGCTCAATCACTAATAATCTCACCGTTTTCTGGATTGGTTATAAGTTGACTTGGTGCAGTATCAGCTGAAACGATTGGGGTTGGCAAGTATATACTTTGCAATGAGCCACCTGCTAAACCAAGCGTATCAGCAAGTAACCCATTTTTATTATTGGCCACGCTTATTGTCGATTGACTCCCGCTTATTGATTTTATCGCTAAATTAAAGTGCATTTCTACATCTATAGAATCTGAAGTAGAGAGCTGAAACAGCTTGTTCATTTCGGCACTGACATCTACACAACCATTCAGCCCAGCTGCGTAAATGAGCTCAAAAACCTCTACATGCATAAGCTGAATTGAAATCGAACCTGTTAATATTGGTCTGCCCAAAATATCTTTACAAAATCGATACAAAATTCACCTCAAACTCCAAGTTGTAGCTTGATGAATCAGCTACGTTTGGAATTGATTTTGAAAAATGTTGAATTACAAAAGAAATAGTGATTTGTGCTGCTAGAGTTGCAAGAATATTGTAATCCTAAACCCATCAAACACAACATTTAAAGTTTAGTTGTCCACCTGAAACACCTATTTATCAATACTTTGACAAAAAAGCAATCCTTTACCTTGAGCACTAAAATCAACTCTCTGATGCTGAGTGTCTTGTCTTTTTTGGATTTTGGCAATGCTTTGGAATGAGTTTTTGCCCACTGAATGTACAGCTGCTCAACCTCTCGACTATAATTGTCTTGGAAATGCTAGTATATTACATGAAATAGTTATACTCAGTATACTAAACCAATCAAAAATGCGTATACAGTAACATATTGTAGCTTGAAATCACTACCTCGTGAATCAACCGCATAAACAACTCATATTTTGTTGGGGTGGACTGTTTGCTTAATTCCAATTGATGCATTTTTGGAATCAAATTCTGCTTTATCAGATAAGCTAGTGTTGCAGCTTGTCCATGTTCGTGAATAGATAGTCGAGGACTGTTTCTATATACGTAGTTGCTTACAAGCAATAACCACTCGTAAAAGTCGTGTAGAATAAATTGCTCATGCGAGTTATGCGGATCCTACCAAATTGAACGCATGGCCAAATGTTGGTAAACTGTAGCATTTACAACAGCCAATACAAATGATTTGAACAATCAATACCTGATAGCGTTCTCCAAAAAAAGGATGATTATAAAACTCTTTGGCAAATGCGCGATTTAGATCCGCTATTTATTCAGAGTCAATACATGTACTTTTCTGGTAACATGAACACCAAGTGCATTTGGATTAAAAGTCACTGACAATCAAACCAAAAACAACCTTACCAAATGTGATTCCCTGCTGAACTATTCCAATATCTGCAAAAAGTTGCCACATACTTTCTCGAGTCAACACATGTTTTGGGTTATCCAAATCTATTGCTGGCTTGCTATAGTGGGTATAAGTCTGGCACAACAAATCTAAAAACTACAAGTCAAAAACTGCATTGTGCCAACTAATACAGCTGCTACAACATAATTGGCTAGCAGAAACCCATAATATAGTTTTACCATAATGTCGATTGATGATATCGTGAATTTCCTTGATAACTGCTCCAGAAGTTGAAGCATGCTCCAAATTTTCAGATGTAGCCAAAAACAAGTACGGCAAATCTGTGGATTGTAATCAAAAGTATAAAAGTTCAAACTAGCGTACAACTTTTGCAAGTATAGGTTTCAAAAATATAAGCTTACTGTTTGAAAACCGCTCGAAATTACCAACTGGGCGATCATTTTGAAACTCACCAATGTATTGACGGCCGTATTCAGAAATGTATTTTCCTTTTCCATGCTGTCAGTGTGTTTATAGTCAGCTATATCCAACTTTATATTGCAATAGTTGGCATTGTGTCAATCAAATGTAGCATATGCTTGCCTTTTTGTTTTGCACCCACTCTCCTTGATAGGTTGCACCACTAGAATACTGGAAAACACCGTATCCATGTCTTTTTCCATCTAGCCATTTGCCTACAATATACAGATGGTTGGATTGACATCAGTGGATCGCGACTCTTTCAAACTACACAGGAGTTTTGAAAAACACACCCTCGTATCTATTATACATTGGATACTGGTGTGGTCGACCAGTTTGGATTTTCCACAAGTAAATGCCAGTTCCAGTTGGCTTTCCATCCTTCCATTCGCCAGAGTACTCTTCGCCACGATTGCTCCAAACCATTTTTCCAATGCCGTGCTTGATTCCATTTTGCCACTCTCCGTCATAAAGGTTTCTTGATCTGTAGCACATCGTGCCCTTGCCATTTCTTTGTCCATCCTTCCAGCCTCCTGTTTAGTAATTGATTCAAAAAGTGATATAGTAAATTCGTGTTCTTTTACAGATACGTCAAGACCAACTGATTGCAAGGTTATATACCCTTATAAAATGATACTTTATCGTATTGGAGAAGTCCCTAGTTTATCAAACATTGAATATTACTTATATTGGCCATGGAATATAAACATGTCAAGAACTATAATATTCAAGTACATTGTTATTCCAACTGACCTGTCCGTTTGGCTTTCCTTCACTCCATTCACCGCTGTAAAAACAATCGCCACCTAGATATTCAAATTTTCCAACTCCATTTCTCAGCGCTTGTTTAACCTCCCCTTGGTAAGTGTACCCATCGTTCCTGTATCATAACCAATAGTTCATCGTGTGCAATTCATCATTTGAATGCATTGGGTTAGGGAATATGAAATTAGCCAAATGGGTGTATAATTTGAATTCAAGTCGCGTATGGACATAGCTTCTCGCCGAGTCAAGTTTGCACTCTCATACTTGTATCAGATTAGCACCAAGTATATATTTATATACTCGACCCAAAAAGAATTGTACTTATTTTTCATGTCAACTTTAGACTTTAAGGGATGTACTTACCAAGTATAAGTTCCGCTGCCAGTAATCTCATTATCATGAAACTGGCCTTCGTATCTAACGCCATCTGACCATATATATGTGCCTAGACCTTTTAGCATGCCATTGGTAAATTGTCCATTGTAGCGATGACCAGCATGGTATACTGCTGTTCCAGTCCCTGAAAATACTCCATCGTTTGTTACATCTCCATCATAGGTTTGAACAATAAGTTGAGATATTGGAAGTGACCAGGCTGTCATATGATTTAGATATCAAACTTTTATAGCCGTATTCACGTAAAATGAGTTGAAATAAAAGTATTTTACAGCCGTATATTCACGTAAAATGAAACACTTGTATTTATCCTACAATGGCTCTATTTTTGTTATTGGAAACGTTGAATTCGCACACAACCAAGGAATGATTGGCACGTCCATGCAATTAAAGAAGCTCTGTCATATTATAATCTCAAATACGTCTGTGTTCTAATTCAAGAAAACATTTCAGAAATATAACTGTTGTTTTTATACCGGTTGTCCATGTTTACTTGTAACGTTTGGGTTAAAAAAGGAAGGTTGAAAGTTGAAAAAATGTCAAGGATGTGGAGTGTATTGGAACAGAGATGTAAATATTTGTATTTTTGTACAGGAATGAGTACGGAGGAGAAAGATCAGTGAGTTAAAGTCCAAAAAACAATGTTTCCAGTAAATTTGGCACAAGTCAAACATGACTGTTTATCATGTATTTTGGTACTCATATTTAGTGCTCCAGTTTACGTGAATACAGCTTTAATTAGTTGATAATTAGAAACCAAACTAAAGTTTTGGGAAAAGTGGTGGCTTGGACTTTGTCACGGCAGATGTGACTTGAGCCATTGTATCTGGTGTATTAATCATAACAGAGTTCCATAAACGAACGTATTTGAGCCCCTCCTCCGTAGTATGCTCTCGCCCATGATTCATTATATGTCTATAATAAAATAATATTCAGCAATACAGTTGGACTAGATAGCATATGATCGAGTGCGACAAAAACTGAACCATGCTATTGAATACTTACTTTGTTCCATATATTGCAATAGGAGCTTTGGCTGAAATTTCACTGGCTAGCTCAAATGCTGCACCTGTAATGTTGTAAAATGCATGTATATACAATGATTAGTCTTGCGAATCATAGATACAGAATAGAATACAGATCAGATTGTTACATACTCAATAGCTTATTTTTATCGTCAAATACACGACTCACAAGACCAAATTGAAGGGCTTCGCTGGAAGATACCATCCGCCCAGTGAAACAGATCTCACGAGCCCAACCGTCGTTCCCAACAATCTTGGGCAGTCTTTGAAGTGTTCCCAAATCCGCTGCGATGCCAATATCGACTTCTTTTACTGAAAATAGTGCATCTTTAGAGCACCATCGGATATCGCATGCAGTAATCATATCCATTCCTAGAATTTATAGCCAGCGTAACAACAGATATGTTTTAAAATATGTACCATCTAATATTCCAGCAGATGCAAAGGGCAGCACTACCTCCACCAATACAAGCGCCATGGATAGCAGCAATGATCGGTTTGTTGCATGCTTCAATGGCAGAGAATGACTGCTGCAAGAACTCGACTGCAGGAAGAAATCCGAGAGCTGTACGAGCTGGATCCTCTGTCTGCTGAGGAAACATTTGAGCAGCTTTGACTAGAACCCAGAAATGCATTAGTCTTTGTATTATCCAGATCTAACATATATGCAGTATAACCCCGAGCATTGACACTCAACGGTCTAATCCAGCTGTAAATAGTCTAGACTCGGACGAAGCAGACAAAACCACAGCACGGACAGAACTACTATTCAAAACAGCTTCAAAGACAGTCTTGACATCTACAAAAAACTGCATGTCCATAGTATTCAGCTGTTTTGTTCGGGCCAGCTCCACATGCAAAACCCATTCACTTGGGAATGATAGACGCAAAGTGTGGTACTTTTGATTGAGCTGATTGCTTGCATCGCCTATCATGGCCGTCATTTGGTGATAAATTGTCAAGTCTTGAAAAGATCTCAAAGCCATGCTTTTAAACAAGCTTTTGGAATGGCATTCATCTAGTCAATCTCATAAAAATGTGTGCTTTGATTCTGTATTGAATAAGATTTGCAATGATTTGGATTGGAGCGGCCAACTTGACTGCTTTCATTTCCTCTAAAAACTCGCATTGGTTGGCTGAGGCAGTTGTCCTTTGAATCGACTACGCCTTACGGGTTGAACAAACCTCGTGTATAATACTACTCTGAGTGGTCTCGTAATTAACGGGTATATATCGATCTTCAAAATATGTTCGAGTTTTATTCAGATCTACTTATTGTATTACAATAAAAATATGGCAAGCGGCACGCAAGCACATCATATTGCAGTCGATCTTCAAGATAAGCTTAACACTGTTGGTGATGAAGACAGCACAATTATCAAGGCCGTAACCGCCGGTGTTGGAAAACTTGTTTCCGTCAAAACCCAAGTTGATGACATCCAAGGAAAAGTCAAAATGATTACTGATATGGCCTCAAAGGTTGCTGGCGATAATCCCATTCTAAAACAAACAATCCAGATTGCCCAAGCTGTTTTCAATATTGGTCAAACTATTCCGTTTGTTGCACCTGTTTTTTCAATTTTACAGGTATTGTGTTGTTGAATTCTGATTTGGCTAGATTTGCTATTTATGCTGTGGCTGAAATGTGTTGAAGTATGGTGCATTGATACCATTGGCCATTTGAGGCATAAAACTGTTTCAAATAGATCAGTATAACAATCAATATACCATTGAAACTCATTTTAATGTAATTGCAACTTACTGTACATTAATCTTGTATGTTAGATCATCGTAGATGTTGAGGTCAAGGCGCGAGAAGCCGATGCCAAATGCAGCGATTTACTTGAGCGTATCAACTTTATGGTTGAGCATCTTACTGTTATAGAGGCCATCAAAATTTCTTTTTCTACCGAGCATGTCATTCAGCGCATGGAAACTGTTCTCAAGTCTGCTGCCACTTTAATCCAGACATATCGCAGGCAGAATACACTTGCCCGTCGTCTTAATACGCAAGTTTAATATCACTGATTTTTGAGTTGAATTGTAGTTATTCAATCAAACTTATTTTAAATCTGTTTGGACATTCAAACAATTTTAACACTAGTGGAAACAAGGACCGGTTTGTTGGCTGCTGCAAATCTATCGAGACTTGCTCGAACGATCTTATGTTTAGTCTGCAAATCCAACAAACATCTCAACTCGATGTGCTTACTCGTGCTATTGCCATTGACGAGCAAGATCTGGCTGCCGAAGCTTTTCTAAAAGAAAATGGTGGCATCAGCAACATCAAGGTAACACGCAAAGATTTAATTCGTGTAGATCTGACTGCTTTGCTTTTCTAATTATTTTTGCTTCATTATCTATTTAAATACGATAGAACCATCCAGAACTTGTCAAAAAGTTTGCTGGAGAAATGAAACTCTCAATGGATGATTCTGTTATGAAAGATCTCAACAGTAATCTTACAGATTTAATCAATCAAAACAGTGTCGAGATGGAGTCCAAACTCAAAAAAGGCATGAGCGAAGCTGTTGTTGATGGTCTTAAAAGTCTTGCATCTACCCTGAAGGAGATTGAACGCGAAGAATTACATGGCTGCGTTCAATGTGGTCAGACCTATCGTGAATCCACCAATGCCGCTGGTTCATGTTCTTTTCACGAGTCGCAGTATACCGAATACCGTGGCGGGCATGTCTGCTGTGGAAAAACTGATACTTGTAAGCGTAGCAAGCATTGTTCAAAACACCACAACAACTATCCATATGCTGCCTTTTTTGAGCGCTCTACAGCCATTTTGGGTTATGTAGATACTATAGATGATTTTGTCAATGATGAAATTGTTGATTTTGTTGAAAAAAAGCATAACCAGTCATTCAGGGTTGGAAAACTCCTGCGTACATCAACTGGCGGTATTGACCTGAAAGAACCTCATCTTTTGGTTTGTATTGGATATCCTTATTCTGGAAGCATTGGATATCACTTTGAGATATACTCTTCTGAAGAGATTCAAGAGATTCAATCCAAACTAACGGATCTCTCAGAGTCGCGACATATTTACAAGATCAATTCTGCACCCGAGGCATTCGTTGCGGGTGAATGGCTGGTTAGTACCGATGGGAATATTGAGGGAATCAAGCTAATTGCCAAAACTACTACGATTGATGATGCGGTGGTTCAAATCGTGCGGTTCAACCCTAGCACGTTTGAACAGATTGGTCAAGTTGAGCATGTTACTAGAGGCTTTATCTCCTACAAGCCTAGTGAGCCATACGAGTTTCCTGCTTCACAGAGCGTTGGAAATATGGTTCCTCAAGAGCCATCCAGACCAGTTCGAACTGATTTCAAAACAAAATGCAGCTCCAATGATTTCCCAGTGATTCTTTTGGTTAATTCTAAACCTCCACTTGCTGCAAATGTAGATCGTACTTTTATGGATCGTGACAATTTTACTTGTACAGTTGCTGTGTTCAATAAGCATAATGTTCCTGTGACCATTATGTCAGCTAGCTCCGAGTACCGCTTTATTGGCCAGTCAACCTATAAACCCTGTTTTGACACTGTAATGTCTGAAACAAAGTTCCCCGTCACCATTGCTCCTCGCCAATCTGCAGAGATTCAGTTTGTAGCTCATGTTCCTCGTTCCGAGGCAGATGCTGCTGTTACTGGAGTTTGGTGGTACAAGTCTATAGTTGCTCGTTTTAAGCCCCTTCGCATTCGATTCACTATCAAAGACTTGGAAGACAACCACGCATCCATTGTCATTGATCACGTCTTTTCCCCATACAAAAAAGACAAGCCATACAGCAACACCATTGCATCAATTGATTTTCATGACTGGGAAACTCAGCGTATCCAGTCAGTTAACGTATCCAAGGGAACCGGTGATTCATTCAGCATCAGCATCAATGACACGTCCTACAATGAAAACGAGTTGAACTGCTTGGTATACAAAGCCAAGAAACTTGGTATAACTGAATATGATTTGGGAAATTCTCGCGACTTTAATGATCGGTGTGTATTCAACTCGTACGCACTTGTGGACAGCGTTTGCCAGCGCGTTTATGGGTTCAAACTGACCATGACTCCACATGCGTCTGTTAAAGAAAAACTATTTGCATCTGTCCTGTATGTTCCTTGTCCAGATTATGGCTCCCTCACTGTTACACGCCCAAGAACCTACGCGGTTGAAAAAGTGGTTCTCCCTGAGCTGGATTTAATTCCAGAGCCAGACAATGTTTTTGATGACACTATAGATGATACTGTCGAGGCTCCTACCACCACTTCTACGGTTGTATCTGCTGGTATAGCCGGCGGAAATAGCACTGTTGGTATAGATGGTGCTGCAATAGGTGCGGCTGTTGGAACTGCTCTCAGCGAGCGAATGTCTGCCATAGAAGATAAATTAGAGAGAACTGCCAGTGCTCTTGAAGATCTTGTTGCAATTCTTAAGCATCTGGTTGCTACTACTGGCAATGCTTAAGATTGGGCAACCATGTGAGCTTGTCCTCAGGAATAAAGGATTGATTGTTGACGAATCAGAAAATATTTTTTCCACAACTTGTTGGACCATGCCATGTGCATTGCTTCTCTGCATGCACTATTTGGACTGACAATATACAAATGCTGGCTTTTGCCTACCTACTGTATCTCCGGGCCATTTAGTAGATTTTACATCGATGGTGGTTCGGTCGAAAGTTTGGTTACATTTATTGTTTAGAGTGCTGGGGGAATGCCATATGTAATATGTTTTGAAATAAAGTCTTGATGTTTGTCCTATGTTGACATCTAATGAGGATGAATACCAATGAATTGAATCGTATATGCGACTTGTGTTTGCATATTTCTGACTTGAGGATCCTACAGCAAGTAGAGTGCATTCCATTGTCAATTATGTAATCTATGGTCCTTTATAGTTGACAGTGCTGCTCTACAAGAAATAGTATATTGCTTGTGACAATGGTAAGACACTGTTCAAGCGTCAGCACCAACTTTAACAAAAAATGCATCTTGTGCTCTTGTTCTATCCATGTGTCAAAATGCATTACAACTGAAGACAAAAGGGATGAGAATGCAGAAAAAAGTATTCACGTCAGCTCGATTTCGGCATGTCAAAAACACTGATAGTATCAAACAGGCTGCTGTTGCAGTATTTCTATGAATCTCTGCAAAGCTGCACGATTGGTCTGGGTTGGGACAAGATGTGGATTTATTGGAACTGATCGAGCATTCATCCAGCTTTTTGTATAAAAATGGGCACGAAAAAGGAACGCGTGCCATGCAGTAGATTTAGTGGAAATTATCGCGTCACGAACTGATCGTTTATTACTCCTTCAGTAGTTCATTTCACATAAATACAACGGTGACTCAACCCACATTGCATTCATAAAATAAACTTGATCTGAAAGACACCAATTTAATAACTCCACAAGGTTGAATTTATTTGTAGAAATAACATACAATATAGTAAAGTTTATGCGGTTATACACTTTCAAATCAAATGTCTAGCTAATGCTTTTCCATAGCGCAACAAGTGATGCAGTCGTTTCTTCGGCAGATGGCACAATTTCTCCAGCTGACAAATCAAATCCTTCACTGCCACCTCCACGAAGCTCAAACGTAAACGCATACTTGGTGCCAAGAGAATAGGCGTAATCAACAGTCACACCGCTGGCTGGGTAGATCGTGGAACAAGTAGATCCAGTGGCAAACACTTGTCCATGAACAGCGTAAAGGGCATCGGCAGCAACTTTACTAGCTTTGACAAAATTACTGTAGTCGGGCTCGGGAACCTTCGTGCAAGTATATCCATATGGGAACAAGATCAGGTTGCCGAAAGAATGTATATCAATGTAAGAAGCTACATTTTTAACTTTTGCCATGTAACCAATCAATGCTTTGGCTTCTGCTGTCGAACCAGCAGACGATCCACGATAAGTCTCGGAGCATTCATCAAAAGAGTCCTTTTCAAATCCCCATTTGAAAGGGAAGTTGCGGTTAGGATCAGTGCCGACGCAGTTTGGGTTCTTGTTGGGTTCACGATTCTTACGCCACATACGATCGGTCGAGCGAGAGTATGCATATCCGTCGGGATTAAGAACTGGAATAACGGTAAATGTGTAAGTTTTGAGTAAAGCAACAGCATCGGCACTACCTCCAGTCAGATAGTGGGTAATATAAGTAGCAACGGCTGGTGTAATCCACTCACGGGCATGAATTCCACCATTAAAAACAATATTTTTGGAACCAGTGCCAAAAGTAAAGCCAGTAATGTCACGGCCTTCATATGTTTTTCCTAGCGAAAACTGAGTCACGCCAGGAAGACTAGCAATGAATGCAACAAGCACGCTCTGATCTTGGTAGTCGGTAAAAATCTCTTTTGCAGTAAGAGCGAGGTTGCCATCTCTGGCAAACAAGCTTGATAGCCTTTCCGAATTTTGTCGTGTACGAGCATACTCGACATCAATATTTTGCTGCAGGTTTTCGATCATGATAGAATGTGGAACACCTTCTAGCTTCGATATAAAGCGATCTTGAGACGAGGGAGCAACTTGAAGGTGTGCCTCTGATCCAATAGCAACCTTGTTCCAGGACTTGACTCCAAGCTGTATATCCTCGAGAATTTCGCGAATCAAGCCGGCTTCATAGTCGGACTCAATTTTAACCTTGTAGATCTTGTAACCGTCATACGACACAACAGTATAAATTGGAGTCGAGACGACGAAAGACGCAAAGGTCAACATTCCAACGAGCACCGACGAGATGAGCTTCATATTGCCAATAGTTGAATTGAATTAAACTGGATTGGATTGGATTGGATTGAATTGGATTGGATTGGATTGGATTGGAGTGCTGTAATGAATTATAAACGTTTTAAATCAGTCGTATTTATACAAAAATATTTCCAGTGTTGTAACGGTTGTATACTCATAACTGAGATTAGCTTTTACCAGCATAGCAACGCAAAGCATATAGATGGTTTAAAGTCTGGGAAGCGTGTAAAAGCATATTATACCATTTTGCTCTATCAAACGTATGCCATGATAGTATTTTGAATGTATTAGTATTGATTCATACCGTTCAACTCTTGAATTGCTTTGAATAGTTGATAGCGTACCACTCAATACAGTGCCACACTTATCAGGTATATGATATGGTCCAGCTAATAAGCATTTGTGACCCATTCGTACCATATCGGACAATGGAATATTAGTCGGGTAAATGTAGCCATGCGTTGTGATCTTTGATAAACAGATCAGCTTTACTCAAAGTATGACCATTAAACTCGCTGCTGAGTCGACCAAAGCATCAACTGCAAGTATATCTGACTTCAAGTACGAGCACAGCATTTACTGGACTGGTCAGAGCGAGAGCGGTCATCAAGATATTGGAATTCCATTACTTGAGCTTGTATTGATTGTCAGTTCCAAGCATATGGTCATCACATCAATTGCCATCTCTGATAACACCGTTCACACTTTGCTTGAGTATTGCTTTATTAGTCTATTGTCAATCATGTGCACGTCCAAAGTATAAAGCATATGTAACCCAACAGCCACCAATGCTTTGACATGATTAGTCAGACTGGATGCTTGCTAAACTCGAGGTACTACTTGTTGATACCGTAGCACAATGGCAGTGAATCATTTGAAATGCAGTACAATACCAGTTGGCCAGCTGATTTGAGTAGCAAATAATAGGTTGTCATCACCAGGCTTCAACTCATGCCAAGATATAGGTTTGTAAGCCAATAGCATAAATAAACTTCAATAGACAAATGGCACTGTTTATTTGGGGTTCCCGATATAAGTGGTTCGAATACCCTCTTTGCTTTCAAACTGCAAATAATTGGATCAAATATATTAGCCATCAGTGTGTAGCATTAGGACATCAAAACACGAATATACCTTGTTGTTGACAGCATATAGCTTGATGTTTTGGTCTTGAGCAACATTAAGCCATGGGAATCTTGTTGCAAATATTTGAGCATCAAGAGCAGATGTACATGGAATAGATCTAATATGTAGTGCATAGTTTTTGAACAATGACGGATTATTTCAAGTAAACTACTGATAGTTACAGCCGTATTCACGTATAGTGAAACACTAGAGTCGGAGTATATGATAAACAGCCTGATATTTGGTGCCAATTTTACTGAGAAATATTGTTTTTTGGACTCATTAATTCACTGATCTTGTTCATTCATGTACAAAAATACAGACTGAATTTCCAATAACAATGAATATGTAACGATTGTTTATTCCAAAACAATCATTACAAGATCAATACAAGTGCCATTTTATATGAATACGACTGTAAACGTTGTTAGTAGATTTTGAGTTAATCCACTCTTATATTACGTGGAATATAACACTGCTTATATGATTGAAAATGTTCAATATATAATTATTGCCATGATCTAGTGTATAATATTGGCAGAACCAATACAGCATCGTATTCAATAACGTTAGAATCAAGTGAGTTTGAATTTTGTGATTTGGTTCTTGCACCAACTACAGACAATAATGGTACGAGAGATTATTACTCTACAGCTGGGTCACGATGCAAACTTTGTGGGCACTCACTACTGGAATACCCAGGCAAGATATTAGTATAGACTAGATTTGCATACCCATAATAATTACTATTGACTGATCATTGCTAGTCACTGACAACTACCATTTGGTCCATGGAGTAGGCTAAATATCTTGAATCAAAGGATAGTGAGTTTAACCAGGAAGTTCTATATCGCACTGGAGAAAACTACAAAGTAAATAGGCTAGCACTGCGTTGTCTGATATAATACTCGTTGAGACTTGATATCTTGACATTCTGCACCAGTGATGTGTTGGGATGAGTTGGGTTGATGTTTGGTAGTAATCGAGTCTAATAAAAATGACTTTGCTGATGATCTGATTATACTTTTGTATAATATTAGGGAGAGCAAACGTACACTCCAAGACTTGTTATATGTGATTTGAAAGGTTTGAACTGCTGTCGAGATCATTTCAAAAAATTTGATCATTGAAAGTACCGCACTATTTGGAATTGCCATTAGTTTATTGGTTTAATCCTTAATGTCTATGTAGGTAGTCTAGGAACATTGAGACATGAGAGTGAGCTATATGAGCCCACAGAAGGCAGTCGACAAGCCCACGCATGGTAATGTTTCATTTATGCTTTCAACAGTTTAAGCCATTTCTAATTCATTGCACCTATTCAACTGTTTCTGCAATCAGGACTGGAAAAATGGAGCTGTTTGAATCAGATCCAATTAAAAAAAACCAATATCTACAGTCTTTGGATACCCCTGATGTAAGATATACGTGTGACTTTGGGTCCTGCATTTATAAAACGTGCAAACTTATATTTTATTGGAATTTCAATTTAGGGCGAATTTAAACTGTCGTATGCTGGAGACCTCTCAAAGAATGTCAAAGTATGGTCAGACTTCAACTCCTTGTATTATCATCCAACGACCGTTTACGAACTCACTACACACACTCATGATGATGAGAACAATCGATTTTTGTTACCTACACGCGGTAGAGAGGTGTATCAGGAGCTAGCAATGGTAACGATTGCGTATCACATGTTCATGACAAGTTTATATGATGTTGATGCTCATCTATTGAAATTTGCTGTAATTTTCAAACCAAATCTTGTCAACTGTTAGGATGAAACGTTGATGGATGTAAGGATTAGGCAATTTATGGAAGAGTCTGACAACCCTCAAGGATTTCAAATATTTGCCAATTCATTTGATGGATTTTCTGGAGTTGCAGCCGCAACTTTGGAGTACCTTGCGGAAGACTATCCCAAAAAGGCTCGAATTGTTTATGGGATTGCTCAACCCAAAAGCACAAGTTTATCCAAGGTGGTTAATGCCTCTGTAGTTTAGATAAGGTGTGTTTTTTGTCAAATCAATCACGGTTTTGCTAATTTTACAACATTGGCTTGATGATACACTACTGGATTTTAGGAGCAAACACTTGTTCAAAATATCAATCAGGCTCTGACACTCAAGTGCATGTCAGAAGAGAGTACTCTTTATATTCCGATGCGAGCTCCAAGTGTTTTAAAATATGGCCATGGAGTCTGGCAGTCCAATCTCCGCAAACACGTAATCCTAGTTTAAATAGAACTGCTTTGCCTGCTATACTCTATTTCAACAGACTATTTAAGCATTTCTGATTTTATTTTTTAGGAGAATATGTACGAATGGAGTGGATATCTAGCTGCAGCGATTGAAACAGCCACATCTCCATTTAGGTAATGAGCAAGTTTGATGAATTTGTAGATTGACTGCTACAGTTATAGGATCTGATTGCATCTGGATTTGAATCTTCTGTAAACTTGGTAGGTTGACAAATGCATTTCGACTTGACATGGCAGATCTATCTGGGTTACTCAATCCGCATGCATTCAACTCGACAACTGCGCTGGCATTTGGATTACCACTTTCGCTTCCTCAGTCTCGCGACACTTCACTTGCATCCATTTTTAAAGCAGATGAAAAAATGAATCGTTTTGAATCTGCTTGGGATCTTACACTTGAAACACCTTATGATCAAGTAAGAACCTACCATCACAGTACGATGATATCAGAGCAGATAGTATAGATTCAAAATGACTAATTCCAATGATATTAGATTGATCGCACGTCACATTGCTCTTTTTCTGTATTCCGAGGAATTGCATCAATTCTACAGCATCAATATCCTAGTCTGAATGGTCTTCAGTAAGTGTTTATTTCAAAAACGTTGACATGTATGCCGTCTTTTGTGTGAAACTTGTATATTGATTGTGCTATTCTTTGTGCGATATCAGACCATATTCTATCACCCAAGTTACGGAAGAATTGACCAATTTTACAAAGCGTTACGGACCAATGCTTGCACAGAGGTTAGTTTTTTTATCTGTTGGTAGTTTTACCATCATCCAAGCATAATATATCTTGCTTTAAATAATCTATACTTTTGAACCTGCAAATCAAATAACAAACTCAAACTATGTTGGAAATGGATTGAATTCAATGGAATTAGTGCTATTATACAAACTCCTTTTATAGTCGGGCCTACATTTCCACAATTTTTTGGACCCATGGTAACGACCACGGGATTGATTCGGCCAACCAGTCCAAAAGACACGGATCAAATTGGACAATCTGAGAAAATGTTGACTCCAGAGCCAGTGACTCAATGTGCATCGTATGCTCGTCTGCACTCTGGGTCGGCATTAAAGCCTTTGTTTGAATTTGCTGTAGCATCATTGAAGGTTTCTTCATTAAACAATTGGGTATATACCGACTACACTCATGGTCAATTCGGACTGGACCGATCTGACTTTGAATCTAGTAGGGAAACGCTGCAAGAATTGTGCGATGCTTATGGCGAGAGCGTCGATTATGATGATTCTTTTTCTGATGACAACTAAAACAGCTCAGTCTGACTGCTATACAATCCAAAAGTATCTGCGATAATAAATTTACTACATATTGTCACGATTCAACCCAAAGTGCCAAAATAATCCAAGTGATATCCAATCACTGCTTCATTCCAATGTCATTTAATCCTTATTTTTCTTTTTCGAAGACTTGCTTGGAGTAGATTTAGAAGCAGAGCTTTTGATAGGTTTAGGTGAAGGTGGCATTTGACTATCTTCAGTTTCTTGAGCAATTTCCTTGCTCTTAGAGTCACTAGGAGAAAAGAAATCGGCCAAGTTTTTGCTAATATTAGGCATCTCCATACTGGGAAGCTTGGGTGCATCTGGGTTGTTTTTATACTCCTAAGTGTATTCAAATCATAGTAGAATGTTTAGTTGATAAAATTAAAAGGTAGCAATGAATCTGCCAAACACCAATTCAATCAAAGTAAAAATACTCGCACCTCGACGGCCTCTCGATCAACGCTAGCTTGAATTTTGGGCAAAAGGAAAAAGAGTAGCATGGTACCCCCACTCATAAGCAGCATAGGATTAGCAAAAATAGACATGATGCTAAACCCTTCACGTTGCTAAACAGATATAATACGACAGTCTAGTTATTGTTGCATCAAAGTGGATAGCAAGTAGATGAAAGGTGCCGTATACATACTCTGAAAAAGTTGAATGAACCGAGCGGTTCAAGAACAAGTGGAATATCAACAAATTTCCCATGGACTTCCCATCCTTTTCCGGTTTCTGTGATGGATGCGCGAACTATTTTACCATTTACATCCAGCCTAATCTACAATTATATAAATGATCCATTAAAAGAATAATTCAGACTGTTGATTTGAAAACCACACAATCCACTGTAAAACATCAAATGCAATTAAGCAGCAGATATTGAATCCCCTTGCATAGTCAAAATAGAGCATTAATATGCATCATCTCACTTTGGGAAAATTATATTGCAAGCACAACACTTGCAGCAAATGCGATCCATCACGAACGGCCGGACTAAATGTACATCAAATTCAGTCTAATATACAAACATACATGATGAAAACAACAGCATTAAACAAGACGCTTACAAATTAAAATCGCCTGACTCTGTCAAATAGCTGGTATACTCGCCATGATTGATTACCACCTTTGTTCCGACTGGAAGATCTGCCACATCTACAGAGTTGCATATACTTTTTAGTTAGTACTCGATATGTACTGTGTTAAAGGCTGGATCATTTCTGATCGAAGCAGCATATGCACCAACGACTGTTTAAAATAAAAGTCGTATAATCTAGAGTAGAGCCGTCAATGATGGCCCATTCACAGTGACAGCGGATTAAAAGTGTACCTTGCATGACCACATTTGTAGCAATCCGTCCTTTGAGACCTGCACATAAAGCAACCGAGCTAACATGACAAAGTGGTGTTTCGACGCATGCAGTAGGTAAACCAAGCGTTAATCCCAACTGACATGACCTTCTATTGCTCATACAGTCAAATGACGGCCAAACACTCACCAAAACAGAGCCAGCTGCACTAACAAAAGAATGACCATCATGGAGTTGTTCAAACTTTAAAGATGTTGAATTATTTCAATGTCAAACAGAATCAAATCTAACTCGATATTTATTAGCCATTCGTCGAGCAGTCAGTTGTCTGTGAAGAAAGGACTGGCTTCTGCAAGCATTGCTGCTACACGAGCTTCTTCCTCGACTCGACGAGTATTCTTGAGTGCACGTTCGCGCTCGGCCTGTTTCTCGGCCAACTTGAGCATGGCACGCTGTCGGTTGGAATCGATGATTTCCTTTTGTTTTAGAGCCAACTCTGCATCTGATGCAGAGTTGGAAGTGAGATTAGAGGTTGTTGGAGTAGATCCTGATTCTGGCAGATTCAATGTAGATCGCTTATATCTAGGTTGATCGGATATTAATGATTTGGTTGGGTTTCTACTTGGAGCCGTATTTTCTGTATCTTCATCGGAATCAACAATAGCATTTTTGCGGCGCTTGAGAAGCAAGCTTTGAGAGACTGGTATTTGATCATCAAGATCTTCTGTCAAATCAAGAGATGGATCTTGAGCAATTGTGTTGGCAAAAGCTTCGGATTCAGCTGCTCTCTGTAACTCCAACTCTTCATAGATATCAGCATTTGGGTCGACACGAATATGATCCTCACAATCGTCATCAGAAGTCTGCTCTGCTTGACTGTCATAATCTGCTTCAATGCCATGAATACCCAGCTCTTTGCGTTCCTGATTCTTCATCAACTGCATCATAAACAGCTGATAAATCCGTACAAGATTTATCAGCAGCTAAAAGTGCAATGTAGATCAAAAAAGCATAGCTGCTCACCTTCATTCGCCTCTTTTTGCAAACATTCTCGGTACGCTCAATAAATGCTCCAAACTTGAGTTTTGGGTAGACTTCTAGTCCCCAGATCTGATACATTTTGAGTAGTCGTTCCAGATTCTTCAACTGTTTAAAAATATGAATCAAGAGTCAAAAGAATAAAACAGCTTAGTCATTCCATAATTTTTATAAATACAAGTGTCTGACAGCTACATTAAATGCATGCCTATGCAAAATAACGTACACTACCTCGGATCCTTTGCCACCAAATCTCATTTTCTTGGCACACTTGAGCAGTAATGGAAGTCCAGTCGGACTCAGTAATCTCTCTTCGTCGAGTTTGGCACGGACACGAAGAGGGTTTGTCATGAGAGATGAGTCGTTTGTAGCAGACACATTGCTACTAGTTCCTCCATTTGTTTTTTGTTGTGGAGTCGGCAGTAGTGGAACGGTAGGCGGTGTTTCAATATTGGTGCGAGTAGTTGATCCCTTTGAATGAAATGGCAAGACTGGTGATTGTCGGGCTGCTTGCATTTCTACTTTGGCTTGCTGGATAAACTGATTCATCGATATATCTTCTGGAAGCTGAAAATGGATAATTCATGGCATCAACACTTTTATAGAATAATGTTTTGTAACAAATCAACAATATACTGACCTGTGGAATATTGTCCAAGTCATCAAACATCATGGCCAAGTGTGCTGCCCGATTAATGAAATTGGTTTGTTTTATTTTAGTAAACGTTCAACACACTCGTGTCCGAACTGGAAAATCGAATCTTGAATATTCATGAATAATCGATCGTCTATTTCAGTAACAATCATTTTCTGATTTTACACAAATTCTCGAGTTTTATTATCAATCGATTTCAAGCTTCAAACATATTTTACATGTCAGTCCAACTTACATATTCTCATGAGCTTAAAGGTTAACACTATTGCAAAGTATTAAATTCTGTTGAATGGTTTTGGAAAAATGAGCGTACGCATCTAGTTGGATACTTGCTTAAACCATGCATGCATATCATGTTGTGTGTAATAAAATATGTGACCATTTCTTTTGAATCGACACTCATGATGATGTTACAGCCAGAGCGTGTCGGTTTAATCCAATATTTGTAAATGTGATCTATTTTCACGTGAGTATCACGAGACTTGAAGTGCTTTTTGAACTTGAACAAAAATAGTCGTTTACTTGCAAAATGACAAAGTTCAAGTTAGTGTTCAGGTATTGCTGAATCTACAGTGCCATGAATATGCCTTTAATACTATTTCTAATCTGCTAACTTGAATTTGGTTTTTTGACTCAAATACCACTGGATTCATCAACTATTGTAGTGGCTTTAATTCTGTCACGGCAGCTGATGCAGCTCCTACAGACCGGATGGAATTACCGGATAATAATAAAAGCCAAAATTCATTATACCAACAGTCACAGCAAGAGTCAGTTTCAACGACGTCTCTGCCATGTATACCCAATCAAGCCATTTCAACTCATACTCTTCAAAATTGTGCATCTACACCAATCTTGCATAGACAATCCAAGCCAAAAACCATTCAAAGCACAGTATCTCCATCTACAAAAACTGCAAAGTGTCCAATTTGCGGATATCTCTTTTTCGAAGTCGACCTGCCTGCTCATTATAAACTCGAGCTGTCGACTATAGACAATAATCCATATACTCAAGACTCGTTAGCATCACATACTGAAAGGCATGATCATATTTTGTTTATTGCAATGCATTACTTGGTGATCCCTTTATAGAACAGCTATTCTGATACTTTTATACTTGTATGTTGAACATGTAATGCTGACTCTTTTGTGAATCCGAGTTTAGATCAAAACGAGGAGCAGCAGTTGCTGCAATGAGCAAGATTCAGGATAAACCCAAAGCCTTGTCGCTGGTGGATGAAAATGAAAAGGTATTTGACCAACATCATTTTATAGCGACTTGTGTTGAACTATTCATAATATACCTGCCAGGTTGGTGTTTTGAAAATTTAAACATATATTTAATTGGGCTATAAAAATAGAATCTTCAGCGAGTTCGTGTAGAGCGCATTAAACGCGGCACTAGCCGTGGAGGCAGTTTATCATCTAATCATTCAAATCGCAAACGGCAAAAGGGCAGTCTGCACAATCAGCAACTATACAATGATACTTATGACAACCACCCAGACGAGTCTATTTGCTTTATCTGCGGTTGTCTTCTTCCTCGAGGAGCTGCACTAATCAACGAGCATTTGGATCGCTGTTTAGTAAATGGGACTCAGTCTGAATCTATTTTGGGATCTGGGATCCCAAATACCAATGATTCACTGACTGCAGTAGAGTCGCCATCTGGTTCCAAGTCTTGGCTAGAGTATTCATGGGGAGGCCAGACTCGTGTTCGTGCGACTGCGCTTTTAGAAGGAAATTTTGAAGGTGCAGTGGGGTTTTAATCTCTGGATTGGACTGGTGATTAGCTTGTTCTTACCGTGCATTTTTTCATTGTGTTGTACTTGTAGCAAGCGGCTTTACTGTAAACAAAAAGGAAAATGTAGATACTGAAGAAGATATTGATATTGACGAGGACGGCACAGATGAATTTGGTATTCCCCAATTCAATGAAGATGATATTAAACCATACATGGATGCCGAGGTAGATATAGATGGCGATGGTCCTGAACCAGATCTATTATTGGCAGAGGCTATTTCTGCGTCATTGCATGCGCCTCCTGTTTTACAACCATCTGGATCAGATCCAGTCAACACTATGGATACTGGTTTTGAATCGAATCATAGCAAACTTGTCATAGAATCACTCAAAGCTCATATTAGAGAACTTGTAAGCATGTGTTGTACTTGTATGCTTGCATATTGTTTTCATTTGCCTGATCTCTGTTTAAATCATTTAGGAACTTTCTGCAATCAAAGTGCCCAAATGTCTAATTTGTATGGATCCATACATTGAACCACTTGCATCCACAGTTTGCTGGCACGTTCATTGTCAAGCATGCTGGCTACACACATTGGCGACAAAGCGGTTATGTCCTCAATGTCAAAAGATCACATCTCCAAATGATTTACGTCGAATATATTTGTAAAATTAAATAACAATAATAATCCAGAGTTGTTTTACAACTGTATTCACGTAAATGAAGTACTTTATCTTGCAGTGATTACCTCGAATAAACAATGATTACATATTCATTATAGTTATTAGAAATTGATTGCTTCTTTCACCATACAATCAGAATATAATTTTGAACCAAGATGATTCTTTTCTAACATACATTGTACGATTGTCAAATTCATCCGTCGCAATCCAGATATTGAATTCGATTCTTGTCAAGTCTGTAAACTCCAATATTTTAAAATATCAGATACGATCTAGTTCAAGAAAACAGAGAATATAACAGTAGTTTCCACTCAAGACCAAGAGATTGGCCAGCCAAAGAGTTTAAACCAACAAGTGGAAATTGTCATGAAATTGCCATAAAATTGGCTGTTTATCACTCTTATTTAGCGATCCATTTTACGTGAATACAACAGCAAGAATGATTGTAGTCAAGGCGACTGTTATCTGCAAGGACAACTCCACAGAGATCCGCAGGCTTCCCATGTCTCGTCTACCTGGAGAGTTGACATATGACGAGGTGAATCTATTGCTTGCTACATGGAACACTCTAACCTTTATATTTGGTAGTTCATGGACTAACCTTGTCTAAACAGCTGTGCATTATGCTTCACAGACTATTCAAGAAGCACATCCCCAGTATTGACAACCTTGTTCTCAAATACGCTGACGAAGGTAAGCAGTGTATTGTACTACTCAACGATGGCAGTTAAAGCTTAAATGCAACTATTCATGGGTTTATTCTGGATTATGATGCTATTAGATGGTGACAAGGTTTGTTTGGAGAGCGATCTAGGTAGGTTTACGTTTATGAGTGTCTTATCCCTGGTCGAATGCTCATCAGCTGGGATAATGAGCGTGCTTTCAAAATATACTGCAAGACAGTGCATTGACCAACTAATCCGAATGTACAATTGATTGCTTTGGAATATATGGTTTATTATAGATATTACGCATGCTTTATCTCAAAACTCTGTACTGCGAGTGCATGTATTTGGTGAGTTTAGAGCCAGCCATGTTTTATTATGACAGATTTACTAGTGTGAATATCAATCTAATTCTTGCATTGATTATTAGACAAGACTAAGCCTAGCCAAAGTCAAGATGTGGTTTCCTCCGAATTAGAAACCATCAGTTCTGACCAGCGTCGCTCATTGATCGATGCTGTTGCTGATCTGCAAGTACGCATTGATGGTCTCACCAAGGTGTTGGCTGAACAACTTGGACCAGCCAAGGGGTTTGACTCGGATTCTACTCGTTTGGATGGTGGTGTGACAGGTGACAAACAGCAGTTCAAAACATCAGATATTGGTAAGATTAGATACACTGCCATTTAAACTTGTTCATTATACTGACATTGAGTTGCGACTCTTGAATTGGTTATGGAAACCAGCAGAGTTTCTTTCTCCGACATTGCATACACCTTCAACAATATATTCGAACCCTCAGAGATCATCTACTATTCCGCGATCAGCATCGACATCCAACACGCATCCAATGCAGAATCAATTGTCTTCTATTACTGCATCACCCTCACAAATCCAGACACTGAATATTCCTCAACCGCAGCAACTGCAGCAAATGCATTACCCATCTTCTCAGATCCAGCAGCCACCTCAACAGCAGCAACTGCAGTCCTCTCAACAGCCAGTGCACGTCCATCACACTGGTCCTCAATTGCAGCAGCTTAATTACCCCCAGCACTATCCCGTGTATACGCCTGGTTCATATACTTCGCAACAGCAGTACTACTCTGCAAACGGGCAATCCATACAGCCGTCGCAGCAGGTTTCTCAGCAGCAAACATCGCACCATTTGGCACAACAGCATCTTCCCCAACCACAACCTCCATTTCGAAATACTCAATAGGAATATATGATGAAATGCTATTGAGTCATCTTTAGATGAACCATTCCAGTTTAACTGCGTTTCTTATTCTATTGCACCAATAAATCGAATTGCGCGCTGATGCTGTTAATGCTTCGAGATTGCATGTCAAGTTTGTAGATTTATAAAGTTCAACATTAACATTTGTTGGATTCACTTTAATTGGTTTATACCAAGACCGTATGCCTGAACTAGGATTAACACTCAAAAATGCACCACTATTCACCAACTGCATGACATGGTCAAAACATGGTCAAGCTGCCATCACAGTATCCAACGACATACATATTGTCACTCCATCACTCACGGAGAAAGACTGCATGGCTCTTACTTCGCTCACTATAAACCATCTTACTTTAAATATTCCTTCAGTACCGAGAGGATTGGTTGCAAGTCAACCCATTCCCATGATTTCACCTGCTAGTTGCCAAGACGGTTTGTAAATCGCCAATGTTAATAAATTCTATTCAATTACAATCGCATTAGCAAGCGTCAATGTAAAAATATAATGATCGACACTCTGATCAAGTTTTTGATACTGTTAGTCATTGGAAAACAGACTCATAGAGGATTGATGCTCAACTACTCTTTGCCTGAATCGTTTCGTTGTGCAGTGTGGTCACCACTCGGACTATCAAAAACTTTTACGCAAGTAAATTGCTATTTGACAACTTACGAGTTGATTGCGGATTCAATCTATTCCTTGTCTGGGTTTTTGTTGATGTACTAATCTCATTTCTTAATACTAGGTGTCTGCTATTGGTAGTAACTACGCATTTTCGGGTATCGCTTGTTCAAGCAATAAATGATCCTGCAACGGGCGAGTGGGCGTGTGTAGGTTCAACATTCACTAGTGTTTATCACGTTATGGAATCGTTCTACACCCTCAAACCAAGCTGCTATGTTTTGCTAATCAAATATTTTGTAATATTTGGACTTAGGCTGCAGATATGTCAGAGACTGTTACAAAGTACTATACTGAAAAATGTCCCGATATAGCTGTTTTACATGTTCAAACAATTTCTGCAAGTTGGTCTGATCGTGTCGGTCCTCAAAACGTATCATTTATTGCATTGGGAAGTGAAAGTGGAGCAGTATCTGTATGGAGGTAATGACTCGAATTTTATCTGATACAAGTGTACATTGATTTTAAATAGTATCATTACCCATTTAAATAACACAGGTTTGATTCACTTGACGAGATTAATCCATGTTTATGGTTTCAAGCATGCAAATCTCGTATAACGACTACAGAATTTTCTCAATGGATCGAATCAGCACACAATTCATCCATTGTACAACTTGCAACATCGACAGTGGATGGAAGTGTGCACATACATCAAATTCAATATGAACACGATACAAAAGAAATAATTTTACTTGGTAGCAGATGTGTGCTAGATCCTGGTTCCGGGCTAGTTACAGTCTGTCGGTTTTCTCCTTTTGTAGATAAAAAGTCGTTTTTACTCATGGTTGGCCGAGGACGATGGATTCATTTGTGTACTTTGGATCAGGCGTCTACCTCTCTACTACTCCCTACATGGGAATCCATATCCAGTAAGTAGACCATCAATCAACTGGAATGATCTGATAAATGCAGGTTTGAAATACATGTGATTGAATAGCCTTTAATATTAAAATCTCATTGGCTGATAACAGGCATTATATGGACTCGCGACCCAAGCTATCTCCGTATCTATACTACAGATGGAAAATGTATTGCTGTATCTATTGTACAATCTGATATTGATTTGAAATTAACACCTACAATCGTTCAAGACCACTCCCATGCACTGCTCCTTGAATCTTTTCCCTATGTTCAAAAAGTATCAAATGACGTTGAAACTATGGTTGAGCACTCCAAAGCATCACATATTGAAAACACCGATATAAACAATGATGATGACGACATGAGCCAATTTTCAGAGGATTTGCCAATGGGTAGTCTTACCGATCGATTGAGACTGCAGGTATTCGGTGCAGCACACTCTATGTATGGATATCAAGATATCGTGTTGATTATGTATGTGTTGATGTTATGCAATGTTACTTTTTATTTTGATATCCTGGTAGTAAAAGTATCTAACTCGGCAGTATATGCCTGAGTATGCAATAGTTGCGATGCTCGTATTTCACAATTGTACAAGACTGACACTCGTTCCATATCAAATGCTATAATCTGGACACCTCCTGATACCTTTTTTCAAAATCGTCCAATTCAAGTCACGCCCGAGTCTATTGCAATGCTTGTAGATCCTAAGCAATGTAATCTATATGTTTGGTGTGCAACATGCACATTTTTGTAAGCTTTCTGGCAGCAAGACACTAATCTATTGTATATAACGTACCACATATGCTGATATATAGTCGAAATATCAACACCACAGTGTAAAGCATGGGGAATGATACAAGAAACGATAGGTGAAGGTGTCAAAATGCTAACACTATCAGACTCTCTTGGTTTTTTTTCGATTATTCAATACCTGGAAAGTACTTATATAATGGCTGATCATCCAACAATGTAAGTGTATACAAAACCATGATACGCATTCAACACTGATGGTGTTTACAAATGAGCGTGTCTGTTTCAAAGAATGATTTGATGCTGATCTACTTGCAATGTCGCAATATCATCTCAATGTACTTTTGAATATTAGAGATGGCATAGAATCATTGTTTAATGATCCAGGAATAAACGCACTTCGAGCCATTGTAAACATATTGAGTAGCACGTCTCAACTATGGATGATTTCTCCTGACGCAGAAAGCATTAATGAATCACTGGTTGCCAAAATCCACACACTATGTGGACACTACATTCAAAGTTTTGCCATATCCACTAAATTCCTGTACGACCAGTTGACAGGTATGCCTCATTTTATTTACAAATTAGTCAGTATATATGAACATGTAGGAGTTTAATTTTAATTGTATCTCGCGTGGTAATAATAGATGTGGATATCCAGCTTGCTCGCCATATTTTCAAAGTGGCAGTTAGCTTTGCACATGATAGTCAAGCCGAAAATACTGTATCGTCGACTTCAAATACGATTGACATATTCAAATTAGTTTTAGGTGATGATGTAAGCACTGATGATGATTTGAAAGCAGGATTGGTAGAAGCATGTCCAGCTTGTGAAAGTCCTATACCTGTCGATGATACTGCCATTAGTCAACCATGCGTAAATGGGCATGCATGGGGTAAGCTGATTAGATTGTTCACCAATTATTTTTTATCAAGTCATTTATTTTACAATATTTATTCATCTAATTGATGATGTGGGTTAGGACGATGTGCATTGACGTTCAAGCTGATTGGTACACCGAATATTATATCGTGTTTGGGATGCAAGCGTGGACAGCTTTGGTTGGACCCAGAAAAAGGACCGTTACATGCAGCTATTCATTCGATTGAAATGTGTATTTACTGTGGCGATCGATTTCGTGGACCTAATCTTGCATTAATTTAACATGTCTTTTCAACCCCTAAACTCACTCAGTGTATTAAATATCCAAACGTACTTGCCATTTGAATTATGAATCATTATATTTTTAACGCATGGTTTGGCAATGTTTTATCAAAATATTTGGCTGGCCTTGAATGCATAGTTTAAATTTGAATATTTGCAAGTGCAATACGACTCAATTGAAAGTCTTCAAGTCGTTTTGCATTCGCATCAGAAAGTGTGATATGGTCATTGTCTTTCCATCTTTGACTTGCCATTTCAAGTTTTTTGGTCATCCGTCCTAGTGTTTCCTGTAACATTTTGCATTTGTGAAATAATATATAAGCATGCCAAGCTATCATGTTTTTGAAAGTTTGAAAAAGCAAGAATATAGTACATTCAACATGGCTTCAAACTCGTTTGTCATGTATGTCATTTTCATGTTCTGTTCTTCGATCAATGCATCTTTGTCCATCATTGTCGCCTCATATATTCGTTTTTCCTCAGAATAGGTATGCTGGGTATAAGCTAGATTTTCCATAAGCACAAGAGTTGAACCATTTAGCTTTGACAAATTTTAGATGAAAATAGCAAGCTTTCAAAGCTAGATGACGTACCCAGTTTTGACTTTAGATCCAATACTTTTTTCTCCAATGATTCTATTTTGGTCATCATTTCCGACTGCATAGTCTTGTACTGCCGACTCATATCTACTCATTCATCATATTGTAATTTTTTTAAATTTTGAATTAATGATTCACCCAACAAGCCATGCAAACACATGAATCTTACCTGATGACAACTCTAATCGATCTTGTGTTCGCATTTCAAGAAGATTCTCTAATCCATTGATTTTTTGTTTATGCTCAGTGAGTTGCTGTCGTAGCCGGACATTCAAATCATTTTTCATTTCTGAAAATGAAAAATACAACATGTATATTAGCTTTTGATACAACTGAATGTTGAATGCATAACCAAGATGGATTTAAAAAAGCATGAAATGAACGATTCTAACCTATTTCGTACTGTAGCGATTTCATTTCAAGGTTTGCTTTGAGGAGCTGGTCTTCCAAACTCATTTCAATCGTGTCCGCTAAATAAAATTCAACAAAAATTCAAAGCAGAAGTTAGACTTAAACCCAATGCTGTATCATTATCAATTAAGTTTAGTTTAATCAAAAACTATTTTGGGATTGGGTGAGTTCAAGAAGTGCTCATTGATATAAAGTCGCCATGTTCAATGGACTAGTCGCGAAATGGCGACATCTTGAAAATATCTTGCTGCAACAGTATGGAAGCAGTCAATGAATTCATGCAATGCTTTAAGAAAATAAAAAATAAAACTGCATACCCAGCTCAGGAGCAGACTTTTCAGTCTTTTTCTTTGCAGACCCAGACTTTTTAGGAGGCATATTCAAGGTTGAGTAGCGTAAAAGATTGGCACGAAAAGTAAAGTCAATTCCACGTGACTTGAAGTGCTTGAAAACATGAGCCAAACTTGAACAAGATGGCAGAATTATATTGACATTGACCGTTGGGCATAATCTAAAACTATTTGAAAAATAGTCTTGAAAACCATTAAACTACTTTTCTGTGACATGGCAGCTTACATTGGGGTCACTGTTGCTATTGTTAAACTACTTTTCTGTGACATGGCAGCTTACATTGGGGTCACTGTTGCTATTGGTAACCTAGATTTGCTCTCTTGACTACTCACATGCCAAACTGCCTTGAGTTTTGAATATATTTATCGCTGTAACTGGACTATATCACCATGCAAGCTTCAATATTGATAGTCTGTTATGGGTAGTGCATTACACTAACTGGATTGTTTTTTTGGAATATTCCGCATTCGTTATTTTACAAAACTATATCTGGATGGCTGCAATGATCGATCATTGAATCATTGTTTCTTTCGACCTTGCTACTAATCAAGCCGGAAATATATGTATTTCAGTAGCGCTTAATATCCAAAAACATGTGCACAACAAGCTAGCAGAGCGAGCTATTGCTTTGGATACTGCAAGTGACAGCAACACCACCATTGAGGAGAATACTGGAGGTGATGATGCCACAAGACATCTGTCTTGTCCTTCAGGACATGTGGAAGAAATCTGTAATTACCGCTTGATTACTGAACAAAATAAGCACAGCTTGGATGCAGATGGCAAAAATGACCTTTGTAGTGGGAACCATGATAGTACCAATAGTTTGATGGGCCGTAATCGAGCAAAAGCAGAAACCGCACAAGCATGTTCGAATCGTGGCTTATCAATTCCTTTCAATACCAATAACTATGGTGCTTGTGATTCAGAAGAAACTAGCAGCCAGGAAGAAGACAATGACTGGCTTGCTCGAAAACCCTTTATGCAAGGCCCATCTACACTAAATCCGTACAACTTTACACCAGCTACTCAAGGATTATCCTTGTCACTGCCATCGTCGTGTGTACTGCAATCTATAACCATACCACCAATACCCACCGCTTCATCCTCGTCTCCCTTGCTTTGGCCGCATATTAGACAGGTGTTTGATAGATCAATCAACAATGGCGATTCATCCATGACTTGTGAAGGACAGCGCGTATTCAACTATGAAAATAACGTGGACTATGTCAACGGATCAGATTTACTAGTCTCTAACCCATCTCATTCTTATAGACTTCAAAATAGCCAATCTAGCCATGCACCTGGAACCTCGTACTTGAGTGAACGGCTGTGGTGGGTAGGAATGGCAGTTATGCTTCTTGGCGAACTGGGAAATTTTGCCGCGTATGGGTTTGCACCAGCAGTTTTGGTTGCTCCATTGGGCACTGTTGCATTGATATCCAATGCTCTTATTGCGCCTGCTTTTTTAGGTGAAACGCTGCGTAATCAAGATATAGTTGGTATTCTATTTGCTGTCCTAGGCACGGGAATCATTTTGGCTGTTAGCAGTCAAATAAGCGAGCCAACACTTTCAGCAGATGATATTGTTGCTGCCTTGACTCAACCGCAATTTGTACTCTACTGTATTGTTACTGCAAGTATCCTTAGTGTCATGCTTGCCATCTCGTACACACCTTATGGTCGCAAATACATTTTTGTAGATTTAAGCATTGTAGCATTGTTTGGCGGATACACCGTACTGGCAACAAAAGCACTTTCAAGTCTGCTAAAGATGTCCTTTTTTCTTTTATCTAGTCACTGGGTAGTTTATTTGATGATTTTTGTTCTAACATCGACAGCAGTGCTTCAAGTCCAGCATTTAAACCGAGCCCTCTCTGCATTTGATTCAGTGGAAGTTATTCCAACCAACTTTGTTCTGTTTACCACATCTAGCATCATTGGGTCTTCTATTTTGTACAATGATTTGCAGAGAACAAATCCTTTGGCCCTTTTGGGTGTCATTTGTATGTTTTTTGGAGTTATTTTGATTACTGGAAAGCGTGACGCCATTCGATCTCGCAGTGCCGAAGTGCTCAATGGATATGCAATTGAGCAAGAAACTCCTATAGACGAATACAATGGCGAAGAGCGTGACTTTACGCAGGGTCGTGTATATCAACTCGACCGAACATATCGGCCTCACAGTACTGCTAACTGCACCTTTGATTGTATTCCAGAATATCACGAGGCTCTGTTTGCTAGTGATGAGTTCCAGTCCACTACTCGATCCATCTCAGTTGCCGACTCACTACCTATACCAAAGTTTGGAGTAAATACTACATCCAGGCCTTTGTCACATATACATTGCTCACAATCGTTACAACCACAGCACCTTGCTCATTTTCATCATTGCCAAACCAACACATCAAATTGTTTGGACACGGATACCTATCATTTGCATACACATGTTCCTGGACAATCATTGCATTCCCCCTTGACACACACGACAACTCATTCACCACTTGATGCATCGTATTCTACTCCATGTCTGCGATCCATGCGTCAGTTTCAACGCCAGCGGCAAACCAGCGCAAGCCCGAGTAATAGTAGCGTACTCAGTATGGCAAGTGATGCCAGCCAAACGTGTAAAGAAGCGTGTCGCTTTTATCGACTCGATGGTAATTTCACATTACCAAATAGAGGCAATCTACATCGAGTTCCATGTAGACGAAAGATAAGCGAGTCTTTGCCGACTAGGATGGCGGATGCCACGTTTAAAAACATTGCTACTGTGTTCCAGTCGTTTGGAACGCATCAAATTAGGCGGATGGAATTGGATTGCATGGTTGATGCACATGCAAGTAGTGCGGCTACAGGTTCAAGTGGATGCGTGTCACCTCGCAGACCAATAAGCTCTACGTTGCATCTGCCGTATCATCCGAGTGATTCGATATCTCCTTTACCTACTGGAATGTCTGAGCATCAAGAGTTTATCCATTGAGCAGAATAATGAACTAAAATTAAGCAACTTTACATCATACAGTTGCTAACTTCAAACCAATAGCCTGTTTCATCACCACGTCTATTCTCACTTTACTCTTGAACTTATTTAATCACTAGTCAACCAAGTCACTGCATAATAAAAAGTCCGAGGACATTCACTTTTGGACTGTAGTTCAGATTCTTGTTGGGGGTACCCACTCACTGAGACACAATCCTGCAGTTGAAATAAACACTAATCCGCAACCATATAATCTTGATGAAAATCAAAAGTTGATTATGGCTGTATAAAAGCAGTTTGAAGTGCATTGGATAAACCTGAAGTAAAAACAATCAAACACCAATTTTCAATTCATTTGTGTTGTAATATATGCATTACATACTAGTATTATAAAAGCAAGTGTGACAACCATCATTCTTAAGATTTGGAGTCATGATTTGGCATATTCGCACCAGGATGTTCGGTATAGGATGGATGACAATCATGGGGTTTAGAATTGATTGCTGTAAACAAAACATCATCGTTGATTGAATTTGTATCAGAAACGGAATTGTCCAAATCACCCATCATTTCGTTGTAAGGCAGACGGAATTTCTTTTCTTGACAAGTCTGTAAAACAGCGGTACCATGCGAATCCACGGAATCACCTAGATGAGTATTTAGCAAAGCATTATTGTTAGTACGACATTAGCACAACACTGCATTTAAAGGAATGACTTACAATCCGAGTCTCTCTTAGGTCCACAGAACAGCCGGTTGATATGTTTATTTTGTGCACCTGTTTTGGCTTTTGCATTTTGTTTTTTAAATAGCCCGGGGTAGAATTTGTTAAGACGCTCATATGCGATGTATGAACAAATCATCACCACACCTGCCATGGCAAAAAGCAGTAGTACAAGCTGAGGTGTCTTGGATGGCGGAGCTGCATCACCAGAATCCTTAAACAGGACCCATTGGGCTTCAATTCGAGTCGAGGGTTCACAAGTCGAGGCTTGTGCTAGAATGTTATCATCACTGGATAAAGGCAAACTGCAATCTTGATCTGAATAAAATTGTGCACCAAAAACGTATGCCTTGACTTGACCGGAATGAAGCGAGATGGATGGTGAGCAGGAATACTTGTCAGCTCGAAAAACGGAGTAAGCATATCGAACTGTCGATTTTCGTGAAATTTCGGTTGAACTGACGTTTAGGGTGGGCGCGGCTATAGTGTATAAAGAAGATGAAGGATCATTCGTCTCAGGACAGTCGGATACAAGCGATTGGATTAAAACAGATGTGCCGGGAGTTGGTTCTAAATGAAGATTGCCATCGACAACAGGAGCTGGACCCATAACAGTTCCTTGACTGCATCCAAATAATCGCTCAGATTGAATGGTGACATTGTTGACGACCGTTTCTTTGCCAATATTGGGAACGCATCCAGACTTGGCGAAATCAGAAGAGCTGGAACTGAGTGGACATGAATGGCAAAGCATACGGACTGCAGAAGGTGTAGGTGAAGTGTTATTTTTTGTAAGCTGCCAAAAGTAGTGAACTGATTCTTGGGTAGCGCAAGCAAATGGATTGGTACTTATGGTCTGAGTATTCGAATTCATCCAAGGCACATAAAACTCTTTTGAAACAATGTCCGAAGGACAGTGAATGCGCATCAATGGAGTTGGCGAGTTAGATAATGCAGGCATTCTCTAATAGGTTTGCAATTGCGATTCAAAGTAAACAACTGTCAATCTATAAGTTTTATGGAGTGGGTTGAAAAGCTAAACTCGCCCTTAGGCTTAGTTTTACACAGTCACCAAGCCGCAAGCTTATATCAAATCTACTCGACTTGTATACTGAACAAACGTAGTATCCACACAACTTGCTTTGTAACCCTTAAATTTTGCGGTCATGGACGCCCTTTTCAACAAGCTTAACCAAACCCAAAAAATGGTGATGAACAATTGAATGGAAATTTGACCGTATTACTGAAAACAAACACTACCAATACAGCCCTCTAGTAAAGTCTGTCAGATTGTGGTTGACTTTCTAATACTACCGATTAACCCAAACTATCATGATTTTTCATATTTAAACAATTTCAGACAAATTTGTTTAATCAATGCTCAAAGTCAAATCTCTACTCGCCATACACGAACAGTCTGGTCCATTGCACCAGAAACCAAGGTATCACCAACCACTCTAACAGCACCCACAGGTCGATCGTGTCCTACCAATGTCGTACAATGACTTAGTAGGGCTTGTCCAGTGGTATTCCTACGAAGAAGAGCCACGCCCACTTCCCCGCATGCTACTATCACTCTTGTACGATCACACGCAATTGCAGTAACAGATCCTCCCACTCTCATTTCGCACAGTGATATAGATGGCGTCTGAATATTGTTCCGGAGATCCCATACTTTGACTGTGCGATCCGCACTTCCGGTAATAAGCTGATCATCATCAAACCATACTCCGTTAACACTGCCTGAATGACCATGAATCACTTGATATGGCTTTTCGCTATTCATGCGCAAATCCCATAGCCTCACTGTGCCGTTTCCATGTCCTGATGCCATCAGATGTTGCTGGAAATATAGACTTGCAACATGTCCACTATTGGCATGAATGGATTGAACACTCACATGAGATGTATTGGCGCCAGTAATGTCATAGTACTCATCGCTCGATGATGTCGATCGCCATGCGTCTGCACCATGATATGTTAGCGATGAGGTCGACACGTTTCCAAATGCTTGTCCACTAAAAGTGTCTTTTGCAACTGGGGTCAAGGCAGGTGTATGGCTCACAGAAGCTGAATAAAAATCAAAGTCGGCTGAATAGATATTTGAACGCAGAGGTTGTGCTGTAGACTTGGCATCGTCAATTTGTGTCCAACCTTCAAATTCAGGTTGACCAAAAAGAGCAGAATAAGGAACCGATAAAGTAGTAGCTGCAGGTTGATGTGATGATGCATTTGGGTATTCGTTGCAATAGTCAGATTGAGAAACCGTTTCAAAAACGTCAATGGCATCTACATTGCTGCCATGTCCAAATCCAACCTGGAAAACCTTCAAAGCCTTTCCTGTTTGAATGTCCCATTGTCGAATAGTTTGGTCAGAAGATCCGGAAAACAGTGTTTTATCATCAAACATAAGTGATGTGATCCCGCCAGTATGTCCCTCATATGTATGCACATGGCATCCGCCACGAGAAGACCCATCATAGTCATCATCATCCCTGTTTTCATGGTCGTCAAAGGATGTGCGCAAACTAGAAGCTCGAACAAGCTGAAGGTCTTTACTACTGGTGGTAGGCAATCCAGTCTCATGCTCAGAGTCGTGATTCAAATTGTGAAACCCATTCACTTTCCACTGTCGAAGGGTATGATCGCTTGAGCCAGAAATCACTGTTGTTCCACGAACTTGAACTGCTCTGATCCAGCCTAGTATACAAAGTTCAAGTCACGCGTGTAAGCTAAACATGTATTGCTTTGTTAGTATATTGTGCAACTTAAACTCACCAGTGTGACCAGTCAAAACAGCAGCGCAGCCATATGTTGTCAAGTCCCAAACACGAACAGTCTTGTCTGCAGATCCAGAAACCATTAGAGCACGCGGCGACTCAAAATGCACACATTCAACTGAATCAGTGTGACCCACTAATGTCTTCATGCAAGAGTTGGTAGGGATGTCAGCCTCAAGTCGCTCAAGAAGAAGAACAGAGTCATCACGAATAGTACGAATGGCTTTTTCTACTCTGATTGTTTGGTCGCCAATGGTGCCAATACGCTCATCCAGCGAGTCTACCATTTCAGAAATTCTAAGCTCACGTTGAACTATGCTACGCAGTGATTCGGAAAGTTCTTGTTTGCGCGTAGTTAGCTGTGCAATCTGGTCTTCGACACTCTGCAGCTCAGAGTCGAGGCAATTCTACAATCAAGCAGAGATCAGTACGATTATCAAAGAGATCATGCAAGCAAATCAAAGTTTAACTCACTCTGGTTTCCTCAAGTTCGTCTGCCTCAGAAATGAGCACATCACGCTCACTCAAAAGCTCAGAGAAAATACGGGTGATGTTTTGTAGCATGGATGAATGATGTCGAGCCTTTTCAGGTATACGTGATTTAGCTACAGCCAGTGAAGGGTGCTGTTGCTGTCTGAGTTCCTGATTAGGTGCGGGTAAAAGTGGCTGATTTGGAATTCTAGTGGTAGATTTAGGATTGGTATGTTTAATCAGAGTGGATGATGGAGAGTGAGTGGACAGAATAGTGGGTGTAGGGTTTCGAGGTTGTTTTCGAGATGAAAACATCAACTGACCCAATGTGAGAAGTGCACGAGTGGGCGATCCTCGTCCAGATGTCAATTGGTCGGGTTTAGCTCGTGGTTTAGATAGGCGAGGATGAGAGGCTCTAAAGCCCTGATAAAAAGTAATTCCTCCTTCGGTATCTGATGGGTCGTCAAGAATACAAGTAGATGATTGTGATTTTAAAAAGGCAGCAGTGGATTGTGAGTTGGGAACATGATTTGCTTCATTGCTAAGTGGTAACGATGCTTCAGATGTACTAGAACGCTGTTCCAATTCAAGTGTCATGGTTTCTGGTGTCATGGAATGATCTAATAGACGAAGCCCGTTGCTATTATCAGCAGAAGGTGTTTCTGAATCAGTCAATGGAAGATGTAGGTCGACAGTTGCTGTTGATTCTTGAGTTGTATTAAAACTGCTGGTTGCAGCAAAACTAGTTAGATGTTGCATTCAGATAGTGTCAGTACAATGAAATCAATAGAATTGAATGATATTGAATGATATCAAACACAAGCTGTTACTGGCCAGATGCAAGACCAACAGAACAAGCCTATCAGCAAGTGGATCAAGAATCAAAGTCGACTTCACAATGCAGAGCATTGTGCACGTGAAGCTCAAGACATGAACTATTCATCACAAGCAGCATACTGATAGGGATGATTAGGGTTAATATGAGTTGAAAGGGAGGATTTTTCTAGATGGACAAGAGCAATGGCTCTTGATGGCCATTCAAGTCAATGGAATCACTCGTGGCATAAGATTCAGATAAGATGGAGTCGAGTAGTAACTCATTGTCAAGATTGACTGGTTACTCTGGTGAATCTATTCAAATGCGTGTTCATACGCAGTAATAAAATGCACTCACATATCAGTAGCAGCGGGATGTTGGTCGAGATGGTTGGTCTGTTCCTGCGCATCAAAGAGATCTCGGTTTACTGGAATGCTGGCCCAAGTGTTTGTTCCGATATTTACCATTTTTTCAACCACAGGAGAAACGGATGATCCAATTGTACTGATGGAGCTCCATGGATTAGAGAAAAATGCAGTGATGGATGCCGTGTTCATAGTAGAACCGTAAAGGCCTTTTCCTAGTGCAGAAGTGGATGAAGGGAATATGGGTGTCGTCAAAAGGGATGCCACTTGTAACTGCTGTGCATTGGAAAGCGTTGCAGGAGCACCAAGAAATTCAGTATGTGGCAATGAGTAAGTCAGATCCATCGTACGATTCAATGCAAGTTGATAATCTAAATCGGTAAATTGGCTGTAGTTGGGTGGATGATGCTGCACATCTTCAGCTGTGGATAACATAGGTGAATGGCGCAAGTATTCAGGCAAAGGGTATAGGCAAGCAGGATCGCTTGAATGTAGGAGATTGGGTTCCATGAACATTGATTTAGAAAAGAGTTTTGATTCAAGATTATCATTATGACTATCACTGTCATGAACGGGTGATTGCAGTAGATCCAATGGCAAGAATTTGGAATCCATATTAGTCTCTCCACCAGTTGCAGATACCGTCAATACCGAATAGTTGTTGATACCTGCTCGGTAGTGATCGCAATGCATCACTGCGCAATCACTGCCAGCACCAACGCTACTATTGGCACCAGCTACATTAGTACAACCGCGAAGGTTGTTGCTAGACAGACTGTCATTCGTCATGAATAAATCCAGCAGTCTGATTGAATTTAAACTGCAACTGATACAAAGGATTAGCGGGTGTAATGCGGGATCACCAATTCAAGGATGTCAAATTACACCAGACAGCAGTTGATAAAAGTTGCGAGTGTGTGGTAATCAAAAGTGATAAAAATTGGGTTTTAATCTTGCATCGTCGAGAAACAAGCCACCATCCAATGCATGCATACATTTAAGGACGATTCAAAAGTAAATAGGGCCAGACCATCCTTTTAAAAGGAATGGTTTAAGGACTACACTTGGATCGAACAAGGCTTGCAACTGTCCGTTTAGCAAGCAAAATAGGGAGTAGTCAAGGAAGATTGCTGCTCTTCAATATAAAAATGTGGCTTGGTTATTAATGGAATGTGGCAACCTCTCTCTATTTAATACCAATCCATCTGTAATAGTACTGATTGGTACGTCCATCCAAAAGCATAATTATGCATCATGACTTGTAAACTCATGAACCCAACTATCAACCATACGTTTAGATGCCTTCATACCTAATATATCAAAACACTCGAGTCCTTGTTTAATGAGATATAACTACAATCAAGTGCGAGTGGATGAGTAAGAGCGACTTCTTGCTTGCATGAAAGTAGAATCTGAATACCAGCTGGCTGGTATGTTCAAATCAACTAATTCATATACAATCATATCTTACATTCGTGGATACTGCGTTAGTTATGAGGTTGAGAGAAGTACTACGACCAACAATAATAGTATGGACGAGTTGAAGCTGATATCAAGCGAGATCCAGTATGAGGTGATTGAATTCGGTTATGCTAATGATTGTAATCCGTAGCCAAGCGAATTAAAATGCTACGTTGTACGAGTGTCAGTGCTGCCAAAATCACTCTTCATTCAATATGTTATCGATCGATCTAGCCAATTAGTCGTCATTTACCTTTCAAGCGAATAGTCGCAGTCGATGCAAGTGTGAAAATGCTACAATCAATTTGAATAATTGCCATTTTATCAGATTGTACATTTTAACTAGCTCATCTTCACTATCTACAATTGCTATCAATCTAAATTCTCATAATAATTGAATGGTGCACTAGACTTCAAGAATCTCGTCTGGTGTACTATCAGCCATACGTAAAATACATAATAAACTGCCAGTCTCATGGAACCATCATTCACATTAAATTTACTGCAGTGTATTGTTGGAACTCCTTGACAAAACTACACATTCACTGATTCAATATGATCTGCCAACCGTCCAACAATGTCACAAAGTATAGGTTTATATTGTCCATTTTAAACCCTGCTGACAATTGAATAAATGAGTTTGTAAATGTGCGATTGCAAACACTAGGAATTAAAGAAACAGTCAATTTCTAGTAGGAAAACAATGAATATTTAATCAATGTTTATTCCAGAACAAATGGTGACTGCAAGTGCTTCATTTTACATGAATACAGCTTTAGAGCTAGCCGTGATTCTGATTAAACAGAGTCGTATGGCTTGATGTATTCACTTAAAGTACTATGTCAGTTTGTGGAATCTTGGAGCATATCATGCCCAGATTTATCAAATCAAATCAAATCGATTCTAAACATGACAATTTGAGCAATTATAAGCGATCGTGAACTCGATAAAACACAATGGTTCTATCACGTGAATAATTTTCCGCGGAGAATTATATTTCTGTCCAATTAAAAATCAGCTAGTGAAAAGCACGTGTTTAGGAAGAAAAGAAAATGGCAAACAAGTGCAATTATGGGCAAAAATTCAGCATATTTAGCCAAAACCAATTGAAATTTGAACAGTGCATGGCAGCAGCCGTCACGAGCTCAACATGAGCACCATTTTTCTTCTTCCCTTACGAACATTCATTTACAGCAACTATGGGTAAGCTTAACCTTCCACCTGTGCAGAAGACCGGCATTGCTGCTGGTATTAACAAGGGACATGTCACTACTCGCAAACAACTGGCTCCCAAGCCTGTCAACAAGAAGGGCGTAAGTTGCTATTGTTTTGAGTTTCTTGTCAGGATAATACTGAATGGATCGTCATGATCTTTGACTCCTTGATCCTGCATACACATCCTTGTCTGTTTCACTTTGTCTACTACTGGTTTGCATTCATCTTGCTATTTGACAAGTTTACTTACTACTTCTTATAAACAATCGGATTTTTCTTGAATCTTGGCCGTCTTTAAACCATGCAACTACGACTTGTCTGCGTCTTCCCTAATCTACCTTTGAATTCGAATGACTATAATTGACACACCATGCAATTTCTTGCCTATTTCCTTGGATCTAATACCTATTGCTTAAACTTGCCATGGAACTCGCATTGTCAATCTGAACGTTTGTCTACTTTGCTATTTATCTTGGAATGTATCGACAATTACTTTCTACCAAAACAGGTTCTTGGAAAGCGTACCAAGTTTGTCCGTGATCTTGTCCGTGAGGTTGTTGGATTTTCTCCTTATGAGAAGCGTGTGATGGAATTGCTCAAAAACTCCAAGGACAAGCGTGCTCGTAAGGTTGCAAAGAAGAGGGTATGTTGGACCATTGAGTTATAATAGAAGCGTATTTAAACTAATCGTTTGTATTCAATTCGTCAATATCTAGCTCGGAACTCTCCGTCGCGCAAAGCGAAAGGTTGAAGAGCTCAGCAACGTCATTGCAGAGTCTCGTCGTGCTGCCCCTGCAGCCCACTAAAGAGAAATAGTAGTCACTACAAAAACGTTTATTATTTAGTGTTTATTTCAAAGTGTTGGGTTTGTGAGATTGCGTCTTGTTGACAGAGTTGTAATAGTTATTCTAGTTGGGTATTGCATCCCTCGGTGATTTCCTTTTCTTGTTCAGTCAATCTGAGTGTAGCTGCTGTCTCCAAAACTTTTCTGGACACTCGATTGTCAGCATTTCCAGTAGGTATTGCTGCAGCTAGTTGTCCACCACCGAGAACATGTGTACCTCCTTCAAATCTCTGACCCGATGCCGTGTCTCCCAGTTTGGGATCTGATGGGCCGTTGTATGTATTCATTCTGTTACCGCCCACCTTGTTTCCATGATTGATGGCATCAATCTCCTTCTTGAGTTGGCGATTGAGAGCATGAAAGTTGGAGTCGTGATCTGTATGGGTCCTGATATTTAAGCAGTTTGAGTTTGAATAGAAACAATAGCAATAGTTTGCAGTGGGAACTTACATGTGAGCCAGTTCATGGATAAACGTGTCTTGGATGGTGCTGTAGTGTCTGAATCCATCCAGATCGTTTGTACGTAGTCTAAGAGCAATAGACTGACCCTTGTTGCGATTGTATCCCAAAATTGCACGTTCGTTTGGATGAAGCTCCATCAATACACCCACAGTCCAACCTCGCTTATGCATAACGGTACATACACCCCAATCCCGTCTTAGTCGATCCAACAGTTGCATAGCCAGGTGTTTATCACTAAATTCATCCAAGACTCGAATAGTATTGCAATAGGTTGGAGGTGGTTGGAGCTTTGGACGGGCCAACACTGCTCGAGCATTTTGCTGAACTCGAATCGAGTGATTGGTATCATGCTTATGAACAGCATCAATCTCTAAAGCAGATGAGCCCAACAACATAAGTTTAAGCTCTTTGGATTGAGAAGTAGGCGGTACAATGTGGTCGATAAGAAAAGACGAGTCGGGAAAAAGGGATTTTCCCTTGTATACTAGTCGATGGGTTTGTGGAGAATCAACTATCTGACATTTGATTGAATCAATGGTTGAAGTGTGTGGGTCAATGTTTTGAAGAAGGATGGTTTTGGCTCTGTACGATACAGACAAGTTGAGTGTTGGAGTGCTCATGGGAAACTGCAGCGTATTCACGTAAAACACTAAACAGGACAATAAAGTGTCATGAAATGATTGGTGCTAAATTGACTAGTCTTGTAACCAAAGTCTTGTATTCACCGACTAAACATGGTCTGCCAACCGTTCAACAAACAACACCATCGTGAGGCATAAAGCCTCATTCTCCAAAGCCAAATAATGACTGCAGGATAAATACAAGTTATTTCACGTGAATACAACTGCAAATGAGCAACAGTCCATTCGGTAAGCATGTGTTAACGTGGAATATCATGGAATAAACTAATTCAATCCACCCATAGTAGTAAAACTCGCGGCATAAACTTGCTAGCAAATCCCATCCATATTCAAAGTCATTCAATATACTCGACTGCTGATAAATTTTTAAACATATTTTAATTTCATAAAACAATATAATATCAAACAAATCCATCGCTTGCCAATCTACAGTCACCAATGGGTGCAGCAAGGTTGTCTCAAGGTCAAAGTCTCCAATCGTCTTTGTACTCGTCGCAGCTTTTTCTTTTGTCGCTGGATAAACGAAGGTGCGCGACCTCGACTGTTATGTCGTCGTCCAATGGCATGAGCGCTTCCCATTCCAATCGTTGCATGGCCATGATTCCCCTCTCGCAAGTAATGGCGTTCATCGCCACTCTCGCCAAATGCGAGTCCATCCGATCCAACAATATGATCTGCAGATCGTGAGGCCGACTGATGTCTATACATTCCCTCAGCATGCTCAACACCTTGCTCTTCATCACTATCCAAACTATCATCCGTGTCACTGTCCATTTCCTCTTCAACTACCTCTTCGTGAACCAATACTGCTGGGAGACGAACAAGATGATAAGGAGAAGCAGGCAAATTAGAGCTTGGATCAACATCATCCACTGACATTTGTGCCTGAGCAGTCATATCACTTTGAGATTTATCCACAGATACTTTTCCCAGCACCCCGGTAAGATTATAACCCTGTCCACGTATAACTGATCGCTGTTTACGCCATAACTTGGTCTGAAATCCTCGATCTAGCCGAAACAAGGTCTCCAATCCATGAAAAGTGGTTTCCCACCACTGAGATGATGTGATGAGTGGAAGAACTAGATGTGCTGTATCTGGTGAAAACGGTTTATGTGCTATAGGCAAAAAAGCCCAACTATAAGGGTAGGATCGCATGCGATCTGGGTGATGGGTTGGAAATGCTAGACCGTTATCAATCGCTGCAATACGGACTGTAAATGAATCAGTATTAGATTGCTGCTTAGTATCTGGAATACTGGGCTGATTGTTGGGGTGTTCATCATGTTCAGACTGAAGGTGGGAGTAGACTGGTGCTTCAAATATATTTTTGTGGATCGTCGAGTTTATCTCTATTACATGCTCAATGAGACCAGATGGCTGCGAATCCAACAGATTGGCATTCACACTACTCGGTGCAGATTGATTCTGATTTGGTTTTGCTTCAACATTTAAACCAGACTGGGTGTCGTGTGCCGTAGTTGTACAGGTAGCTGACGTGTCCAGCTGTAAATTAGATGGTTCTAGAGGCGGAGGAGAAGTCGTAGCCGCAGTCGATGGCCACAAGTATGACTGTTGTGGTTGAGGAATTTGTTTTTGTGGCCATTTCACCATCCAATTATCAGAGCTGCGATCTGTGTTGCGAATCAGATAATCCAATATAACCAAACGCTCAAAACTCAGTTGAAATTGAAGTTGTTGTTTAGGAGTCCACCCAAGTGGATGCGGCGGTAAAGTGGGACCTAAATTATCTGATGATCTGGACTCGTTCATTTCGTGTAGACTTTCTGTCGATTCACCATTTGGCTGGCTCAACTCAACACCCAAATCAGTTGCTGTAGTAGTATGAGCTGGTGTTGGTGGCATAGAAGCCGATATAGCACGCATACATTCATATCCTTGGCGAAAAAAGGTTGTTGCATCCTTGTATCCAGTCAAAAACAGTTGAAAACTACCAGTCTTTGTAGGCAAAGGCTTTCCCCAGATACGATATGCCCACCTATCTCGAAATGAATAATGAAATGTTGGAGAAGCCAAACAGACAATCTCTGTTCTTGGTACCAGATTTAAACCCAATCGCCGATCAAGATACGATGCGGCGGCTTCAGACACATACCCTTGATTAGGAACAATACAAGTACGGCCAAAGCAACAAGGAAACAAATTACGATGAAGCCACTTGGTCCATTTGGGGTTCATGTTGCCATAAGGTTCTTCGTTTTTAGGTTTAAACACGCCAACAATCTGGCCTTGGGAACTGCGACAAAAGTATGAGCCAGACGAGCCCTGGGAAATACGAGTTGGATAGATTCCTTGGTGAATAGCTAGTTGAACATCACAGAGAATGTCAACGAATTCTGCAGTAGAAACCGGAGTCACTGGAGTCACTAAGTTTTGTAGCTGAGCTGGACGAGCAGGAATCAGCGAATCTCTTGGAACAGGCGGCGGAAGATTATTAGGAAGGGGTTTATCAAGCAAAAACGGATCCAATGCAGCCAGACTTGGAGCAAGAGATGCCAAACGAGTGGTACGAAAACTCAGTGGTAGAATTCTTCTAGCAGTAGATCCCATAGAGAAGGATGAAGAGGTGGCCTGGCCAGATCTGCCAATATCTCCGTCATGTAGCGTGTGACTAGGAGTGGAATGACAGATACACTCGGAATTGGTATATGAGCGAGCAGACATACCAGCATGGCTATCAGTAGTCACATTTATACTCATGGTTTCACATGTAGCCCTGGATGCAGCAATCCTTTCGCTGTCAGACAATAGCAGAGGCAACGAACGAGAACTTGCAGAGCGGAGGTAACGATGACCTTGTTGGTAGAGCGGACAGTCGCGGCGATGAGTACTCAAATGATTGTAGTTGCTGGCAGGCTCTGGATATGAGGGAAGTAGTGGTCGTTGGTCACTGTATTCATCAGCATCGTCATCAGCATTGTAGCTATTTGTCACTTGTATATTGGCATGCACTGAAGTATCTGAGTTGTGACCAGCAGGGTTGTTTGGCCAGAGTGTACTCATGAGTTTTAATAGTAGTTGACAATCACTCTAATCCAGTAGTGGTTAGTAACTATTTCAGTCCAGTAGTACTTGAAAATCACTCTAGACAATAGTTTCTAGTTGCAGCTGTATTCACGTAAAATGAAACACTTTATCTTACATTGACCGTCTTTATTTTGCTTGGGGATAAACAATGTTTAAATATTCGTTACGTTTATTGGATTGCACATCTCTACTAGAATGTTGGAATGAGAACATTCTAATAGAGTTCAAAAACATTGCACATTGAACTGGTACATTCATTCCATAAAATTGTAGATTTCATCACCCTATTTAGTGCTTCATTTTACATGAATACGGCTCTAGGATGAAATTCAATTTTCAAGAATCAGCTTGAACCAATCCATATTCAATCTACGTTTCTACTCAATGAAAATCGTTAAACAACTTGCTCGAGCCATATTTTATACGCACATGATATTGATTTATATTCACCTGTATTCAACCCCAATACTTTTCAATAAAAACGACACTACAACAGCCTGGGTACAATTGGCTTGGATTACACGAATTCAAAACCAGTGCTAAATTCACGGTATATTTTGAGATCCACTCATTTATACCACACCCCTTTCGTATCTGCACATTCAATCTACGTTCTCAGATACGAATGTATCCTATTGTTTTACCCATCGTATCTACCCACACATAACATTGTCTGTTCACTTGAACTATTGCTTATAGTCGAACAATACAAAAGAAGCAAAGTGACCATTTCAAAGTTATCGCCATTTCATCAACAGTATCAGCAACTTGCGCCATCAAAATATCGTACCACCCATTTACATCCTTATCCCAGTAACTACAGCTCCGATTCTTGGACTCAGTTGCTGAATACCACGTGCTACTGTCTGCACAACTTGTAACCCTGCACTATTCAACTTGCCAGATTCGGTGTGGCGGATTAACCTCTCATTGCCAATTGGCTTAACCCATTCTCTTAATCCACCACTACTTGCCCGTAGCATCTGCGCATTGACAGCGTGTAACATTATCAACCCCATCAGCCTTGAAAACCTCACATAATTTTTGTTAATCAGCCATCTACTCCGATCAATACACTTTCAAATATCATTGGCAACCCGCTCAATTTTGCGACTTTTTTCATTGTATAGCTTGGCTATTGTTCAGCGATATTGCAAAGATAATCTTTTATCAATTGATCAGTAAACCCTAGCTAGTAAGTTGCTGTGCATTGAAACAAAACTTTGCATCTTTTTTAATGCGATGCTCACTGGAAAAGGAGAATCCGATTGATAATACACATTGTCAAGAATTTATCTCGACATTTTCTTGACCCTTAATATTTATGCTATTTCAGTGATATATCTGGAATTGCTAGTATTTGGTCACATACTACAAGGCTTGTAGTAACAATCGAGTGTAGAGTAGATTGTGAATCCCACTTTTGAATAAAACCCTACTAGTGGCTTTAACCATCCATCTTGTTCAACTCTATGCATTTGTGCAGTAGATTGCTAACTCAATTGTTACCCCTATATCCATGATTTATACTGTTGCACTTGTAGGCATACCATCTGGGGTTGGTTTTTTCATTGATCGATTCAATTGCGTGTTTTGCACGCAAGTCCATTGTCCTGCTTCTCAGTTTACCACTGGAATTTTATCTAAACTGCAGTCTGTAAATTATCCACTCAAACACGCTTAAATTGACCAATAGCAAGTAGCCACAAATACACCGATTGTCACTATATCAGCATTAGTAAGCATTGGCTGCCACTGTCAATTGATAACTGGCTGAAATAACACAACACGTCTGTATATTCTGTTTGCATTCCCTATTGCTACAGCCTTTCTGATTGTAGACACAACTCCGCCTTCAAAATCACCGACAGCTTGACGTGTTTGTTTAGGTGTAGTTAGTAGCAAGCCACTTTTGACACTCAGATCTAGTTAGTATTTCATCAAGTTTGTGGCTGCTAATTATCACAAATTTACCTTATTGGCTTGCCTTTATCGTAACTCTACATATTACATTGCATATTTCAAAATATATAAACTGGCTGGTTTCTGCTGTTGTTGGAAGCCATTGACATCAACTTTGTTACACTTTTAAACTTATCTAATCATGGCAAAAGAAATATCCCCTGTTCCCAGACCATTGTCTATTCTTCTTCAGTCCTCCGCAACAAACACAACGCTTTCCCACAAAACTGGGTCCATTAGAGATCTACGCAAGTTTCGTGTTTGCTCAGAGATCCCTGCATCTGTTATCACCGAAAAGATGCTCACTGCATCGCGCGGATCAAAATCTCTCAATGCACCCACATATAACATGAGCTGCTGCGAGTCGCCTCTCAGATCCAGTACTTCAACACCAGCATTTGTTGGCTCGTCTTTACTAAAATCCAATATTCAGTTTCCTGAATCGGAACAGCAAAATAACACCTTTGTCAACAGTAGCATAAATTCTTCTCTAAGCCTTCGTTCCACTATCTTTTGCTCTTCTGAAAGCAGTGGATCATCAAGTGTTATTGAAGCCGAAGCTACAAAGGATGATATCAAGCAAATTCAGCCAAATGATGACTATGATATGGTGGATGGATACAATGATGATCATAGCTCAGATCATACCGTCAGTTGTATTGACAATGATCAAATCTCCATTCAATCCTCTGCCGTTTCTTCTGTGCTTCCAGCCTCATTTACCCTTCAACCCATTTCTACTCAAATTCCTACTCGATTCAAACTGGCCAAAGGATACTGTCGCCATCGTCACTATGCTGAATCTCTTTCCGAATGCAAGTTTATTCTTCTCTATGCCTACCAACTTTCTACCTTTCGCGAGCGCTTATCTACCGTTCAAGCCGTCGTTTTTATTTTACGCAAGCTTGGCCAACAAGATCTTGACGCGCAGTATATTCTTGCGTCCACGTACGAATACGGTGTTCCAGACACTATCAATAGTCAAACTGATCCGCTTTTTGCTCCAAACCCTACCTTGGCCTTTACTGCTTACTTATCAGCTGCAAAACGAGGTCATATTGAAGCCATGTTCAAAATCTCTGAAATGTATCACACAGGAATTGGCACAAGAATCTCTCGCGGCAAAGCCATACATTATCTTCGTACAGCAGCCATCAAGCACCACCCTCAAGCCATGACACAACTTGGTCTGGTTTTGATTCATGGCAAATACGGTCATCCACAACGAATTCGCGACGGCGTTGTTTGGCTTCGCATGGCTTGCAGATTTGCTACAGTTCAATATCCAGATGCTCTGTACCTTTTTGCCGAGCTACACATCAATGGTCTTACAGATGTGATTTTCAAGGATGATCGGTACGTGGTAGAGTTGCTGGAGCGTGGTGCAAAGCTGGAACATGCACCTTGTGTGTTCAAACTTGCCGAGGCTTATCAAAATGCTTGGTTTGGACTGGATTGCGACATGAAAAAAAGCTTTTATGGGTACTGCCGGGCTGCGAATATGGGTCATCTTGAAGCCATGTTGGAAATGTCAAGATGGTACTTGGTTGGAGCGAAAATGGATTTGGATGGATTTGTACTCGAACAGTCTAATGAAAAGGCCTATCAATGGATCTTGAAATCTGCAAAAGCTGGACATGCGAGAGCAATGTTTGGCATAGGTCATTTTTACAGTGAAGGATTGGGTGTTGTCAAGAACACTGATACAGCTCTGGAGTGGTACCGCAAAGCAGCCAAGTTGGGCGAACCTGGTGCTATTGATAAGTTGAAAGAATTTCATTTAGATGTAGCATCATTTGATCCCATAAAAAAACAACGTGGTCGCAGCTTTGCGTATGCAAGAAGTCAGACTAGCACTCAAGGCGAGTCACAGAAAAACCGTTGGTCGACGAGTTACAGGTTTTCTTTGCCAATGCTAGAAATGACTTGTCCAAAAAATATAGAAGCGGATTCAATAATCAGCGAATCTATCCACTCCTTTGATTCCTCGATCGTGGCACCTTTATCAGATGAACTTGATGGTAATGCATATACGCTTTCTCCACCTGTATCTTTCAAACTTATGCCAGCTAGTACTTCCGATACGGTCCATACTATCAATATTGTTCCGGGTCAATCCGATGTATGTGAGTTGGAGCTAACTCAGCCGCATGATTTACTGGTGATGTCATTGGATGATTCTTTAAATGAAGATGACTCGCAAATCTCTGCAGCGATAAATGCATCTTTAGTTGTTGCCGAGACTGCTTCAGAAATCACTGCACTGCCATGCGTGTTGAGTTCGGTTAGTTGCACTGCCCATGTCGACAAGATACTTGCTGCTAAAAGCGAGAAGGTATCTTCTGCTAATCCAGCTGTACCTGTTCAGGCACAAAAAGATTCAGTTGCTGATTCAACCATTGCTCCAGTCGCTACCTCAAAACGCCGACATACCCTCAAGTCATCCAAACATCGTGAGCATTCTGATCGATGTTGTTCCATCCAGTAGCTATCTTGTCTTGTTTAGCCTTTAATTTCCATTATTTTTACCCATCAAGTTTTTAATATGACGGTGGACGGAACTTGATTTTTCATAATTATTAAAGATTTATTTGCATATAATACAGCCGTTTCAGTTTTATTTCTAGTTTCTATTGTTATACTGGACTTGTTTGGAGAAAAGGTTGTTTAAACGATTTTGCATTTTGAAATCAGTCCATCAGGCTAGCAAAATCAAAATAATAATTGCATAAAGTGGTTGAATTTCTTTTCAAAAACATCCAAAACTGTTGACAGTATGGCATCCATGTTTTTACCAAGCACAAACGCATCAGTGTTATCTACCTACAGAGGTTTGCTACGAGAGGTCAATCGGCAGGTAACACTATTGCAATATACACATTTCAATTCTTGTCTGATCCAATCCATGTTCTACTTTTTGTCAATCTTAGTTTGTTGTAAAAAACAACAACTCGTTTTGGAGAATGCAAGTTATTGCTCAGTTTCGTATTGGTAAGGGAATCACAGACCCATCTCGAGCACTTGCTAAACGAAGACAGGCTCAAAATGTCTTGATGTATTTGAAAAGCAGTCGAGAATACAAGGTAACCTTTGGCTTTTTGATCGTGGTGGTATGGTCAATGGGTTTGCTAATATAAGAGTATTTTAGGAGCTAATGGAGAGGTATTGGCCAGTTAGTACTTTGACAGAACAAGAAAAGATTGCAAAAACTGCCAATAGAGTCGGATTAGCAGTTCCTAAACCTGTAGAAATCACACCTTGAGACTCGATCTTGTAAAGTTTACACTTGAAGTATTCATGTAAAATGAAGCACTTGCAGTCACCATTTGTTCTGGAATAAACATTGATTAAATATTCATTGTTTTCCTACTAGAAATTGACTGTTTCTTTAATTCCTAGTGTTTGCAATCGCACATTTATAAACCCATTTTTATTCAATTGTCAGCAGGGTTTAAAATGGACAATATAAACCTATACTTTGTGACATTGTTGGACGGTTGGCAGATCATATTGAATCAGTGAATGTGTAGTTTTGTCAAGGAGTTCCAACAATACACTGCAGTAAATTTAATGTGAATGATGGTTCCATGAGACTGGCAGTTTATTATGTATTTTAGTTTAGTATTTCATTTTACGTGAGTACAACTGAGAGTCTCAATGAAGTATTAATTTAAATCGCTTAAATCAGATTCTGAATCTGTCAGATCACCATGAACACATGTGCCAAACTCGGCACTTTCTACCATGATCGCTCGCGCTTGTTCTAACTGGTCTGCCTCAAAAATATTCAAGTTTTGATCCTGAGCAATAAGCCGCATGGCTGCTTCTGGAACAAGCACGTTTTGAATGTAATCGAGAACAGATTGTGGAGATACAGTGTTTGGGTTAAGAGCAGAATCTGGTCCACGAAATATCGACTGAATGGCTTTGAAAATAATGTTTCCACCCTTCTATAAATTTACACAATTTGCTGTTAGTTTTAGGTTGTGCAACTCAATATATATCAGAAAAAAGCCTAAATGTGTACATACCCAGCCATAATAGCCACACTGAAATTTGGCAAGTTGTGAAAACTTGGTATCATTAGCTATACCATTGTTCCAAAAGTAGAAATATAAACTATGGTTACAACCAGATTGTAAATCAAGGTAAAGCGTCATCAAATCAAAACCATACCTTGTGCTTTCCACTTTCCTAATTTGCGAAACGAAGCCAATGTAAGCTCCAGAAAAACTGAATGCTCTTTCCCCAATAGGATATTTACAAATATATTTTGCATTTTTTCCACTCGTCGTTTAACGCTTTTGAAGTCAATTTCGGCAAGGTATCCCTTGAACACACCCTCGGGAATCACAGTCTGTTCGGCAGCATGCAAGCTACAAAACTTGTGACGAATATGCATCAGCCCCTCTCGATCGGCATTCCCACGCTCATGATTCCGACGAAACTTTTCATACTGTAAAAAAACTTTGGAGATGGAAGGAGAGTAAGGAAACTGTACCATTCCTACACAGTTGGGATTAACTGGACAAGGTACCAAAGTCGTGCCGGATGTAGAAACACTGTTGCAAGAATTTTGACTAGAGCGTGATTGCTGAATAGGTTTAGAAGATGTTGATAGATCACAGCAATTACTGCTACTGTTTTGACTCTGTAGCAACTTTGTGGGACTTTTATCACTTGACGGATAGACGGCATCGTCCAACTCGCGCATGAGCATAGCTTGCAGCGTGTTATCAATCCCATTAGCACTTGGGCTTTCAGCCATACCAATTGGTCGTACGACAGACTCTTGTGATGATATATATGCATAATTCTCACTGTGAGCAAACACGCTTTTCTTCAATGTGCCTGTAAGTTTAAATATATCATTGTCGTGAATATATGCAGGCGAAGTTGGGGGCGATCCGGGAGAAGGTGGTGATCTGTATGTATCTACTGGTGTGGTGTTTAGTTTTAAAGGTGTTTTTGCATCCGAGTCCGAATGTATTAGACTATTGTGTAGTGGCTTGGCCTCTATTGATGAAATCAATTTCTTGTCAATATCCATATCCAAACCAGTCAAAGCTTTAACAGCTTTGCAAGTTATTGGGTCATTTTGAGCAGGTAGCTTTGGTTGTTTCGCATATGAAGGCATTACCAACTCTGACTTTTTCGTATCATCCATATCATCAAAGCAGTTGGATATTTTAAGCTTGCGCCGTTTGGATTTTGATGGTGTATACGGAGATTTGGGCAGGTTTGTTGCTGTAGATCCAGTCTCGCTCTCTTTCGAGCCTTTACCTGCCAGATCTGTATTGGACGCGCTTTTTAAAGTTTCTGGTGGATGTTGCAGATCCAAAGACTGTAGCTTGAGAGGTTGTCGATTGATAGCAGTTTTCTGTACCCGAGTCTTTTTGGGTGTACATCGATATTTGAATTCATCCGCATCTTCAATATCGTCACTAATATTGTCACTGTCGGACTGTTCATTGTAATTGGGACGAGAAATCTGTAGTCTTTTGCTGCTTGTGTACCAATCGGAGCTGTAGTTGGTATGAGTATTAAAGCAGTTGTTAGAGTGTGAGGGTTTAGCGGTTGAAAGTACAGTTGGTTTAGACAATGCTGTTGATTTGGATAGGTATGTGGGTGCATCAACCAGTGTTGCTTTGCGAGGTTTTACAGGTTTTTTATCTACTGCTGTAGATGCTGATTTGGGTTTGGTCCAAGACTGACCCTTGGCGACTGCTACCTTTTTTGTAGGAGCATATGCAGATAAGATTGGATCGGGTGATTCCAAGACAGACACTGCTCGAGGCAATTTGCAAACAGTTGTAGAGCTGATACTTTTATGTGGGGATGTGCGCCTGGTCTGGATCTGCCTTGATGCTACAGGGGTGATGTCAGATTGCTTCTTGTGAGTACTTTTCCTATACTGTTTGGATATGTTCAGACTGCTCTGTGAGTTTGAAGGCTCTGCTGAATCCTGAGATGAAGTATCAACCAAACCTATAGTGATTGTCCCCTCTGTTCTGCCCAACTGTTTTGTCGAATGACTGCTGGTGATATTGAATTCACAATCATGAGTATGCTTAATTGTGAATGAATTACTCAAGAATCTCAGACAATAATAAACGATTGACAGACCTGAAAGTCATGTAAAATCAAGAATGGCAATAGAGTAGATTGAAATATTCTCGTATACAGACGAGCCAGATGGATGAAATCGTTTAGCAAGTTTCCAAATCTTGGACGAAATTCAAAACTGAGATAATAGCTTGACATTGCATTCTCTTGAACTGGTCGATGCGTGTAGTTTTTGTCATTAAATCAAAAATATTGAAATACGTTCAAGTGACGACTTGAGTAAGATTGCAATGTTTGATACATATTTGTAACCAGAACTCGTCAGAATCGTATTGACTGATTGCTGATACTCGGACATTTAAACAGTTTACGTTGATTTGGTTCGTGTTTTTTGAACTGCATTTTTACAGACTGCAAAAGCAATTAATGCCACGTGACTGTGGTTTGGTTTGAATATAAAAACTTTTTTTTTTAATTACAATTTTATTGTTCAAAACAGTTGTCAGTGTGGGTGGTGTTTGACTAAGACTGTGTTTGTGGCGTGGTATGAGCCTGTGTTTAGCTGCTGGAAATATATTCATTGAATATGATTGACTATCATGAAAAAGAAACTATTGAGCGTCAGATTGAGACCATCCTGCCTTGTCAATCCCTTCAAACCACCGAGCAGTTGCTGGATACGTTTGAAGTGCAATCCACTGCTGATCTGATTGTTTCCTTGTACAAGAACAAGGTTTGCTCCGATCCAACTGCATTGTCAGTTGTTGTGGCATTTCAATTTCCTGATTCTCTTCTCTCGTACTCATCTGCTGTAGTCGAACATTTATACGAACACATTGGTAAAAACATACAATGCAAAGTTGATCTGGTTGTACTTGCAGATACCACGTTTGGCAGGTATGTCATTCTTATTGCCATCTATTTTCTTTCATTATGATGTCTGATGTTCTTCCTGTTGACTGCAGTTGCTGCGTGGACACGGTTGCTGCCGAACATGCATGCGTGGATCTGATTGTTCATTATGGCCCCTCTTGTCTTTCAAGGTACTTGTGTCTATCTGTATATTGTGTTTTAAACTATATCAGTTTTTACTAACAGTATAGTAGACCGGCATCTACTTTTCCCGTTTTAGTTGTTTTGGAAAAGGCACCGATTGATATCCCTGCCACTGTTGCGTATTTCATTTCACAATTTTCATTGGATTTACTGCAGCCTGTTCTTGTAATGTATGATTTGGCATACCATCATGCTGCTCAACATCTTGCTCAAGCGCTTGCCGCTGCTGGGTTCATTCATTTGATTTGGCCGCATATTGAAACCGTATATAACATGCCTAAACTTGATACGAATGACATTCAACATAAGCCGTCAGTTTTTAAATCAGATCTAGCAAAGTATGGTGATGCTTGTATCAGAGAGATGCAAGGTCAAAAATACATTCTCCCAGAAGGCGTGCAGATCCAGGACGTAACCATGTTTTACATTGGTGGTGAGAGTCTTAACCTGACCAATCTTATGATGACACATTCCATGTGCAAGCAAGTCATTGCATACAATCCTGTTTTGAATACTGGCAGTGTACAGAGTGGATCGGCAAACAAGCTGCTTATGCGCCGATATTTCATGGTTCAAAAGGCCAAGGATGCTGACGTGATTGGCATTGTTGTTGGAACGCTTGGTCTAGGTAGATATTAATTTGTATTCTCCTTTTTTGTTTTTAATTGTATGGACGGATGTGATGATCACACAAGTGCTAAACAGGAAGAGCCGGCTGATGCTTCGAAAGAGGCACGTGCTGGAATACAACTTTCTTATCTGATCCGTCTACCAACACCATTTAATCCCCATCATTATAACCGTTTTCTGACTGTTTTTCTATTTGAAATTACAGCATCATACCTCCCAGTGATAGAGAATCTCAAGCGGCTAGTGTTAGCAAGCGGTAAAAAACCATATATGCTTGCATTGGGAAAACCATCGCCTGCCAAGCTAGGCAACTTTCTAGAAATTGATGTTTTTGTGCTTGTTGCCTGTCCTCAGAACGCGTTGCTGGAAACTCGAGACTTTCTCAGACCTGTTGTGACTCCATACGAGCTCTGTATTGCACTGGATCGTAATGCAGAATGGGATGTTTCTAAATATCAACTGGATCTAGTCACTGTTGATCACCAACTATCAGACACTATACATCGCATTGCTGAGCGTCAGATGACGCGAACCAACCTAGACAATGGCGATGGTTTAGATGACTCTGATGATGATCAGCCTCACTTTTCACTTGTAACTGGTGCTTACAAGCAACGTAAGCAGTATGTGTCAATTGTTTGCTCGACAGACGATGAACCTACACAAGGTGATTCAAGTGCGCTTATGGCACGATCAAGAGACAATGTTATTTCGAAATATACGTCCACCAGTGCAGCAGCAGAGTATTTGAATAACAGAACATTCCAAGGTCTGGAAGCCATGGTTGGTCAAACTACCATCTCTGATGTTCAGGATGGTCGGAGAGGAATTGCTCGTGGATATATCAACCCAAATGTTGAAGCAAAGAATGACGATTCTCTAGACAAATCATAAAACTGCCGGCTCTATGTTGGATCTATTATTTTAATACATAATTATTTATATTTCTAGTATTGCTAATAGTTTATAGCACATGTTCATCTGAACAACAACCATTAGATTTTGAATACATCTTCATTGTGGATAACTCCAGCAGTTCTCCCAGTGACCCTGAGAGCTTCCTGAGCAAAGTTTTTGAATGGCCCTTCCTTTTCCATGTGATGGTTGAGCAATTGCTCAGGGAATTCTGCTGAATCAATATGAACGAGCAAACTCTTTAAATCTGGCTGTTGCTGCAACATGCCTTTGATAGCATCCGATGTTCTTAATCTATCCAGCTGATCCTGCGAAAGAACCGGATCATTATTTGGTGTAAGGATCGATTGCTGATTTGTAGGCCTAATAACGTCTGACTGTATGCTATTAGTCGTTGATGCTGAGGATGGCTGTTGAGAGTCGTTGGATTGCGATATTGGCTTGGTACATGCTTCTGATTTAATGTAGATTTAGAACAGGAATGGTATCAAATCATACTGTAACTCATATTGGATATATCAAGGTTTGCAAGTACTTACCATTTTCTTTATGTGCTTTGAAGCATTCTAGTGAGCAACTAGTTCATCCAAATCAGGATTAGTAAATGAGTGTGTAGTCTGATAAATGGGCTGTAAGAAATGGTTACTCAACTATCTGATTAAACACACTGGACACCTGTACTTGGATGTTTCTTTTGTGCATACTTGGCATTGAACTGGTGCCATGATTCACAACCTTTTATCAAACGAGTGATAACCAATGTGTTGCTCGAGTTTATTTGAGACCAATTACAGTCGTATTTATGTAAAATAAAATACTAAATAATTGTCAAAATACATGATAAACAGTCTCATATTTGATGCCAATTTTACTGAGAAATATTGTTTTTTGAACTCATTAATTCACTGATCTTGTTCATTCATGTACAAAAGTACAGACTGAATTTCCAATAACAATGAATATGTAACGATTGTTTATTTCAAGACCAATACAAGTGTCATTCTATATGAATACGACTGTAAATATTGATTTTTATACGAATGCTTTATTTCAAAGTTGAAGACATGAGTTGCTCTATACTGAAAAATGGAGTTTTACGGCACGAACTTCTGATTCAAGTCTAAGCTTCATGGCCATCTTTGATTCGAGTTTACTCAAGACATCTAATATCTTTTTACCTATAGCTTCAATTAGATCTTCCCAATCCTTAATGATTTGACCCTGAGCATGGTATTTCTGCATAAGATCTTTTTGTAAAAAGTAGGATGGTTCCTTTAAAAGTTTATCTTTGATTGCCGACATTCGCTCCTCTGCTTTACTGTGACTTTCTTCATATCCTCCAAGCTTGGTCTCAAGGCCTTGTCTCACTTGTATCAATGCCATGATTTCTTGGTTTAAATCCTCAATTTCTTTTTGTGTCGTATCCATTAGTTTTTTAAGTGCTGGAGTGGGTTTTGATTCTATTGACGACTCTGCTGTAGAAGCTACAGCGGCTGTAGAAGTTGTACGAGTCACATGGGACACCTGAGTTATAATCGGGATGAATGGTTGCTTCACTGGCTTGTTGACGTACGTTTTGGGCATCCTGCCTCGCTTTTGAAGTAGTCCACTACGATCGCTGTCACCCGACGAGTCAGTATTAGGAATTAACGAGGCATGGCTGGAGATTGCCATTACAGATAGGACAGCTGCTATGATCCACTTCATGATTCAATGAGATTTATAGTTGATGATTTCAAACGAAAATGACTATCGATATCATTGACAGAATTTGTCAGGTTTTATATTGGTCTAGATGACAAGCAAAGGGCTTTTTTATTCTAGTTATTTTTATGAACTAGCCCTTCAACCGTTCTTTAGTGAAAGTTGCATGAAATCAAAAGGGCTTCCCACCGCTGCATTCAGACAAAGCGAGACACTGAATAAGGGCTTCGAAAACACGATAAGCGTTGTTTCGAAAAAGTAGTCGATTTGTAGCAGAACTGAATACTTGATTATTACATATTCTGATCAAAATGAGACGAGTGTTGTGCTTTACATGAACACAGTTGTAAATCTGCAATTTCTTGTACTTTCTATTCTAGTGCTGTTGAGCATGTTTCTGTCGCCATCATTTAATAATCACTGGTGCTCTGTCCTGTGCACTATGCTAACAATGCTTCAACGAGTGATTAATCCACTGGATTGTTTTATTGTAATCGCTTATATTTTCAAAGCTTACCAGTATGTCCCTTGTTACTATGGCTCGAGTCCCGCCAAGGTTACAGGGTGCTTATATATTATGTACCAGAATATCATTTTAGATACGAAATTCCTAGAAAGTCATTTTGTACTACAAAAGGGTTAGTCCAGTGGTTATATGCTGTGGTACTGTCATTCATTGAGCGGGTGTCAAACTGCCAAGTTTGTCCGGCCCAGACCATCATGACAAGTATTTGTAAACTGGAATGTCTTGGCCACATTCATGTAAAATGCCAACATCGAATATTGTCCACTTGCTCATTATCGATTTGTCTACCCTGTCAATAAACATACAAATCGATTTATATCTTACACAACCATGTATACACTAGAAAAGTCTTGTGGGTTTAGCTTGAAAACTGTCCAGTCGATCAAGAAGCAATGATTCTTTGGTAGATTCACTAGTTTGACATTTCAAACAATGAAGCAGATCGCGTGATGCAAGTTGAGCATATCACGTGTGCAATTTCACTTTTGACAACAGGATCCAAATCCGTACATTATCAGAATGCACGAGTTTTGGATTTGACCTACAGATTGATTAGGTGAGAGCAGTGTCGGTTTGCGTTCTGTTGTGATCCATCCATCCGTGCTTTTGTAGATTCGTGCATTGTTACTGTGCATCTATTCAAGCATGATTGTCTCTGTGTGGGCGAAAGAGACCAGCCATGCAATACTCCTAGTTTTGATTGGGTCTTGCTCGAACCAATAACTGGCTGACCAGTCATCGAGATGAATTAACTGGAATATGCAATAGCTACAATTCAATGTTTATAGAGGGTTTAACAGCAGCATTTCATCTGCTTCCTAAACAAAGATGGCTGGTCGATTGTATTCAATGTTGCCAATGCTATTTCATTGTAAAGACCAATACTTACTAATTGATGACTTTGTTTAAATGCTTGATTCTTCTGGATTGCTTAACCCTGTAACTATAATACTGGACTTTTGATTAAACAGCAATGGGCGGTAAGTTTACTATCGATTGCTGCTGAAGGATCTATTTGAGATGGCTAATTTATTTGCAATTGAATAGCCTACAAGTACTTGGAGGAGCTTTACAAGAAGAAGCAGTCGGATGTTCTCCGTTTTTTGCTCCGTGTTCGCTGCTGGGAATACCGTCAGTTGAATGTGATCCACCGTGCATCCCGTCCATCCCGTCCCGACAAGGCTCGTCGTCTTGGATACAAGGCTAAGCAAGGATACGTCATTTACCGTGTCCGTGTTCGCCGTGGTAACCGTAAGCGACAAGTCGCCAAGGGTGCAACCTTTGGTAAGCCCGCATCCCAGGGTGTGTCCCAACTCAAGTTCCAGCGCTCCCACAAGTCTGTCGGTGAAGAGCGTGTAGGTCGTCGTTGCCCTAACTTGCGTGTTCTCAACTCGTACTGGGTCAACCAGGATGCTACCTACAAGTTCTACGAGGTTATCCTTGTCGATCCCCAGCACAAGGCTATTCGTCGCGATCCTCGCATTAACTGGATTGCAAAGCCTGTTCACAAGCACCGCGAGGCTCGTGGTCTTACTGCTATTGGCAAGAAGAACCGTGGTATTGGAAAGGGACATCGCTTCAACAAGACCCAGGGTGGTGGCAGATATGCCAACTGGCTTCGTCGCAACACTCTTTCTCTCAAGAGATACCGTTAAACGTTATATGGCTGATCATTTTCAGGAGAAGCCGCAGTATGCTGGATTGGAAAATCTCTGGGTCGAGTTGTCGTGCATGTGTTTTGACTTCTTTGCTTGGTATCTGTATTCGATTCTCACTTTCAATACACTTGTGGCTTGTCGTTTTTTCGATTGCCATTCAATTTATCATATTTATATTTGGTTTTTCAATTTCTTGGTGTTTGTAGTTTATTTATGTGGGTTAAAAGGTTCATCATCGACAGATGGCTCAGTGTGGTGTTGGAATGGCTCGAGTGCATATGGGACGGTGGTGGATGACGTTATAGCCATGATTTTGTAGGCCTGACCCATGGCATCTGGATCAACAAGTCTCTCGTAAGCAGCAACAACTGCTGCCTTGGTCTTGTTATCTGTTGCGCCTTGAATTAAAGCCATGGCTCTGGCTCCTATTCCCATTTTCTCCAAAAAAAGTCCTTGTGGTACTGGTCCATATGCATTCGCTATAAAACAAGTAGGGTTGGATTCAAGCGATTGTTAGAGTGCTGTCGATACTTTGAAGCCAGACTTTAATATCATCAAAGCATATTGTATTTACCAATTCCTTTTACAGCGTGTTGAATTGCAGAAAAGTCGACATCCGCAGACAAATCACAATCACCTGGCATCGACAGAGGATGAACAATTTTATGGTTTCTAATACCCTAAATTCCAAACGTATCAATAAAGAGTCGTTTCTACACGATCAAAAACACTTACCCTTAAGCTATCGTCAATAACATGGTCGCGACCGTAATCAACAAACAAGGCTATACCACCATCGTTGGCAACTCTCTCGGCAATAGCTTTTGATACTCCAACGACATCTGGTGCTAGCTCAATTCTCTCGCCTATTTGAACATTCGCAAATCGATCCGTCACTGTAGGCTGCATAAGCGCGACGGACGCTTTAGTTGCAGATGGAGCACAAATGAATCGGAAATTGTAGGGTAATGTGGGAGTCTCGTCCAAATCAACCATGATCTCTCTCCATCCCTGTTCCGTTTTCTATACAAACTCAAACACAATTAGTCGACTTTCCATCCTATGCAAACCATTGTGCTACCCACTTGAAATTTGTAAACTGGCATCGCATCAAAAAACTCGTGAGCAATAATAAACGATGCAACAGTTTCGTCGACAGGAATACAGTCAAACGTATCGTGCCAATACACTTTGACTCCTTGGCTAGTTGTTCCTGTTACTGTGGTGCCATCTCCTGGGCGATAGGTTGAATTTTCTAGCGGATCCATTGTACAGTTGAGCATTTGGGCTTGAGTCTTTCGCAACTCGGGAGATGCTTCAACCAAATGAACGGCATTTAAGGGGTTGATCGTAGAGGTCTTGAGCTGTGTAAGGGTAGTGAGCATATCCGCCATCAGAGTGCCTCGACCTGGCCCAAGTTCAATTATATTGAAAGGTTTTTGAGGTGCTGTGGAAGGAATAGACTGGTACTGAAATGCTCCAGTGGGTGTTGATTTTGAAGCCACTACGGTTTGCCAATGGTTCATAAACCAGATTGCCATAAGCTTGATTCCATGATTCAGAAATAAATCAGATTTACAAATGATGGAATTGATGGCCAAATTTAAATATCAATTACCTCGCCAAACATTTGATTGATTTCAGGAGATGTTATAAAGTCACCATGTGGACCAAACACTTTTCCCTTCATATAGTATCCACCCAATGGGTGAATGAGTGCCTGTCGCATAAACTGTGCAGTTGATATGGGTCCGTTGATCTATGTTTAAACGAGCCATTCAAACATAAGAATTAATAGTTCAGCTTGCAACGTGAATTAAATCATTCTGCTTGCCTTGATCGAGTCAATTAAATGTTTAGCTAAAGAAGATATTGGCTCTTTGACAGCCAAAATATCTTTGGATGGATTTATGGATGTTAATGCAGATTTCATGGTCGATGGGTCGTTGGCTGGATGGGATTGTATGACATGTGCAACTTCAGGCACTTCTTTCATGGTTGTAAATGCCATACGCTGTGTATAAACTGTAGTAATGGATTGCAGTGTCTGGATTACATTTGAACGCCTGAGTGCAGACGCTCTACACACCAATCTAGTCAGCATTCTGCTCATTACAAGTTTAGTGCGATTTCTATCGAGTAAGAAATTTTGAATCTGAACTTCAACTTTCATCATCGTATAAATATTCCATCCTGCGTGAATACAACTGTAAACCGGTTCAACTCGTCGCTTTAAATTCGCATTTATTTCATTCCAGAGTCGTCCATCAGTCATATTTCCATCAGTAGATTTTATCATTCTATATTGGATGAATTGCACGACTCCATTAATGCCAGATAAGACGCTCGCATCTTGGTCAACAGCTGTTCTGCGTTTTCGAGATACAGACCCAGTGACAGCGCCATTTCGCTCCACTGTCGTCCTCCTTCTAAATGATGCACACTATCAACATGTTTCATACCATTTTAGGTCCATTCATCTTTGCATGGTTCATCTGTAACTCTACACTTACCTCCATCGTTCGCATCCTGCATTCCATGCACTGATCATAAGCCATTTGATCTCATTCTCTGGGTATGGAGTACTGTGACTAGCTGACTTGATTAGCGCATGCACTTGCTCAAACAGCTTGTATCCATCCTTGTCTTGGTGCAAAGCGATCGTTACAAGTGTCCTGAACCAACAGCTGAATCGAATTATATTTAAATTTTGGGATTGTCGCATCTGCTCATCCAGCATTGTCTTGATTGCATCATATGCCACTATTGATCATGCATTGATCCACAAAAATAATGTCAACAACTTCCTATTGGAATTTCACTCGAGATTTGACTCCAGAATTAGTGAGCACATACCGTGGTCAGGACACTCTAGTCGTAGAGTGATTTCTAAAATACCAGCATTATATCCACCAAAGTCAACCCTCTAAACAAACCCACTTTCACTTTAGTGTCATTGCATCAACACTCTACCTGCTAGCTGTTCAAGAATATTACAAGACACGCGCATATCTTGAGCATTCTTCAAATCCGTTCAAATCCGCCAAATCAGTCCTATTTCATTGCAAATGTTTAACTTGGAAAAATCAACCATACCTTGATCACGCTTTGTGCTACACTCCATTTCTTTTGTCGAACATAGATTTCAAACTTGATGGGTAGCAGCTGAATCATAGATATATCTGTCATGCGATCAAATGTATCGTCCAATTCAGACAGCGATTGCACTGCATTTTCAAATTCATGTATATATACGGTGGCCTTTGATAGATCTTCTGCAGCTTTTGTTGTATCTCCTTTCTCTACAATGAACAACTGTCCTAGTGCTGCTATAAATAGACTACAACTTTAATTCGTAAGTATTATACGTTTCTGACCGATTGTTTAGATTTGCGCTTTAAATCGTTGGACATACCTTGATTTCCGAATTTTCAAATGAGATATGGTTGTTGTTGAAAACAAAAGAGTCAGGTTGCTCACAATCTCAAACAAGTTGACTGTAGCTGTATTGGATATATCTAGATGTCCAATCTGTATAGCGGTATTCCAGCACACTCGAAGAAGCCAATCTACTTCAGTTTCAAACTGGGGAAAAGATTCAGTATTGGCTTCTCGAGTTTCTCCATTTTGAGACCACAGCTTGAGAATACCGTAGGCTTTATCCAATGTTTAAAATCAACAGCCATAATATTCCATTTGAATAGTAAAACGGGCTGTGAATGACTAGATCTACAATATCGAAAATCAAAAATGCTTAAACCGAGTTACCACTTTGAGGCATACCTTTGTTTGCATATGAAACAATAGCCTGTACATCAATTTTGTTTGGCTCGTTTGTTTTGGTAAGTCGGATAAGACACCGAATAATGGTCAAGACTTTGCATTTTGTGTCATCTAGACTCCAATCAATATGCCCCGAGGTAGCTACCATTTTCAAAATATTTCGAACTATTCCTTGATTTTCTTTCTAAAATACGCAGTTGTATCAGAAATTAGTTGGATTGATAGTTGTCTATTGGTATTACTTGAATGCCATACTTTTTGAGCAACTGTTGCTGCATGAATGTACAGATCCAATCGAGACTGAATCGAGATTTGTGCTAAATTTTCCATTGCTTACATATTGTTTTATGTTAGCATTGCATAGAATTGGAAATAGATTTAATTTCAATTTATCTACTTTTTTACCTTTAGCCTCGTCACCTTTTTCCAAGTACAGAATAAATAGCATAAGCAAAGTAGGTGGCATATCTGATTCTTGTTCAAATTGTTTTGCTGATTGACAAGATTGCATCCGAATTGAAAGATTTGAGTCGATGCAGCACATTTTGATTTATACTCTTTTAAAACATAGATGGACACACACCTTGAATACATTCTGTAAGCGCTTCGTCAATGTGATGAAGCTCAAATTGACACAGAGCGATTTTTCGATGAAGCATGGCATCATTGTGCCTGTCAACCATATTGTCTGAGATAAGGGTCAAACAAACCCTGTACCATGATATAGCTTCTTCCCATTGGCAAATCTGAGCGGCTTTATCCCCTGATTTCCACAATATCATCTGATTTCACGCAGTTTAAGACATATGTCATTATTTTACACTGTCTTGAACTCGCAATGTTTATATTTACCTGGCAGGTTCGAGCCGTGGAAGACTCGAATTCGACTAATCCAAAGTGGCCGAGTGTGGCTTTTACATACATTATGGTTTTAGTCGGATCTACTTCCATTGAAGTCACCAGATATAATTTCGTAACCAGTATTTTTTCGTTGAGCTCATTTTTTTGAAAAGACTTTGTGTTTAAATGTACCATCTCTTGATCCATAAACGAGTCAATGCATGTAAGAACAAGATCAGAGCTTTTAAATGAAACCAGTGAGTTTAAACAAGTCATTTTAAATAGTGATGAGGTTAAAAATATAGTATGATGAGAATAAAACATACTTGACTTGTTTGGCCATCATATGAACCATGGACATTAACCTAGAATAGCAAAAGCTTAAATATATTTATTCGAATATGTATAATTATGACTAGTTCCAACTTACGTTTTCATGCTGTTTGAAGATTCTGATATGGATTGCACTGAATTTGATACGGCCCGCATGAAGACTATATACATGGCATGTTACTAAAAAGTTAAAATTGCTTTCTTGAAGGATTGCGATGCTTTACTTTGCTCCAAACGGTAAGGTGTTGCTGATCCTTTGGCAATCATGGCTTTCATATTTAGATAATACATTGAAAGACATCCTGGAAACTCCTGCATAGAAGATTAGTAGTTGTGATGGAATTTCTATACAGGCATTCAAGTTTATTATGTCTTGGATAATGAATTTTACCTCGATAGCAGATTCTGATCTTCGTTCAGCATTTGGCCAGTCTTTTGCATCCAAGTATATGATGACTAGTGAGAGTAAAACGCAGCACTATTGATGGATAAAAACGCAAGATCGATATTTAGATGAATGATAGTATTAGACATGGCCTCATAGCATGCCATACTTTGAGCTCTGTGAGCAAATTTGATGTTGACAGAGAGTTCTGTGACAGCAGAACAGATAGAGCCATTTCACATAATGTAATTTTATCAGAGACTTGTGTTGCTGTTTTAGATAGTCGAATCACCAATCTAGCAAATTGTTCAACCTGCAATAGGCAAATGGTTTTAATCTTATCATTGCAGTAATTGGTAGAATATGAATTTAAACATAGTTTAGGATACTTGCCTGATGAAATCCAAGACTTGAAAGAATGGGTTGGCTGATTGATTTGTTAAGATTAAAGAATGCTGCAGATTGTATGTCTTTATTCCATTCCTAGTGGCCAGTATGATGATCAATCCTCAATCATTAATAGGGCTGAAATGCATAAACTAAATATAAACTTACCAATTGAGCCTTTCCTAAATATATCTCAAACTCGAGTATGTGATGATCTTTTGAGATGCAATCATTTCTGCTTTCAACACCATCTTGAGTGTTTAGAAACTAGTCCAAGATGTTAGGCTACACATTTGATTCCAGCGACGCGACTAGACAAAACTTGATACTAACTTGCAATGCCAAATTGAATTCTCTCTCTGAATCATCCGATCTGTTGGCAGCTATGTAAGATTTAAATCATCAGTTTTTATATTTAATGTCCATATAGAAATGGCTGACAGTACCTAACCATGCTTTGCCGCATTTCATATGCATATCGGCAAAATTAATATGCACTAGACAGAGTATAACAAGTTTAAAACGGCGAATTTATAAGATATTGAATAATGAACTTTTGACAATACCTGAATAGCCACTGACCAAGTCATGGTGTCTTGACAGTTGAATAATTTGTAAAGCAATCTGTCGTACTATACATGACATTGAATAGCATGAATTATTGTATAGAAAGCAGTCATGATACAATTTATTCGAACCTTGAGCTTGAACAACTGACTCTAAGCCATACACAACGGGATGAGAAATCACGGATGATTCCTGATCGTTGTCTAGCAGACTGATGGAACATTCTGACTTGCGACGAACTATTTCGTTCCATAAACGAACACCTTTAAAGACGAGGATTACAAAGTCAGAATCAAACACCAGACATGCATGAGACATGGTTTAAAGAGACATACAAAAGCAGTACCTGCTTCATCTAATGCATCAAGTTCAGAAGTTGATAATAAAAGAGAAGGAATAGATTCTGTAATGTGAATAGTGGATAATGTAGTGCTGAGTAGGTCGAGAGCGAGGTTGAATTGAGCAAGAGTGATGACTGTGGGAGAGTGATCGAGAGTAGATAAAGCAAGAAACAAGTCTATAAAAAAGTAAGAAACTGTAATAATCTATTAACAAGAGTGTAAGCAGTAAATACCAGCAGCAGCATCAATCACTGAGCGAGCAGGAGTGGACATTAGATTCAAGTTTCTAAACGTCGCGACTGTTTAAGGTTTGAACACGATTTGGATTGCAATTGATGGAATTAATCAAACTAATTCTAATGGAATCAATCAGACTGCTTTAGCAGTCTGTTGGAATTAATTAAACTAATTCTAATGTAATTAATCAGACTGCTAAAGCAGTCTGTTGGAATTCAATTCAATTCAAATGTAAATTTTACATTATTAAAGAATATTCTCGTCATTATAAATACAATATTAAAATTAACAATTTCATCCTTTTTTGTTCATAATCATATATTCAAACTTATTACAAATGGCTTCATCCAACTCATTGTCCATCTCACATATACCTCTTTCTACTGCTCTTCAACATCATCACTTAATTCAACCTAGTCCTGTCACGGATCAACGTAACTGGTGCTTTCGTCATCATCCTTCCTTTTTTCGTTCAACTTATTCAGCTGATGAAGCAAGATTGTTACAGGTATTTCATTCATCATTCACCCAGCTATATGTCATGTTTTGGTATATTCAATACTGAATTCAAAATAGAATCCATTTCATCACACTTGTACTCTTATCAAGTGATTGCGTTCTAACTCTATTGCTGACTATTCACCTTTGTATTATAGCGACTGGTTGCTCTCTCTGAGTCAGAACAGCAGCTTGTACGGAATATATGGCAGCAGATGGATTCAGCTTCTCCAGCACTTCGAGAAATTATCATTGGAGGAATTCTTCACAAGTCATGTCTACCACAACTATCTTACATATCTGCTGCTATTAAACCATTAACCAAAGTCGATTTTATTGCAGCTCTTCCTACTGAAATCTCCTTTAGAGTCTTACGGTATCTGGATGGACAATCCTTGTGTCACTGCGCACAGGTTTCGCGAAGATGGCGAATCGTATCAGATGATGACGCCATATGGCATCGAATGTGTACCCAACATATTGACCGTAAATGTACAAAGTGTGGATGGGGTTTACCATTAATACCCAGTGTTACTACAAATCGCTCTACTCTTGCTTCAGAAACACCATTGATGAACGCTCCTTTGGATGTCCAAACTTCTGTGACTCCATCCATCGAGTCGGCTTTTCATTCCGTTAATCAGTCTGCTCAGAGTCAACATCGACCTTGGAAGCATGCTTTTGCTGAAAGATTGATTGTAGAACAGAATTGGCGACGAACTAATTACACTTCTCGCACACTCCAAGGCCATCGAGGTGGAGTTTTGGCTTTATGGTACGATGATTGTACTTCACGTTTGGTAACTGGTGGATACGACTCGACATTGCGTGCTTGGAATGTCGAAACTGGAGAATGTCTGGCTATCATGACAGGTCACACTCGATGTGTGCGTGGTGTTCAGTTTGATAATTCAAAGATCATCTCCTGCTCAATGGATCGTACATTGCGCATCTGGTCCACAGAAACATTTGAATGTCTACGTGTGGTCGTTGGTCACAACGACGGTGTCGTTTGTCTGCATTTCACTGAAACAATCCTTGCTTCTGGTTCCGCAGATGGTGTAATTCGTGTAACAAAACTTGCTGCTAACAAAACATCTAATCTTAGTGGCCATACAGACTGGGTCAACAAAGTAATGATTCTTCCATGCAGGCAGCGTCTACTATCCTGTTCTGATGATATGACAATACGGCTGTGGAATATTGAATCTGGAGATACATTGCTGGTCTACGCAGGCCACGTTGCTCCTGTTCAATGCTTTCAGCTTATTTTCCCCCGCTATTCCAAAGAAATTAAACTTGAAGATATCAGAGTCGTGACAGGCTCGCTGGATCATACAATCAAGATTTGGAATTTTGCTACCGGTCAAACCCTCCGTACTCTTTTTGGTCACATTGAAGGTGTGTGGTGCGTCGATGTCAACTCGCTTCGTGTTGTAAGTGGTTCGCATGATCACACTCTCAAAGTCTGGGACATTGAAAGTGAAAAGTGCATGTACACCATTGAAGGCCATTTGGGATCTGTAAACTGCTGCTGGCTTACAGATACCAAACTCATTAGTGGGGATGAAAATGGCATAATTACTGTTAGAGATTTTTTGCATAGTCATCGCAATAATAGAGCCATCGATGCTATCACAAGTGCTGTAGAAAATGCTGATGCAAGTGCAGATGTTGGTAGCCTCGACCGTTCTCATCTTGAAAAAGTCCTAATCCCTGCTATCCCTTCATGACAATACTTGCGCTTTGCGTATTCCTTGATTTTCCATCTTTAACTCAATTCGTGAATATCTTGCTGTCTATTTTTATCAACAAAATTCCCTAGCCTCTTATGCCATCTAATTATATGGGTTTCAAATATATACTTTATTGTTTCTGTAATGAAATCTCTCGCATTCTCGACATCATCTTGAGTCTTTTTTCTGTCACGCTTTCGTGTTCTGGTGCATACCGGACTTGGAGTAATGAGCCATAAAAACTGGCATCCTTCATCTTTTGTCTTGCTTCTCTAAAAAAGCTAAAATAGTTAGACCCCAAATGATGCCAGTGGAATCAGGGTAGGATACTAATGGAGCCTTGGGGTTGTCAACAGATTTGTTGCATTTCTGATTTAACCAAGCGTTGGAAACCTCACCTTGCGCAAGATACTTGAGCATATTTGATCACATAGGCTTCAGTAAACGGTTCTACTAAATAGTCTTTTAATTGATCGACACTATCAACACGTTTAATATTAATACTTGACGAATGCCATACTTGAAACTATCAAATCTCCAATGCCAGTAAGCTGCAAGATGAAACTTGCCTTAGAATCCCACCAAAATACGCAAATCGATGCTCAAGCTCAGTAGATACGTTGATGGCAGGAACATTCTCAACTACAAGAGTGCTATATGTATTCGTTAATACTCATTGAATCTCAAGGTTGCTGGCACAATCAGACCATTTTAAAATATTCTCAATTCGACTCACCTTGACTCGCTTTGTATAGTCATGACTTGGGTTAATAGTAAGTCGATTGATAACCTAAACTAGAGCAGTACTAGGATCTGATTCAAGTAGTATCCATACCTTGCACTGCTCTATGCTGATTGGGTGAATCTCGCTTGTATTTTCTCTTCCTGCCCATAATACAATGTCTGACACTACAACTAGTGGTAAAAACAAGTAAACCGAGTTGATTGTGCAGCCAATCTGCTCCTTCCGATCTAGTCTTGATGCAAGATGGTGATGAAATTTGACACTTGTTTTACTTCCTTTTTGTAGGAACAAAACAATACAGTTTAGATATTGTTGTCAATCCAAGCTTATAAACCCATCTGTTGTATTTTAAAAACTCGCAGATATTCCACGCTCTAGTTCAAAAACCATTGCACATCTTGGGAATGCAAGCGCTGTTTTCATGTCAGCTACTTAATGTTTGTTTTGGAGAGGTGTAAATGTTGTTTTGGACACTCGTTTAGTTATACAAAGATGAGCACAAGGATCAATAAAGACCAAAAAACACAATGTTTTTAGTGAATTAGCACAATCATGTCATGAGATTGGTTGTTGATTATGTATTTTGGTATTCTTATCTAGCATTCCAGTTTACGTGAACATGGCGGTAAAAATAGTAAAATTCTCGACATTTTAAAAATTTGTTGATCTTGCATCACAACTCTACAAGATTCGCAATCAATATAGACTATTCAAAAATAACGAATTTGTCTATCATTTTGGATTTAAACCATGTCAGCTTCTATAATGAAGCAAAGTGAGTCAACAGTAGACCATTCCGTAGCTCTCATAAAAACCCGCTCATTGGCAAACTCGACAGACCTTTTATCAGCTGCATCTACAGCTGTTCGCGTCAATCTTGCTCCACGAAGCTACTCGTCCACAACTCTCCTAAATGCTGTTGTCCATTCTCCCTCTCGCCACATCTCAACTCGCAAAAACAGGCATTTAAGCTCAACAGCTCTTTTAGATATTCAAAGAGCAAAGAGTACATTTCAAAATGCAAACATCTCTGCATCCCTTGCAATGAGCAGCGAGCTGGAAATGAGGATTGTGGATGCAATTACAGGTGACGATCCCATGCAAGAAGGTACCAAAAGTCTTGAAGATGTAGAGCGAAACCGATTAGAAGAAGAGCGTAAAGCCGTCTTGGGATTGACTGGTGCCCAGCGGATTATGCTACAAGATAGGTACAATCATCCATCTGTCAAATCTAAGCATCCGGCTTTATACTATTTAATCATTCCGTTTTCAATTATAGATATGATCAACTTAGAGACACATTTGTTTTTAAAACTCGAGAAATAGGTGCAAGCGCGAATGCCTGTATTCAAAATGTACTATTGGATTTCAAACAGAAATGGAAAATAGGCAGCGCAGGTATCTTTATGCATACATAATATTTAAACCCCCAGTTTTTTACAAGTTTGGCTTTTAATCTTGGGTTTAATCTGTGCTTGATGTATCATAGATGGCGCATATATCTTGGACTTGTTGTCAACCGAAAAACTAGCACAAATCTCTCGTGATCATATATTGTCCTTGACAGACGATATATTTGAAGCATCTAGATCACAAGAATCCAAACTAAAACAACTTGAGAAACAACTGGTTGATATTGAGTTTGAGAGATCTCGACAAATTGCACACTTGGTTGAAAAGTTTTCAAAGCAACTTAAAAAACTTAATTTCAAGCGGCCAGTAATGATTGATCGAATGCTGCAGGTAAATGAAAAGATGAAACAATTGGTTGTTGATGCTATATCTCTGAATGCAATAGTGACCATCAATTTTTAATTTTATTCTTGTCACGATTTAGGAAGAATGCATTTCGGCCAACTTGATCATTATTGCAAATTATGAGGCTATTCATAAATATATTGCCACACTGCATAGCGTTAATGTTGATGTAGATAGCAAAATGAAAGAGTACTTGCTCTTGTACGGCAAAAAATGGAATCAAGCACGATACGATTTTGTATATACTAAATTTGTCGAGGCACTTTCTAGTGTACTAGATGTAGATGTTCACGAGTTGTATATGCGCTTTCAGGATACATTTCATATGAATGTAAAGCAGCAATCGGAAATGGTAAGCAACAATTTGATTTTAAACTAATAGGAGTAGTATTTAAATGCATATTACTTTTAATTTGATTACCCAAACAGTTGAAGGAAATCACAGAAATGCACATTGATCAAATCACCTGCAAGTGGCTGGTTTTTTGGAGATCAAAAGTCAAGAAAAGTGTCGAAGATCAAGAAAGATCCATTAATGAATTTCAAAAAGAACTTGCCGATTTTGAGACTAAAATGGACAACAGTGTCAAAAACCTGATTGAATTTTGGTTTCCATCGTTTGAAGAATGCGAGACAAAAACCAAAGAAGAACTCGATGTAACCATACAAAGTATGTATTTTCCGAGAGTGTTGAAATGGACAGTGGTTTGCATATTGTTTTTTGACGCATTGCTATATACTACATTAGATCAGGTCAAAACGTATCGCAAGACCGCTGAAATATTGGCTGGAAAGCGTGCCTGTATATTACTTTCATCCCAAGCATCCCGAAATCGTGTTGTTCTTGAAAAAGTAGCCGAGTTCATAGTATGTTTACTTGCTATCAAGGCAGAGTTCTCTGATCATCTCGCTGTAGCTGAGCTAGACACGGTCGCTCATGTACATGATATTTCCGCTGATTTTTTGGTTGAAAAAACTACCACCGAAAAGGCATTGCAAAAGGAAATGGCGGCAATTCATACAGAAACTCGCGAAAGTTTGATTACTCAACGGCTATCAAAATGCCAAGAGCTTTTTAAAGCAATTGATAATTGTCTGCATCAAATGTTTAAACAGAGTAGCGGTACTATTGAAAGTATGGAGGATAAGATACACGTGATTCAAACTGCCTACAAAGATAAAGTATGCCATTTAAAATAGCCTGAAACCTGTGATAAAATGATTGCTTGTAATTTAGTCAGTTTTCGGTTGACTAATCTTTAAAAATATGTAGATTACAGCAATGTTTAAATTGGATGCAGTGTCTGTTGGTGCAGATCAATCTCAAGTGCAGAAATATAAACAAAAGTTGCACGCAGAAGACTCAACGTATAGTTTGAAAGAATCCCAATCGCTAGATACGTTCCAAAACTCTGCCGAATCTCTAGTAAAATTTTCCACAGGTTTGAATGCTGCTTCATTAGAAGTGCTGGGAAATGATTTGGCTGTGGTAAACAAAGTACAATCAAACAGTCATTCTCCAGCAAATTTGATTTCGCGAGTTTCTAGTGTAGCCAAGCTAGATCCAAACTTACAACCCGATTCTTCCAAAAAGACTTGCACTACTTTTGAAAATCTGAAGCATGAAGAAATACGTGTTCATGAAGTAGAGTTTTTTTCAAAAAAAGTAGCGGAATGGAGACAAGAACAAATATATCAAGCCAAAGTACGTGCAGCACAAATCGAATCCGAGTCTTTGGTTTCCAAATCAAAAAAAACTCAGCCCAAGCCTAAGCATGGAAAAAACACCAATGTGCCATATGCAAAACATGAGCGAAAACACTCGGATGCATCGGTTGCTTTTGCACATATCTATCAACATGCAAAAGAGGACTTGGATATAGAAAACAAGCTTGATTGTGCAGTACTCAAGCCAACTTTATTGGATGGCACTGAATATACCATGCGTTTTGATGCTGTTTTATTTCTTGCTGATATGGATTTTCCATCTGATTTGAATGCTTCAACGTATATTTCAAATACTGATTTAGCTACCAGTGTAAATGATATTGACCATGCGGTTCAAATTCCGCATATACCCACCGAGTTATTACGCGATTTGCGTTTGTACCTTGAGCAAACTACACAAAATGATCAGCTTTCTTGGGAAATGAGTGTTAACCAATCTATCACTGAGCGGATTAAAAAAAAGCTTGAGATACTAACATCAGCTCGAAATCTGGAGATCATTGAATACGAAAAGCGTCTTCACAAGGTGTTCACGCTTGCACAGTCTCGGCTTGATCTGTTGAAGCATTTACGAACATCCCACGAAAATGAAGCATGTGTGCTGTTTCAAAAAATCAATACACTTCAAAATAAATATGCAGCAGAGATCCAAAGACTAATCGCCATATCCGTGGAGTTTTCCACACTCGTCATCGCACCTTTGGCTACAAAAATGGAAAAAGTCCAATCACGCAGTGAATTGCGCAAACTTCAAACAGATTTTCACAATCAAATGCGATTGCATTCCACATCACTCAAAAAATGTTTATTGGCGGCTACAAATATGTTTGATCATGAAAAGGCTGCAATCCTTAAATCAAGGGTGGTAGGAAACCATGCTGCTGCGTGGCAAATTCTTAAAGATCTTCGGATGGCAGATCCAGATACTGTTTCTCAAGAATTGGAAAATTGGCGCAAGGCATTTGATGAAGAGATTGAGCGAGTGCAAACAGAAACAGGAAATAGTGTGAGTCAATTTAATATTGATTTTGCTGCATATCTGGATGACTTTGATATGATTGATCGAGTTGGACAATCGCTGGCTAGTTTGAGGCTTCAACTCAAAGCCGAGGTAATGTGCTTTAATTTTTATGCTCAATGTTAGTCAATAGATGGAATCAATGCCAAAATAATGTTTTGATTGTAGTGGGTTCGATATACGGCATCACAAAAAGAACTAGAGTTAAAAATCAAATCGCTGCATAGTTTACGAGAAAACTCCGAGTTTACTTGGGTATGTACAAACTACATACCATGGTTTCAAAACACAATAGCTTACCATGATGCTGATCTTATATCTATGTTGAATTTTAGATTAAAATGCAGCATTATATATCTGAATGTGAACACATCAGATTCCAAATTTCCAAAAATGCTTACTATCTCGATTGTCTCAACGTCAATGTCTATCCAGCCATATTTAATGCTAATTCGCCAAAAACCTTGGCAGAATGGAAGTGCGATAAACAAAATGATATATCTGCAGCAGCTTTAATGTCGTCATTACCAAAGTTACCAAAAAAAGCTACTGGATCACGCAAGGATTTGGATACCAAACAAGGTAGCGAAAGCTCTGTGCAACTTGCGCAGCAAAAATATGAATCCAGATCAAACGAGGGATTGAAGAAAACCAGTCTGATCAATTCGGATTGTACTTTACCAAAACTCGGGCTGGACGGTGAACTGCAATCTATTGAAAGTAACACTCGGTCGCAAAAACTAATGTCTACTAGCATTCTAACGCTTTCAGATTCCAGTGAATATGCAACAGGACAGGCAAAAGCGGAGAGGCGCGAAAGCTACTCGCGATCATATTCTGCATCGACTATTTTATCTAACGATGCTATGCTAAAGGAAAGTCAAAAAGGTTCAAGTTTTCGAAAATACAATGCACCTAGATCCGCAGGAAGCTTACAGTCGGTCAATTGCATCGTGGCATCAGATACAAAACTTAGCACTTTATCCAATGATGGGTTTCAACATGGTTCATTGCAGTCAAATGCTGTCATGAAAGATTTGATGGGCAACAATAGCATTTTAAAGTACACTCAATTGTACATGCGTTGGTTTAAAAATACTAGACAGGATATTCAGGAACACTGCGAGGGATACTATGCCATGCGATCTGAGAAGGATATTCGCAAAAAAGATGAAATTTTACCCAACCAGTACCATTACATGAAATCAATTGACCAGCTGCTTGCCAAAGTTGAAATTCAAGCTGAACAATGGAGAAAGGAAAAGATTAAAGGTGTGTTGGTTAGGTTTCAAGTTTGACAAAATTTACTATTTCAAGCACATTACTAATAATCTATTGCAGAGTTTTGTTCAATCTTGAATTTTGTTTATCAAGAGTTTTCAAAATCAATTCCATACATTTACAGAGTTTTGGCACAAGAAACAGAAGAAACTTTGCTGCATGAATGGCGCGATTGTACAATCCATTTTGCTCGACATCGATCGGCCATTTACAAAAGCAAGGAAGACCAGGAAAGACAACTCAAACTAAGTCTTGGACATCCACGATGGGAAGTTGAACTGGAAAAACTTGACCAGGCTGCACAAAACACATGCCTTGAATACAAAGCGTGTATTGAACAGCTCTGCGAGTCATGTACACAAAGACTTCAAAATTTATCAATAGAGTTTACAGAAAAGGTCGAGTATTCGGCATACGTACTTTCAGCAATTTTTGATGGACTGGTTTTGCTTGGTAAAGATATGCTTGAGATTTCAAGTAAGTTTTGTACATTTTATAGCGTATTGACCATTTTTCTATCCAAGTCTATTGCTTGAGTGAATGTAGTAACATTGAATATTGCTTTAAACAGACCAGGTGGCCGATCGTGCGGAAATGGCAAGACAGGCAGAAGTCAAGATTAGTATGCTGAAACTATCCAACAATCAGTCTGCAGTCAAAGAAATGCACACTCTGCATCAAGGAAATAGTCAAGTATTTTCGCAGACACTAAATATTTCCAAGCCCAGCAAAACTAAAAGATGGGCAGCGTGTTCCACCAGCTCTTTTCCATTTGCATCTCTTCAGTCAGAGGTCTATCAACGTAAGTGGAGCTGTATTAGGATTTCCATGACATCAATGCATTGCTACAGTGTTGAATTTTAATGTTTCTGCACCAATTGACAACCAACATATTTAAAACAAACGATACCACTTAGCCCAGGTGCTGAAAGCTAGATCTACTCCACTTCATACGGATTTAATTGCAAGTCGCGATAGTACATTGGACAAATTTTCATTAGAAATTAATCGACGCATTAGGTTGTTGAATGAGCAGATTCAGATCGAGCAGACGGCCGAGCATCAATGGCGTTTAAAATGGCAAAACAATGTATCACGAATCAAGTCATCCTACTAAGATTTCAAGACGCAATATAAATGTATTTCTTAAAACCTCAACTGAATCTGTTTCGAGATTGGACTAGGGGCTATAAAGTGGTTGAAACGCTGGGTTGAGTTTGAATGTGGTGGTTGTGTAGATTAGACCTTTTCAATGCCTAGCTTTTTTTCAATTGTTTTTATCTCTTCAGAGAAATAGTGGAATCTCCAGTTTTCAGTGAATGCAATGCCAATAGGTGCGATCTTGTCTGCTCCTACACCGTTTATAAATTTGGTTCCAAACACCTGTGCCTTGTTTGTAGCCTTTACATCCAATAAATCAAAATAATTGAAACAGTAAGTTACAACAGACTCAATTTTTTGAAATAGTAGATTGATGCACCATGCACTTGGCAAGCAATGCTGAACTCGCTTACCAAATCCATTTCAACTCGATCGATTTCATACCATGACATTTTCTTTCCCCGCTGATGCCAAAGCGTGGGTGAAACTCTTCTACCCTTTCCAGAATTTGGAAGGTCTCCAATAAGGTCCAACAGAGTTTTGTGACCTCGCAGCTTCAAAAAGGATGGGTATTTGCCCCATAAATCTCGAATGACAGAAGACATGATGTCCAAGACGAAAAGAAAACGCCGTTTATTTTTTGGCAGTTTAGTTTTGCCCAAAATATTTGATGGCCAAAATCAAGCTGCTAAAATCTTTGAAAAAAATAATTTTTTTTTACAGTAATTTAGCCAGGTAGTATCGACATTCAACTACAATAGGATCATAATGATTAGAAGACAAACTAGACTTCGTCGAGAGTATCTTTATCGAAAGGCTTCCGAGTCCAAGGACAATCTCATTTACGAGCGAAAGCAGCAATTGAAGCAGGCAATTGAAGGTCAGACTAGCTTGATTTGCAGAAAATCATATCAGTACTACTTTAGGTCACTAACAATCATGGCTTATCTGGATTATTTTACATCATTTTGAAAACATATCAACCACATGTATCATGAACCGCTTTTATAATTCATATGTATATAATGTAATGCTTTACAACAACTAGATGGAAAACCAATCCCAGGAGATATCAGAAACGATGCCGAGGAGTTGAGAAAGGATTTGGTATTTGATGAAAATCAAACAGGTGCGTTTCCTACTTGACTATAATTCTCGTGTTAAATCTATATACTTTATTATGTGAGCTGCATAATCCAACACATCATTGACTAAAACTATTTTATTCATGTAGCACCAACAAATCATATTGATGACGAATATGCACGAGCAGGTGAAGTTGATCCAAAAGTATTACTGACCACATCTCGTGACCCAAGCAGTCGGTTAACCATGTTTTCCAAAGTATGGTTTTTGAGTAAAATCTGATTATAAATGGGAGCTTGTCATCAAGACTTGAAATTAATTGCATTTTGAAATTCTGATTATTGCTACAGGAATTGAAACTCATGTTTCCCAACTCTCAGCGAATGAATCGTGGTAACTACATTATTGAAGATATTGTTGACGCTTGTCGTAAAAGTGATGCCACAGATCTCATTATTCTACACGAGCATCGTGGTCAACCAGGTAAAACGCTTGCGTTGTCATTAATGTCGAGTCGATGAAACTAATCACTACTTGTTGGTTACATTGCGGATTAGATGGCATGGTCATTTCACACTTTCCATATGGACCTACAGCATATTTTACATTGCACAATGTGGTACTGCGACACGATATTCCAGACCGTGGAACTGTATCTGAGCAATTTCCTCATTTGATATTTGAAAATTTCAACTCCAAGCTTGGACAGCGAGTATGTCAATTTGAAAGATTGACTTGAATATGGAGTTTATTCACTCATGCTTGAATTTAATTGGCATTGTAGGTGCAAAACATCTTAAAGTATCTGTTTCCTGTTCCAAAGGAAGATAGCAAGCGTGTCATGACATTTGCAAATAGTAGTGATTATATTTCATACCGCCATCATGTCTTTTACAAGGTGGATGGCGAGATTCAGCTAGCCGAAGTTGGACCTCGTTTTGAAATGCGCTGTAAGTTGGAGCCGTATTGGGTTTCTGTGATTTTACCATGTGTCAATCTGTCTAGGAAGTGTATGGACCAACCAAGCTGATTTATTTTTATTTTACTAACAATCTAATGTACAACTTAGTATACGAAATCAAACAAGGAACTGTAGATATCAAGGAAGCTGACACGGAATGGGTATTCAGACCGTACCAACGTACTGCTAAGAAACGAGATGTGTTGTAGTCTGATTATCCACCAAATAAAAATTCGAGGTCATTATTCCAATCACGGTGTCCATTTACATTGTCTAGTTGGCTACACTATTTTTTGTTGGCAAGTGATGGCAGCTATGAATCAATGTAGTGTCAGCTCTTTAGCTCTTTATTTCAAACGAGTTAAATTGGACATTATCAATGGCCTTGGTATCAACCTTGCACTGTGTAATAACTGACTTTGGCGATCCTTTGGTGCATATCCAAGTTTTACTAGGCAAAAAAAGTGAGCATGCAAATGTGTGGGTCTGTCGTGGTTTACCAATATGCTGCCCGATTATGCCCACTTACAATTTGGTAATATCTTCCTTTGAGCCTTGAGCAATACCAACTACCGACCCGCTACTGGTGTTGCGTACCCATCCAACTAGCCCTAAACCATCTGCATACTTTTTGGTATATTTTCTGAAAAACACTCCTAAAATGGCGTTATATTAATGTCCAATTTATATTCTCAGCAGTTGGGTTTGAAAGGTTTTGGAGATACTTTATTTCAAACAACGAAGTGGGATGGCCGAATACTTGCCTTGAACTCTGCCCATCACTTCAAAAGAGGCATTGATGGTTATGGCAATGGGTGTTGTGTTACTGCTCATAAACAAACTGTTTAAAATGCGACAGATGTATTCAGTCTTGGTCAAAACGTCGAGGTATTTCTTGTTAATGGCTTTATATAATGGCAAGCATGTGCTTGCTTGCAGCTAATTGATGCAAGGCATTTTGTTCAAATCTACCACGAATGCAATAATTCAAATATTCTACTCAATGTTATCAATGTTTTAGTAATTATGATAATAGTGGAAACGCCCGACTATAGCTGCATTGTTTCCAAGTAATCAAGCGGATGACGGCTATGTTTCAAAACAATGGATTTGAACAGTCATCCAAACGATTATCATCAAAAGATTTTGTGGATAAAGTACTTGACAAACATATGGCACTGATGGCGCGATTGTTGGCCTGACAGAGTCTAATTTATCTAAAAGTGTATTCAGTTGGCAATTATGATATGCCGAAAAAGAATCGCCAGATTTAGCTTTTCTCCTATTGCAGGCGGAGAAACATATACCAGGTGTCACGTAATGGATATACCTGGATTGAGGATCACTAATACATTAAACTAGTAGTTTACAGCAAATAGGCATTGCTCACCATCATTCAAACAACAAATTTATTTCTATTATCTAAAGTGGATCTGCAGCAGGTGAGTGAGGCGTGTTGCTCAACTTCTGGACTTCTCATTGCTTAGCCTCCACCTGCACTGATATCCTGCCACACCAACATCACAAACAATTGGAAACTTGCAGTGCAGGACCATAACGATACAAAAATGTTGTCCATGCGGGTTGAAAAAGGTTGTTTTTTCTCTCATCACATTAAAAATTGATATCCTATTACTTTTGACGTTGCTTTTCCTGCTGGACTATTTTATTAAGATTGGCGAAACTTGTTAGTGCTGACTTGCACACCCATCTCATCATTGCCTTGGTATTAATTTGGGTTTTAAATTACCTCATGCAACGTCATACTACTTCCCCAAAGTTGACTCCCACTGATATTTATTGTGAAAGCAATACTACTGACATATCTCCCACACCAGCAATAATGACCGTGACAGCAACAACTACTGCTGCTACCACCTCAACTCACACTGCAAATCTAACCAATGCCGACATATTTTTACCTAAAATTCATAAAGCTGATAAACCAACATCTGACTTTATGGATAGGGCAGAATCGGGCTGCCGTGAATCTGCCATAAAAAATGCATGTGTAAGTAGCGAAATATCTAAAAAGCGTCCTGTATCTACTTTTCATCAACCTCGAGTGCTATCTTGGCTGCGTCACAAAACCTCCAAAATATTCACATCCCGCCCATCTACAAACATCCCTTCATCTAATGTACTCGAGCCATATTCACAACCTAAATCCGAAATTATCCACACATCGCTGGTTTCGACCGACTCTCAAATGGTTTGCTCACAGCCATCATCTACTAAACTTGAGCCTTCATCTTGGCATTCTGAATCTGCTATTGATCAGGCATTGTTAATTCCCAAATCTACCGATTCGAGTACAAATGCAAATTTTATGTCTACGTTGGCAGACATGAAATCTTTATCGGAAAACCTGCGAAGTGTCGAAACACTCATGCCTCCACTTAGTCCTGACCGATTCACCTACATGGAGCCCATGAATAATACAAAAGACGAATGGGCCGCACCTAATTTTGAACTTGCGGCTGATATGAGTGTCGTGAAACCCAAGTCGAATCAAAACATTGACATGGTTCCGATAAATCACAATGCTAATCTTCAGAATGAATCTTTACTACATCCAACCATAATTGGGACACGCGATACAGCCATAACCAAACAAGATACCAATATTTCACAACTTGGTCGATTTGATTATCCACCCAATGTTCAACATAATCACCAGTCAATCCAGCAAATAGATTCCTGCCAAGTCGAAAGTCCACACATTCCTGATTGTGATCCTACACCATCAGCCAATTCTATATGGGCATTGTTTGGTCCCCGCATATGGTGTCGTCAAAACCAATTGTTTAAATCTTCACAAATGTCTGTTGCTCAATCACAAGCAAATGTTGCCTTATCAAACTCCACTCTTTCTGGGCAGGATCAAGCAGTTAATTCAAGTAAACACATATCTCCAATGTTCTATCAACGGGCTTTAAAAAAAATTAAGAGTTTATTTAGGAAATACAAAAAGAAGTGGAGATATAACCATCATACGGCCAGACTCCTTGATGGATCCAGCGATGCTTTTCCCAATATCATTGTATCGGACACGACTCTTTCACACAAATCAAAGGGATTATCTAGCAAACAAGAGTCACAAATTATACCTGCGATACAAAGAATATCCAGCGCATATCTTGAACCAAGCATACCCAAAAGTCATAATTCATCAAATCCATCAAGAAAAGAATCGAGTAAAATAGATGAAATGGACGAGTCGTCAAATCAAAGCCAGTCCAAGAGTCACAACAGCAGCAACCATTTAGATCATACAGGTCATGGTCCAATGCCTTCTGCATCCCAGTCCATTCATGCCTCATCTCTAACACGTCGAGTTTCGAGTCCAGAGGATCTTCATTTTATTCGCAAAATAGCTTCGGGTGGATTTGCTGACGTATTTCTTGTGCGTCTTAAAAGTCGAGCAGACGACTATTACGCACTCAAAACCATGCACAAGGCAAACATTGTCGAAGCCAAACTAACAAAACAAGTGCTATACGAAAAGAATATTTTAGAGTCAGTTACGCATCCATTGATTGTTGGATTACTACATACGTTTTTGAGTCCCTCGCACTTGTTTTTTTTGTTTGAGTATGTGGATGGTGGCGATCTATATAGAATTATGAAGCGGGTTGGGGTGAGTCAGTTTAGCCATACACTACTTGACAAAACTAGACTCTTGAACTATTTTTGACTGATGCAATCTAACCAGTCCAACTTTGATTATTTTGAATCATCTTTCTGTTCGCATGACAATGCATGTTTAGAAATTTGATGGTCGGCAAGCACGGTTTTTTGTGATAGAGATTACCACTGCAGTGGAATACCTACATTCACATGGCATAGTTCATCGAGATCTCAAACCAGAAGTATGTTTATTTTTGAATCTGTGAATGTTGGATTAAAGTACTAATAATTCTATGTTGGTGTTGTTTAGAATATACTGTTGGATAGAACGGGACATATCAAACTTGCAGATTTTGGGTTTGCTAAACTTGTATCGACTACCACATCGTCGTTTTGTGGAACGCCAGAATATATGGCACCAGAAGTCATACTACAAGAACCCTATGCACATTTGGTAGATTGGTGGTCTCTTGGGGTCATTCTCTATGAACTCGTGTGCGGTTACACTCCTTTCAAAGACAAGAGTCTGAATATGATCTATGACAATGTAATTGAAGGAAGACTACAATTTGCACGAGAACATCGAGGACATGTACGATCTCTTGTTACTGGACTGTTGACAATAGACCCAGCATTCAGATTAGGCCACGAGAATGGTGCACAAGATATTATGACACATTTGTGGTTTGTAGATATTCATTGGGAACTAGTGGCATCCAAATATCTTGTTCCGCCATTCACTCCACAAGTACAATCACCTAAAATAATAGAATGGCAAGAATGTGTCAATCTACACGATATTGAAGAGTTTCGGAGCGAGAGTTCATACGAATCGTCAATTGATTCTGATTTTGCTTCATTCTGAAATGAAATTTAATACCCAAGATAGCACTATTTAAAACCAGATATTTTTTAGGACTGAGGTTATATTTGAATATATAATGATGATGAATAGATGAGTTTGACTGACAACCATATCTGGATTGCAATGGATGAATCTGAAGGTTTTGGTTTAAAATGCACGGCTATGCCAAAAACAAAGAAAAGAATAATTAGTTTTAAACTAGTTTGACTGTATTATCACATGTGACTGTTGTGTTGAAAAGACAGTTTTTAGCAAGTTCAGCAAATAATCGTTGATTTCAAAGAAATAAAATTGCAGATCGACGCAAAAAAGTATTCCATTTTACGTGAATACTCTATGCAGAGGTGAGTGTTGAATTATACTTTAGTGCTGACCCTACATCGAGTTTATCAGACTAATAGTGTTGTTGGTCATAGAGATAGTACATTCCCCATTGATGCTATGGACATGAATGCTGGAGAAGCTATCGCTCAGTCCATCCCATCTTCCCAATCCGTCGATAAAACCAACACGACAACTTCAAGTACTCTTTCACCCAGCAATGGTAGCATCAGTGGTACAATGGGAATGAACTCTTATGCTCTCGACTCTTTTGAGCCAAGTCTATTCAATATAAATCCTCTAGGCATCAACGAACCTCCACAACCACCACTGGCCAATGATTTGGATTTTTGGCTGACAGCAGATTTTGATGATGACGATGGATTCAACAAAGATATTGGATTAGCAGGTAAGATGATATATGGATACTGTCTAGAGTGTTGTATTCTGTTTAGCCAAGAGCAATGTGCTTGAGCTGCTTACAGTCGAGGACATGCAAGTCTACACTATTCTATTGATATCATTTATACAATTACTAAGCACCCGCATTGCTATTTCATATTGAATGTAAAAGCATTTAAACCAGATGCACAGTTTGACTTGGCCAGTCTTGTTGGAAGCAGCAATGGATCTCATTCTTTATCTACTACACACTTTACTCCTCCGGCTCTTGCGAATCCATTGCATCCTCCTGTGCCCATCAATGATCAACCTTTACTTCAACAGCAGGGACTATCGCATACTCTGCAACAACAGTTTGCTCAGCAACCAATGACTATTCCGCCTGGTATCAATCCTGCGCTCATACAGCAGTACATTGCTTCATTAGTATCGAGCACTATTGTAAACAATTCAGGAAACTTATTGCATCTTATCGATGATGCTACCAAAAATATGTATCTTCAACAGTTGCTGACATTTGCTCCATTATCTACTAATAATGTGGTAATGCCAAATCTATTACCACTGGCCACAAACCGCTCAGCTCAATCTCTGGTCGGTTCATCAGACATTCCAACAATACCAAACTTGAACCTCCATGTGCAACCATATATGAATCCCTCTTTTACTGGTAGTTCTGCATCGACATTACCAACTTATCCTTTTTCTGCCATGCCTCCAACTGTCATTACCAATCCCTCTGCTGGAACTATCGTTGCTCCAGCAACTACTGGTTCTACTACAGATGCTGTTTCTACGACTCCTACTTTGGAGTCACCTATATCATTTAAAGCAGGATCTGCAGCTACATCTACTGCACCAACATCTGAAAACGCAAAAGGTAAATCTGCTGCACGGGATACTGCTGATGGAGCACTGGAAGAAGAGTTGGATAAGCGTCGTCGTAACACTGCTGCATCTGCTCGCTTCCGTGCCAAGAAAAAGGCTCGAGAACAGGCGATTGAGCAGACAGCAAAGCAGATGACTGATCGTGTCCAGTATATGAAAGATCAACTTCGTACTCAGGACATGGAGATTCGCTGGCTGCGTCATTTGGTGGTCAATCGAGATGGTGCCAAACGACTTTCTGAAATTTATGAAGAAGTGAGTTTAACTTGAGTCATGATGTTTTCTAGTTGCAGATTACCGAAACTGACATGCATAAAACTGTGTATCTATACTCAAGAATGGACTACATTTTGTTCCTGAAACTTTTTCAGGAAACTTGTCACAAGTCACTGCAGAGCAAGTGGCAGCAGCAGTATCGATTGTACTGAATCAACCACAAGAACCTTCTAAATCATCTCATGGTTCTACTGTAAAGGATGATTGAACCTAGAGTGTTTCGACAAAAATGGGAGTGATGGCTTGATGGGTTGTAGATCCAGAGATATGACTTGCATACAACTATATTTTGCTGCATCTGAATGAATTTATTTATACAATTGATTTACGACCGTATTCACGTAAAATGAATTACTCGAGTTGATAAAGTCATGCTTGATTGATGCGAATCTTACTGGAAACATTATTTTTTGAACTCTTGACTGATTTTCATGCTCATTTCTGTACAAGAACACAGAATGTTTACACTCTTCAACTTTTATTTTTTCTAAACCCAACATTTCAAGTGAAGATTGATCTGCGTGAACACAACAATTGCCTTGCAGAGATATGTTGGAACGTATCTGATATTAGAATAGAAGTTCAATACAAAAAAGCAATTGATTTAATTTATTTGATATTCATACATTTTACAATCACTAAAAAGAGTTCAGAACAATATTAACCAGTAAATTGGACGAGAATTGAACGAGAATTGGCTGTTTGTTTAACCGATACTGATTTTACGTGAATATGACTGCAAGTTGAAGATCTTCAACTTACAATTTAATCCAATCTTCTGCTTCACTTGCAACTATAACTTTAAAGTAGTTTTCTTTAAAAATTGATCAAAACATTGAGCTAGTGTACTGCGCTTGTCGACACATTGTACTGGTGACTAGAATACACTCGTATTGGACATGAATTTGGAACTACAGGGCAAGTTACTGATTTATCACTTGCAATGATTCCATCAGTCAGCAAGCAATTCAAACTAACAGGTCTGAACAGATCCATTCGGTCAGTACTTTCCGGAAACAATATTTGATAGGCTTGCAGATGAAGAGGCTGCCACTACAACCACATGTGCGTATAACCGTCGAGCCAATTTAGTTGCTGCCGGAACTCGAGATGGACGGTGTCTTATTTGGGATCTGGACACTCGGGCCATTGCTCTTCGGTTGAAAGGACATGCTCAGCCTATTACTTCTGTCAGGTAATAAAACTTGTACAGTCGTATTGATTTGACTCGTAGAGTCGGGTGTTGCTACAAGAGTTTCAGTCCATTGTGATATTCTACTCCAAGATTCAGTGGTGTCCAATCTTGAATTGGCCATTCTACATGATAGCTAATCTATTTAAATATTGGCTCTAGTTGGACAAGACGAGGCAGACATGTTCTTACTAGTTCAAGAGATTGGAATTGCATTGTATGGGATTTAAAGTCATCGTCACGACGTTACACTGCCAAATTCAAATCTCCGGTTTTGGAGGCCCAAATGCATCCACGCAACAAGGACATGTTTGTTGCATTGGTGGTTGGAGATTCACCTATTTTGGTAAAGTTTTCAAAAACAAAGAGTGAACGTCTTGAAAAAATTACCTTGAAAATGGATCTTGCATCTGAAGTTGCGTACAATGAGAGTGCTGTTGGGTAAGTAACTATAACACCGTTTTTGACTAAATGAGTGAATGGCCATCTTTGCATATTATTTTTAAACAATTCAATCAGTGAATTGTTTTTCTGGCTAAAATTTTATACCAGCTTGCATGGTTTTAAACTAGTCAATGATTATTTTCCCTAACTATAATTCCGAATTGATTTTTATCTAGATCCAAACCGCTTGCCTCTGAAATTCAAACAACCACAGCTTTATTTAGTCCCAATGGTGAATTGATCTACGTTGGGACAAAAAAAGGACACGTTTATGTATTTCGTTCTGACAATGCTCAGGTATGTATAGTTTACACAAGTCAATGTCATGGTAAATATTTTAATTTACAATCAACAATGCTTTGATGTGTTTAGCTTCAAACTATATTGATGATGGGCACATCTGCAATCAAGCAGATTTGTTTTAATCGCGATGGAAGGTAAATCCGATTTTTGAAATCTCCAATACTGTTTTAGTTTTTACGCTGAGTACGATTTTAAATTGTAGAAATATGCTAGTAAACACTCATGATCGGACAATCCGGTGCTTTGTTTTAGATTACAAGGATAATGGAACAATTTTGTTTGAGTTGCTCAACAAGTACCAAGATTCTGTAGATCGAAACCAATGGACCAAGTGCTGCTTCAGTGCTGATGGCGATATGGTTGTTGGTGCCTTGTCATCAAGCCAAAAGCATAATATATTTATATGGGATAAAACTATGGGCAATCTTGTCAAAATGCTCGAGGGACCACGTGAAGGATTGGTTGATATGGTGGTACGTTTTTGTAAACTGTTTTGTAATGGATTCAATTGCTTACTTGATTTGGCTTGATGGTAATAAATCTATCATGTATTGCTTCTAGTGGCATCCAACTCGGCCAATTATTGCTACAGTATCACATTTTGGTGTCATTTATTTCTGGGGAGTAGCATATACTCAAAACTACTCAGCATTTGCCCCATGTAAGCTAAACTGCTGAATGGATCAATATCGCATCTAGTTTGTTATACATGCAGTTTTAACGCTATTGTGCGTGTACTATATTTCTAGTCTTTACTGAATTGGAGGATAATCGAGATTATCAAGAGCAAGAGGATGAGTTTGATCAAGTAAGTAGTATTTTTCATAATGGCTTGATTGCATTTATAGCAATCATTGACAACTTTTAACTCTTGTTAGGATATTGACGATGACAAAAATATGGGAGTAGAAGCACCTCCAAGTCCCACAATTGATGTTGATGTTGTAACCAAAGATCGTGGTATTTACGTGAGTGATACGGACGATAGTGGATGGGATAGTGACGAATTTTCAGATATTAGCTCTACTCTATTAGGTATCCCACCACTAGCAAAACTTCCATATCAATCTGACGAGGTTTGTAAAAATAGTGAATCCTTGGTTCGATCTGAATTAGATTTGGAGCATGAGATGGATGTAGATGAGAAACCATACAGCAAGATAAAGCAGCCAATCTCTCGACAAAAACGGCTTAGACCTCCGTTTGTCATTCCAATGAACATTTGAGTGTGATTATACACAGATGGCTTGTTCTCTATAAAAATGGGATGTTTGAACTGAATTCAAGAGTTATTATTCATTTTTTAATTTGAAAGCATCAAATTTTTTATACTTTTGCAACAATTCAAGATTTCGAAGCTGGCCAACTCGAGCGTGTTCGGACTAGTCAACACGTGATATTTAAAATGAGAACAAACACGTGATTTAATGTTGGACATTTGAAGTTGAATTAAACTGCACAACAGTTGACTACAAAGACAATGCTGACAACTATAGATCCAACATCTCCGTTTGTCAGTCATGAAAACAGCAGTTCTAGAAACCCTGAATGCAGTGATGGATTGGTCATGTTTTCCAAACATGCTCGCAAGAAATCGCATGTTGACCTCCAGCAATCGCACATCCCTTTGCAATTGGACCTTATTGATGACCTGCTGCAAAATCAAGAAACAGGCATTTCATCTATCAAGTGTCCTTCTACTCAAACGTTTTCAAAAGTTTTAAATAAAAAATCCAAACCAAGACTGAAACGGACAGCAGCATGTCAGTTGGCGGATGATGTGATTATCAGTCTAGAATTTCTGGATCCTATCCAGCTTTTATCTATCCCTAATCAATCTTCTAGCTCTTCTAGACCCTCTACAAGATTATCTGCTAAAAACTCTATATGTTATCGTAGCTTTAAAGTAAATGGCATGGTCTTCAACCTTGGAGATACGGTTGTTATGCGTACAGAGGTTGATTTGGTCGATCCAATCTTGAAGCTCACTCGCATTGAAAAGAAACCTGGGGATGAAATCTGCATTGGAGGACATGCTCTTCAGCGATCTAGTGCATCGTACAAAATTAGAGGTCATTGGAAATCACTCGAGGAGCATTTAAATCTGCACAAGGTGGAGTCGTTGTTCATTTTGATTAAACTATTTTTGTTTATCGATATCAAATGGCATTGCTATTCACTGCGGCCTTGAGTTTCAGTGATTGTTTATCTAATGATTTGGAATATAAACGTGTTATTACCAGAATGAGGCACTCTATTCCACGACGTTTTCTCAGGTCGATCCTATGCTACTAATTGGAAAATGCATGGTCATGTCTGAGCAAACATTCTTTGAAACGTATCCAAACGGACTTGATCAAAAAGATGAGCACGATCCTGTCATGTTTTGTAGCAAGCTGTGGGACTCGAATACTCTTAAAATTCTCAATGGATTTGACTGGAACAACTTTGTCAATGCACATGATCCAGATGCTCAAGTGAGTGTCAGGAAGAAACGACATGCTGGGTCTGATGTTACTGTCAAAATTTCTACAAAAAAACGGCAGAAAACAACAGATTCCAAACCTGCATTTCACGCAGATGCTACTTCCACCACAGGTAGAAGCCTTAATCTCCGCACTCTACCAAAAACACCATCAAAAATTGGTCATGGCATGGTTGAAATGGGCTCAATCAAACCCCAAAGCTATAAAAAATCAAACTCTTTGACCAGGAAGCCGTCCAATGACTCAAAAGATGGCACATTTACAGATACGGAATGTTTTGAAGTGGAGGAATCGAGCGATGATTCTGAAAAAGATGATATTTCTGAATCCGATACTATAGATGACCAGTATGATGTTTCTGCTGACGAAAACTCGACTCCGTTAAAAGCAAAGTCTATTGTCAAACTGAAGCGCAAATCTCCCTTGCAGTCAAAACATCGCAAGAGAGTTTCGACTAGAACAAAAGCTATTGAAAAAAGGTGAGTGATTGCTATGTCTTGGCGGTACAATCTTGACATGATTTAGCTCGTGTCTATAGTATACACTCGATTAATAGCATTTTATCTTTTAACCTTACAAAGGTTGAAGCAGCTTCCAAAAAAACTTCCAGATCGCATCATTGGTAAGCGCGGGGCAGAAACAGACACTGCTCGCGCTATTGAGCTACTGCATGTAGGCGCGGTTCCAGACACACTTCCGGGCCGTGAAATCGAATTTGCAGAAATCTACTCTCATATTGAAGATGCTATTATTGAAGGAAATGGTGCATGCATTTACGTTTCTGGAGTGCCAGGAACAGGGAAAACTGTCACATTTAATGCAGTGATGCGGCTTCTTCAAGAGCAAGCCGATGATGAGGTATAATTATATGCTGTCACAACTATAAAAGTCAAGTACTAAAAGTCAAATTTTACAATGTGTGCCTGTTTAAAACTATAGTCTGTATTGCCTTTTGATTTTGTTGAAATCAATGGCATGAAGCTTACTGAGCCAACACAGGCGTATGTTTCGTTATGGCAAGGCTTGACTAACGAAAAAGTCACTCCCAAACATGCACAAAGCCTGCTTCAAACTCGATTCACTACTGCTTCACCCAACCGACGATCATGTGTTGTACTAATGGATGAGCTGGATATGCTTGTCAACAAATCACAGAGCGTTGTTTACAATTTTTTTGAGTGGCCAAATCTACCATACTCCAAACTGGTTGTAGTTGCTATTGCCAACACCATGGATCTTCCTGAACGCATGCTGAGTAACAAAATTTCCAGTCGTTTGGGTGAGCATTGCTGCTATTTGGTACCAAATGTACACGCATTCTCTTATTCATATATAGTTTCAAAATACTAATTAGAGCTTGAACATTTACAATTGTACTATGCAATATTGTTTAACTCGTAAACTGATATAGGTCTGACACGGATTACATTTCAGCCATATACCCATACTCAACTGTTTAGTATTGTCGAGGCAAGACTCAGAGGAATACAGTCATTTGATCGCAAGGCCATTGAGTTTTGTGCACGCAAAGTAGGCGGTGTTTCTGGAGATGCTCGCCGGGCATTGGATATCTGCAAGCGTGCAGTGGAGATATTTGAAGCCACGTCCAAAGGCACTACAGGTGAAACCATCACTGTAAGGCATATTGACAAAGTTGTAGACGAAATGTTTTCTACACCGATAATCAAAACGATTCGATCCATCAGCGTCCAACAGCGGTTATTTATTGCTGCTATTCTAAGACAAGTACGCTTTTCTGGTACCAGCCAAGTGACGTTTGGCCAAGTAAGTGATCAATTGATGTTAAAACGTCTGCTCAACACACCATGCAGCATTTTTTAACAAGCTTTTTTTAATTCGCAACTCGTTTAGGTTGCAGAAACACATCTTGACTTGTGTTGTAGACTTGGCATGAAAGAGCCAACTATGTCTGCACTCGTATCAATCTGCGCGTTTCTTGGAAACTATCGACTCATTCATGCTGAACGAATAATGATCAGCGACCCAGAGCAAAAACTCCAACTCTCAGTTTCCAGAGAGGATGTCATTGCTGCCGTCGAGCTAGAAAAAGAAACGAGTCTCAAGAAAATCTTGGAAGGCGTGTAAAAACAAGTCCAATATACTGATATATTGGTCAACTGGATAGAAAAATAAATAAATCCTAAATACTCGTATTGCAGACCTGGTAAGATTACTAGCAATTTGATCACCACTCAATCCACAGGCACATCAACCCAACTTATGTTCAATATTCATCAAGACATGACCAAATTTTTTATTCACAGTACAATCCAAAAGCATCTCATTGTAATCCCTCAGTAAGTTAGAAGACAAAAGGTTATCATCATCAACATCAGGCTGTTGAGCTTGTAAATGTGTTGAACATCATTGGGAGTTGCAAAGAGATTTGGAAAGATCGTCCATCAACCAAAACATATTGTTTGAGTTAGTAATCAACACAGTGTTACAGTCTCTTCTGTCTTGATGGCATGACAGACAACTAGCACTTGGAACATCCAAGCATTGTTTGTACAAGATGTACCAAGTGGTAGACACCCAACATACTCGGACAGTATAAAGTATCAAGTCGAAGAAAATAAAATAAAAATTGTTTTTATATCAGGCACATCTTCCTGAGGAGTTGGTGAACAAATAATCAAGCAATCTCGATCGTGTCGGATAAAAGCACAATATCGTGGCTCTCCTTGACACGCTTATGGGTTGAACTGGACTCGTCTATAGTATCGTCCATAGGCCGCTTGCTTCCCAAAACACTTTCCACGGCTGGCTTGGACTTTGGACGGGGTTTGATGTTGCGATTGCCATGCAGTTCAAAACTACCGGCTATGGCATCGTCCCTAAACTCAAAATGGTTGGTTGAATGTCAAATCAAAACAATATGAAGCAATACTTACCATTGTTCAATAAACAGAGTCACTGCAACGTTTTTCAAATCATCATCATCATCATTGGTGATGCATAGTTTGGTTTGAGCAGTGACACCAAGAGCCTCAAGAGTCGTATCAATGTTGTCATCAAACTCGACATCATACAGCAAACTATGAATAAAATAATATTAATACTTGATGTTAAAGAATATCAATCATTGACAAATGATCACGATACCCTATGTCGTTTTGAATCGTAATCTCTCCTGCTAAACCAAGACCGTCTCTGATACTACCCTCGCCAAATTCGCCAGAAACTACTACTTTGTCAATCACATCCTTGAGACTGGTCGTGTGTGTATTAATGCGCAAAGTAAAATATCCAACAGTGCATACTGCACACTCTGGGTTAGGAGAAACTGTGGGCTCGTTGGCAAGCAAATGACTTCGCTCGCCCCCATATTGAACAAAGGTCTATCCATAACAATTAGTGGCTTTTTTCGAACAAACACAGAATCTATCAAATCAATAGACTTGGTGTTATGAATTGTGACAATTATCATTTAAGCTACTTACGTTTTTGCACGTTTTCAACTGTCCAGACAAAATTTTGAATGCAAGCATTACAATCATGCCAGCAACAATGGCATTGGTCGTTGCAATCGCAGGGATGATGTTCCCGGCCATTTCTATAGTATCTAGACTAGTCAGCATATAAAATGGCAAATCATTTCAAAAAGCAACATCCAGACATGTCAACTTGCGTTTGACGTCAAAGCGGCTTTTGGTAGCAATATGGAAGCAGATAGCACGAAGATTGGCAGCAGATGTTACAAAATTCAGTGATAATTCATCATCCTTGTCAAACCTCAGAGAAGCAGATGGATCTGAGCTGAGACTATTCAATAGTCTTTTGGATAACAAATCAAGACTAAAACACGAGAATATAAATTTCAATCAATTCTACCGCCAACCAACTTTAAAGCCATTTCCAAACAAAAAAACTATGCATACCTGGAGAGAAATATTTGAAAGTTTTGAGTCAAATCCCAAGCGGTTTGATCAAATACCAAAGAGTTTGGATCAGCAATGAATAATGAATCTGAGCTGGCTAGCAATGAGTTGAAATCCAAAATTGTCGGTTTTTTATGCGTCTTCCACAAATCTTCCATATCAAGAAGTCGTTGAATATCCATTTGAAAGATCTTTTCAAACACGTTGCGTCCATAATCAGCATGTCCCATTGTTTCTCGTAGAGTATGAAGAGCGTTTGCCTCTACCTTGAGTTCCTTGATATTCTTTGCTAGGATTATAGTACTTGCAAGTTCAACAGCAGAATTACCAAAAATCTTATATTAACCACAATACATTTGAACTCACCATTTTCAGAAGATTCAGAATTATCGATTTCGTTGTCTTCCTCTAAAGTGGAGCTAAATAGTATGTTGTAAAGGAAATTTTTTGCCCATACGATACAGTGGATAGGCTCACTAGGAGTGCTACGTATTGTACAGACTGGATACACTTTACGCTCAGTTGGTTTTGGAGAGCAGTCGTAGCAGCTGGAAATAAGATACTTGTGCAGCGATACCTGACCGTGATATCCAGCCGTTCCCGACTCGATCAATGGAACATTGGCAGCCATACACATTAGATTGACGTGCCTTCGTGCAGCTACACGGTATGAGTTTTGCTCGATTCATTAGCACAGTTTATCCAGTTATTATGCAAAAGTTCTGTCAAAGGGTGATGACTTTACCTATATTATCAAGAGCATTCATGACCAAATCAAACGACTTGAACCAAGCCATATCGAAATGGGATTCATAAATGCTAGCATGATACGCTTTAATGTTGGCAGAGGGATTAAACTGAAGAGCAGTTTCTCTTGCAACCTAGATGGCATTAGACCATCGAACCCAGTTAAGATTGATTAGAATAAAGTGCACTGTTCATGTAGATCTTTTCTCAAAACAAATGCATGCTCGCATATCAAGCACATTGATGACATGATGCTCACATTGGCTTTGGACTTTTTAATGTGTTGATTCCTAAATAGAAATTGACGATTGAGATTGGACAGATCGATAGTATCAAGATCAACCTAGACAGTTGTTGGTTACAAAAGTATGAATGATTGCAAACTAGAGTGTAGCAAGTTCATGTGTCGACCAATCGCTTAAAGCAGTTTATCAACTAACCACTTCAATGTTTCCAAATCCAGCCAAAACAAGGTTTTTGAGTAGCTCGCAGCCAATACCTCCAGCACCAACCATGAGTACTCGAGCTGTTTTAACTCGATCATGCAAATCCTGACCCAGAGCAGCAGCAAAGTCCGAATATCGTCCAGTCGTCATGACTACACAATGCACTTGTTATGAATGTGTCTGGAATTCAACAAGTACGTTTGATCAAAACCAATATGACTGTCAAGCCTGTTGCAACCGAATCTAGTTGGTCTATGTGAAGTGTTGAATGGAAAATAACCAAAGTATTTGCAGACTCTTCCAGCAATAGTCAATGCAACCAAAAAAACTCTTGTTGGGTAAACCACAATCTCGACTTCACTCTTGTATTCAAGCAAAGCGAAGCACCAAAGTGTTGGAATCTACAATTTCATGGCAAGATCGATGTCATGAAATTGAACTCTTTGACTGGTATTTTGGTGTGGAAACAACAGTCGCATTTCTGTAATCTTTATTTTCTCGAGTTAGATTGTATGAGATTTTAAAATACAACAATGAGTGATTGACAATGTCATAATGAACATTGTGTTGATTCAAAAAGTTAAAAGTTCATTTCAGAGCAAAAGAGGCGGTGAATGAACATTATTCCTTGAATTGTATTTAATATACGCACTACTTGCCAGACTTGTATCATCGTGTTTATTCTATTTGCTGCAGAATTCAACATCATGATTTATGGTTGCAAGAAATATAATGCCATACTTTTAGATTGGCTTTTATTAGACTACTTGACTGAAACCCACATCATTCATAGGAATATATAAATACTGCGCAATCCAATGTGTTGAAGTTTGGCATTCAACTTGGATTTCTCATACGATGGGTCTTGTATTGTAGATTGTCATATTACCAATTGAAAAAAACAAGTTATTCAGCAGCGTGGATAGTGAATGAGCACTAACACAAATAGATGAGTGGCAATTTTGTTAGTATAGTTGTCCACCAAATAACCATGGACAAAAGAACCCTTTTGCAGCAATGGCTACTAGTGTGGATGGCTATAGTTGAAGGCTGATATATGGAGGGGGTGGTTAGCTTGGTGTGGACAGTGTCGCGTCGAGACGTATAGGCTGTCTCGTTTGAAGATCGAATGAACCAATTCACAATATGTTGGGGTGGAGTGGTTAACTACTGTTTTTATTAGCAGATAGGTTGGGCTACATTCAGATTTGCGTGGGGTTGCGCTCTACAAGCTATTTTTGAAAACACATTGGCGTATGTCTAATTACTTCATTTTATTATACATGGATACACTTTCTATACTGACGCTAATCTCATAAAGAGCGCACCTGCCTTCTTATCATTCCTGAAATAAAAGTCGCCTTTACATTTCCACCACCGTCTTGACGTATACTGCTACATTTACATCAGCAAACACATACCCATTCATTAGGACCAGTAATTTCACAGTCGCAAATTTTGCTTACAGATCTATAGCATAAGTTTGGATTTTCGCAAACCAGATGTCCACTAAGCAAGCGTTTCATATCCATGATTTAATTGGATCAAGCATTGCAAATGAGGTGTGTTCCGTTTAATACAACTGTCAAACTATTGAAAGACTTTTGGCAACCTATCTGGGATTACGTATATTAGTGAATCTTTTATACTCGCCATTTCTATTTATTCCATCAATTCACTACGGCATCTCGTGTCTGCCTCTATCGATACAAAGATATGCGTTACAATTTCGCTGACTAAACCTTGCTACTTGAATAGCTTCATGCACCTCAGCATCTTAACTTATTTTCATTCTAAAATTTAAACTTTATACGATACAGGATGTTGCTCGGCTATTTTCTTCACCTGGCATTAAGCAGAATCTCAATGCATTGGAGTGCGATCCCGCTGCAAACTATACTTCCACCAAACAACCTTGTCTGCCAGTATCAGTTTTAGTTTCTCCAGCTCCAATCCGACCTGCAACTGCAGCATTTCCAAGCCCAATTGGTCAAGCAAAGCAAAATTTGGTGTCACTTAGTACTGCTACTGCTATCTGTACTCCAAAAACTCCCATTTCTCCTGAAAGGCCGCATGCTCCACTTACTATGGCCGTTTCCCCCATCATCAGTCATGACATTCGAAAAATTCCCACTTCGGCTACTTGTAGAAAAAAGGTAACCCGGATTTTGTCGTTCCATTCATCGTTTAATTTCCCAATTTTCTGGTTTATAAGCTGATGTATTGACTTTACCTATTACAGGAAGACGCACTGGTTCCTAGCTCTGCAAAAACTGTATCTTCGCGAAACAGCAACCAGGTAAGCGATCATGTATCACTGTTTATTTTAATAAAAGTTTACTACCAAATCGAATAAGCTGATGATTTGGCTCACTCGCACACCACGAGTCTGCAAAATCTATATTTTGAGCTCAAACAAGTGCACTTTAAATTCTAACTTGTTTGAAAATGAATAGGTTCCGTCTGATAACGGAAAGCGAAAATGGAACCTGCTGCAAACTTTAGGAAAAGGAGGATGCGGTGATGTTTTTCTGGCTCAGGAAGTTGGAGTGGAAAGTCGCAAAGAATTTGTTGCACTCAAGATTGTCAAGGTATGTACTATCCATTTAATTGGCAAAGATGACAATAATGAAATGTGCAGTTTTTGTTTGGCAAGGATAAATTAGCCTGTGCTAATGGAAATATACATTGCATGTTTTACTATAGGATAAGAAACAATTTTTGGCTGAATTACAAACCATGAAAATATTGAATACTCACAAACTTGGACGAGGTACATGAATGTTTCTGATCTAGAGATTTTTTGGCATCATTGTAATAGTAAAATCAGTTGATTTAACAATTATAACCGTTCACTGAAACTTTATAGGAAATACCCCAAAGCTGATTGCAGCCTGCAAAAGAAGGCGTGCATTAGTCATGGACTGCCATTCTGAAAGCGTCGCAACCAAGTTTGAAAAATGTGCTTACAAATTTAGCCTAAAAACGATTCTTATGCTCACCTTGAATATTGTAAGTTGCCATTTTTTGTTGAAAGTCGCGATATTCAAGATACTCTTTGGGTTTAATCCACAACTTTTATACAGTACCACTGACAATATGTTTATTATAGATGAGTCTTTCTCGTGATTTTTATGAGCGTACTGGTCAAGCCCATGTTGATCTCAAACCCTCAAATATCTGCACATCTCCAGATGGTAAAAAACTGATTTTGATTGATTTTGGGTACTCTACATCACCTTCAGTAAAACTTCCTGGACAAACCGGCACTCCCTTGTTCATGTCATGGGCTATTCAAACGTACGGTGCAACCTGTAAGTAAATATATAAACTAATCTTTGGGCAACAGATTTTGAACAGAGCAATTTTGCTAATTCAAGTTGGTTATTTCAAAATGCTTGAATGCATTTTAGTTCCAACATGGCAGGATGATCTCGAGTCATTGGGCTATGTCATTATGGTAAGCTCGGTTTGAAAAGCTCATGCGGCTGATTTGTCAATTTATTGGATTCAATTTGAGCTGACTCGATCTATTTTGACATGACTTTGAAATTCTTCAGTTTTTTATCGCAGGCGGTAAAAGCAAACTTCCATGGGGAGCTCTTCGTACTCATCGAGATATTGCTAATTGCAAAAGCGATGCGTCCATTCACGCATTTTGTACGGGACTTCTTGGAACAGAATATGAACCATTGGCACAACCCCTTGCAACATTCCTCCATGTTACTCGCGATCGCTTACGACCATTCACCATGCTCGAGTTTGATAACCTTCATTGTATGTTTAAAAACATGTTAGCGCACTATGGGTTGATTAATGACGGATGTTATGATTGGTGTGCTGCACCCTTAAATGCAGATGAGATTTCTCGTATGCATGCACTTTCTATTCCAATGAGTATGACGCCGTCTCCAATTGCTCGACCCATTTATCAGTCTAGAAACATTCCGCAATCACAACACCAGGTGCGACTCCATGAGCAGCAGCATCAGCCCCAATATCACTTGCATCCTACTCAACTTGCACTTCATATTTACCATCCATCACAGCAGCAAAAATTTCAACTTCAGCAACCTATATTGCAACAGCGTCACGTTCAACATCAACCGGAAATAACGCAACATGTATTGGCAGATTCGTACTGTTTTTACCAGTATCCAGTAGTTCAGCAAATTATGCCATCACATCTGTGCCCAATGGGCACGCCACGATGCATCCCAATGCTGTTACAGAATGCATCAAATGTGCAAGGGCAGTATCGACATGGTGCTCATGAACGTTCCGAGTTTCATACATCAATGTTTGCCAATGTCATGAATCAGTCCGAAATGCAACTTCAAATGCAGATGCAAGAACAAGAATTGTTTGCATTGCAAGGCGTGTTGAAATCACATACAAATGAGACTACATGGAGTATGTGATAAATGCCATTTGGAATGCATAGGTTGCTACCAATGCCTAACCAGTTCCACACCGTTTACTTTGCAAACTTCAACTGTGATCCATCGAGTTCATGCTGGCTTCATGTCATATCTCGTGGTTTACGATCAATATTCAACTTTTTTAAATAGAATAATAAACAAGTGTAATACGCCATGTTTCAATGCTAAATCAATTTATTCAAGATGAAATGACACGCCGTAGCTTTTATTAAACACTATTTTGCCCTCGATTTCTTCTGCGATCGAACCTCATGAATAGCCTTTCGGAGATTTAACTTGGGTTCCTTTGTTTTTGGCTTTCCAACATCTTCTGCAACACGCAAATGCATATCCTTTTCCACATTGGCAGGAATAGCTACACTATCAAACTTTCGCTTCTCTCGGCGCACCTTGACTTTCCCCTCATTCTCGATTTTCTTGTCGAATCGACCATAGGAAGCTGTTGCTGTTTTTGACTCGACAATCATTTTTGATACTTGCTGTTTACGCATCTGTTTGTGGTCAATTCCCTTTTCTGCTGCGTAGGATTCTTGAGCATTACGACGTTGCTGCATTTGGTTCTTTTCTACTCGTCCCTTTTTCTCTTCACGCTTCTGTTGATACTGATCCACCATAGGATCTAAAATAATATAAATCAATTTAATTTCAATCAGTACACTGCTTAATACCCATCTAGTAGACATCAAAATGATTCAATTATGCGACCTAGATGAATGATTATTACCTGCGTTATCAGGAACCTCAATGATCCAATCTTTGAGATTATCCTTTTCGCCACCCTTGTATCCATATCGAGGGTTGTAAGTCTGGGTAGATTCATCATACTCCATACGGCTCTTCTTCTTTTTTTGGATGCCCTTGACTGCAGCAAACTTTTCCCATCGAGTCTTGTTATTCTCCTTGGGAATCTATCAAATATAACCATAAAAGTGTTGGTAAACACAATTGATATAAAGCTGACAGGTTAGACACGACTGCAGTGTTTAGCTTACAGGCTTGGCACGAGGAATTCTTGAAATCAAATTAGGTAGTATGGCAAAGTAGCCATCGTCATTCGAGTTGGTTTCAAGACCAAAAATTGCATTAATAAGTAGCTGAGCACCATCTCTAGACCATTGCTTGAGATAGTTGTCCACTTTGTTTGATCTTAAAGTTTGAGTAAACTCAAGTTAGAACAGTTTATCAACAGACAAGCAATCATCATATATTGATGATTGCTTGTATCAATATATGAGTAATTAATAGGTTTAATGAATGTACCTAAGTTCGGTTTCATCCAATGGATTTGGGTCGAAAGCCGCTAGGCATCGTAAATCAAACTCGACTGGAACTGGTTTTTCTACAGAAACATTTTCGCTAAAACAAATCATGATCGATTGGACAAAATATAAGCAATTCAAATAGTGTAAGCATTATAGGACTGGCTAGATACAGTACTTCACTTACTATTTTTCCTTGTGAGCTTCCAATTGCTCAGTAACATCCATCTTGACTGGATTTTGAATTAATTTTTTTTAGTTTGCAAGAAATGCGAGCAGGCAATTACACCAAGTCTGTCACGTGGCTAGTTCACTCAACGCATTCACGAAAATGGCTTGCATTGCAACGAGTCCAGAATCAACAACGCACAATTCAAATTATACTACAAACGTCAATGATTCAAAACATCAAAATAAAACCAATTTTAACCATCTATTTACATCAACTCTATTGTTTTCATGTACGGTTATTTTAATGATAGGTTCTATTATTTTCAACTCAAGGCCAGCTTATCAAGATCAGAGTTCAATAATACATCAGATCTCACCAAAAATGTACTTTAGTAATGCACCTATTACATGAAATCCAACACAATCGGACTACCATCAAATGCTTGATTAATCAAATGCCGATTCAATAATATTTTCAGACTCTGGAAATTTTGGAAATCTTCCTCTAAGCAACATCAGCCGCTTGTGTTCAATGAAGATGGGCCAACCATCTGTACTTGTTTCTATGATCCGTCGAAACTCGTCTCGTTCCCACCACATGGTATACGAAAACATTGGTTCCAGAAACTCCATCTCAGAGACTTGCAGTCCAGCGCGACTCTTGGCCTCCACATCTGATCGTTTGGCAATCACATCTGATACATTGTGCGCACCAAAGATTTCATCGTGAACTTTACGGTTATTGAGCAACTCAGTATAGAGTGAAAACGTGCGTTGAATGACTTGTTCAGGAATTTTCCATCCTTGAAGAGGTTTTCCTTGACCTGGTCTGGGATGTTGCACTTTGGGACCGAAATATGAAAGCGGGGGTGCGATAGCGGTTTGCAATGCCTCGACAGTTTCGGCACTCTTGAATCCTGTTACTGCTAAAAAGGGAACCCAATGATCTGGACGAATTTTGTTTTGGGGACGCTGTTCACCAATCTGGGCAAGAATCTTGGACTAAAGTAGGATGAATTATATTGATGAGTTGATATGGAAACACAATAATATCTGTTAATGTGGGCATATTTCATGTTTTCAATAGTTGTAAAGGTTTAAACCAACCAATACCAAAAAATAGTGAATTATTTGAAACAAATCACTGAAGAAACGAACTAGGTGTTGATGATCTCCATCCAAATATTATGGAATACCTACGTCCAGTTTGATTGATGGGCTAACAAGAACTTTTGAAGTTAGCACATTCCGCAGAAGATACAGATTGTGTGACATTGGCTTATGTAAATATGCAAAAGGCTGGCGATAGTAATCCAAATGCTATATTGCAATCTGCAAGATTTGGCCATGAAAAAATTCAAAATTTTAACGTGTCATCACGTGTTTTATTGTTCAATCCAAGCGAGTCGAGTCTCATTTGAAAATGCATCAAATCAGCCTGTGCTTGGCAAAAACCTTTTATTTCCAAAGTATTTAGTAGTATGCTGATCAGTTATGACTGTTGGGGTAGAAACTGAAATATACAATTCTTGGTGGACAAGTAGATCAATGTTGGTTGAGAAATATGCGCTATCAATTCAAACGTGTTTGACAATACATTGGCAGTGAACTCGAAACAAATCTTCTCTTGACAGTCGTCACACTTTTGTTTTGTTCTTTGGGATTCCCTCCAAAGAGTTTAGCTGCTGAGAATGATTTGTTTCATGCTCGGAGAGTTTTGGATGTAGCAGCTGAGCATTAGACGACAGGTTGTGGACGCTTCTCGATAGAGATTTAAATCCTTTTTCATGTGAATTTGCCACAAGCAAGTTTCCTGTTGATTTTCCTAATCTGGATTTGCTTCCAGTGAGTGCAGGTACCATGCGCTGACTTCGATTGACTAAACCAACTCGCTTTCCATTTGAATCTCGTCCATGATCATCCTGTCCACGATGTGATAAATCCATGGATCCTCGTGGAGATATACCTGTCTCGTCAATAGGCGGATCGTGATACGCTGGCATCCCATGATGCATATTAACAACTCGTTGGCTGATGGAAAGAATGGATCCTTTTGATGCAGTTTTATATAGTGCGTTTATTGACGAATACTGGCTCTTGTTCAAAATGTCTTCATACTCTGGTGTCGGTGTCGGTGATCGTGGAAGTGAAATCCCAGCTATAGTTTTGATTCATCATGATTTGGGTTTACTATGCTTGAACGGGTACATTATAGCATGAGATGTGTACTCGAAACAATTTAATTTACCTGCAAGCGGTACAAATATGGGGTTTGAATACATTCCTTCTTCGTGCATGCCAATCAAGCAAATCGAAACGTATAGACATTCTCCTGCAATGTTCAATGTAAATAGCAGTTTTTAAATGAGATTTAACTTCAAGCAACCTTGATTCCGTATCAATATCACTTGCCTTCTGGTAGATTATGCACAGTATAGCTTAATTGTTCAAGTGAAATGGTTTGTGTAAAACCACTTAAAGTATGCAGATCAGGATCAATGCTCCAAACAATTTTGAAGCCCTCCAGCTTGGGCTGCTCAATATGAACAACACTTGGAAACTCTACTTGGATTGACGAAGGGGATAAAACAGTGATAGTTGGATCTCCAGATGTTGGAATAAGAGCATCTACATTCAACAAATTATATTATAAGAACATAAAGTAGGTATTTGAGATATATTGACAACTGACAACAGTATCGATTCATCTCATGATAATTTAATCTATACCAATATCCACGTTGTCGCTTAGTTCACTCATGGGAGAATCCCCACCAAAGCTACTTGCTTGAACACTAAATCTGTAAATTGTTCCACGTTCCAAGTTATCAATAATGTAAAGCAGATCGTTGGGATGTCCATGAGTAGTTGGAACAACAATCTCTTTGTTAATATTTTGAATCTGCTCAGTGCTATTTCCAGTTGCTTGCCCAGATATTTGTGACTGAACCTTGGAAATCACAACAACAAAAGACTGTACGGGTGTTCCTTTGTTGGGTTTCACATTTGCAGAAATCTGAACTGATGATAATGAAATTTTCTTGACAGTTGGCTTACTAGGTTGATTGGGCGGAAAATCTACAGATTCAAATAAACTCGTAGTTTAGCAAACTTGATGCACTGATGATGTTGAGCAAAGTTACTTACCGAGAATTGTTTCAGAACTTGTGTCGCTAAGCGGACCTTCTCCCATTGTATTTACAGCGGCAATTTTAAAGTATAGTGGAACCGAGACTTGTGGATCGTAGTAGGTCACAGCCTTGGTACCATCATGTTCTTCAACGGCATCTGCCGCATCAGTTTCAAGAACAAGGAAACGATCGTGAAATGCTGATGATGAGGAGCTGTACACTCTGTATTTTGTAACTGCTGTTCCAGTAGTATCCATGGGTGGTTTGAATGCTATGCGAATTGAAGGAGGGGAAAGAATGATTGTCGTTGTTATGGCAGTTGGAGCAGATGGGATCGCATCTACATATAGAGTCAAAAAATGTAATCTAGGTAAACCAACATATTCACTACAAATATGCTATTACGATGAAATCTTAAATTGCAATCAATTGCATGGCCAGTTTGATTTTGTTGACGCTTACCAACTAAAACAATCTCTGGACGTGATGGATCGCTTTCAACGTCGTCATGTCCAGTGGTGACATGGAAGTAGTAATGTGAGCCTGGCTCCAGCTCATTCAACACAAATACTCTGTCTTTTTCTTGAATTTTACCACTACTATCAACAGAAACTCTCCTGCTTTTGGCACGTTCACTCATTGCTGGATCATTGCTATAGTATAGCATCAGCCAGCTCAATACTGGTATATCATTTTTTGGTGAGGGTGCTGATAGTGTAATCTGCACCGATGTGGCAGATGTTACGACCACAATTGGTGAGATTGGGCTAGGTAATCCCTCACGAATCTGCTGTTTGCGTTTAAACTCAGTCTCCTCTTTTTCACGTTTTAAACAGACTTTACAAACTGCATCGTTCTTATGATGAACAATATTGTATCTATAGATTGAAAGAGACGCAATCTTTTTGTCTTTTTCCTTTAAGTTTGAATCATTCAGATAGTAAATGTTGGTTTAAATATGAATCTACACTGATGAGCATTAATCAGACTCTCGAATCTTGCCAAATAGCCAAAACATGGGTATTCTTACGTGAATAATAGAGTCCAGTTTTTTGGTACGATCGTTGATTAATTGGTTTTCTCTTTCTAAACTATGCACTTTTCCACGTAGCTGCCGATTATCATTAATCAAGTTTTTTTCAGTGATCTCTACCTTTTTTAATAAATCCTAACCATTGTGGTTTTTGTTTTAAAAGCGTAGCATGTAAATTTAGTATGGTGTAAATAGATTATACTTGTATTAGATCAATTTGGCATTGGTTGCACAAATTCACAAGTAGATCAGCAAGAGTTACATACCGAGTTGGCTCGATCAAGATCTGCTATTTTTTTATTGGCTTCTTCCAATTGCGAGTTGAGAGAGTCACAATCAGCAAGATTTTTGGCAGCCACAAGTTTTTCCAACCTTTGATTTTGTTCTCGCAGTCTTCGGCGCTCTTCGTCAATCTGCCTCAATTGCCTGCTATCCTCTCCAATTTGCAAAAAATATACTTTGAGCTTGTGCTATTTATATATTGTATTACAGCCAATAATTATTCAGTGTCAATTCTGGTGGTTAACCAAGAATGATTTTGAAAAAATTCCGAGTTTGCATGGCATCAAATCAAAAAATTCATCGTACTTTAAGATTAGCTATTTCCTCCCGCATTCCACGAATCAATCTTGGTGCATCTTGAGATTGTGCTTCAAATTGCTCAATATCTTTTTGATGTCGTCTCTCCATCTATTAGGCAGTATCATTTGCATCAAATTAGCTTTGCTTGGCTGCATCAAGATTGAAAAACTATTTCATTGAGACTTGTGTACATACCTGCTTTAAGAATATGTTTTCGTGCTTTAGTCGCATTGTTTCAACATCCTTTTCACGTAACAAAATACGTAGCCGCTCCGATTGGCCATTGGCTGCAGCAGCTTGTTGCTGAGAGGTTGCTAATGCTTTTGAGATATTTGCAAATGTGATATTTTCATTTGCTCCACCTGTATGATGTCCAATAGTAATAGAATGCGCAGATAAACTCCGTTTAGGTTTTGCTAGTTGAGTGCATACTTCTTGACCTCCTGGTTGGCCACCATCTCCAGACTCTGCAGCTAGAGCAGACGCGTCTGTCGGATAGCGATGCCCTTCACCACTGTCATCGTCATGAGAAGAGTATCCATGACTTGCATCATGTTCATGAAGCTGTCCATTCTTTTCATGATGCTGATGGCTTTTTCCACGATGAATATGAGCCTCAGTAGGACCAACCTGGGGTAGAAACGAAGTGTTGTGACTTTCATGTCGTTTTTTCCCCACTGTGTGCGAGTCGGATGTGAGTTTGTGAGAGTGTCGGTTTGGAGATGTGGGCACGCCATATATCTTGGATCGTGAGGCTGCAGTATCTGGTTGGTCTCTCTGCACATCAGCCATTTTAAACCGTCGTTGGTATGATTTTTGAGTAAGCTACACTTTGTATTGAAAACTAGACTTTTGAAATGCGAGTCAAAAACTATTCTAAACACGGGCAAGTTTGCGCGAACGCAGCTATTTTTGCTTACAACCAAATGTCGTGAGTAGTATAGATAGGGCACCGAATAATACCGTTATTGATTTAAATAGCTCTGTGAAACAATAGTAGCGATTTCAGAAATGCACCATCTTTTGAGTCGACTGTTTTGATAGATTTGACAATTATTTGTAAATAATGACTAAAATTATCACATCCAAACTATTTATTCATCGAGTGTCATAATCTCTGTAACGACGATCATCCCTTTCACGGCCACCTCTTTCGCGATAGCCATCTCTCTCACGGCCTTCCCGAGGTCGATCACGATAGCGTTCTCGTGAGTGAGATCGAGATCGTCCATCATCTTCATCTCCACGAGGCTTCAGAATTTTGATGGACAATCTCTGTGCCTTGTACATGTCCTTGATCATGGCTTTGGATGGTTTCTTAATATGCATAAAGTTGCAGAACCCTCCACGAGTGCATTCACCGAGTTCGTATTGTCGACAGCAAGCTAAATTGGATTAAATAGCAAATGGCATGACAAAAACAATGCAAGGCAGTGTCAATAGATGCACAAAACAAAAGTAGTATAACATCCATCGATCAATTAAATATCCACACCTTCACCGAAATCAGTCACAGGTGATAGCTCTGCATAAAGCGGACGTCCAGCATAGAATCTGTTATTCAAAGACTCGACTGCATTGCCTGCATCTTCTTCATACTTGAATCTAGCGTAGACATCTATAGCAATCGGAATTGGCCCATTCAAAAATGGATATTAAAAATAAGTCATCAAAGTATAAAATGAAATAACTATAAATCAAGTAGGCATTGAGCAAGTCCAGCATAGTTTAATGCCAATACATACTTCCAATCAAGTGATCGCCAACATTGTCGCAAATATTCATGTCCTCCAATTCGCCATATTTAGCAAGCTCCATAAACAAGTCTTCAAACAGCAAGTCAAAGTTTTCTTGGATCTCATCAGGAGTCATTGTGCATCCTGGGTTATGGGCTGGGTTTAAATACAAGTTTGGAATCAAGAGTGTTTGGGAAAAGTTGGGTTTAACATGCTTTCGGGAGCATCTATCTCCATGTCTGCAAGCACCAATCTTGAAATAGAAACTACAGTTGACTCTACAGGCACACATGACAATAGACATAGGCTACATATTAGTGATTCTAGAAATATTCATCATTAAAGGATAATTGTCCAAAAATCGAATTTGAAAAGTGCTGATGGCTGCAGCTGTTGATGAGGCAGAACAATCAAATTCTACTGTAGTTATACCATCAAAGTATAATGCAACTCCTAGGTAGATATATAGACAGCTGCTTTGGTCGAGCATATACTAAAAACAATCGAAATGGCAAATCAGATTGTGGAGCTATGTATCAATTGTCAAGACATACTTGTCCTTTTCAGTTCCGTAAATAGAGGCAAGATGGTCTGCAAAATATAGTAATAAGAATTAGTCCAAATGCTTTCATCTTGTATATACCAAATGGAGAAACACATTTAGAGCTAGTCTTACCAGCCATGTCTGAGCTATTTTGGTTGAAAAAATTGAACTTGAAAATTCGTCAAAATGCAGGTTTCTGTGAATTCATATCAAGCAGCAGATAAAATTCTGGATTGGCAGGATTTGATCATCTATCGAATTGGTGAAAAAATAGTCATTTTACAGGTAAACTATATTCTCAATTGATTAATATTCCAATTGTGTTTAGAGAGAATCGATTGACTGCTGTTATAATGCAGAATACGTACATGTCTGTAAATGCTGGAGATGGACTTCAAACTTGAAAGTTTATTTTTCAGTCTACAAAGTTTCAGTTTACTCGAGTAAACTTTTGGCATGGACCCTCCATCAGATGGCGATTTGTCTACCAGCAACAGTAAAGGCAACACCCCACATGAGAGTATAAAAGAGAGCGGATCTGACGCTTACAAACAACCATCAGCAGCACAGTCTCGTCAAAGGTCTTTTAATGAAAGCACTTTACCAAAACTCCAAGACACAACATCCCAACCATTGCAGCAACGTCAAAAGTCCTCAAATAGCGCGACTGATTCACCACTGCCCAACCTTTATCCATTTGAAAATAAACAAGACACTGATGCATCCAAGGTATCAGTAAAGCCGAATACATCCAAAAATGCTGAATATACGGTCGAAGAAGTTTATTCAAGCGAGATAATGCCCATAGCAGCATCGCCAGCATCTGCTGAATCTATCTCGTCACCAAAACACGATGCAAATCCCACACTCGGCACTACTGTGCCAACTACAACTCAAGAGTCAGGTCGTATAGACAATATCCTTGTTGTGTTTACCAATGAAAAAAATGCATACGAGCAAGAGTTTGCTCAGATGGAAGCAGAATTTCACGCTATTCATGCAGAAGCCGATCCAAACGCCGATATTTTCTTTCGTTTTTTATCTGAATACAAAAAAGTGTTTGTGGCCTTGTCTCATTCAAAAAGTCATGCTTATGAGCTTGGAGACCAGTTTATTGCCGTGCAGCGCGAGTGTTTAAATAATGACCAATTGCAAGTGGATGGTGTCAAAACGTTGGACCATGATCAACAAACACTGAAAACATTAAAGGTACAGATAAAAAGAGCTGAGCAGATGTTTGAACAGAGTTTGCATCGAGAGGAAGTAGCCAAAAATGATCAAAGACAAATCAAAAACGATATTATCAGTTTGACTGCTACTATCAAGCAAGGCGTCGGATTGAGTGCTATACAAGAACGAACCATTAATGAACTCATTGCATCCAAGGAGCAAATGACCAAAGATCTTGAGCTTGAATTGAATCGTATTGTCATGCTACGTAACGGACTGACTGAAATCTCCGAGGAAATCAAAATGGCAGAGAATCTCAAGCGTGATTTTGAAAAGGAAATATTTATTCTCAAGGACAAGAACTCGAGCAAAAAACTAGAAATCGACAACGAGCTACGTGGAAAAGAAAGATTAGAGAGAGAATTGCGAGAGCTTCGGACGATTGTCACGGTAAAATCACAGGAAGTCCAGGGAAAGCAGGATGCTGTCAATCGTGCAACTGAAGACATGGTTGTAATTGAAGGACATATCAAACAGCAGCGGCAACAAATTGAAAAACTGCTACGTGATCAGGAATCTCTTGGAACCCGGACAGTAAAGCTTCAGCAAGATTACGATGAGCAAATGAGCCAAACATCTCAGATTATGGACGAAAACGAAACTACCATGAACGACTTGAAAATCAAAGAAAGAGAATTAGCTAATCATCGAGCAGAGATTAAAAAAGTAACTCGCATCAAGGAGGTGTTGCTGAAAAAGAATCGCATGTTGGAACATATAAAAGTGCAGGCAGAGTTGGAACGCAAAGTGATTCGTGCAGAGACGGATACGCTTATGGTTACCGTTGATCGGCTGCATCGGCAGGTGGAATCCATGCGCAAAAATATTGACGATTTGTCTCGTGAAAAAGACATTTTGTCTGGCACGTTTCTCAAGACGCAAAACGAGACACAAAAAATCACCAATTTGATTGTTTTGCAAAAGCAGCAGCGATACAATATTGAGCTTGAGATTGCACAGTATCGCAAGGAATCATTAGAATTGCATAGAGAAGCTAAGCGACTTGCGGTAGAACGAGATAAATATGTCGCCGAGGCAATTGCCTTGCAAGAGCAATGTGTTTATGGTCTTCGCGAACTGAAAAACATGGAATTCAAGATATTTGAAAACAAACGACAGCTGGCAACATCAGAAGCCAAATACAAACATCAACAGAATCTCTACGAAGCAGTTCAAAGTGAGCGAAATCTTCATGCAAAACATCTGATTGAGTCTCAAGGTGAAATTGCCGAAATGAAGCGAAAGCTCAAGATTATGAATTTCCAGATTAATGGATACAAGGATGATTTGAATTCCAAAGATGCTACTTTGGCCAAAGAGAATACTGAGCATATCAAACTCAAACGTGATATGGACATGATCAGGGATGAAATCAAGACTCTCAAAAACCAAAACGAGTTAGCTCAAGTTTACATACGTGGCCAAATAGCTGAGCAAGCTAAATTGAATCTATTTGTAAAAGAAGCAGAGGTTGAGCGGTCAAGACAGGAAAACGCTCTTCATGTGCTTGTTAGTGAGCGTGATAATCTCTCTTCTCAGCTGATTCGACGTAACGACGAGCTAACAAGTGCCTATGATAAAATCAAAACAAAGCAGTTGGAGCTATTGCGTGGCGAAATGTATTATCAGAAAAAACTTTGTACAATTCGTGCACTCCAAGTCCAGATCCACGAGTTACGACATGATTCTGAAAATCTTGCTCAAAAAACCTCGGGTATCAAACTGATGCGAAAATCTGTTGTCAAGTTGCAAAATGAGTTGACGCAGGAGCAAACTCGCATTACGGCTTTAGAGCAAGAACTTGAAAATCCCATCAATGTACACAGATGGAGAAAACTTGAAGGCAGCAACCCTAAAGCATTTGATATGATTCAGCTTCTTCACACATTGCAAAAAAAGTTGATTACTAAAACCAAGGAAGATAAAGAGAAAAAAGAATTCATCAAGATCCAGGAAGAGCTTTATCTTCATCTGAAAAATATGCTCATGAAGCAAGTTGGTCCAGAAGCATTGGAACAGATTGAGGAGCTGGAGACTCAATTCAAAAATAAAAGCAGACAACTCCGACATATGGATACTGAACTCAATATGTATCAGGCGCAGGTACGGGAATATAAGTACACTATTGGACAGCTAGATGCATCCTTGGCAGCACACAAAAAGCAATTTCTATCTCTCTATCATAAGAGAGTCGACGCGATTCGGAATGGAGCTTCAGTGTCTATACAGGCTATTCCTCACTCTGCAGATAAGATCAATCTGCCAATGCTTCCAGAAAAACCCCAAAGTGCATCACAACAGAATCTTCAATTCACGGCGGACATGCAACTTCAAGACAGTACTCTAGCACCAGATGAAGTGCATGACATGAACAGCGCTCAAGCCATTACCGATTCGATCACTGAACCGCAGGAACAGCTTGTTGTAGCATCAGCTGCAGAGATTCCTAATTTGGGCACGATAACTATTTGAACTGCTTGACAATAAATATCTGATTGAATTCTTTCTATTCACAGTATAGGCTTAAATAGCACTATTCCAAGTCCTCACACCTGCACACCGCGCAGAATATAAACAATCACTAAATAAATAGAATGGATGTGTAAACCACTTTTTGTATTTCAACATCAAATTAGGCACTGTCCGGACATTATTGAGCAGTAGTGCGAGCACCACGGCCGACACCGCCACGCTATACAACAACAATAGACAAAACAGGTCAGACACGCAATGACAATGGTGTAGTGGGATCTCTAAATAGCATCAAACTTACGAATTCGGGCTTGTAGTCACCGGCAGCACCTTCTTTCTTCTCGCCATCATCACGACGACGATACTCACCATCACCTCGGGGAGTGTATTCACGGTGAGGACGATCACCGTCTATATTGTAGAAAAGATAGATGCATGAGTATTTTATAAAAATACAAACCATTTGGAATAGCAAAGGTGTAATTGAATCCAACTAAACATACCATGACGAGATGGGCGAGTGCCAACTGACTTTGTGGTCTTGATGAAGGTACGGGGCACAATTTCAACAGGAAGATGGAGATATTCACGGAGATACTCGATGCCTTCGTTGGTCAAAGAGTAGTAGTAGTATTGCCAAGAGAACTGGCTCTTGACATATCCACGGGATTCAAGAGACTGAAGAGACTTGAGAACCTGGAGGTTAGGAACATCGATCTCTTCGTGCTTGGGAAGGTTAAAGTCCTTCTTGGCAACCAAAACACCCTCTTGGAAGAGATACTGGTAGATCTTTTTACGATTGTCCTTGGAAATAAGCATGCTGGGCGATACTGTTGCCTAGATCAAGTCAATGAATCCAAATCAGCACGTTAGAAAAGCATTGGCTTTTTACAGAATACACTCAATTACAAAGAAACCAATGATCCAAGTCGTTCTATTCAGGAATTCAAGTCTCATGTCAAGATGGTCTTGCTTGGATTGTAGCAGTATGGAAATCCTGAAACCAAATCTTGTCATTGAGACAGCAGACTCAATGAAGCTTTATTGTCCAGTATTGATCCTGCTATAGCAACAAACGGACTGCAAACGAGTTGAATGCATTGACCAATATCAACCCAAAAGCCAGCTCGACTTGGACTGTTTGAAATAGCTTGCAATGTATCCAACCGCATGGATGGATTGCAAGGTACAATGCATGTTTACTGATGGATGGATGCATGAGATGAACAGACGATTGCTTGGTCTCACCTATGAGTTGATGCACTGTGCAGAGTCAAGTTGTTTGGCTGTTCAAAGGCAAGTTCACGTCTTGAAACACGTGACATAAAACTGGACTAAATCAAGTTTATTTTTGATGAATTTTAAACCACTGCTGGATCTGGACTACTTTCCACCTTGTCAAGTGTATTCTTTTGTTCAGAAACGAGTTTTCCCTTTCCACCTCGTTTGGTCTTTTTTTTGGGTGGCTGGGCATCGTCGCTTTCTTTCATTGTTCCATTCTTTGGCTTGAATGCCTCTTTGGGATTCTGTCGTTTCTTTCCAGCAGCAAACACTTCATCGCGCTGCTTCTTTTGTGCATTCTTTTGATCATGGTAGCTTGAAGTTCCCGACCATTTGCGTAATTTGTGAAATTCAAAGACTAACGGCAATTCATCCACTAGTGATCGGTTTGTTTAAAATGTGGCAAAATACTTGTTAGTCTTGATCAAGAAATGATCATTTAATCAACTTTAAGATACACAATAATGGTTAGAAACAAAAAACTTGCCTGTTTCTGTGACATAATTTCTGATGTTACTCAGCAGATTGTGGGTAGAAATCAATGCAGTATACTACATAGTTGTACAACATAGAATCTAGTCAATTTAAACCAATCAAAAGACAAATGCTGACGGATAAAAGCACAGTTTACTACCTTTTCATCTATATATTCTGAAATGTAAACAGAAGGTTCATTATCTGGAGCAACAACCGACATCCACAGTTTTCCGCTACGATCAAAGCAAATGTCTACAGGATGGTGGATGGTTTCTAAACTCTGCTTAATGACCAGCTTGCGCTCATTTGATGCATCAATGATAAGCACAGTATTAAGACTAAATGAGTTATACATTGAAGCGTTGTCAGCTACGCGATATGATAAACTCAATCACAACTAAAAGTGGTACATACTGTTCAAAAATTACCGCAATGAGCTTAAAAGTATGGCAATACTCAATACTTAGAACACTAGTATTTTTCATGTCAACCTTTTGAATATTTAATTATTTTAAATTAGAAACAATCAAGTTAAAAGTGCGTTATAAATAGACTTACCTTATCATCCAGAACGGTCAGCTTTTGCAAAATAGTTCCAGCCAGATAGTCCCAGACAATCAGAAATGGATCACCACCACCAGAAACTACAACATTCGAAAGTACCAATATACGAGAGATAAACCTGATTAGATTCCAAATTAAATAAAACTCGTGTTAGTACACTGTAAATCCAAAAACATGACAAGTTGCCCAATCTACAATTTTAAACTCACTGTTCGTGTCCAAGGCAGAATCGCTCAATATCAAATGCGTGTGGGTATTTGGATACTCTAATCTTTTCATCTCTATCAGCAGTGATGATATACTTTCCATCTTGCGACCAAGACTATTATATAAAAAATGATTTGGGGGTAATAAAAGTGCATTCATAAACAGTTAGTCATTTCAAATAGGATATTCTAATCAGCAATCCAATCGTTACTGTACATACCATGTCGGTAAGCATTGAAACATGTCCAAGAATCAACTCTGCTGGCTTTTTGGGATCTTCCACAGCATTGCGATACACATCTCCAAATTTATCTCCAAGAAACACATATTCTCCACATGGACTGAACAGAATGCATTGGGTTTTCTTGATAATCGGTCTATTGCATTAGATTCAGTAATCAATACAGCGGTATAAATATGTGTTAGTCTGTATTCAAAATACCATCACAAATCGGGCAGCCAATTCTGAAAATCCAGTTGTAGATTATTGGACCAATAAAGTCAAGACCCACCTTGTATTTAGCAGATTCCATGATTTTCCTGGAATTCTTCGCCATAGCTGCATATCCTTGTTATTGTTGGTGATTGCAAGAGTATTGGATGATTGATGCCATCCAATACCACTGATGGACTGATTGAAAAGAAGATTTTGAGAAATCCATTCTGCATCAGGATACTGATCAGTTACTTCCTTTTCAGTAGCTCCTACAGCTGCCAAAATGGATCCATTGCTATAGATTTAACGATCATTAGTAATCATTTGGATTTTCAAATTCAGATATTCGAGTAGATTGCATTCAAGACTGACATACTTTGAATCAACTAGCAAAAACTTGGACCCAGAAACAAAAAGCAAATTGTCTCCAGTGGTTGAGCTGACAATTTTATGGAATGGGCATTTGGGCATCTTCGCACTTGACTGATATTCGAATTGGATTTCAAATAAAAATACATTTTCGCATTTACTGATGAAATCAGTTCATATCACGTGATGAGTTTGTTGGCTATCAAGAATTGTTGCCAGAATATCTAGACAAAAGTCTCGTTTCTAAAACTGCAATTTGAAAGCTAACCAATCACAATAAAAAACAGATCAACACTGTTGGAAACCCCAAGTTTCACCCCTCCATATCCACCAAAAGCATTTAAAAAGATAGTCGAGAGCTAATTAAAACAGTAAAACCATTGTATAAAACAGTACTCGTCCAAAAATATCAAATGTCTGCAATATATAGCAGGTTGTTGCAAAAAATAGTAATGGTACAAGGTGAATAAAATTCAAAAACTCCCAATCAATCCAAATCCATATCGGTGACTTCATGATTATCCGACTCAACCTCCTCAGCACTATCACCGGCTCCTCCACTCGCACCATCCGTCATATCTGCATCGCGTAAATCTTCAATATTGGATCCAATATCTTCGTACTCATCTTCATCACTACTCGACAATTCGCAATAGAATGCCCAAGGTCCAGCTACACGCCCAACTTCATCTACAGCTTCCTTTCGAAACACATCACGAATGGTTTTCGAGTCTGTCATGATCGACTCCATGTTGTCAATGGTAGCATAAAACGCATTCATCGAGTCGCCTGGACCCTGTAAATCAATTGGCTTTACATTTTCCTTGAAATAACCAAGGTTACATTGAAATAGGCAAAGTAAATTAAACCGTCAGTATACAAAATGCTTGGCATTGTATTATAGATCATTGACATATCTTACATATGATTTAGAACGAGCAAGAATGTCTTGTTCACAAGCAGTAGCAATTTCAGCAGCCAATTGTTGCTGCATTATCCATTGCTCATTTAGCAATCTGCGTTTAGATACATCACTAAAACACGAAAATATACAAAAACACAATCAATTATTTAAATAAAATTGTTAATTAATTGCCATTTATAGCTGATAGTCACAACTTCAAGCCGTTATCTAGTGTGCATGCCCAATAGTAAAAATGAAAGCTTACAAACCTAGTTTCACCAAAATCACCGCCATCTAAATTAGATCGTTTTGGTTCTCCGTTATGATCTACACTGGCCTCTTTAGGATTGACCTTTCCTGAAATAGCATCCTTGCGTGCTTTTTCGGCCTTTTCAATCGCCTCGACCTGCTTGCGTCTCTCTTGAGCTTCCTTTTCTGGATTCCGCAACGATTTATGATGATCCCAAGCACTGTCAAGAACAGAATCGTAACGAGGTTTACGTGGGGGGAGCACAGGTGGAGTTGGATTTGCATTGAAATTCTGCCCAGTTATATCCTCCTTCACCACAGTAGAAGCCAGGAGCGCTTCGGTATGAATAAACTATCTCACCAGCAAATAAAATCAATATTATATCTCCATATTGCAATTTCTAAAAGCATTTCAAACTATAGTTTGAAAATAAAATAAAAGACTGTGCCTTTACTTACACTGGAGCTGCGACGATTTAGGCTTGAATTTGATCCTTTTGAAAAAAATCCTGATGCACCGGATTTAGTCAATGATGGACGGTGAGAGAATTTACCTGGTTGACCCGTGGTGGTAGATCCACCAGTCCAAGCAGTGACATCGCCCTTTTCAACACGAAACTCGGCTTTAGATCCTTTGGTGGTATGTGGGCGAGCAGCCACGGGTACAGAGGTTGCAGGCGCAGAACAAACATTCACTGAACTTGCATTACTGGCTATAGTTTCTGGGGGTTGTGTTGTAGTATTGTCTACATCACCCGTCGCGAGGTATGGGTTGCGTATCAACAGCACCGGCCGTGATTTATTTGGTGATGCTTCGCTTTTTTCAAGTGATGGTGCTAAAGAAACCGATGAGTGTATTAAGGGTTTTTCCGGTGTGATATGAGCTGAAGCACCTGTCTCGGAATGTGAGACTGAAGTTGATCTAGATCGTGTGATGGATTGCGATCGCTAAAGGGTACAGATCCCATCAAAATGTAAAGCCATAACATACCAAAGTAGGCTAGAATTTAGTACTTGCATTACACAGGTAAAATACAATTCATCAGCAACTCACAGTATGGTGAATGGTGTTTAGGGTGCCAGCAGCTTCAAAATCAGCATCACTTGCTGCTCCAATGTCTGAAAAAATATCTAAAAAACCACCACCAATTTATATTCAAAAGCAACAAGTTAGCCATCACCACACATCTAAACTGCTAAATTCAAAACGAGCTTCGTGAAAATTGCAATCTGGGCTGTTTGGGTTTGTCTGGCTTGACCACATGAATATGGACACCATGTCAAGTGACAGTTTTCAAGTATTCTTTTCAATCTATCTACTTTCTCAACACTAGGTCATTTGAATTAAATTCAACTTTTCTAATATACAATCAAGTCTAACTTTCGGCCCAATCTTCATCAGCTTTGCCAACTATACCACATCCCATCCATTCTCAAATCTAGCTTCATAGTACTGTCCAATAAGATTTTGCATAAGACACCACCCTGATCTTTTGAAAAACAAAAGTTATGAAGCTTCGAGAATGAGAATGTAAAGGGGAAAGGTAAATTTGAAAAAGATGAAAAACTGGGTAGGCATTATATCTAAGCTCATAATACACTCATGGATAGTAATACACCCCAACACAACATCAAAGATAAAATTGATAAAAAGTATGGTAATTCTGAAAATCGGGGTGGTGTCTTTTTGTTAATTGCAAGTCTTAAAGATCAGCAGAGAAAAGTATAATAGCTGGATCAAGTAGGAAAGCAAATGGGAGAAGAGAAGGCAGTGTGAGAATAGAAAGTGGAAGTAGACATAATAGTAGTAAAAGCAAAATGTAGGAAATGACAGTGTGGATCGAGAATGTGAGGGTTTGGCGATAACAGAATAGTGTAATGTGTAAAGATGAACAGGAGCGATGCAGCATCGCCTGATAAAAGCAAAGTAGTCCCAAATTCAAGTATTTACACACTACACCAAACCTGAAATTGCCCCAATATCAGAAGTTGAAATGAAAAGTTTAGATACGATCAAAAGTAGACAGGGATCGGAAAAAGAACAAGGCAGATTTTCAAAAGTTGATAAACCGCAAAAAAATCTGAGTTTGAGAATAGCCACAAGAAAAACATTTCACAAATTCTCGTCAGATATCAATCAATGCAGCAACCATATTAATAGTCACTGCCAGGACTGCGCATACCAGAACCATCAGAGTCAGACCCTGATGAGCTTGAGCTCTCATTTCCTATTTAAAACGCACGCCAATCACATTCATTAGCAACAACATAATAAAGCGTTTAAAAAATTGGAGATAAAGTGCATACCTTGCTTCATGGGTGTGATAGAAGTGGGGGGTGCGACAGTCGAAGTTTTAGCAACTTCTGTAGCAGGCTTGGAAATTGACCGCGTGTGCTTGCGAACAAACTTGTACAGTTTCCAGAGCACACTCTTGTCTAACGAATCAATATCAAGTACAATCTCCTCCTCTCCAGTCGTATTCAATTGCGCATTCTCTTTGATAATTTCAAGAACAGTGCATAAGCGCTCATGAGGAAGTAAATCAATGCTTTCACTAAGTTCCCGCTTCTGTTCATATGTGATCTCTTCGGGCTCATTTTCATCATCACTGTCATTGGGGCGTGCACGTTTCGTGATTGACCGTCTTCGATCTGGTTTAGGTGCAGGGAGTCGAGTCCGAGAACGTGACTTTGCAGAAGATTGAGCAACAGGCTCTGGAGGAGAGGCAACCTCAGCAGAGTCATGCACATGGCCGTGACTCCTACGCTTGCGTTTCTTATTTCGCTTATCAGTGAGCATTTGCAATTGAGTGTTTAGCAAATTTAATTGGGTCTGGAGCATCTCAATGTGCTGAGTGTCAGCATCTTCCTCGGATGATGAATCCGTATCATCGTAACGCGATTTTGAACCAGAGCCTATTGCAGATGCAGAAGCAGGCGTATAAGCAGCGGACAATGGTTTTCCGTGTCTAGAAGGTTTTTGCGTTTTAGCCTGGTCATGCTGAGCCGATTGAAAGGGAGCCTTGGCAGCAGTCGGTGGTTTTGCAGTTGGCGTAAATGCTGACATTGCCTGATTTGCTGGCCTTGATGCAGGGGTTGGTGTAGATGTGGGGTAAATAGAGGATGCGTGAGGACGATGAGAAGATGTGTGAGGAGTAGTCGAAAAGGCAGATTTCGTTTTTTGGAGTTTGGCAGCGGATTCATCATGCTGCGCCAAAAACGATGCCTTTTCTGTCCATTTGTTATTAAAAGCACCTTCAAGCCTTTTACCCAAATTGTATACATCAGTGCCAGGTGGATTAAATGTGTAGCAATTATTCAACATCAGACGCATATCCGCCTCAAACTCGGATGCATGCTCGTAATCTCCATTATCAAGTTTTTTGCGCATAGTTGACAAGTCCATGGGTCGAGTGATGATGGACCGATAATGGGGAATGCCCAAGGCAATTGGATCTACAGGAACAAGAAAGGGTAGATTGTATGGAGAATGATGCTTTTTTGAAAGTTCGCGCTGAATGTAAGAGCAGAACTTGAGTTCTGGAGACACCTTGCGAGGTTTGTTTTTTTTGCTAGCACTTGGTGTTTGTTCCCGAGTAAGAGAATGCTGTTCTCTCTTTGGACGATTTTCACCACCAGTGAGAGATTCCCGATGAGGTGGTTTTGGTTTACGATCGACGGGTGGACGAAAAGTAAGCGGAAGTTTCTCCAACTCCTTGTGATACCAAGCCTGCAAGTTTTTCGCCATGACTGATACCTGAGAGTCGGCACCATTGAATGTGTAGCAGTTGTTGAACATGAGTTCAAAATCCGCCTTGATAGTAGCAACATCAGAGTATCCCTTGTTTTGCAATTTTTTGTCAATTGTGGAAATATCCATGGGCTGTTTAATGACTGTGGAGTAGGTTGGAATATTAAGAGCAATTGGATCAACAGGAACAAGAAAAATAACAGCGTCTTTACGTTTTCTCATGTTACGAGTCAAACCTGAAAACCATTTGATTTGATCTTTAAACAGCAACAACGAATCTGTTGCCATGTTTGAAGCTGCGTGTTCGCCAGAAAAGGGCAATTTGGAATCTAAAAATGACTCTGATTTAGTTATAGCAGTATTATTAGATTGAACAGACGTGGACTGATACGGAGATGTAAAATCGACAGAACCCTGACGCTCATGATCGTCATTGTCGTGGCCATTCATTGACTGATTATCCATTTGATGGCTGTACGATCCATCATACATTGAAGCGTCATCGGCAAAACTAGTTGCAGATGGGGTGTGATGCATGTTATGAGTGTGGTGATTTCCCATAGTTGAACTCATATCCGTGGCAGGTGTAGTATGGGCGATATCTCCCAATGAAGCAAAAGAAGCTGGTAGCGCATCAGATTCCAGGGAATATGTACCATTGAAGCCATTTGTAGCGGGATGGGGTTGTATAGTTGAAGATGGGTTCATTATAGGCTTTGGATAATCAGCACCGAGCAAAGGAGCAGATGCCTGCATAACAGGTTGCAGGGCAGTAGTTGTATGAAATCCTAACATTGAGCTATTTTCTTGCTCTTGCATGCTACTTTGAAACCGGATGGTGTATAGTATGATGATTTTAGCAACAAAAACATATAAATATACGACAAATTAGTAAAACAGGTTTTTGAAAATGCAGAATGCCATTGACAAGTGGATGAGATGGTAACAAGACATGGTTCAAAACAAAAAAATGGAAAAGGCGAATTTGGAAAATTGCAATTCAGCATGTCCGATGTTCACATGCATGGCCAACCAAATGAAAATAACCAAGTGTAAAGCGACAGTCTTAATCTATCCACAATTCACTCGGTCACTTTAAATCAGATTCTGCGCACAATAGAGTATGAAGAGATTGGCAAGTAAAAGTCAAGACAATGAACAGGTGTTCAAGACCACTATTGAACTAGACCACATATACTGGATTGGCCAGAGATAAACGGCAGGCCAGACAGTTTGAAGACACAAGTCTGCAAGTGATGAAATATAACCAATCGGAACTTGAATTTTGTCCATTGCATAGTTCAAAGGTTTACAAGATACAGTGGAATAGAGTGGAAAGCAAGCACAGGGTCACACCTTGGTGAGACAGGAATAGAGAGAGATAGGCCAGAGTGCTGCTGCTGTAGGATATACACAGCAACAAGGCCTCGACAATACAAGCGAATTCAAAAGAAATCGACGGGTAGAGAGAAATTCAATACAATTTGTGACGAGTGAAAATGGGCAAAAATAAGGATTGAGCCAACTCCATGTGCATGCACAACTCGATCAATGCAGCAAACAAGTCATGGCAGAACCCTCACATCAAAACAAAACGATTAGAAACCACTCACAAGTTTATGGAAGAGGCTTCAGTCGCTGACAGTTTCTGATTCATTGTTCCAAGAGTCTCTAATGATTGGGGAGGCAGAAGCATAGGAACAGCTGCATTGCCGTTGCCTGCAGCAATAGGCTCAGTGGGTTCCTTTGGAACAGCAGAAAAAGCAGCAGCTTCAACCGTCACTGGCAGAACCGTCGTTCCTTCTGCTACAAACGGCTGTTCCTGCAAACGCTCTTCAGGCACTAGAGGTTGAAGATGTTCTGCTGTCTGAGACATGAATGACTGCTTTTGAGCAATGCTGTCTCCCTGGTGCTGCACTGGCGGCTGCTGGCCCACAACCATGGCAGTGTCTGCAGTGGTTGTCATGTCTTGGTTGATGAGTGTTGATGGAGATATGGTGAATAGCTGTTATTGAATATATAGTCGTCGTTGGTACTGGGTACTAGTCAGCTATGTCTGATTGCTGTAGTTAGCGAGTAAAGAGAAATGCAATGGTGAGTTGAAGAGGTTAAGCACACAATAAGCAATGGATTCTTCCCAACGAAATACCCTCTGCATACAATATAATCAAACGCAGTAGGCTAGAGACAGTACTGGTAAATGTCTCTGCTACTGTCCTACTGCTAGACACCTCCCAATCACCACTTCCATCACTGTTCTTTCCGCCATCCAAATGTTTCCCACACTTTTGTCCCTGCAAATATCCCTCCATCCAATCGTTTTCGTTTGCCTGATTTTGCTCGTTGCATTCCTAATTTTTCTCTTTCCTATTCTTCATGCCAACACCTCCGCCCTCCAAACTGATCAAACAGCTCGACAGCATTCACAACATGCAGAGCTGAAATAGGTAACACAGTGTGTTGCAGAAATCATATGCAGAGTGTATAGAGTGAGGGATCACTTTGATTTCCTATCTACCCAACATCCATTTGCTGGAGTTCAATTCGAGACTCAAGTAGGCACTCACCTATACAGATCACTTGTGAGTTCGGCCCGAGTATTTGCTTAAATTGTGAAAATGGCGCTTCAAAATCAAACAGAAATATCTGATGGGCCAATCAAAGGATTTGGTGGGGCTGTGTGGTTGGCAAGCGAGTATTCCGCTTCGGGTGGAACTTCAATGCCCATTGTATTTATACGAATTTTGCCGATTTACATGCCTGAGGATACGCAATTTGTTTTTTGCTGTGGGCAACACTCCAAAACAAACATGTTTCACCGCCAATTCGTGCAAAACGAACACTATCTGCATGTTTTGAAATAAATAATCAACTATTCATTGTACTTTCTACTACACATTTTCAATAAACGTCCATCATAGGATACAATCAAACTATAGTTTTGAACTGGAATGATCTTTTTTGCACCCGCTCTTTCTGGTATAACCGTATATTATACAATCATCGAATTTGAATCCGGATATTGGGTTCAGCTGTTTTGATATTTCAAACTCTTGCACTTTAATATCGGATACGTTTGTGCACCAGTTCAACAACAGTGATCGCACATCCCAGTAGTGTAGCTGTTTATTATAACCGATATTCTTTAATGATCCATTTTACGTGAATACAAAACGAACATTTCAATCCTCTGCCCTCATTGTTCATCACCAAGCATACTTTTATTAACGAACAAGAACTGCATCAATCTGCTTGAGCTGAGGAAGCAGTACTCGAATCTTTCTTCTGTAAACTGCACGTGCATCCGTCTCAAGAGGATTGCCTTCAAAATACACTGTCGTCAGCTTTGTTTTGTTTTGGAGTTGCTGCTCTACTTGTCGAAATTGATTCAGCTGGTTATTGCTTGCCTGTTGAATAATGTATACGCTTTTAATAGACTTGATCTTAGAATAAAACAAAATCATACTCTTCAAATATTGCTTACCCATAACTCCTCCAATTCAGTCAAATGGTCTAATCCTTCCAATTGGGTAATGCGATTGTTGGATACATCCAACGTGCTCAGTTTCAAATTCCCTTCCAGTCCCTGTATCCTTTCAATCGCATTATGGCTAAGGTATAGCTCTTCCAGATTAGCAAGTGTTTCAAGCCCTTGAATCTGTGTAAGTCGGTTGCTTTGGATGCTGATCAAACGCAGCTTTTTGAGGTTCTCCAAACCTTCAATCTTGCTAATCTTGTTCTTGCCTATCCACAACTGCTCAAGATTCACCAATAAAGATAGGTTTTCTAGTTTCTAGTGATTTAAAAGAGTCAGGTTAGACAGACTGTAGGCTGTAAACTAACACAGATTCAAAATATACTTGCACGAATACGATTCGCACCCAGTTCCAGGTTGGTCAAGTTCACCAAATGACCCAAATTCTCAATCACTGTGATCTTGTTGGCTACAAAATACAGATCATGTAAATGGATCAGACTTTCGATCCCTTGAATTTTGCGTACTTTGTTGAATGACAGGTCCAGTACTCTGAAATCAAATCAGTACAAGTTTAAATACCATATTTGGGAATAAACCAAATCAAATGTGCTTACTTGAGATGTGTCAATCCATCCAAGTTACAGACCGTAGAAATGCGATTATCATAAAAGTCAATTTCTTCCAGTTGAGCAACATCATCCAAATGCTCGATCTTGTGAATAAGATTTTGCCTTACAGAAAGTCGCTAAACACCTCGATTCAAAAGTATAAATACAAACATGAAGCTCCAAAAACACTCCATATCTTGGATATTCAACTTACGGTCATTTGCTTAAACCGACCCAGATCCAAACCCTCAAGTGTCAAAAGTCTGTAGTGAATCAAGTCGATTGACTAAAGTAGAATAATTGTCAGGGGTTTCAATGCCAATTCAACTCGACCGTCACATTCAAGATAAACAACCTCTATATCCCTTGGAACATCATCCAATAGCCCATCTAGATAGAATCATACAATAAATGGATCAACAAGAATACCGATTTGGCATACAAAAAAACGAATTGTTTTACAAGCAATAGGATGGAATGGAAGACTTGTATACAGGTCTATCCATGAACCAACCCCAAGTGCAAACTGCTAGTCTCCACGCTGCACTCACCATTGGAAGTAAGACCGGGAGGGTCTGCAGCAGCAGGAACTTCATGCACATCATCGTCTGATTCAACACTGGATGAATGTTGCACTATGGCAGTCTGTACAGATGTATCATGTTGCACCTCTGCCAGAGCAACTGGACGGGAATGCGATACGTCAGGCTCGACTACTGTTACCCTCATCAGATTTCAAATACTGGAACAAGACAAACTGCCAACAGACAAAATCAAGTTGGCTACTTTTTGCATATCACTAATAGCAATTTGGCAAAATCTGGCCAGTAATCATTTGCACATCTCGACCCAAAATAAACTATTCAACTTTGAAAAAACTATAATTTATATATCTATGGTTTGGTAGTTTGTGATCAACTAAACCGCTAAGCTTTGGCAATGATTCATTATCTGACATCTGTTACTGCATCAGACTCGCTTGTTGTATTTCTAGAAGCCTCATCAGCAGGATGAGCAGATGAACAAGCTTCAGTGCTCGCAGAAGGTACAGTAGTATCAGGTGCGTCCACGATAGGCGTAGATATCTTGTCATGACCAACTTGCCACGTTGGCTTAACACCAGCCTCGAACCATTCTCCAATCTGTGTTACAACCGCATCGTAACAGAATATAAACTGTGCTGATGTTTGAACAGCCTTGATACGCTGTCTTCGAATGTGATTCACTGTCATTGCAACCATATCGTCTTTTGGAAGTCGCTGGATCTCTGATGGATCAACCCATGGCAAAGTGCTAATAGATTCGGATGTATGCATGCTATGCTGAGTGAGAATTGGATACTGTTCGGCAATGATCTGCGATCCTATCATATTACTCAGTACCGAGTCAATAGTGCAGAACACTCCAGTTCGTCCACATCCAGCGCTACAATGAACCACCATTGGTCCAACAGTAGCAGGACTCGAAGGCTGTACACCACTTGCATCAAGAATAATCATATCCGAGGCAGCAATCGCCTGAGTAGTGTTGGCAATCCGGATTAGCTGAAGTACTGAGCAAGGAGAACTCACTTGATGATCAGGCCATGCTAGAAAATGAAGCATACGAATTCGACGGATTTCTGGTCCCGCATGAATCCGATGATTATGATCAGAGCGACATGCAGATGTGGGTGTTCCTGTTTTGGCATGGTGTTCAGTGGTAATTGAAGGAGAGTTGTCTGTAGATACAATCTCTGCAGCTTGAGCACTCGATGCACCACCTCTACTCTCGTAAAAATGATGATCATCTTCCACATGTCGGTTCAACACATCGTCCACCATCTCCTTCTTGACAATAAACTCTCGCTGAACCGCTTGTCCGTTCATCAAAACTACCTCGTCTGTAAACTGAACTCGAAAACAAATGGCTGCAGGTCCACAAGATGATGATGAAGTGGTTGCGTATCGCTTGCTGGCCCCAACAACATCTGGCCAATATCGAGTGCATTTGATTCGACCAGCTTCTTCCTCTTGGGTAAGCATGACAATTACCCCACTCGACTGTTCCCAAATCATTTCCCAAAATGCTCCAAGCGTGGTTGGCATAGGCCCTTGAGCTGCAATATACTTGCGATGGCCATCAATACTATATACGGCGGATGCATTGATGTAGTCTGTGCCTGCCGCCAGCATGGTGGCAGAGACTGGTGACCGGATGTGCAAGGAACTCGTACTACTTTCTCCATCAACATGAACATTGGGTTGTACCCCTTGTAATCGCACTCGGTTATAGTCAAAAGGAAGAATGTCCGTGTATCGATTAAACCGAATATTCGCTCGAGATGTGGCAGATGCCGTTGTAAACACCATACGGTCAACACTATCGCTATCCGGCTGCACCATAGATGGATCTAGTTTATGATGCAATGTTAGTCGTCGATCCTCCATCTCTTGAATTGTTTTGTAAACACGCTTGAGAGAACGTCGGATGTTAGAAGGAGACCCACAGGACAGTATACTCAAAAGGTAGCCAGGTAGATAACAGGCCTTTTCAAGTATGGTTGTGAGTTGAGCTAGAGTGACAGCCTGCAGCCTGCTTGTAGCCGACATCGGACTGCTTTCTGGAGTATGCAATATAGCAGTGCATGTACTAGAAGCAGTTGCAGTTGTTGCAGTTGCTGGATTGTGAGTGTTGCGAGAATTGCTGTTGGAATGAGTGCGAACATGACGATTATTATGAACACTTTTGATATTGAGTTTGGGTGGTTGTAGGTTAGGAACAACAGTCAATGGAGCACTATGACTAGTCTGCAGTGGAGCAAGCTGTTTGAATGCAGACGACATGGGTGGTTGAGTGCTGCTCTCTTGGCTTTCTTCGACTACACTTTCAGGAATTGTAGGTGCCAAGTTGCTTTGCAAATCCAACGAGTCCCCGGATGGTTCAGCAGATATGCTTAGCCGGCCAGGCGATAGTCCTTTATTTAACATGTATCTAGGCGAGCTTGCCCGTCGCTCTGCAATAGATGGGCTTCGTCCAGTTGATCTGTGGTGCCAGAACAACAAACAATAAAGCGATAAGCGTGGAATTTGTAATATTTGAAAGTGTTGTTGTTGTAGCAGGCAGTGATTCATACGTGTGGTTAGCAGCAGTAAATTGTAGTTGTCGATGACATCCCAGCAAGGTTAAGAATAAATAAGCAATTCAAGTGAATCGACAATAGAATCAATTCAGCAAGTCAAGTTCCGCAATACAAACAGGTTGCATACACAAAATATACAAATCAATGGAAATGCCAAAAAATAAGGATAAACAGCAGTCATGATGAATACGCCAGCAGTTCAAGCATGAAAAGTCAATAATAGACGTCAGAACAAGAGTTTAAAAAACAGTTTTGGTTGGCAAGTCAAAGTGTAGTTTAGGGTGAATTGAAAATTCCAGGGTTAAAGTTGTGATCAAATGGTATTAATAATATTTTCGGCCATATAATGAACATTAAAAGTGGCAATAATTCAAACCATGTTCATCCAAATTGTGGTTATTTTCAAATTCAAACATAAATATTGAAATGGTTGGTTAAAAACAAAGTATAATTTGTTAGAAATGCCACAAAAAGTCAAAATTCAATCAACAGTATAATTCCAGAAAAACGTACGATGAATTGGGCAGCAGGCAATCAGCACTAAAGCTTTGTACATTTACAGTATTCGCCACCAATGATCGCCGATATGCCAGTGTTTGGTGTCGAGATTGCAAAGAAAGATTTGGTTGTGACATGGACCCAGGTACGACTTGATCTAAATCGTTGTTTAGAATTCTGGCAACAGGCTGTGAATAGATTTCATTCACGATGGGTTTCGGTGCTATTTCACCAGAAAGTCTTGCTGATGAATCCAAAGCGTCAGTAGTAACAGTATTTTTGACGCTAGCATCCTCTAAAAGCTTGCCACTATTGATACTATTATCTTTGTCTTGCTGGTGAGGTTGTGTATGTAACAGTGTTGTGGCATCTTCATTTGATTCAGTACCGTAAACAAGTAAAGCTTGTTTGTCGTGCGCTGAATCTTGCACTGATTGCGAATCTACTAATGGCTGTGTTGTATTGTGTGTGTTTGAAGTGGTATCTGAATTGGACTGAAGGTTTTGATTAGATAGCTGATTGGATTGAACAGATGACGGTGATTTGGCAGTTACCACATCACATTCATCACCAAGCAAGATAGAATTGGAGCCTGCAAGCTGCGGAATGGCGTCTGGATAGTCATCAATACTCTTTCCACTATGCGATGCATTCAAATCTACAAGCGCATCATTATCATCTGGATATATAATCTCAGGAATAGCAGAAACAATCTGTGATCGCCGTTGGGCTAAAGATGGTGTCAGCTTTGACTCAGACATTGACTGCAGAGCTGGCACATCCGATAACAAACCTGAACAAGAAGTTAAAAAAACACTCGTGCTTTCCCTTTGCTTGATTATTTTGTTTTTTTCTTGGCCAGGCAATTCCGAATGTTGTAAAGGAGATGATATAAATGCCGCATGCTCTGCTTCAAAAGTCATCAGTGCAGGCCGATATTTAGAATTTGGGGGTGTTGATGACTGGCGGCGATGAAACGATTGGTTTTGATTATATGAAGACTGTTGTGATTGGTGCATGCTATGTCGATTCTGTGATCCAGAACCATTGCTAGATGATGCTATGTTGGAATGGCTACTACTTTTTGATAAAGGCAATGATGACGAAAACTCTAGCATTTTCAAAAAAGATGTGAAGCTGTTGCGAGTACGACGATAGAGTATGCTTCGTGACGGATCTTGACCATAGATGGGCGGATTCGATGATTCAGATTCAAAGCCCTCACTACTGTTGGTTGTGTTTATGGGCTCTGAAGATTTAGTGAGGTGTGGCTTGCCATCTAGTCGTCCAGAATACACATTAGAAGAATATCAAAAATAGTTGCATACACAAGGTGTGTTAATGGCAATGAATTGATATATTATGCAATACAGCTATATAGGAGTTGCACATCTGTGTGCATGGCGACTGTATGCGAATGCCACGAGGTGAATTCAACAATCCATGCAAGTTGCAACTCATCCATTGCCAAGTGCTCCAATTCATTTTAGCATATATACATGGCGCAGTCTACACTAGATGAATAGATATATAAACTGACCTGTAGGCTTCAAACCACTTTGTAAATGGTCACTCGAGATCCCATTAAACTCGAGGTGGCCATTCAATTGGGTCTGACAAAGCAATGAGTTCGAGTCTGGCTTGCGCATTGATGTAGCAGAACTATTGCCAGAAACACCCTGCGAGTTTACATTGTCTTTGTCGTCTTCTTTTGTGAAAGCATCCTTAGAACCTGCTGCTCCCATGAATGGCTATATGTAAAAGTGGTGGTTATACGGATGTATGAATATGCTCTTTGTCAGAAATTGAAGCAATATAGATGGTCGTTTATATGAAGCTGTTAAAAGGCATTCGTCTTTGCGATAGTACTACTAGTATAAGTGGCAATCCACCTTCAATGTGCAGCAATGATTGTTAGAACGAGTGTATTTATAGTCGTATTCACGCAAAATGAAACAATAAATAAGGGTGTCAAATTCATAATAAACAGCCAATTTCATGCAATGATAATTCACATTTACTGGACAATATTATAGCATCGAGTGTTTGGCATGTATAGTTGCATTCCTAAACTGCAATCTTTGTTTTTTGAACTAGAGCGCGAGCGTATTTGAGATTAGGATAAACGAGTTTGTACTGTTCAACTGTTCCATACGATGAATGTTGTTGATTGAATTGATAGTATTGATTGCTAGTAGGAGAACGCAACGAATATTGACCATTGTCTATTCCAAAAATAGTAACGGAAAAAATAATGCTCCGTTTTATGTGAATATGGCCGCAAACTCGGTTTAGAATTGGCAAAAGTTTATTGGTATTATCGCCAGCTGTAATAACCAAACTTTATTATTCAGATTGCTCTGAAAATCCAACACAATATCATACGACAGTAAATCATAACAAAGTTTAGTTGCATGTGTTGAGATACATTGTCAAAAGCACAATATTAAGCCTTTGGTAGTATGTTTGGATCTAATAAGATCATGAGATAAACAAGACTCAATGTTAGTCATTTGCTACTATGGCGGGTTAAGTAGACCTAAAATTGAGACAACTTTAATTTTGGATTATTCAAGTTTACCCTAGTTGAAATATTACCATTGTAATTCTTGGCCTGTTTAATTGCACTTTTTACTACTACCGTAGTGCTCAAATCGAGCTGAATTTTCTATCAAGTATTTATTTTTCAGATTCAGACAATATTGGACCAACAATTCACTCATAGCGCTGGATACTATCAGTACAACTAGTTATTGCAGGGGGCTCCGTTGCTTAAATCTGAATTCCTTTGCAAATGGCACAAGTCTATAAAAGCGATACGTGTATTCCTATAGATTCTTCTATTCCCATACATTTAGACTCGACAGCACCACCCACTCATTCTTTGCAGCCTAGAATTAGGCATAATCATATACAAAGCCGTGACCTGTACTCCAGCGAGCCTGTATTACATCACAGTCGAGCTTCATCCGTTCGCAAGCCCCATAGCTCACTTATACTACGATTTTTCTTCAATGCTTGGCAGCAGTTTTTGCTTGCAGTCGTTCGCGTTGCGCGCGTTCCTCCGTCAAGACATAAAGTGTATCCCACTCCACTCAATAATGATCTGGATTTTGATAATAACAAAAAGTCGGACGATTCTGCTAAAAGTAATTTTTTCAGTAAGCTGAATAGCAATGGAATATTAAAATTTGGTAATATTGCTACATACTGTGATCACCAGAGTAAAACTTTCTTTTTTGTTGCTGGTACACTATACTAATTGTAACGCTTTCATCTGTAATATTCTACCCACTATAAACATATCACACCAATGCAATTTTTCACAAAACATATTTAGACAAACTATCCGATACAAATTCAGAATTTTTCTTTGATAGCCATCTTTTGGAAAAGGTTTTTGAAAATGGACGACTTCTTGAATGGCGTCTTCTCGTTCATCCATGGTCCCATAAATTCAAGTCTCAAAAAATGGAAGATCATTACATGGAATCAATTCTTTTACGCAATCGTGTAATCTATGCTAGAGTGCTGTCAACCTTTACAGTTTTAATCGTTATTGCAGATTTCACGTTGCTTACAGCACATATGGGGCTAGCCGTAACAGTTATACTGTTAGTAAACATGCTATTTTTGGCTGCATTAAGTTGGATCAAGGCTGGAAAAGGATACTTGATTATTGCGACAAGAATTCCTTATGGAATAAACATTTTAAAATCCGCTGTGGTAAGAGCTTAAATGCTAAACTATACAACTGCCCTATTTGAACAATTGTTTTAACCATTATCCGCGTATGCTTTAAACCACTACTTTAATCTAACCATAATAATTGCAATTTTATGGATTAGGTTATTGCACTTCTTACTGCAGCATGTCTTGATCTATTCATTTCTAAATTGCCAAGCGACATTATAGGAAGCACAGCTATATGTAGCATTGTTTACTGTAGTCTTTCAAGTGGCCTTGCTTTGACATATCTGGAATCTATAAGTCGTATTTTTTTAATTCTTGTCGTTGTTCTAATCAAAGTCGGGTTTATCTATAGCCAATCCGTAGACTGGCTTACTGGAATAATTTATCTTATTCCAGTTATCTGTGCCTGCATCCTTTCATTTAGTTACGTCAGCTCTGGCGATCGTATTCGTCGCTTAAACTATTTAAAAACCCAGTTTGTAGATGCGCAACTTCATCAAACCAGTATTGAGCGAGCCAAAGCCGATTACCTTCTCTCAGTCTGTCTTCCCAGATCCATCATTAAAAAATTAAAAGGCCAGCACAAGTTTGATCTTATTGCTCATCGGCATGAAAATGCCACAGTCATGTTTGGCGAGTTAAAAAATTTCAAAGAGTTTGTTGCTGGTAATATGTCTATGAAGAATGCAATCATTACTCTGAATTACCTGTTTGAATACATTGATGAGTCAATTTGCCAGTTTGAGTCATTGGAAAAAATCAAGGTATATATTGGTGTTTTAATGTGGTAGCCAAGACTGTATATATGATGCCAGCTAAACTGATTATTTTGCTTTTTTAAAATAGACCATTTCCAACAAATTTTTGATTGTCGGTGGACTAAGTGAATCTACTTCTCATTTGACTCAAATGATTGACATGGCCATCGCGTTAACTGAATACTTTAAAACACCAAAGCAAATTGAGCTCGACAACAATGTGCTTGAAACGGTTACATTCAAACTTGGATTTGGAGTTGAATCTGGTATGATCACTAACTGTAGTATATTACACAGTTTTTTGAAGCCAATATTTAATGCATAGTCGCTATTTGTATATAGGTCCACTTGTGGCGTGTATTGTTGGCAAAAAAAAGTTTGTTTACGAGATTTATGGAGATGTAGTCAATGTGTCGAGCCGATACTTGGGAATCGCAAAAGTGAACCAGATTGTTGTATCTGAAAACCTTTACAAGACTTTGGCCAACAGTATGTATTTTATCACTTTGTTTTCAAAATACTCAAAGTCATGGTTAAACATGCCAATATTAATCGTTTGGTCTCATTTTTTCAACTACGCAACAAGTATATAATGGAGAACCTCTTGGAGCAAAGATTGTCAAAGGTAAAGGCTTGCTAAGGCTTTGCAACATCAAAGAGAGACATAAAGAAAATTCTGACTTGGAATCATCCCAACCAAGAATATCTGTCACTATACGTGATAAACTCAATACATCAACTCGCTTCCGCAGACTCAGTTTAGCCAATATCATACGAAGTAGTGCATTTTCTGCCGCAGTACCACTATCTAGTCATACTTCTATGAATATCTCGTCAATGATTTCTTCTTTGCCAGGACAGCACAACATATCAACAGGCAATTTATCAGGAAAAAAGAGTGACAAAGGAAAACCTGTGCGATTACAGCAAAATAATGCACGAGAGTTGAGCCAAGTCGAAAAGTCGGAAACGTCTGATTTTCTACAAACTGCTTTATCAGCTGTAAGTATTTGCTTTTGGAGAATTTGATGGTATTGCGTGATTTCTGAAATACGCATGACAGCACTCTGTTTTGGTTCAACTGACATCTCAAATACCAAAACAACATGAACTAAAATTTTGGTTTCTGTTTGTTTTTAGAGCAATATACTTTTGGACAATGGGGCTCATTCAGTTCAAATAGAACAGCAACGTGGTGATTCAGTAGTGCTTGAAAACGCGGTTGAATGTCATGACCATGCAGAAGATGCTTTACATCCTCTCAGTATTTCTCAAGCAGGCAGCACGCATAGCTATGAACTAAATGTATCTCATGGAAAATTGACTCGTATACAATCCCATTCTGATGTTCAAAAAAAATATCAAAGCTCATGTACAGATGGAGATCTTAAACAGTTTTTTAGCAGTAGACGTCCAAGCTATCAACACACAGATACAAGACCTCATAATGGGCCGATTGAGCTTATTGAAAGTGATTATGACGGTGCTACATCAAATGCAAATGCTCCTCCAACTTTGCTTGTTTCTGTTCCAAATGTATCCGATAGTCAGACTTTTGATACAGTTGAAAAGTCCGGTTGGCTGGGTTTGAATGAAAGCAATTCTGCAAGAAAAAGCGATTATTCTAACAAAGATGGTCAACACTATAGCAGTGTCAAACGCAATATGATTAAGGAAGAAGATGAATGTAGCATTCAATCTAGCAACGATTTGAATGATTTGAATGATTTTGTAAACCCCCTGACTCAAAAGTCGATCAATCGAGCAATGTCTGCTGTTGTGCGCAAAACCACACTGTTGCGATCTTCCGTTACTACAGCTGGGCAATCGACTTCAGCATCGGCATCGGCATCTAGACGACAACTTACCATTGAAGACGAGCATAAACTACAGCAAACAAGCTTGGAGGCACGAGATGTAATGGCTGAAGTTATTCTTCGAATGTGCGAAAAGGTTGAAATGATTAATGACAAGGAGCACGACAAAGATTGTGACTCGACTCATGGAAGCAGAATTGATCGATACATGAAGGTCATATACAATGAAATGGATTTGGAAACTCTGCGATTTAAACACACCGCGCTCGAAGAACAGTTCCAGATGGATTTTGTCACATCTACGCATATTTCTTTTATTCATAGCTGGCTAGTTATTGCTTGTGTTGAAGTCATGGTTCTTTTTCTTGGTCTGTGTAGCTACACTAATCTATTTGGAAGCATTGCATTGGTGACTGAGGATTTGAATTTGTATATTGGCGGATGGATTGTAACTATTTGCTTGTTGGCCATCAATCCTATATTTTTATGCTTTTTTCGAGAGTATACCAGCAGAGGAAGAGATGTACAAATACGCAACATCCAGTTTTTTGTGCTCATTGCAAGCCTGTTGGTATCTTTTTGGACAGTCATGCTTCCGTGGACCGGATTGTACAGCTACTTTTTCATGGTGGGCGGTAGCTTGGTACAAATCTTAGCCTACAGCATCTATCATATCAACGGAATAACTTTCATTTACAAATCACGTACGACTGCAGCAGTTGTCTTTTTTAGTCTAGTCACTCTTCATATTCTTCAAAAAGTCACCTGGTATACAACTATAGGATCTGTAGGCTGTATTTTTATGGTATATTTGACAATTATTCGTGGAATGCGGTTGCAGCGTGTCGAGTACCTCTTGGATGTGATTATGGACACTCAAGGTGAATTGGTATGGGACGAAATCGAAAAAAGCTCAAGGTTGCTGCATATTGTGTTGCCAGAGATAGTCATCAGTCAAATTGTAGCAGAACCAAGCTCGATTGTGTATGAAGAGCTGAAATTTATTTCAGTGTTATTTTTGGATATTGTCAAGTGAGTATTTTTAGGTACTGTTAATTGTAAAATGTGTCATTCTATTTATACTCGGATGCTTATTACATGACTTTATGATATATTAGTTTTACCGTGATGTCAGGAAACAAAGAGCCCATTATTATTGTAGAGATGCTTAATACTTTGTTTTCTTTTTTCGACTTTATCACTGACGAATACAACGTTGAAAAGGTGACTTGGCTGCTAAATTTCAAAAAACTGGTATTCTGCAGCAAAATGAAACTAACTTTACTTTTAATTAGATCACGACAATTGGAGATGCATATTTGGCATGCTCTGCCATTAAAAATGATGTAGATCCAAAAGTAGGAGCATCGGCAGTATGCATGGTTGCTTTACAAATGCAGGCATATGTAAAGCAGACATTAAACAAACTACCAAATGTGGTCAACAACTTTCCTGGATTGGTAAATATTCGAATCGGGGTGCATTCAGGTATTGCTTTTGACATTTTAAAACGCTCAAGATATGTATGGCATAGGATAAATGACCAAACTTGCTTTGATGGTTAGGACCTTGCTACGCTGCTATTATGGGTGGACCTAAAAATTTTCGATACAATGTACTTGGCGACACTGGTATGCTGATTTGATTGGATCCAAAGTATTTGTTTATTTACTCATCAAGCCATTGTTATTCTAAAAACTTCAATATCATTATTATACATCTACAATAGTTGATATTGCAGAAAGGGTATGTTTGTTTGCATTGTTCAATTTGGAATCGACGAATAACATTGCCAAACATGTAATAATAATTGAACTTGATTTGAATTCAAACGTTAGGTCCAAGAGATTGCACCAGCTGGAGGGGTATGCATCACACAGCCCACGCTCGAGCTGATTCAAGATAATTTAGACTTTCGGTGGGAGTTGTATGATGTCACGGCTAAAAACCTTGAATACACTTACATTTTGAGTTTGAAAGATGAAGCGACACTTTTCAATAACCAGGAAGCTACTACACGGAATACGGCGGAATTTACTCTTCCTATCCAACTGGATCCTGTGCGTAGTACCACTGTAGAAACGTTTTCAGCAGTCCCATCGTCTTTACCAAGCCTTGCGATTGGCAACACACTCCCCCCACTCACCTCTCAATATTCCGAGATACAAACTCCAATTAATGATATATGCCAAGAGACACAGTTTGATCAACATGACCCCAACAGCAATCTTGACTTTATATATGGCGGCGAACTTCCGATTCTGCCACGCTTAACAAGCCAAAGAGGACAGCATTCACCTTTGCCCACTCATACATTCAAAAAACCTGTGTTGCCAAATCTATCCAAAAACTCGTCACTTTCATCATATGTTGGGAAAGGTGATTCCATCACAGTTCAGGATAGTAAGAGTCAGTCTCCACGTCCAGAATCGATATCACACGGTATTCCTCGAATTACGAAAACGCCTAGTTTCGAAACATCGCATGTTAGAGTCAAAAGCTTTAATGGAGGTGTGTTTTCTGGTGGTTCTGGAAGTGATACTAATGGTAATGCCGGTACACTGCTGATGGTAAACTCGAGTGTATCTCGCTCCCCTTCCACTTTCCGAAAGCTGACGGGATCTTCGGACAGTGATGGCATTATTGTTCCCTCTGTTACGATAAAGAATCGAACCAACACAGCTGTTAAACGGAAAGATTTGATGGACAGTCAATAACTGGTCAAATAAAGTCGAGTTTACAGTTATAATTTGTCGTGGTTTCAACTCGATTGAATTTCTGATGAAAATCAAAATTTTCTACCATTGAGCAAGTCGGCCCAGTAGTATTAAACTATTTGCTTTGATACCAGTTACGGATATATGTGTTGAGATGGTTGATCCAATACATATGCGAACAGTCAGCGAGTCTGTTCAGCAACCCTCTCTACTTCGGTTTGTGCTATGGCTACCAACCTACTCTTTCACAGATACCCTTTCGAGTAGTACAAGCTATCTGCACACTTGGCAGTTCCAATGTGCGTTGTCCCTTGCAATCATATTTCTGACCATTCGAATATTGCGGAGAGTACTGCAGATCCAATCATGGCCTATATGGGCAATAGTTTCAGCAAGGGTGCTGCTGCTTATCTGGATTTTAGGACTCATGATAAATATAGTTTTGAATGTTGGATCATTGCTAAACTCGGGTGGTGGAGTTTGGAATATCTTGACTCAGTTTGGGCCAGATGCACCCTCTGCATTCGAATCTGCTACTAAATCTTCTGAAGCTTCCGCAGCATTGATGTACTCGGCAAACGCATCTACCAACCCCATGTCAGGACTGCTACCTCCAGTTGGAGCCACAAGTGAATTTGACTCGGATGATTCACCACAATGGGCCAAAACCTTGGCTGATTCATTTTTCCTGGACATTATGGTTTACGAAGCCATAGTTCGCAGCTACATCATACTCTATCCACATCCTGATGGCCTGGTTCCAAGCTACCACCGCGGCTCGATCGATGGAGATTTTCTTTGGGCAGCAGTACTATATATGCACTATGCAATTGAGCTTCTTCCTTTGATGCTTCTAAAATGGCTTCATATGGCTACGTTGTTAAGCCACCTAGCTTGCAACATGGCAGTGGATAATGAGCGGCTGGGGAAGATTTGTGCTAATGCGCCAAAAGCTGTTCATTGGATTAGAAGAATCCATCTTGGTTGGAGTATAGCAGTTGGATATGGCGTCCCGTGGTTGATGTGGGTGCCAGATATGCTGGTGCTTGCAGCTGCCGTACTGTTTAATTTTGGCGTTGGAGTTGGAGTTGCAGTATCTACTCATGCTGCACAAATTAATTCTCGAGAAGATGCTCAAATAGCGGCCATCAGGACTAATTTGGCCGGAGCCCAAGCCATGCAGCAGCGATCGCTTGTACAAGCAACAAGCCCAGTTTTAGAAAGAAGGCTCCTGGGTGGCAATTTGGATCAGGACGAAGCAGAGTCGCTGTACAGATGGTTTTTAGATACGAATCAAAATATGCCGACTGAGGATATCGACGACTATAATGATCAGCTGTGGCTATCAGATGAGGGAGAGGACAAGACTAATGATGGTAGTATATCAGGAGAACTTGAGGATGAAGATGAAGATGAAAAGGCTAAAATGAATGATAGGATTTCAGCAGATGAAATCGAACAGCTGCTTTCAGATGCATATGCTGGCTCAGAAGTACTACAGCATAAAGACGCGTTGGATGAGTCGTATCTATGTCCAGGAAGAGTATTTACTCGACAGATGCGCCATGCAGTGTTACACAACGAACCCAACGCTTTAAATAAGCAAGATGTAAATGTTGGGGCTCAAGGCTCACAACTTTGGGGCCATCGTCGGCGCAGTCTTTCTAGCGGAGTTTCACCGACTCTAAATCTTACACTAGCTAGTTTAAAAGCAAATGGAATGCAATTTGAGGAAGACGCTTTGATTTCAAATCCATCCTCACCTACATTTGCGACATATAAAAATGATCGAGGATCAGCCACAGTAGTGCCCACACGATCACAGTCTTTAACTGCAGCAGGCGCCAAAAGATTTGTCAAAGAAGCTGCATCTGCAGTAAGAGATGTAGCAATGCGAGTAGAGCGTTTCCATCGGGTGTTGGCATCGCACGCGCCTGTTGCAAGGATGGTGGATCGCATTCTTTCATTGCGACAACGCGAAAATCAACGTAGAAACGATCATGGTATCAAGTGTGTAGTATGTACGACACGCATGAGAGATATCATTCTTCAGCCATGCAATCACTTGTGCATATGCGAAGGTAAACTTTTATTGCTGTTTTGGAATTTAAAAATAACTTGTAGCTAACAAGTGACTCTTTGCTTTGTTTACTTGTAGATTGTAAAATAGGTATGGGACAGCAGAATATTGGGCGTTGCCCTGTCTGTTCCAGTCAAGTAACTGGCACAGTCAAAATCTTTTGGAGTTGAACGTATGCGTACAGCTGAACAGGAGTATTGAGCTGTGATTGTTTTTATCAAGGCGTCAAAAATAATTCAAGTTTATTTTCTGCAGATGTTTTTGGTCAAAGTATTTTACCAGTAATTATACAAGACTCGGATGTATCTGCAATCCAACCTTGAAGTCTTGATAAGTCAATATGTGGCCGACTGTCGACATAGTCTTTGAGATGGTAGCTGTAATTCTAATACATATAAAAACAATTAAAACCCATGAAATCTTACAATTATAATTCGAGTATACTGGCCAGTATTATTCACACAGAAACCACTTGCCACTAGATTAGCCCAGCTAAATGCCTGAATCTCCAAATCACGTGGACAGCATGCAAGGCAAATTCACAAGATTTCACTTTTCTTTCAAGTCACTTTTTGAGCTCACGTTACGGACAAGCAACGTGTAAATCCGCTGACATTTAGCCAGGTGAGTGATGCAGAAATGCGAGACATTTGGACTGATTTGAGGGAGACAGCACCCAGTAGCACATCACTAACACCAGCATGGATTTAAACCCTTTTGATGTAGGACACTGTCCTTTATACTTAGCATGAGTAATACAAAGGATAGGGACAGTCAGACTCTATTGGGGAGACTAAGATCATCCCGCACTGCATGGACAACCACCGCCTTTTCAAAGTGTCTCACACCCTTTCCGACAGATCCTGGGAGACACTTGTCAGGAAAAACTACAACTGCAGGAAAGGATGGTCAGATAGACCTTGATGAGAATGGCAAGGCTGATTCTTTGGGTGGACACACTGGCTTTAAGGAGGACGGAGAACCTCGTCGCACCATGACTGATGTTCATGTTCTAGGCACCGCAACCATGGCCATTGGGCCACATCTGTTTCCAGAAACCACTTTCTACAAGGTTGTCTATCTATCTGAACCTCGCAAAAAAGGGACTGCTACTGGCACTTCCATCGATTTCAATGCACTGACTTCTCATCTGTCTACTGGGACTACTGCACCAGATCTGCCTGCCGTGCTATGGCCTCCTGTACTCCACCCTTTGTCCACTTCCAGTGCTGCTACAAAGGCGTCTAAAGACCCTCACAATGGCAGTTCGTCTTTATCCAAGGATAATGCCAAAGCTTATCCTGCATCTGCAAATACACCCAGTGATGATTTAGAACACTCTGATCAAGATGCTGAAAAAGAGACCAACGACCAGCAACAACAAATGCTCAACTTTCAGCATCTATTTTATCCTCAGTTAATGAATCCTGCGTTTTCCGCCATGTCTGGACTAAACGGTGCTGGTTTATTTCCTGGGATTGCTCCTGTACCTGATCCAGTCTCGGATATTGATGAAAATCAAGATGATCAAACTTTTGGGTCCATAAATAACAAAGAGGAGAGCAAAGAAGAGCAAAAAGACTCGCACATACATGCTGATCAACCGGTGCAGCCTACTACCGTACAGACATCTTCCATTCTGCATGATACTGCTAACGATAGATCAACCACCAAAACAAAGGCTAGCAAACCCAAACTTTCCAAATCTACACCTTTAGTTTCTTCGCAGCCTCAGCTTAGAAGAGGACGATCATCAGCACAGTCCACGTCAACTGCCAGTACCCAATCAGTAGTAAAGTCTGAGTCAGTCAGTGTATTGCCAGAAGCTTCACCAGAAATTGCCGTGTCTTCTTGCCCTACTCGAAAACTTAGCAAGCAGGATGAAGACGATGTCAATGCAGATACTGACGACTATAGTGACGAGTACAGCGATTGTCATGACAAGGCAGGTGGTAATGAGACGGATGACAAAGAAGACGCGGATGTTGGCGTCGGTTTAAATGAGCAGACCGAGCAGAATGCCGATATGGATGCAAGCAACAATATCGAAGATGATATTGATGCCAGAGATAAAGCTTCTTTTACTGGCGAGTCAGGTACGAATGGAGCACTTTCTTTTATGGGTATGTTTGTAAAAATTCTTAATCTACCAAGCTTTGTTGTTCAAGTGCCTACAACTTAAACGGTTTATTTCAACACATTTGGATTGTAATACTTTTAGATATGTCCCAATTGGCATCTACTTCTGCTTCTGGAAGTTTTTTCCCCCAATTTTTTCCTCCAACTAATATTGAGACTGCAGATTCTTCAGGATCACTTTCGTCACAACAGAATATTCTTGCTGCTGCCCAAGCAATACAATTCCAGCATATGATGGCGCTTTTTGGAATAGGCGGAGCTCCTGGCACACACGGACAAGGGGGTCAAGGAGTATCATCATTAGGTATGCCAAATCTGCAACTTCAAATGCTAATGCAGATGCAGCAGCAACAAGCACAATCTTCACAACAACAGCAACCCTGCAACTTTTCTCCATCAGCTTTTCCTTTTTATCCTGGAATCAACCCATTTAATTCAACTTTGCTTCAGCTTGCATTATTACAGCAGAAACAACAGGCTTTTGGACCTAAGCAGCGACGATCCTTTCGTAAATCTTATGGATCTGCTTTTGGCACTTATCCCAACTCTAAACTATACAATCGACCCTATAGAACAGTATCTGCTACATCAATGCCAAAGGATCCCAAAAGCGTCTACGATGTGCTGTTTGAGTTTCGCGAATCACCTGGCTTAAGATGGGTCATTCCAAAGAATGCAATCTATCAAACTGACCAAACTGAGGCCCCTTATACCATCAAAGTATGCTTCCATTTGCCATACAAACACCAAGGCATTGTGCTGCGTGTTCTTGATGCAAATATTGATATTTTGAATGCCATCAAGACTGTCCCTAATGAAGCAAAGGTGTCTCGGAGATTTATGGTCAAAAAAATGCAAGGCTTTTTCCAGTCAAGGGGAAAAGAGAAAAAGGCGACAATCCAGTGTGTCAAGTTTGACGCCAACCATCTTGATATCGGCGTTGAATTTGCTATTCCCTCCAGCACAAATCGCATGCAATTACAGCATGAGGGTTTTTTGCAGTCGACTGTGGATGCTAGTTTGTTAAACTTGCTGGAATCAACACGAAATGTATATGCCAAGGAGACCAACGATACTTATTTAGATACTGAAGAGGACAAAGTAGTAATTCAAGAAATGCTGACTGATCAAAATTTAGCTATTAAGAAGCGGTCAGCTATTGCAATGGCTGCTGCTGCTGCTGCCTCTGCTCACGATGATGATTTTGGTTTCTCTAAACCGTCTACTTTAGAAGCGCATAAGCCTGGTTTGAAGTCTAAGCGCGCCAAAACAACTCATCCATTACCCAAAGCATCTGTTAAATCCACAAGTCGAAAAACGACAAGATCTGGTGTTAAATGCGTATTGACTGAGCCGGAAAATGCTTCAAAGTCGACGCCTCAAATGAACCCTAATGCTGCCAAAACATCTAAACCTTCTAGAGGATCAAAAACAGCCCAAAATTCCTTTACCCCTGCTTCTTCTCGTGCAGCCCAGTCTGCTTCCAAAGGCTATGTTGCGCCAGGGAGATCATCTCGACGTAGTATAATGGCTTCTGCACTTTCACGCCAAGCAATAGAGTCCAATAAAGTAGTTGAGCCCTTATCTGACGATACCGCTTCTCCGAGTTCTGGTGCCGAGGACGAGCTGGACGATGGCATTCAAAAGAAGCAAGAGAATAATTTCAACGTAAATACTGCTCATATGGAGATTGTCGAGGATGATGATGACGATGATATTATTGACGGGTCAGATTGCTGATATTTGTTTTGCATACGTTGTATTCTTTGACGCATTTCTATTTTAATATTTCTGTTAAATACGAGAATGAACCACTCTCATGCCGATTGTTTCTCTTTAAATAATTATCATTGTGGATTATCTGCATATACTTTGACTATTTGAAAACTTTTAGCAAACTCACCGCTAATTGATAATTTGGTGTGCCAACTAAACCTAGCATACTGATTTATTTTCAGCTCTATATTAAACTATGCTCTAATGTGACTGGGTTTGTGAATACAAGGTTAGTTTCTCTATTAACAGTGAGTTCATCTGAGAGTTCAGATGGCATGCTCAGAGCCGATTCGTACGTGACATTCAGCTGATAGTGCTTATTGATCTATTTAACTCACTATTATTAGGGAAAATAGGTTTACTTGTATAAAACAAAATTAATTGAACTCCAATTTGACCATATGTATTGCAGTCTCTTGAAAACGAATTTTCTGTTTGTAAAACGGCACAGTTGGTTCAAGTCAGCACAAGACCCTGTAGGTGAAACGCTGAAGACTGTCAAAACACCAAGCTCAACAAGAAGTCACCACTAGACCACTAGAGTGATGGTGTTCTATATTTAACCAAGAGGAGCAGCAGGTTGTTTAGCAAGCTGGTCGTGTCAATACAATTAGACTCGTCGCGATACAAGACACGACAATAGATGATCCTGCCATTCAAACCAACAGGCAATCTATCAATGACAAAGCATTGCCAAGCATATGATACACACTGATGGTCACATATAACTTTTCATTTATCTCTTTGCTATCATTCTTTTTATCGCTAGTTATAATTTACTATATGTTCCACCACGTGTCTAGTTTGTAGTAGTGAAGGCGCAGGTAGTTGATGGTGCGCTATTAGCACGAGGAATCTGAGTAGAAGAACGGGGTGATGAACTATTAATAACCGAAGGTCCTGCTTTTCTTGGAATATGAAATGCATTAGAAGATAAAGGGCTTTGTTTCTGGTTGGAAAGTGACTTTTGTATTGCATTAAGTCGATAGTGCTCTGCAATATTTTTAAAGTCCTTCATTCGCTCCAATAGAATGGTCCCACCTATTGTATGGAATGGTGCCAAACCAAATCCAATCTGTTTGTACGAGTTTTGAATCAGTACCGAAGTACTTTGAGAAACATCTCGAGGCACAAAAAAGAGCATCAGAATAATGGCAATAAAGTCTGCTAGGACGATTATAATGACTCCAATACTAAGACAGATTTGATTGATACGAATTCCGTGTTTGACTGCCTCGGTGAATTCGCTATGCTCTTGATTTGCATACATTCTAATAACCATCTTGGCCAAATAACATACTGTACCTATACTTTGAATACAATCGTATATTATCACTGTAGCCAGAAACCCAAATCCAAGTTTGGAATACTATAACAAATGCATAAATGACGCTTAGTTGGATCGACAGGGTATCATGTAGGTAAACTAATTAGCCAAGTGATAACGAAAAGCTTACAAAAATCCAAAAAGAAGACATATCGCTATATGATGGATATAATACACTGCTGATTAGCACACCAGGACTCGCGCAGCAGTAAATGACGCCTATTACGATCTGAGCACGAAAGGCCCAATGCCTTAGATGATAGGGCAGAAACATGCGCATTATACCCGTTTGCATAATACAATAAAACAGTACTCCGGGGTAATATATATTTATAGACAGTGACGAAGAGACGGATCTACTATAGTCGCCATAATTCGAGCCAATAAGCCGTATTATTTGAACTGAGAATGCAATAAGTACAGAAATGCATAGACCCAAAAGCTGTCTAGATGGTCGATGAAGATATCGCAGATACGCCCATCCGAAAAATGCGGGTGTGATGACTACGCCTGCTACGGTTACTACTAAAGCCGTATACTCATGGGGTAATGAGATGGTCGATAGTCTAAGCGCTGTTGTCATGTAATTAAATATATAAGTTTAATTGAGTTTTGAGAACCTTTGCAATGGTAAAATACAAAACTAAAATTCGGCACCTGTAACAGCAATCTCAAGATTATCTTTATTAATATCAACCAGCTTGGGAAACGTTAAAATGCAGGGAAGCCACGGTCCAAAATACGTGCAAACAGTCAATCATACAGCACTCAGCTTCACAGCCATCAATACTAGCCAGATATAGTAATATACATTTCATACTAATCAAATAATCAGTAAAAGATTGATACTTGGTTTAGACTCTAAAAATGACATTTGTGACCATGTTGACTCAGTACAGTTGCACTCTGGTGTCGAGTGCTTGGATGTATTGCTAAAAATGATCATCAGCTATAAATAGCAATGCTGCTTCTGCTCATGTACACTACCAACTCATTCAGAAAACATCTTCTTGAATAGTTACTACTAATACGAATCTAACTTTTATTACCAAATTTAAATAGGATATTGACTTTTGGATAAAAAGTTTTTTAATATCTTGATAATTGACCACCAAGTTTTGAAAGCTTATATTTAAGCTATATTCACTTGAAGTAAAACGCCAGTATTTATCTTGCAATTTTATTTTAATTTGGAATCAATAAATGAACAAGCATTTGTCGCGCTTTCCTAATACTGTCAATATGATGGTCAACTTCCCATGAAACAAACAGCAGCTAATCAACTCAATGATCATATGATATAATACGCGTGGTATTGTCATGACAATCTATGAAAAAACAAAACAGTCAACTTGACCTGTGGTTTGATCAAATCAAATTATGTAATGTGTCAAAGTGGTCTTCATTTACTGCCGTATTCACGTAAAATGGAACATGTATTTGTCTTGTAATGATTGCCTTGAAAGAAACAATTGTTAGTCTCCACATGGTGCAAGTTTAAGGACATAGTAGCATATTTAATTTTAGACAAACTTTGTTCAAATGCAATTTATTTTATAGTTTTAGTACTGTTTTTTAAAATTTCCAGAATCATCATTAATGATTTATGTATGCTACATTGCTTTGGAGATTCAAAAAACGCAGTGGTTTGATCTAGATGTTGTTTACACGTATACAATACCAATACACGATAGTTTGATAGTGGCCTGAACATTATTTGTACCTTGGAGTTTATAGATTCTTGAAATATGCTGCAGGTCAACCAAAAGTAAATGACTTTACAGCATATTACATATCTGCTTGAAACAGCTCTGCTACTTATTTTGCGTATCCATATCTAGTTCCACAGATATGTCGCTCATTGTTGCATGAGCAGAAGGATAGTTTATAGTTGGCCGTGCAACTTGGTAAACTTCTGTGATTTCATCGGCTATAAACTTTTTAGCAGAGGTTTCAACTGATTTTTGCATGCCAAGTGATTTGTAAGCTTCTGCAATGTTTTTGAAGTCCCTCATTCGCTCCAATACAATTGTTCCTCTTATTGCATGCAATGTGCCCAAGCCAACTGCAATCTGGGTATAAGCCGTCTGAACGCGCGATAAAATATCTTTGGTTGAATTCTCGGGTAAAGGTATCATGATAAGGATGATAAGCACTATATCGGAAAGCACTGTGGCTGAAATAAAAATGCTAAGAATGATCTGATTGAAATAAATCCCTTTTTTGATTGTTTCTGTGAGCACTGTAGATGGCAATGCTTTAGTGTACATTTGGATGACAACTTGAGCCAGATAGTATAGGGCGTAAATACTTTGGGCCATATCGTAAAGCAGTACGATCAGTAAGTAGGATAGACCAAAGTAAGAATACTATTCATATGGAGTTGATATAGGAAACCATTAGCAATTTTATGGCAAAGCATGGGATGAATATGCAGTATGATTCACGTATAAAAAAGTTGATTTGCAATACTTTGCTAATTTGTATCTGTATTGGCAAAATATCTCGAGTCGTTCCAAACGAGATCAAATAATATGCAGTACAAATTTAGATTGAAAAATACAACGTATATTCTACTTACTACTGACCAAAAGCTTCCTGGTGGTCCAAAATCATCAAAGACTATCCTATAGAGCCATAACGGAGGTGTGCATGTAGCGTAAAGAAATATAATCATAACTTGAAATCTCCAAACAAATTTCTTCAAATGATCGTATAGAAACAGTCGCATAATTTTGGTTTGGAGTAACATATATCCAAGCGTTGTTGGATAAAAAATGTTGTTTGCAATAGCTAGGAATAGTCTCATATGCCTGCTTTGAATATTTGACCCAATAATAAGGATAATTTGGACTATATATGTCAACGCGACGCAAAGACATAGATATACAAATAGTGTTCTCGGTCTGATGTGATAGCGATGTATAGCCCATACAGCAAATATTGGAGTTGCAATAATGTCTGCTATTGTTATACCACATGCAATATATTCAGACGGAAGATTTATAGCGAATATCCTCAACGCAGTGGTCATTTTAAATGTGCGGGATTGGCTCGATGCAACAGGTTTGACTTGCAGTACTATTTCAAAGAATGAGAAAATAGTCAAACTGAAAGCCAAAAGCAAAACATGATTTATTGAAAACCATCATTGTGCCTATTCATTTACTCAATACTCATGCTATTCAGTTCGTGTTTTGAATAATCATAAAACTTGATTATACAAACCTGACAAATGTTTTTAGCTACAACAGTCTAGCACGCTAGGAATTGAATATGATTCAATTGGCTATAAATGAGTATGCAATACACTCTTGTCCAACTCATCAGCTACCACTCGAGATTTTGTTGTAAACAATTGGTCATTTTTTCTTTACTTGCTTACCAGTGACTGCTAACCCTGTCAGTATTGTCATATTATTAGCCTGCTTAAAAACTTGATGCTATCAGAATATCGACTACACAAGATTCAATAGCATTCTAAATCATGTTTGGCTTAGTATAATTTTTTGCTGCCTATTATGTAAACTAGCAAGACTCGATTAAATAAAGTGATAAAGTCTGGTGTATTTCAGATGAGATACTACTGATGGAAAGCCACAAAATATTAAACATTTGGTTTCATATCATCGAGTGTTTATCAGGAAAACTGGACATTGATGATCTCGAGATCACTATTTACTTTTAGAAGACTTGGCCTGGCATAATACTCTAAGGGTATACTATATACTTTAAATTGCTTCAGCATTTTCGCCTGCGATTTTGTCCATTAGATCACCCTCACTTGGTGCAAGCTGCGTATGCCTTACTTCAGGCTGCAAAGCCACAGCATTCTCTTGCTGCATATCATATTCTGTAGGATTGCTTACCGAAGTAAGAGATTCTTCATATGGACTAAACTCTGTTGAGCACATCTCCACAGTGGGTCGAGCAACTTGCTTGATTTCCTGGCTTGCTTTAGTGACTTTAGGCAGATCCATTACAGATTTCTGTATGGCTGTCAGACGGTATCTTTCGGCAATCTTTTTGAAATCTCGCATTCGTTCTAGCACCACTGTACCACCAATCACATGCAATGGTGCTAGACCACAGCCAATCTGCACATAAGCGTCTTGAATTCTATGTCGCATAGCTGTTGTATATGTACTTGGCAAAGGAATCATTATAAGAATAATAATGGCCATGTCTGCTAAAACAATGGTGGTTATTGGGACACATAGGATAATCTGGTTGAGGTGAATGCCTCTTTTAATTGCATCTGTGAGGTGACTAGATCGGCTATGTTTCGTGTACATGCCAATCACGATTTTCGCGAGATAGTAGAGAGCATAAACGTTTTGTACCATGTCAAACAATATCACAAGAAACAAGTACGCAAGACCAAAATACGAATACTATTGTTATTACAGCGAGTTGATGACATGGCCAAAGTAAATCATCATATAGGTGTTAGTCTATGTTGGTTTGAATGGCAATAAAAATCATTGTTTAAAATTCAAGGGAAATCGGGACTTTGGATAGCAAGAATATGAAATTTTTACATCGAGCGTGCAAGGCATAAACACGAACCATAGACCAAAAGTTTCCTTGCTGACCAAACTCATCAAAAAGAGCACCGTACACCCAAAGCGGAGGAGTACACGTTATATATAGGAACACCATAGCAGCTTGAGTTTGCCAAACAAATTTCTTCAAATGATCTAAAAGAAATAATCGCATAACCTCTGTTTGGATCAGCATATATACCAGTCCATTTGGATAGTAGATATTATTTGATACAAGTAGAGAGATTGTCATGTATTCTTGACCAACGTTGGAACCAATCAGCCGAATAATCTGTATGATGTAGGCAAAGAACACGCACACGCATAGATAAAAAAACAAACGGTTGGGTCGGTGCTTATAGCGATAGATGGCCCATACCGCAAAGATGGGTGTAATGGCGACACCAACTATAGTTACACCAAGAGCAAAAATCTCAGAAGGAAGGGTAATAGTGGAGAATCGTAGCGACGTTGTCATTTAATTTAGGTATAATTTGGAGTGATTGCTAATATAAATTGATAGTTTTAGGCAAATATTTCAGCCGTATTTACGTAAAATTAGCGCTTGTATTTATCTTGCAGTCTTGTCTTGCTTTGGAATAAACAATGGCCAAATATTCTTTCCGTTTTTCTACTAAAAACTGGCTGATTTTTCAATAGAAATTCTCGACTATTTCTCAGTGTCTTGGATGGCATGTTGTACAAACCCATTTTTATTCAAGTGATTGTCAGCAGTTTAAGAATGAACAATGTGAAACTCCATACCTCGCGACATTGCTGTATATTGAGCGATTGGAACCCCATGCTTAATCAGTGAATATGTAGTTTAGTCAGAGTTTGAAGGGCATAGTATTGTTCAGTAAATTTGGAGAGAACCAACACCAATCACTCCATGTGACTGAGGGTGTATCATGTATTTGGCACGCTTATTGGTGTTCCATTTGCATGAATACAGTTGTAATAGAATGCTTTTACATAGTTTACAGGCCCACGTGAAAGAGTGTTGATTAAAACTACAATTGTTTGCAATTTGTAATACATTATTTGATTTGTATGATTGTTTAATATAGCCAGCTCGGAAAAACATCAAGATAAAATAGCCTGATCCAATAGTCGCAATATGCGCGTACCCAACTTCAAACGCATAAATGTACATTCAGTTGGACAAGATGTGATTAATTATTATATCAAATCAACAGTAAGTCAATGGTGGATGATGCCGGGTATCTTGTAAAAGTAAATTTTTAGCAATTTTCAATAATTATCAGCAGGGCTAAAGATGTAGTTTATAAATATTTTGAAAAATGAATGATGACAACTTGTGGATCAAGGGATACTTGTATGGTGTTGAATCGTAATAACATATCTCACTATTTTTACACAATACAGCATTAGTATTCAAATTCACAATTTTACTAATCAATAAGAGTGGTTGCGTCATAAATATATGCAAGAAATCTTATAGCTCACCTCCTGGATGGTTGGATTTTCAGACACGTAGGATACCATCGAAATTGGCGGGGCATGAACTGTATATGAAATGCCAGATGTTTTAAACGACCAAGACTTGGATGAAGTGCTAGCCCCCAATGTCAACCTGCTTTTCCGTTCAATAGCGTTCAGCCGATATTGCTCTGCAATCTTTTTAAAATCACGCATATTTTCCAACAACAATGTGCCGCTTATACAATGAAAAGGAGCCATAGAGACACCAATCTGTCTACCTGCTGAATGCCATAATACTCTGACGTCATGAGGTGCACCGGCTGGGACAATCAACAGACTAGCACAAATAGCAATTAAATCGCATATAACAACCGAAAGAATCAGAGCCGTCAAAAGATTGCGATTTCGATGAATGCCCCGTTTGACCGCATCGGTAAGCATATTGTCTGAATTTGTTGATTCGTACATTTTGATAATGGTTCGAGATAAAAATGATAAAGCAATGTAGCTCTGTACAAAATCAAAAATCAGTGCGATAATGATAAATATGTAACTGGATTGAAACCACTAGAAACGTTGAAGTTGAAATGTAGTTAGTGTATCAATTCAGCAATCATTATTAAGCATGCTGGGATTGTGGAAAGCAGTAAAATTATTGGGATTGCACAAATATCGGTGTTGTACATTGGAAAGTAGCATAAACAGGCATATTGCCAAATGTGCAAGGATTCATGACAGGACAATGAAAAACCGAATCTGACCAACAGACTTACAATCACCCATATCCCTGTATCTGTGTTTTTGTCATATATTATTCCATTGAGTAACACACCAGGTGTACATAGACAAAATGATACGATTAAAAGGATCTGGCCACGTAAAGCCCAAACACGCAAGTTGTAATCCAGAAAGATGCGCATAATTCGCGCTTGGATTAGGGAATAAGCTAGCAATCCGATAAAAAACAGGTTGGTTGATATTGTATCGAAAATTGATATTGATCTCGGATCGATATTTGGCGAAGCAAAACGCATAACCTGGATAGCCCAAGCCAGAAGAACACACAGGCATAATCCTAAAAAATACCGTGACGGTCGTACTCTGTAGTGTGAAATAGACCAAAAAACAAATACAGGACCAGCTGAGATTCCTAGAATGGTTACTACTAATGCAGCATATTCTATATTAATTGACATTGTTGATAGTTGCAGTGCTCTTGACATGTTTAAAATTTTAACTGGAGTATAGATGTAAACGAGTTTCTATATTGCGATAGATTGATTTCTTGACAGATTTGTTGTTTTAGTGGAAGCCGTGTTAGAGAAATTTTAAGATAGTCGACCTAGCTTAGATATAAAATTGAGGGCGAATAATGGCTAAAGTTGAATGAAATGAGTATTGGTGATTTGAGGGCGAAAGCATAAAATAGCAGAAACTGGCAAGAACAATTCCACAACAGAACAAAGTCGCGCTTTGTAATGGGCAATCAGGGCATTTGATCTTCAGCTTGGGAGCAATTAGATATTGTGTCACAGTTGTTCTTTTGACAGTTTTCCAAAGAGATTTGAAAATCTGAATCATAACTGGACATGGTTTATTGTTTCAAGTGCTAGACTAGCATAACAGTGCTTGACTACCGGTTTTGCGCAGGACAATTGCAGTAGCGAGCCCGAGAAATGTGGCGCAGTAATTGAAGTTGAACACCCTATATAACTGTCATCATAGGGACTAGACTGTAAAACAGCAAATGAAAGAATAGCACAACAGTGCAGTTTGAGCTCTAAAACCACACAATTATAAGAGTGTAGCCACCAAAGCATGCCAGTCCCCAAACACAACTGCAGATTTGGATTTGATTTTGTCGCCGAGTTTCAATTTTTCTTCTCTCCACGAACCCACACTGTTGTAATGGCTCCTCCTGCGAAGAGTGAGTGCAAGTGTCATGTACTAACTTGTAATCATCATATGAGGAGATTCCTCATTGTAATGACATTGCTCTTGTTTATCTTGAAATACATTCTTGCCAAGACCAACTAGACTTGGCTGTTTTTCGTCTACCACGTCAATCCGCTGTCAAACCAACAATATACTCGGGCGTTATACTCTGCAATCTAGTTGATGACCCAAATACTGATTGGTTGGGTCATAGGTTCACGCATATGGCTTTTTGAAGTGGTCGATTGACAGGGATGAATCAACATTTGTTTTGATCCTTGAACCAACAACTTTATCGTTCAAGTGATGAATCAAATAAGGATATCTCGGCATTGATATTTGAAATTCTGTGTAGCAGCCACTTGAATGGAATCAACACAATTTTTTAGCATGCTGATTTTCATAGAGACGAACAGGATCTGTATTCTGATATTTGTCAGTCAAATATCAGAATATTCGGCCTGAAAGTCTTGGTATCCACTACTAGATTTGCTTTCATTGTGGTAGTTTACTATTACGGACTTGGAGTTTTCTGGATTGAGATCCATTGCATGATCGAATTTGATTCTAATCAAGTGTCAATATTGCTATTTGCTTAGAGACCGAATCTGTCCAAAAGGCTGCTGATGCCAAGAAGGCTGTTCTTAAGGGCACTGTCAAGTTTGCTCGCAAGTTCCACTCCAGCGCTACTTTTCGTCGACCCAAGACTTTGGCTCTTCCCCGTAACCCAAAGTATCTTCGCAGTCGCAGGTTATTTAGCGGAGCTGCTCTTCTTGATCACTATCAGGTCATCAAGTACCCTCTTAACACAGAGAGTGCCATGAGGAAGATCGAGAGCCACAACACACTTGTCTTTATCTGCGATATCCGTTCAAACAAGAAGCAGATCAAGAATGCAGTCAAGGAGCTGTATGATGTTGATGCTGCCAAGGTCAACACTCTTATCAGGTAATTAATGATCCTATTTGTATCCAACTTTATTTTTTTTATCTCACCACTGCTATCATTCTAGGCCCGATGGACTCAAGAAGGCATACGTTCGCCTTGTTGCAGATGCTGATGCACTTGATGTTGCAAACAAGATTGGATTTATTTGAATAATTAAAAATCATTTGAATCTGACAGAAACGACTTGATTTTTTAATGGTTGGCTGTTTGAGGGGTGGAGAGAATCAAATGCCCATCGTTTAGCGAGCAAATTGAACAATTGTTTTAGCTTCGAGTTTGTCGCGAAGTTTTGTTCCGCTTCAATAGTTTCGAGGAAATGCTGGAACGTGAACGGAATACGCTGAAGAAGGAAGCAGCCAAACCATTGCAGGCTCTGAAGCAGAAATGGCCGTTCAAGTTATTCAAGGACCGTAAGAACAGACGGAATCGACAGTCTTCTCATTCATATACTGATCATCCAGTAAATGGTCTTGACTCCAATACAGCATCAGATTCTCTTGATCAGAGCATGGATGATGATGAGAGCGACGAAAACGATGCTGAATGTCCGTCTGATGCATTCAGTCAGTCAAGGAAAACACAGGAATCTCCTAGCCAGCAGCCAGCAGCGTCTAGCAGTAGCAACTCGTTTGTTGAAATTCGGCCCATTCAGTCTACTATTGAAAATGAAACCAAGAAATCGCCACTTGGTGCAAGCAAGAGTCGAGTAGCGTTTAATATTAATACTCCTGGTAGAAATAGTCCCGACTTGAATGGAGTGACATTGTCACATTCTCCCGAGCAGATTGTAGCCAATTCATACGATGATACGGATGAACAAGAGTCGGAAACCAGGTTCGGCTTTACAGAATGTAGATTGAATTCAAATCCATAAATTCGTTTATTCCTAAAATATCTCGTACTTGCTGCTGATGAATTGTATCTATTTTTAGTCTACTTTTACCCAAATCACTTGCATCGACTCCAGCCAGTTCTCCGCAGCGCCAAGCAAGATTGAAATTGCTGCGAAATAAGCGCTCTTATCCAGTCGCATCTGCCAACAGACACTCTTGGTCACCACTTGCATTTGCATCAACAAGTTTCGGAAGAAATAGTCAGTCATCCTCATTGACCGCATCACCATTATCAGATACAGTACATTCTCGACTTCAACATCCTGATCTGAATGGTAGTTCCCCCCTTAATCATGAATTTCTTCATCGTCGCTCGTGGGCGGGTGGTGATGTTCAACCAATGGATACCACAGTGGGTTTACCTGGCATTTTTGGTCATCATCGACCCAAATGGATGCGACTTCCTCATCAACGTACTGGTGTTTATGATGAAGTCGGCGATGCAACCAACAGTGGCATGAGAGTTTGGTACGATGATTACACTACTATTGATTGGATTCATGATCATGTCAAGGAGCGTGTACGTATGCGTGGATTGAGAAGCAAAAAATCCGTTTCGGGGAGAATGGCAAAGCGTATGGATGCTGTTCAGGCTTGGATTGTATTGACAATTATTGGCAAGTATTTCATAGTCCTATTAAAAGTAAACTACAGATTGATACTGACATCATGATGCAAAATAACTAGGTGTTGCGTCGGGTGCGGTTGCATCACTTGTTGATGTATCCTATTCGTGGTTGAATGACCTTCGATATGGGTTTTGCACAACTGGCTTTTTTTACCGACGAAACATCTGCTGTAGTCGCGATGCTCCCAACTGTACCGACTGGAAAGCATGGCCAGAGTATTTTCTTCAATTTCAGAATCTACCTGAATCTACCAATTCATACTTGGTAGCCTACTCAATGTATGTTGCTCTTGCAGTTGTGTTTGCAGGTATCTCGTCCATGATTGTCATGCAAAGTGCAACGAGTCCAGTCGATCCAGATATAATTTCTCGGGATGCACAAGAAGCAGTATCACAGCCTACCTCTACCACTTCGATTACCGCAAACCATTCTGGGGTTTCTGTCGCGTTAAATGCCAATCAGCTGGAAAATTCTAGTAGTCATTCTACGCCCGTGCTGACTCAGAGCACTGCAAGATTGGAATATATGCTGGATTTGAACGAGAAACCTGTACGTAGAGTACTATTTCATGCTGCTGGGAGCGGTGTGCCTGAAGTCAAAATCATTTTAGGCGGGTTTGTTATCAGAGGGTATCTTGGAGTACGCACACTGGTGTTGAAAACGCTTGGTATTGTAAGTTGTATTGTCTATTTTATTATTTTGAAACAAGTGAGTCGCTGAAATTTATTTTTCATGGATCCTATACGATAGGTGTTTTCAATTGCCTCTGGATTGGTAGTGGGCGTACAAGGACCACTTGTGCATATTTCTTGTGCGTTGGGCAACGTATTTTCAAGACTGTTTGCCAAATATGCCAAAAACGAGGGCAAGCGTCGCGAGCTTATGTCAGCCGCGTGTGCTGCAGGTGTATCTGTAGCATTTGGTGCACCTATTGGAGGTGTTTTGTTTTCGCTTGAGGAAGTATCCTATTATTTTCCACTCAAAACAATGTGGCGAAGTTTTTACTGTGCATTGGTTGCGGCTGTTACACTCAAGGTAATATTTTGAAATTTAAAATTTCAATGGTACATCTAGTTTACTAACATGGTCTGCGTATAGCTGATTAATCCTCTTGGAACGGGAAAACTGGTCATGTTCCAAGTCTCATATAACAAAGAATGGCACCCAATCGAGCTTATACCATTTCTAATTCTTGGTATATTTGGGGTAAGTTGCATGATTTATATATTTCTGATCACCGCATTGGAATATTTAAACTGGTGATGATTTTAAATTCCATGCATGTATAAAACGGTAATCTGATTTTAATTGGAATTTGAAATTTACAATGCTGCAGGGTCTTTTTGGAACAGTGTTTATCAAAGCAACGACCTATCTGGCCAAGTTTCGTGCAGCGACATCTATTCCCCGACACCCCGTGCTTGAGGTGTTGATTATAGCACTAGCAACCAATGCTATAAGCTACACGATGCCATTTACACGAATTGGAAATGGTGAACTGGTGGCATTTTTATTCAGCGAATGTGACTCGGACACAAAGACCAGAAACTTTTTATGTCATTCAGATTACCCTGCCATTATGTTATCACTGTTTTTTGCTCTAGTGACAAAGCTTGTTTTGATGATTTTTACATTTGGTATCAAAGTGCCTGCTGGCTTGTTTGTTCCTTCGATGGTTGTTGGAGCATGTGCTGGACGTATTCTTGGGGTATTTGGATTATATGTACAAGCAATGTATCCCACTTCGTGGGTGTTTTCATTTTGTCAAGGCAGAGAAGAGTGTATTACTCCAGGCTTGTATGCTATGGTTGGAGCAGCGGCAGCAATCAGTGGAGTGACAAGAATGACAGGTAGGGTTGAACATGTTTCAATTCAACTGGGCCGACTTTTACTCAATTTCATTTTTATCATGACTTTTAGTTTCACTTACGATCATTATGTTTGAGCTTACGGGTGGACTGACATATGTACTACCACTCATGGTAAGCATCATGGTAGCTAAATGGGTTGGCGACGCGTTCGGATCTGAATCAATCTATGATGTGATTATCAAGCGCAGTGGGTATCCATATCTAAACCATAAGCGGACTCTTGTAAGTGATCCAGCGTCAGCTAGGGATATTATGGTGCGTGGTGGAGATCGACTATTTGTTGGAAAAGTGTATGATGTAGAGGATGTTGAAACAAAATTAGCCAAGCTTGGTAAGTTGATTTCCATCATCAAATAGTCTATCTGGTTTGCACTAATATTTGTATTTTATTTAGAACAAACTTATGCCTCAAAAGATGGTGGACTTCCAGTCGTCAAGGACAATGAAATGCTTTTAGGATACATATCGCAAACAGAGTTGGAGCATGCACTAATCATGGTAAAAAACGCACCCCAGTCACCACAAAAATTGGTGTTTCAGAACCTAGCGATACAATCTTTTACTGAGCAAAGTATAGATGCACCCACTACACCAGTACTGCAACAGCCATTAGATTTCGATATGGATGGATCTGTATCGCAAGCGACTTTAGCCGCGGATAATGCAAACCATAGTGATCCAGAGAGTGGATCGAATGCAACGCCAGTTGATGTATCGCAATGGGTAGATCAGGTAATTTTTAATGAGATTCGACTGTTTGACATGAAATTGATATTTTCACATTGTCATGAATTGTTTATGCTTTTTGAATTGACCGATTGCCTGTTCTAACTGATTGATGAACATAGACACCACTGTCAGTATCTGAACTCTCGTCAATCGAACTGGTTGTAGAACTGTTTATTAAACTAGGAGTGAGAACACTGTGTGTGGTGTCAGAGGGCAAATTTGTTGGTTTGATTCACAAGAAACGGCTGTTGATATTTCTAAGCAACAAGGAAGCGCAGCGGGCAGCAGCGGGCAACAGCGGGCAACATTGAATGATTTTTGAATTCAATGAAATTGTAGTTTTTATTACTTGTTCAACTTGTCAGCATTATTGTGATTACAACATGAGCAGCGGATACACTCGAGTTTACATTGGTGAGCTACTGTTGGTGCTTTTCTGTCATTGTTCATGTCTGAATGGCACTCTTGAAGCCTTGACAGTTGTTCTTTGTTCTTTTTGTCATTGTGGTTTACATGTCACTGGTGTGAGCATTCTTCTTTTTCAGTACTGTTCTGGCTATTGATGCTTCCATTGACTTGGAAGCCAGCAGTCATGGTCTTTGCTCAACTTTCCTTTTCTTGTTCATTCTAAATTGCATTGTGCAATACTGTCCATGGGTATCCATACTCCATCACTGGCTCTAGTCTTAATACCATCACTCTTTAATTCAATTGTAGGTCGCCTCCCAAGAGATATCACTGAACGTGAAGTTGAGCGTCTTGCCAGAGAATTCGGTCGCATTCGTGACGTTCGATGCCTCAATGGATTTGCCTTTGTCGAATACAGCGACTCCAGGGACGCTCGAGACTGTGTTCGTGAGCTTGATGGTTCTCGCTATGATCGGGAGAGGCTGTCAGTCCAGCCTGCCAAGTCTGGATCTGATCGTCGTGATCGTCCTGCTTCTTCAAGTCTACGTCGAGGTGATTACGGGATTGTTGTCCAAGGTCTGCCTGCTAGAACTTCGTGGCAGGTAAATATGAATTGTATTCTTTTAAAAGGCTGCTGGCAGTTTTGTTCTGTTTTGGAATGGAGATGAGTACTGGTGTATCTTGTTTTGGATTGTTTTGGAAAATTTGGCAAGTTTTGTTATGGTGGATTAGTCAATATGGAGTCTATCTAATGGCGATGAAAACAGCCTACATATCTTGCTTGATCTTTTATTGATAGAATTATCTACACTAGTCTACCTACCCCTTGCTATGTTGAGCTTTTTGGGTTGATGACTGCCATTAGGAAGAATAGAATGTCAATCTGGGTGACAGTCTTGCTTTTGTGGATCTTCTGGATGGATTAAACTTCTGTATATGGCTAAAGAATCTGATTCACAGGGGAAACTGGATCCGATCAGTACACTAGCGTATCCTACTGGATCAAGCATCTGTCTTCTGTTTTTTAAGTTGGATCTTGGGGTTGCCATCTTTTAATAGCCATGATTTTACGACCTGCTATATCTACTTTTTATTGAGTGTTTCCTTTGGGAATTTCGTTTAATAAGAAGTTGATAAGCATGGCTTATTTCTGCGGATCTTGGGATTTCGCTGCTTTTATCCAGAACGCATCACCCAAACACCTATGGTGCTTCTTTTCTGACTGATCTGGCTCTGACTTTGATTGCCAAAGCCTACTGGACTAGGCTTGTTAAGGCTCAATGGCTAAATATTCTGTTCATCTCACGGATTCTTGATGGTCTCAATTACTTCTACTTTTGGTAGACGACCAAGGATGGGAATCTCGGAAATCTTTCTTGGATCATGTCTTACTCTATCTTCCCTTGGATGGCCATGGCTCAATTTCGTTGATGATTCTAACTGTTTTTGTTTTGTCTTTACTTGCCTTGTTTTGCATTTTATCTGGGTACTTGTATTTTATCTATTTCCATTGAATAGGATCTGAAGGATTTGTTCCGCAAGGTCGGCGATGTCATTTTCACCAACATTGATAATAGTGGAGATGGGTAAGTTTATACAAGGCCGAAACTGTTTAAAGCATTACGTATTGTTAGTTTGCTAAATCAATCCATGTTTTCAGTATTGTCGAATTCACCAGCGAGACTGACAAGAACTCTGCCATTGAACAGTTTGACAAGACTGAATTTCAAGGTGCTGTGATTTCTGTCAAGGATCGTGATGCTGCCAATGGAAAGGACAGCGACGCCAGACGCTCTCCTGATCGCCGTGGCTCACCCGGCCGTCGTAGCTCACCCGGCCGTCGCAGTTCTCCCCGCCGAGATCGCTCTGTTTCTCCTCGTCGTGATCGTTCTGTTTCCCCCCGTCGTGATCGCTCTGTTTCTCCTCGTCGTGATCGCTCTGTTTCCCCCCGTCGTGATCGATCCATCACACCTCCTCGCCATCATTCCGAGTCTCCCAAGCGAGACTAGTTTCATTTTGTTTTCCATCAAAAGTAACATTTGCCTTTTACGTGATATTTGCTACCTAATAAAAATTTGATTGCAATATCTATTTTAGATATTGCGATTCTAGTTGCATGGTCTTTTTTTGGTTTAAATAGCGTCGAGTTTAAATGGCAAATGCAACGATACAATGTAAACGAGTCTTGCTATCAAACTCAATTTTACTTTAAAAAGGCGTTGAATGATTTTCAATCAACTTTGAGCGTTACAATAGGTGACCAAGAGCAGAATGAGTGGATTTACATCAACAACTTATTACACCAAGCGACAGTGTTTAACAAAGGGTCACAACATCAACTCATGGCATGTGACTTGCTGGTCAAGTTTGTGGAATAAAATTGGTAAAATGGTTAAATTAGCTGTGTGCTGTATCGGGTAGTCTTGGATTTCATTGAGCAATTTTAAGGGTTTTTCGACCGCTTTAATTTTACAACCACTTTAGACAACTTGCTGTCGCCACTGCAAGACCGCTGTTGGTTGCACATCAACCATTTCTACTTGTTTCTTTGAGTCTGCATCAATCATGTTGAGCATATCAGCTGTTATCGCACGTCTTTTGATTGTACTGTTGCTGCTGACTAGCTCTCTCACAGGTAATTTGTTCAACTGTTGGAATGTCATCATTCAAGTGGGTTCATCCCAATCACTACCATCATCACTGATTCTAAACAGCCATTTGATAATCAGTCAATGGGTATGTTCAGTGATGTGCTCAATCCTACAGTTTGAAAGACCAGTTTATTCGATGGAGAATATAGTGGTGCTCGTATTCGAGTAACCCGTTTAGGTTTACTGCAATTCGTGATTACAACTTGTTTAAAAACTAGTCTTGCTCACTACTACAAGAGCATCTATTACTGCTTCAATAGCAACAAACGTTTGAACTTGCAATAGTGTATGATTCTACTACATTGTCAACGGCTTTGCCTCGACTCGATGTTGTGTTGAATCGCCCTATCAAGTTGTCCCTATTCAATTTGATTATTACTTGGCTTTCCTGCTCATTGATTATATCAGTGATACGATCATTGTTGTATTTGCAGTATATCTTACTTTTTATGACTGTATAGTTTCTGCTGGAAATCAAGTAGAACGGCCTTCGACACCACCTGTCATCGCGCCTCCATCAGATTCTCCACTAGTTGTTAAAAGTACGCCGCTTCCCTTATCGTCTAGGTTTAAAGGATCACTTACATACTCTTGCCAATTGCTCAGCAAATTAACAAATTCGTCAGATTCTCTTCGCAAAAACGATCTTGGCTTTGATGGGTGCCCTAAGCATTTACTCATGGGAACGGAAATGGTCAACATCACGTTCGTCTATCATCCACCAACACTTAATACATGGATTAGCAGAGCAGTTTTATCTGTTCGGCGCGCAACTATGTCTAGAATTCCTGCTCCCAACTCGACAGTGACGCCTGATTTCTGCAATGCATGCAAAACTGCGTGCATTGGATGTGTAACCGATACTTCCAAAATGATAATGCTGTTGACCGTTGAAATCCCGCTCACTATGTCTGGTATATTTCACTACATCTACGATCCACAAGTCTCGCATATCTCTGCTAGCGAAGTCAATGAAAATGGTGCTCAGGGTCTTGATACTCAGGCACTCATTCAGGTTCAAGAGGATACCTATATCGGTAACATTACACTCCCCAACACTTCCAATTTCACTCTTCCAGACAGTGAAATCATCACTGGTGTATTTTCCTTTCTTGCTCCTCGCATGGGCGTTGTCAACGCAACTCTATATACTTTACTCGCAGCTCATCCAGCCAATGGATCGCAAAGCAATCTCTCTGATCCCAGCAGCTCAACAGCATCTGCTACTCCAGCACGAACAATGGTGATTGGTCCTGGTAGTTCACAAACCAGCTCTGCGTCTACTGTTGGTTTTGTTCACACAAAGCATTACTACCCAATCATGGCAAGCAGCATCGTGGTGCTTCTGTGTATGATTTGACATACGGCTATTTTCCTATTAGCAATTGGTGTATTGATCATGCCATTTTTTCCTGATCCAATCTCATATTCCATTGTAACCTAGTTATTATTTTGATAATTTTTTGGTCATTGCATGGCAATGAGCCTCCTGCCATTCATCATACAAGATCATGGTTGCTTTTTATAGCGCATGCATTTCCAAATCAAACGACACTATTTTTATTTCTCACCCGTGATCCTTGAATGTACCTTTTTCTATAGCAGACATTATTAGAATACCAATTCTGTTTTACTAGTTCATATGTTTGCATGTTTTTCAAAAACTGATCACTTTCTTCTACACTTTATCCATTGGTGCTTTGCCTAGGCAGTACCGCCATCTCAATTTTTTATCGAATAGATTGTATTTTTGAATGAGTATTAAAATGAGTCTTGATGCAAGAGATCATATGGGTTTGGAACAGATGAACACCATTGAGCCATTTCTGTAATGCAAACGAGCAGTCTATCTGAACATGTAAAAAATATCCCCAAAAAAAACACATTTGCAGAGTATTCAACATATATTTTTAATTGCAAGTAGACAGGCTTATATACACCACTGCCGAGTAGTCATTAAAAATGGCTAAACCAGGACACAGTAGCAGCAAACAAATAAACATCAAAAACATACTGGGATACATAAAATGGAATTAAAAAAAGTAAAACTGGATGGATGTATGGCTTTACCTTGCAAGCATGCAAGTGATTTAAAATAATGATGAGATCTAGTAGGATGAATTATTTAGCTGGCGAGCCGCCAGTGTGGTCGTGACAGGGTGTGCCACCATTGGAAACAATCTTTTTGGACTTTTTCGACTTTTTGGATTTCTTGGACTTTTTGTGTTTCTTGTTGGATTTCTTGTTGGATGGGGTTGTGGTGATGGACTTGTTTTTTATATGTTTAAACTCTGGGGTAGATTCAAGTCCAGAATCGGAATCGGATTCTTGGATGGATTCAGAATCGGAATCGGAATCAGAATCTTGGGTCGATTCAGGTTCAGACTCTCGAGTGGACTCGGGTTCAGATTTATGGGTTGATTTAGATTTAGGTTCAGGTTTATGGGTGGATTCGGGCTCAGATTCTTGGGTTGATTTAGGCTCAGATTCTTGGGTTGGTTTAGATTTAGGCTCAGATTTATGAGTTGGCTCGGATGTCTCGGTAGTATTAGAATCATCCTTTGAAGGCTCGTGCTTTTGAGTGGGTTCAGGTGTATCAGCAGTGGTCTTGGCACGAGCAGGAGCCTTGGGTTGTGGCGATTGGCTACCGCCACCATTGCAATCAATAATCTCGTAGTCCGCATTCAAAACACCAACAGTACGAGCGGCTCCAATTCCACCAACCAAATCGCCAAACATATCAATGGAGAGATCTAGACCTTCACCACATGAAGGGCATTTGTCGACTATTGGGCCGACAGTGGTTTTGCCTTGGTAAGTAACCCGAACGCATTTTCCACAAAGGGCTTCGGAATAAAAACTTGCACCCATAGCAACAAACACTTTATGGTTCGATGGCTCGAATGCAGTACCACAGGCTCCAATACCCATAGGCTGGACGGGTGGAACATCTCCAGTGTATTGTCCGCCAGGAAGTTGGACTGTAATAAAAAAAAGTCGAATAAATAAAGATGAGGTCAGCAAACAGTAAGATAAGCGAATTGGGGGCTGAAATCAATAAGAAATTAGGCAACCCCGAAACTAGAATAGGTAAAGCAGCCGCAAATTACGATGGGGCAAAATAATTAGATAAAGGCGGAAGTAGCCAGTTGTATCCGCCAGCCCACATCAAATACATGCCATGCACGATCCACGTGGGTGGTCGGAACAACCTCATCAACATGGTTTCACCAAAATAATGGTAACAAAGGGGCGTGAACAAATAAATTAAAATGGCAAAAACATGCCAGCTCCAAAACTGGGCTGTCCCATTACACAGATCTGATCTAATAGGCCATTGAACTATTGTAAAAGCTTACCATAATCAGCACCATAAAATGTCATGCGTGCATTTGAAACTGCCGAGCCAACGCCGGCTCGTTTGTAGAGCAGAGGAGAGGCATCAGTAGCTAGAGCAAGCACGGCGACTATGGCAGATGAGAAAATATATTGCATAGTTATGAAATTCCAGAGAGGGTTTTCAAGATGTATAGAATGAATTGATATGCACTCGAGTGTTTTAGAGTCAAAACACTGGGCAAGATCAAGGCTTTATATGCAAATTGGACAGACTAGCTTTAAAAAAATAACGATTAATTTAGACATGAATAATATTTTGATTTACAATAATAATTACGGGTTCAATTGACGTGGCCAGATTTGCAACTATTATCAATACCAAATCTTTGCCACCCATTCACGTAAAATAAAATATCTTAATTCTTTCCTTTTTTGGTTTAGCATTATTTTGGAATTGCCATTGCCAAACCCTGCTGCTTTGAACTTTACATTTGTACTCACGTAAATAGAACACAATAAGGATTTCCAATAATAGACAGCCAGTTCATGAAACAATAATTCATATATTCACACTTTGAATCACCTACGACTGGTGATAGAGAGAATGGGAATGGATAAATGAATGAGGAATTGTTAGCAATCATCATGTTTTGGAAGCATTTATAATCGTTTGAACAGGCTACTATTACTACATTTGAACAGTATGAGTTATTCGTTTGTAATATTGTATGATGGCTTCAAGTCAATGCACAGATTCCATGTGGGTGGAACGCTAAAGGTCGTGTCATGACAAGATCAAATGGGGAGCGTTGTTCTTGTGTAATCGACAGGATCAGCAGATCGTTCAATAAATCAGATTATCACCATAATACAAGACACGATCGATAGATGCTCATGCCATTCAAGTCAGCAGATGAACCATCTAGTAATACTTGCAAAAAAGCATCACCAAGAAACCACATTTGTGTGGGGTTGAATGAGTTTTATGCAATACTTCCAAACACATGGTGCATACTGATGGTTAACATTCTTTCACTTATTCCTTTATTATTGTATTTTGTTAATAGCCGTGAAAAGGAATGTCCAATAGGAGTCTTCCAACAAACCCCAATTCTTGCTGGTTCGTAAACTCAGCATTAATCCACATTATTGCTTGTTCAATATAAAAATAATAACTATTGGACAAACAACCCTTGGTACCAAATGGCATGAGTCGACTCATGCCAAGCCACTAAACAAATCTGAGCTTTTATGCGGCCTTTACTCTTATGGCTCATAATAAAGAATAAATACAATAACTACCAAGGCAGAGCCATCGCACTCTGCATGAATCAGCTAAATAGATTTTTAATAGATTTTAAAATAAACTCGAGTGCCGAGGTGCAGGATGATCTAATGCAAGTAAGCCGTAATCCATACGTTGGATTCATTTGTATTGGTTAATTCCAAAACTACAAGATAATATAGCAATCCTTCAAAAATGCTTTATCCACTACGAGGAAACTGGCCAAACTCTTTCAAAACCCTCGACGAAACCATAATTGATTGATATCCAAAACATCGCACTTTTAATCCAGATAGACTCCTAACCCGACTCAAGGCAACGTATCCTTGTCCAGGTGCAAAAGATCTTCGTATATCAATTTCAACCCGATCAAGTGTCAATCCTTGGGCTTTATGGATTGTCATGGCCCATGCAAGTTTCAGAGGTAGCTGGATACGTCGGAGTTGAGGCATGGGAACACTCACTTCAGCTTCGGCTTGATTTAAAACACTAGAATCTCGGCTAAAAGCAGCACCACCATTTTGAGTCAGCAAAGTTTGATGATCTATTTTGGATGAAAATTCGCAGTATCCAACAATAAAAGCTTGTGGTTCCCTGTTATGACGTAGAAACAGAACCACTGGTAAAAGAATCTGCTGTTGCTGTAGTTCATCAAACACGAGTCGAAAGTCAATCACTACACCACATGTGCCATTGACAAGTCCCTCTGCAACGTTGATATTTCTTAGTAGGACCACCTGAGCACCTACACGTAGAGGCAAAGTGCGATTTGGCTGAAACAAGTCAAATTCCCTGTCCATTATTAGTTGCATCGATGTAGTATTAAGAGGGATTGGAGTCACTGCACCAGCATATCCACTCTTGGTTCGTTTGGGTAAATCTAGCACATCAATAGAGTCGTAAAAATACACTTTGGTTTTGAGCTCGCATAGCTTTTTCCAATTGTGTCTTTCAGCATCACTACGATAGACAGAAAGAAGCATAGGCTCAATGCCATCGTCTTCAAATTTGGTTTGAGTGTAAGGTTCTAGATAGTCAAAATGGGTATTGGACCAAATACCGTGGCGGATATCATCTAGAAACGACACGAATGTGGCATCACGTTGACGGAATGACATGGTGAGCTGCCGTTGAGCCATCCCGTAACGAACCAAATCTTGCCAAGAGGGGCTGTCAAAAAGATACTGTGTATGATGATCGATTTCTCCAAAACGAGAGTTGAATCTGGGCAATACCTTTTGCTTATTAGTTTGAGGGGCATCCGCATCAGATTCCAACACTTTGCTAGCTTGTCGAAGTGTCGAAATGAATTTTGAAGATTGAGAAAATGCTAAAGCGTCTTGAATAAATGATGTATCTTGTTTATACGTTTCTTCTGCAGACTTTCGATTAGGACGAATGTTTTTTACGATGGGCGGCAACTGGAAGAAGTCACCGCATAGAGCAATTTGAATACCGCCAAAGGGCTCATCTGGACGATTTCGCAATGTCCGAAATACCTTGTCCAGAGTTGTAAATAATCCTGGAGAAACCATCGAGGCCTCATCAAGAATCCACAAATCTGTTTTTGTGAATGATTCTAAAGAGTACTTGTTCAGTCTAGCATACCGTATCATATTTTTGTAATCGTGATGCAAGCCAAAATTTGATTTAAGCCCTATAAATGAATGTAAAGTTCTTCCCCCAATCTTCAACATGTACATTGTGGTTCAATAAAATTAGTGGAGTATAAAAAGCATAAAAGCAAGAGAAACAAATCGATATACCAAAGAAGCAGCAATTCCAGTTGGTGCCTAATCAAGTGTAACAGTAATGAGTGGTATTATCAACCAAATGTATATCAATCAATAAAACGTACAGTGACAGCAACAGTAAAGCCTTTAAGACGCATCTTGGTAACAATATGTCGAATCAATTGAGTTTTTCCAGATCCAGCTTTACCTATATCCAAATTAGCAGTGATTTCAAACATCAGTTGTGGGAATATTGGAATTGAATGATTAGAATATATATTACCAGAGAAATACACATTTTCGCCAGCTTCAACCAGATCCATAATCTCCTGCTGCTCATCTGACAACATCCCATTCAGATCTATGCTAGCGTCTTGAACTGAATTTACTAAAGAAAGAGCACTTTCACCACTAACCAACTGCGATATATCAGAGTATTTATGTTGGTAATTCAAGGCATTGCGGTCCTTTGTGTGTATATCAGTAATAAGGTTCATGGTGCTTTTGCTTTTTAGGTCGATATGATGAGTAAGAGTTGATGATTTAGAATATCGATATCTATCAGGTCCTAAGTTAAGCCGATCGATATCCTCAGAATTATTTTCATACACTGGAGTTTCCAAAGTAGATTCATCTTTTAGTGTATTTACAGAGTGAGAAGTGTTTTGGTCCAATGCAGGCTGATTGAAAGATGAAATGTGATAGGATGGATTAGATTCAGATTGAGTAGCAGCAAATGAACGAATAGGAGCAGTTGCAGAATGGAAACATCTTGTATAAGCAGCAGTGGTCTGAGTATCAATCCAGATCCTATTTGACGGTACAAATACCAAGGCGGACTTTGATCCAGACTTTAATGACAAGGAAAGTGCAGTATGGACTCTTTTGAGTTGACTAAAAGGTTTACTATAAGAACCATCACATGTAATATTAACACAACGAATCATACTAATTGTGATGATGGTAAAAGCCTTTTTAATCTGCAAGACTTTTGAATAAAACAAAACTTGAACCAGCAAATTGATTGAATAAGCAAATCTATTCAATTCAACAATTAGTTGAATATTCGAGACTTGAGCCAAGACAAGAATGAAATGAATTCAACTTGAATCTTTTATTGAATATTTATTGAATATTTATTAAATCTTTATTGAATTGTTGGTTAATTAACTAAACAGTTTTAATCATTCAAGTTATGCTTCAAATCATTCTAATCATCACGTGGCATAATAGTAAATTCAACTGGAATCAACGATCGATTCTGTAGTTTGCTAGATATGCTCAGTTTCTTCAAAGGCAACCAGAACAACAGTAAACATCAAGAGTATTTGTACAAAAACGAGGACAGTTATAGAAACACTCCGCAGACACATCGGTCACCCATGTCCCCAGAATTACCTCACAGAGGACACTTGACTGTTGCTCCTGTTAGAGGGTCATCACATCCTGCGTCCATCTTCAACCTTCCTCCAAAGAAAGTAGTGCGAGCTAATGCCAACTACACTGCTAGGTTTGCAGGCGAATTGTCGTTTGCCAAAGGCGATTTCTTCTATGTGAGTAATCATTCTATTATGCGCATTGATTCAATTTGCATATACTGTTCGTGCTGTGATGGGTGGCCATTGTTGGTAGTACAAGTGGCTCTTACTGCTAGTCGATTGTCATGGCATTTGCTTGTTACTATCAACACTGTTCTACGTTGAGAGTGCACTCGTTGACTGTCTTGGTTTGAAAGTGTCAACTCTTGTACTGATTTCACCTACTGACTTGAATGGTTGACTCTAGGTAATTAACGAACGGCCTGATGGTCTTAACTATGAGGTGATCAATCCTATTCAGCGCATTCGTGGAATTGTGCCGACTTCTCACTTTGCTTCTCTGGACAAGGTGCAGCAAGAGGCTAATGCTCGCAATCCTGACTACAATGGAGACGATCAAAACAACTATGGATATACTGATGATGGTTATGACGATTCTTATAATAACCATCATACTAGTGATCCATACGGTCAACCTCCAAATAACAACTATATGGGTGTAAATCATGGTCGGTCTCCGCTTTCTCCTGCTTCTCCTGGATCCAATCAAGCTCATGGAATTAGTGCTTCTGGGTCTGGTCGAGGTGATAAACAGCTATGGTCTGTTCTTGTACAGAGATCTGAACAGCGGGATGATGGACTTTGGTGGTTTACAGTCGAGCTTAAAATGACGGACAATTCTAGCAACATTCTATTCCGTACATATGATGATTTTTGGATATTGCAAGTATCACTGTTGAATCATTTTCCATCTGAATCAGGTAGACTGGACCAGCCTCGTACCATTCCCTTTTTACCCACTCCGACACGAACCTTGACTCCAGAGCAGGCTCAGCAACGACGCCATCAACTGGACTCTTACATGCAAGAACTCATCAAACTACCTAGCCATATTATGAATGCACCTAGTGTCAAGCGATTCTTGATGGTGCGATCGGGAGATCTGGATACACCAATGAATATCCGATTTGATGTATCTGAGACGCTGCTGGATTTACTTACAGAATATCAAGAAGAGGCGGATTTACGAATCAAACTAGTACTGGGCGAGGAGATTATTTGTTGGAAAGAACCAGATTATATATCGTTTGAGGAACTCATGTACCATGCAGAAGAACGCTTGGAATTTAGATTCCAAGCGTTGATGTATAAAGATGAATGCGAACAGCTGATTCCATTGCGAAGCAATACTGATTTGAGATTGCTAGTGACGACACTGAGCAAAAAACTTACGTTCTATGTGAGTTGAAATGCCAGAAATGGTTTTTTTTGGTATATGGACCATGCGTCACTTGTCAATATATGGCTGTTACGATCTGTTTTGGAAAGCCGTGTAATTGAAACTGTCAAGTTTTCAAAAAATGAAATCAATATTACAAAGTAGAATCCGAGTTTTAAATTCGATGATTTTGACAGATTTGAATTTTTCTAATTAAAGTCTTGATGACACCAAAGAAGGGAAGCAAGAAGAGTAGTAATAGACTAAATGGAAGGACTAGCGATCCAGCTAGTACAGTGAGGACAGCCAGTCAACTCACTATGCAGTTAGAGTCACCAGCTAATAGCAATACAACGGTTCCTACTCTCAACATTGCTGATTCTGTTAATTCTACAACTGGTGCAGTTCAAGTATCTGAGAATAGAGTCAATCAAGATACTGTTCCTGTTGGATCTCTTAGTGCTTCTGCTGGGCAAGGCATTCGTATGGCTCGCTCGTTACCTAGAACTATTCCTAGCCCGCCTACCGGTCTGCTCAGGGATAATACCACTGTTGTTCCTGCTACCATCCCAGAGTCTATCATGTCAACGTCCATTCCAAGAAGACAGTCGGTTTCCGACAACGCTGGTGCATCGTCTTATCATTTATCTTTAAAAATCAATCGTCAGTCTTCTCCATCTCATCACAGCCAGTTTCGTCCATTCGCTACCACTTCAACCCTTGAATCTCCAGCACGCTCCGCTCTAGATGCATCACAACCCTTATCCAGTTTGAAACCATTCATCTCTGGCAGTATGAATGCTAGGCGTGATGGATTCCCAATCAACACTCGTCCACTCAGTTCTGGCTCTCCTGCTTCCATCTCACATCTTCGTCATTATCAGGCTATGCAAAGGAGATCGTCCTCGTGTAGTCCTAATAAAACTGGCTCTCATGGCAGCAACACCGATTCTGAAATAGGTGATGTACTGACTGAGGATGAAGTTGCTTTGATGATCTCTGAACACTTGGTCAATGGCGATGAGATGGGTGGAAGTGAAGTGGGCGGTGGTACAGCAAGCGATCGTGATAGAAGAAGTTCAAGTCGATTGGATGGTGAAGGTTTGGATGGAGATCATCGTATGAGCGGCATGTCATTTGGCTCAGTGTCCCATGGGCTGCTTGGAGGTACTTTAGCTTCATGCATTGTTACCTATTCAAGTATCTTGTTAACAAAATGTTGAATGTATGCTATAATTAGGCGATGTTACACGCAACATTTATAGATGGAAGGAAACACGAGACATTGAACGTCAACGACGTAATTCTGAACCAGATTTACTGACTATTCCTACTTCACCTTCTGGATTTGAGATTGCTCGTGCATCGACTCTCATGGAGCCTGGCATGTTTCGTAGGCAGTTTTTGCAAAACAAAGCCCAACGAGAACGAAAAAGACCGCCCATGTTTATTACAAGAAATTTTATTGATTTCTTGGCATTGTATGGTGTTTATGGTGGTGATGTGTATCCCAGTGACGACGATGAAGATACAGACAGCAATGCAACCGGATTTGCTATTGACTCAGAGGATTTGGTTGATGAAGAGATGGGTCGTGGTGGCCGATCTGAACGCCTTACTTATGAAGAAGTGGGTCGTAATCATCACGATGGTCGTTTTGCACGCAATCAAACTTGTATAGGCACAGATGCATACCATGATGAGTGTGACTATGATCATGCCAGAACAAGTGAAACTGCTCTGCTACTTGCTCAATCCGGTTTAGGTACCAATGGTATTGCTACAGTGCCTGGTGATGGAGGAAATACTGTTGGTGTACACGGAACTACAAGTAGCAGTCACACTGGTACATCAGAATCTAAAGCATTTTTCATGTTACTCAAGGCATTCGTTGGAACTGGCGTGTTGTTCCTCCCAAAAGGATTTCTCAACGGTGGTCTTGGATTCTCAATGGTTCTTTTGGTTGTACTGGGATACCTCACGCTCCATTGTATGATCCTTTTAGTTGATACCAGTCGATCTCTTGGTGGAAAATCCTTTGGAGACATTGGTGGGCATATCTACGGTCCATACATGCGACAGCTCGTTTTAGCTTCAATTGCTATTTCTCAAATGGGATTCTGTTGTGCTTATTTTATTTTCGTTGGTCAAAATCTACGTGATCTTCTCATGGTTTCCTCTGGATGTCGCATCATTTGGCCTGACTGGGTGTTTATCCTTATTCAGCTTGCAGTCTACATTCCACTTTCATGGGTTCGTCGTATCAAAAACTTTGGCATCACATCTCTTATTGCGGATGTGTTCATTCTACTAGGTCTTGGTTACATTTTCATGTACGATCTCTCTGTTATTGGACAAACGGGTATTAAACCCACTGCATGGATCAATATTGAATCATTTTCCCTGTTTGTTGGAACAGCCATGTTTGCATTTGAAGGCATATGTCTGATACTTCCTATTGCCGAATCCATGCAACATCCGCAGAAATTCTCAAGTGTCTTATCTTGGTGCATTCTTCTTATTGGCACAATCTTCATCACTATTGGCACATTGGGATATATGAGTTTTGGTGACCAAATTGAAACAGTTTTATTTTTAAATCTTCCTCAAAATCCTTTGGTCAACAGTATTCAATTCTTTTACGCCGTGGCAATTATGCTCTCGTTTCCATTGACCATCTACCCAGTTATTCGTATTACAGAACAAAAACTTTTCGGACACTATTCTCGAACAGGAAAATCGTCTCCAGTGGTAAAATGGCAAAAGAATCTCTATCGAGCTGTCTTGGCTTGCATGCTAGGCGTCATTAGCTGGGCCGGATCAACCAGTCTTGACAAGGTGGTCAGTTTAGTTGGCTGTTTTGCGTGCATCCCTCTATCTTTTATCTACCCAGCGTTATTCCATCTGCACATAACAACATCGTGGTGGGCGAGGGTTACAGACTGGATGTTGGTTGGCTTTGGTACAGTTGCAATGGTGTATACGACTTTTGTTACCTTGGAGCAATGGGCTATCAATGGTCCAGATACTCCTCGCGATCGGTGCCATGATGCTATGGGAACCCAATTACTTGAATTACCCAGTTTTGGGCTATGGTAACTGTGTTGTGCAAAGATACAGGTTCTTGTTTTTTTACGGCTAGCGACAATGGGCATAAAAATAAATGAAAAATTGTAGGCAACCATCATCATCAGTGTGTATCATGTGTTTGGGACAGTGCGTAAATCTAATTCAATTACACTTGAGTTGGGCTGCTTTCTTGATGTATTTTGCAAACATTGGTAGATTGTTGATTTGAATGACAAGTATTTACGGTCTCGTGCATCACAGCAACAATCTGACTTGTTGGCACGGCCAGTTGATCCATTCAATTCAATATAAACAGGTCATTCATTTGATGTTTTGACGCGATGTTCAGGCTTACACCTATATGGTTTGTAATGACCTAAACCAATTGCGCGGTTTTATAAACCAAAAGCTTGTTTTTCAGGCTGCAACAACAGCCTGCTTGATACCATCAGACTATTTTCAAACCATGATAAAGTGAAGTTTTCTATATAACCAAGATTAGTTTCTCTTATTTTGATGCGTTTTGTTTTCAGTGGTGATGTTGAGCAGATACGAGTTTGAATTGTCAATATAGCTAGTGTGGTAGTCTGAAAAGCAACATAGCTAGTGTGGTAGTCTGAAAAGCAACATCCACGACACACCAGTCAATCTTGAGTTGAAAAATGCCTCGATTCTCTTTTCAACTGATTCTGCACTTACAACTCCTTTTTGCTTATTAGCACCATTTATTTGGAATATTTCAATATTGTCAAATCGGCATTTGAAAGTGACATGTCTACACTGGGAATCATTCACGCTTGTGATGTGGACAATACATCTACATCAGCTCTCTATGAAGGTAAGACTATTGAGCAAGTACAATACAAGAAATGATACAGTCGAGTAAATTATTTAGACAGACTGATTGGTAGAGTACACTTTTTGTGAAGGCTGTATACTTGGAATAAGCCATCCTACTCTTTTCTCTTGGTACCCGACCGTGTCGTTGATGATGGGTTGACACACTCCTGGTTCTCGTTTTGAAATGTTAGGAGTTGGTTTTACACTTGGTTGTTTAATGCATGATTGTGAAATGGGATGCCGGGATGTATTCGATGGATTGGTTTGGATCCAGTTCTAACTTGCGTGTACACGTTATGCTAATGGATTTTAGAGGACTCTCAATTGACTGAAACAACACCAAGACAGACTGGCGACATGGTAGAACAAAAGGTGAATGGGTTATGGGATCGAGCCAATAAATTGCAGCGTGCCCAGACCGTTTCCGCTAGCACCACACCCTTACCACCAGCAGACCCAAACCAAGATGGGAAACCCAAACACCCATCTCAAGCAAAACAATCTCGATTGAATATACTTGCATCGTCACTTGGATTACCTTTTGGGGATAGCGGTCGGTCTAGTGAAGATGTACGCGCAGATGCGTTGGATCGACAGCTTGAAAATCGGTGGGATCGAGCACAGGATATTGCAATCATGCATGGATCAAATACGGAGCTGAATACTGGTGATGATGGAAATCCTCCACTGTCGCCAAAATTAGCTCGTGTAGGTACTGCAGTGGTTCATGGTGTAACCAGATCGTTCAGTCAAAGGCAGGCTGCTAAACATGTCAACAAACAAGTGAGCGACCACTGGAGCAGAGCAGGACGAGCCATTTAGGAACAGAATACCTTCAATAATGAATCGGGTAGATTGGTGAGCAGCTTTATTCACGAGGAAAAATAAATCAGAGCATGTTATGGTTGGAGCTATTGTTATGAATACCTGCATCTCAAATTACTAGACTTTATGACGACAAACCACTTTCACTATTCTATTGAACACCAATCATTTCATGGGATTGGCTGTTTATTGTATTTTGGCGCTTTGTTCCATTTTACGTGAATACAGCAGCCATTCTATCAACTCGGTTCATTATGAACATTTCATTGTTGGAGCATTTACCAACCTCTGCAGAACTACCACCAGACCATGAACCAAACCCCAATTATACAAAACTCGCCAATGAACATTATAAACGGGCAGCTCGAGTTGCTTTTATTAGTCATAAAAACCCATCGTTTTCCACTTCGCATCAGCTTGAAACCTCGTCATTTCCTGGACCTAAACCTGGACCTGAATCTGAACCTGTACACACACACCCTCATCGCTCTATTGTCTCGATGGTTTTGGGTGGTGGGGATGATGCGACTCATACCAAAACACATCTAGAAAAAGAAATACATGCTCGATACCATCGCGCACAAAACATTGCCAAACAAAATACTCAATCCTGTTTAAACCAAGACAATAAAGTGCAAGATAAAACAAACCTACGCGGATGGAAAAGCTACCATGATGTATCAACTCAAGGAAAACACACCAAGGGATTTAGAGTGACTGCTGCTGCGTTGGGTATTGGTATTACACCTAATGGTGAGCATGCAGGTGAGGGTACAGATATAAAGCAACAGTTGAGCACAAAATGGGATAGAGCAGCCGCATCAAAAAAAAACTACGATCAAGCTACTACGTCTACTGAATCCATGCCATCTTCACCTCATTGTCATGCATCTATCCTTCAAAAACTATTTGCTGATAGAGCGCCGTCGCGGTATTCTCGGAGTATTATGGCTGCAGCATTGGGAACCTCTGGTCAACAGACTGATCGCTCTGCTTACAAAAAGGTAAATTCAAGATGGAGGCGGGCCAAGGGCATATCCGAGACACAAATGTATATCACATCTGCAGCTGAAAATGATCAAAAAGCCACTAGTGTATCTGCCACATCATTGTCAGGAAATCAAGACCATTGGGATCAATACAGTTCTACTGTTCAGGATGGAAAAGCATTTGGCAGTGGTAGCAGTGAGAATGAAGGGATTATTTCAAAGATCAAGAAAAGCATATCTTTTTCGGCCGAAACTTCCGGCAAAGCACAGTCATCAGCTACAACGCATGCTCAAGACAAAAATAATGACCGTTCGCATCATACGAGTACCGAAGATATGCCGATCGAATCTGACCCTTCAAAGCAAGCCCCTGTTTTTTGCAGCAAAACAGCGGCAAAGCGACAGGTGCGTAGAGAAATTACCAAAAGCTTATTATAGGTTAATTTACAGCTGATGATAAAGAGCATAAACACGGAGATAAAATAAAGAAATTGTCAACAATCATCAGTGTATTTGCAAATATCGTTAGATTGTTGATTTGAATGACAAGTATTTATTGTCTCATTTATCACAGCGGCAATCTGACTTGTTGGCACGGCCAGTTGATCCATTCAATTCAATATACAGGTCATTCATTTGGAGCTCTTCAGCGTTACATTTAGTCTGCTAACCTAAAACAATCGATCCTAAAGTGATGCTATTAGTGTTTCTGAAACCTATCTACCAACACCTGTCGAATTTCACACATTCTAAATCCCCAACAGATGAAGACTAAACTCGAAGACAATATTTACAAAGCACACTGATATAATTAGAAAAAATGATATTAGGTTTCCTTGAATGCAACAAGAGCACCAATGACTGCTGCAGCAACAAAGATGAATGAAAATAAAAGCCAGATAAAACCCCTGAATAATTCAAAAACAAATCAGTACAAGCTATTCAATCCTAATCTTTCAATACTATGCAGATTCCAACATACCAGGCTTGAGGAGGAAGACACCCGCCGCAGCAAAGTCGTGAAAATTGCGACGCATCGCTCTCATTTACTCTCCGCTTGATCAAATCATCAACAATATCCCAAAGGGAATAACAAGCACTCATTACACCCAAAAACAATGAAAAATATCGCAAATACTCGGCGTCTCTAAACCACCATAGAATAGCAATAACTCCAATCAATCCAATCGTAATACCCCTTGTGAGCCAATTTTTAGCCCAAAAAAGAGTCGCAAGCATGATTAAACCAATGATTACAGCGACGACTTTAGATGCCGTTGTATTGAATCCAGAAAAAATCATCAAGGATCCCCAAAATGCACTGCCAATATATCCTGCAGGAAGGGTGATGTAGGGATTTCCGCCGCGCATTTTTGTCAAACCACCTTCATCAGGATTCAAAGTGATGGATTCGACCTTGGCTCCTGTACATACCCCCGCAGATGCATGGCCAAACTCGTGCAATGCAACAGTCATAATCTAACAAAATGTACATGTGTGATGAGTGGACAAATTACGAGTGCAGAAATATTTTGACTTTTGAGGCGCAATACAAGAATTATACGCAAGCGTTGAAAGTAAAACAGTCAATTTAGAAATGTGCCATCATGTGCAGGCTAATAGACAAGGCCAACTTGATATAGCTCATGGGGAATCTAAATGCTCACTAAACAACCTTGGTTTCTACTGAAATCATTCACTGCACAAGGCAGGGATGGGCCGCTCAAGCATTCTCAACAAAGTAATCGGCACAAATTATAAAATAATGGGCAAACAGTTGATACCTTGAATGGCCAGAGAAGCTCTTTGAGGTAGGGAATGTGCCAAAGGATCATGATCCCTAGCGTATACCCAGCCATGACATACATGGTGGTGATTTGAGACGGAGAAGGCTTCAACAGCGCTTCAACAGTAGTCGAATTGATTGCCGACATTGTGACTATGGATAAGATTAATGAAACAAATATCAATGTAGTTTAGGAAGAATAAAAGCGAATTCAAGCAATACAACTCGCCAATCCAAAACATTCAAGGACGGCTAATGTGAAAAGCAATATTTCTAATCACGTGATGATTGTTAATTTACATTTTAATCAAATGGTGCAGTTTGACCTGAGCACTTGAAACATTGTTGTCCATTGAACTGTATTTAGATAGTACAATGCTATTTTATGCTACAAGACTTCAAACCTTTTTTCCCTCACAGAAACTGTCTTTTAAATTGTGCAGCCTATCGCATGCTAGATTACACTTTATCACAACAGAATTGATCAAACCACTTGACCGATCACTATGGTACTCTACTAAAACTTCCATTAAAAGCCCTTTAAAAGCCAAGTCCAAATATAAATCTTTTCAACTCAAGAAACTATTACCCAAAGACTTTAAACCTTTTCCCATTCCTAAAAACAAAAAAATAAGATGGACTCAAGACGAAGACCAGCGCTTAATGCTATTGTATGCCACTAGAAAACAAAAATTATCTGGGTTCAAGGAAGCCAGTCAAACTCTCTTGGATCATTTTTCTGCTCAGTTTCCTAATCGTACGACGGCTGCTGTTACTAGCCGATTGTATTATCTGAGGCACAGGTTTTCAACCATCTCGACCAAATTGAACGAGAGCGAAGTAAAGTTTGTTTATGATCAGATTGACTTGCAAAAGCTAGAACATCAAGCTCATGCCGATGCTGTTGCAAGGGGTGAGCCAGTCAAGGATTTAAAGGTGCATCATAAACGAAAATGGGCAGATGGTGAGTTTAGACCAAACTGGGAGGCTATTGCAAGACGTCTTGGCCGGCGTGGGGCAGAGTTGAAAAATCAAATAATAGGTCTTCATAGTCCAGCCACAAAAAAGGGGCCTCACTCAAAGAGCGAAGTTGACTATATGGTGAAAGAGTGTAAAAAGGCTGCCAAAAAAGGAGAGCAAGTCAACTGGACAGAGTGTGGCAGACATTTGAATCGATTGCCTTCCCGGCTGTTTAATAGCTTCAGCAAATTGTTGTACTAGTGGTGACCTGCTTGAATAAAGCTTATTTTATTTGAAATGAAAGAATTATGCGTTGTTTTATAAACTGAGATCTTGGTTGACAATGATAGATTCAAGTGTATAAATTACCAACATGTCGAGTAGTGATTTTTTATTTAGTTCCACTCGACTCAATTACTTGGCCTTTAATGGCCTTGCCCTGCTTCTAGCCAGGTCTTGCCTTTGCTTCTCAGGTATTTGTTTGCCACTCCGCCAATACCAAAAGCAGGAAAGATTCTCGCCATTCTTGCGGCAGTCGTAATCACATATTCTTTGCGAATAAACACCCTTCTTTCGACGGCCGTTGCTTGGGGTCTGTTGTATAGATCCATACCATACAGATGCAATGGAGTCGATGCGATTTGAATTGCACATGGTGTAACCAACTGAGAAATTGTATCTGCAGTTCCATTAGATAACTTGGTATGCTGTTTGAGTTTGGTAGACATGATAGATGGAAGGTTGAATGATGCAAATATGGTCATGGTGTCTCTAAGAGTATAAAGGGAATACGATCCCATGGGAACTGGTCGCGCAGGACCAGTGCCGAATGCACGAGTAAAGTACAAGTCTTTGAGCACAGATAATCCAACATTTGCCACGGACGATCCAATAAACTTTGGAATTTGCCATGGAACAAACAGGCGATCGCAGATGGCTTGAATAGAGTTGGCAGCAATATAAGTTCCAGAATAAACACCCCAGATCAGCAGAAACGAAGGTTGGCGTAGAAAATGCAATGGAGAGCGGACCAAGGAGGTTAACCCTGCAGCTATGCCTTGAGCCAATGGCTGAGCACCCGACGCATTGGCAAAAATAGACTTATCAACAATGGAAATTAAAGGAGCGACTAGGCCAGCAGAGAGAATAGCACATGCGGCTTCCATTGACAAAACTTTGGCTAGAGATGGCTGTTCTACTGATTTAGACATTAACAAAGATTGCTGTGGAGAGTAGGCAGTTGCACTGGACGCATTGATTGGGGTGACTAGAGTCTCTAGCTTTGGATCGTTATTATAATTAGTAGTAGTCTCAACAGTGCGGGTATGAGTAGCACTAGAACCACTCCCCAAAGCCGATGCAGTGTCAAAAGTATAAGCAGAGGCTTTGGATAGCAATTCACTACTGACGTCAGCACTTGAAGATCGGTCCATCCGCATGATCAGGATGTTAAATAAAATGGCAAAACACTTTTAAAAGAATGTGCACTTTATGAAAGCAGAAATAGTTGGCAACTTCAAGACAACGAGTCCAAGCTGCCAGTAATACGTTTCAAGATTCAATAAAAATGCCAAGTTTCGCGTCGCCAAATAAATCGACCCTTTAGTCTCGTGATCCATTTCTAATCTCGTGACTGCTAGTTCCAATATGGGTCGAGTATGGATCTGTACTGGATTCACCCATATTGCGCATTGGGTTTGGGTTGAAAATCTCAATGGTTAGCAATCGGCTGCTCCCTGAATTAAAAGCGTATCATTTAGAGGCAATGAGGCGCGACGGGATATATAAATAGCCGATTCTAATCCACCATGATATTGAATGGACCTGTCGATTTTAAACTATAAATATCTTGAATACTGGATCTCGTTTGATGAACAGAATCAAGTGCTTTGATTATATCTGGATTACTTTGGCAGATTTCTGTTTTAGCCTTGTTCTGGAGAGCACATTCAAGTGTACATCATGGAACTGCACTCTTGACAGTTTGTCTGGCAGCAATGTGTAAAGCAAGCACAATCCTTTTAGCTATCATCATGAATTCAAAAAAAATCTTCAAATGCAGTTACTAGATCACATGTGAGCTTGTGAGAATGGCGAGCGTGTATATTCCATTTATATCAAAAGTGAAAAATGGTAGTTCAAACTTACATATTAATTATACTATACAATGGTTAGTCTAAATACATTATACAAATGGTAAATGCTGCTGGGTCAAGGAAAGCTGATTTGATTTGATGGAAGGTGAGGTTTAATAACCGATTGAAATCAGCATGACATCAGCCGGGTCTATCAACAACCACCACACTGGAATATATATCATTTTATGAAATAGTTTATTAAAACTAAACAGTATGTTCAAAATAGTAAAGGTTTGGAATTTCACTTGAATAAATAGTTTTAAGCTGAGAGTCCCAAAGAAATGAAAAGTCTAAAGTACAGATCTGGTAATCCAGAGTAAACCAGCACATATCCACAATAAATATGCATGTGAAGTAATACTATACTGATGTGCATTTCCACTCGATGTAATAGAATTTGGACCAAATGTATCTGGATATGCCACAAGCGATACTGGCTGCAACACAATGAATTTGGCCGATGTAGTTGGCATAACCATTCCATTTGCAAAGCATGGTAGCTGTGTCACACTCACACCAATGATTTCCTTGTTATCAGGAACAAGCCGAAGAAAGTATGTTCCATCTGAGATGGATTTGGGGATTGAAAAGGGGATCGTATATAAAGATTGTGTTGTTGCAAGTGTAGAGTTTGTTGTGATGTTGGATAGTGATGGCCTTGCTGAGGAAAGCTTGAAAGTAGTATCGGTATTTTTCCATTGATCTGAGCTCAGTGCCTAATAGATTATAGTTTCCCAATAGATTTAGAAATGAGTGAATTTGTTTTGAAAATGGCAATAAAATATATGCAACCAAGCAATGTATTGGTTTGATTGTACTTACAGATGCATACTTTACTTGAATTTCGACAGGGAAGATGGTTACAGCAGAAGAAAATGCAAACGTGATGTTTAGCTGCTGTCCAGCAAACAAATAGCTAGAAGTATTGGGTGCTGTTTCGATAATTCCAAAATATAAAATTAGTGACGATTTGGTAAATAAGAATCAACAATCTCGACCAGAATACCTGGAGGCTAAGTGGGAAATGACTTACAGAAAATATAAAATGAACCGACATTATTTCCTGCAATGCATGGTGCAGGTGGAGATGGTTGTGGGGAAGAAGTAGATGAAGCTACAGAAGTGGCAGTAGGTAACCTGATGGTGGATGGTTGCGATATTGCACTAGATACAGTAGTTGAGAATGACAGTCCAGGCTGTCTCTGTCCCAATACTAACGGTATGCAGAGATACAGTATTAGCTTCGACACGAATGCATGGACTATTTTCCTTGTTGGGTTGCGTAGATATCCGTGTTGAAATGAATGAGCCATTAGGATGTTGCTGGATACGGAGAGTCTTGGGTCGAATCGACTGAAGCCAGCATTTCAACAAGGCTTGATTTATAGACCAATCTTTGGCGGAGATATATTGAATGCAATCTAGAATGGCCGCAAACCACAACATGAATTGTGACTATTGGGCGGAGTTTAATCTGGTGCAGAATTATTTCATGGAATTGACCTGATATTGTAAAAATACATTTATTTGATTCTTGTACTATAATTGTTCCAATCGAGCCATCCAAAAGTGGTCAGAAACTAGAGGTTTATCAGCAATATTCATTGGGTTCGCACTCGTTTGATAGATAGTCTCGCTTTGCGTTTGGATATCGGTGTTGTAGAACCAGATTCAATGGCAGAAGCTACAGCATGGCGTGTATCTTCCTGTTTCTTTAATAGATCCTCGATGGAATCGCATCGACTACGATTCAGCAGTTTCACATACCCTTTACCATGGGTACCAACAACAACACGCTGAGCAGAATGGCCACCACCAACACCCATATACTGATCAGCAAACTTGGGAGAGCAGCTTCCAAGCTGTACAAATTGGTTAACAAGGGTTCGTAGCTGTAGTTCTTTGATGGATGCAGATCTCCACAATTCAGAGAGCTGGCTTATTACACGAATGTCGTTGGGTGATTCTTTTGGTTTATTGCGGACGCCTGGCTTCTTGGCAGATTCTAGTGCTTTGGCAGGAAAAGCAGGTTCGTTGGCGGTAGCTATGGAGGAAACCTGCAAAGTATGTGAACCACCACACGAGTCGCTATCTAGTACCCGCCAATCTACCAAACACGGCGGGTATGCGCATTCAACCAATACAAGCGGGCCATCTGGAGCCATTTCATAAAACGGACGACCAGCAGCAGGTGCATGTTTTGTTAGATCCAACATGTCGGAAATCATATCTGGCATCTCCATTCCTCGACCAATCAAAAACAGCAATGCCATCATATTGCGTACTTGATGCCATAAAAACGCTCTTCCTTTAACAACTAGCACATGGAATCGATCCGGAGCACCATCCACCGCTGTATTCCGTGCCATTTCAAACGAATCACCACATACTTGACGGACAGGAACAATATCACACTCCATAATTGTGCGAACAAAAAATCCTTCCCTAGCAGCCTTTGTTGGATCAATCTTACAAATATGCCTACAATCATGCGTGCCAACAAACCGACTAGCAGCATCACGCATAGCAATCAAATCGAGACCAGCACCATCAAAAAAATAATTGTATTTGCGATGGCTGCATGTGAATCTAGCATCAAAGATTGGGTCGACGGGTGACCATGCCAATACTCTGATATCGTCTGGTAGGAGTCGGTTGAGTATATTAAGGTAGGGCAACTCGTTTGGCAAAGTATGAGATGACTGATCCTTTGTGGCTTGAGTAGCATCTTGCATCAGAGTATCCTTTTGCTCGAGAGTACTAGAAAAAATCGATGATAAATCTGAAGCTGGTGTTGGAGCAGCCGTTAAGCAAGATGACAGGGCAGTCACTTCTCCCTTCTTCATCAGCTCTGTCAGCTTGGCAACTTGGTCCCAATCCAGTGTATCTCTATCCCCAGGCCGAGCAGTTCGCACCCATACACTCACGACTTGATCAAACGCACTCACACCTTTGTCAGTTCGACCACATCTTGACCATGCACATGCACCTCCATCACTCGGTATCAGTCTTGCAACCTCCAATGCCTTGAATATGTACGACTCGACTGTGGGAACAGAGTCGTTGGAAGCACTGGCAAATCCATAATATTTATCGCCTATGTAACTGATCTTGAGTGCAATATGCCTTGCTCGATGTTTGGCAAAATCAAAAGGTTTTACTTTTCGTCGTTGCTGCAATGGTCTAACAGGTTGCTGCTGCTCAAGTGATTGGATATGTGCAATCAACCGACTTTTGTCCCAGCTGGAATACTTGTTTTGCTGTATTGTATTAGATTCATTGAGTGGATTTAGCAGAGTTTCATTCGTCTCTACAGCAATGCTGCTTGTTTGCATAACCTCACAGTTGGTGCTAAAAGGCATAAGAGCGGGTAGAAAAAACTTGATTCTTGTAAAGTGATTTCTGGCAAAATGTTGGATACTTTCAACGGTAATTATCACTGACGCTTTCTTTATAATCCCACCAACAATCATTGTAAACTCGATCCATTAATAATAATGTAAAAATAAAGTATTAATTAAAAAAATAAAACTATGAGCTGGATTCCTTTTCGGTGTGTACCATACTATCTGATTGGTTATTGTCGGTCTTGTTTACATTTGTACTCGTCGTCGACTCTGTAGTAGCCAATGTGGTCGCACCACTACTGGATCTAATACTTGCATTCTGCTGTAAATCAAACTGCTGTCTAAGAAACAAATTTCCTGGATTGATTCTACTGTTATACTCGTCCCAGCCATGGAAAAATGCTTTAAACTCAATCGGCTCTTTGCCTTGACAAATCCACACGACATCACCAGATACAACTACTTGACTAACATCACTGCTATGATTGGGCATATCCGTGTCTTGGTCATCAAATCCAACCACTCTGCCATCATCCAACCGACGCAACCATACTTCAACGCTTTTGCGTGTGAGTTTACGCACTACATCAGAGACTTCAGTTCCAATCCACACAAACAGGCGTGATGTAGATCCAGGATCAAGAATTACACAGTGAGTAGATAAACAGTCTGATTGTGAAAACAAGGGAATCTCTTCAACAAGAAAGTATCCAGGAGAGCATGAACATGTCAAAAATCGAGGAAGTGGAAGTTGCTGGTAATGTTGAGAAACAGATAAATGTGATGGAATTTGTGCTGGACGAGAGGATGGAGCAATTGATTGCAACATGGGTGCAAATCCACTTGCATAGGGTCGACGACCGCCAGGTAACAAACTCCAAAACAGTTTTGGTTCGAGTTTCTCTCCAATAACATCAAACTTTGCAGAGTGATTAGAGTTTGAGCCATGGTAAATCCCCATACCACTTGTCATGGACATAGATGCTGATGACATATTATCGGTTACTGGAGAAGTCGTTACTGTATCATATTGCTCTTGCAGACTCATGATCTGCTCGGCAACAATCTTGGCTCTGTGTGTATCCTCCCTCGTCGCGCCTTTACCTACCCATAGGTAACTGCGAGGACAAAGACTGAAATCCAAGGACTGCAAAAAGAAACAATCTCGAGATACCAATGACGAACATAAAGATCGCACTTGAATAGCACGAGAGGTTCCATAACGCAAGTCTGACCGAATATGGAACAAGGCACTGGTTTCTACCTCTGATTTTGATGTAGTAGATTTTGAAGTTTCGGAAAGTGATTTGGATAAATGCAATGTTTTGGGTTGAGCTGCTTGTTTGCCACTAGCATCAGTATATCCGGGTTGCTGGTGCATAGTGGATTGTGCAGTGCGTGCTTCCAGTTGCAAGATCCAATCCGATCGAGATCCTGTGCGAACAATGCACATGTTATCCAAATGTGCCAAAAGTGCAACAGGCTCTTTACCCTGCTCCAAATGAACAACACGAACAGGAGAATGATACATTTGATCAACCAAGTGCTCCATTTCGTGCTGTGTCTTGAGTTTAAATGTTGAATAGGCAAGTCTGCTGGAATGCTTGCCTTGCCAAAAGTACACCACACATTCCAAAACAGGTGGCAATTTACCACAGGCAGATTCAGTGTCGGAGTAATCGGTAGGTGTTTGAGCCTCAGAAGCATCTTGCTGCGATCCTTGGTTAAAGTTTGCGTGCGAATCAGTGCTATTTTGCAAAACTAAACCGTTACCAGAACCATCCACAAAGTTGTATTTTCCATCAAAAAGATGTGGTGACTGGGACACTGGAGATCCATCATCTGAAGTATTATACTCTGATATATTATTAGAAACACGTATGTTGGAGCATGGTAAAGTATCAGACATTGCAGGCAAGTGTAACAAACCTGTGTCCGGTTCTCTTTTTGTTGACATGCGTTTTGATGCAAGCTGATCTGCCAGCTCTTCACGCTCCTCTACACGATACACGCACAAAAACACATATGCATCATGAGAAAAGAAATGACCGCGCTCGCATTCGGGAAGCTGCACAAATCGACCACGATTATATACAAAACAAGTAAAAGCTTGTAAAAGATGGTTAGCATGTTCTATTGTATCCTGAACCAGCAGGGGATTGAAATCGATTGTAGGCGGTGGGCCATACAATGCCTTGACGTCTGCAGTAATTTTGGATTTATGCAGCGTTTTTACTTGGCGTTTTCCGGGGCGAGGTGTGCTGCCATCAGAAACGTCTCGCCAATCAACATAGTGTAGGCTAAAGCCATCCCAGTCACAAAACTTTAGTTTGAATATTTCTGGTTCATGTTGGTCAATACATCTAGTTAATCCAACCCATTTTGGTCGTGCTCTTGACGATGCAACTCGAGCAAGCAATTCGGTTGCCATGGATCGCAGCTGAGGCCATGCATTCTTTCCAAGCCACAAAAACAGCTCCACACCGACATCCAAAATATAGCATCCATCAGAAACAAGTAAACTCCGAGATATATCTCCAGTCGCAACTTGGTGCGATTCCAACTGAGGAGCAATTTTAGGAAATACTCTATACAAAATAGACGGTGCCTTGGCCAGCACATCGAATTGTGATTCTTGTTGAACAGGCTTTGTGCCAGAACAAGAGTTTTCCAAAACAGGTGGAACACGCTCACCACCAAGAATTTCCCAAAGGCGAAAAGGCTCATCTCCTTCATCTACAACAACCACATGAGCTCGTCCCACTCGCTCAAGAGTATTGATGCGATCACAAATCATGCGGCATTTTACTCGGTGATGCATGTTGGATGCAGAGCCATTCCATTGGAAAATTTCTAGCCCCCAGTCAAGCAAAAAAACGCCATCAGATTTGAGCGAAGAAAACAAGGTTTCAACCAAACAGAGTCGTAGTCCTGTCTTGCCATGCATTTTGTATAGTCGAAGTGGATATCGTTTTTGTTCAGCCATAAACAAACCACTTTCAGTTGCTTGAGAACTATCTTCATATTCAATTTCGTCACCAAATTCTGCCAAAAACTCTGGAGACTCTTCGCCCTCGACTTCACGCTCAATACGGCAAGCAGCACCAACCCAGTTTCGCAAGCCAACAGAAAACATGGCCGCACAGAATTTTTTGTCCATCTCTGCATCTCCACCAATCCATGTGTATATCCTGTGTTCATATCCTTCTCTATGCTCATCAAAAGTGTTTTCTGCAGAATCAACATATGCTGTAACAAGAATAATATAGCAGTCGGCGACACAAAATCTTCCCAGCAATTCTTGCGATTGGATTGCCGGTGTCAATGCCTCGATACGAAATACTGTGATGCCACAATCACGTCCAACATGTTTAGGAAACACGTCCGAGTAGTCCAGAGTCTGCTGTCGTTCCTGTGCCGGACTAAGCCATTTATGTCCGCCAGCGCCAATTGTTGGCGTCATTGCAGATTGTATAGTTGCACTCTGATGCAGTGATTGAGTAGATAGGGATGATGCTGAAATGATCGAGTTTCTTAAATCGGAAAAGTGAAGTTCATCAACACCAATCCGTTGATGGCGATACTGTTCTAATTGCTTGACAGCACTAACTCTATATTGACTATTTGTCTCACTCTGTACATCATTTTCATGATGACCTTCTTTTAAATCTAAAGTATCTTTGTTTGTTGCTGATGAAATTCGCTCACCAGAAAGTAAAGGTACATTGCTGTCGATTCCAGCTTGGGATGTAATACTAGAAAAAGCACGGGATTGCATCAGTGTGCTGAGTGCCGATATGAATATAGATCCTTGTTCGCATCGCTGTTTGGTTTCAGGCTCTGGAGCTGTAGAAGAAGTGGCAGTGTTGATCGTCATGATAGGAACAGAAGCTGAGTGGTCCTGGGTAAAAATTGAAGTGGGACTTTGAATATTAACTTGAGATTCAGATGCAGCATTTTCCCATGGGTTTGATAGCATAGAGTGAATCGAACCATAGGCAGATGTATGCGCTGTACCAATTAATTCGTTTTTGGCACACATGCTGATTTTTAATGGTTGAATCTTGGTAGGAGGTCCAAAATCAACACCGTAGTATTCAGCACTGCTCAGCGTATTTCTTCTTGTGACCAAACGATTTGACCCCGAATTCTGACGTTTTGTTGGTGTAAGGTCCAGCAAAGAATCCCGATTGACAGTAGAGTTGGCGGCAGATCCAAAAGGAGGATTTGAAAAAACATCAAAAACGTAAGTAGATGTCATGGAATGATGATTAGAAAACCAAGAAGAAAAGGATGATTGAGAAGAGATGGCATTTGAAGGATTCGGATAGACAATTGAACTCAAAGGACTATGAACACGGTTTGGTTCTAGGGTCAAGGCATGATTGTAGTTTATGCTTCTGTTGGATGTAGCAACAAGATCAGCTGCATCGCTAGTAGCACTTTCAGTAGTAGAAGAAGAGAATAGTGAAGAAATAGAGCGAAGAATACTATTGACAGGACTCCATAAAATGGATCCAGTAGATATAAACCCATTTTCTACCGTCACATTTGCAAATGGTTGTTGCCGAGTAGTATTTGAATTCAAGTGATTAGAAAACTGAGGTTTATGGGAGGGTATGTGAGCATTAGAGTTTAAAGTAGCATTTTTGTCGATTGGGGATATGTTTTTAGCAATGGATGTATGACATGAACAAGTAGCAACAAGTGTGGATGATAATGGACAGGATTGAATGTGGTGGGCATTTGTATAGCCGCTGGCTAAAGTATTGGCAGTGGAATGCAGTTGCTCATCCTTGACAGTATGAGCAACCGCAGGCATAGCAATAGATTCTCCTTGTGGTAGTACCAAGGAGTCCAATTGAGTACAACTGCCTGTTAATGGCAAGGATGCTGTTGTACTACTATGCAAATGCAAGCTGTTGCTACTGACACTTCTGTGAAGAGGAGCTGAAACAAGAGAGCTGCGTGACTGATGAATCAGCAATTGCTCAGGAACCCGAATATCTTCATTATGGTCATGGTTGCCATTCATAATGGATCTCAGTAACAACAAGTCATGCACTCTTCAAGAATCAATTCGTTGGTTTCAATAAATTCTACAAACGCGTCCAGCCGAAACCCATCAGTCCCAACCCTCAGGCCAACTTGCTTTTCAAATTGCATTCATGGTATTCACTCACCTTTAATCTCACTTCATAGTCTCTGTCCAATAAGCTTAGTTCGTAGATACTGTTGTTGCTGCTACAGTGACTCTGATACTCACTGTCACTTACCCCATTACTGTAAATACTTGGGGACAGCAACTCATTATCACTATGCAGATCTTGACTTGTACTATGCATAGAGTATACTCCTCGTGTACTCATTGCTCTAGACTCCATCTTGAGCTTTTCTGCTTGTTCATCTATTTGAATCTTTAACAGCAATACCGAGTCTTGATCATCGCTCCACAGTGGCTCGCATGCATCCATTCCATTATTTTCAGTCACGATCGCCATCGATGCTGTCATTTCTTCTTCTATTTCAAAAGGTTTACTGTTTCCACAGAGCTCCTTCAATTCCTCTTCTTCATTATAAAGTGATGATCGATCTGCTCTATTGTACGCAAAGGGTGGCATGGACATGGGTCTAGCCATAGCATGATATGATGATTTACGTCTGCTGACTGAAGCAATAGGTATTCCAAGAGGTGATGTCACACTGTTATTGGAATATCTTGTTCGTGTTCGTTGAAATCTCATTGACGATGATTGACTGCTTGTATCCGGTGTATCCAATGGTGGCTCCAAGGTATTAGATTCGGTGGAGATTACTTTTGAACCCATAATTAACGTACTTGGAAAGGATGGTCGAGATTGAGTATTTATGAATGGGCGAAGTGTAGTAGCGGATCTAAGGATGGTTTTGGATGGCTCTGATGAGTACAACACAGTAGTGGATCTTGCAATTGACACGATGGAGTTTTTTCTTGTTGGTGTGATATCAATAGTCAATGGCTTTATAATCATGCTCATGGGTCTCATTTTAGTATTAGAGCGTGCTACATATGCAGTAGCTGATCGCGCAAGACTTGTATGACTATGCTCCCTTTTATTTCCGGGAACAAATCTGGGAATATCAAGTGATAGTGTAGGTTTAAATGACTGATTATTTACATTTGAGTTTAAAACCTGCTGTATAGGAGGTGATGGAATTGATGGTTGATTTGACGAGTCTGGTGGATTCGCTGTGCTCTTCATTTCAGTCAATTCTCCAAGAATTTCTTGCCCTACAGTCTTTTTCGTAATCTCTCGTCGTAGTGGTGTAGTTTTATCACCAACCTCATTGCTGCCGTCGATACAAATTGATTTCTGCACGGATGCGTCAGGTGACAGGGAAAACGATGCATGGTTGATGGAGGGCGATAGAGGAACGAACGCGTTGAGAGCATCGAGTGTTTGGTCCATAAGTGATGCTTGTCTACTGCTGCTTGATGAGGTACCCATATGGTTCATTCTAAACGTTTGTGCCGTAGATAAGCAAGCCTTGCTCCCCTTTCGTGTAGCTGGCTGTTCAATATCTTTGGAGCATGGCTTAAATGAATTGGTCGCATCCAAATTTGACTGTTCAAAAAAATCCAGTAGGCCAAAGCTATTTTGATGCGATAATGGCTCCGTATACTAGCATAGCATGCATATTAGTATGGTATATTCAAGCATAACATATATTTTCAATTATTTCCAATGTTCAACTGTGTATGATTAAAATATACACAACTCACATGAAAATATCCGGAATTTGCATTCATTTCATTTTGAGTCGACTCAAGCTTCGTTGGGTTAGATTGTGAACTAGAGTCTCCTGGTAGAGGTGGTAGGCCATTTAAAGTTCTTGTATTGGCCTGTTTTGGCCTTCTCTTACGTCGTATTGGAATACCTCCCAATAGGTCTGTTGAGAGAGTGACATAAAGTTCTTTGCTTGTGGCCTCTTTTAATTGTGAACTATCCATAATATGCCAAGATTAGGCAAAGTGTGCTAGATTAGCCTGGCGATATTTCGTGTTTAGTTTTTTTGAATGAATTTAAACTTGGGTGCTGAAGCACAAAATGATCTCGTGCAAGCATAGGCTGGCGAATATCTACTGGCAAAGCAACCTGTGCAACGTATTTTCCCTCAAAATACACCTTGCTCAATTATTAGAGCATATACTGGTTGATGGGTGCAATATGATCAAGTCATGAGCCTAATACACTATTGTTTGGCAATACAGGATGTTTATTGAATGAATGAAATTGGATGAGAGACGAATAAAGTAAACTATCATGCAATACACGCTGCATTATAGCATATCCTGGATGATGATATTGATAGTTCATGGAGCTGCAACAGCGTGACGAGTCTATGGTTGAAGGGCTTGTTGTAGAGCAGACAGCCAGGATTGATACCAATATTGCGAGTTTCATTGTATTGATTTGGTTGAACAAGTTGTAATGATTGTCATTCAACATGTTGATTTGGTGTCGTATTTATATCCATGATTGGATGGATAATATCAAAAGCATGTTTCTTGGATGACCGCTCAAACGTATTGGCTTTGTTGCCGGAATTTGTGGTGATTTACTATTATAAATGTCAAGGCAACTTTGGAGGGATTTTTGTCACCAATACAATAGACATGATCATATTGCACCAATTGACCAGTATACGATTACTGGATACATCACACGCTGGTATTTACCACTGCAAGTGTATATTGGAATATAGTCACATTGATACAGTCAACACCAACATGCAAACCTGTTGCATGCATAGGGTCACTCAAGACTACTTGGTCAATGTCAAGTATTAGTCAAAGCATGATTATAGCAGATTAAACTGAGATGCGAAAACAAGACAAGCCAAAATATTAAAACTCAAAAACAAATTCCAAACACACCCAACAATACATGTAAGGCACTCAGTAGTCAACGATTAGAGGTTCATTTGTAAAAATAATGGCCTTGAAAAAGATCACAAATTAATTGGTTGCAATATCAAAATGACGATTATTGAGAACGATTTGCTAGTCTATCCTTGAGTTCCTGATGAGCTGCTCCCTGACGCACTCGACGGTCCCCAATGAATTGCGTATATGGGGATTCAAGTTTCTTTTGTTGGCCGGCAGTAAATCCAGTTTGTTGCTGAACAGTCTCCTGCTGAACGTGTTGCTGAGTATACTGTTGTTGAGTATACTGTTGAGCTTTAACGTGTCGAATATGTTCAGCGTGTTGTCGCTGAGCATTATAGGAACGCTGGGAAGCTTGCCAAGCACGCTGTTGTTCCTGAGCATGTTGTTGCTCGGTACGTTCCTGTTGTTGGTATTCCATAGCAGCCATAGCCTGTTCATGCTCCTCCATGCGCTGCTGTCTCTCGTGCTCGCTTTGAGCATCGATTGCATCAAAGGTATTTTTAAGCTTCTGCTGAGTGTGTGAGGAAGCTTCAGGATCATCATTATTGGCAAGACGATCCCTAAGCTCTGCATTAACAGCCACCTGGCGATTAACACGGGATTCGCGGAATGCATCCAGCTCAGGGAAAGTACTGATAGGACGACGATGGCGATAATGATGGCCACCATACTGGTAAGTCTGTTGCTCATATGGTGGAGTCTGTTCATCTTCGTGAGTCTGTTCATCTTCGTGAGTCTGCTCATCTTCGTGAGTCTGTTCATCTTCGGAAACGTCAGAGTTATTAGCAAGGCGATCCTTAAGGTCTTGATTAACAGCAGCATGGCGATTAACACGGGATTCGCGGAATGCATCCAGCTCAGGGAAGGTACTGATAGGACGACGATGGCGATAATGATGGCCACCATACTGGGGAGTCTGTTGCTCATCTGATGGAGTCTGATCATCATCTGATGGAGCTGGTGGTGCATTTGGTGTAACCTCTTCAATTGCGGGAGTCTGATCATCATCTGATGGAGCTGGCGGTGCACTTGGTATGACCTCTTCAATTGCGGGAGTCTGATCATCATCTGATGGAGCTGGCGGTGCACTTGGTATGACCTCTTCAATTGCAGGAGTCTGATCATCATCTGATGGAGCTGGCGGTGCACTTGGTATGACCTCTTCAATTGCAGGAGTCTGATCATCATCTGATGGAGCTGGCGGTGCACTTGGTATGACCTCTTCAATTGCAGGAGTCTGATCATCATCTGATGGAGCTGGCGGTGCACTTGGTATGACCTCTTCAATTGCGGGAGTCTGATCATCATCTGATGGAGCTGGCGGTGCACTTGGTATGACCTCTTCAATTGCGGGAGTCTGATCATCATCTGATGGAGCTGGCGGTGCACTTGGTATGACCTCTTCAATTGCGGGAGTCTGATCATCATCTGATGGAGCTGGCGGTGCACTTGGTATGACCTCGCCAGTTGCGGGAAGCTGATCTCCGGTTGCAGGAGTCTGATCACCAGTTGATGGAGCTTGTTGGCCACCAGTTGCGGGAAGCTGATCTCCGGTTGCAGGAGTCTGATCACCAGTTGATGGAGCTTGTTGGCCACCAGCTGCGGGAGTCTGACCACCAGTTGATGGAGCTTGTTGACCACCAGTTGATGGAGCTTGTTGACCACCAGTCGCGGGAGTCTGACCACCAGTTGATGGAGCTTGTTGACCACCAGTCGCGGGAGTCTGACCACCAGTTGATGGAGCTTGTTGACCACCAGTCGCGGGAGTCTGACCACCAGTTGATGGAGCTTGTTGACCACCAGTTGATGGAGCTTGTTGACCACCAGTCGCGGGAGTCTGACCACCAGTTGATGGAGCTTGTTGACCACCAGCTGCGGGAGTTTGTGGTGCAGCAGTCGCGGAAGCTTGTGATGCATCAGTCGCGGAAGCCTGTTGGTCACTAGTTGCGGGAGTCTGATCTCCGGTTGCAGAAGCTTGTGGTGCAGCAGTCGCGGAAGCTTGTGATGCACTAGCTGTAGAAGCATGATCACCAGTTGCGGGAGTCTGATCTCCGGTTGCAGAAGCTTGTGGTGCAGCAGTCGCGGAAGCTTGTGATGCACTAGCTGTAGAAGCATGATCACTAGTTGCGGGAGTCTGATCACCGGTTGCGGAAGCTTGTTGATCACCAGTCGCGGGAGTCTGATCTCCGGTTGCAGGAGCCTGTTGGTCACCAGTCGCGGGAGTCTGTTGCTTCTTCGCAGGTGGAGATGGGTCTGGATATCTGTCATCAAGTGAGTCCTGATCATCAGCTGGGGGAGTCTGTCGCTTCTTTGCAGGTGGAGATGGATCCGGATATCTGTCATCAGGTGAATCCTGATCATCAGCTGGGGGAGTCTGTTCAACTGCCTGCGAATCACCTTTTCCTTTCGTAAGTTTCGCAAGTTTCGCGACTTTCTTTGCCAACTTAGCAAACTTGCCCTTGGAACCAGATTTTGGTTCTTTGGTTTCAGAAACATCGGTATCCTTATCGGCATCGGTAGTACCGGAAGAACCAGCACCTGTAGCAGCATCAGTAGTACCGGGAGCACTAGCACCTGTAGCAGCATCAGTAGTACCGGGAGTACCAGCACCTGCAGAAGCATCAGCAGTACCGGGAGCACCAGCACCTGTAGTAGGATCGGTAGTACCGGGAGTACCAGCACCTGCAGAAGCATCAGCAGTACCGGGAGCACTAGCACCTGGAGTAGGATCGGTAGTACCGGGAGTACCAGCACCTGCAGAAGCATCAGCAGTACCGGGAGTACCAGCACCTGCAGAAGCATCAGCAGTACCGGGAGCACTAGCACCTGGAGTAGGATCGGTAGTACCGGGAGTACCAGCACCTGCAGTAGGATCGGTAGTACCGGGAGTACCAGCACCTGCAGTAGGATCGGTAGTACCGGGAGCACTAGCACCTGCAGAAGCATCAGCAGTACCGGGAGTACCAGCACCTGCAGTAGGATCGGTAGTACCGGGAGTACCAGCACCTGCAGAAGCATCAGCAGTACCGGGAGCACTAGCACCTGCAGAAGCATCAGCAGTACCGGGAGTACCAGCACCTGCAGTAGGATCGGTAGTACCGGGAGCAACATCCGAGGTTGATGGGGATGAGTCATCGCATAGATCTTCGTCCTTCACCTCATCGCTAGACTTCTTGTACTCCTGGTAGAGTCCCATGTAGTGTTCCCACATGCCAACCAGCTTGGTTTTTTCTTGAATTTCCTTGCTAAACTTGGAATCTCTAATGCATGCCTTGTGTGGATACTCGGGATTAAATCCGTCTGGAATGGGCATATTCAAGCTGCGCATACGCGCCTGAATTTCCATGATTCTACATTCAAGGGTTTCCTCATCCCAGCCAGGTAAATCCGGATAGTCGCCATATACGTAGGAAATGGGTTTATTCGTAGGCGCTTCGTTGCTGGTTTGTGGCTTCTGATTATCTTGAGGCAAGCCATCTTCTAATCCTCGCTTTTGTAAATTGACAGCCGATTCACCAAGTGGGCGAGCAATAACTCCTGCGCTAGCTGCGGTTGACAGAAACGTCAGAACAATAACCGATACAAATTTCATTGCAAAATTCTAAACTGACGAGAGCGCTTTAATATTAGTGATCCTTGCTGGTTCAAAGAATGGACCTCGGGAAAGTTTAGTGAATGAATCGTGAAAATACGTTTTGCTTAAATACTTGGTTAGTCGTTAAAGGGAGGTGAGCCCAAGAATAAAAGGGATGCATAAGCTCAAAGGATAGTTTAGATGTACTCAGACTCGTGTTTGTACTATTCTCGTTTGCTTGTGTCGTTGACCGTTGAATAAAACAGAGGGCTCTTGGTCAAGGGAGGAATTTGCAAGCAATTTGACCGCATAAAGGGCACAGAGTTATCAGCACCAACTAGTGTTAAACTTTTGTGCGGTGCTAGAAGGGTGAGTATGAAATAGTTTGCTCATACAGCATATCTGGGTAAATATCAACGGTGTGGCCCTTTAGACCGCCCTGCACCAACACAGCTTACCACAACAACGTATAGGCTAATCAGTCTAAATTTCAAATGTAAATGTCATTATATACAACATTGTGCAGTGATTTCGTTGAACACAGTGTCAAGTCGACAGTCATGTTAGTGGTACCAATATTTCATTTTCCAGAATTGTAACATCAGTACTCTCAGTGTAACAATCCCAGAAAAGCATGCCAATTATTGAGAAACTTTCCGACTCGTGCAGTGTAAATTACCGTGATGTTGATAGTATGAGCACCTGACGCTCTACTATGCACAACCCATTTCCAAAAGTCGAGCAATTGATTGTGATGAACGACAAAGTGAACGCAACGGTGTATTTATTACGCTAATCTGTCCATTTGTAGAATGAATCCAAATTGCTGATGATTTGACAGCAAATCTAGACAGAATACAAGTTTACAGATGTATTCATGTAAAATAAAACATTATCTTGCAGACACTTCCCCACCTTGAACCCTTGTCAGAAAACAGTAAATTGTTGCGAATCATTTCACAACCATATGTTTATTACTGGGCAACACTCTTATTTAATACTTCATTTCAGTGAATACGGCTGCAATACTGTCAAGTTTCCTCGAGTTTTTTTGATTTCTATTCCAGAATCTAAAAGTAGAGCCAATAACTCATCACCATTGATTCAATAGGTTTGCAATAATGTTCAAATCAAAATCGTAGATAGTCCAATGACAATGGTGTCAAGAAAGCTTAAAAATAAAATTGTCCGGAGACTTGTTTATTTTGTGAGAAAAGCCAGCAATACCGCCCAAATTTTGTCCACGCTCCTAGCTCTGGTCTTGGCAGTTGTCAAAGCAAAACGGCGTATAAAAAAGCGCCTCAAACCAGACCATATCTCCACTTACAAAATCCGCTTTTAACCTACAGTTTACAGCCAACTATCGATAAACAATCTGCGTTGCTGGTATAAGCGGCACTGTTCCTTCATCTTCCATCAATGCAGCAAAATAGAAATATCATACACGTCATCATTGCGAGCAGTATAATCAACTAGAACAGATATCGGCAAGTTGCTCCATGACTTCACTTAGCAATCCAAAAGGTGTGTTTCGATCATCACGTACAAAACAAAGGTGATCTTGCTCACTAGAAATAGATTCAAAAATAAAAAAATTTCGTCAATATGTCCAAATTGATCAAATATAGATCAAGCACGCCATTTAAAAGCTTACTTTTGAAATCGTGCGTCGGATAAAGGATCCAAAGCAACAATTTCTGCAAACACAACCAAGCGACAAAAATGCATCAGTTGTTGAACTAAATGCACCAAAACTGAAACAGGCTTGAGTCTTTTATCCACATCTAGCATGAGAAACATGAGAAACCAATAAATGAGATGTGACGATCGGCCCTGAGCCAATGTGTGCCGTACATGCACTAGATCAGAAAGTAGAGTTTGAAGAGCGGAAAGAATGAGTTGGCGGTTAGAATTAGGGTGTTCGGATACCGCATGTACAATGGCTTTTTTGAATTGATCCATCGAGTGCATCACATTCTCAGGAATAAGATGCTGCATATCTGCATGTGTCGATCGAGACAGATTATCAATAAATATAATGAAATGAGAAGCTGTTTCTGCATACGTCTTGACCATGTCTGAATCACGAATGGGCTGCATTATAGACGAGCTTCTCAATACACTAGTGATTGATTGGGAAATATCAAGAGTTAGCTATTGAAAATAACAACTAGACCATCTACATTTTTGTACAAACATCTAATGCAGTATAAACCATTCAAGCATACCCATCAGTGCTGCAGATGGCCTTTCGCAACATCAGACTATTACAGTGTCGATTGCCAAGATCACCATCGATCGCTAACCAGTACTCAAGCATAGCATCACTAATAAAGCCTGTCCATAAACTGGGGTCCTCCAACATACTTTCAGAGGTACAGGGTATTGTTTTTGAATCCAATTTCAATGTAGTTGGTTTCTGAATTACATTAAAAACCTATTATTTACAACAATTAAGCCCATTCGTTAATAAGCTTGACCAGATCGAATGAAAACTCAACGAGTGAAAAACATCAGTGGTTAAGCCTCCAGTAAGTCAATACTTACAAAATCGAGTCCAAGTCGCTCCATTTCTTGCATAAACCCAAGCTTTGACTCAAAAACCTCGTCAGGACTAGGAAGAAACTGAATAGATGTAGGTGTTTGAACACCTTCGTTTTCAAAAGCAGGTTGCGTCGATATAAAAGAGACGGTGCATGATGATGGTGAGGATGATTGCATCCATGTGGGCTCCTTATCGGCTGGTTCTGTTGGAAATTTCGACGAGGGATACTCTGTAGTCGATTCTTGACGACTGTCCATCTCCACATCATCAGACAGATTGGAATTCGCATCAATCTCGCCAGAATTTGTACCCAACACACCAATATGTCTATACTCGCCAGATCCAAGACGAAATGTTTGAATATGGCATTGGTCCAAAATTTGTCTGTTTCGCTTTTGATGTTTTTTATCAAGATGCTTGCGGTAACTTTCCGCTTTTCGGGTGTAGAATACGCAGTATCTACACCGGTATCCATTGACAAATATCTCGACACCTTCAACAGGCTCGCGAAGCATGGCTGTGGGAGTAGTCATTTTGATAAAGTCTGGATGGCGACCTTTTAGTAAATCCCACTTTCTAGTAACGATGGCTTTCTGAATCGGTGCATACAGAGACTTCAGACCATGCATGTCCAAATGTAATTTGAGGTCACGTTCCTCGCAAGACACCACATCGCAGCACAAAAGGCAAATCAAAACCTGGTTAGTAAGATTCACTACAAATTTGGATTCGGGAACTCCTGGAATCACAAACAGACCAGAATTTGAAGCAAGCTGATGAACAAATGAATCAAGTTCTGTCGGTGATTGTGGGATGGGTGTGGACATGGACAGAGTGGTTTTTAGTTTGGTAGTACTTTGTTTCAAAGTATCGGCACGAGAAACCTCCAAGGGCTGGCGATCAGATACATATGGCTGTAATAAACCGCTTTCATGAGAATCTGATCTAGTCAAATGAGTGTGTTTCTCATCCCTATGGCCAGAGCGATGGCCATTACGAACAGACTCGTCCAATGGTAAACCTTCCTGATCTATATTAGCTCTAGTAGTGCTAGATAGTGAAGTAGACCGGGCTCGCTTCTTGGTAGCCTTAGTAGTCACATCATTCCTTTGCATTGTTGATTTGGCAGATTCAATGTGGGTGCATTTCTTGATATGCTTTCTTAATCCTCCAGGAGTGTTGTGCTCTCCACCGCAATAACAAATGAATGGTGACTGGTCGTCTTTTCTAGATATCTTGGCTATATATGCCACAAGAATAAAAACATGCATTGGTGTTACTATTGCTGAGCCATGATAACCATTCATATGATGAAATCCAGACCGGATTCACTGCTCCTTCCATTCAGCATTGTTCAACCAGAGAGTATCCCAGGATACAGTTCCAAATCGCACCTACCAATGAATCCATCATCCAGAGTGACTCTCGTTGTCAGTTGGTGCTTTCTTCGATGAAAGGGGAAAACAGTAGAGAGTATCATGTCCCCGCAAATGGGACAGGCTAGCTTCATATTCTTTGAATCATCAACTGGTTCAACACTCATCCTAATCCAGCAGTATTAACAGGTTCCTTTTATGTCAAATGGTAGTTCTTGCAGCTTCCCAAAAGTAAACCTCGGTCGTCAGTTCCCCAAATCTCCTGTCAAAGAATTTTTCAGTTACAATTTGGGCGAAAACAAAGAGTTCGAGTATGACATGCAGAATGGGAATCTCGTCATATGAAATAAAAAGGCAGTGTGTCGAGTATCTTGACAAGTATCGTTCAGATAAAACGATCGTTTACTTGAACAAATATCAATACCAACAGATTCAAGATCTGCCATGATCTCCAAGTCCAACAACTCTCTTTAAACACCGATAAGACAATGATAAATTTGTACAAGTAACTGATTGTTCCATAAAGCATTGAAAAAATTCAAAGTATGTTGGTAAATTTGGTCTAGTTCAAAGTTTTACTTGAAAGTAATATTCTTGTATTCAAAAGTTTATTTAAACTTGTATGGTGAAAACGGGTGTCTTGTAAAAGCCATTACCAATAAGATTATTGTATCAGATTTATTATTGATCACTGTATGCAGTTGGATAGTAAGGGTACTGATTTTGACCTCCATCGAATCCAGATGGCTTGTAATCGCCATATGGGTTTGGAACATCTTCGTCCTCACTGCCGTCGCCACATCCAACACATGAAAATCCTTTGCTGGGTTTTTTGTTGGGTTTTTTGCTGGGCTTTTTGCTGGGCTTTTTATGTTTATCGGAAGTATCTTTGCCTCGTTTGGATAAGCTTGAAATGGCCTCATCAGTGGGAAGTACTACGGCCGCGACAGACAGCACAGATACAGATGCAATGAGAAAAGTGACGAGTTTCATTTTCCAAAATTCAAGTGATAAGGATGCAGATAAAAGTGATAATGGGTAGAAAGTGCAAGACAGATCAGTGGATAATGGATATCAGTAGTATCCAATCTCGGGTTTTATAGACATTTCGAGGTCCAAGCTTTGCATAATAATTTGTCCTAAAATTAAGGGTGCTGTGAACAAATCGAAACATGGCTGAATACAAAACTGAATAAAGTCGTCCCTTTGTTAGATAAACAATGGCCCTGATTCAAATTTAGATGTCTTGAAAATATGCTCCAAGCTGTTGGATTATCTCTAGTAACATATGACTTGAATATTCAATTGTATGCTGTTGATATTGATATTCTAGCTGTAGATTTTCAATTCTTTGGCACAATCGAGCCGACATGTCTTGAACATTCAATCTATAGTTGAAACAACTCAACAGCTCTCCAATAAGCATCGGTGCTTGTTAATTTTGATATATGCCCTGTATACGTTTCTTATTATGGATTACCAGCCCTGATTCAATATATTTGTACAACTACAAGCAAAAGAATACCAACACAGCACTGGCCTGCTCAACTCCATCACCAAGACGATGATGACTCCCTTAATTGCTGTATCTCTATTACAGCTGGTATCCTTGATTTATGCAGCACAAAGGCTGATCATCTCGCACTACACTCCCCGCAGCATTGAAGTCGTTCAGCTCCCATTGTTCTAAAGTCCAACTAGACCAGCACCAAACCCATACTCGAAACGATTGGCCACATACCAAACAAGTGGTAGTGCAGATCGTTTAGCAAACTGGCCGTATCAACAGTCGGATTGTCACTACGAACGATTGATAAATACTACCATTCAATCGGCAAATGAACATCCCCAAACAAGAATGAACCCCAGTCACACTTTGGTTTGGTTTTACAAATACTTTAAAAACACTAATGATGATGGCTGTAGACGATTTTTATTTGATTTCATCCCATCATTCTGTTATCAGCAGTGAAAGCTATTATAGCTATCAATAAAATTTTAAAAATAGATGGTACGAGTTGACAGAGAAAGTCGAGTCCCGTTGAAAGGTTAGTATGGCGGCTTATCTTTAGCAGCGCTATTTATAAACTAATGCCTGCTATGCCTTTGGACACTACGACGATCAAGCATGTTCACGTATTGATCTTGCAGTTGTGAAAGTGTGTATCCAGGTGATCGCCTATCTATTCTCACGTACTCTTGACCAGTAATATCCGGATAGCTAAAAACAGCTTGTACGGATGTAATAGCAAGGAAGAAAGCAGTGCACAGACTAAGCAGATTCATTGTTGTTGATGGAGGTAGAATAAAGGGATAATAAATAGTAGCAGTAATAAATAAAGCTAAAGTAGTTGCTGGTGGTGCTGATAATAGAGATCTATCTATGAGAGATGCAGAAGTAAGTTGATGAACTCTAATAGTGATGTAGACCCGTCTTTATATACTTGTAATGCCAGCACAGGAATACGCTTTAGCTTTCCATTGCTACCAAAAGCCACCGTCCGTTTGGTGTAGTGGCGCTTGTAAGCGGGTCGATTTTGCTGGCAAATCCATTTTGAAATTCACCACTCTGTACTCAATGTGCTCTGCATGCACAAAACCACAAAACTGATCAAAAGCTGCCCATCACCATTGAGCAAAAACCAAGCTTCTTCTCAAGAGTACCTGCTACCGCTGTGAACGAGTTGTCGACCCATCACGCTCAAAGCCCATGTTTATTTAGTGATGCACCCAACTCTAAATACTTGAATCTTAGGCTTGCAGATAAAAGTTTATTTCAAAAATAAAAAATGCTGTTGCTAGCAACTTGTATCTGGGTTTCAGCTAGTCTGGCTTTATTTCTTGTGAGCAGCCTCCCATTCAACAACTTTGGGGTGACTCTGTACGGCCTTGTAGATGGCATGCACTTTGGAATACTTTTCAGTCAGATCAGTAGGAATGCCATCCCAAAGACCAGAGCTGATCAATGATACAATAACATAAATCTGGATATCAGCCACAGTCATGGAGTCTCCAACGGCCCATTTACCACCGCTGTGCTGGGTAATAACTCGCTCAAGCGAAGCAAACATTTGAGGCCATTTGGACTCGGCCAGGGTCTTGCGAGCAAGAGATTTCTTGGCTGCATCAGACTCATGGATTGTACAATAGACAGCATTAGAAATGTCATCAACATGGAAAACAACCTGATCTACCAAAGCAGCCTTAAGAGGATCAGTGCATGGGTATAGGTTAGCCAGAGCACCAGCATAACGAAGAATACCACCAGATTGAGCAACGCGAGTAGTTCCGTTGACAGTCAAAAAGGGAAGCTGGCCAAAGGGAGTTGTAGACTTGAGTGCAGGCCAAGATTCGCCATTGATTCGCTCGTCTTCAAAAGGGATACCTCCAATAGTCAATGCAAGGCGAGCGGGTTCGCCCCTCATACTGACATTGAAATAGGTAAGCTTCAGGGTTGGGAGTGTAGGTGACATGTCAATTGATGGATCTTGTATGGGATAGATCTGCGATTCCGTCGTCTTTTATAGGCTGCAACCCTGCATTTGGCGCTTTTAATGTATTTATCATGTGGCTGAATCACGCCATTTGTTTGAATAGGCTAATTGCTATTATTTGATCGGGGTTCATATTGGAGATCAGTCGTTGGAAACAAGAACAGTCGAGTGCTTACTTGAGTTTACTTGTATCTAACCAAAGACTAGCTTCCAGATGGAACTGTACGCAGGTGGTTCTGGAACCAAACCATATCTTCCAATACAATGAGATTCGAGTGCTTTTTGGTAATTCTAAATTACAGCCATACTCACGTAAAACGGAACTCTCTTGTATTGATCTTGCAGTGACGACTTTGTTTCGGTATAAATAGCGAATAAACATTTGCTGTGCTTTGTTTTTACTGGAGATTGACTGCACTGCTGCTTCAATGGACATTCTCAGCCCTTCCAAATACAACGTCCATCATATGATGCACACAAGCTATAGTTTAACCGAGATTGCCTTTCAACCCTTTCCTTTTCATTCTTGTTGTGCTCCAAAAGATCATGATACGTTTCCGTGCCAATCACTAGGAAAGATATGAATAAATTCAAGTACAATGGTGTCCAGTAAACTCGGCACCAATCATTTCATAAGACCAGCTGTTTATTATACTTGCCTATAGTGTTTCATTTTATGCGAATAAGTGGTGACAGTAGTGAGACACAATTCATGTTTATTTTCAAAGTCTGAATTACAATAGTCAATATATACAGCTTAGTATTGCGAGTTAAGCCATTCAAGAAATGAAAGCTAAAGTAATATGCATTCAATTACAAGGGAAGTCCCGTCAACATCACCTATACGGATGATTTTCCAGATCTAGATCTAGATCGGGTTGAACCACCAGACTTAGATCTAGATCGGGTTGAACCGCCAGTTTTAGATCGGGTTGAACCACCAGTTCCAGTTCCAGCTCCGGTTCCAGTTGAACCACCAGCTCCGGTATCAGTTGAGCTACCAGTTCCAGTTCCAGTCTCGGTTCCAGTTGAACCACCGGCTCCGGTATCAGTTGAACCACCAGTTCCGGTTCCAGTCTCGGTTCCAGTTGAACCACCAGTTTCAGTTCCAGCTCCGGTTCCAGTTGAACCACCGGCTCCGGTATCTGTTGAACCACCAGTCTCGGTTTCAGTTGGGCTACCAGTTCCAGTCTCGGTTCCAGTTGAACCACCAGTTCCAGTCTCGGTTCCAGTTGAACCACCAGTTCCAGTCTCGGTTCCAGTTGAACCACCAGTTTCAGTTCCAGCTCCGGTTCCAGTTGAACCACCGGCTCCGGTATCTGTTGAACCACCAGTTCCGGTTCCGGTTCCAGTTCCAGTATCAGTTGAACCACCAGTTGAACCACCAGTCTCGGTTTCAGTTGGGCTACCAGTTCCAGTCTCGGTTCCAGTTGAACCACCAGTTCCGGTTCCAGTCTCGGTTCCAGTTGGACTACCAGTTCCAGTTTCAGTTGAACCACCGGCTCCAGTTCCAGTTGATTTAGATTTGCCATTCTTTCGACCTTTACGCTTCCTTTGTCGTCTTCCGCCAGATTTGCGTCCACGCTTTCCAGCACGATTGGCATTGTTCTTGCCGGAGCCATTACGCTTTACACTGCCCGCGCCACCAGTATTGCTGATACCAAAAATGTTTATATTTTCAGACCCTATATTTCCATTGTTACCGCGCTTTTGTAAACGATGGGTATTTTGGGGATTGATGGATACGGCGACAGCAGTTGCAGCAACAAGTGAGGAGAAGAGAGCAGTAATGAATTTCATGATGATTGGAATAAAAAGTTACAGTATGAGTTTGCAGTTAAAGTTACAGAGAAATGAGTTTGCAATTAAAGATACAGTATGGATTTGCAATGATGAATATAGGATAGAGAGTAAAAGACTTGCTCTTTTATAATATATATCTTTGTTGATATACAAGAACCCAGTTGTTTCCAATTGTTGTTTTTGCAGGGATCCTACGTAAATAGAGTGCATTCATTAGTCGGGTCTGCAAATTGACGTAAGAGCACAACAACTGACGCAATCAAATTAACGCAGTGCGCGAGCCATCCTACCAAGCGAAGGATTCAAACACTTGGTTAGCTAATGCCGTGACTAGCAAGAACAATTGCAATGATTTTCTTTGCAGCAACTACAAAGTATGGCATTATATCCTCCCATAGACCCTTTCAAGACTGAGATGCTCTCAGTATCTCCTGTTCATTCCCTTTATGTTGAACAGAGTGGTAACCCCACTGGCAGCCCCATCATCTATGTTCATGGAGGGCCTGGAGGTGGAACCAGTGCTGGTGATCGTCAGTACTTTGATCCTGCTACTTACCGTATCATTGTCTTTGACCAAAGAGGCGCTGGCAAGTCTACTCCCTCTGCTTCTCTAGATGGAAACGATACTTGGTCTCTTGTTGCTGATATCGAAAAGATTAGGTATTACCACCACTGTATTGACCAACTACTGCACTCGTTATTCACTTGTTGCTTTTTAGAGTCCATCTTGGTATTCACAAATGGGTTGTGTTTGGTGGTTCATGGGGCTCTACCCTTGCCCTCACATATGCCGAATCTCATCCCGAGGCTGTCAAGGCTTTGATCCTCAGAGGCATCTTTATGCTGCGTCCTTCTGAAATCAAGTGGTTCTATCAAGAAGGCGCTAGCCATATCTTTCCTGATTTCTGGGACGACTATCTCAATGCTATCCCAAAGGAGGAACATGGCGATCTGGTCACCGCCTACTACAAACGCTTGACTAGCTCTAATGAAATAGAGCGTCTTGCTGCCGCAAAGGCTTGGAGCAAATGGGAGTGTGCTACTTCTAAACTCTTTGTTGGTACGAGTATATTCTTTCCAGCTAATTATTAAACTTTGTACCATGAATGCATGGTGAGATGGATGTAGGTCTGTTTATGATTGCTCCAACTCATTGATCTCTTTTGTTACTGTGGTCTATTACGACTTTTAGATGAGAAGATGATTGCTCAAGCCGAAAATGATATCTGGTCGCTTGCATTTGCTCGTATTGAATGCCACTACTTTGTCAATAATGGCTTCTTTGATTCTGACTCGTGGATTCTTGATAATGTGCACAAGATCAGACATATTCCTTGCGTCATTGTCCAGGGTCGGTACGATGTGGTGTGTCCTATGCGTTCTGCGTGGGATCTCTCTAAAGCTTGGCCTGAAGCTACTTTGCATGTGGTTGCCAATGCTGGCCATTCTGCAAAGGAAAGTGGTACCACCACTAAACTGGTCGAAGCCGCAGATTCTTTCCGTTCTCTCTAGAATATTTAAAACCGACGCATGATGTGTTTGCTGTATTCACATAAATGGGATGCTATCTTGCAGTGATTGTCACGGAAATAAATGATTGAACATTCGTTACGCTTTATTATTGGAAATTAACTAGTAGCATTCTCAATTTCTTTTCCAAATACAACGTCCATCATATGATGCACACAAGCTATAGTTTAACCGAGATTGCCTTTCAACCCTTTCCTTTTCATTCTTGTTGTGCTCCAAAAGATCATGATACGTTTCTGCGCCAATCACTAGGAAAGATATCAATGAATTCAAGTACAATGGTGTCCAGTAAACTCGGCACCAATCATTTCATAAGACCAGCTGTTTATTATACTTTGGTATCCATACTGTGTTCCACAACATATCATACCCATTATTAAACAAAAATCACCAAGCTGGTCCATGGAAGCGGGGAGTATATTTCAAAATAAATAACTATCGTCATTATTTGGCATCTGAGACTCCACCTGAAACCTTGAACTTGTAAAATTCACAAAATGACTGAATTGGCCCGAGTCTGTTTCTTTTAGATTTACATTCTTGGCCTGGAATGTCTCTGTCGCAGAAGCAGCATCCAGTCGCATTCGACTCTGTGCGTGCCCAGCCTTTCCTTTGGCTTTATCTTTTGCAGGGACGCTATGATTCATCATCATTTTCTTGACCGCATCTCTTAGTTCGCGCTCTTCCATCATGCTTTTCCTATCTGTATTGATTCGTTTTTTGGCTGGTTTGTATTCTGCCGAATCCGTTTCTATCATGGCGAGAGTCGGGGATCGCTTAGCTTTTGCTCGAAGAACAAGAATCACTGTCAAGCATATCAACAGCGAAACACCCACCACAACCACACAAACAATCAGTACAACACCACTGGCCGTTCCACCACCTGATACGTCAGTTGTGCCTGAGCTAGCAGTGGATCGATTGGCAAAATAGGTTGATAGGACTGTGAGAAGGCTTGAATCTGTTGCATTAGACTGTGACTCGATGTAGTAATATCCAGTGGTTTTGGGAACTAGTGGTCCGCCAGACCAATATGCCCATCCAAGCCATACATCATTGTTGGTATCAAAATACCGTAGGTACTGGGAAAGCATGGAAACACAGGTCGCATCGTCCCAATTCACGGCTAAAATATTATATGTAGATGCAATAGATTCAATAGATGAATATAAAATTAATTTTACAGACTGCATAGTCAGTTTGGATCTACATATACTCGGCATAAATACGAGTAGTGTGCCTTTAACCTACCAAACGATGATAAAAGTGCTGATCGATTTGACAATCTCAGCCAGTCTGTCATTCCGTCAACCACGGCAGTAGTTTTACCACAGTTCCCGTATGTCGTAACTGTCTCTGATGAAAAATACTGTTGGACATCAAATACATAGTTGGACGCAGTGTCCACAATCTGGTTCATGATATCTCCGTTTTTACATACGCCCTGCCATTGCTCAGCTGTACTGGACTGGCCAGAAGGAATCAAGATCTTGTTGACTGCACCTGCTTGGCGAATTGATGTCACTGCTTTTTGTGCATATGGCAGCCACTAAGCTTACATTAACAAATAGCATATTGCAAAGTAAATATGAATTGTAAAAAACAGGCACATTTCCAGTCTCGGTTGTCCAATCATAAAGTATTCAGTTTCAAATGTTTTATACTTACAGCTACCGAATCGCTACAGTTTCCTGTTTGCATATTTGGGGCATTCATCAAGCCAAACCAGACGGATGAGTTTTGCTGGTAGTATCCGCCCAACCTCCCCCACAGATCTCCAAATGCACCAACATTCGCTCCACCATTGCCAAACGTCACTCCACCAAACGTGGCATTATTATGAACATCAATTACAGCAACCACACCACTGCTCGAGTTGCCCAAAGCCATACCCAAAGCTGTATCCAAGTCTCTCAAATATGTAGCATTTAATGATCCATGAAAAGCCGGCTGGATAGACTCCCACAAGATGGGAATGCGAATTAAGTTGGCTCCTTTGGCAACCAACCGCGTAATTGCCACTTGAGAAAGAGACAGTGGATTCAATGGGTTTTCTAATCCTGATTCGTTTATCCCAGTATAGTTTACACCTTTTCCTGCTACGATATGCATCCCCATAAATGACATTACAATTCTTATAAGTTGCATTTTTGCCTGAATCCGGTTGGAGATACGTGAATTGATAGTACACGCCATTTTTCGAGTTGTTGGATGTTTGATTATTGAATTGAAGCAAGTATCCAGGCAGTTGGAGTTTTGTGTATATTAAATACAAAATGTGGTGTGGTTTGCCAAGATAGGTGTTGGGGTGAAAATGAGATTACAAAGTGTTGAAAGTGCAAATATATCAGCAGAGTAATAAAGCTATTAGCAATCCAAATCAAAAAATGGGTTTTGAAAATAGTCAATTTATACTATAAGTGTAAACGCCAAGCTATTTGGAAATGTTTAGGTCAAGGCAAACTATGCAAGTGATTGTGCATCTCCTTTAACACGCATCCTAAGAAATCAATGCTGGACCGTGTTATAATCAGAGATGTATATTGAACACACCACCTCTAATTGTATTTTATCACTTGCTTTCCTACTTGAGCCATACATTTTAGTCATGAACACAAACAGTCATATGGCCCCTTTCCCCTCGTAACCAACATTAAAAGTTTGTTGTGTCATCAGTTAACAACAATATCTTTAACCACATTGATAAAACATTTCACCAGAATAAAAACATATAGTACTACTATATATGATGCAGTTTAAAAATACAAAGATTCATACATACCGATCGCCATCTGGTCCGATATATGTATTGATGTGACGTGAGCATTGATATTCAAGTACAGTATATATTGAAATTGACCATACACAAATAAAATTTACTATATATGCTATTATTTGCCAAAGTTGCTATATCTAATACTTATTTTTGGGCTAAAAACAAGCAATGTCTTTGTATCTGGTCAACGCGATAATGGTCAATTTGTCACCAAAAAGACTTGTACATGGACCATACGTGACAACATGTTGTATTGTTGCATTCTGCAGTATCACGTTGACTTGGAAAGGTTTACAGTCGTGAAAATGGAGAAATAAATTACAGATTGTCAGCAACCATCCATGTATGTCATGTATTCGAGGTACTCACGTAAATCTCATTCAACACTCTTGTGTGATTGGATTGGGTTGTTACTTTTGCGATTCTTACCATCAAGTCTATAGTGCTCTTTTGAAGCTTAGACAAGCGAGTTTAAAAGAAGTGGGTTTCAGGTTTGTGTCGCCATGAAAAATGATAGATGAAAGGTTTCACATACAGCCTAGACCCGCGCATGATGCAATGTTACAGCCAAGTGTACAAGGCACCCATCAATATATGCATGTTAATGATTTGCGCTTACGTTTGCTGGAGCAGAGTATTTTGGGTGAGTTGTTTCTTGAGATTGTCCATCTCTCGATTTGTCCAATGAGCTGTCCACTCATGCAACTGTGTTGCCAACTTTATTGATGGTGTCAATCTTGATCGTTTTATAGTTGCCAACGCTGTCCTATAGAAGTCTGCATTGTTTCTTATGACAAATGATTTGACATCATTGCTGAAGCCTCAGCACCAACTTTAACAAATATACATTTCGTGTCCCTGCTTCATCCACAAGCGTGCCAAACGATGATTCATCAAATGAAATGGCTTCCACCCATGACTCTGCATCTATCAAGCGTATTCATTGCCAAAAATGCCGTCAGCTTACTATGATCAAATTGCTTAGTCCAAAAGCGTATTTTCTTGGTGTTATTTAAAAATATCGGTGGATTATCTACTGATTTGAATGAGTTATTGGTGAAACTACATCATAAATAGAGATTTTTGGTAGGTTTTGTTGAGAATTTGTACTTATCCTTGAAGATATCTTAAAATTCTATGCCTTATCAAGATATTCTTACACTTTAGTCAGAGCGTTAATCTTTATCTGTTTGATACCTATTCCATTCTATTTTTCAATCTTTTTCGCCAAGTAGAGGTCAATTAATTGCATTGTACATTTGCTTCAAAAAGACATTAAAAAGGGTTTGGTAATTTATGTATCAGCCAGGTGCTAAAATGGCTGTTACAAAGTGATAGAATTCAAATCATGTTTAAAGCTGCCATATATTACTGTTAGGAATATTTGCAAACAACAGTCACTATTATCTACACTGAGCTTTAAACTTAAGTGTATATGTGGATAGATCATCCACGATGACCCACCAATAGTATAAATACTACAGATACGAATAACACGTCGAGAATATTCAAAACCTAAAAATAGTATGAGACATTTAGAGTTTGTATTTATTGTCTGTGCTATTCAAGTATGTAGTGTTGTATGCACTCCAGGTAAGCCATAGAGTCATTGATACTATTGAATCATTTTATTGGATAGAAATGTTTAAATGATACTCGAGCCTTAGAGCATGCAAATACAATTGGTTGCTCTTGAGAATCAAAAATAGATTCAGCAAGAGCTTTCCATGATCCTGTAAAATCAACCACATTTCAATGAGATTCGTAGTTTGATAGTCTTTAATCTTGCAAGACTATGCAATACTATCTATTAAATCTTTGTAATCTGTATACATCTAAATAGCTTCTACAACTGTCTTGTTGCTTGAAAGTATGCAAGCTTCTGCAAATACAACATCAACATCCACTCAATTATTGCCTGTGATCGCCTCTGCCCCTGTAGACATTACGTCAGCTCATGGAAACGCTATACCACCACAAGTAGTAACTGTTCAGTCAAGTACGAGCGACACATCACGCCAAGCATCATCAAGTAATACATATAGCCAGCTTAGTATGGTCATGCTGACCGTGGCTTCAGCTGCCTTGCTTATAGTTATTTCGGTAGTTCTTTGAACTTTCTAAGCACAACCTTGATTATGGTTTACAATATGGCAACACTTGACAGCAATCTGAATTGGACGGTCATATTTTGTAGTATGGGTACGATCTGATGCAACTTTACCGTCGTATTCACGTGGTGGGATACTAAATAAAAGTCAGTATAATAAATAGTCTCATGAAATGATGAGTCGGTTTACTGGATAGCACTGTGCACTTTGAATCACCTAAGGCTGATGATAAAAGGCATGCCATAAAATAAAAAACAGAAATCGCCAGCAATCATCATTCTTGATGTTGTTTTGCAAATATTGGTAGATTGCTCATCTGCTGATTTCGATGACATGATCATCTATTGCTCGTATCTCTTATACTGCGTCAACAACCTGGTTTATTGGCACAGCTACTTTTCTGATCTTTTTGATTCAATATAAACAATATCCCTCATTTGGGCTTGCTTTGACACGACCTTCAACACTTCAATTATATAGTTTCATTAATCTGAAGAAATTGTGCAGTTTTGCAACCAGAGTCTTGGGTTTGAAATGCTGCAACAACAGTCTCATTGATGTCATCAGAATGGTTTTAAAACATGATGAATCGAATGATGGAATATATTGATTATCTATCCATTCACATTTCTTTGTGACTAGCTGTGAGTGATATTTCCGTGGATGTGCAGCAAGTAAAAGTTTTAAAGCCAGGTCTTGAGAATAGATTCTAGCTCAAGCGCATGGATAAAATACACAATATCCATGATTATTAACTAGTACAAATTCAAGGCAAATTTTAAACCGATCGTGGATAGTTGTCAATGAATATATAATTTCCTACTTTGTACTCTATTACAATCTATATTCCACTTATCTTGTTCTTTTAATACAATCACTCGCTCGATATTGAATTTAGTTTGATAATTAGTGTATTTTCAAGCCTAATCAAAGGATTGTCAGATCGTTTGTATCCTTTACTTTAAAGATCTGTTTGTGATTGAATCCTACTTCAGAAATTATAAACATATAAAATGCAATTCACTACTGTGCTTATTATGGTTGGCCTGGCTGGATCTGCATCTGCTAGTAAGTGACTATTAAATCATCAAATCGTGCGATTGAAGAAATTATGCGATGTTGATACTGATTCCAACTATTGATAACATCAGAATGCATGCGACGAGAGTACACATCCTCTGCGGTCTATACTTCGGCGTCATCCACCACAACTAGTAATACTAGTCCGACTACATGTAATAAATCTAAAACTACAAAGAGTCCCATTTACACGTCAAGCGCCGCTTCCACCACTAAGACTACTAGTGAGATCGTTTATTCAAAAACAGCGCCAGCATCTACTAGCAAAGCTGCTTCCTCGAAAACGGTGCCAGCATCTACTACTAGTGAGATCGTTTATTCAAAAACAACATCCACTACTAGCCAAGCTGCTTCCTCGAAAACAGCGCCAGCATCTACTAGCAAAACCGTGTATTCGAAAACGGTGCCAGCATCTACTACTAGCAAAGCTGCTTCCTCGAAAACGGTGCCAGCATCTACTACTAGCAAAGCTGCTTCCTCGAAAACGGTGCCAGCATCCACTACTAGCAAAGCTGCTTCCTCGAAAACAGCGCCTACTACCAAAACCAATGTTTCTACACATATATCTACTAGAACAACTTTATCCACGAAATCGCGGACAGCCATAGCAACCCCAGAGTACATTCCCACGATCTCCGAGACTAAATCGGTAACAACCACGGCCTCTGCACCAGCATACGCTGCAAGCAAAACAACCAAGGCTGGATCAGCAGGATATGCCGCTGTCAACAGTGCTCAAAACATGGATATAACAGGTGTGATGTCTGCTCTGTTTGCTGGCTTCGTAGTGCTACTTGGATTCTGAGCACCATACTAGCAAATAAACAGGAATTAGAAACGCTCTTCACCCTATACATCTTGCCTACAGTTGGTGATAAAAGGCATGATAAAATAAATAAAGTGAAAAATTGTCAACCTTGTTTTGCAAATATCGGTAGATTGTTCATCTGTTGATTTGAATGGCACAAACATGTATTGCTCGTATCTCCTGCACTGCAGCAACAATGTGATTTGTTGGTACGGTCAGTTGCTGAACGACCTGCTGATCCACTTTTTAATAGACAATGTCCATCTTACTATGCCACACAATCAAGCCACGGGCTGAACGAGCCCTTTCTCATTTGGCATAACCATGCATTGTACAATCACCAAGTTTAATACTAGACTTGTTGCAATCCAGATATTGACTCAACTATCGCCAATACAACTCCTATTGTATCTTAAAATCCCAGATACGTTCGCGTTCTAGTTCAAAAAACTGCACTTTCAGGAACTCGAGTGTTTCCATGTCAATCACCCAATGCTATGTTGATTTGAAGGAGAGTTTCAGGTTGAGCAAGTGTATGGTTTATTGGAACAAAGATGTGAATACTGCTTTGAACATTTGGCCAGTTTTCTATACGAAAATGACTAAGAAGCCAGCGGAACTTTGTCAAGGAGTTTAAAAGACACAATACTGCCCCGAGATTGAAACCAAACATTTCATGAGGCTGGCTGCTTTTATCCATTCAGCATCCATATTGTGTTTCATTTCTATGAATACGGCGGTAGTTTTGTGCAGCTATCCATCATGTGCATTCTATACCTTGAAATGCTTATATAGACTTACTAGAACCTTGTTGAACTTTACAGCTCATTGTCATGAAATACCTCTCACAACCTGTACTCGCCACAGTCGTATCCAATATCAATATGCAGTCTAATTCAGCAGTTCTATCAAGTTCTTATGGACCATGTATGACAGATATCAGTCCTGCCCAATACCACATACAAGATACACATACAACTCTCTTTGGGATTCTACCTTCTTCTTGGTCAGTCAGCACGCTTGACCAGGGATCTAGCCAGCATCGATCCAGACTAAATGATATGTTGTGCACTCAATCAAATGCCTCGCTAGTAGATATGCCAGGCATTGAACCAGATTCACAGTTGCTCCAATACCGACAGATCCTGTTGAACGATCCTTCACTAGCACCCGAAGCCGCTTTACAGGTCATTATGAAAAACATTCCATCTCCACCGCCATTGCCAAACAGTAACAGTCAGCGCACATCCAATAGGTCAACCCATCTTTTTTCTTGGATAAAAAGACTTGGTTTTAAACATGCAAAAATATCTCGACATATCAAGTCAGTAGCCAAAAAGGCTTTACATGAAGCCGGACACAAGGAGTTGTCACTACTACTTTCCACCTTATGGAAGTATGCGCATGACATGTCCAACTGGATACTTGCAGCCTGCAAAGCCATTCGTGCTGTCCCATTAGAGTCGCTAGATTTTCAAGGCATCACTATTTGTGATGATATCGAAACGGCATTTGTAAGCTGGTGGATGATTTTCATTCGATTGAAAGTAAAAGTTGAGAGTATCGTTCAAAGAGTTGGAAATGATACATCTATTTTGGATGGAGAGATGACTGCTTTGAAGAGTAATCTGGTCGAGTTTTTTGGCAAGTATGACAACGTGCATGAGACTTTGGAAGAACGCTTGCTTGGCTACATTCAAAAACCGAATCACAATATCAAGATTTTAATGGAAATCACTGCAGATGTCGAGCAGATCAAATCTATAGTTGCCAATCTTCAAGAGGCAGTAAGAAATGCTATGATTACCGAGCCACAGCATGAATTTGACGATCGACAAAAGTCGAGGTTTGTTGAAAGACTAACCAGTATCAAAAAGCTGTTGGATCGCAAAGTTGCAACTGCTACATGAAACCCCATTTTACAGTTTTTCACTAGATCGTGCTCGACTCCCGTTATAATTAGACGGTTCTTGTTCTTTGATTGTAGCGTTTTGATACTCGACATTATCTATGCTATTGTCATATTTAGCGTTGATTCACTATATTAGAAAACACCCTTTGGCAGTCTGTGAATCCGTTTTTACCCCATCAAATCTACACGTATCAACCAAATCTGCTATTCAAATCTTAGAAACCATGGATTTACTGTTACTTAAACCCACACATCTTGCCTACGGCTGATGATAAAAGGCATGCCATAAAATAAAAAACAGAAATCGCCAGCAATCATCATTCTTGATGATGTTGTTTTGCAAATATTGGTAGATTGCTCATCTGCTGATTTCGATGACATGATCATCTATTGCTCGTATCTCTTATACTGCGTCAACAACCTGGTTTATTGGCACAGCTACTTTTCTGATCTTTTTGATTCAATATAAACAATATCCCTCATTTGGGCTTGCTTTGACACGACCTTCAACACTCCAATTATATAGTTTCATTAATCTGAAGAAATTGTGCAGTTTTGCAACCAGAGTCTTGGGTTTGAAATGCTGCAACAACAGTCTCATTGATGTCATCAGAATGTTTTTAAAACATGATGAATCGAATGATGAAATATATTGATTATCTATCCATTCACATTTCTTTGTGACTAGCTGTGATGCATCACTTTTAACGTCGGAAAATGATTTGGTGTGTGCTAGTTTGCTTTTTCTATGCTAGCCATGCGTCCCATTGCATTGGCAATGAATTTTGATTTGCTCAACCTATTAGATGCTTTCAATTCCCGCCAAGACTATTATGAAAGAATTGGTAGCAAGTCTGATGGCTTTAAAAGGCAAACTCTGCCGATATTCATTAAACAAGTCAGACATTGGAAGCTAGTGGCGTTTGAGATTGAGAATCTGCATTTAGATATTCTCATTCCCTCAATTTTGACCAATATTATCTATGATAAATAACTGTGCCATCTAATTGGCACGTAATCAATGCGTTATTTTAAAATGCTTTGAATTTCGGATATATTTTCACCGAAAAAGTAGAAACGAGATATAACATACAAGCATAAAACTGATTAAGATCAGTGATAAAACGAGTCCAAATAACTATACCAGAATTCAAAACCGACCTGTTTTTATCTCCAACTCTAGTCATCTACCTTATCTTTTAACATTTCCCATTATACGTCTACAATGGTCGACTTTTTTGCCGTGTACTTGGTGATCATGTTGGGCGTTGCTACTGTAAAGGCTGTTCCATCACCTAATAAGTCGAATAAAAGCCTTCTTTGCATGGTTGGCTCTCAACGGTGTGTAGCCGACTCCCAATCTGACACAAAAGCACTCTTTGAAACATGTGTCCAGGTAAATTGTGCAAGCACTGGCTTATTTTGTAACAATAATCTTGCACTATTTCACCTACTAAATATTCGAGTTTTGATCCAAATACAGGCTACTCCAGATACAGTTGCATGGGTTACTTTGGCCTGTGGCGAGGGAACCAAGTGTTTTACATACCCAACCAACACAAACTTCGTTTACTGTGGATAGATGGACACTTTTATTGAGCGTCATTATCCATCATAACTTTTATTTATGCGTATTCTTACATTTTATACATTTCAACTCAGTCTTCAAACTACACACGATTGAAGTAGGTTATGCTTATCACATGATAAATAAACTTCATTTCAAATACAGTCATATCTAGTTGATTTTTAGATTCGTTGTACGGGAAGTTGATTGAGAAATCTATAGCCATGTAAGTAGTATAGATAAGGCACCGAATGATACCAGGTATTTTAGCCAATATCTCATAGTAAAACCTAATGAGAGTTGTTAAAATGATAAATGTCTGTGGCATCAACTTTGGTAAAATTATTAGGGATTCAATGGCCAAAATGGTGGTTTATTGTCAGTGCTAAATTCATACAAATATCTGATATTCTTGTTCAATCCAATGGAATTTGCTCTATATTCAAACAATTCAAATTCAATTAAATCAGAATTTAATTACGATAATAAGTATATATGGAAGGTAGATTATATTGTGATAAACTTTTGTGGTGTTGAATGTTTTTTTACCTTTTTAAAATGAAATGGCGTCAAGAAGAAAACAGCTCAAGGAAGTGAAAGCTGCTCTTGCTGCTCTACAGGAGGAACTTCTGGGAGCAAAAGAAGAAAGTAAACAGAGCAGAGGAAAGGTTGGAGAATGCTATTCTGGAGGAAAAAGCAGACTCTATTCTTGCCGGCTTAAAAAGCCTTTACGACGGTGCGTCAGCCAACCTCACTGGTCTCCAGAGAGAGAAGGAGAAGCTGCTGGAAGAGAAGAATATTCTCATCCGCTCTTACTCCTCTAGTGACGAGGAAACTCGAGAAATCTCACCTGTTTCTGATGGTTCACTCAAGCAGCAAGAAATTGACAGTACTATTGAAAAGACAAAAAAGTATCTCTTCAGAACTGAAAGATGGGGATGTGTTACAATCATCAAAAAGAGAACAGCCATTACTTTTGCTCACAATGAACATCGCACTTTGGAGGTTGGAAACATTATCAAAACTTTCTCTATTGAAAAAGATTCTCAATACGATTTAAAGGTCCGTAAAGTCAATATCGAAAGTGACTGGGTTCTATTGGAAGCAGACGTTGATTTGTGCGAGGAGGGGCCAATTTAGGAACCTGTTGTTTATGGACGTCGGTATGTTCAGCTAGGCCTTTCTGCTCCTCATCAAGAAGATTCTCCATTTGCCATTTCAACCGGAGTGATTCACTCACAGCGTCCGAATATGTTTGGCCACACTCTTGGGTCGGTGGGAGTGAATCCTGGTGATTCTGGTGGCGGTTGCTTTAATCAATCATCTGGCTGTTTGGTTGGAATCAATGTTGGGTGCGAGAATGTTCCTATCAGTCTAGAGAAGGATACTGGTGCTCAGATATATGACAAAATCTCGTCGAGATATGCTGCCAGAGCTCATATTATCCCCATCGATAGCTTCCAGTTTGTTTAATAAATAGTTTCAATTTCTTTTACTTACTGCCATATTTATACTTTAGATCTGATTCCTTTCGCATTGTTTTCTCATACAACACATCCATCTTATTACCAGTCAACGGATTGATGTTATTTAAGCTATAACATTTCAGACATCCGTGAAATAAACATCCGTTGAATTCATAAACAGTATTGCTTTCTTGGTCATAACCATCGACATTGTATCTTCCAATATTTTTGTTTTGTTCAAGACTCCTCCCCAACTCATCATCAATTGAACGAATCCATAGTTTCTCGCTCTTGGAAATATCGCCTTGCTTCTTTGAATGTTTTGCTAAAACTTGTGGTAGATATTTCTTGATGACATTCAAACCATATGAGCTAGAGTTAAATCTGTAGACAGGCATATCATCCAACCAATTCAACAAATCTTTCCTCAACATTTTATCTTTTCATCATCAATTTTGGCAATCTGTTTGAAAAATACACAATAGTTTGGATACAACATGTGAAGATATTTCTTTCTTATTTCATTCATCTTAATAATCATAATATTCAATGCCTCTGTAGTTGTTCCTTCTACTGGAATAAATTCAGGTTTCTCTTCCTCACTGCCCATAAGACTAATACTCAGCAATTCGTGTGTTCCAAGATACTGTAGTTTTGTATCAGATTTTGATTCATTTGGCCTTAACCAGGTCTCAACATCATAGAAAATAAAGTAAGGATGAAATCGCAACTCTTTTGAAACAAGTATACCGTTTACTTTCAGCTTTTCAAAAACAGATGGTGTAGACTTATAATCCCCTTCCTCAAAGACTATCTTTGGATTACTTTTATTACAGATTAAAGAATGCCTACTCATCTTTTAGCTTCACTGAGAAAAGTACTACATTCAGGACACTGGAATGTTTTGGATAATATATTGATGGTTTTGATGTAGAAAAAGTGATTGATTTGCTTATCAGTATACAAATTTAAATTGAGAATATCACTCAATTGCTTATTCGAATGTCGTAGCAAGATAGCTTTCTTTTCTGTGGTACTGTAGATATTGATTTTGATGGAAAAATAATTCTCGATAGACTCAAGCTCTGCTTCGTCCACGCCTTGATAATTATTGAAACTCTTTTTGTAGTATTCTTCAAAGAGTTCTTTAGCAATACTTGAAAATCTGTCCAATCTGTTTTGGATGTCTGTGATGAGCTAAACAATACCAGAAACAAAGATTATTTGGCACATTCTCAAATGAAATGATACTTTTACTGTTCTTGATAAACACTGGAAATGAAATTGAAGCTCCAATTGGGATGTCGGGGATGGATGTCGTTAGAATCACATATTCGTAAATTCTCAATAGAATATTTTGAATTTAGTCTTTTCAACCGTTCAATAATAGTATCTTGCTCCATTTGGTCCAAAATAGCATTAATACCATTATTTATCATTGGAATTTCATCATTGAAAAACGATGTATTCTCTGATGGATAGAAATCAGTTATTTCATTATTCTCTACATTTCTTAGCATATACCCAAACTGAATATCCAACCAATATCCTAGTTTTTGGTTTACGTGATTGTTTAATATTATTTGTTTTAATTCTTCTAATCCCGTATACATTTCTCTATTCCATTGAACAGTTTTTGATTTTGGCTGGAATGGATGTTTATCGACATAAGCACTGTATTTGCGTTTAATCTTTGCTGCTTGTTTCTTTTTATCCTCTTAAAGTTGGATGAAAGTGTTGTACACTTTGGTTCCAGATATCCCACTTATAAATCCTTGAATTTTCTTTCTAAAACAAAGTTTTACCCTTTTGATGACTTTAAACTGTATATTCGTCATTATCGCAATCATTTTCTTTATATTTGTCTTGTTTTCTTCCTAATGGTAGCAGGAAATCAACAAAATAATTTAATTCATTTAATTCATATTTCACATTGTACAATCCAACAGGGTTTTCATTTAAAGCAGAACCATTTTCATCCATAACACTCGATATTTTCAATGAAATTGTTTATTATTACGAAATAAAATTCAATTTATTCTAAATTCAAAAAATTAATTTCTTGGATTAGGTTAAAACAAATGACATTGAACATCCCAAGTACCACTCTAAGAGCCAAATATCCAAAAACTTACCGATTAACACTGTTTATACTGACCCAAAAAACGGTCAAAACTACAAGGTTGTTGAACGAAAACTAAACAATAGTCTGATCAAAGTGGCAGAACATTACTTGGGAAATGACATTAAACCTATTGTGCTCGAGAATATCCCCAAAGAAATGCTAAAGATTGATAATCCTGTGAAATCAAATCCAAACAAACTCTTGAAATCAAAAATCCAATCTCTTGAAGATAAATGTCGTGCATTGCTTCAAAATCAATACAAGTCTCTGTATCATCGTATCAAAGAATTATTGGATGACAGTTACCACGAAACATCAGATACCATTTATCTTCTTCATTCTGGATTGGTTCTTTCATTCAAGAAAGCTCATTATCCAACGATGGCTTTGGTTCTAAGTGCTGTAGACAAAATGGTCCATAACATATTTAGCGACATCGAAATACTTTCCAAAGTAATGGAAAAACAACATAAACTTCAACAGAAACTATATCGGATGATTATGAACAACAACAATAACTCTGATGAAACAAAAGAGATTATCTTATAATTCATCGGATAAGAAGTTCCTGTAAACTACTCATCTTCAACATCACTGACTCTTGTATCCAGTAGTTCGAAAAATATATCCACTCCATCCTGCTCTCTATCTTCAGAATTAGTTCTTGAACAAATAAGCAAGTCAATGGATTCAATAGGTATAGTAGGCTTCAACGCTTCAGAATCATTTGGTTTCATTGATATAGTTGTGTATTTGTCAAAGCACTTACTTTCATTTGGCATCCAGTAAATAATATCTGTGTGTGGAATCTTTATTCAATTGGAATATTTCAATTTCATAATTACTCCCACTCCTTTCGAATATTATCACCTGGCCGTTTCGTAGAACAATAAATGACTTTTTGATTGCATTCATTTGTATTTGAAAGCCTTTGCTTGAATTGCGGCAGTATTCTGACATAGTTGATGAACCATTATTCGGTTCACCTTCTGTAACCCAAGTTATTTGACATTCTTTAAAATGCTCATTGATTGAGGTTTTCGATACCTTGTCATCGCAAAATCGACACTGATAGCTTGAAACGACAATCATTTTTGTGTTCATCATCCCAAGGAAATAACAATAACGTACATCCCGGATGACAACAGTCTTTCATCTGATTTTTGACAGTTTTCTCTAAAAACTTGTTATGAAATATTCTGCTAGTTTGACACTGGGGACAGTAACCTTTTCTGTCACATTTCTTAAAGCACATCAAACAAACAAAATGTAGCGCATTGAAACACTGAATTAATGGTGTGGTAATAGCTGAATAGCATATTGGACAAGTTGTGTTTTCACTGTTCATTCGAAAGGTGACATCAATTTCAGTCATAAATGGTTATACATTAATGAATGAAAATAATTAATTGGAATTTGTTTAAATTTGATGAAAATGTTGGGAAATAGACAGATTCTAATTGTGAATATCCAAAAACTTTCAAATGCTATTCATTATTGTAGTTGCGATGTTTTTCAGCTGAAATCCTCGACTGCTTTCTCTACAAGTTGGACAAGTTGAGTTCCTGGTAGTGAGCCATTCGGATATACAAGTTGTATGATATTGGTGGTGACAATTTAAAACTGATATGCGAGCACTTTCTTGGAAATTTTATCTACAAATGGGACAGATTTGTTGTGGAAATCAGCCTGCTTGAAATTATACCAATGGCTAGACTTTTGAAATTCCGGAATAGTCATTAACACACTTTCATCTTCTGAATCTGTATCACTGACATTGATTTCTTTCTCGCCGTGGTCGTAATTCATGCCTTTGACTGTTCCAAGTTATGATACAATGTTGGTTCAGTCAGCCAAAAGTATTTTGAGCATTTGTCTGTTGGAGGAACATTGGCGCACTCTTGACTATCAGAATCTTGGGGATACGGTCTTTTAACATATTAAAAGTCAGTGTACAGTGCTTAAATCTGGGACATTTTGATACCAACTTATAGTATAGACGATAGCGAGCAAAAATCCTAAAAGAATTAGTCAATTCTATAGATTTTTGTAATTTCCCTAGTAGAGGAATATTATTTTGTGGTGTCACTTACTTTTTAGATATGGAAAAGTCTTTTAGCAGCATTCTATCAAACATTTCAATTTCAATCCGCTCCTTTAGCTTTACTAGTTTCTCTGCTACCACAAAATGATGGAGATTTGCTCTCGATTCATTTTCATAGGCCAGATAAAGATTCTCTTTGATATCAATACAGAGTTTAGCAAGTAGCTCTTGATCTTCTGTTGGTTGTTCTTTAAGCAATTCATTGTATTGAGCTGTAGCAAATACTGGTTGAGGGACTGGTCGATTATCACTGTATCGCTGGTACTTTCGCTGCTCTGCGAATGTTCGTAAGAGCCTCTGTACATCTTCAAATTCATTCACTCGAGTTTCTGTTGATTGTCTCCTATTAGTAGTTCTTGGTGTTTGGTATGAATCACTGGAATCAGTGGAATCCATTCTCCGTCTTCTATTTGGGACAAGTTCATTTTGTTGTTCATCACCTTCTTGTTGATTGTTTTCAATTGGTATGGTCATATCCAAATCATTTGTATCGGGATGAGGCAAGTCAGGTCCAGATGACAAAGGAACAGCTTGAGTAATTGGAGGACTACGTTCTTGTAAACTGGATAGATTAAATCCAGACCAAGGAAAAGTACAGGTTGTTTGATGATTGTTAATAGCAGGAATGGTCAACAATTGTTTTTTTGCTGTGGTTGAAAGGGAATTGTACTGAAGCATAAATTGTTCTGCTGTCATCACATCTAATTCTCTACACCAATTCATTAGTTTAGCAGCAGGTCGTCATTTCATAGTCGTAGTCGGACTCCATTTTTATCAAGAAGTTAGTCGTGGATATACCAAGACAATGAAATTCATATTTCAAATATGGATATGATAAGAATCCCCCATTAAGCATCAAGTATGAATTTGGAACAGAGACTCCTAATATAACTAATGAACTTCCCATTATTCTGTTTTAAGCTTTCTGACCCAGATTGTGGCGGTGTTTTCACAGAATGAGGTTTCATATTTCTTTCCTAAAATAAAATGGACTTTTCACAAACAAGACTGTTGCTCCAGCAAAATTACAACATTAACAGTGAATGCATCCCACGGCAAAGGGAGAAGTCGAAATGGAACCCCGAAAACAACTTTGGTTTCTTGCTGGGAGTAATTGCTTTTGGAATGGCTACTCACAGAACTCAACTCCACAGCTTACTGGTTTCTAGGCAATTTAAAGACCAAGAAAACGCTTTTATCGACTCAATGTTTGACTATTATATTCGGCCTTTTCACAAGAGCTACATTACTGATTCAGAAATCTGCCATACTCCCTTTGCAGTTTCTTCAGGGACTCCATCAAGAACTAATTCTGCAGAAGATTTAGGTGGTGTGCCAGAAGGAAAGGAGTTGCTCCACAAGGATTTGAAAAAGGCTGTGGTCAAGAGGGATGTTGTTTGCTTGTTTTGTTGGAACCGAAAATCTCTTACAGGGTCTCATATTATTGCTCAAAATAATGTCCCAATGGCTTATGACGAAGATTCCCTATTCAAACGAGCTGGAATAACACAAAAACACCAAGTGCAAAATGGGTTGCTGTTATGCAGAAATTGTCACGATGAATTTGATTTGTTGAAGCAATATGTGGACGTTGCTGATGATAAGCTTGTGGTCAAGGTGATCAACGAGACAAATGATGAAACTAGCGATAAGCACAAGGAATGGAAGGACACTGTTAGGATGCTCAAGTTGGTCCGTTCTGGCTGGCAGGAAAATTGGACTGATATTGATGACCGACAATCAATGGAATCCAATGGAGAAATGGCGTTGTATTTCGTCCAAAACAACCCAACCGAATTACCAAACAGAAACGCTTTGGAATTCCACAAGACAGCCTGTATGATTTGGAGAATGGCTGGCGGTGCCGAAACAGATGATGAATACTGTTCGGATGATGATGATTTGGTTCCAGTAGACACTGCTGCGTTGAAAAGACGGTTTAAACTCCAAGATTCAGACGAAACTCTAAATATCGTTTCTTGACTTTTAATAAATGTAATGCTGTTTATATTGTATAATTTTAGTAAATACGATGCCGTCGCTATTTAATATGAATCAAGTTAAATGAGTTTGACACAGAGACCTCCTAATATTTCAAACTAATGAACTTCCCATTATTCTGTTTTAAGCTTTCTGATCGAGATTCTATCTCAGATAAATGGTTGTTTTTACAACTTTGGACCTGTGACTGTCGTTTAAGAAAACTGAAGAAGCAATCTCAATGAAAGGAGCACTTAGTATGAGTCTGGCACAATAATGTCCACTAATCTTTGCTCATACAACTGCCCTAATGACTCAAATCAAAGTTGATGCCACAGGCAATATTCATTTCAACAACATTCCCTAGGTTTTACTATGAGATATAGGCTAAAATACCTGATATCATTTGGTGCCTTATCTATACTACTACTATTGATTGGCAATACCTATTAAGCACTAATAAAAGTACTATGACCCAAGCCCATCTAGCACCTTTATTCGGACATAAAATCTTATTTTCTTGTCAGTTGGCTAGCTCAAACTAATGGTATTTTCAAGCTTTGATTATTCAAGCTAGGCAACTATTCAAACAAGTCCATCAAACGCTTTGAAAACCCCATTCATCAGGGTATTCATCACCGTATTCACGTAAATGGGGCACTTGTATCTTACACTGACAGCTTTACTTTGAGATAGATAATGGTGAATATTTGTTGCACTTGCTAAAATTGGCTGCTTATTCAATCAACACAACACCCATCATATGGATGCACACAACCAAACTATAGTTTGGACCCATTTTTTTCTCTTATGGCATGGCCATACATTGTATGATCATTAAATTTATCCATATATTGAGTTTGTTTTCAAATTCTATACAAACTCGTATTTCTCGTGTCCTAAATATCAGATACGTTTGTGTTCTAGTTCAAAAAGGCAAGATCGCAGTCTTGGAAATGTAGCAGTTGTTTCCATGCCAATCGCGCAATATTATAATGTCCATTTTGGAGGAAAGGCGGTCGGAGATTGAACAAATGAAGGATCTACTGAAACTTCAATGTGAACATTCATTCAGTTTTCTATACAAAAATACGCACAGACCGGTCAACCAAAGAGTTCAGATAGTATAACGTTGTCCAGTAAATCGACACTCATTATTTCATGAAATAGGCTGCTTATGATACATTCCGACTTATTTAGTGGCTCATTTTATGTGAATATGTGGTGGCTTCAATGATGAGTCAGTGGGATTCAATTACAAAAACATGCTGCCTAATCAGAATGATTACGGGCTAGATAGCCTTATCATAGGCTCGACTGTGACTTGAATCAAGTCTATCTGTCCTTGTCTTGGTTAGAACCTGACTAGGTCACTGCCATGTCCAATCGAAACAATTTCTTTGAAAAGCTATATACTGGATAGTTGATGTCAAATTATCCAATATATGTACATCGGAATTGGATATAGCATGATATGCTTTGTCTTGTCGAGTTTTCGAGTTTACATTGCTTAACATGGCTTCATCATGTTATCCATCAGATTATTTGATAGTAGCTAGTACCCAATCAACCTGATATATCCATAATTGTGTAAACGGGTAATTGACAACCAGCTAATTTTAATTGATAATTAAAAAGTCCGCTCTAGTTGCATATGACTGAACTTAAACATCTCAAGCCACATGATAATTATCTGAAAGAAAGCAGACCTAGAATTTAGTTTTTACAAAGCCTGCTAGCAAATAAACATTATTATTTCCACTGCTTGTGATTTTAGATATGCTATTGTATCTATAGTGGGTTATATAGCGAGATTGATGGGTATATAAGGGGAGAATAAAAATTAGTATTCATTCAACTTGTCTGAATCAGTCACATACAAGACACACTTAGTTTCTAATACAGTCTCAAGACTACATCCAAACACCCCAGCATGCATACTAATAAGCTTTACTCGTTTGTTTTAAACACTTTGGCTTTTGTAGCTGTTCAAGCTCTACCCCAATCAACCACTACACCAAGTGAATGCACTCTTGGAAACCAGCGTTGTTTGATCGATGCTTCGACCAACAGTAGCACGTCGTATGAAATCTGCTCGCAAGATACCATCACCACCACCAAGTGGATTCATTACAATTGCACAGGCAATTCGCTTTGTGAAGTGTATCCAACCTCGGACAATTTTATTATCTGCGTACCTCAAGGAAATGCTACTGCCACTGAAACTGGAACTGGAACTATTTGGGCTACAACTACTGCCACTCCCTTTTCTATTTCCATATCTATTTCAGTCTCTCCAAGTCCAAGTCCAGTTCCTTGGCCAAGCCCATCACCTTGGCCGAGCCCATCACCCTCTCCAAGTCCAGTTCCTTCGTCAAGCCCAGTTCCTTGGCCAAGCCCATCGCCTTGGCCGAGTCCATCACCCTCTCCAAGTCCAGTTCCTTGGCCGAGTCCATCACCTTTTCCAAGTCCAAGTCCAGTGCCTTGGCCGAGTCCATCACCTTTTCCAAGTGTATTTCCTTCGCCAAGCCCAAGCCCAGTCGTACCTGAGCCTATGTGTATATTAGGTCATCAGCGTTGCATCCAGAATCAGACGACACATGTGTTTGATACGTATCAAATCTGTGGGCAAGATACACTCACTACAACACAGTGGTTTGGTCATGCATGTGCAGCTGGATCTCACTGCGAAGTATACCCTACTAGTGAAAATTACATCATCTGTGTTCTCGATGCTGTTACACCTGTACCTGATCACACTACTACTCAAGCTCCAGTAGTATCTACTACACCCAACTCTTCAGTATGCATACTCGGAACAGAAAAATGCGTTGTAGATCCAGTGACAGGATTAAGTAGCAGTTTTGACGAGTGCTATCAGTCGACATCCGACTCTACTGCATGGACACTAAAGCAGTGCGGTGAAGGTACTTTTTGTCATGTACACAACCTGAGTGCAAATCGAGTGTTGTGTTACTGAGCCTGTCAACACTTTCAGCATAGATAGTTTAAATTGATTCTCCATTATTTATTTGAATCTTATCCGAGAAATGAACATATTTTATCTATTTTCAGTCGTATTCACAAAATGAGAACATTTTTATTTATTTTGCATTGATTGCCTGGAATAAACAATGAATACTTGCTGAACTTTTCTACTAGTCGATTACGTATTCAACAACACAAAACTATAGTTTTGAGCTTATTCTTTTTCTCTTGCTTTGACATACATTATACAACCACCAGATCTTTAATTGGACTGGTTCTAAACTCATTTTGTATTATAAACTATACGATACATTCTAGTCCAAGAATGACTATTTTTGGAATGAGACAGCAATTTACATGACAATAAACAAGAGAAGCTCGAGTGAATCCATGAAACTGTCAGTTGACTTGAGCCGTTCATTTCATACAAATAAACTGAGTGATAAAAAAAAAGTGGAAAGTTGATATTTCACGTGGTGCGCATTTGCATCCACACCTCGCGTCGTAAGATTTCTTGATTTTTGATGCTTTGTCAATTGGTAAAGCAGGTTATCACAGGAATCTAAGACTGGAATACTGCAACTATTAAAGCTACTGCCAGTATTTATTGATTTCAATTCGGTTGTCTATTCAAATGGCCTTCACTATTGACAATATGAATGCTGCTCCTACCTCGGTTGTCCAATCTGCCACTGCAAATACCGTCACCACTAATAATCTATCTACAACAACCACTGCAGCCATTCATAACGACGATCCATGCATTGATACAGTCAGAGCTCTATATGACTATCTTGCTTCGGATCCCACATGCCTTTCACTCAAACAGGGTGATGTGATCCATGTGCATTTCAAAGACCCTTCTGGTTGGTGGGAAGGTACTTTGGGCTCCAAAAAAGGTATAATGGCTACTGGCTGCTCTTGTTTCTACTAGTTATACATCATGCAGTTGGCACTTGTGAATCGCATGTACTTTCTATTCGCATGTCTATCTAATCGAAATATAAAAATTGCTTGAGTGGCAATCCGTATTGCCACCCATTGCCCATCACCATTGCTGCTCTTTTAACAAGCCATGCACCTCTCGTCTGCAGCTAATTCTAAATTACAAGTTAATCAACCATTTGTCTTGATATGTCAATGGGTTTTGCAGGACTGGCATCTTGTAATTGATACATTGATGATTCAAATCGCTATGGATTTAAAAGAATCTAGTCTTTTATATTTCATTACAATGTTGATTGTCACTAGTAATGCACTGGATGGATTGTAAGAATGCAATCCATACATCACACATTCAATTGGATTTGGAATTTGATATGCTGCAATGTGAGGTTTAAACATGACGGCTAATCGGATTGGATGAGTTGGAGTAAAGGCTAGATCACCCTAATATTCTTACTCGACCATATTTATATCTTGATGATGAACTTGTTACTTTTTGCCAAGTTTACTACCCTTCAATTCACAATTTATTCAGATTGTTGCACTGAATCTGAATCCTTGAATCCTATGCTTCATCAGCTCTCTGTATTGTTTTCCATCTTATTTATTTGAATTGCTTTACACCACTTTGTTGATTTTAGGTTGGTTTCCATCAAACTACATTGAGCCTATACAAGAGGTACCAACTTGATTGTTTTTGCATGCTTTAAATATTTGACAAGTGTAGTGGTATATCTATACATTTTGTTCTTATAAACTGTATTGTATTTTGAAACTCATAGATTCTAACTGATTATTAATATTTGAATAGCAACTCGTACCACCTTCACCACTTAATGCTACCCATCCACACTCTTTTTCACGTAAATCCAGTCTTGAACAATTATCCACAACCGCCACTAATGCTAATCTCAGCATTGGCCGGAAACGGAGCGGATCATTGGCAAATGCACGCATCCAGATTGATGCTCTTACCAACACATTAGAGCATGTGATGGGAAATAAGAATGCCTTTGATGATCACTGTGTCTCCACTGCTTCTACAGATAGCATGCACACTCTGAAACAACCGGATATTGCTCTTTCAGAAAAAGTCATGAGTGATGGCTCAGATAATACGGATTCAATTGCCATAAATACTCAATCTACTACTTTTAGTGATGCAAATATTAATGGCAATTCACCATCACATGGAGAGGAATTGGAAAATCCGTCAGGTTTAAATCGGGTTACACAAAGCTTAGATTTGCCACATTTTTGGCACAGGAAAACCAATCCTACCAATGGGCAGACCTATTTTTTCAACACTCACACAAACCAGACAACCTACAATATTGAGGATGTAAAAAAGGCTGTAAGTATCGACTATTTTATGATATTTCTTTGATCAAATGAGAATCAGGTCTATGTATCTGCGAAGCTGAATCGTCAAACATTAATTTACCAACATTTTTTATATATATGAATGTATTTAGACGCCACGGAGACGTAGTCTTATTTACCAGGATAACAAATTTGTTGCTAGTCAAGAAAAGGCTCTTCCTGTGTTTGTAAAGCCCTCCAACGTTCCCGATTGGGGATCGGAAAGTCTGGTTGATTCATCAGTCACAATTAGCTGGGAACTACTGATTAACAACATCCTTAAATCCATTGCCGATCTCAACTATTTTGCAAAAAACCAAATCAAGTCTCGCTATGTCGAACAAACCTATCAGATTGTTCGTGCCATTCGCGATATGCTTGCTAGCTCTGGGACTATTTCCACCGAGTCAGAGCTCATGAAAGTACATCCAGGGTTGGCTTCTCACCATAGTGAAATCATGAGCACACTATCCAAACTAGTATTGGCCTCGAAAGTTGCTTCTGGCTTATGGCCTCCACCCGATTCTGCTAATCGGATGCGACAACAGGCAGGCCAGGTTCTTTTATCTGTTCGCCATTTTGTTGCTGTTGCACAGGATACTGCGCTTAAACTCTCCCATGCACCCAAGGAACTTCTTACTACGTTTGATATCAAGGGTGGAGCATTATCTGATCAAGAACTTGTTGGCAAGCTCGACAACTACTCCAAATTGATTATGGATAAGCTTGCAGCTTTAGTGACACAGATTACATCTGCCAGTAAATCCGAGTCGACCGATTTTGTTCTTGCCGTGCGTGAATGTGTAACACACATTGGAGAGCTATTGTCAATTATAGAAGATTTTCGTATTGATTTCCACGACGATCCAGATCGACTGGTGGATGGATTGGTTCAGGCCAAAGAGCGTGTTTACATGTGTGTGACTGAGCTGGTCAACCAGGCTACTGTGAATAATGGAACATTTACACCTTCCGATGCTCTTGCATCAATACTGGAGTCTACTAGTCAAGTGATGATTGCAGTTGAAAATATACTGATTGCATCTAAATTGGTGATTGATCGTAAAGATGAATTGGGTACTTTGGAGTGGCAGCCTGTTGAATCTGCTCAAACGGCTATTGGTATTGGACATGCACCTACTAGAAAACACAACCGACTGAGTAATGACAGCGCAGGTACAGGTGCCGATCGCAATCCAGACTTGGTCAATCTTCAACGCCGAACACTATCCATGACACTTATGCTGAATTCCAGTGAACGACTGTCTACCTCTTCAACAAAAGTCACTCAGCCACCCTCTACGACTGATTTGACGCAGCCAACCACAGTTTCTCATGGAATGCCCCACCCTATGCTTGGCGAAATTGATAGATCATTTTCTGCAAGCGATTCCAATTTAGTTACAAATCAACTGATCAAACAGCAGCATCACTTTCATCAAGCTACTCAGCATAATCAATCTCAACAACCCCACCCTCATTCTTCATATATCACGCCGCTTCCTCGAAAGCAGTCTATTATTGCTTCTCATGCTCGAATGAGTAGTGGAAATGGCACATTTCACGCTTCCAACCCTCAATATCTCTCGAATCCATCACTGGCTTTGCATAGTCAGTCTAATCGAGACTCCTCAAGTGTACAATCCTCTATGCATGGCAGCTCTGTACCTGACCGCTATTCTGCCAACAGTTCTCACTTTAATGGTGCTTATGATTTTGAAGAAGACCATCCTCGTGTCAAATCATTCGAGAGTGGACAGCTGAAACTGAAAAAGTTTTTTGGAGATGGGGATGTTCCAATCAATGTGCCTACTCGCATATCGGCTGACAACCTTCGTCCTTTTTTTCTCAACAAGGAGTATCGCCACGAAGACATTACATTCAACATGGAAGGTGCGGTCAATGGCGGCACGTTTGATGCACTGGTTGAGCGACTTACACTACACGATCAGCCTGTTGATCCAGGATTTGCAAATGCGTTTTTACTCACGTTTCACTTGTTTGCCACATCCGAGCAGCTGTTTAATGCACTTACTGCTCGATTCAACATGTCTCCTCCACCTGGTTTGAAAGATCACGAAGTCAAGATGTGGATTGACAAGAAACTTGTTCCCATTCAAATCCGCGTCTCGAATGCATTCAAAACGTGGCTGGAAAGCCATTGGATTGAAGCAGATGATGATGCATGTCTAGACCGTCTCTACCAGTTTGCATCTACAGTCATGTCACAAACCCATGCACCACTTGCCACTCGACTTATGGACTTGGTAACGAAAAAGATCAATGTGGATGTATTGAATCACAATACAATTTCGACACCCAAATTCAAGCGACTGGCAGTCCGTTCAGAAGATATTCCACAGCCTATTCTTCCGCGCAACATGAAACGGTTTTCGCTTTTGGATATTGATCCTATCGAGGTTGCTCGGCAATTAACTCTCATTGAGAGTCAAATGTATGCTCGTATTAAACCGTTTGAACTCATGAAGCAAGAGTGGGCCAAAAAGAAGCTTTCCACCGCTGTTAATGTTCGAGCCATGTCACAGCTCAGTACTCGTATTGCTGGATGGGTGGTTGCTACTATTCTTTCAGATCCAGATACTAAACGGCGATCGCAAATTATCAAATACTTTATCAAAGTAGCGGACAACTGTCTTGAAATGTACAACTTTAATTCACTCATGGCGATCCAAACAGGTCTAAACTCATCTACCATTGCTCGTTTGAAAAAAACATGGGATGCATTATCTGCCAAAACCAAAACCATGTTTCAAAATATACAGCGAGTGACCAATCACGGGAGAAACTACTACGAATACCGAGCTCTATTGAAGCGTGCTCCTTTACCTTCACTTCCATTTGTAGGTCTCTTTCTGACTGACTTGACATTTACTGATGACGGCAATCCCAACAGGCGAAATGACGGACGATTGATTAATTTTGACAAGTATGCAAAAACTGCAAAAATCATACAAGATCTCCAACGGTTTCAACTTCCTTTTGTGTTTATCGATGTAGCAGAGCTACAGCAGTATTTGTTGGAATGCATCAGTCGCGAAGGTCAAAGAGATGCACAAGAACTGTATGAAATCTCCTTGGCATATGAACCTAGAGACCATGACTATAGCGGTCCTCCTGGCGGCGGCGGGCCGCCTTCTGCTACCCTAAGCTCTGGAAGCGCTAGTATTTCTATGGATGATCCTTTAAAGGATATGGCGAATAAGATTCGCATGTTGGAAAAAGCTGGTATGCTTTAAAGATGTGGGTGGTGGACTGGCCACCATTCATTTAATTGTTTTGAAATAAGTTGTGATCAGATTTTAATACATGCATTTTATTGAGGGTTAATAGATGTAATTTACTGTCTAATTGATTTGTTTCTATAATGGGTTAAAGGTTTGATAATCAACTGTACATCTAGCAAATCATCTTTCCAGATCGAGTCATGCGTAATGGTTGGGAATGACTTGACTAATAATGTAGTGGCTAGAATTCCTAAACATTTGAATGGTATCATGTATATTAAAAGTGTGTGTTACCACTGCAGGCCAATAATGATGGAGTAATTCCACAAAGTGGTATACGTGTGTCTATGATTGTGTACAACACAAAATAGTGAGTATAGTTTGATACTTGTGTAACTGCAACTCGCCCATTTCAAAACCTTGCAACTTTCTTATCACTTTAGATTAAACCGTTTAGATTATTCAACATGAAGAGCGATGCTTTTGCATTTATTTCGATGCTGGTCATTGCTTCCCATGCTAAGATCATCTCAAGTAATATCGACAGTGCTACAACTCAATTGCAAAAGAGGCAGGTTAAACCTAATTTCAAACTCTTGCTTGGCAAAATCAAAGGCTCTAAAAAGACTGGCACTCCAGAGAAAAAGTCAAGACTCGTATTATTAAAAAAGCTAAAACCAAAAAAACCAGGGTTGGTTAAAGATCCTAACCAAAAGAGCAATCCTAAACCATTGAAAAAGTCCAGTTTTTTCAACAAAAGTAGTCCACGAAGGTTGTCAGTACGTTCGCGTGCGCCTACACCAACACCTTAAAACAATGGTGATTCTAGTGCCAACATTAAAGATTCTTAAACATCACTGCACCATCTTGAAAATCTCCAGTCGTATTCACATAAATAATAACATTATCCTGCATTGACTATTTTAGAATAAATCATGATTGAATAGTCGTTACATTTTTCTATTAAAAATTGATTATTTGTTGGATAAACATCGTGTCGGGTATCGCATGCTGTACAAACCCTATTTTATTAAACTTTAGCAGAGTTTAAGAATGGACGGTATGAGTTCTGTGACATTGTTAAAGGATTGACAGATTGTGACAAATGAAAATGAGTAGCAAAACTACTCATTTTAAAAGACATTCAGTAAGATTGACACCTTCAATAGTCTTGCGTGAATACAACAGTATTATGTTGAGATAAATACGATATTCCATCACAAAATAGTTTAAAGAATCGATGATAAGCAATATATTTATTTGATACTGACTCAACCATCCTTCGCAGTTGCTTACAAACACGCTATATTGATTGTAATCAAGACATGCAGCGTGTTACCACTTACGTGGATTCATCCAAAACTCGGCAAACTTGATTTCATTTACACCTTCAAGTCTATTCAAAAGCTGACTATTACTAATGGAACACTTTACTCCCGTTCAGGACATTGATGGACTGGTGGATGATGCTCGCATTTCATATGCACAAGGCCGTACTCGCTCAGCTTCTTGGAGAGAGCAGCAGTTACGAGCGCTGTACCGGTTCACTATTAAGGAAGAAGATGCATTGACTGCTGCTGTACACATGGATCTTCGTAAGGTGAATACAATAATAGCCAAATTGCACAGATCGATGTTAACAATGTATGATGAATAGTCTCCAGCAGAAACTGTCATATTCGAGATTGGGTTTGTGCGCAATGCCATCATTTATGCCCTGGAACATCTGCATGACTGGATGAATCCGACAAAAGTCTGTGGAGGAAGTTTGGCATTTGCGTTGGACAGATGCGAAATCCGCAACGATCCTCTCGGTGTAGTGCTCATCATTGGCACTTGGAATTATCCCATTTATCTATCGTTGTCTCCATTAGTTTCAGCAATAGCTGCTGGAAATGCCGTTGTTATGAAGTTTTCTGAACTTGCACCTCATACCAGTCTTGCCTTGTATTCACTACTGCCCAAGTATATGGATCCAACTTCTATCAAGTACGTGTATGGAGATATTCCACAGTCATCCAAGCTACTCGAAATGCCATTTGGATTGATTTTTTATACCGGAAATGCTACTGTTGCAAGAGTGGTGATGCAGGCTGCTGCCAAGCATCTTACTCCTGTTGTCTTGGAATTGGGTGGAAAGAGCCCAGTAATTGTTGACAAGCAAACCGATGTGCAATCCACTGTGAAGCGTATCTTGTGGGCTAAGATCATCAATGCAGGACAGGCAAGTACTACAGATCCAATTGTTCTGTAGATTTACAATATCGAGTTAGATTGAACCAACTCTATTCTTGTATCAAAATTTTATTGAAATGGCTTAATAGACTTGCGTTGCTCCTGATCATGTTTATGTTCACAAATCCATTGCACAAGACTTTTATGCATATGTGCCCACTGCCATCAAAGAGCTTTTAGGAGACAACCCAGCAGCCTCGGATGTATACCCACGATTGATTAACCGTCGACATTTTGAACGGCTTGAAAAGGTTCTTGGTGATCAGTTGAAGGTTGCTGGAACAGAGATTGTACACGGTGGACAGATGAATAGCAATGACTTGTTTATTTCTCCGACTGTTTTGCGTGGTGTTTCTGCTGATGCTACAATCCACCCAATTATGGATGGAGAGATTTTTGGTCCTATTTTACCCATAATTGAGTACAGTGATATCGAGGATGTGTTTGCAGCTATTCGCGAAATAGGGTAAACTTTGCTTCATTTTTGGCATGATTAATGTACACTTGTATGGCTGGAGTAGGTTATGGGCACCAGATCAAGTTTTAAACAAATTTGTAAATGATAGTAAAACACCACTTGCGCTCTATCCATTCTCAAGCAATCAAAAGTTTATTGACAGAGTCATCAAGAATGTGCCTTCTGGAAATGTTGTTGCCAACGATCTCATCCTATCACTTGCAGGTAATTTGTTTGCTCATATCCATCTCAAATTGAATACATACTGTTTCAATTCGAATAATAATTTGTTTTTAACCTCGATTCAATTAGTCGACTCTCTTCCATTTGGAGGCATGGGCGAATCAGGTATGGGAGCTTATCACGGAAAGTTTGGCTTTGATGCCTTTACAAAATCTCGCGCAGTCATGATTCGACCCAACTCACTTGAAATCCTCAACAAGATCCGATACCAGCAAGTATCCTTCAATCGTAAAAAAGCACCTTATCATATTGTTTGCTGGCTGCTCTTTCGTCATATGCCATCCCGATTTATGCTAAATGTGAGACGATTGAGCATGTGGACTAAACGAGCTGTGGGTGGATTAGGGCTTCCGCTTGCTGTAGTATTGGGCATAATGATTGGGTACTTTTTACCTCGACATTGACCTTTATTGTTAAAAAGCCATCCTTTTTATTAAAAACACTTTTGATTTCGTTTCTGTGCGACCATTTAACAGTTGTGATTCGATTCTTTGGATGTTTAGTGGTGGTTTGATTCGGCTAGTAGATAACTCGAAAAAACTTTATATTTCAACAACCCAATTTGCCATGCTTAATAGACATTCTAATAGCACCAAGCAGGCTGCTGTTGCAGTACTGTAGGTCGTATCAACAAGTTAGATTGTTGCCGTGGTACAGGAAACACGATCGATAAATGCTCTGCCATTCAAATCAGCAAATGAACCATCTATCGATATTTACAAAATAACATTCAGCCCAACCCTACAAAAGTAGTTGAATAAATTTTATGCGAATACTTTCCAAATGTATAATCATTGATGATGACTGACATTCTCATTTTCATGCTCTTTATCACCAACAACATGGCAGATGACTAAAGTGTATGAAGCAACGCCACAAACTCCGCCAGTAAATGATCCAACCAAAAAACATAGTTATTGTGGTTTGTTCCGAATCTATTTACAACCGACAGGTTACAAAGAAAAACTTGTTTGTAAGCAGGTACAATGTTGTTTTGTCATGCAGAGCTCTGCTATGCGTGTATTGCCTCGAGTGGTATATTGTGCCTACTTGATGAATTGGATGCGTTTGGTTCTAATATGGACAAACAATTTAATCAACATGCAGATATGTAATACTAAAAGCTTTTTAATATCAATAGAAGATGAAGCGACAGGAAAAAAGCATTTATATTGATTCTGGGATACAGACTGTAAGGAGCTTAATTATCATCAATTCTCGTAAGCTTTGTCCAACTGTCAAAAGTGGTGGTAAACATGGTCTGGTCAGCTTTTCAAATTATTAAAGGCAGTAACATATACTATACGTCGTGTTTATTGAATGCATGATACGATATATGAATCGTAATCCATCCTTGTGCTATGGTATTTAGAAAATCACGCGAATTATTAACGAGTCTAACTTTATAATACTTGCTGAATCTAATGTCACAGACACTCCCAACGGAACCACTTTTAATGCAAGACAGATATATAGATAAGCAGAACAATGTGTCTGCCTATCAGGCGTATCTTGCTCAAATCGCTATTCAATGGAACCCAATCGCCAACCTAATCCCGTGCGGTATGCTTGTCCAATCTTCGGGATCTGGGAAAACAAGTCTGGCAATACATACTGCTCGGTCAATCTACACCATCTATATTGGACCACCAGCATCTCACTTGTCAGCTACTTTCCAGCAAGGCAACCACTCAAAAAATTCCAGCCATAATATTGACACAACAGGCATTGAATCCGTCATGTCCATATGCTCGCCAGACATGACTAACGAGAACATCACTATGTGGGCGCATTGTACAATTCTAGGATGCATTGCTCACTTGTGTTCAACTCTTGATTTTGAAAAGAAACTTACGCCAGCCAAATGGATCGAGATGCAATTAGGTCGCAAAGTAATTCATAAAACCCCAGATGTATACCATGGTGGCAAGACCCAGTCTCCAACTGTAGGAAAAGAATTCTGGAATTTCGTGGCATTATTAACGGAACAAGTATGGATGCAACACAAGGAAACGACCCACCAATTTGGAAATAATCTAAACATTGCTCAAGTTTTTGCCAAAGCTATTCGCGATTTGAGTCAGACTTTGCGTGCCCATTCTTCTATACAAGAAAGGGGAGTTTTTGATGGGAATGTAAGCGATGGAAGTCGACTAAGTGACTTTGGCCTTGTGTTTGTATTTGATGATATCTCGAAATGGAAAGTGAATACGCATCTTGTCGCACTTATCAAGGCCTTGGAAAAGGTTCCAACTGTTGAGCTGGCTGGATGTGCTGTGATTGGTATTATGGTGGATCAAAACCTTGCCGCTGTTGAACATGTGATTGACCAAGTAGCTGCACAAAGACTTGATGCCATGTCTGCCGGGACAGACGCAATGAAACCCAATTTGCTTAGAATGGATCCGTTTTTACGCATTCTTTCTTGGAACGCGTTTTTAGATCATCATACGCCAAGACTGTTTGATATTCTGCAGTTTGGTACATCTATTAGCAAATCAGATTCAATGCAGTCTTTACATGTATCTGATGGTTCAAGTGGAAGTGGCAAGCCATGGCGACACGTTTCACCTGCTCAGGATATATGTGAACCAATCAGCAAGTCGAGAAAGGTATCTCCAAATACAACTGTGAGTAGGTCGTGCATAAATGTTCAGTCCATTTGGCCACACCTATCCACTATAGGCAGGCCTTTGTGGAAATCCATGTTGCAAAATTATAGTATTGAAAAGGTGATTGAGTCGGCTGCCGAGTTAATCTGTGGTGGAGCGAGCAAGGCTAGAATGCTGCTTGATGGAGTTAGTCTGGCACCAGGTGGATCATCAAACAGCGAAGCCTATGATTTTACATCTACATATATTTCTCTTTTGACTATTCGCCTTTGCTTAGACTTTACGTCGACATTTCCTTACAACCTTTTAATGTGCTCATCTCACATGGCAATCTATTTTAGTATCAATGCAGTGCATGAAAACAACTGCATCCGAAAAAAGGTAGAGTCAGGTTACGTATCTGAGCCGATTATTTCTGAGGGTGCTGGATGGATTCTACGAAATAAGCAGTTTCAAACTGGATCGCATATATGGTGCAAGGCAATCCATGCATTGTACAATATGGTCAACGACAACCATATCAAAGCATCGGCCGACCCAACGCTTGTTGCACGCATACTGCTCCTCAAAACTATGGACAGGTGTACAGAACATCTACAGCCTCGACACGTACCAATCGCGAAATCTTCAAAAAAACCCAGATTAACTTCTACAGCAATGCCATCCCATGTACCAACCTTGCCTACCAAGCTGTCCACTTTTCTTCATGCCCTCTTACCAAACAAAAAGTATAAAGAGGCGGTAAAAAAATTTCCAGCTCAGTTGATGGATTCGTTGATATTTTTCAATCATTTTATACGTCTGGGTAAAGCAAACATCACTCCAGCAGTCATCCAAGCCAGCTTGAACTTTTGTTCTGGTGTGATTGTATCACCTTATAAACTCGTATTGCCAATATTGACGCCTGCATGTAATGGTAGACCAGCAAGACTATCTGCCGTGTTGGTGCGGGTTGATATGCCTGGTGAAGAAGAGTGTTCTGATGAAACGGAATGCACTCTGTTTTCCGATTGTGGGTTTGTTTTACCATCTGCCAGTGCACAATTGCAACATGAACACATCAACGGCCATTTTGAAACCTATCCTTCATATCTGGTTATCAATTTACGACTAAGTGGCAGTGCTAGCGTGACGATCAAGGCAGCATCAGATATAGATCCAGTAAGCTAAAACACATGAAATGTCTTGACAATGATATTGAAGCAGGTGGTTTTAATCCCTAGCCTTTACCAAATTAACATAAACTTTTAAATGAATCAGATGCGTTCAGTGATGAGAATGACTGGTGTGAGCGTAGCCTCGTTTGCACCACTCAATCCAGCGACAGAGTTGTGTGTGTATCCGCCACAACGCATTGTTGAAGAATACTCGACTATGGTATCGCAGTTGGCTTTGCTTTGCAATGAATCCAAGGCGTTGGCGTTTGCTATCGACTCTGCACGAGTCATGGATGATGTTCATATTGGAGGTTGAGTTGAATATGTATGAAACGACTTGAACTGAAAGAATAGAACAGAAATATCGAGTATCTGACTTGAAACAAGTCTCGGGATGAGCAAAACGTTTCAATTGAATCAATAAAATAATGATATAAATTCAAACATTACGTGCATACCGTGTTCAGTGCTATACACTATTCACGACACATGAATTTAAACTATAAAAATAAAAGTGAACTAATATTTCATTATCCTTTCCATAGCATCTGCACATCGAATGGCACTGGGGACATAAAACTTTTCAAAAATAAGGGGGAAAGGTGTATCCCATCCACACACACGTTGGATAGGTGCCTCGAGACGAAGGAAGCATTTGTCCTGGATCGTTGCGGCGATTTCCGATGCAAACCCACCGGTTTGTGGAGCTTCGTGGGAGATCAGTAGTCTTCCAGTCTTATTTACCGACTATATCAAAAATGAATCATAATTGAAACAGTAAAGGCGGTAAGCATGCCTGTGATTAAACAACACAAGCAATCATGCAAAGATTGAAATACTGAATCACCTTAACAATAGTCTCTGCATCCCATGGTAAAATCGAGCGCAAATCAATAAGCTCAACACTCAGTCCAGGCATATTTTTTTGTGCAAGCATAATAGCGTTTTCAAGAGCATATAATTGAGATCCCCATCCAATCACGGTCAAATCCGTGCCTTCTTGAATCACTTCAGCTTTTCCGAGGGGAAGAACATAGTCGTCAACTGGAACTTGTTCGACTATACGAGCAAAAGACATAAAGGGTTGGTACTATATTTTGAAATAATTGGCAACGTAAAAGCCATGATAGTACAAGTAAACATGTAGATATAAACAAACCTGCAGCACGGTAAAGAATTTTGGGTTCCATAAACAATACAGGATTTTTATCCCGAATAGCAGCGAGTAAAAGTCCTTTTGTCTGAATAGGCGAACGAGGAATAACGACCTAAAATTATGTAAAGATCAATCATCTGACTAGACATTTGACATGAATATTGAAAAATAGAATATATACCTTGATGCCTGGAGTGTGTACAAACTGAGATTCAGGACTCTGACTATGATAATGAGCACCGTGACCAACAGCCATGCAAGGCATACGAAGTGTAAGACCGCCCACGTCAAATTGTCCACCAGAACGATATCTGTATTTGGCAGCTTCATTGACAATCTAGATTTATCCAGTAATCATGAGTTTGCCATCTCAGCTCATATAAGCCTAGATTTAAAATTACCTGATCAAAGGCAGGGAAGACATAATCGGCAAACTGAATTTCAGCAATTGCAGTATGGCCAACAGCAGCCATACCAATACCAAAGCCAGCAATGCCTTGTTCGGTCAATGGTGCGTTAAATACACGATGTTTGCCATATTTCTCTGCGAGACCCATTGTACAACGGAACACACCGCCAAAACCGACATCTTCACCAAATACAACTGTGCAGTATAAAAGATGAATCAGCACAAATAATGTGTTGATGCAAATCAACGATTCAAGTGGTAGCAGACATACCGGCCTTGTCATCGGTTGCAAGAGCAGTAGAGAGTGCTTCATTTACAGCCTGATACAGATTAAGTTTCTTTGTCTCAGCTAAACCATTGAATAATAGTAAGATCAATGCAATGAATTAGCCAATAATCCACACACGACAAACTGCAGGTTGAATGGAATCTAAAGCCCCTCAACAGTTGTAAAATTGCATTCATGAACCCCAAGAATAAAATCAGTTCCCATGTGACCACAGTGGGATCGAGAGCCATTTTTCAACTGTTCATCGAATCAAAAGTGCAGTTGAGCTTGAGTGAGACAGCAGCAAGATTCAATCTTACAATTCTTAACAGCAGCCAGCTCGGGGTTAGCCAATGCCTTTTCCTTTGTGTCCATGATGAATTTGGACTCATTAACACCAGGCAGAAATCCGCCTGCAGGTGGTGGACCGCTTGCATACTGAATTATCCCGTAGTATTAGACATGATCAGTTGGTTAGTACAGTTGTCATGGCAATGAATGAACACAAGGACTCTTGGTTATACAGTTGGGTTTGGTCGAGTGCGAGATCTACTCTAGCAACATAAACGGTCGTTGAATAAAGCAATACATACAAATCGAGAGGCAGAGCGAACAACACATTTGTTGGTGCAGACAATGGAGTTTGTACAGATCTTTGCAGCCAGATGTCTGAACATGGTCCGTAGAGTAGCAACTTGTGAAATCAAATTTTACAATTCAAGACAACGAATGAAACTCAAAGATTGTGTCACGTGGATACTGCAACAATCAACTTGTCAATCCAAAACCATTCTTGTGTTGGTTCAAGTTGTTCAAGTGCGATCGTACAATAGAAATTCAACTGTGTATTCATACTAGTGTTCAATCGCATTGTATGGTCATTAGAATGTACAAATTGTCGAGTAAACATAAACCGTGGTTCATTCATTTCATAACTGCAATACTCCAAAAACAATGTCTGCACAATCTCCGGGTTATATTCTAGATTTCTGATCATCAAATCATTTACTGCGCTCATCACGGCGACTTCGTCTATCATCTGTCTTTGTAGGCGGATAATCCAAAGTGCCTCTAGCACTCCGTGATTCAACTGAGCGGTCGTTACGATCAGAATATTCCTTCCTGTCACCATAACGACGGTCATCTCGGTAACGATCTGATTTGGAATGGTCATTACGACGATCATCACGAGAGGGACTACGCGAGCGATAACGACGATCATCACGGGGAGGACTGCGAGAACGATAACGACGATCAGGACTACGGGAGCGATATCGGCTGCTACGAGACTCGTATCTGTAATCTTCACGGCGGTAACTGTCACGATCATAATCTCTATCCCGTACACGATCTCTTTGGCTACTTCCTCCAGGTCGACGATCAGATAGTGGTGTTTTTGCCCACTGACAAGAACATGTCATGGAACAATATGCAACAACAAATCAGCACACAATGTATCTTTTATAGCAATACGTTTTAAGCAATACTACTGTACATGCCTCAATAACAAGACTCTTTCCGTCAACTTCTTTTCCATTCAGTGAATCAAATGCATCCTGTGCATCTTGTGGGTCTTTATACTCGACAAATGCAAATGACGAGGCACCATGTGGACCACGACGGTTGGGAAAATCACATCGAATAGTTTTCCCGATCCTGTAAATAGTGAGGAACAAAGACATTGGATTGGAGCAGCCAAATTCGACAAGATTCATGATGGATTAGCATTTCGTAATGAACGGCACAATGTTCGATAACGAGTCAATGTGTAGTAGTTTGGATCAAGTATATTATCGACAATCAGAGCCAGAAACTGTATAAATATATCCAGCTAGTGTTCAAGTAGCAAATCGATCGAACCCAAGAGTATTAAATACAGACAATAGTTTAAAATAAGTTGAAACGATTTAAACAGGTTTGATCTGGTAACAAATCCAAACAAGTTTAGCCAGGCTATTTGCATTCTGCCTGGCTGTATTATAGTTCAATAAACCCAGTCTATTCTCCAGTTCATCATGCATTCATGCTAGTATGGAAACAGTAGATGCAACTCGACAGTAGTGAATCTGCCAGACTAGGCCATGAAAGGTCTGATAACAAATAGCAAAACACTAGCAAAAAGCAGCCAAGCACATACTTTTCAAACAGACTGGAGAGTGTGACTGTACTAGTATCAGGACTAAAGCCACGAACAAACAGAGTAGTTTTACTCATGAAAATACACTAGCAAGACGGAGTAGGTTCAAGTATGTCGCAACCAATGCCAAACTGGCGGAGTTTTTGTAAGAAATAAAAAGTGAAATCACTTGCACGTGATCAGATTACTGGACAACAAATTTAAATTGTTTGTCCGATTGTCAAGATTAATCGATTATTGATTGCTGGCATAAGCTTGTTACTATCCAATGAGAGACGCTCGTAAACTGTGTGGTCTTACTGTTCACCAGAAACTGGCTCGTTCTTCTGTTTCTTTGGCGTTGGATGCTCAAGACAATCAAACACTCACAAACTCCAATTCACAACCCAAATCTCGGTCCGATAAAACTGGACTCGGAGTGCAATGTCCAGAATATGCATTTAAAGATACTGATGAAAAGGGAAGATCAAATGGCAGTATTTCTAATGCCAGTAAGCGAAAACAGGCTCATCAAGCACCTGCTGACTATAGAGGAAAGGCTTACTTGGGCGTGCCCTCTCCTGCTGATCCATTCTCGGTGTTTGTATGGTATGCTGCCCGCCAACCTGAATCGGATCCAGAATTTGTGTGTGTAGATATTACCGTCGATGGGAAACGATCTCCTGGATGGGTTATAAGATCTGGTAGGAAGCACGGAGTCTCTATTGGCCAGATTATGCATCGAGGAAAACCTACTTTGTTTGAATTCAGTCCTGCCAAAACCAATTCAAGCGTCAAACCTACAGCACATCGTCCTGTTTTGGCGGGTACCATTGAAGCCAAATTTTGGAGAGGTATGTGCATAGTCTTTACAGCGCAGTCATTTTACTGCTGGTTATGGTGTATCTGGAATAACAGCGAGCCAAATTTGTTGGTATTGACTGTAGAATGGATATCACAATATACTAATGGCAATTATGTGATTCGCTATTGTGATTGGTTTAGTCATGAAATTGGATGGATCCGCGGTTCCTCCTGCCAAACGACAAAAGAAAGACATAGATCCGGAAAACACAGCAGATGTAACGGACAGCGATGAGGATGATCCCACTGAATATATTCCTGACGAGGGTGTACCTGCTTTATGCGTCCTCACTCTTCATTACAGAGATATGACATGGCTAACGAGTAACTCCAATTCTGGAAATACCGGTGTTTTTCGTGGTAGTCGTACTGCATTCAATGATGTTACGAACCAGCGAACCAATTTGAGTCGAGGAGATACTTTGGCAAAGAACAATCTTGAATCCACTTCTAGTAAGGGATTGGGCAGTGTCACCGCGACTACTTTAAAAAGTGACTGGACTTTGATTCATGAACCATCAAAAAAAGCTTCCAATGCTTTGATCATGTCTGAGCTTAGTACCACTCTTAGTTCTCCAATAGTCTCAAAGCACCATCAGATGAATTTCTCTTGTCTACAAAGCTCTCCCATGCATCCAAACAATCCATGCACACCTACACACAATAGTCTGATGGGTCCTTCATCTCATCCCGTGTTTTCTACCTTGTTCCCCGAGTGTAATCCAATGGCAATTGACTCACTTTGTTCTGTGACCAGTAGTCGAAACACGCACAGTTTTGAAGCTATAGATCAACAGCAAGATGGTTGGAAATCTCCATTGGTATCAAAGTCAGATATGACAATGTGCAATTCACCAATTGTTGCTATTGAACCTGACAAGTCCAAGCCCGAGTCTTTGCATTTATTGGAGTCGCATCAACAGCCATGTAGTGATGAGGAGCAAAGTCATGATGTTTCAAGCACACGCAAACATTCTTTATCTACTCTTCTGTTTGCAGTGGATACAATTTTATCTCCACTAGTAATGTCTGACAGTAACCAGACTTTATCTACTACTCAGTGTTTGGCTCCATCTGTGCCTCAAGCTCAAGCAAGTTTAAAGCATATCACTCCGAATCGATCGCGCATTCCAATCAGTATTCATCAATCTTCAAAAGAGCATCAATCAAGTGTATCTGATAATCCAACCACGTCAGCAAAACTTATCACCATGGGCCGTATTGCTCTTTGTATCACGGATACCAAAACCAGCTTATTGAACACGCTTTCTCGATCTGTACGCAAGCTTCTCAATACAGATGGAGATGTTTGTGTAATGGACACTAAATCCTGTATAAATGGGTCAAGCCAAAATGATGAGTGTCTGGATGTGGGTGGGGTTGGAAAGGCAGGCGTTTGGGTCGAGTCTAGTCTTTCTGAGTGTGTTTCATTTAGCAAGATAAGTGATGCCTGCGTGAGTACCATCAAAAGCATTCATGTTGTATTTTGAAATTTACAAATGCTTTTCTTGACATGGACAAGTATCTAAGCCATTTCTTCCAAGTACTGTTGAATAAAATGAGGTGTTTGCTGCGCTTGAATGAAAATTTTATCAAGATAGCCTTTAGGAATACTCGCACATTATAATTGACAACAATAAGAGTGTGAATGGAGAGATAAATTAAGAATTGTCAGTAATCATTTTGATGGCTTGAAACAAGCTGCTGCTACTGCATTTTGGAAACAAAAGTTTTTGGCTTGTAAAGTTACGACTTTTATATTGAATTAGAAGGAGCAGTAGAACGTATCAACAAGTCAGATTGTTGCTATAGTATAGGAAATACGGGCAATAAATGCTCATGTCATTTGAATCAACAATCTACCGATATTTGTAAACAACATCACCAAGAAAACATACTTTTGTACTAAACAATCTGATCCCAGTAAGCTAGCAACACTTTGGAAATAGGTGCGCTTGATGGATCATCATTTGGCACATGTATGGATAGAGCAAGAACACGAAATGAATGTATTAAAGTTGTGAGCAAATGTTGAAGTTGATGCCGAGAGTTGAACAATCATGTCACACTATTTGTTACAAGGGACACTGTATTGTCATGTAGAACAATGTTGACAACCATAAAAGATCAAGATTGATACTAGTAATAAAAATGGCAGCGTGAACTTGCAGCCCACAATGTAAACCTGCAACTCTCAAACTCTCTTGCTCAAACTTCAAAAGGACATTATAAGTCTGGTGGCGGTTGTGGCAGAAGCAGCAACCAAACCCAACCATATAGAAAAAGGTGGTTAAATTAATTTTACGTAAGTATTTTCCAAAATATGATACGCTGATGATGATAGTTCACTTGAATTATCAATCTGCTGAATGATTATAATCAACTGTGCCACCTTGACGTAATTAAACTATTGGATAACGCGTTTTGCTTTTATAACTCATCTGGCGCAGCCATTGGCGATGAAGCAATTATGACTGAAGCGTATCTGCTAGAAAGATAATCCCAATAATTCTCTGCCAAGAATTTATTGATATTTCCCAAGCATGAAATGCAATAGCTTACAAAGATAACTCAGCTACTGTCTATAAATAGCTGATTGATTTCACAGTCTCATCTCATTGCTCACATCTCTAATCTTTAAACCAAGTATGCAATTCTCCTTTACCAAAAGCATTTCATTTGTTGTTTTCGCTAGTGCACTTACTGTCGGCGCAGTAGCTTTCCCTCAAACTCCCGGTGGTGCTGGATGCCAACTTGGACACCAAAAATGCGTCACTGATGCTTCTGGAAAGGCTTCTTCCTTCAATATGTGCACACAAGATGCTCCAGGATCAACTGCCTGGGTTAATATTGCCTGTGGCGAGGGAACCTTTTGCCAAGTATACCCAACTCTTGCTACTGCTATTATGTGTGTCTAAAAGATTTCAAGTCAAGCTGATGTTTGCTAAAGATACCGAGCCATATTGGCAATTTCTTAAAGTTCAAGTGTTCCAGTCATAGACCATATACAGCAGTCTTTTACTGCCAGCTGAAAGGCTTTTTTATTTATTGTGCCTATTTCACTTTCATTAGGGTCTCCAAATATATATGATTTTATTCTTATAACTACTATAAAGTAATTCAATTGTTTTGAGTGGGTGCCAAGGAGATTACACGATTATTTCAGGTCAATGTGCGGACTTTAGATGGAACCACGCTTTTACCAAAACAGGGCCAAATAGGAAACGTCGTCCTATATTAATCAAAGGGTGATCCACAAATTGGCTGTATCAACAAGCTGAATTGTCGCCGCAATACAGGAAACATGAGCAACAAATGTTTCTCCATTTAAATCAGCAAGTAAATAATCCAACGATATTTGCAAAACAACAGGGTTGATAATCTCTCGTTTTTTGATTCCATCTCTCTGTATTCATGCTCTTTGCAACCAGTTATAATCAAAATCAAACTTTGGCTTCATTCCAGGGCTATTTGAACCTAGTTCTCATGTGACAATCAGTCTTATTTGATGTTCAATTTACAGGTTGTAGTCACATTGTTATTGTACCAAAACGTTGCAACACCAATGAGTCAGAACTTTAACCTAGCTAAACTCCCTTGCAGTAAATATTCTTGTGCAAGTGTTAATGTGCCCTTATCTCCAGCTGTGTTTTCATTGGACTACCCCGTCCTACTCTGCAATTTCTCCATCCTGTGTTATGCTTTGTGATATACAATGAATCAATCAAGTAACCTGGATGAGCTGGGTGTGTTCATTGGCACAATACCCAGTTTCAATTGTTTTGTTTAGCATCCTACTGTTGATGATCGGTATTGCTAGCTATACCAGTTTCAAACAACTGCTTCATTAGTCAAGCCATTTGTTTAACCACTACCCAAGGCTTGATATAATACAAACTTATTTGACCACTTTAAAATAGAACATCCATTGTTTAAACTTGTCAACTATAAACCAACCCTTGAGCACAAAGGGACCAATTGAAGTACATGCTACGTCAGTTTATTACTAAACTCACAAGCATCCTCCCTTATCAATGTGAGGCAAAGCCAGATATAAAGTCGGTAAATATTGTAGCCATTACATAGTAAAATGAAACTTGAATTGTCAATCGTATTGCTATACGCATTCTCTCCCATCATACCAGTTTTGGGAATAAATCCTGAACCCATCTCCACATCGGTCGTAGACGATTATATTAGTGAAACCACATCGTCGTCATATTCAACCCCAACTCAGACTAGCGATGCATTAAACACCATGCCGCCCGTTTCAAGAAGTACCTTGGCTCCTTCACCCAACAATGAACCTCGAAAATTGCCCCGACTTCGAGGTCAAAGACTTGACATTAAAATCATGGTTATGTTTATTTTGAAGCTTTTTGAAATGATTGGAGAAATGCCAGGACAACCTGGTCCCGATGGTTACTATATTGGAGAAGAGGAATCACTTCCACCATCTTCACAATCTGGAAGTTCTTCAAAATTAGAAAAGCTTACCAAGCTATTCGAAAAACCACCACCATCACAGTCTCCACCATCATCTCCATCTTCACAACCTGGAAGTTCTTCAAAACTAGGAAAGCTTACCAAGCTATTTGGAAAATCACCACCATCACAGTCTCCACCATCTCCACCATCGTCATCACCACCGCAATCTCCACAACTTGGAAGTTCTTCAAAATTAGAAAAGCTTGCCAAGCTATTCGAAAAACCACCACCATCACAGTCTCCACCATCATCTCCATCTTCACAACCTGGAAGTTCTTCAAAACTAGGAAAGCTTACCAAGCTATTTGGAAAATCACCACCATCACAGTCTCCACCATCATCTCCACCATCGTCATCACCACCGCAATCTCCACAACTTGGAAGTTCTTCAAAATTAGAAAAGCTTGCCAAGCTATTCGAAAAACCACCAGCAGCTGATTCTACTGCTGCACCTGATCTTATTCTTACAGCAGATGGTGTTGCTCAAGAAGAAATAACAATTTTGGTAAGAAGTTGTGGCAACTATGGAGCGCGAATGTTTCAATGGGCAACTGAATCAAAAAACTTGATGACTTCAGTTCAACCCTCAAAGTATCCTAGACTCGAAAGAATTCAAAAAGAGCTTATCTTACTTTTCAGTTTGATTGCAGGCGCTGTAATGAACTTGCTCTCTGGATGTGACTTGGCTATTGATACTCTTCAGAGAGACGACACCAAATACGCTGATATGTCTGATCTTATTTTCGATCTTATGAGGGAAATTACTTTAATCCTTAGAGAAAAAGTTAAACTTTTGGTTGCTATGCTTAGTTCTCTTTCCTCTGATTTAAGCAGAGTGATTAAAAGGCTCAAATCGTTTGAAGAACAAACCCTAGTTATGCACGGTACAGTAGGTTATTTGGCATCCGCTATTTACAATCTAAAGCTCGAAGTAAAGGCAAAAGCAAAAGCAAAAGCGCTATATAGAGAATAAGTTTACTTCAAGTCGAATAGGGCTGAAATCAGGTTTTACATAAAAACCGTCTAAAATAAACCAATAATTGTCTGCAATCAACATTTTCAAATGATATAACAGTATGCATGTCAAGATGAACTATCAACGAGATTTAGACAGTCAAATGGTGTAGATCTTAAACTGTCAAGAGTCACAACCAATTCAAAGAATTGTATCAATAGTTTGGCATCGCTTAGTCACTTGGTAAAACAAAAAACGTTAATAGTAGCTGTTGCACAAAAACAACGCATGTGACACAATGGCATAAGTGACCATCAATAAATGAATTTTGATAGATGTAGTGGAAAGCATAAAGTATATCGTCATTTAAAGTGGCATCTCAAGAATTGCATGGTTTACAGCTAGCGACAATGTGAATGTATTAATGAATGGCAGTCAAGTCGACACGGCCAATAGCTCAACCCTATTGATCATGACAGCCACTGATTCACCTCTGACAAATCAAATAAGCCTGATTCCTTTCAATTTCAGTCAAGATATAGGGAAATAGACAAGATTCTAGTCAGCAGTCCCAAAAAGTAAATTTTATTCCCAAAAGCAATATCAAAGGCCGGAAAAGGCACCAGACATGAGTTCTGCAACCTCTTTTTTGTGGACCGAGGTTATACCGGTAGCAACAGCGGCATTAGGTGGACGACCGTGATATTTGAGCTTAGCGCCAGCGGGCAAGAGCTGCTCCAATCTTGGTGCAATAAACGTGTACGAACCTTGGTTCTGAGCCTCTTCTTGAACATAGACATATTCTATAGTATAATAAAGCAATTTTTCAAAAATGAATAAATTCAAAATGCAAAGATATTAAAGCATGACCAAATCACTAACCCGTAGCGTTGGGGAAACGAGCAACTTCGACTTCAAGATCGTCGGCGGGGAAAGGACAGATTTCTTCAATGCGCACAAAAGCAACTGTGTCATCCAAGTTACGTGTAGCACGCTCTTTGATCATATCATAATAAAGTTTGCCGCTAATGAAGCAAACGCGACGAACAGCAGCAGCCTTGTCAGTATTGGCAAAAACAGGATCAGGAAGTACTGGCAAGAAAGTTGTGCCTGGCATCATGTCCGTCAAATCAGATGTGGCTGATGGATGCCTCAACAACACCTTTGGGCCTGCAACAATCAGAGGTTTGCGATAGTTTCTCAGCAACTAGAATACACAATACAATAATCAAGTCAGCACCTGATACTCGGATCTGAAATAGTATGTAAACCCAGTTATTATGCATTTCACCTGGCGACGAAGTAAGTGGAAATACTGTGCAGGTGTGGTGGGGTTGACAACATGCATATTAGGATTGCAGTCTTTCGGCGTAGTTCCCTTCACATCGAACCGATCGTCACAAAGCTGCAGGAATCGTTCAATATGACAGCTCGAATGTTCAGGTCCAGCGCCGTCATATCCATGAGGCAACAGCATAACCAGGCCACTCTGTCTCAACCACTTTGTTTCACCACTAGCCAAACAGGTGTCGATGATAATTTGAGCACCATTGTAAAAGTCGCCAAACTGAGCTTCCCAAATACAGAGACGATTGGGGGTTTCCCATGAAACACCATATTCAAACCCAAGAACGGCATATTCTGATAAATGTGAGTTGGCAATCTCGAGCTTTCCTTGATTTTCAGGAGCTTGAGCCATACGATTTAGAGGAATAATGGTTCGCTCATCAGACGAATCAACCAGCATGGCGTGACGTTGGGAAAATGTGCCACGACCAACATCTTGGCCAGAGATACGTACATGATAGCCTATTTATAAAATGTTTAGTTACATTTGAAAGAGTTTAACCATTTATATAAAACATGGCAAATAATAAGTTTTACGTACCTTCTAAAAGCAGAGTACCAAAAGCCATGGCTTCGGCAGTTGCCCAGTCTAGTCCGACGCCAGAGTTGACTTTGGAAATACGGTTGGCAATATGGTGACGCTCTAGACGAGAGTGGGTGACCTAGGTACCAATAGCATTAACAATGCAATCAATACAAACTACTAAAAATGTATATATCAGTCACAGCAAAAGGCATGATCCAACTTACAAACCCTTCTGGTCGTGTAACAGATGCAATACCAACGCGTTTCAACTTCTCGGCATCGACACCAGTATCCAACTTGGTCACTGCACTAGTGGGAAGAACCATGTTTTCCCATTTTCCCTTGAAAGCTTCCATCTTTCAAAACCAGAAATTAACAATGAGATGAATCACCAAAATGTAATGATGCGTATACAACAAGATACAGTCAATTCAGCTTGCCTCTGGCTTAAAATCATAGCTCTCTTCAAGTTTCTTTTCTAAAACGTTGGAGTACCATTCACGAACAGAATCAATCTCGGATCTCGAAGTAAATACGCCTTCTTCAAGCAAAGAGTCTTCATATTTTGATGGAACTGTTTTTAGTGATCGAATCTTTTTGTACATCACAGGTTGAGTGAATGCAGGCTCGTCCAGCTCATTATGTCCCAGTCGACGATAGGCAATCATGTCAATAATGATGTCCTTGTGGAACTTGTTTCGATATTCAAATGCCATCGAAGTTGCGTATGCAACATCCTCAGGGAAATCGCCATTCACATGAATAACGGGACAGTTGATCATTTTACCAACATCAGAAGTGTATATGGTGGAGCGAGCGTTCATGGCTGGAGTGGTGTATCCAATTTGATTGTTGACAATAAGATGAACAGATCCACCAGCTGTATAGTGAGGAAGATTAGCAAGACCAAGGGTTTCAGTGACAACACCCTGACCAGCAAAGGCTGCATCTCCATGAAGTTGAACGCACATGACACGATCACCAATATAGCAATCCTGCTCATTTCCAGCCTCAAGCAAATGCATTTGACGAGCACGAGCTTTTCCTAATGCCACTGGGTTTGCAGCCTATATAGCCATATATGGATGATGAATAAAATATAACTAATGTAGGCTTTTGAAAAAACAAATGCTCAATGCCAATTAGTGGAATAAAACAATATACCTCCAAGTGAGATGGGTTGTGAAGCATTGAAACGTGGATTTTTTCAGGGCCACCAACTTCAATATCAGTAGAAATAGCCAAGTGGGAAAGTACATCAGCGTTGATATTAAGTTCGGCAGGAGCTTCGCTGCTACCCTTGACTTTGGCAAATATTGCAGCCGGATCATAGGTCAGCAGATCGCTTAAAAGGTTAAGACGACCACGATGAGGCATGCAGAGAACAGCATCATGCAATCCGGCTATAATCGCATTGACAGATAATACTAGAGTCAATACATCAAAGTAAACGACAAAAATAAAAGCAGCCCGTCAACAAAAACTCACCGATGCTAGCGTCACGGAAAAGAGTATACATGACAATCTGAGTCGCCATTTAAAAGACCGGAAAGATTGTAACGACACGAAAATCAATACTATTGTAATGTAAATACTCGTAAATACAGTCACTCACCATCATACTCTCAGCACCTTGAAGACCATACCGCTTAACCTGCGGGAATTTTCTAGCCATAAAGTGATCAAAAACCTAAAATGAAAAATGACGAGTAAAAAGTTGTTTGTATACTAAAACTTGCACTCTTATTCAACAAATTTAAAATTTGACAGTGTATTACCTCGGATTTTGTCAAAAGAGATGAAAAGTAGCGTTTCTCATCAGCTGAAAAAGTGCGTTTTTCATACGACTCGACATGTTTTGCAAACCAAAGACGTTCTGATTTGATCTATTCAAATATTATCGAGTAAGATAATGATGATTTTTAAAAATCAACAAAATATACATTCGCGACTTTACGTACAGGAATATGGCTAAATTCAAACCCAATACGACCACAGTACGATTTTTTCAAATGATTTAAAATGGTCTCAAGAGATGCATGTTCCTTGGAAACAGAGGGATCGCTTGTCTTGCCAATATGTAAAATACCAGCCAGATCAAAAACCTCGTTAGGATTAGTCAATCCATATCGATCTGGACTGATATCGCGCAGATTCCTGCAATTAATACAATCGTATGATGATTTTACATGTTAAAACAACATAATTCACAATAAACCAGTATCACAATTTAGCATTAGTAGAAACAATATTAAATCCAGTCAGTTTACTGGATATTGTGTTCCTCAATGGGAATTACAAGTAAATGTTGAATGATTAGCATGCAAACAACAGTTGTATCACTGAGATATGCAATCCTTGTTCTGTTGAACTAGGACGTAATGTATATGTTTTTAGAATACGACTGCAAATGCGGGTTTGATTAAAGATCACGTGTAGATAAGTAGAAGGATGAATTGTAGGTTCAAAGGCATCATGACAGGTCAGGACATGAAGAGCATTGAAGTGAATGAGCTGATTGAATAAGAGTAGCAACCAAAGTGAATATACTGAATGATCATAGTGACTATAGCGGAAATAAAAAGTGTGATCGATTGTTGGGATAGTAGTGAAGCAAACTACTCAACTCAAGAGCAGTCAAGCCAAGAGGATCAATGTTGGCAATACGATGTCCTTGACTGCGAAATGCGTATACCAGACGAAGTAGGTTAGCATTCTTGTTTCTGTTGGCTAATTCCTCTGGTGTATCTATTGCATATATGTATTAATTTGAATTCACCAAATCAAGTATTTAAATGCATTCAAGCAACAGCACTAAATGGTATACATTCTTCAGCTTGAATAGAACGAGGAATTCGGTAGCCATATACGTCCTTATCGTAGTAATAGGAGGCACGCTGAGCGTAGTTGAATCCATTCAGAGATTTGACAGCAGTTGTTGGTGGAATGGTTCGAGACTGAACACGGAGGCAGGATGCCGCATGATTAGAAAAAGCTCTAGTACCAGCAATCGTAGTGGCAAAAAAAGAGCGACGCAGCAAAGCAGAATAAGCGGTAGTCAGAGTCATGGTGGTTTTGAGTAGATCCAACCTCGATGTTCAAACTGCAAATCTAATCGTTGGTTGAAAAAGCTGAAACCATTTACAAACCGCATGTCGATGAGCGTACACGATTTGCACTGTTCGATCTTTTTTTCAGTCAACATTTGGAATCAAAATCACTAAAAATACTCTTACGATTGTTTCTATGCATAAATTTGTTCACAGTATTCATACTTCCAACCGGGCTGCTGCTCGGTTGAATACGATTTTTATTTCTCGTCATTCATTCCTCAAATACTTTTCAACCGATATTACTCAACCCGCCACTATTGTCGATACGATCCCTGCTACCTTGATTACCACTAAAAAACCTGCAATCCAAATAGTTAATCCTTATGTAAATCCTGACACTGGATCACCTTTGAAAACTGATGAAATGCCCATTCAATTTCGTCATTTGATTGCTAGTATTTCTAAAAACAAAATGGAAGATGCGCTTGTTCAATTCGCAGCCATCGAGCAGTCTGATCCTCTCATGCTCCATGCATTGACTGTTTCTGGATTCAATGCTCTTATTCGTGCTGTTTCTGATCCCACTCGTAGATTTTTCAAAAACTATACGTACGAGCAGCGAGTTGTCCACTCTCGTAAGATACTTGATAGTCTCGAATCAAGCGGTAAAAAACCCAATATCAAAACATTTGAACATCTAATATCCCTCTACACCAAAACTGAGGATATCGAGTCCATCAAGCATTTGCTTTCCTGGATGAAGGCTCGTATCATCAATGCCAAAAACAGCAAGCCCATGCTTCAATGTCTGATTCACGCCAACACTGGTGCTGGGAATCTTCGTCATGCTATGGAATACTTTCATAAACTACGACAACTGGAACTCAACAGTGTAGATCCATTCAATGTGCTCATGCGTTCTCAAGCCCACTATAATCAGGAGGACAATCTTAAACAGACATACGCTCTGATTCAAGATTCTGGGTGTACTCCTACAGTAAGCACGTTCGAGATCATGTCCAGTTTTTACTTTGCCAAGCGAGATTACCCAACCGTCTTGAAATATATAGACTTGTGTAAGCAGCAATGCAAACCTGCTACTGGACATGCTCCAGGAAAACTGTCTGTATCCATGTACTACATGCTCGCATTCATTCTCAACAACCAAGGCGCCTTTAAAGAAGCACACAAGGCCATTACCGACATGAAGTCATTTGACATGAAGCTGACCAAGCAATTAATGGTTGAAAATATATTTGCTCAGGCATTTCAGTGTCCATCTGGTCATGTGGATGGAACGAAACGTATCTGGATGGAATATGTCAAGCTTCCCGACATTTTACAATCGCATGGTCGTATCCTCAAAGCAATGGCTCACTTATTTGGTCCCATGTCTTCACCAGAAGATCTTGCTACACTTGAAAAGCTGTGCATGGAAAGCGGTATTGGATACTCTACAATGCTGACGTGTCTTGTTAGTGGATACACATCGATCGACGATATGAACACTGCTCGCATGATTCTTTCTCATTTAGAGTCACTAGAGAAACCCGCTTCACCTCAACTCCATAGTCGTGTTGTTCAAGCGTATGCTAGAATAGGCAATATTTCTGAAGCTATTTCATATATTCAAACTTTAAATAAGATGGACATTGCAGTACATCCAACCACTCTGTACTATGCTCTTGGTAAAGCTCTGCGTGTTCAACCCGATCTAGCTGGGCAATTAGAAACCATGATTTTAGAAATGATTCCAGAAATGACCAAGGAGCATATGTACAAGCGTGCGGGTTGGTCAGATAAAAAGAATACATCTGAAGTCGAGGAAACTTTGGAATAAAATGCTAAATAATAGTAATACAAGAGTTGTATATAATGACGGATTATTTATTGTTGAATGGATATCATAGGAAATTGATGTGCTGTAATGGCAAGTTTTGGTTCAGTAAGACGTGTTTATAGATTTACTACAACTGACTCTAGTAAAGCCAAACTTGATATATGCCTATTTGAACTGCGTTTGGTATGGTCTTGAGAATGTCGAGTTGGTAATAAACCTCTAGATATATTGGGATCTGCGGTTTACAAAATATCAAGTGATTGCATTAGTTATACACGGGACTGAACTCTAGAAAAAATGCCTTTAAACCTGCTCATGGTATTTGAATAAAACCGTTTAAACTTGGATCTTGGCACAAACTTTTTACTTTCAAGCAACAAGCGAACATTGGCTTCTTGACGTTGCATGGCATTATCAAACTCCTCGATTTGCGTGCCAAGATCTGTAAAAACTCGCATATCAGCAATTACTGCTTGGAGAAATGCATGCAGCCTATGTTCTAAGGTTTCAATTGCTGCACAAACAAGTCTTTTAAATGTGTATCTTGCAGAAGCCAGATCCTTCAACACCCTATCTATATTTTTGTGTTTCTCGACAAGCAAGATGGCTACAGTGATGGCTTTGTCCAGCATCAAGCAAGCGGCTACAATGTCTGCCAAAACAGAAATAAACCAACTCTGGCACTCTTTATATCCTTTGTTTTGTCGACAGACATGCAATGACTTGATGGATTTTTGTGCGGTTTCTGCCCAGTTTTTTTGGGATGTTGCATAGTTTCTCATTGCTATCATGTATCTACCAAAATCTACACCAGCAGTTTGAGATGCTAATAGTGCAGCCATCATTGCTGGATCTATGCCATTAGTCCTTGATGCAAACAACCTCTTCCATCGCAGGTAGAGGCGAGAGTGGCCCATATACGACTCAGGGTGTGTATCTACACAAGAAAAGCTTGGTGAATCCTGAAGCAAATCCATCAGCAGCACAAGAAATTCTTTACGAAGTGTATTTGGGTCTTTATCAGTGACTCTCCTTAGAGCAGCGAGAACAAGTGGAGATGTAAACATTACATTTGAATCAACAGCTGCGTCAACATTCAACGGCTGAGCTGTAGCACGTTTTGTAGATTCAGTCGACTGTTGTGTCGTATAGGCTGGCATGTCTGTGGCTAAAATTGATGAGACTGACACACTTTCTGCAGTAGCACTGATTGCCAAACCAGAAATAACGCTGAACATCACCAGTGGAGCTGATTTCATTGTGATTGAAAATAAAGGTCAAAGTGATATTCTGTCAAGTCTAGGTGCGGTTTTTGTAAACATGCACTATAGCAGATGAGGTTATGAATCCGACCCTTGCCAGGGAGGAAGCGACAGTCAAGGGACATAACGTATTGTCCTGGTCTAGTTGGTCTGCGACTGCCATGTAAATGTATAATAAAGTCCTCGTACGACAGCTGCAGATGTCAACAAGGCATGACTTGTTCGACTATTGAATCTTTAATACTCGTAAGCATTCTAGTATTTTTGGGAAAACATAAAGTACTGCAAATATATACTCTGAGCCCAATGGTTTAGTTATGCAATATTAGAATGAACTCGACAAGATTTACGCGACTGGCCAACAAGACTAGTCGAATGAGTTTTAGTATGAACTGGTCAATAAGTGCGTGAAACTAGTCAGAATTTGGAATCTAATTCTCATTGATGTTGCAAGTTCTGTTCTTCATTCTAGTTCATCCTTTGTCGCTAACTGTAATGCAACGAATGTATGCAACAGCGCGAGTTGGAATCGATTTGCATTTCAGATTCAGACTTTTCAATATAAAATCCAACTCAACTACTAACCATTGCCACCACTATGATGACTACACTTCTGCATCGTACCATTCGACACTCTTGTTCATCTATGACTAGTGCTAGGGTTGTTCCTGTTTGGTCTGTAAGTGATGTGCATATTTATTCAACTGAGCCTAACTGCCTTGCTAGGCTCAGTCATACTGTATGACATCAACGCATGCAATTTGATAACTAGACTATTGCATAGGCTGCATTCCAAAAGTACTCTTTCTCTTCATCATCCAAGACATGCATGTCAGAGTCTGCTGGGATCTCGTTTGGACTCTCGCAGGATCAACTGGGACTGCAGGATCTGGCTCGCAAGTTTACCCAAAATGAAATTATTCCAAAGGTAACCTTTTCTTGAGTATCGGTATATGTACAGATACGTTCATGAGCATGTCTATGATGTGTTGCTGCTCCAATAGTATTGAATGAGGAATCCAATACCTTCTGCACGTGAAAATATCCACATTGGTCCGTATCAATGCTTTGTCAAATCTAACAATAATCATTCACGCTAGGCTGCACACCATGATCAAACTGGGGAATACCCAACTGAAATTCTTAAAAAGGCTTGGGATGTGGGATTGCTCAATTTGCATGTGCCAACAGAGTACGGCGGTCCAGGATTGGGTGTTTTGGATTGTGCTGTTGTGAGTGAAGAGCTAGCTTTTGGTTGCACTGGTATTCAAACAGCTGCTGAAGCAAACGGCCTTGCCGTAAGTTTATGTTTGCTTGATCGTATGTCATGGATTTTAAGCTCATCTTGACAGATACTCGTCTACTATTTATGCTTTAGGAAGCCCCAGTTATTTTGGCTGGAAATGATTTTCAAAAGAAAAAGTATTTGGGACGTATGGCTGAAGAGCCTTTGATGTGTGCTTACTGTGTGACTGAGCCTGGTGCTGGATCTGATGTTGCGGGTGCCAAAACCAAGGCAGTAAAAAAGGGTGATAAGTGGGTGATCAATGGTGAGTGCTTGCTATTTTGTTTTCAAGAAATTGACAGATTTAGCTACTGTTCTAAACCATTGATTATGACAGGAAACAAAATGTGGATTACAAATGGAGGCAAAGCCAATTGGTTTTTTGTCCTGGCAAAAACTGACGAGTCTGCATCTGCTGGTCGCGCATTTACGGGATTCATTGTAGATAGTAACACTCCAGGAATCACTGTTGGAAAGAAGGAGATGAACATGGGTCAGCGTGCATCAGATACTCGTGGCATTACATTTGAGGATGTGGAAGTTCCAGACGAAAATCGTCTTGGAGATGTAGGTCAAGGGTTCAAGATTGCTATGGGTGCATTTGATATTACTCGTCCACTTGTTGCTGCTGCTGCTGTTGGACTAGCTCGTCGTGCACTGGATGAAGCTACCAAATACGCTATTGGTAAGCGATTTTACCAACATGTAAAAGTATTTATGCAGACAAACGATGTCATGCTCATAGCTAACACATGTTTGATCAATTATGTAGAGAGAACTACAATGGGAAAGCCTATTGCAGAACACCAAGCAATTGCATTCATGTTGGCAGATATGGCGATTGGAGTGGAAGCTTCCCGTAGTCTAGTTTGGAAATCAGCATGGATGAGAGACAATGGTCTCAAAAATACGCTGTATGCATCCATGGCCAAGGCTCATGCTTCTGAAGTAGCCAACAAAAACGCAGCAGATGCAGTTCAGATTTTTGGAGGAAATGGGTTCAACAGCGAGTATCCTGTAGAAAAGCTTATGCGTGGTAAGTAATGAATTGTGACCTTGGTAGATACTCGTGTAAAACTAATTTGAATATTATATCTGTATAGATGCCAAGATTTTCATGATTTACGAAGGCACAAGTCAGATCCAGCGACTGATTATTTCCAGAACCATTGTTGATATGGCCAAATCCAAATAATATTCTATTAAAATTGGTGTTTTCAAATAATATTTTGACAAAGAAACAGTTGAACGAAACGAGTGTTTTGCTAGAAGCGAATATGAAGCAAAACACGACTTCAAAACCGAGAATAAACTTGAATTTTGACAATAACGAGTCCCGTGACGTGGGTGCCGTTTAGTTGGCAGCAAAGTTGGCTTGCAATTGCCACAGTTATCGATATGAGTGTTCCTGCGATTTCAGCTGCCATCAGTGATCTGTCATTGATGGAGCCTATAAGCCAGACACCTGCTTCTGAGCAACCCATGCTAGACAGTCTCACCCAAATCAGATCTCAGTTGACTGCTACTCTATCTGCCGACACCACGGGCTCTACCGCCGATGCTGCAGCAAGCAACCTTCTACTCGACAATGCCTGGATAACAGTCGTTGATATTGTCAAGCAACTCTCTTCTCTTCGTAGTAACAGCAACGATCAGGAGGTTGTCAAGGAGACTGAAGGCGGCATGCATATTGATACCGAGGCTGATCTTCTTTTGGATGATGTGGTTCCTATGTTTTTCCAAATCTGGTCAAAGGTCAGTGCCATTCAACCGTACTTGCAGGCTTGAATTGTTTAGACTGTCGTGCAGTTAGTATGAAGAGCGCATGGCTTTTCTAATCATAATATCTTGCATGCTAAAGCTTTAATCTAATCCTTGCCGTGAAATATTATTGTTAGGTTGGGAAAGTGCCAAAGGATATGTTTAAAACCTATGTTCAATTGATCAAGATACAGCATACACTAAATAATCTCTATGAGACTGGTCTGTTCACTAATAATCGACTCGCTAGTCTACGTGATCGTTTAGCTACTGTATCGACAATGCTTGGATCATTCGAGCCTTTTACCAACACAGATGCTTGTATTGCTGCCACAACCTGCGTCAATACCGTTGAATGCTTTCGTCAGGCTGATAAAATGGCTACTCAAAAGCATACCCAATGTCTGGAAACCCTTGATCGTCTACAGGCTGAGTTAGATGCCATTTCTCCTGTTCTTCATCCCATTCACGATCGTCTGATTGAAATCAAGGAAGAACTCCAGACTCTACTGAGTCGTAAAAACCCTCATCTGTTTTCACTTTCTGAAGTGCAGGTCCTGCAGGATGAACTCAGAGAAATTGATTCTGCACGAATTGATGGCAAATACATTGCTAAAGACGACGGTAGCGTTGTTGCTGGCCAAGCATCTGTCATTGAACTACTAGAATCTTGTTTCGACGATGTTCATGAGCTTTTGGCTGCCCGTGAAGCAGTTTCTGGTGAAAATCCTCTTCGCCCCATTTATGAAGATCTAATCCGTATCAAAGGAAAGCTTGAACGCTTACTTTTGGTTGGACGCTGGACTCTCAAATCTGGTGATCTTGTTTCGGTTCAAATGAAGCTTGGAGAGATTGACAACCTAAGAGTGGATGGCAAGTTTCTTGACGAAGCAGGTGGTGTACCTCAAGGTCAAGCTGTTATTCACTTTCTTCTTCACAAGTGTTATCGGCTTGTTTATAAACTACAAATTGCCTGTGAACCTGTTGCCGACTCTTTGATGCCAACGTATAATCAGCTACTGACATTGCAGCGATGTTTGAACGAGCTAAAACGATGGAGGGTCGAACTAACTCAACCAGAGTTGATTCCATATCAAATCAAACTATCCACCATCGATGCTATTGTAAGTTAATCTATTGTTATTTTTGGTGTAAGGGTAGAAAGCTTGCTGAGCTAACAGCAAATATAACACTTGATGTTGAATACAAATTTAGCGCCAAGACGGAAAGTTTGTGGATGAGGATGGTGAGATTCCTGAAGGACAAGGCATTCTTCACGATCTGCTGAGCGACTGTTATGAACTACTGCGCGATCTTCAAATGGGATGTAATGACTAGACTCAATGTTCATTCTTAATTTTATATGCGCATTTTTCTGGCCTGTTTTTAGCTATAATGGTGAAATAAACCAGAATACAATATCATTCTTGTTTATCTATTCAGTGCTATTCTTTAATGTATGGACGATCATGACTTGTAGATTGGCGAATTATAATATTCATTAATTTTGACCTTGATGTGTTATACTTGATTGTCGTCAACTATTACATTATGGATTTACCAGACATGTCAAGACACACTCTTAAACTACCCAAAAACTATAGCAATGTTAACGAATACACTCAATCCCTCTGTGCATTCATCAACGATTACTCTTGGATACTCAATGTGTGTTGTTTCATTTCAACTCTCCATTGGTTGAGCTGCAGATTCAATCAGCATTAACATTGCATTTCTGTCATTAGTGCCATGTAGTGGATATATTTGTCGACAATGTCTGGACAACACAGTTTCCAGAAGGCTGGCATGCATTAGCTGACCCATCCATCTGCTCTAGAATGGATTTACTTGCACTGGCTTCGAGACGAATACTTCCTAATAGGAATCAACAACTCGCTCCATGGCCCAACACCTTGAAAGAGTTTGTTGAGCGATCAAAAAAAGTGGCATTGCCAAGAAATCCAGATGACGAATGGGTTGTAGAAACATTGTCAAAAGGTATGCCTTGAGAGCCATTCACAAAATAACATTGACTCCAATCTACACATTTAAATTTCAATCAATCCTCTGTATTCAATGATATAGCACCGAAACTGGACAAACGATTAACTTATGGTATGAATCCAAAAAAACTCATCGAGGTTCAAGCATTATCTGCTCTTATCAACAACCTCGCCGAATCCAACACTATTACACGAATCCTTGATATAGGAGCAGGACAAGGATATCTCGATGCTGCACTGGTATACGGGTATGGCCATACGGTAATTGGTGTAGATGACGACATGGTACAGACTTGTGGAGCAAAATTCAAGGCAGGCAGGACTGCTAAACGTGTCGGTGTCAATAAGGCTATCCATAGAGATTCAGTAGACCAAAACAGTCGGGAATTACCCAAAGCTTTTGGACAATTATTTCACGTTAATCGCCGAGTGGAACCAACCGAGACTTTTCAAACAGTATTGAATAGTCTTGTAGTAGCAAACACTACACTCCACCATGAACGCTTGGCACCACCAGTCGAAACCATTGATCGAGAAACCGATGCAACGTGGATGCTGATTGGACTTCATACTTGTGGTGATTTGGCTCCATCTACTCTTCGTCAGTTTATAAATGGCACTGCCAAGGTGTTGTGTAATGTTGGATGCTGCTATAATCACATTACTGAAACGTATACGTCTGATAATGTGCCATTGAATTGCACGGGATTTCCTCTCAGTAAACATATTAGATCTACTCATCTTCAGCTTGGATTCTCTGCTCGTATGACAGCGTGTCAGGCCACATGTAGATGGGAAATGGATCCTGATGGATCCAATACAAATTTTAAAAAACATTGGATGCGTGCAGTACTTCAGCAACTTATTGTAGACGAATTGGGATTGGTAAGCCGTGAAAACACTCACAATATCAAAGTTGGAAGGCTAGGTCGTAAAGGAAAATTTGATTCACAGAATGCTCAAGGTGATGACAGATACGACGAGTCTGATGAAGTACTAGGAACACAGTTTGCCGCATATGCTACTATTGCTTTGAATTGCTTGTACAATCAAGGTATATGCGATTGTCCATTGGAAAAACGCACTCCAGAATTTTTGGCTACATTTGGGAAATCACTTGCATATAGGAAGCATGAAGTGGCTGCATTGTGGACACTACGGGCTATGATGGCTGAGGCTGTTGAAAGTTTCATTCTATTGGATAGATTTATGTTGCTGGTTGAGGCAGATATACCTGAATTGGTCGTGCGTATGGTTCCAATCTTTAAATTGGAGGACTCTCCTCGAAACATGGCGATTATTGCCATTAAAACATGATTCTGTTGAGATCTTTCGAATCAACACGACTGTCTAGCACATTGTACTGAAAAACAATGGAAACTTGCCAAAATAGATGGATTAAATGCTTTTACATGAATATGATTCAAAAAGTGTATATTTACAAATTACGGGTGGATATTGATGAACCGTGCACTAATCATTGACTTTGATCTATGGCTATTATTTAAATCGTGCAATCATCATCTGCTATTAAAACCACGCCATCAAAAGTAATAGTATACAAGGTAGATTGTATCAGTGCAAAATACCAAAAATGTATAAGCCAGTGCATTTTTATTATAAATATGGAATTGGCATTAATTCTAGTTTTTAAACAGGTTTTTTTAGATATCAAATCGATTCATGTGCAATACTCGAGATTTTTACAACCCTATTCATGTAAAATCAAGCATTTGTGTTTCAATAGCCACAAACTATAATATTAAGCCTGCTTCTTTTTCTCTTATAGAACAGTCATAGATTGTACGATCACCAGATTCATCCATCACAATCCAAACATTGACTCGATTATTTCAATGTTGTTAATCAGACTCATATATATTGTATTCTAATCTCATGTTTGCGTTCTAGTTTAACAATGATTGCACATCTCGAGAATGAAGCTGTTGTTTTCATGCTAATTACCAGGAAACCCCCAGTCAACTAAACAGTTCAAGACACAATGTTGTTTGATAAGTTTGGTAGGGATTGACTACTTATTATGATTGACACCCTTATTTAGTGATCCATTCTACGTGAATACAGCTGTAAAGTCAAGATACGCTCATCTTGATCAGATGCAACCATCGAGTCTTATTCCCGCCTATTTAGAATGCATTTATATTCAACGCTTTATTCATTTAAGGTTTCCAGTCTCTTCTTCATCTCTTTTCTCGTCTTCTTCTGCAAGACTTGTGCTATCTGCATCGTTTTCTTGTGACATATCGCTCTTGATTTTACTGCTCTGATCTGTATCAATAGGCGTTGCTGTGCTACCACTTCCACCTATGGGCCGCATTGCTTCTAGTGTTCTCCGTCTATGCATTGCTTCCTTGACCGTAATCATATGTGGCACAATCTCTATATTGATGTAGTGTTGGTTGATTAGATCTACTCTAGACTTGTAAAACCATTCAACTGTACAACTCACCGGTTAAAAACTCGAATTCCTGCACATCATTCACAGCCAATGCTAGAATATCAAACAGTTTATGATTAAGATGAATAACATCATGTCGAGTTGGTAGCTAGTTTACTACATTTGAAATAGATATCCATAATATAAATAGGATGCATCCGATTCAAACCGATTTCAAGTAGATTACTCACCAACATCTGAATAATTCAATGACCGTCGATGATCTCTTTTAGCATAGTCAAAGGCCTCGCTGGTGAGCAATTCCAAAAACAATTCCTATTCGAATCATTTGTATAAATCAGTCAATGTAAATCGGTACATCAAGATATATGAACTTGACAGTACTTACCGTCGCAACGGCCACTGCAAACACCGCTTCAGCAGTGGTAGATTGGACATCCTTGTCCAGTTTCATGATCGACTTGACTCGAGCTTGGGGAAATGTAGTGCCAACTGCCTTTTCCTTTTTTGCTATGGTTGGTTCTTGAACAGTAGAATCTAAAGCATCTGTAGGTGCAATAACAGGCTTGACTGGACTGTTGGGTCCACTAATAGGAGATGCGCCTGACATGACTTTTTATTGGACAAAATTCAATCTTGTCAAATAGCGACTCAAATCTATGCAAATTCAAGCTGATTTTTACAATTGTTGATTCATGCAAGACTATTGAAGGTGTCAATCTTACTGAATGTGTTGTAAAATGAGTAGTTTTGCTACTCATTTTCATTCGTCACAATTTGTCAATCCTTTAACAGTGTCACAGAACTCATACCGTCCATTCTTAAACTCTGCTAGAGTTTAATAAAATAGGGTTTGTACAGCATGCGATACCCGACACGATGTTTATCCAACAAATAATCAATTTCTAATAGAAAAATGTAACGACTATTCAATCATGATCTATTCTAAAATAGTCGATGCAAGATAATGTTATTACTCATGTGAATACGACTGGAAATCAAGCATGACTGATTGCAGTTTGACTTTGCTATCAGAGCATAGCTTCACAACGTAATCATGCATCTATTACATGTCTGAGCGCATTGCCCAAGATTCACGGAATGCCAGTCATGTGAATACTTGATAAGCACTAAAAGACCATCTTGAGTGATCTATAGTTTCCCCAGAAATTGAAAAGTGGCTGTCGAAGCATCAACTGGTTGATATACAAACTATAGCGCTTTGCATTCGACTTTGAGTTCCTTACAAAATGCTCGGATTTGGACGACAAGCTTCTAGAAGATTACGACTTCTGATACTGTTTTTAATTGGAGCCTATGGACTATATCATCTCTCTTTTTACTTCAATCGACGCACTAGCACCACCAAACCATTCTTGGTCGGATATCCTATTGGGGACAACATAGATATGGAGGGTGATGCTGAATTTATTCAAGGAAACATTTTCCCTGATCATGATGCTCAAAATTGGCAATCATCTATCTGTATGTCAAATGTGCTTACTTTTCAAACACCATGTTGGAGGCATGAAACTGTTTGATTTTCTATTCCTAATCTTAATTTGTATGGATTAATAGTCACTGCTAATATTACCAGATATCAGCTACCAAGTCCGAGTACTGGTCTTCCACCCAAAGATGGTAGTGCAGATTTTGTCAAGCAAATGTATGTTCGTGAAGTGAGTATCTACGTTTGGTTGTCACGCACTATCTGGATGTAAACCTGAGCCCTGCTTACTGTATAGAGTCAAATTTGCATACATGCTGATGACTATATGTTGACGCAATTTACTTTATACAGATGATTCGCCATGCATGGTCTGGATATATGAAATATGCTCGTGGAACAGATGAACTTGATCCCTTGACAAAGACTGGACACAGCTGGACTGAGCCAGGATCCATGCTTTTCACTCCAATTGACTCCATGTCGACTCTCTTTATTGCAGGAATGATGAAAGAATTTAATCAGGCCAAGGCTCTTGTGATTGAGAATTTAGATTACGACAAAGTCGACACGGATGTAAATGTGTTCGAGACCGTGATTCGTGCATTGGGTGGGTTGTTGTCTGCATATGATTTGGATGGAGATGAGCGGATACTAGCACTTGCAGTGGACTTGGCTGATCGTTTGGAATGCGTATTTCAGACAAAAACTGGAATCCCAGAAAACATTGCTAATCTGAAAGAGTGAGTTTGTTATCCATGCTTTGGTATGAGATTGGATACGTTTGCTAATCACTTGGCTGCATTTGAAATATAGAAGAAAGGCCAAACCCGGATATCTTTCATTGGCAATGGTGGGTACCAATCAGCTAGAATATCAATATTTATCGGACATTACTGGAAATCCAAAGTATGCCAATAATGTAAGTTGCCTATACTTTATTGTTCAAATTTTTCATTTCTGTTTATAAACACAGTTTGGATGCTGAATATTGACTTGTGAATTACTATAGGCTTTGTATGCGCTTGAGCAAATCTCATCAATCCAGACCAGTATCAAGGGGTTTGCACCTATGGAGATTAGCACATATTCTTTGACAGAAACATCTCAGTGGTATGCTGTCGCCTTGGAGACAGACTCATACTATGAATATCTGCTCAAGTTGTGGCTATCTACTGGTGATGTTCGCTATAGAAAGTTGTACGATGATGCAGCATCGGTAAGAATCGCCAAGGCTCATTGTATGTGTGCATTGGATATTAATATTCAACTCATCGTTTTATTGGGATTAGGCTATTGAGGAGCATTTATTGATCAAGACACCAACTGGAGGAGCTTATTTAACTGACAAGAGATATGGCGTCACATCAGATAAATTCCATCACTTGGTGTGTGCTTGTTTCATATGCTATTTTTATGATCATGTAGTGGCTATATTCAAATAGTCTGATACATGTGCACAAAACTAATAATGATTGTTGGCATGCTACTGTATGGGACTGTACCAATCTGCGATAGAGTTGCTTTGCAGGCGGGATGTTTTCTACAGGCGCAGTCACACTCGCCAATGAGGACGCAGATCGTTATTTCAAGATTGCCTCTCAGCTTACGCAAACATGCTATGACTCGTATCAAATTTCGGAATCTAAACTTGGGGGTGAATGGACAAGAGTAGATGCTGATGGAAATTTGATAGCTCATACTCGCAGTTACATTCTAAGGTAGTATTGAGTATGCTTAATGATCTTGAATGATTTGATGCCAACATCTATTTTTGGTAGGCCCGAGACTGTCGAGTCCATTTTTTACATGTGGAGATACACTCATAATCCTATTTACCGAGAATGGGGATGGAGCATTGTCCAGGTAAATCTATAATTGTCGTGTACTGTATTTAACACGGTGTGCAGTTGAAACTGTAATTAATAGGATATTTTTAAATACCACTGATTAGGCATTGGAATCCAATTGTAAAGATGATGTGGGATATCACGGCCTAGACGATCAAGGGAAACCACACAATCGCCAACAGTCTTTTTTCTTGGCAGAGACACTCAAATATCTATACTTGCTGTTTTCAGACGATAGCACGATTGATTTGAGCAAATATGTATTTAACACCGAGGCTCATCCAATTAGCGTTCGTGGATATGGACGTCGAAAGGATCCGAAAAAATGGGTTGATATTCCTAGTCCTGGACACTTTAAAACCCATGACTAACAAAGTTTGGCAACTGGATAGGATTTTTAAAATGAATGGGCGGTTTAGAGAAACATGAGTTGAAAGCATCGTGAATTGCTTTACTGCCAATATTTAGCTCGACTTTGGCAGTCAGGGTTTGATCACATGCATAGAACAACGTGATTTAATTTTGTATCTGAGATACACGTGACAGTGCTATTGGCTTGTATTTAGTCTCCAGCCTTGACAAATGCATACTCATAGCTGCAGTTATTTCTATACCAATGAGCAATCAGAAAGGACACAGTCATACTGCTGGTGCTGGAACCACTGTTTCTGACAGAGACATTGTTTCTACCTTTAAATTACTGCTTATTGGTGACTCTGGCACTGGAAAATCCTCACTTTTGTTACAATTTACAGACGACCTTTGGCTACAGCCTGATGAGGTGTCGGCTACTATTGGTAAACCATGCTTATTTACGATTGATTTCATACCTATTGTTTTGGCCATTGATTTTATGGATATTTGTGCTGTAGCGCAGACCCTTGATGGCTATCCGCATCACTTTGCATAGACCCCTGCTATTCTTTTTGAATAGTCGCTGAGTGGCAAGATTTTATCTCATATCTAAATCTATTGCAACTGTAATGTATATGTAGGTGTAGATTTTAAAGTCAAAGTAATCGATATTGATTCCAAAAAATATAAGCTTACCATCTGGGTAAGTTGTATGCCATGGATTCAACAAATGGTTTTAATATCTGAAGCAGCGGATCTCATTTTGTCGTGCTCTGTGATTGGGTAGGATACTGCTGGACAGGAGCGATTTCGAACATTAACATCGAGCTACTATCGTGGTGCCCAAGGAGTTATTTTAGGTATGACGACGGTCTCATTTAACTGGATCCTTTTCTACTTTATCCACTCACCTATAACTTGCTGTTTAGTATATGACGTGTCAAACAGAGGATCGTTTGATCATCTCCAAACGTGGTTTAATGAGCTTGACACGTACACTTCGAGCAATAACTCTGTTGTCAAGATCATTGTAGGAAACAAGAGTGATAAAGATGTTTCAGGTGGCCGCGAAGTTCCTCGTAAAGAAGGCGAGGCATTTGCCAAGAAGATGGGAACTCTATTCATTGAAACGAGTGCTAAAACTACTATGGGAGTCAGAGATGCATTTGTTGAGGTTGTTCGTCGAGTAAGTTGCTGTATGTTTGGAGTTGCGATGTTTGAATTCTGGATTCATCTTATTTACATGTGGCGATTATTGATAGATTATTGATACGCCGTCACTTTGGCAACGAAACCAGTCTGGTTCACGAACAGGCAATGTGACTTTGGCTGCTGGTACATCTGCTGATGCACAATCGTACTGCAGCTGCTGAGTATGTTGGTGATATTTTTTGGCCCTATACACCTTAACCACTAATCCTGTCTATGCCTTCTCTACTATTTGATTCCGAATTTCTTTGTTTCTCCCATTTTCTTTTATATCTGTCACCAATTATATATATTTAAGCAAAGCAATGGATTAGCTTTTTAGTTATTGTGTGGGTGGGAGTGCAATTGCTTGGAACTGAATGCAGACGAGTAGTTGGATAGACTTTAATTTGGTAGATGAACTGCAAGTGATGATTTTGTCCTTTTACCCATTATTTTGTTGTGGCTATCAGCAGACTCGAACAATATGCGCATTAATGAAAACACCACCATTATGAGTGACAGTGAGTTGGATCAGGAGAAGGATGACACTAGCCCAGGAATGCTGGCTAACTTTGTTGAGTATGAACCTGATCTTTAATTAGCTCTAAACTTGGTGCTAGTGCCATACAGGACCGAGCATGTTCCAACATATCATGAGTGGATGAAAGACGAGTTTCTTCAAAGTACGCATTGGTAGATATATACATGAAGCAAGCATCCAAGTGTCTAATCTGTTAACATGGTGTTTAGAAATGACGGCATCAGAGCCTCTTACGCTTGAGGAAGAGTATGAGATGTGCGAGTCTTGGCGCACAGATGAATCAAGTATATAGTTGTCAAGATTGCAGTTTCTAGTTTGAAACGATACACACCATGAATCAGAGATTATAGGACTGATCCATACACTGTTTAGAGTGCACGTTTATTGTATTATCGCAGGATATGGCAGACAATCGACACGGACCTTTGTGTGAGATAGCAGGGATGATTGGTGATGTGAATCTGTATCTGAACGATCTAGACAATGCTCAGAATGCAGAAATTGAGGTTATGATTGCAGGTAAGCTAATGATAGGACATGCGATGTATGTGGTGATACTAACAAGATGGGAATGTGAATAGAGCCAAGTGCCAGGAGAAAAGGGTTTGGCAAGTGTGCGACGCATATGATGATGAGATACGGTAATGGATTGGATGAGACAGTGGATTGTAAGGGATTTCAAGACTAAGTCTAGTATGAAATAGGCCAAGAACAGTTGGGATTGAAGCAGTTTACAGCCAAGATCTCGTTGGAGAACCAAGCAAGTCGAGCCATGTTCCGATCGCTGGGATACCAGTCAGACAGTGTATCACAAGTGTTTCAAGAAGAAACACTTGTATGGAAGTGTCATGGATTGATCCCAGACATGCAAGGGAAACCAGACTTCAATGAAGGGTTGTAAGCTTTCCAAGTTTTGTAAGACGGGTGGATGAGACGACAGTTGGTGTCTCACGAACGACATGTGCTGCAATGGTTGGCACTGCAGCCATCTGCAACCAGCAATACAGTCCAGCCATCGCTGCAGTTGGCTTTGGTGTCGTCAGACTCTCTGCTGCACAACTTCCAAATTCATGTCATGCCTGCCTGGCTGATGGACTGTTCCAAACTCACAAAGTCCTTTGTTGTTGCTACCAACCTTGCATCTGACTCCATCTCTGTTGCTATTATATCAATTGGAAATAACCCAGTTGCTGCAACTCCCAATGGTAACTCTGATGATCCTACGAGGTTTGTGGCAGAGGGTCTTTCTTTGGCTGTTCAGAGACTGTTTGGTGAGTTTGAAGAGGACGGTCTCGTACCAATGCATACAAACCTAGGAATCATCATGACTGGAATGCCCATCGAGTTGAGTCTTTTGAAATTCGGCTTCTCTGCATGAATGCTGTCGCTTGACTAATCCCAACTGTTTGATATCAGATCTGCCATTCCTATTCCTTCTGGTGAAAACTACGACACTGCTCTAGCCCAAATCATTCTCAAGACCAACTTGTCAATATTGGGTTTGCTGCATTCAACCGACAAGATCGATTGTGCTCCTTTAGATCCTTTGACTAGAAAAAATATACATAGCCAGTTGGGTGTTCCTCCTACTTGTTGTGCTGCTGAAAACTTAATCCCAATTCTTACTCGCATGATTCATCATGGTTTGCATTTTTTTGACGCACTTCAGCTACCATCAGACCACTCCTTCATGTCCCCAGATCTGACTATTATTTATGAAGTCACACTTGCCGCGATGGAGTATTTCTATTTCGAATTTGGTCCCTTTTCCAACATCACCAAGTTTGAATCTACAAATACCGCCAATAGCACTCCACTCTCTACTACATCCACACCAAAACCATGGACTCAAGCATCAATGTATACTGTTGTTCTTACCAAGCTTAATGCCGCTAGATCACGTCTTACTGCCCTTGGATATCCACCACCAAAAGGTGTGCATTTATCAGATCCAAACTCTCTTCGTAAACAAGTTAAACATTTTCAGCGTACCGTTGGTCTCGAAGTGACAATGGTGTTGGATAAGCGCACACGTACAAAAATGGACTCAAACACTACTGGAAGAAAAACTGCCGGTGATGTTGTAAGCGAGATTGGTGGTGCTATGATGAATTCACTGCGATCAAAAATCAATGATTTCACAGGTTTGCATGCTTGGGGAGTCGATAACGACAGCGATGATCGGAGCGGTCAAATGGATACTAGGAGCGATGATGGCGAGGTTCATAAAAATTATTCTCTTTCATTCGATCCCCCGTCTCTAGCTGCTACTCCATCTAACCCTACCCTTGGAACTCCTACCAGTATACCTTCTACCTCACAGCCCATTGGTCCTCTTGCTGCAAACACCTTGACTGTAGATAATTTGGCTGCAGTGGCTGCTACAGAAACCAACCGCGTTCTTGTAGACTATATTAAATTGGTTATGGAGGACAAGTCAGTCTCCAGCATGAATGAGATTAAAATTGGCGCTGATGGCAACGATGGCGGATTCAGTCGCAACAATCAAGTCGTTGATGGGTCACAATCACCTAATCCCAGCAAAGATACTTCCAATACACATTTAAATATAGGCTCGTCGTGGAAGATGGGTCGCAGGTGGAGTACAACTAATGGACTTCCTCTTTTTCCAATGCTTTCTCAGAATAATAGTGTAAAGTTGTCACAAACAGCAAATTCTTTGGCTGCTGGACCTGTTGGAGGCAGTGATAAATCGGCCGGTCCAACTCATCAGCATTCGCCATCATCTATACCGCCTGTTTTGGGTCAAACGGATGCAAAAAGTATTGATCAGGATTTTTCACAGGGCAGTATACATGCCAACATACTCTCACCTAGATTTTCTCGCGAAGCTTCACTTGCATCTGCCTCTAGTATTCATCCTAGTCAGAAGCAGCTCGTGGATTCATCATGGCTTACAACATCTATCTCCAGCTCACAAAATATCAATGATACAACTGCACCTATCTCAAATGATAGCAGTCCATACGCTTCAGCTCCACCTACAGTGAGTGACGTTGCACATGCAACTTCTCTTGCTACACGCAACGCATACGAAAGTACAGCGCGTCCAGTTGGAAACTCCAACTTGCCAAAGCCATCGCTTCAGCCTGGATCTCCTCAAAAAAATGGAGATAGGAGTATTGGTGGAGCAACGAGCAAATTCAATTCGTTTGACTTGACATTGAATGAAGCGAATGTTGGTGCGGCAAATACTGACGGGTCTGGATTGAACAATGCGGGCTTCCTCGAGTCTGAGAGTGCACAAAGGGGTCGTAATAAACCTCGATGGATGATGGAACTAATGGCTGAAAAAGATACTAGTGCTTCCCAATACAACACACAACGTTTTTTCTCTCGATCGATATCTGTGCCCCTTTCAACATCGACTGGAGCGTGTCCAAGACCATCTATTCAAAGCATGCATCGATATGGAGTGTATACTAACCATGGCTTTTCATCAGCCACTTTTATTACACATGCATTACGTGATACGAACAAGGATACACAGCTAGTAAATGGAATGCATCGAAGAGCAAGTTTTAGTGGATTCTCAAAACCCATCGATTTTGTTAATGTACTTCCGTCTCATTGGTATCAACAACGGAATCATCATGTGTCCTCTATGCCTGCTGAAATGAATCATCTGATAAATGAACTCAATACACATTGCGGCACTGTTGCTCAGGCCTTGACATCGCTAGATACTCTTTCATCAACCATATCTGAGCTGGACGAGTACATACAATCACTTGAAGATACAATAGCTCAACGCACCCAGCTTATAGACCGATCGCTACTGATAATGGAGCAATCTGCTGCAGATCAAGATAAATGGGAGGCGATAGTGTGCGACACTGAAAATGATGGCCAACGGATTGAATATGCATTGGGGGGTGCCAGTGAGGTGGTGGTAGAGTTTGAAGGAGAAATGAGAAGGTTTTTAAAGGGAGTGAATGCCGCTGAACGACGGGTGGGAGAAATCTTGATTGACATGGCTGGATAGAGAACGGATCTGATGGCTCTTGACTAGATTTTAAGCTTGTAAAATGAATAAATAACCTCGATTACACCAGATGCTGTATATCAATGTCTATTCACATTGCTTCAACCCCAAGCTGAAACTCAAAAGTTTATGAATATATGAATGTATTTTTGCTATCGTTAGTCGATCCTTGACAATGTGGATTACCACTGGTGGTAGCACAGAATTTCAAAGTCCTTGGCATGATACTCGGATCCACCAAACGAATACGAAATACCGCCAAGATGATCGCCAACTTTTCCAGGAACCCAGAGTCCATCACGACGGAATCTGCCGATATAAAGTTCCTTGCCATCAGGCTCACGACCACCAATGATTGGAGCTGAGAATTAGTTTAGATAAATCAAGGGTTAAAATCAGGCCATTGATGTAGAGATTGAATCTATAACCCTAGTATTGCATTACCATATGCATCACTGAATTGGGTGTTGGCATTGCGCACTGCCACCCATTCAAGATGCTGATCGTCAGCAACGAGGACTTCACAATTAGACAATGTAACTTCCTTGCCAGCGTATCCGATGCTAATACATGAATGGAACCATTTAGTTTTCCAATGACAACCACCAAGATTCAAGCTGTGAACGAATGAGGCGTAACAACGAGCTAATGATTCATGCAAGATTAAACATGGCCATCTAGTCGTACTCACCTGCAGCCTCCTAGATGCTGGCCCATTTTCCCTGGATGCTCTCCTCCATTATAAAACACTCGAGAAATAAACAGTTTCCGTCCTAATGCATAGCACTAGTCAGACACATGATCGTAATAATGAACAATATACAAGTCATAGAATGACAACCAGTCACTTGCCATCCTTTTCTTGACCACCAAGAACAGCATGTTCAGGAACAGATCCATTCTTACTAGGTTCCCATCCAATATCAACCACGGGTGGTTGAGGAGCATTAGCACCATATCCAGTCTGTCGTTGAAAAGATGAAGCAGTAGCCATAACTGGGTTGATTTAAACTGGTTTGAATCGACAGTTGTCTTGACGTAAATAGAGAACTGGATCAAGACGCCAAAATACATCAACAGCCAATTCACACTAAATTTACTCGAGTTGTGCCGAGTTTACTAGTTGATTGGTCTTTCTCCAGACGATCGCATGCAAATTGTGGTTTGATGATAATGGATGTTGTAGGTAACGGATTGGGACTATTGACTAAATCTGTAGTAGAAAGGCAGCGAATCTTTGATATTCAAGGTACTACAATTTGAATGCATCCACAATCTACACCCAGTTTATGCAATATACATTCAACAGTGTCTAGACCACAATCATTTTTAGTTTTGTCGGGTGTAACGGGAGTTGCCTGATAGATAGTGTGAGATAAGCCACTGCACGATCTTAATGTTGTTGGTGAGTGCACTATTGCCGTTATCCTAATCCATGGCTTGCAATGTGTATACTTTTTTAGTGTAGCTGCTTGAGTAGTATAAACATCCATCCATCGTGTCTTTTCTACCACAATGTCGCTCGTTTTGTTTTGGTATGATTTTTAACATTCTACTTATACTTTGCAAGCTAATTTGAAGCAATCGTGTAGGTTTACGGATAATTCTTGTTTTCAAAATGCTGCAACGACAGCCTGCTTGATGCTATCAGAATGTATTCAACACGATGAAATCGTGATGTTAAAGTATAAATACTCGTCTTGATTCTCATTCTGATTGTCGATAGCCGTGAGCTTGCTCAATTCAACAAGATACACTAAACTCTAAATATCAAGTACTTCAGATCAAATGGCCACTACCATTGCACTTGCTGATAACAACCAACTGCTTCCGCTACATTTACTGTGTAAGGATTCTTATTCAATCAGTCCTAATCTATCTATTCCCTTGTGGAGAGTCAAAGAACCCAAACGCATTCCCATTGACATGCCACTAGCCAAGTCTGATTTATGGGCTCATGTGTGGGGAGTATCGCTGCTACTGGCTCAATTGGCTTGCTCTGTCTTTCAGGAAGAAGTGGTTGACGCAACTGTTTTGGACATTGGCACTGGCATGGGAGTATCTAGCATTGCTCTAGCTATATCTGGTGCTGCGTTGGTGGTTGCTACGGACTTTGCACCCGAATCTGTGGCTATTGGACGAATGAATGCTGGTATCCATTTGCATTGCCACTATCGTTGTTATTGTTATGCTCTAACTTGCTATGTGTGCTAGAACTCAATGGGTTTAATGATTCCAGGCTTAGATTTGATCACTTGAATTGGCATGAGCCTTTAGATTCTTCCCTCGTTGCCAAGTTTCATCTGGTTGTTGGTGCCGATGTCATCTATATGCGCAATGCCCTGTCTAGCATTGCTCGTATCGTTGATGATGCCATGCTGTCTGGTGGTATCACTGTACTAGTTGATGCTGGTCGTCCAAACGTTGAAGAGTTTCAGGATGCTTGTTTCGGTAAAGCATAAATGCATTTACACTCTACTGGCTTTATATTTATAATGGTCCAATTCAACTTTTGTTTTTTAGATCGTGGACTCGTTGCTACCCATTACGATATATTCAGATATCAGACATCTGTCTGTGTGCTACGCAAGGCAAGCATTGTTGTAGTCACCAAAGGCGAGCCTTCTCTTCGTTCCCAAGCCATTCATCAACGCATTGCAGAGTTTTGCAAGAGTACTGCTGGTTTGCCTCTTGAAACCAAAGAGGTGTTTGTTAGCGAGTTTGGATGCTGCCAAAAGACGTGAATATGAAGGCGATGTGTTTGTAGTTATAAAAACAAATTCACTGGTTTCCAGGCTTTCCAAGCATACTAATACATATGGTTTTTAAAAATATATTCAAAATCCATACGGTTCAGGTGAATGTTAGATCTTGAAGCATACTGTTGATGATACAAATAAGATTATCTAGTGCAAATAGCACTTCAGTATCAGGACCTTGACCATCATCCACAAATGACGAGTGCGAAAAATCCAACAAATGAACCTGAACTGGATGTAAATTGCTCAACGAATTAACAGGACAATCAGAGTCTTGACTGATGGCTCTGTTCCACGCAGATGGATCGCCTTCGTATACCAACAAAACAGATGCACCATAAATACGCAATGGTATTGATTTTAAAACAGATCGCAGCTGCACAAGTAAATCTCGCGTACAAGTCATGATGGTCTGGACCTTTAGACCCTCGGGAGTATTCAAACTCAACATCGTAGGAGTGAGTGAATCAGGGTGTGAGGTGCATCCACGTTGACCAGGAACTGCCAAAGTAAAAAATGCCTCTAATCCAGCACGAACCAGTTTAAACGAGGCCGTTTGGTTATCTTCAAGCGAGGTTTTCTTGGATTCAAATAATATGGATCTACCAAAAGATCGGTCATAGACATCGTAGGTTTGGGTCTTGGGTTGAAACACCTTCATGCCACAAATCCTCAAGCCAATAGATCCAGAAGTAGTGATTTGTGACTGCAGAATCATAAGGTCTCGCTTTTCTGGCGATACACCATCTCCATACAATCTTACTCCCACTTTAATGTCAGAAATGCAAGGAAAAGAGTATCCTGCAGTCAAGTCAGATAAAAAAAGCTTCGCATATCTAGGCGGAGAGTGTTGTAGTATCGGGGTCAAAGGATGCTCAACAATGGTTGGAATGGAGTCTGGGAGGTCAGACATGGAAGGATCAGAACAATGACCAAAGTATTGAGGCATGAAAAGACGATACATGTTGGAGTAGTTTGAAAGAGCATGACGGTAGAAAGCAATTTCAGATAGAGTGGTGGATTTAACCAAGCAAGGACTGGTTGTGGTAGTAGAAACAGTGCAAGGCTCAAAAGAGTCTACATGTCCAGCAACCTGATGAACAAACGATCGCTCTGTACACTTGAGTAGTTTGGCAGAAGGTGCAATGAATTCGGTCATGACAAATCAATAAAATGAATTCCATTTCAGACAAGCTATAGATATAGAGTCTGGCCATCAAAATAATGGCTTATGTCGTGTCAATTGCCAACAAGACCGACTTGGTTCTTGCCCAGCATTGCCAGACATGCATTTATATCATTCCATGATTTTGCTATCCATGCTGATCGCTACTGCTCTTGCTTTTGGATCTGCTGGCAAAGGACTTTCTGGAGATTCTCCTTTCAAAAAAACTTCATCGCTGACCCCGCTCAAGTCCATCCTGTCTTTAAAACACTGTTCTTTGGTACTATCTCAGTTGTTCTATCGTGGTGAATCATGATGTGTTTATAACGAGTATGAACGAATTCATTCTAATATTTGACTGGCGTTCCGCTATCCCAATTTTCCATTTCAACTGTCATTCCACCCTCGATAACAATCGCACATTATGCATTCAATGTTATAATGCAACCCATTAAAAGCCATCGGGGACTGTTAAAGATACTTGCTGTAAATTCGAGACGGCTCAGGGAGTCAATGCTCGCCTGTTTCCTGTTCTTGATGAACTTGTCAAAACCACTGTTTTTCGATATTTCAAAGTCAATCTACAAAAACAGTGTCCTTTTTGGAACGAAAACTTTTTATGCTTTGGTGAACATTGCTCAGTCACTGAAGCTGACGAGGTTGGTACTGCTTTGACCTACACAATCTCATCTACTTGTTTTGACTAAATGCGGTCCGTTTTGTGTCGATTTGTTTTTTCTAGCATGAAATTCCAGAAAAATGGCGCACAGAGGCTCTCTCATCCATCAATTGGGAGGCTAGCAAATCAAAAGGATTGAAGCTTGTCAAGCAATGTGAATTCAACGAAAAAGATTTTTGTCAGCTGGATGATGAATTAACTGAAGGTATTTGTCTTGATCTTTTTGAACCTGGTAATCGTTTTAATGTCATGGTATTGAATTCTTTTTTGAGCAGTTGGAAATTATGTTGATTTGGTCAAGAATCCTGAGCGGTTTACTGGATATTCAGGAGAATCTAGCGAACGTGTTTGGGGTGCTATTTACAAAGAGAATTGCTTCCAGACTGCTGGATCCCATTTAAACACTGGCAATATCAATCCGTTGGAACGAAATATTGATGATGTGTGTACCGAAAAGCGCGTATTCTACAAGCTAATCTCTGGTGCGCATTGCATGATGAGTTCATGTGCTCTGACTTGATAACCGTACAAATTTTGTTGGATTTTAAGCTAATCTAGTCATTTTTGATCCATAGGTCTTCATTCGTCCATTTCCATGCATATCTGTGATCAATGGTTCAATCAAATCACTGGTGAATGGGTAGGCTCATGCAGTGCTGATATTGTTGGCAGCCATTATTGGAGAAATAACTTTGATTAAATTCTGCCAATCCTTGTAATTTAGGTTCATAATTTAGACTGTTATGTTGACAGAATTGCCAAATTTCCTAGCCGACTGGAAAACCTTTATTTTTTATGGGCAATTGTTGTTCGATCTGCCTCCAAACTTGCTCCGTATCTAGCCAATCACCCTTTCTGTGATGGCACCCAGGACGAGCGTCTTGTAAAGGTATGCAGCTATAATGCAATGCTGGTTGTGTGTATTTTTGTTATTCACTGCTGACTGTATTGACTGTCCAGGCACATGTGGATCAAGTTGCCAAGATTGTGTCGACATGTCCCTCAACATTTGATGAGAGTACCATGTTTGCGGAAGCTTCGTATTTAGTAAGTTGACAGATTGGCTTTTAGTTCTCCAAATATCGTTAATCTATACAAACAACACTCTTTATCGCAACTATTAGGATTTAAAAGATGAATTCAAGTTGCGCTTTCGCAACATTTCACTCATTATGGACTGCATTGGATGTGAAAAATGTCGTTTATGGGGCAAGCTGCAGATCACTGGATTAGGAACTGCCTTGAAAGTCTTGTTTTCGTATGGGAATGACGTGAATGACTACAGACTCTCCCGTTATGAGTTGATTGCGTTTATGAATGTATTTCATCGTCTTTCTGAAAGCTTGATGGCTGTGGAGCGATTTCAAACCCAACTTTCTGAAAAATTAGAAGTCGAGAAATCTGCAAATGGCCATGTTGGTTCTGTTGTTGGAAAGATGGACAAGAAATCCGACTTTTTAGATGGTGTTAAGCAGGAATTGAGTCCTGGTGCGTCTACATTTGAAGCTTCTAAAACAAAAGCAGAGCCAACCCAAGACTCGATAGTTGACACGCCCCGAGTACTTACATCCGAGTACCTGTTGCTGCATACAGAGTTGTTTCAGCCAGAACATTCTTTACTCTATATCATTGGGTTTATCATTGTAGTGTTGGGCATGGCACGACTGCTTTACAAGGCATATGACAAAAACATTCGGGTAGACATGCAAGCTGCTAAAGATCGAATGAATGCCAAGAATAAATAAGCTTTTGATTGGATTCAGCATGATTGAAACCAACCAGTCTTGCTGATATTCAACTAATGTATTAAATGATTTCAATGAAAAAACGATTTATTTCAATAGTTGCGATCCATTGCTCTCTGTCGAGCAGCATCACGGCTTTTAGCAGCCAATGCATTTAGTTGCTCAGTTTCTTGTGCGCGACGATGCTGGTTTAATCTCTCACGCTGCAGTCGATCTGACTCGTCCTTGGCGGCTTTTGCTAAATCATTTTTGCGCATATTTTTGCGCTGTGTCTTGGTCAACACAGGAGTTCCTAACGTAGATGATCCTATAGTTGATGATGTAGGTTTAGGCTTGGATGAGCCAACAATTGTGAGTGTTCTTGGTTGCACTAAAACAAGCCATTCAAGGATATCAGTTTAAAGCAAAAGATAGATATAGATTTAAACAAAAAAACTTGCATTTCTTTTTGACATCAATGACCTGCCAGCCATCTTCAGCAGGCATAGGCGATTCAATACTGATTTCTTCGGGTGGTAAAACTTTTAGAACACGAGCACGAACTTCCACATCATCATCCGCATCAGTTCGCATAGACCCATCGATGGGATCTTTTGAAAAATCGACTGAATCAGATCCAACGGTAGAGCTCGAAAGGTTGAGAGATGGATTGGAAATAGGTGTATTTTTGCGTTGTTTCGACTTGGTGTTGGATGAAGACGAAGGGCAAGTGGCGGCAGGGGTTGGCCATTCTTGAGTCAACAAGGATGCAGACTGAGGAATAGCTTGCTTTCGTTTTTTTCCAAACTGGTTTGATTGAACCACCCAAGAAGTATTTTCTTGTGCATGGGACTCTTGTTTAGCAGTGGCATCGTTTTGCTCAGACCGAAGCTTAAAATCCAAACAAATCTTTGTTCCCTTTTCAAGGATCTTTCGCTTTGGAGATGCAGACTTTTGGGTAGCTGGAAGGGCTTCCTGAGATGAAGATTGTAGCGCGTTGGAATCAGCAACAGAAGATAAAACTGTGGTAGAATGATCTGGTGTTTTAGTAGGACTGTTGGTTCTATTCTTTGAAAGAGTGTTGACTGGCTTGCCTTTCCTTTTCTTTTTCTTGCTAGATCCAGCAAAAGCACCGGGAAGTGGATCAGTGGTAGTTGCAGTGGGAGTAAACTGGAGCTGTACGATTATAAAGGCAAGCGATATACCCACAGCAACATAAGGCATCCACCCTTGAATGAGGAGAGAGTACCATGAGTCTTGGTATGACATTTGTCGAGTTGCAGTTTGGGTCGAAAGTTTGAAATGGAGCAATAATAGAGTCCAGTCCCCATTACAGACTAATTTACCGATCAATCGGCAAATTAGTTTATTCCATTCAAAAATAGGGTCTGCGCTCCACCTATCCGCTCAGATGAAAACATCCACAAAGCAGCGATCGGGTGAGTTGGACATGCTCTTGTTCAAGCAGATCGTTACTAATCAAGCCTGCAATGAATAGAACATCCTCTGGTTCTGCTATGGTTGATTGTATACAATGTCGCATCTTTTGTGGGTTGGGCTTATATCTTGACTCTGGTTCTACACTGTCTGATCACATCCAACGGTGACTATTCGCTTTCGTATTCTGTTGTGTCCTACACACTTGAATTAGTCCAGTTGTGTGCTCTCCTGGAAGTATGTCGATCGTTACTCTATTATTCAATCCAAATTACTAACACTTGCTCACGTCAAGGTTCTTCATGCACTTGTTGGTGCTGTCAAATCTCCAGTCATCACGACTGCCTTGCAGATATCCTCTCGCTTGTTTCTAGTAGGTTTGTGCTATTTCTTCAACGACTCGAGAGTCAGACAGCATATTGCATTCACCACAATGGTTTTGGCATGGTCGATCACTGAAGTTGTGCGTTACTCTTACTACGCACTTAGTCTGCTTGCCATCAATCCCTCTGCTCTTGTCTGGGCCAGGTAGCTACTTGTTTATTCTACTACCATTACTACTGTCATTGACTGATCCAACCTCTACTATTCAAAGATATACATTCTTTTATGTATTGTATCCGATAGGTGCTGGTAGTGAGCTATGGCTACTAATGCGATCATGGGATTCTGCACGTCAATACAGCACTCTGCTCTACTACACTCTTGTTGGGATGGCTGCGCTATACCCACCTGGATTCTATGTCATGTATTCGCATATGATCAAGCAACGTCGTAAATATCTTGGTCCAAAAAGATCCAAAAAACATGCTTGAATTACATTAAAGCTGTCATGAATGCGGACACCTGCTGAATAAAACTCTTGTCATTCCTGCCTATTTAAACACTTTAAGCAAGCATATTCAGATAAAATGAAAGATATGATCCACACTGACAATAAGGTCAAGGAGGTTAGCGTTGCTCTAAGCACTGCATACTCTAAAGGACTGCTTAAATCTGACAAACGAGTCCTGCTAACTGGCTGCGACATTGATGGACTGCCCAGAGGGAAAACGGTGATGCTCGAAAAAATCGAAAAGTCGATGGACGATGGGTTTGGTAAGCCTATCGACCATCATTCCAATGACCCCACACTGAGTGGTGTACGAAAAACTGAATCTATTTATACTCTTATAACCGATAGGATTCTGTGGAGTGCTGTTTGGATGGGACCAACACGATGCTTTAGTTAAACCTCCTCCTCCGCTACTTGCATCGGATTCGGGGTTTTCAGATATCCTGGCCAAGATCGACCCGTCCTCCATGCGTCGTATACCCTGGAACAACAATCAGCCCATGTTCCTGGTCGATTTCTATCATCCTACCACTGGAAAACCTCTAGCCATGTGTCCTCGCAATCTGTTGAAGCGGATTGTAGGCGAATTCACTGCTGCTGGGTTGCGTCCTCTTGCTGGCATGGAGTATGAATGGTTCAATTTTCAAGAAACTCCTGATACTCTGGCTCAGAAAAAAGGTGTTGGTCTCAAGCCTCTTACTACTGGCATGTTTGGATACTCACTTCAACGACCCCATCTCAACCAACAATTCTTTAACGACATTTTTGATCATTGCGCAAGCTTAGAAATCCCTATCGAATGCTTGCATACTGAAACAGGCAAGAGATCACTATGATTCTTGATATGAATGCATTCATGCCAAATATTGACCTGATCATTGTATTATTTCATTATAGGCCCTGGTGTTTATGAAGCTGCATTAAAGTATACAGACGCGCTGGAGCTCGCTGATCGCGCACATGTATTCAAAATGGCAGTCAAGCAGATCGGTTTGAACCATAAAGTTACTTGTTGCTTCATGGCAAAGCCACACCAAGATCAGCCTGGTTGTTCTGGTCATATTCATATCAGTCTGGCATCACTTGAAACTGGAGCATCACTGTTTGCTATGCCCAAAAACTCCGATACTGCTGTTAGTGATGTGGATGCTACAATGACTCCTACCATGCAAAAATTCATTGCTGGTATTTTGCTTGGGCTGCCTTCTATCATGGCTATTATGGCTCCTACCATAAACAGGTATGATGACTAGGATGTGTTGCTAGTATACGATTAAATATTGGTGACATTTATTTTACGGATTCAATAGCTATAAACGACTTGTGGAAAACTATTGGGCTCCGCTCACTGTTTCGTATGGCCAAGAAAATCGTACTACTTCTATTCGTATCATTGGTCCACCGCTCAATTCACCTGAATCAACTCGTATTGAAGTACGTGTTCCTGGAGCAGATGTCAATCCCTATCTTGCAGTTGCAGCCATTCTTGCATGTGGTATGCACGGTATCCGTAACAATCTCTCTTTACCCTTTCCTCCTGCAAAAGGCGATGTGACAAACCAAGATGCTAAACTTTTGCCACGGACATTGTTGGATGCTGTTCAATGCATGCAAGAAAAAAATAGCATGGCTCGTCTAGTCTTGGGTGACGAGTTTGTGGATCACTTTGTTGCTACAAGATTGCACGAGCTGCGGTTGTGGAGTAATGCTGTTACCGATTGGGAAATCAAGCGATACATGGAAACAATCTAATGACAAAATTATGCCTGTGACTCGAACAAGTAAACTGAATTTTCAAATAAAAGTCTACGTTAAACAGTCGATCTGATTTAATCGATAAGCAATGAGATGTTGTATCATTTTCAACAAGACTGGTTGGATCGTCAGGTTTATAGCACGATCACTTTAATGATCAGTTGTATGGCCATTAAAAACAGTGCAAATCATATTCTAAAACTCTGATCTAGCTTGCATCTCGTTGAACATGCGTTTGTCTTAATCTCTAATGATATCTCAGAATCTATGTATTGTGTATGTGGTGCAGTGTATAGCATTCGCAATATCGGTTGATATGGCCAAACCATGATGGTTTTCAAAACCAAAAGGCACGATAGTAGATGTGCAGATAAACAACACAAACAGACCAAGAGTACTATGATTAAACCTGAATAAAACAGTATCGATCCATTGAAACTCTCATTTATCGCAACCCACCAAAGATTATAAACTACACAGTGAAATATGTAGATTGTATTTGATATTCAACTCATTTTTGTAGCCCAGAGAAACAAAAGTTTAAAGTGCAGCAGTTGTGGTATGTCCTACAACTGGGTACTTTTTGGTATAAAACACATGCCAATTATCCAGAACCTTGAGCTAGCAATTCAAGTAATAAAGCGAGATGGTCAATAAGCTTTGGGTCTTCATCTCCGTTGATGGAATTCAGATGCAATTCGACATACCTCTTCAGCAGTTAAAGTGCTGTAATCGGAAACGCAGTACTCGAGTTGTAGCTTGGACATTCCAAGAGCTCTAGATGCATCCTTTCCAGCAAATACAGCATATCCTTGCCCAGGAGCATACATTTTTCTGTTGGAAGTCACATCAAAGACTAAATGTGTTGAAAGAAAACGATCAGCCAATGCATTATCGATTCTTGATCGAGTGGTCGTTTTTGTACTGTTAAAGCCAGCCAAAAACTACAGAACACTCCCATGATGGCTCACCTGTTCCCTTGATAGCAACGTAAACTGGTTGGGCTTCATCCGAGCCATCAAACTTGGCAAGCTCTGCTGGAGTGAAGGTTTGTGTCGATGTCATGGCTGTAATGATGGACAGAAAGGAATCAAAAAATCGACTACCAACAGCAATATATAACTGCAGCTTCTATACTCAGCAAATACCAATCAATACAACAGATACCCACCAGTGAAATTGTTTATCTGGAATAGTTTGGATAACCGAATCATGGAATCAAGCTGTGGTTATGAGATCGGAAACGTTCAGGCTTTAGCAGACCAACGCTTTCAACCAGATCTGGCAATCCACTATTTTACAATGTGTTTAAAGTCCCAATTTGAAATGATTTACAAGCCTTTATGAATAACGATTTATAAAAATCTTATTTTTAAAACCAAATCAATGGAATAGCATAAAATATTCCTTAATTAACACCTTCGGCAGGAACAGTGTCGGCAACAGGTTGTCTGGAAATCAAACTGCGTGGACGGATTCCACCTTGGGCCTCGACACGTTTTGAAACAGCATCACACCAGGCCTCTTTTGTTCGCCCGCGCAGGAGAGCAACGATCACAACGGTCATGTTATCAAATCCAACTTCATATATTACGGGATCTGGCCCAAGACAGTGATCCATAAGCATCTCACAAATGGTTCCTAGTTCATGCTTTTCAACAATCTTGCTTGATATAAAATCAACCACATCTTGATTTGTCATACAATCCCAAATTCCTATTTTAAACCCAATGCATGTGAATACAAGTATGATTGATACCAAAGTGCCGTGTAGTGCCAAGTAAAAGCATCTTACCATCGCAAGCCAATACTAAAAACTCGTCAGAATCCCTTAAAGTCCATTCCATCACATCAGGAAAAGCAGTGACAATTTGCCTTTCTGCAGGCAAATCTGTGGATTGTTTAAACTCAAAGTCGCCAATAGCACGAGAAAGTGCAAGATTGCCTGATGGGTAGTTCAAAAGGATTGAAAAGGACTTGAGTGAAATGAACAGCAATCCATGATCAACAACAGTTTTATCATACCATTGACACGTCCACAATCAACAAACCCGCCAGCTGCAACAATTCTCTCTAGTTCCAAAGGATTTTTAGGTTTGTGATCAAATGAGAGAGGTTCTGCTTGGCCCAAAGTAGTGCACAATACAGCCCGTGAATCTCCTGCATTTCCAACATAAATTTTCGAGTCGGTGATGATGGCTGCAACTGAAGTTGCACCAGATGGTTCATTAGCATGGCTGGGATCTACAAACCACGCACAATCAACATGAATAGTATCAGATGAATGTTTCAAGCATAGAATATATGAACAGATTTAAAATGAAGCAAAGATCTAAAATAAACACATCCAAATCAAGCAGCATTACCATTTCTTAACTTCATGTCAGTACTAAGAAATCCAGTTTTTAAAGCACCCTCATAATCCATATTTTTGAACTCCTCAGTACCAGCAATAACCTTGTGTAAATGACTCTCGCAATACTTTGATACGTTTTGGCCTCCGTGTCCATCAAAAACCGCAAAAAAGGCAGTCCTGTTGGGAGTGCTGGTCAACTTCAGCAACGTGGTGTGGGCATCCTCCATCGCTACATAGTTTCAGACAGTCGCAATAATAAAAGACATCAGCACCGCACATTGGTATGCATGTCTCTAAACTAAATCTCCGTGTTTCATTCAAAAAAATGGTCACATACATATCCGCCAGCCTTGCATGGCACTAGCGCCATAGACATACTGATCATCTTCTCCGGAAGTAGTGTGCTTCTCAGTAACTGGTTCAGAGAGTGCCTGACCCATTAGTTACAGTTTGATAATAGAATGACCAAGTATAAATTGCAGTTGTAACAAAACGAATTCTAGTACAAAAATCAATATTGTATGCATTAGATTAAAAGTAAAGTGCAGCGATATTAGTATTCCTATCTTGGAGATGCTAATACTGTATGAATGATTAAAATCTGTATATACACAAACATGTGCATGATTGGAATGCATAGAGGCAACCAGAAACTTGAAACTGAGCATTGTAAATAACAGTATTCGAAATAATGGCTAGCATTTCTCGATAAGATGCAGCTCATCACAATGCAAGCCACCAATCAACCCTTGCCTGGCTGATAGCTTTAAATAGAAACAAGTCTATAATAAATGCTATAGAGATGGCTCCAAAAGGACTAGGCAAGGCTGTAAGCCGATACCTGCCGTATGGGTCAAATCAAGCCATACATTTAACGAGTTTATGAGCCAAAATAGTCGAGCATGCAGTACTTGAACAAGGATCACAAATGATAATAGTGAATCCTCATACGCTTCTTATTCCTGCTTTAATTCTGAAATACTCATACACAGTATACAGATGTGTGCATGATGGCAGCAGACAGATGGGAAAATATCGACCATCAACCACCATGCGATAACAGCCATGATGTTCAGTCTTAATTGACAGGATAGATGACAGCTGCGCCTTCTCGCTTAACCAGTCAATATTTAAACTAGAGTAAAATATAATGATAACCCAATAGTATGACCCTTGCTGATGGAGGTGGATGTTGAACCTCGAGTGGTCTGGCAGTATTCAACATGCCATTTTAAACCTATTCAAAGTGGTTTTCTTGACTAGGTGAAGGTAGCTATAACAGTAGCCATGAACACCCCAAAACACATGCATATCTTGTAATGCAGGAGTGGTAGCAGACAGTTTGTCGCAGCAATGGTTAGTAACAGAATTGGCCTTGTCACTCACTTGCTCAGTCACCGTTGATGGAAAGAAAATCGAATCCAAACCGCGAGCTTCTGTTCTGGCAGAAACAGAACTGCTCTCCAATCTCATGTTCTCTGTCAATCTGGCCATGCATCCGATATTCATATGGCCATTTTTGCTGTTGGTCTGAACAGGACATCTCAGCATGTGGATCGTACATGTCATTGTCGCTTTATTCCAGCATGCTCGGCTGCAACCACGCTTGAATCTAGAAACAAGCAACATCTGCAATTTGAAAAGCCATTATTGATATTGACTAGGCGTATCTCGTTATTTAGTCTTGATACTGGGGAATGTCTTGTAAACAAGTAGCCCCAATAGCTCAAATAATATATGCTTTGACAGATATATCATAGCAATTTAAAAGATACTCGTATTGGCTTGAAAAGATATTCGCCAGTCCCGTTTACAGTTTATTGAACAGATTCTTGTACAAGAACATCTATTGTTCATTGTAATTTGAAATATAATTTATTGTTTCAATCTTTGTGACACGGCGCAATCATTTCGTTTCTTCTTCCCCACCTCCATTACCCTAAAATAGTTTATTTGCACAACGATTAATAGATACATCGGATCACTGCCAAGCTCTGAAAACATATTCCTCACACTTTATCTGCAAGTACTTTCCAAGTTTTCAACAACACGATCTGTTTACTGTCACACCAGTCCACTAGTCGCCATTGATTGCTTGATTGTGCTGGAATCCAATAATAGGTACGAGCAAGACCATGATGCATTCAATCATTCTCAATGCAATACCATACACAGATCAGTGTGTGTTTTTATAGCCAACCACTGAAAACTAACTAATGTCATTCTAACTGTCTGCTCCCTGGCAATTGTAAACTTGCAAAAAATACTTGTGACTACGTATCTTGGTGGAAACCTAAAGTCTGATATATACGAAATAGCTGGATTCGATTGCATTGCTTTTTAGTGAGCGTGTTGCTTAGCATCCGATAATTCTATTCTTACGTTTCTTCACGCGCTAGATCCGACTGACTACACTGCTCAATACCAGATATTGCAATACATTTTATTCCAACCATGTCTGATCAGCCACGCAAATTTGAAGGTAAATTAATGTCGTTGGTTTTGAATGTCTACTGGAACTCACCTTGATATTGAGGTGGATCATAGTGTTGTGGGCTACTGAATCTCCTAGTATCTGCCATTCATGATTCCTAACTGCAAGTATTTACGCGAATAACCGATTAGAATTTCGCGTGTCGCAAAAACTCGGCGAGGGCACTTTTTCTCAAGTCCTCAAAGTCAAGCACAAAGCATCTGGGAAATTTTATGCCATGAAAAGATTTCGCAAGCGATTTAATAGGTACTTTAAAATCTTCGAGTCTTGTGACTGTTTATGATTTAGACAACTTTGACATGCCTTGACCATAGTCAAAACTAAACACCTCGTTTGAAACGATTTATCATGGTTGTAGTACATTTGAAGAAATCCAAAATCTGAGAGAAATTCAAGCATTACGACGTCTTAATCCACACAATCATGTTATTGATTTGATTGAAGTAATTTTGTAAGTGTTATATAGTGAGACTTGACATTTGAAACTGGAGCATGAAACCATCTAAATACTTTTTGGAATGAAATAGTGATCAAAAGCATGGCGTATTAGCTCTCAATTTTGAATTGATGGACTGTAATTTGTATGAACTATTTTTACGAAAAAACGTTGTGATTGGCGAGTCCAAAGCCAAAAACTATTTTTTTCAGATCTGCACTGGTCTTGAGTATATGCACAGGTAGAAATCACAACTGCTAGTTGAAATTAAACAGGAATGGTATTTATGCTTTCTAGTGAGTTAAAAACTGACATGCTTTAAATGTAGTAAAGGGATTTTTCATAGAGATATCAAGCCAGAAAACATTCTTGTCAAAGACAACACAATCAAACTTGCTGATTTTGGATCCTGTCGAGGAATTCATTCCAAGCAGCCCTATACAGAGTATATTGCAACAAGATGGTACCGTAGCCCCGAATGCTTTCTTTGCTATGGAGTGTATAACTTCAAAATGGATATCTGGGGAGCTGGGTGTGTTCTTTACGAAATTCTTTCAAAAGCACCGCTATTTCCTGGCAGCAACGGACTAGATCAACTACATCGTATTCACGCAGTTCTTGGCACGCCTAGTGCTAAACTATTACAAAAAATGCTTGGGCAAGTCATTTTGGCAACATAATTATATATTGTGCTGAGCTACCAGTATATTACTATTTGATTTCTAACATTGTATTGATAAATGTGCTGATTTCAATACTGAAATACTAGAACTCGATCAGGTTCACCAGAATATAATTTTCCTTTAAAAGAAGGAACTGGAATTCAAGTTTTACTTCCTCAAATATCAGAAGTGTGCATTGATTTAATTAATGCTATGTTGATGTATGATCCTGATCTTCGGTAAGTATATCATCAAAACAAATATACCGATTAAATAGTAGGGTTGTATTGGTATGCTAAACCACGGTATTATGACAAAAAATGAATGTAGGCTGACTGCCAAGGAGGTATTAAAACATGGATTTTTCAAGAACATGCAACCTTCGGAATCTCATATTGGTAAAAGTGATATTGTGCATTCAGCACGAGATTCATCTGCTACAACACTCAAGGCAAAGTTATTAGAGGTAATTCTTGGTTATACGATGAATTGACACATTACACTGCAGCGTATCAGATTGTAATGTGTTTAATGAAAACCAGCACGAATTTGATGAGACTGGAATACATCTAAATGCCTTTTAATTGTATAGGATGTGACAAACAAAAGTGATGGGCCTGCCAATTCCTATCTCAAGAAATTAGCTACAAAACACGATGAAAAGAATACGAGTATACCAGTGGCAGCACCCAATGTGGATCATGTACAAGCAGTAAATCAGCATGAAAATCACCCGCCACAGCATCCATCAGAAAACCTCAGCGATCAGGCTGTAAATCAGACTGTTGCGTTGGATGTATCAAAAACAAATGAATCTGTCAGCAGTACAGTATACACTGCTGCTTCAACTCAACATCCAAAACAAACATATGTATCTCAACCAGACACGATACACCAGCAAGCTACCAATACGGTTCAGCATCACAATCAACTTCCTGAAACTTCTATTCATCATACTCAAAAACCTGTTGTTTTAGGTCAACCGCACAACATTCATTCACATTTGCCACCCACACTACATGTCAAAAATCACCTACTTCACCATCCATTAGCCCCACTGGATAATTTAGATACTGTGTCTGTCGTATCCAATACATCCACGAATGCAACAAATGTTACAAGCATGTCCAATGCACAACATCCAATTAAAGGACATTATGTGGATACAAATCGCGGAGGCAATGAAGTAGTCAAAACACGTCGAGCAAAAAAGATGATTGCTGGTGGATCAAACTATGCAGCTAGTACATTAGAAGGACAGGGATCCAAACACAACAGTGCAGGGATTGTGGGTCTTCAGCGCAGGACTTCTGGAACTTGGGGACACCCGAGCAATAATTCAAATCACATACAAGCAAGAAAAGCTCATCAGGCAAAAGTAAGTAGATAGAAAAGTAGTTGGTAGTTAATTTATACTATTAATTTTGAATCAGTACGCTAAATGTACTTGTATTTTAACCTATATTTGTCATGATCGTTTGATTGTTTATTTTTAGTTGCCTGTTATTGGAGGTACCCAAGCCATACCATTCAAAGATCCTTTATACCAGTTTAAACCCAAAGTAGATATACGTGGAGTTAATCTACCCATGCTTAGTATCAGCAGTATGAGTACAGACAAACGAAAAGATGCACCTAAGCCCAAGGTAAGCATATCAAATACCATTGAAACCATGTCATTTAAAATAGAATCAGCTTAATTGACGCCTATTGATATATCAAACTGTAGGACTTTTCAGGCTTGCCTTTTATAGGATCAGACAAAACAAGAATGTTGGATATGAGATTAGGTGCAGGAAACACCGAAGGGTTGACTGCAACCATTCTTCCTACGCTCAATCCTCGCGACGACTACCACTAGAATGAAGTAACCAGCTGGAATTGGCAAAAGTGGTAATACGGATTAGTTGCAATTGAGATAGTATATCAAAATAAAACTAGAATTCACGATTGCTCCAGCCGTACCCATTCAATTGAAGCACTAAGGATGTCAAAATATACAAGCAGCCAGTGCCATGAAACAATGGATGAATTTGATGATTGTATGAGGAATTACTTGTTCAAAGCAGGATGAATACAAGTTTCATTTACGTGAACATCGCGTAGTTTGATGACTACTTTCCATTAGATGAGTTGCTTCATGGTCCAAACAAACTAGATTTACATTGTTGTTTTTACTTGAACTCCAGCAGATGGATACTATGTGCAAAAACTACAATCAGACTTGATAAAGTTGTATTATAAATTTGGGTGATTGAATAGCAGTGATGCTGATATTCGACTTTTGAATGAAGCGAGTTTTTAGCCTTTGAACAACCATTTCTGTAAGCCTGCAGTTTGGTTTGCAACTACAATCAGCAATGACACCACAGAGTCCCGTATTGCAATCGTATATAGCCAAGCTTGAAAATTGCATAGCCAAAGAGAATGGTGTGTTGCTGGCTGAGATCATATCCATCTCGACTGACCATGCAGCTACCATGTCCAGTATATTGCATCTGGTAAGCTCTGCTGAGTTTATATTCTAGCATCACCACCATGACAGTCCATTTCACCTACAATGCTTTGATACAGTCATCCTTGGCTTATGGTTTTCTAGTCATATGTCTGTATCTGACATGGTTTCCCGCTGGTTTGATCATATCTTATACTAGCCCGAGTTTCGTATATCATCGGCCATCTCTAAACTTACTATGCCATGGAAAGATATGGCTCACTTTCATGTGAATGTTCTTCGAGCTTTAGAACGGAATGACTTGACAGAGGCAGCAACTTTACAGAACAAACTGTGTCTGTAAGCATGATATCATTTTATCAGCCAAAGCTGAGCTATTACCATTCTGCAAATCCAGTGTTTAAAACCAACATTTAATCGAATCAAATATTATTGTCGTATAGGTCGTTTTACCAAATATTTCCGCACCATACAAGTTGGTCCCTTCCAGTACTGTACGTGCTCATACGAGATCTGCGGTCATTGAGTATCCGCGCAGATGCAGTTTTAGAGAATGGCAAAAAAGCAAGCCATTTGGAAGAGGCTGCTCGAACCATAAACCGAGCATTCTCTGCATGTGTGACAGATCGATCTTCGCAGACAAATGTATCTCGAAAATGGGGCACGTATTTTGTAGTGAATATGCTTTTCCGAACCTATTTCAAGGTAGGTCGCTGATTCTAACCATTAATATGATTGTAAATGGATTCAACCCAATAACGAACCAGTGGTTGATATGTGTCTATCCGTATAGCTCAATTCCACAAACCTTTGCTCAACTATTTTGAGATCACTCCAATCAGCTGATTTGCCCAATCTATCACAATTTCCTATATCGCATCAAGTCACATTCAAGTATTATACTGGTATTCTTGCATTTTACAGTGAGAATTTCGAATCGGCCAGTTCTAGTCTGATGTTTGCTTTTGATCGCAGCTTGTATCAAACTTTGGTGGATAAACTCAACAAGCAGTAAGTGGTATAATCTGTTTTATGATTGCAAATCACCATTCGCCATGTTGATATTTAAAAGCAAAACTAACGAGTGGAAAACACTTTTAAATTGCTAGATCTATTTTGGCTTATCTAGTTCCAGCACAACTTATGCGAGGAATTCTTCCCCACCCACGCTTGTTTACCAAATATCCAGCCATTGGCAACATATATCAAGAGTTTGTTCATGCAGTACGATCTGGAAATGTTAAGCGGTTTGACGACGCCTTTCAAATCCATGAAGCAGAGCTTATTCGTCGTGGGACATGGCTAACTATCGAGCTTGTTCGATTGTTGGTTTTACGCACACTGTTCCGTAACGTGTAAGTCCTGCCATGACTACTTTCTTGCATAGATGATACTTTGGATTGATTGACTCGTGTTGATTCTAGGTGGTTGATTCATGCTAAAGCATCGCGTATACATATGTCAGTATTTCAACGAGCACTTGAGCTTGCATCAGGAGATCAGCCTGTTGATTCTGCACAGGTGGAATGTTTCCTTGCTATTATGGTGGATAAAAACTTTATTAAAGGATACTTGTCCCATGAGCGGCAAATGGTAGTATTATCCAACAAGGATCCGTTTCCATCCATGAAGTCGGCAATGGTACAATAAACGCCTCGTCAAAAAGTATGCCTTGTATACTATTTGAATGCAGAACTTGCAGAGTAATACATGACTAGTCCATTCACAACACTCATTCACTCGAGTGCATACCAGTTGTCATTAAGAGCGAGAGTCGATGGATAAATTGTCTGCAACTATCCCTGCTTTGCAAAATCAGTAGATTGTCACTGAATATCCATCGTTTGTGTTTGTAACCAACGACGATACACCAACCCAAAACTTGTGTTTCCAAGATGCTGCCATGGCACTTGTTAGTGCTATAGAATGATCTCAGAATTGGGTCGAGATATAAACATTCATCTTTATATCTGCAACTCTATCAAAACACACCACCACCAATTGACTCCACCCAATACCATAATTGTAGATAAAAATAGGAGAAAAATAACTTTATACATGGACAGACACAGCCGATCCCTGCGTATGTGACATATTGCCACTATGGCTTGCGATTGAGTGCGGAGCGCCAAGAGAAGCAACAAAATGTGTTGTGGTAACAGACGGCACTAAATCGTCAGTTTCGTCAAAATAACCCTCGTCACCCTTGGATGAGATCGTCGAGGTAGCTTCAAATTCGTCGTATTTGCTGGAAGTGTAGGTGGAAAAGCTTGAGTGGGTAGGTCCTGACACTGCAGCTGCAGAGGCTGCAGCTGCAATTAGGGTTGTGGCAGAAGAAGCAGAAGAGACCGAGGCCCTGGGTGATGACAGAACACTGGGAGAAGGTGATGATAAAGGCGAAAGCGGTACACCTGCCTTGAGATGTATAGGTGTCAGCAGATTAGGTAGAGAATGGAATGAGTTTGAACGATGCCTAGTGTTTGTTTCTACAAGCACATCAGTAAATGCAATAGGAACCAATGAATCTGTAGATGCAAGTGGCAGCAAGCCACTTGCTCTATTCAGTGTAGGTTTTGCAGCAACCTTGTAGTCGAGACGATCGGTGAAAAGATGCGATAGTTGAGCATGATATTGCGGACCCGAGAAAAAGAGCAAGCCGGAAAAAGGAGTAGCAACCCAGTCCAACACGGCCCATGGGTACACTCTAGGAGAAGCCAATTGAGGACGCAGACCAATGTACTGGACTTTGGGTTGATCATAGCCAGGAAAGACACCCTCGGGAATATACGAGAGATCAGCAGCAGAGTCGACACGACGACCAGAAAGACCTTCGGAGCGATCTTGCAGGTTCCATCGATCGAATCCAACCCATTGGTGATATTTTTCATAATAGTAAAATGTAGGTAGATTGAAGACGACACACGCAAGTCGAATCCAAAAGCCGGCATTTAGAGAAAACAGTACTACAGGGTTGACTGTTTCTGTGGGTGATAGGAATGACCAAATATACTCGGAGATGGGGAGATAGATGCTATTGTTTGAAGGGATCACCAAGGCGGTCAGTGCGACCAGAGACAGGAATTGGCCCATCAAAATGTGACACTCTACCAAACGGTGAGCAAGAGTCAGCAACAAAGAAAGCTTGATAGTTCCAGCTTGAGTTTCATCCTTGCCAAACTTGGAATAATTGGTGTTTTTAAGCTGAACAATACCCTGAGTCTCTGGAGCGACATAGGACATGATAGTGCGACGGAGTGCATAGCCAAAATCTAGAGTACCCCAAAGATGGCGCTTTCCTTGGACATAGCGAGCAGTAAACCCATCAAGGTAGCCCATAACACCAGATCCAGTGCCTTCAATGTTACATTGTGATGCAGGAGAAAATATGGTTTTTACAATGAGCTGGCCGTTGGTGGAGAAAAAGCACTTGAGATACATGTGCATGTCCTCTCCAATAGAGCCAGGATCAGTGTCCCAAAACCCTATAGAAATAGCCAAGTCCATCGAGACCGAGTAGGCTGAGCAAGGAATCTTGACAGGAGAGCTTGGATATAGATTTGAAATAACACCAATGGACCAAAACATGTCAGTGACTCGCACAAACGAGGGAACGTTCTTGGCATTGCGATCAAAGACTGTGGATGGACAAAATAGCATAATGCGGCGCTGCTCTGGAGAAGCAACAGCGTAGTGGTAGGACATGGCCAGGAAATAGTCTTCAGCAAATCCAGTATCAGCATCCATTACAGTGACAATTTCGTGGTCATGACGAGGCCCGCATCGCATAGCCATTTGGCGAGCAGCCCAAGCAACATTGCTCGACTTTCCTCGAATTTCTCCTGGCCTGCCAGATGGATGAATTGTATATGTGATTTCATAAAAATGCTCGCCGTACATGAGCAGCAGCTCTTGAGCCTTTTCAGAGCTACCCATTTCAGCCTCTTCCATAGCCATACAAATCTAAAAGTAGAGCCAAGACTGATTAGTTGACATGATATACAGACGGTTCAAGTGATTTAAAGCATTACCTTGTACTGAGTCATGGCTCTGCGATGCGAGGCCAATACATCCAAGGTTTCACATAGAGTGTCCATGGTCTCCTTGTAGTTTGGAACAATAATAATATGCATAATGTGATCAAAGGCGAGGTCGTGGGTATTGTCAGAACCACCAACGACACCCGTTTCACGGCAATACTTGGCGTACCAATCTGTCATGGAGTGAGCCTTGGAGTGTGTGTAAGCAACAAAGACGGCATATGCTGTGCGTAAGCTATTTGCAACAAACATGCCGTGCAATAACAAGAAATATGAGGCAAATGCCCACGGGGTGTAAGTAGAGCCGAACAGGGCAAACAAAAGTATGAAGATAATCAGCAGTCCAGGAACTCGTTGAAGAATGGGTTTCCATGGTACGTCAGCGATGGCAGCTCGCAAATGTTCCATAAGCCATGATTCATTGGGCACATTTAGCGCTCGTGAGTGTGGTGCGACTGCTGACACATATGGCTTTTTATGTCGGTGGTCGTAGTGGTCAGGAATCATTATAATTATGTAGCTGTGAAAGAAACAAGAGTGGATTAGTTTTTCTGCTGGATACAACTTTGGATAGTCAGTGACTGATGGTCAAACAAGTCCAGAAGTCGAATGCAGCCAGGGATAAAGGCAAGCGGTATTGGGTAATTGAAGGGAATAAGTTTGGGACTAGCCAACTGTAATTCTATAGCTGAAGAGCAGTGTATATTACTGGTAGTAGAAACACAGGCCCGTCAAATGTACTAGTTGTAAAGTTGGTGGAAAGTCAAGACCACCCGCCTCTTTTGCTATCCAGCCAACCAATTCAATGCCACGCGCTGTGTGGATTGCTGTCCAACTACTGTAGCGGCTCAAGTGAATTCAAATTGCTGAAATAGGGGTTAGGGTGGTAATATATAGCCAGGGTTGACGAGATATTAATGAATAAACGGTTGGAAGGGAACTGTTACAACTACAGTAAATGTGATTGTGTGTGCGAGTTCACCCTGACCCTAAACCCTTTACAAAGATGCGCGACCAACCTTGAATGTTTTCAGTTATTAAAAGGTCTGCTCACCCCACTTGGAGGACTCTAGTACAAAGGGTGATTGGTTGCCCAGAAAAAGTGGTCAGGTGGGAAAAAAGTAGTTTGCCAGAATGGGTGATTTTGGTTGGTGAGCTGCATTATATACATAATCATTCATGTATGATATGGCAGAACAAAGCATGCTGCTGATGGAAGATGGGGCTGTGGAAAGAGTGTCAACTAGTGATTGGAACAAGAACAAGACGGGCCATGCCAATAAAGCCCCACATTACATTCTCAACATGAAAGCAGTCTATCCGGGTATCAACCATCATTAATAGCTGATTGTACTAAACTACCCATTCATCCAATCATGCGCAAAACTACTCAAACAAACCCTGATGTTGAGCAATAAGTCACGTGAAACAAAATACACCATAGCTTGGCATAGCCACCACAAGTACGAACAAAGCGGATATCCTAAGCCATCATTCAAGTCAGTATGGCTCACTTTGGAAAGCCTGAACAAAGTTTAGGACTCCAAAGATTGGCATTGAATGGGTATCGGCTGTGCAGATAGAACAAATACAATCCACAAGCGGATCGTGCCAATAATACCACATGACTGCATGGATAGTGGAAAGTCAAATTGAAACCGGAACATAGCCAGTAGCCATGCTCACTAGCTATGCGTACAATGCATCACTAATGAACAAGTGTGGACTGGGCTTTAAACTTGCACACAGACCAACGTGCGCCAACCCATTATTCTGCTTTTAAATGAAAGCATGGTATAATGCAAAATACCAATATAAACTTACCCAAGATTTTGAGTTTGATGTAGAGCGGAAAAGCGAGTGCTGGGAAGATGGTTTGTCGCGTAGATGCGTCAAGCAAGATAGATGAAGCTACAGACCCAAAAGCAAGTCGAAATGGCACACAATGTAAGCGTTCAAGTGTGGATAAAACTCGTTAGTTCAAGAGTATCGGCTTGATGTCAAAAAATATAAATTTAAGCTTTGGCAAATAGGGGTACACAAAACTTACAATGAGGTAATAATTATTGAGTACTAGACGAGATTAAACTACTGATGGCAGCTTTTCAATGTCGACACTTTTGAGAAACAATTGGCTATTTGAACGTTGATGAGCGATGGGCAAGTTTAAAATAAAGAATACTAGCAGATATTGCTGTTTCTAACTTGTCAAGGTTTTGATAAAACAGAGTTCCCGATATGTAACCTGGTATATGGTAGTGGTAAATTGGTTGGGTATTTAGATGGTGCGATATCAAAGCGTGAGTTACGAGTGCCGCCAAGAAACAATTTCAAGCATAAAAAGGAAAAATGTAAGTTTCGCCAAATCGCATATTTAACATCAACGAACAGTCAAGTAATAAATGATTAGAGGGGTTGGGAGCAAACGACATTAACATCTAATCACTAGTGAAAAGTGACCAAAAGTTTGTTTGTTTGACAAACATGTGGCCATAGTCAAGTGAGTTGCAAGTAGATGGGATTGAAGCCGTTGAAAGCGGCGATTAGATATCAAGATTCTATTTCGGATGCAAAGGCGGAGGTCCAAGAGCGCAGAGCCAAAAGCCAAAGCGATGGGTCGAGAGTCAGCAAACTTGTAGCGTTATTTTCCCGCGAAGCTTTCTAGACTACGACACGCTTAAACGGTCGGGCCAAACCCCAATCCACATCCATTCCAATCATTGTCTACTATTGAACAGCTTGAAAAGGAAACTGGCAACAATAAAAACCCAAGACTCGAGTCTGTAAATGTGCCGACCAAGAGCAGTAAGGAATCAAAATGCAGCCTTCCACTATACCCGATATGGTATCCGTATAGGCATCCATTTCCAACAGGTAGTAGGTGGGAAACAAGGATATCCTGATTTGTACATGTTTTCATCCATTCAATCATGGATGGAGTAAACCAATTGATAAAGGAGGAATGTGACGAAAATGTTTGAACAGGCAGACAAACTGAACTGCCACTCTGAATAGAAACTAATCACCTTTGTACACTCGTCAGATATTCAAGAGTGTGTATACCAGACGGCAAAGGTCCAAGGATGAAGCAGGTAATGAATGAGGATACAAAACAGAATACAAATGAGTTGAAGACAATCGCACAAATGGATAAAGTTGAAAGGATTCAGAAAGTGGATGGCTGCACAGATATACTGCTCAATGGTACAAAGTGGGCTGTGTGAGGTCGAGCGGCAAATAGTGAGGCACTTGACTTTCAAAAAGTTCAACTCTGTTCAGATCTTGTGTTGTCCATCAAACTATATGCTAGTGTGGACACAAGCGACGGCCTATTGTAGCGACTTGAATGCATGAACACTAGTCAATGACGTCCTCGACTAGAGGCAAATGAGCGCCTTGGCAGATTCAAAACAGACCTTGGTATCCTAACAGCAAGCATATGCAGGCTATACCCATTTGGCCACCAGGAAAGCCGGCATGATGTGGAAAAAGACTGGCGTCACAAGTCAAATAGTATTGCTAGCCAAGCCACATATGCCGCACACTTTGACTAAAAAGCAGCCAACATCAAGCCTAGCAAAGTTATCGAGACTGATTTCAACGCTTGATTGCATTGGCATTCTGCTTCACACCTCATATGCTATGTCTATGGATGACTTGACACTTGACTATAGTAACAAAAGTATGCATTAGTACAACTCTCACTATGGACTAGTGTCACATCAAACCGCCCATGCAATTGCCATTTGAAAAACAACATTTGCATGATCAGCCCTTTTCATGAAAAAGCTTATCAACTCACCATTAAAACCTGTGAAACTGCACCATGGAAAATAGGATGTGCACTGCAGGTCATGCCAGTAGTCGATGCGATTAGACATGGATACGTCGCCATAACTCAATCGCTGTACTCCGTAATGCTCTCCGAATAAGACTGCTCGCTTGTGGGTATATATCAAAGTATGGGACGAGTTGCCCACTAGGAGTGGCATCTCGATTTGAAAGGATTGTGGGGGGTAGGAGACGCAAACCATTCATCAATATCTTACCTATGGAGTGAAATCTTTAAAGCTTAAATAGCAACCTGTACTGCAATTATGTCTTGGATTATTATACTGGTAAATAAATTGTAATTGTAATAAAATATGGCCTGGCAACGAAAAGTTTTGTATTAGCGAGTGGCTAGGTTAGCTGAATGGTTTGAATATATAAGCCAGATCCCAAATCATGAAAGTCAATGTGACTTGGTTTAAGGGCTGTTGATAAATATATTAATTAGGGATAATTTATTGCTAGCGGTGGGTGGCTGTGAATCGGCAATGCAAGCGATTAGCCATAAGAATATTTACAGCTGTATTCATGTAAATGAAATGCTAAGTAAGGGTGTAATAAACAGCCAGTCTCATGAAATGAGGATTCTCGCCACATCTACTGAACAGCAGTGTGCTCTAAACTCTTAGTTTACTGGTCTTTGCGCTTATCTTGTATAGGCCGAACAAACGTTCATGTCAGTTTTACCACATCTCACACTTGCTGGATTTTCAACTCTCCCTTTCACTAAACTGATTATTACAACATTGGACGATCGATATGAAAACAACAGCTGTATTCCAGACATGCGATCTCTGTTTTCTTAAACTAAATCACAGGCGTATCTGTGATGTTAGGTTATAAAGTGGAGTTTAGAGTTGTATTGAGAATAATCGAGCCTAGTATCTAGATTACAATGGATGAATCTAGTTTCAAACTTGACGATTACACAATGTATGGCTATGCCAAAAGATGAAAAAGGGAGACCGAGAATAATTTCAGTTCAAAGCCATGGAATCAAGCTATGGCTATCCTTACGATGGACATTGTGATTTTGAATTGGGAGTGTCAATCTGTAGTAGGAAAGCGCAGTAAACATTTAACCATTGTTTATTTCACAGCAAAATAAAGGCAATTACTGCAAGATATAGACGACTCGTTCTACGTAAATACGGGTTTGGTTCAAACCTGTCAAGATCAAGCAAGACATTGAAGTGGTAGCAAATATGCCTCAAACCTTAAGCAATGTATGCTTTTAGCATCAGCAATGAGCTGAGCAGCACATGTGGCCCTCATTAAAGCTGGCAATCCCTATACCGCAATCATGTATCCCTTTGTTATATGTTGGCTGAGTATTTGCTTGCATCATCCAGCTTTGGCTGTTTTTTCTGCAAACCCAACCAGCAAATTATCTAATTCATCACTGCCAGAATGCCCTGATTTGCTGTCAAATTATATCTTGTAAATGCCTTTGAGTGCCATTTGATGTTTGAGCTGTTTGAAAATTGCCACTATGGTGTGCCAATTCTTCACTTGTTTAAATTGACCTAGAATCATTCTCATGTTTAAAATGATCGTTTTGCAATTCAAGCAGCCGTTTTCATGTTTCACAGCCATCGACAATGAAGATAAAATGTCGATTTCAAAATGCCTAGTATATATTCTGATGGCATCATTTAGGCTGCTGATTCAACTGTTTAAAAACATGAAATTTTGGTTTGTAAAACTGCACGATTGTTTCGAGTCAGGGTACAGGCTTTAGATAAAATGCTGGTCTCGTGTCAGAACAAGACCAGTACCAGATTATCAAGCAGTGTTGGACCAAATGAGTGGTATTTTATATCGACTCGAAAGGAGCAGCAAACTTGCAGTCACAATTTACACCTGCGACTTTCAAACACTCTTTTCAAGCTCCAAAACGATGCTGGATTCGGTGGTAAGAGTCGCAAAAGTAACAACCCAACCCGACACAAAGTGTGGTTAATGAAGTTTATGTATTTCAAACGCATGACATACGCGTATGGTTGTTGACAATTTTTAATTTATCTCTCCGTTTTCATACCTTTTGTCGTTGGCCGTAAACTCCGAATTATCAGATATGCTTTCGATTGGCCATGCTTGATATTATAATAGTAGCTGGTCTACCTATATGGGGTCCAAACAATATCCACATCTGCTTTCAATACCTATAATTACACGTTTTATACTGGATAAACCACACTCGAACATCTAGTGAACAGATATACTGGCTTTATCCAAACCTTCAAACTTGTATTGAAACCTTTTGTGTTTAAGCCATCCAGGTTCATTTAGCCTTGATTTAAACGGCCAAATTCATTCTACATATAAACTCGAGATTCCAATTCAATGTATTTCAAACCAGTAGTATGCATGATGGGCAATCGTGCATCGTATCTTGCCAACACTATTACTTTCATCTTGAGTATAGCTGTAGCTACATGCAAGTACGCTCAAGCCACCAATTCAACTCTGGATATAAACAGTGCTGGTAAGTCCTATTTCCAATGCATATCTCATCATAGACGTCTGACATGCAATTTATTTAATATGGCTGAAATAGATACACTCCGATTGACGCAGGCTGCAGCTGTACATAATCTTTTACTGGACAATCCGCCCAATTCATTTGGTGCTTTTGGCATTCCAGAATTCTCTTTATGGGGAGAATCAGCATTAACATGGCATGTATGTATTATGCTTTGAAAGCTCAGAGCTACATGTACAGCCGTAGCTAGTAATTTAGATGTATATCACATATTCAACCATTTTTAAAATATATCGACCATAACACAAATTATAATGACTGTAGTCTATCATTGGATACCTCGGGACTGCAAACGATATCCCTGTATTAGATATATTAAGAAAATCGCTTAATATTGCAAGCTTTCAAGGTCTCGGTGATTTTCTCGGCGGTAATCTAGCACATCTGGAGATCCAAATGCACGGGAAAACCAACGACAAATTGGTTCTTTGGGGATTAGCAGGTATAGTCTATTCAGCTCTACAAAATTGTGGAGCAATGTGACATTGAATGCTTGATTCAATTATTTATTTACCAATACCATTGTGTGAATATCATTTGTATTTGAAATATAACCATTTAATAGTTGCCAAGGGAACAGAGGTGTTTGGATCATTGGCACAGATTAATCCAGCAGCACTCACATTCGGTAACCTAACTCAACGAACGTGGATGCAGCTTCAATCTGCATGGGACGAAACACTTTGTTCAGGTGGAATTCCCACAGACACAACTGTCCCATTATCACAACAGATCAAATCTACCATCACTAACGCTGGATTCATGGCTCTCTCGGCACGTCTTTACGGCATCACAGGAAACGTCACATACAAAAAGTGGGCTGACAAGACCTACAACTGGATGGCAGATTCTGGACTGATTACAACCGAATTTTCCGTTTACGAATCACTAGCGCATGCATCCACCATCAATGCAAGCACAAGCCATGTGGTATCAGATCCGTCACCTTTATCCAAACCCACTAGCGTCAAGTTAGCGTGCAAACTCTATTCACGAGAGCAATGGAGTGCCCCATCAGGATTACTTCTTAGTGCACTTGGATACATGTACCAATACACCGCCTTGGAACCCTATATTGATCAGCTACGGACGCTGTTAAATGCCACGCTAGAAACGTTTTCAACCTCGAATGCCGTGCTGATTGAACCACTATGCGAGCTAGGAGCAAAGTGTGTGCAGCAGGCATGGTTCAAAGGGATTCTTGTCGGAGGACTTACAGATACGTATCAAACAGTCGAGGATGCGAAAATTCGTAAACTGATTCAGACAAGACTCGAAATATCATTATCAGAAATGGTCAAAACATGCGGAGCCTCATGGAACTGTAGTCAAATATGGTCAGGTAAGCCAAAATGACAACTCTGGTTTTAAAGTGGAATCTTACAAAATGCAATTATAAAAATAACATGGAACGTGGGCTGATTGCTGTGAACTTTATAGGAGTGCCCATATCGCCATATACACTTAATGATCAGTACCAGACTGTACAACTGCTCAACTCGGCCATGATTATGCTTCAGGCCATTGATACCACAAATTCCAATTCATCCACAACATACACGTCAACATCCACCACAGATTATATGCCATCAACAACCACATCTACTTTACAATCCACAATGACATTGTCAGAGTCATCTCTTGCCTCGTGGATTCCTATTGTGGGTGCAAACACATCTCAAGCCATGCACACATCTAGAGCATCTATATGGACAGTCTCAATGTATATGATAGCTGTCTGGATAATAGCAAATATGATTGGATGATATTACAAATAAAAATAATTGAATTGCAGCTTATATTCCATCGTCTATTTCAAAGTAAAATAGTGTTTTATTTTACGTGAATACGGCTGCAAACCTGTCGTGAAATACAGCCATGTGGTCATGGCTATTGAAGAATTGTACAGCAGTAATATCCTCAGTGTATGATCTTCACGATAGATCCACACATATGGCAGCTGATAATTTATCGACTGGTTCATCACAACATACTAGTCTGACTGATAACTGTTTGGGAGACATCGTGTCTCCTACAGATACATGGACTCTGTCTACACTCGAGTCTATTCCTCATGTCTATTCGCAAGTGCATGACCTTGACCCTGCAGTAACCCATGTTCAACCGATTCCTCATCCAAACAGCCATTAGATCAATTTTAATTCATTTCTATCCAGTCTACAGGAGTGGATGCCAGGCAGTCTTCAAAAGACACATGTGGGTAGCGTTGCGACAACAATCGCATATCCTTGGCACTCAGTCCCAATCCTGCGCATCTCATTACCTGCAGTCCTACCACCATCTCCACAAACTCTCCAATGATTGCCGTGGTGAGATGCTCCGTGCTGCTACCCATTCCACCACTACCAACTCTTGGAAGCTGAAGATACGACCGAGTCATTGAAATATCTATTCCAACTAATCGACGACATCCTAATCCAATGGATCGTAATACGTCTGCCGTTACACAATGTCCTACCATCGACACCCATTCTAGTTGCGTTGCTTTTGATGGTATCAATGCTATCAAGTCGGATGGATGCAGTAAAATTGCTGATGGTGATTGGTTTCTTGGCAGACTAGGCAAATGTAAATGGGTGAGCAACGGACACCGCACTAGAATATTTTGTAAAGCCCGAGGTGAAAGCGACACTATATCTGCAATCCATAAATGTGTTAGTGCGTGCATACGGGAGAACATGAGTCTGCAATCTTGCTCCAATAAAAGTCCATGCCATCCAATTCTTAATTGCTTCAACATAGTAAACCGCGTTGGCAGATGACGATAAAAGGATGAATCCTTGAGACTTTGCGCTTGATTTGCATCAGATTGTAGTTCTGACTGAATTGATGTTTGATCCTGTTCATTGCCGTTCATCAATCCAAATAGGTTATGACCATTATCAAGTGTATGATCTTCTGAAGATAATGACCGTAAATTAGATAGTTGTGATGTATATTGCTGTAGCATTTGTTCCGACACGAGTAAAGGACGTGCATGTGTATCAGGGATCATGGCACTTGCAAGTGCAGGCCATCCTGAAGAAGTATGTGATACATCCAATGATTGTAGAAAAGTCAACGAAGACAAGTATTGTGCTAACAGCCTTGTTACTGCTTTTGGAAATGAGCAATTAGCAATAGCTAGATGGGTGAGGTGGCTAAATTGGCAATTGCCACTTGGCGTGGACGCTTTATTTGCATCCCAATCCGCTACTCTTGATGATTCCCTTTCTGCTAAACAGCGCATGGAGGTCAACGTGATACTTGTACCCGAAATGTTCAGCCAAGTCAAGCAAGGCCACAGTTCAATGGCAGTCTTGACACTCAGATCTGTCACAGACTGACATTCTGCAATGCTTAATGATTTGATAGAGTGACAGTTATGGATAATTTCCAACAGTATAGAATCATCCACGGAGTCAACATTGTCTAGACAAAGAGTAGACAGTGAACTACTGCTACCAAGAGTAAGACGAGCTATGACATTCGTATGTAGTGATTGAGCATCCAAAATGCAGTTGGAGAGTGACAAATGTAGGAGCGAAGGACTTGCGGATGGTGCAATCACGTCCAGCTCGTTATTGGGAAACCTAATGCCAGACAAGCGAAGAGACAGAAGTGGTGCATCATTGCCTGGACGACTGTTGCGTATGGCAGTAAGCAGTTGTAGTAGATCTGAGTGTCCTTGAGGAGAGTCGGGCGGATGATGCACATAAAAATGACGAGTGGATCGAAGTAGCCAAGAACTAGTGGTATTGGTAATATTGGATAACCATTTGACAAACGATGGTTTAGACAGGAATGATGGATGTAAGGATAGAGAAGTCCATAGGAGAGGTCTTAGACTTTTATTCCAATGTCTGCATACAAGTGCAAGCACAGTAATCGAACGAGTCGGTCGTAAGCGAACAGGAGGAAGAGTAAGCATCAACTGGACAATCCATTGCAGCAGTTCAGCAGGAAGTGACCCAGCTATGGACTGTTGCACAAAAGACGTGGTTGCATCGACACGATTGTTCATGGTTTGAAATTGAACAAAGTTTCTTGCAATCCAAAATGATTTCGTTTTCATCGATGGTCGCCGTGATTTGTATGGATTTGCAGAACGATTACCTTACTCCTGGAGGCCACCTGGCTTCTAAGCATGTTCAATCTGTCGGTGAACAAGAAAGATCCATCTCCAATCTACTCTCTAATTTTCGCTACAATCCTTTATTATTGTCCAATACATACTCTGCCACCACTTCAGATGTTCCTAGTGTGATTTGGGTCAAATCTCTCTCTCTGCCTACCAATTCTACCTCGGTCAGTATCACACCAATTGCTCGTCCGTCTGAATCTAAATATGCTCTAGCACCAATGAACGATTCCTCTTTGACTCGGCCAATCCCTTCTGACTGTTGTGTTGCCGACTCTTGGGGCTACCAGCTACATTCAGACATACAAGCTCTTGTTTGTCCTTCTGATTTAGTTATTAACAAGCATAGTCCATCTGCATTTTCCGGAACAAGTCTGGCTTCAATCCTTGCATCCAACAATATTCGCACTGTGATTTTATGTGGTCTTCTTTCCTATACCTCTATTTTAGCAACTGCCGCTGATGCCTTTTTTCTGGGTTTAGATGTGATTGTGCCTTATGAATGTGTCGGCCACAACAACATGCACAAACATATGAAAGCTATGCATACCATATCTACGTGGTATGGACATGTCTGTCATCTGGAAAGTATAATTGGAAAGGATCTTGCGCATATCTACGGAGCTGGCGATTCGCGCCTTGTCCATAATGTCATGCCTCCATCTCTACTCAATATGAATACTACATCGACTACCACTGAAACACACACTGGTCTATTTTACGCTCTTAAGCACGAAGTCGCTTGGCAAGAGATGTTTCATCGTGGAGGTGCTGTTCCTCGTTTAGTCTGCGTCCAGGGAATATGCGATCCAGCCACAAACAACTCGATCCCCATTTACAGACATCCTGCAGACACGCATCCAAAGTTTTATCCATGTACTCCCGTTGTGGATCTTATTCGTCGTCACATTAGCCATCTCTTGGGACATGAACTGAACCATGTTTTGATTCAACTATATCGTGATGGAAAGGACTACATTTCTGAACACTCTGACAAAACATTGGATGTGGTTGCTGGTACAAGTATTGTAAATCTATCATTAGGTGCTGAGCGTACCATGGTATTGCGTTCCAAACGTGATACTCGACATTCTACTTTTGTAAGCATAGTTGTCTAAGCGCGATATTTTTGCTTCACATTGTCGACCTTTAAATATCTAACATTGTATGCTCAAACTAAATACGGCTGTTTATCTGGACGCAGCACTCTGAATTGCCTACTCAGTCGCCATTATTGACGAAACCATCAAGAAAGACCCAACGGTTCAATCTACCAAACAACTCTTTATTTATAATGGGATTAAAAACTAATGCTCTCTGGTTACATGGAATAGCTCAAGATAAATCGAATAGTGCTTTACATTCCAACACCACTGATACACTTGATTCAGTTTTGGAGCGCATTTCTTTAACTTTTCGCACCATTGGCACATTCATCACACAAGATCAAAAGCATATCTATGGACAAGGAGCAAAATGCAAGACATTTGAAAGCGCTCAGCCTATCAGTTTTGATCTGGATGAGATGCAAAACATGATTGATGCATTTGGAGCGGAAAACCAATCCACCATGTTTAATTGGGATCAAGTATATGGTCGTGGTTTCAATACCGTCGACTGTGCGTCTAATGTAGAATAAACACACTATAAATCCGGGTTGTCGGCCTACTTTGTTGACAACTTGTTGACAACTTGATTATAACTGCCACATATCTGAAAATAAAACAGTCATAAAGTTATACACGGGTGATTTGTAATTTATTTACAACCGTATTCACGCAAGATTGAATAAGGATGTTAAAGTACATAATAAACCGCCAATCTGATAATTTACACCAAAATTATGGGAATACAGCTGTAGTATAGAAATTCGATTCCCAATACAATAATTTGGGTAGAATTCATATTGGTTTTGCACCGACTTGACAAGACTAATTATACGCTTGTATGCAAGCTTGAAGTGCATTGATCGGTGTTTTGTAAATTGCCCAGTGCTTGAATATAACGATCTGAAGACTTTTCGTTTGCCCTAATAAACTGAGCAATAGTATTAAAACGGATGGGGTTGGTGCAGTCGCTAGTATGTTGGGTGTTAAAGATGAGCTCCAATGATTTGTTGCCGTCTTTGACTTGAATCACTGATGGAAACCCATAGGTCCATAGCTGGCATTGTCCTGGAGTACATTTGCGACCCGCGGCAGACTGAATCGAGCGAGCAAAAAGCTCTTTTTCGCCATGCTCGCTGCGTTCAAATGCAGGGCAAGGCAGGCGTGGTCTAGACACGCATCTGGGCTCCTTTTGGCAATCCTCTTCAGTCCAGTGATGCATGCATATCACTGTCTCGCCAAACGACAAATAGTAGGCCCACAGAATTTTGGCAAGCAGGTCTCGATCATCCCAACTGTCATAGGCACCCATAAAAAAGGCTTCGAAAGAATTCAGTGCCATTCCATCCTCTACATAGAACCTTGAATTATCGCAGCCTTTTTCTTGACATCTGTTCCAAATAGTGTTCCAAATTGTTTGTTGAGTTGGGAGGTAGCGACCATATATCATTTCTTTCGAGTGTTTGATTTCGACTGCAGAATAGACCCACGGAAGTGCAGGTAGAACAGCAACCACAAACACTGACCAAAACCCAACTATGGATTGCAAGTGCATATAGAATAAATGATCAACTGGTTAAAGTCATTAAAATCATTGAACTGGCTACATTCATGTAATAAAACATGAAATAGGGGTATCAAAATGCATAATAGTTGGCCAGCCACATGACATGATTGGTATCGTTTCATATCAAATTTAGAGGACGGCATTGGCATTTGAACCCCAACAAAACCAACTGGCTAAGCCAACTGGCTAAGCCTATTTTCGTAAAGCAATTGAATGAATCTTTACATTAGTTTCAATCCATTATTCATGAGATTGGCTGTTTATTATACACCGACACTCTTATTAGTGGCTCATTTTATATGAATACGGCGGCAAATTAAACACCACCACCACTTCGATCAGTTGGAAATTGTTCACGCTCTTGAACACGAGCAACAATCTTGGCAAATCTAGACCGACTCCGTATATCCTTGACAGCAGCCAGCACCTCCAAAAATTCTTCAAATTCAACCGATCCACTGTGATTCAAGTCAACTTCCTCAATTGCTGCAAGCAAGTCTTCTTTACTCATGTGTTCACCAAGCTTGGCCATAGCTGTGCCAAAATCACTTTGTGAAATGCTGCCGTCTTTATCTACGTCAAGAGTGTTGAAGACTTGGCGGTAGGCAGCAAGTTCGCTTGGTAGAAAATGTGTACGAGCAAAAAAGCGGGCCTGATCTTGCGATAAACTTGAAATGAGGGGTTTGCTACCATCTGCTGGAAACATGTTTTTGTCTTTGATTGTAAGACCCATGCTTGTAAGAAAATGTGTCGCATTGGCAATTTCTTTATTGCGACGATCAGTATCCCAACCCAATTCTGCTTGCATGATTTCAGCAATTCGAGGAAGTGCTGCGAGTGTAGCCTGAGCATTCAAAAAGCTAAGTCGTGTACGTCTAGCAATGACATCCTAAATGGTCGTATGATGTTTATCTTGTTAACAAGATAAAGCTGACATTCAAACAAGTGCATACAGTATGACTGGCTAAACTAAACCAAGTGAGTGCAGAGAACTTACCACCAATGTGCACGCATACTCGCGCTGACATGCATATAAAACTTCTGCTTCAATATAAGGATATCCAGGAGCTAATCGGAGTCCAAACAATGGCCATCGTGTGCCAGTTTGAGCAGCTAAAGAAGCAACAGCCCATGCACGATCGCCGTAACTATCAGAAAGATGTTGTGCAACCTCTGTTTCAAGTCCAAAATGCTGAATTAGTTTGATAAACATTTTTTTGGACCACCCGTTGCTGCCAATGAGTTGTAGATGCTCGGTAATACACGGACCGGTCGGTTTGAGATCTGTAAATTGGCATGGATTTAGTAATCAAACATTTCATGTAAATTCTCAATTGCCAACTGCAATAAAGTTCAAGAGGGAAAATTCAAGCATATTGTCAGTAAATACCAAAGATTTCAATCGCCTTGTCAATAGTCTCTTGAGCCATAGCACGATATGTAGTCCATTTTCCACCAGCAATTGTCAATAGTCCTGACTGGGATACATTAATCATATGACTACGAACCAAAGCAGCAGTTTTTTTGGAATTAGGATCTCGTACTAGTGGTCTAATGCCCGACCAGGCAGCAAGCACATCGCCTCGTCTGACCTTGATTTCTAAAAATCCACGAGTTAGCACTATTCATTATAGAATCAAATGAAACAGTTGGCAGAAAACCGCCAAATCTAGAGTAACTGAAATAGGCAATCTTACCAGGAGAGAGATAGTTTCCAATTTCCTTGAGAATCCAGTTTATATCATCATCTGATGGAGTAGGATCAGATGTAACTTTTGTAGGAGAGTCTAATGTATAAAAACAGTTTAACAAAGCACTATTCAAAAGAATTTAAAGCCCAAGCAAATATAGATAAGCATAATATTCTCACCAGTTGTTCCAGCAATAGTGCTACCTTGCCACGGCAAAAAAAAGATCACCCGGCCATCGCTAGTGCTTGGATCCAATAGACCCATGTTTCGTGGACTGTAGTAATTTGGCAAAATAATATGAACACCCGCACTTGGAGCAACAATCTTTTCAGTATTGACTCCACCATCTAGTTTCCTCATTTCATCAGTAAATGGACCAGTAGCATTGATGATTCCCTAGATGAACAAGTATTCAAGGAATAAAGTAGCCATACACGATTCAGTTGAGGATTCAAAACAAAGGAATTGACTTTGATCCTTTTGTAAACCGTAAATTATAAATTAGACACACCTTTGTACGGATAGTCCACGACTCTCCACTGAGAGTGTCTTTTACTACAGCACCATAGATTTCCTCGTCGCCCAATCCATGCTTGCCGACATTTGTCACACGGGCTTTTTTCAAGATTCCAACGACTTCAACATGGTTAGCCACAACAGCTCCATGTGCAATTGCAGTCAGAGAAATAGCGACGTTCATGCGCGAATCATTGTGAGCGCCGTCGTAGTAGACAATGGCACCCTTGAGCCTGTCCTTTTTCAGCATAGGAAATGCTTCCAAAGCACGAGATCTGGTCAAAAAGTAAGAATGAGCAAGTCCTTCACTTCCAGCGAGAATGTCGTATGCCTTTGCACCAACCCAATAGTACGGAATCTTCCACCATCTAAGAAATGTCAAGCATGTGAAAGTAAGCGAAACGCGTCCCCAGTAAATTACCACAGATTTACACTCAACTGTGATATGGGCAGCATAATAGGCAGCTGGTAAGCCAGATATGGAGCAATCTTTAGGAATATTCCTCGTTCATGCAGTGCTTCTACAACTAGTTTGTATTGCTCATAATCCATTTCCATAAACGCCTTTTCCAGATACCGCACTCCACCATGCACTAGTTTTGTGCTGCGTGAACTTGTTCCTAAATGCACATGAATCGAGCCAATCAGTTGGCAATCATACTGCGTATACTTTGAAGTGAAACTCACCTGAAGCAAAGTCGTCTCGTTCAACAAGGGCTGTGCGCAGGCCGCGAGTGCAAGCATCCAAGGCACATCCTACACCAGTAGCTCCACCTCCTACAATCAGCACATCAAATACTTGATCATCTCTCTCACTGCTTTGAGTCAGTCCATGCAGTAGATCTATAGTGTCCTGTTTGAGGTTGCTGGCATCTATAGTCTGGGCAAGATTGTCAGATTCTGTCACGGTATTCACAGAGTCGGATGGATTAGTAAAGCTCTTTCCTTGCAGCATAGCAAGCAGCTGGGCTCGAGACGGTAGCTGCCATGATGCCGGGGTAATTTTTTCCTTATCAAACACATGAGGAGGAATCCGTGGACTGCTGCCATCCAAGCTACCACCACTAATACCCCTGGCTAGAATGGTTTCATGAAAGGCTTCTGCATAACTGCGCGACTGCTGGATGAGTGCCTGAGTTTCCTTGTCCTGTTCATCATCAGAAGTAAAAGTGTCGAGTGTTTTGTAGGCTGTTCCTGCCACTAAAGCTGCTACAGCTGCTCCAGCGAATGCTGATACCAGTGGTCTTTGTCGAATGCCTCGCAACATGTGAAAGAATGATTGACTTGCTGTCTTGACAGAAAACTGCTAAAACGAAATAATTCAAATACCGCTGCTGTGACGAGCAATCCAGTATTATTTTCAGGTATTCAAACTATTCAGCCATAAAAACTGCTTTGAAATCAGCTCTCGATTATCGCTCAATACCAACCCTCACAGCTATCGACAGTGGGAATGAGAAGGGTGATGAAATAAAAAATTGTGTGTTCATGTATTTGAGATGGTACTTGCATAAACTCCATTCAACCACTTTCGGGTTTGGTCATGTTTAAAAATATCAGTAGATTGTCTGTTGATTGGAATGTCAGGATCATCTATTGCTCGTGTTTCCTATACCACAGCAACAATCTGACTTGTTGGCACGACCAGTTTGCTGCTCCTTTCGAGTCGATATAAAATGTCACTCATTTGGTCCAACACTGCTTGATAATCTGGTACTGGTCTTGTTCTGACGCGAGGCTTCAGCATTTTATCTAGAACCCAATATCTGGTTTCAAATTTGGTGATTGTTCAATCTATGGATATACCAGAAAGGAGGTTTAAAGAGTGGCTGTATATGATATGAACGCTGTGTTTATTCAAAGTTGAAAATGCCAATTTCCAGTGGACAAGTATAATGCTCAACCATTGTTATCCAAACAAATCACTGCAGAGTGATGTAAACATCAATTATTATAGCTTAAAACCACTTGTCCAATCGGCTGGATGTAAAATAGTATATTTTGGCGACATATTTATTGAACGTTGAAAAATGATAATCAAAGTCCTCCACGAAGACGGAGAACAAGATGGAGAGTGGATTCCTTCTGGATATTGTAGTCAGAAAGAGTGCGACCATCCTCAAGTTGCTTTCCAGCAAAAATCAGACGCTGCTGGTCAGGTGGGATTCCTTCCTTGTCTTGAATCTTGGCCTTGACATTGTCAATAGTGTCTGATGACTCGACCTCGAGAGTAATGGTCTTACCAGTAAGGGTTTTGACGAAAATCTGCATACCTCCACGAAGACGGAGAACAAGATGAAGGGTGGATTCCTTCTGGATATTGTAGTCAGAAAGAGTGCGACCATCCTCAAGTTGCTTTCCAGCAAAAATCAGACGTTGCTGGTCAGGTGGGATTCCTTCCTTGTCTTGAATTTTGGCCTTGACATTGTCAATAGTGTCTGACGACTCGACCTCGAGAGTAATGGTCTTACCAGTAAGGGTTTTGACGAAAATCTGCATACCTCCACGAAGACGGAGAACAAGATGAAGGGTGGATTCCTTCTGGATATTGTAGTCAGAAAGAGTGCGACCATCCTCAAGTTGCTTTCCAGCAAAAATCAGACGCTGCTGGTCAGGTGGGATTCCCTCCTTGTCTTGAATTTTGGCCTTGACATTGTCAATAGTGTCTGATGACTCGACCTCGAGAGTAATGGTCTTACCAGTAAGGGTTTTGACAAAGATTTGCATACCTCCACGAAGACGGAGAACAAGATGAAGAGTAGATTCCTTCTGGATATTGTAGTCTGATTAAAACAATAAACTCGTATTAGCAAATGCTAGTATAAATAGAACTTCAAGAGTAAACCAAGCTTGCAGGTAAAAATCACATCACGTGAATAAAAGCATAAGCCAGGGTACGCGCATGGCGGAAAGTCAAATCATTACGCCATCAAGGCGGATGAAAACAAAAGGCAAGAGAAAGACAGCTCACAGCTCAAACAACTACAGCCATGCTCAATACATTAAAGACTAAAAGGCAGAGTAGTCAAGAATAGCATCAAGTTATATTTTATCAATGTGAGGTAGTAATCAAATTAAAGCAAAAACAAGCCAGCACTAAGAGTGCAAAAGGCTAGTACTAGGTTGCAGAGACAACCAATGAAAAGGAATGCTATAGTAGAGAAACAAATGAAGCAAAATAGACAGCTGGCACCACTAAACTCACCAGAAAGAGTGCGACCATCCTCAAGCTGCTTTCCAGCAAAAATCAGACGCTGCTGGTCAGGTGGGATTCCTTCCTTGTCTTGAATCTTGGCCTTGACATTGTCAATAGTGTCTGACGACTCGACCTCGAGAGTAATGGTTTTGCCAGTAAGAGTTTTAACGAAGATTTGCATTGTAGACAGTTGCAGAGTTTGGAAAAGAGCGAGCTGAAACCAGCGCAGTGTTTATAGACCTAAACACGTGACTATACCTGTTTTTGGATTGTTCCGAGTCAAGCCAAGAGCACGATGCAGTGCTAAATAGTCAAACCAACTGTTTGACAGCATTCTGATTTATACCAAAAGCTATGCGATATCCATTCATGGCATTCATGGCATTCCCGGGCCTTGCTTTTATTTGCTTGATTTCCGTGTTAGGCTTGGATTGACCATTCATTCGAGTCATTTAATTATCTCGGTTTGATTTCCTGAATCGTCTGTCTTGATTGGATCAACTCGCTCTACTTGTCTAATTGAATGTCGATTCTAACCAACATTTTCCATCGAGACTCGGATTCCTCTGAGCTATCCATTTCAGATCATTCAGACTGCAGTGTGCAATATGACTTGGCACCTGCTTCAATCGAACCTCGTATCGGCACTCTTCACACCCATCTAATTTCGCATGCACCTTCTAGATCCATTACAATCCATGAGGACACTGCTGGTGGTTGTGGTGGAAGAACTTGGCCTGCTGCTACCATTCTTTCAAACTATATCTCGCACCGTCGACTATTAGGAACATTTCCTTATTCTCGTATTATTGAACTGGGTGCTGGCACTGGACTGGTCAGTCTAACTGTGGCCGTTCTTCCAAATGAGCAAAGTGTGTTGCGCTCGAGCGAGCTTGCCCCAACTGCTCCAGTATCCATCACCATTACTGATCTTGAAGAGTTTGTCCCATTGATTAGTTTTAATGCAAAACTTAATCTTACTGAACAGGAACTGAAAACCATCTCCATCGAAACATGTCGCTGGTGAGCTTCCTGTTTTTCAAAATTTCATTCTTCTGCCATAGCTGTGTATAGATCTAATGTGCTTGTATCCGATTTATGTAGGGGAGATCCTCTTTCTCAGCATATCAAAGCAGCTTTTCCATTTGATCTGATTCTAGTTGCTGACTGTGTATATCTCGAGGCTGCCTTTGACCCGCTGATAAAAACTCTGACTGATTTGAGCACTCGGTCCACTGAGATCTGGATCGCATTTAAAAAACGACGATCTGCTGATCGACACTTTTGGACTCGACTAGCCAAGACATTTCATGTAGAGCCAATAACAGATGATCCTAATCATCACGATTACTCTCGCAAAAGGCTTTTCCTATATAAAGCGATGCTAAAGTCTCCTTTTACAAAAAATACTGTAGCATCTACAAAAACAGTCCAAGCTTTGAGTTAATCCATAGATATTCCAACCTTTAATAACTAGGTTGAAGTTTACGGTAAAATATTGCTTTAATCCCTGGTTATTGCAATTCAAAACATTAGAACCTGTTTACAATTCTGGACATGCAACCGTTTGATCATCAGCTAGAATGACTTTATTGTATTTAGATTTACTAGTATGGTGAATCTATACTTGTTTATGGGCTGAAATATACCAGGCATCGACTTACAGTCGTATCCATGTAAATGGAAAATTAAATACGAGCTAGTGCATAATAAATAGCCTGTTCTCGCGGAATGGTGATTTACACGCATCTCCTCGACAGCATTGTGTCTCAACTCTAGTTTACTGGCCTTTCTCCGTGGTGGCTGACATGAAAACAACAGCTGCAGTTCTGATACGTGCAATCTTGAATTAAAGCGCAAGTATGAGATTAGAGCACAACAAATATGGGGTTTTACAAAAATTGAGAACATCAGGATTGGATCTGGATTTGAATCTGGGTTTAAACTTGGTGATTGCACAATGTATGGTTATATCAAAGGTGGAGAAAAGGATAATTTGATTGTGTGTGCATTGCACAATAGACGTTGTATTGAAGAGTTGAGAATACTAATTTGTGGTAAAAAAAGTGCAAAGATAACCATTGTCTCAATCATATCAAGTTTCATTTTATGTGAACATGTCTCAAGCAATAGCGTGCACAAAACGTATTGCCTGCAATGTTTACATCTTTTCAGCATATATTTGATATCTGCCAACAGTCACGCCAAAAAGTATAGATTTTACAGATACACTATAGCTCATTTAAACTCGAACGAGGGAATCGACAACACATTGCTCATGTTGTAATACTATACTACTACAGTCCAATGCTATGGTACTTGTAACATGTTTTGATTTCGTTGGATAAATATTTGTTTAGATTTTAAAAGCCAAATTACCAGTTATGGCATATACAATATGCTAGAGTTTACAAACTGCTTTAAATGCATCAAACGGGCAAGTGCACCAACTCCTGCGTATTACCTCTCACAAGCCAGACATACCAAAAATAAATAACTATAGAATGCCGAGTTGGTAAAAGTATTTGATTTTTTGTTTAAAATTTTGGTCACAAGAGTTGCTATTTCAATCGTATTTCAATTCAATGTCACCACCTGCAGGTGCATCCAAGTCGTGATAGGTACGAATCTGTCTTGGGTCCATCCTTCTATTAAGCACATTATACATTCAAAAATATAAACTTGTTAGTATTCCAAAACTTGTAAAGAACCGAAAATACAAATAAAACTACCTTCCAGTAGGCGGTGGAAGTAGACGCGATCTTGGATCTTGGCGACGTCCCATATGCCTTCCTACATCAGTAGCATAATCTGCTCGACGACCAAATTCATCGCGAGGAAAATCCATTCCGGCATTCCCTCGACTGTATTCACGACGGTTTCTACCACGACGATCACGCTCCTGATCAGCATTCCCACTACGATCTCCGCCATATAAACTATTCCAGTTTCCAGCGTTACCACCAGCATTTGTAGTCAAACCAGCAGACCATCCGGCACCAGAAGAATTTGTGCCAGCCCCTAAAGACGCACCAACCATACCAGCAGCATTCATTCCTTGACGACTCGTATCCAACTTGTTAAAGTCCAGCGCAAAATTGTTGTAATAGGTGAGATCAGCAATTACTTCATCTACATTTGAGCCATGTTTACCGCGAAAATGCTTACGAGCAAAATCATCCCCTTTGAAAAGTTTACTGCATAAAGTGCATCGAAACTTGCTGTCACTTTCTTTGCTGATCCGAGTCCCCAAAAAGGCCTCCACGTTTTCTTCAACAGGTTTTCCACCCATTTTTGTAAAAAGAGGTCCTTCTGTGGGAGGTGCCAATCGAATCTGCACACGCTGGTCAAGCTTGGTAATAAAACCATCACGACGAGCGGCCCATGTAGTTGGTCCACCGGCACTTACTTCAACCGTTTTATCTTCTGAAGCAACATAAGCACGTCTCAGTTGAACCATGCATCGTCTAGAAAAATCTTCAGGCGCAACAGCTTCAACGCCCGAGTAGTAGTCAAAATTATGCACTTGGCGCATGTACTCAATGTATAGATCCAATCTACGCTTGATAGACTCAATTTGTAGTTTTCCAGTTTCTTCTACCACAACACCATCCGCTTCGTCTTCAGCTGGCGCGTCCTCATCTGCTAGTGTCTCAGTCTTGGTATAAGCCTCAAATGGACCAAGTTTGGCGTCCAAGTACGCTTCAAGTGATGCAGAGCCAGTATCGACAGATAGCCCGCATTCAGTATCTAGCAAAGCTGCTAGTTTTTTTGCTTGGTCAAGATCAATTAATAGTCGTTCGGGACGAGAGACCTCTGTAGGAAGCGTGTATTGGCGTCTAGTAAGGGGTTGACTGATTGCCAAATGAAGAGTTTGTTCTCCAACAGGAGTGTTGTCAAGAGTTGCAAGTGCCTGTGTAAGATCAACAGTTTCGTCAAATACAATCCAACCAAGTCTGGACATTTTTTTGTCTACTCTGGGATCTGTTAGCACCAGATGCTTAAAGCCTTCGACCTTTTGACATATCTAAAATAAATACAAGAGTTACAGAGGTTGTATCCATTGATATTCAACTCATGAAACAGTTAGACAGCATATCCTTACCTCAATAATGTCACTACGTTTTGTAGACAATGAGATTCCTTTGATAAATAGTGAAGGATCTTGGATCAGATCTACAAGTGTATTTTCAGCCATGACTGTATTTTGAGCAACGGGTTTGGCCTCCATAGCATTATCAACCATGCTTTTTTCAGTGTCCATCTGAGATGCATCAATCTTTACTTGTCCGTTTGTATCTGTAGCATCGTCGTCTGTTTTCATGTCAGATGGACTTGGTTCTTGCTTTGACGGAGAGTTTGGCGTAGCATCGACCATTTTAGCGTCAGTAGCACCCATTGTAGCTCTTAGATCTGTAGAAGCAAGGTCATCAAAGCACAACAAATCAAATTTTCCTTCAGACAGCATGACAGCGAATCTGGATTGCAATTCAGCACGTCGTTTGTAGACATCAGCCTTGAATACCAACGATTCGACTGGGTGGTATTTTTCTCTAAACCTATAGACGCGACCATGGTTAGCAACCAGATTATTTTAGACAAGAATGAAAGTCTTACCATTCATCGTCTTTGTGTGTCTTGAACAATTTATCATTATGTTTCCTAGCGAATGCTTCCTTGTATTCGTCGTACTTTAGATCCAGATCCTCCTGGGTAAGGGGAGCACCACGACCATGAGTACGATTGTATACACCACGAGTGAACTCGGCAAAGTGAGAATAGGGCACAACATAGTCCAGTTTGCTTGGATCCGGTCTGGAATCCAACTGTGGTTGTTGATGACCTCGATATCGCTGATCTCTGTCATATAACATGTCTTGGCCGCCATAGCCACTACGGTGATCGCTGCCATTACGAGGAGATAATGAACGACGAATGCGTTTTGATTCATAATGATCTAGAATGCAGACAGAGTAGTATGAACACAAACAGATGCTTTCGAAATACAATTGTGTACAAGACTCAAGGATTACCATCAGGACTGCGGTCTCTCCTGCCTCGTCGACGGTCTTCTCTTCCAAAACTATCCATTATTGTAGTGGTGATATAATCAAGATTACAGAATTTAGGTGGGAAGTGATGAGATGACAACCAGCGACTAGCAGAGCAATAATAAAAAACAGCAGCTGAACCACAAGGTTAGCAGACCCAATTCCAGCGAAACAAGAGCAATGTATGGTTTCTAGATTGATCACTCACCAACAAATTCGCAGTTGGCAGTAATCGCCGAGCGAGCTCAAGAAAGACGAAAATCAACTTATTCGTGGTCCCGTGACCACTCCATCTCGACCGACAAAACCCACTCTAAGATTCTTTGAAAAACAAGTCTGGCAAATGTGAAAACACTGACAATATATTTAAACTAGATCCGCAAGAGACAAAATCTGTAAATGAATCAAAGAACTGGAATCAAGCAGCAAAATGGTCTAAAACAAGTCCAGCTTAATTCAGCATCACGATCTGTTTAATCAAAAAGTCCAAAGCCCATGTCATCATCAGATTCCTCCTTGGGCTCTTCCTTCTTCTCCTCAGCTGCGGCTGCAGCTGCGGGTGCTGCACCTCCAGCTGCTGCTGGGGCAGAGCCAACTGCAGGGGCTGCACCAGCACCAACATTGAACAAAAGTGCGCCAATGTCCTTTCCAGCAAGAGCCTTGGCAAAGATAGAGGGCCAGATGGGTTCAACTTCGAGACCAGCAGCTCCAATCAGAGTGCTGAGCTTGTCGGCCTGTATATTCATTGGATTGAGATTGTACCGTCAAATGGTTCAGTCATTTTAGCAGTGCACCAAGTTGAAATTATAGGTATATCGTCAGAGTTAGAGTTAGCACAATCTTGATTGCTACCATCTCAATGAGACACGGCCAAAAGCCGAATAAATAAATATAGAGGCACTACATCCATCCATCCAATACATCCATCCATGCATAGTAAAAACGTACGGTGATCTCAAGACCCTCGTCGTGTAGAATAAGAGCGGCATAAACACAGGCAGCTTCGGATGTAGAGAGCGACATTTTGCGTAGGCCAAATGCAAGGTTTAAGCAGAAAGCAGCAAGTTGACTTGAAGGAGAGAAGTCGTGTGCGCTCCAAAATGCAAACAAGTGCACCATGTCACGTGAATATCATCATGTGACTCTAGCGTAAAACTTGACTCAATCTGGTCTTGGTCTGGTAATGGAATCCGACTATATTATCTTAAAGTCGCTGCCCAACAATCGATTCTTTGAAGCAGCCAGTAATATATCATCAGACACATTGATTTTTGCATGCACTCCTTATGCATTTGCAACTACCGATTCATATCGTAAACGAGTATGTGCTTACTGCATGACTTGTGTAGTCGACGGCTCAAGCGGGTTTCATTTTCGATGTAAGCAATGCGATCAGGTATTTGCCTGCTCTCAAAAGTGTTTGGATATGCTCGCTCAAAATGGTCATGATCGAATCTGTTCAGCAATGAGAAAGCTTGCAACTTTTAAAGCGTCTGTACATGAAAAAAGTATTCTCAAGCTCGTGTTGATAGTATGTTTGAATCGTCTTGTAAAAGACCAGTCGCAGACCTTGAATACCAAACCTGATTCCACTAGCCTTGCGTCTAATTCTTTATGCACTGTCGAGAAATCTGAAATACATGAACAAAAACAGTCGCTCGTAAATTCCATGCAATGTCTATCCATTGAACCGGAAACAGTCGATCAATCTGAAATGGCAAACCCCAATCCTTCTTCAATCCATTCTTTTCCACTTCCAGCTCCTCCGACATTCCTGGACTTTTTAAATCTACAATCCCACTATTCCAGCTGGCAGTTTGAAACCCACAATGAATGGAAGAAAAGCATGACTTTTCTCTTCAAACTCCTTACTGACAGCAACATTGTCCCATGCCAAGACATTGACATCCAAACTGTTCGCGACTGTCTTTTCCATATCATTAGTCGAATCGAAAGCAATTGCTTTGGTATCTGGAAACCCAATGGCAAAGAAGCGTGTATGGGTCGAGCAGTCTTTCCTGCTGCCTCGTATTTTAATCACTCGTGTTTTCCTAATTGTCAATCAATCAAACACGACCATAAAATGGCGTTTCGCACCTTGAAAGATGTGTCCAAAGGTGAAATGCTGACTATTTCGTATATCGATACCAACATGCCCGTATCTGCAAGAAGAGCGCGACTGATGGACGATTACTTTTTTGAATGCATGTGCGAGCGCTGTATAAGTGAATCAGGAATGGTATCCAATGCATCTCAGCTAAAAGTGTCATATACCTTTAAAAAATACGAGCATAAAAAACGAACTAAAAAAAAGAGCAAGAACAAAAATGACTCCAAGAAAGTAGTGCAAGATTTACTTGATGGCTGTGAGCCAACAGAGTCCAACTCAGCCCTCTAGTGCAAGATCTGCAAAGAAAATAGAATATCCAAATGCATGAAATTGTTTATTATAATCTTTCAACATGGAATTAAAGCAGCGGTTCTAGGGTCGAGTCTTTAACTCAAAACATGTCAAAAATATCATCAATATCATTGTATACTTTCTCTGGTTTTACCAATCGTTTAGTCTTGATTTTGGCGTTCAATTTAGACTCTATTGCAGTACTTTGTTTCTTCAACAAGAGTCTAGATTCTTGTTTTGCAAATGGCTCGAGTTTCTTAGTATCAGCAGTTTTTAAAGCAGTTTTGGCTATAGAAAGTGATGCACTGCCCTCTAAATGTGATGGAGCAGTCAAAGTATTATTCCAAAAACGATCAGATAGTGAATCGGCTGGCTGAGCATCTGTATCTGCTACAACGGAAACTCTAGGGGAGGAATCCTCGTCCGTATCCTCATCCAGCTCATTCTGTGCTTCCTTGTAATCTGGCAGCTTATCAATTGCTTCACTTTGAATCACATTAGACTGATTGAATTCTAGCGACGCGAGATTTGGTGGTAGCTGAGATGCATACCACGGCAAAAAGGCATGCGGCACACTTTGTGTCCATGACCAAGCTAAATCGTAGCAGCTTTCGCATTGTTTTCTGAAATACGTAGTTAAAAAATGAAGTCGAGCTGATATTGCCGAAAATGTAAGGGAAGTAGGCATAAAATAGGTTTGACTTGCAACGTCTCTGTATGCTCTAAGTATTCCATATATAGAAATTCAATTCAAAAAGATTATTTAGCAACCAAATAAACTAGATCAGATAATAAATGATTAGGCGTTGCCAACATGCCCAAATTTTGAATCTTTATACTTACAAGAATAAATCTTCAAGAGACGTACGAATCTGGACAAGAAATATACGGTATAGTTTAAGTAGTCGAGTCGAAATAAATAAAGCTAGTTGGTATTATATTTTTGTAATAGGTTTAGTACACTACATACCTTGCACAAAAGTGCATATGCACCAGCTAAATGAAGCATGACTGGAAACAGATTTATTTTGAAAGATGCTCCTAGCTTTACAAGTTTCCTACCATGTCATGCCATCAAGAAAATTAAATCCGAGTATAATGCAATATTCAAAAACATCAAGGCAATACGACATACTTGTCTGGAAAAACAATAAGGCTTTCCAATTCAAGCTGCTTTAAACGAACAAACAATCTTTTGGTCTATTATTCCACACAAGAGAAAACCTGTCAATACCACAAGGTTTTGAGCCCATTACAACAAAAGCCATTACCAAAACGGTTTTTCGTAAATGAACAGACGATCGATGCTGATTCATGCTTTTTGAACGAAGACGATCGAACAGAGCAAACTCTCTCCATAGTCTTTTTGCAGCAAATATGTTGCGATAAGGGGACAAGAGTGCAGCTTGGCTGGTGGTAAGCACAACTTCAATCTGACTGTCTGTTTTACCAATCTGTGGATCGGATAGGCCAAACAAAGTAGAGTTTATTTGCAGTTTGCAGTTGCAGACATTAGAAGAAAGAGAATGTTTTGCATGGAGTTTTCTGCACCAAATGCTGGAGTGAACAGAGTCGTTTTCATAGTTCATTTGACTGTCAAGAATGAATTCATTGAATAATTTACAGCAGTATCAATCACGTGTTATCATCGATTCTATCAAAATCAATGATTTGTGATTGCTTTGATTACTAGATGGATAGCAATCAAAGCAATCATGATGGCAGTAGTGTAGCTTCATGGATAAGCTCTTCGGATGAATTGGATGTTGCTCCTGCTTCTGTTCTCTGGGGTGTTGCCTCGATGGACACTGTCATACCACGACCTTCACTGCAGCCCATCGTAGCTGTTGCTGGAACTGGACCGAATGGCATTCCATCCGCCTTGCTCACAAACCCCACTGCTATAGTTGAGAGCAGAAGTCTGCGTCTCTCTCCCATTCTAGCCAGTGCAGTTGCGCCTTCTGTTGCTGCTGCTGCCGCTGTCGGTTCAACAACCAATTTAATTTTCACTCCTGTCGTCGCTACTCCAAGTATCACTCCTACATATCATTCTACAAATACTTCAAGACAACATACCCAGACATCTGCTCCTAATCATCCAGCGTATCTCTCATCTCCGTTGTATATATTTCGCAACTCAAATGCAGCTGTGATCACTGTTGCCGCATTTGCACTCTTTACCGATATGGCCATATACGGAATTGTTATTCCAATCTTGCCTCAGATTATCACCGTTCGACTTGGAATGGATACAAAATATCTTGGCATTCTTTTATCTGGATATGCTGCTGGGCTTATTCTCGTTACGCCAATCATTGGAATTCTTTCTGATAGATTTAAAAATCGCAAAGTGCCCATGATTATCGGTATCATGTTTATGATCATTGCTGCCTCATTATATGCTTTTGGAAATACTTTTGGGTATGTGGGCATTCTATAGTTGAAGGCTGTTGTATCTAAACACCTTTTTTCGATACTGTTCAAAGTCATTATCCTATATTATCTTCTACGAGTTGCTAATCTTTGCTTTGAATTTGGAAAACAGGCAATTGTTTTTGGCTAGAATGTGTCAAGGTGTCTCGGGTGGAGTATCCTGGACAATTGGATTCTGCATGTTAGCAGATATTTTCCCACAATCCCGACTAGGTGCAGTTATGGGTAGTGTGTTGATGGCCAACACTTTTGGGTTTTTAATAGGTCCGCCACTCGGCGGTGTGTTTTTTGAGTTTATTGGAGAAAGATCTCCATTTTTGTTTTGTGCTCTTTTGGCATTTTTGGATCTAATGGCTCGTTTATTTATTCGACCTGGTGTGTCCTCTATTCGATACAAGGCTGTATCTATTCAAGATGTGGACGAAGACAGTACTGATACAGAAAGTGAGCAGCAAGAAGATAATCAAGATTCGAACGATCTACATGACCGTAGCTCTCATTTAGTAGCTAGTGTTTGCCAGCCTCTTCTCACACCTTCAGATAGGATAGAGTATGAGAGTGTTGAGGTTGCTGAAAATCTTTTTCCTCAAAGGATTCAACAGAATACGATGCTGGATCTTGTCAAAGATTCACAGATTCTAGTTACATTGCTGTGCGTGATTATTAGCTCTTCGGTGTTTGCAGGTAGATGAATTTCTTTTTATAAATCGATTATTGATGTATTCAACAGCACTCAAAATGGTATCATTGTTTGTGCAATTGCTGAATTAGGAATTGAACCTACACTTCCGATATACCTCTCACAAGAACTGAAGGCTTCTCCATCATTGGTTGGCGCCTTGTGGATATTTATTGCTATTCCGAGCATGTTAGGATGCTCATGGGCAGGTCATATTAGTGACAAATATGGACGAAAGAATGTAATGGCGTTTGGCATGCTGTTTTTTGCTATAGCATCTCCCATGCTTGCACTAGGAAAGCATATGTTCATTTTGATTCCCGGTCTGATTTGCTTTAGTCTATCCAATGCTGTGGCATTGACACCAGCTATGCCTGAAATGGCAGACTTTATGCATGCACGCGATGATTCAGCGTTTGGCACCGTTTACGCCTTGTATAATTTAGCATACTCTTCTGGCCAGCTTATCGGACCTATTGCTGGATCGTTTTTGTTTCAACGGTTTGATTTTATGATTCAGATGCAAGTGTTTGGCGTTGCATTGTTGCTTGGTGCGCCTATTGCGTACATTTTTTACGTAAAGTCGCTAAAAGTAGCATAGGCGGTGTATTCTATAGTTTATCTATTTTTTTATTTATATGGAAATAGATTGAAGAGTTTGAGTTATTATACTACGGCTGTATTCACGTAAAATGGATCATCTCTGTATCTTGCAATGATTGCCTCTATTTTGAAATAGACAATGGTTAAATATTTGCTGCGCTTTCCTACTACAGATTGGCTTGAATAGACACTCCATTCTCCCAACACAACGTTCATATGATACAAGTTGAACTATATTTCTTGACCCTAATTTTTCTCCACTTTGGCATACATTGTACGATCACCAAACTCATTCATTGTAATCCGGATATTGGATTTGACTGTTTCATGTTAATAAAATCCATCTTGTATTTTAAAACCAGATGCATTCGCGTTTTAGTTGAAATAGGACTGTACATTTCAGGAATGCAACCGCTATTTTCATGCAATCATTCAATGTTTGGATTGCATGAATGAAGAATTGGACTTTGAACCAGTGTGAGATGATTGAAACTGTCATGTAAACATTCATTCGGTTATACAAAAATGAGCACAAGGATCAGTGAATTAAAGAGTTTAGAGGACACACTATTCAGTAAACTGACACGTATGATCTCAGACTGACTTGTTTGGTGGTTTGTTTTACATGAGTACGACTAGATTATAGCTTGGTATTGTTTTAGTTGCAGCAGCTTGTGAATTCATAAAATGAGTTACATATCACGTGGTAGCATATTAGACGATCTTGAGTGAGCCAACCAACAAAGTTGAATAATATTATTGATCAATAGCCATCATGGGTGCAGGACAATCCAGCATGGAACAGGTTGATTCATTTTGCAAGACGCAAGCCATTGCTAGCAAGCGATGCATTCAAGAAAACGAATTTGACAAGTACGTTTATTTCTTTTGCTGATAGCTGTTTGCACTTGTTAGGTGTATCCGAGTTGCATGGCTTACTGCATGATTGACCTTTTTAAATAGAGAAAAGTACAAAGTTGCTTGCGTCCAGCAATTTCAAGACTATCGAGACTGCAAGAAGCGCTGGGTAAGTGATTGCATTGTGGCATATTCTGTACAATTTTACTTACTCTTTTGATTCTGATTAGCTTGAGCTGGCTCATCGAATCAATGCAGCAGATCGGCAACAGAATACAGAACCAAAATAAACTTGACACTCTTTATTATTAGTAATTGTTTCAATTGAGTTTGAAAGTTTAGCACGATCTGACATTCAGCTTCATCTGTCTAGCCTGACAGTACTGCTGCTGCACTGGGAGAAGTGACTCCATCAGCACCTGCAGTAATATCATCTAAAAGTGCAATATACAACCTTCCAAACACTGCTCGATTCAATTCCATGACTTTTCGAATTCGTATTCCCAGATCCAACACTTCCGTCTCGAGCTGTGCTAGTCCATGCTTTCCCATCATATCTTTATCCGTAACACCATTTACAATCACCTTTTTGAGATTCTCGCCAACCCGTTTTTGAATCAGATCGTAAAGTTTACTGTTGGGTGCAAGTGTTTTTTCCATCATGCTGCTGACCATCTCTGTTTCTTTCTCCGTGAATGGCTTTTCTCGAATTTTGCCGGCCGTGTGAGCTACCTGCAGCGATATATGCGACATGGTAGTGTCGGAATCATTGAGCAATACCCATAGCATCTTTTTTGCCTCGTCCATGTGCGATATGCATTTTGGGCCAGCAGCTTGTCGGAAAATCACCAAAAGGGAAGATAGGATTGTAATATCTTGCCAATCGTTGTAAAAGGAAATCATACGACTCGTATCCATTTTGAGAGTTTCTGGTACAATCTGCTTTTTTGAAAACTGGCTGGCCTGAAGAATGAGTTGAAGAAACGCATCATTGATCATATCTGTTTGATGTAAATTGGTATCGTTTGATGTGGATGCAGGAGTGGCGGAAAGAGTATTTGCTGGTAGAGGCGACTTGAATACAGTTTCAAGCCAGCTTCTTGTCGTGTCGAGAGTAGTGGATCCACTTTCATATTGCGTTTTGAACCATTTCCATTCAAACTCAGTCTGATGTTCAATCACATAAGGCCGTAGTCTTGTGAGTTGATGGTTGGCGTAGTCCTATTTATATTGCATTTTATCATTGTCAGCATTATTGAATCACGTTGCATGCATATTCCCTTGTTTCAAACAATTAACCAAGACTTACTAGCTTCATCAGCTCCAAAACATCAAAACAAATACGCAACGTTTGCACAAAATCGCCTTGTTTGCATGCTGCGACCATTGAATCAACCAATTGATCGCGAATTGGCGCACAGTTGATCTTCATCAATCCAGAAATGTATTCAATCAACCCAAGTGGGTTCATTACACCATGATCAATTTGTTGGGCCATGAGTTTAACATCAATGTTTGCATCAATCTCACTCTTGATGTCTTGACCGTTTGGCAAAAGCTCAATCAATATGGCTCGAACTTCAGCCAACAGCAAGGGAATACGATACTTGTATCCCTCTTCGATTTCTTCTGATACTTCTTCCCAGTATACATCTGCCTTTTGAGCACGTTCATCTTTTTGGTCACTCTCGATATTGGGTTTGAATTGAAGATCCGGATCAAATACCAGATCGTGACGAAGTTGAGCATTTGACAATATCTCATCAAGCTCAAGCTCACGCAAAGTAAAGCGAGTGACTGGCGGAAGAAGATTCAGCAGCTCCAAGTAGGTAAAATCATCTGCATCGACAAGAAGCATAGATGACATGGATTTGCTTTTTCGAATCAATGATGATACGGTTTCTTTGAGTTTGAACCCTTTCGAGTATAGCTTGTCTTCATTATCAAGCATTAAACCTTGACGTGTCTTGTCAGAGTTTGTTAGTTTTTGAACCTGTTTAACAGGGGAAGCGGCTGTTTCTGTTTGATCCACACTCGAATCTGTCTTATAATCGGCTGTGGATGAAGGAGGTGACATGGATATCGAAGTACATTCGGCATCCGCCTGATACTCTTCCTCTGTATCAGGAATAAATAAATCTAGCCCAGCAGTAAATTGAGAAGCATGTGGATGTTCTCTTGTAGTAGTCATAGCACCTTTTTTAAAGAGCTCTGCCTTTGTATTTTCATCATTATCGCTTGGTAAAGACTCCTTGATAACGTCGGCAAAATTTTCTGAAAAGGCTCTTCTTAAATCCAAAAACTTGCGTAGCTTCTGCATGAGCATTACACTGTGCGCATGCTCAACGGCAGCTCCCAGTCGTTCTTGCATGCGTCGAAGAATCATTTGTCGCTTTAAATTTGCAGCTGTCATTGTATATTCGTTTTTGGCTTGTTGTTGAAGCGATTGAAGTCGATCGCGTTGGCGCTGAAGAACGATTCTATATCCGACTCGCTCAGCTTGACGGCGTAAACGAGTTCTACGTTCCTCTATCAACTGACACCGAATGGCACTGGCACGGGCGTGGCGAGAATTCAAGCGATCCCGAAGATCCTGTGGGGTTGTAGATCGTACACGACTGCCAAAAAGTTTGGGATGGCTTTTTGTGGTGCTCGAAATAGAGCCTGGGCCATCTTGATTTGCTTTTGGAGTTGAAGATGCCAATGTCAAGATTGACTTGGGTATAGTGTTGGGTGGCAATTTTTTCTGACTGTTTGGTTGTGTTTCCAACAATGCAACATCACAACAGGTTTCATGACCGAGTGCTTTTTGTTGGTTGACTTGAATATCGACAACATTGTCTTGTGGCGTCAGCGGAGTGGCATGCAAATCAACGCGTTGTACACATGTGGATGGCTCAAGGTTTGTCAATGCTCCACTCTCGAGTAAACCTTGACCATCGCCATCAGCCATTGTAGTGGCAGTAGTGGGAGTGGCAAGTACCATTAGACTACGAGGGCTAGTGGCTATATTTGCAGAAGGCAGTTGATGCTCCAAGCTTTCCAAATACTCGGATGCGGGCGAAACGGCTTTTGGTGAAGGTCGATCTGCACTCAGCAAGTCGACAAAAAATGCAATGGAGCCTGGCTTACGTAAAATCATTTTTCCAACAAATCCCAGCTTTGTTGGTGAAACTGGTGATGGGGAAGGTAGTTGGTTAGTCTCGGTTGATTTAATCGGCAACAATGGCGTGCGCATCACACTCAAATGGCCTGTAGTTCCTGTAGATTGAGAGGATGCAGAGCGAGCAGTAGATGATGTGACAGTTGTTGGCCCATATGCATGCGATCGATTGACTGGGGAAGGGGATACGGGTGCCACATGATGTTGGACAGTAGGGTTTGCGCATAACACTATACTAGAGAAAGGTTTACGAGCAATCAAAGTGGTATCAATGGCAAGTCTTGCCATGACTGAAGCAGGCGTAGTAATCGGTGTTTGTAGAGGAGATGAGGTAGTAGAAGATGTTGCTGTTGCGATTCCAGCTGAGGATACCGCTGACGATGCTGTAAAATGGGTTGCTCCACTAGCACTAGACGGTATAGGATGATGCTGCAGCGGCGATTGTCCATTCAACGATGATTGTACATGCGGATACTGCTGCACATTCTGAACATGTTTTGATTGCTGTAGACTCTGAGTATTTCCTGGATGTGTAAGACCATGGGCAGGGTGGATTTGTTGAGCAGTTTGCTGTATGCGAAGATTTAAAGACACTGATGCATTGGCAGCAGGTCTAGCAGGATCATCATCGATTCCAGAAAAGGTAGAACTGGCTGAAATATCAGATGCAGATGGGTGTGGTTGTTTCTGAGATGATAGCTGAGGCTCCTGTGGTTGCATTTGCGGATTGACTCGATGTCGAGTGTTTGCAAGTTTAAATAGAAACGACGCGTTTGTGGTCTTCAAGCGAACAACATCCACACTTTGAATATTGGTTGCCATGACATCACGTGTATATCCACCTTCTGGATCTGCAAGATCCGTAGTACAGCTGTAGCCGTATTCATTGGCTGGATCTGTTCTCCAGATGTATTCAGCTATACCGTTAAATTTAAACGCCTTTGTTTTACAATCTGATATTGCATATTTTGGAACGAGAAGGGGTGGCATTGAATTTTTGTTCATGTATCAATGCAATGATTCTATTGTTTCTTTTGTAGTTATCTGTCTATTGTATAATATTATTCTATGAATTGCTGAATCAAGACGATGAACAATCAAGTTTCAGATACGCTGCAAAATGCCACTTGCACTACATGACTAGAATGATTTTCAAAATGTATACGTAATGGCTTGACATGCACTGTTATTTACATCAACTGAAGCGTAGACAGACTTGACTGTTAGCGGCAGAATCAAGCAATTCAAACTCAAACTCGAGTTGGATTTGTTTTGTTTTGACCGTTTGATTATATATCAAATTCATTGCAAAGGACATGACCAGCAACTTTTGGGAATCTACTCATGCGTGAGTGCCATTGAAACCAACCAGATTCCAAACCAAGACAATCCATTTATGCAAATGATCTTATAATCTCTCATGTTTAGATATCAATGGCTGGTGGATGACGTTGCACTTGTTGCTGCAAGACAACGAGACTTGCAGTTTATATCTTCCGATGATGTTGTTAAAATCATGCTCTACTATTCTAATTGTGAGTGTCTAGTCCATCGCTTCATGCTGTGGTCTATCCTCTAGTCATTCCAGCAACTAATCTTGATGGATGTTGAATTAGTTGTACAAAAAGCATGCAAGCGACTTCATGTTCGTCAGCCAGTCGTGGGCACAGCATTAGTATATTGGAGACGATTCTTTACAAAGCAAGTTGATAGTATGCAGTCGGGGTAGTTGCAAGACTCTTGACTAATTGTTATCGTCTATTATAGGAATGCACTCTATGACATCGATCCCATGTTAGTGGCAGGTACATGCATCTATGTCGCATGCAAGATCGAAGAATGTCCGCACCATATTCGCAATGTAGCGAATGAGATGCGAGCACTTGGAGGTGCTTACTATCTAGGTTTATTATTATATATTGGAAATGCAGTACGCAGCCATGCTAAAATTCGAATGTAATTCATTACAGGTGATTTATTTCCATATGACGCAACAGCGATTGCCGACTTTGAGTTTTATTTAATCGAGGAACTGGAGTTTTCATTAATCATGTTTCATCCATACAAACCGCTTCAACTGTAAGTGCAGGATTCTTTTTATGTATTGAATCTAGTTGCAAGATCTTGTTCTTGACACGACTTGTAATGATTAGAATATTGGAGAAACTGAATCTGACTAAAAAGTGCTTGCAAACTGCATGGTATGTTTTGACCCAATATTTGGCATTGTTTGAAGCTAAAGGTGTTATTTTGTAACATTTCAAACAGGTACGTCGTGAATGATACATTTAAAACGGATCTACACTTGATTTATCCTCCGCACATGATTGCTATTGCAGCAATTTTTATTGTTACATGCATCCAAGATACAGAGAGTGCATCCAAAAGCAGAATACCTGGAGCTCCAATTCAGGATACATCATCACGGTCGATCGTCATGCCCTTTTTTATTGATCTTAATGTAGACATGCGGGATGTACTTGCAATTACTCAGCGCATATTTAATTTATATGATGTTTGGCAAGAGTACTCTGAAGAAAAGATTCCAGAGTTGATTGACAAATTTCCAAAAGTCCCAACTTTGGAAATGGAATCAGGAGTCGCTAAATCAACACTTCCTACAACACCTGCAAAGCAGCCAAATAAACACTAATGTATTTGTTTTCAAGGTACAAAGGAGCGATCTATTCAAACATGATGACAATGCCCAACAAGTTGATTTTAGAAATAAAGAGTAGAATGGGTATATCACCAAACTTTAGTCATCTTTATTTTCAAGAAGGTCGCGAAGACGATCCAGTTCATTCTTGACATCATCATACCGTCCCTGAACTTCGGTTTTCCACGTTTCCACTTGGCTTCGTTTCATATCGCTTGGAGGTTCCATAGCAAGCAACATTGAATTGATTCTAAACAAATCAAGTTCCATCAAAGCCCGTCGCGCTTTAAACTCTTGGCGTTGAACTAAACCAAGCATATCAGGACTTTTTGGTAAGAGAGATTGTACAGCCGGAAGCATGTTGTAGCGAAAAGGATGTGGACTGAGATTAGGTGGATTAGATGCTCTAAATGGAAATGATACAGCAGAAAGGGAAGATGGATTATCAGGAATAGGAGTCGAATTATGTGAGGATACGCCTGGATCTGGTAATCCACCAACGTGTTGCGTTACTGCATGTTGGTTTTGCAGAGCTTCGCTCCATGTCTTGAGTCGCTGAATTTCCAGTTCTGCCATGATTTGTTTTGTGTGAAGCTCCTGACTTTGCAGAGCCAGAAGTTTTGAATGCAAAGTAGATAAATGAGAGAGATCAGTCATGTCGGTAGTTGCGGAAGCATGTATAGGAGCAGACAATCCCAACTCATGCAATTTTGGTGGTTGTGCAAGTGGAGAAAAAGAAGGGATATTAAGTGCATTTGAGGGATGCAGTAGTGCAGAGTAAGCAAGCGTGTCGGAAGTATTCTCAGATGAAGTGGATACAGATAAATGAGTACCCCAGCTACCAAACAGATCAGCAGCGGGTGTATTGACATCACTAGTGGTAGATTCAGATCCAGACTCGAATTGTCGATGAATTAGATGCTGATTCTGTAACGGTGATGACAAAAAAGTAGTCTTGGTATTTATACTTTCAACACGATCGCCATTAGTATTGCCAACTGGTTCATCCAAATCCGATGCATCGACAGGAGGGATTCGAGCCTTGATTTGGTCCAAAACAATTTGTTCGAGGCTGCATTCAGAATGCCTTTTAAACACTGAGTGCATTCGTTCAAAGTATTTGCATTGTGAAATCAATTGGGCATATGTCAGTGCATCTCGTTTCCGAGGAGATTTGGACGCTTCCTTCAACAATCCCATGGCCTCATTGTACGATTTGATGAGTCCATCTGCTTTGTTTTTGATCTGACTGACGGTCTTGTCATTAAATAATGATTGCATTCTGCGGTAGGATTGGGTCTTGAAACGGGATGACCAGTTGGCATAGTTTGCATCATTATCCCACCAAGAAATGAGATTCTGGATTTCATCGTCAGTCCATTTGATGTAGATACGGCCACTGCTGCTGCCAGTGTTGTTTGGCTTTTTTGCCTGGTGATTCAGTGATGCATTGTAATCTTCGGACAGTGTATCTAATGCACAGACAGTCGATATGGAGGTGGATGGAGTATCCTGAGCGGAGCGTGACAATGCAGAGTTGGAAGCATTGCGGATATCCATAGATGGAGCAAGTTCTGGCAGTAAGGAGGATGCATGAGATGAGGATGAAAAGAGATGAGAGAATGCAGGATGGAGTGTAACGTCGGCATCTGTACTGGATCCAGTAGTAAGTCGAGAAGAGTCCAATGCAGTCATGTTGGACAGAGGATGATGTTGAGATTGTAGTTGATTCAATAGAAACAAATCCAGTGAAGAGCCAACAGGAATGGCATTGAAGGGGAATCCTTCCAGTTCATAAGAGAAGTTGCTCCGACTACTATCATGAGTGGTGCTAACAGTGTTCGTGGAGGTTGGCAGTCCAAAAAGACCGTTTAAATCCGGAGCAGTCGATAGCACTGGACTCTTGTACAGTTGCTGGATTTCTAATAGAAATGGCAGTTGTTCATGGTCTTTCCTTTTCCGACTATTTCCAGTCGCATCGTTCAGCATCGTTGGCAACAATTGCTGCTCAGTTTGTGGTCTAGTTGACCTTCACATGACTTTCAACTGGTCGATTGTCCGCTTCCATCGTGTAGTTTGTGGGGTTTCATAACTATTTTATTCAACATTATCGCTTCTTATTTAATCCTGCCAATCCATTCGGTCCTCCTTTTCGCTTTACTCCTCCCATACTCAGACCAAATACCACCTTTTCTCTTGAAGTGGTTGCCGTTGTTGTTGTTGTCGTTACTGGCTCAACTGTTACTGTGGGTTCTCGTGTAATCGATACATCTGCTCCATTTGCTTGGAATGTCAAATTGTTATCCCCTCCCATCCACACTGTCTCGTTGCTGGATCTAGCACCCTCGGTATCTGCCAGTTTCCCTGTCTGAGCACCTTGTCGTGGCTTTGTTGATCCTTTGCTTTGGTTTTTGGCTCCAATATTTACATTTGCTTTGGGTAATGCTACCTGCAGTGGTGTAATGCTATATCACATTCAGTCTATTAGTATAAGCTACAATGATCATCCCTACTGCATTGCTACCTAAAAAGGCATCTTTGTGTCAAATTCAACCCTCGGTCTTACCTGTGGTTTCCAACACTTAATGTTACATGCGCCTGTCCAGTCCGTCGCGTCTTTTCCTGTAATGCACTGGAAAACCCAAGTGGAGTATCAATGCTGCTCATTTGCTTCATTTTCAACTCTTCTTGTAGTTTTTTGAGTCGCTTCTCTGTCTTGAGTTTGCCTGGCATAATGCCATAAAATTTATATGCCAATTGATTCCATGCCTGCATTTCAATAAAAGATTACCACACAAGTCCAAAATGAATTGATCTAGTCACTAATCATACCTCCTTGGTCGACAATTCACGACCGTGATCATCATGATACTTGATATTCACATCGGGTGAATAGTTTTCAAACCGTCTCTCCACTTCCCTTAAACGAGCACGTTCAGCATCTCGCTCTGCACGTTCTCGATCTCGATCATCTTCCATTTCTTGTGCACTACGGGAATATCCTCTGTCTCGTGATGACCCTGACAATCGTTTACTGTCCTTGAGACGATCTAATAGTTTGCGTTGTGTAAGCCATTTTTGATGCTCCTGTAGTTTGGCTTCCCTGGCTCGTGCTTCTTCGGTTAATGGCTGAATCAGTCCTTTTTGATTCAACAAAGCCATTGTGGCAGCAATGCCTGAAGATACAAGTGGCTCATCTACAATTACGGCCTTCTATAAATTCAAAGTATAGCATTAGTAAACATGTTACTAATCAACAATCATCCTAATCATGTGCAGTACTATACAAATCGATCAAATCAAAAAAACAAATTTGTAACACTACCTGTTTGCTGGCTTCTGGTTCCTGCTCCGTCTTTGATATTTCATCAATTTCTCCATCTTCGTTTTCACCATCTAAATCCATCTTGCCATCATCAGGATCCTCGTTTGACTCGGCGGGAGCTTTATGATCTGCTTGAATCTGTGACGCAACAACACTTTCCATCACCAACGCCTTTGAAGCTGCTCGCTCTGCTTCTCGAGTCGCCAACATAGAAACATTTCCCAAAGTCTGCACAAACTCACTAGTATCTGACATAACCAGCCCGCTGCTATTCTGATCATTTGATTTTTGCAAGTCAAATGCACCTGTAGTTACTTGTGTTGCAATAGACTCTCCAGATAAATTGATTTTAGTTGCAGCCCTTCTGCGTGCACCAGCCAAGGCCAACTGTAGATCATCGTCATCGACAAAATTGATATTGTCCACGTCTGCAGTAATGTTACTATTGGCAAACACTCCCGTAGCAGGCTGATCAACATCCATATTCGCACTCAGATTTTCATATAGTTCATCACTCTTATCCAGTTGTTTTCGCGAAGATGCTCGTTTGGATTTAGATTTGGATTTAGGCTTCTTGAATGACACCAGTTCGTCTTTGGTGTAGTAGTCTGCAATCTGTCGAGTTTTCTCGTAATCAAGAGAAACTGTTTGAAGTCGCATTTTCTCCGAAACTTCTATTTTGGCTGTCTCTAGTTTTTCGATATCCACTATGCCTTTTGAGCCAAGAGTAAAGCTAGTTTTTACATCTTCATCGTTGTACTGATGTAGAATGTCTTTTTTCCCTCCCAACTCTGAATCGTCGTCGTAGGGATTGTATCCTGGACGTTTCTTTTTGTTATCCAGGTTTTTTTTGGTGCGTTCATGTTCTGCCAATGACACAGAAACTAGTTCATCGCCATCCTCTGCAAAATCAAATGCCATTAGAAAATATACAATTTAGATTACCATTATTCCAACACAAATCAAGTTTCACCTTCGTTTTCCATAATTGTCGAATCTTTAAGAATCAAAGTAGTTTCTCCCGTTTCTGCTAAATCGTCAATAGCGTGCCCAACTCGCAAACCAGCAAGATCAACTATAAACGTGGCTATAATATGAGCGACTCGAATATAATAAAATATATATACATTGAATTAAAGTCTCAAGTATCGTACCAGAGCTATACGCTTGCTGGTCCATTTCTGTGAGTTCCTGAGCTCTCTTATTGGCAAGTCGTTGCTCTCGCTTGCTTACTTTATTTGACACACTCTTGGCTTTAGTTTTCAAAACCCATGCTGCAGCATCTCCAACAGCATCTTCTTCATCTGAAGCCTCGCCAAGTCCTTTTCCTGCAAGTTTCTTATTTCTGTGTGCCAATTCCTTTTCTCTAAAAACAAGAGTACCGAGTTGGACAATACCCAACAAAATCCTTTAGTCTAGACTCTACACACTACACTCTGCACAAGCAAAACAATACCGATTGATTTTCTCTGCCAGATCCATACGTTCCTTTTTCTTGATTGCATCGTCCTTGTGTCGTTGAAAGTTATCTTCAGCTTGCGCATTCTTTGAGGATGGACCAGTTTCCAATGGTTTTAATCCAAGTAAAGTGCGAAGCTTGTTGGTTTCTTCAACCGAAAGAGAGACTTCTTTTTCATTCGACTCTGCATCTACATATCAATGGTTGCAATGCATTGTTAAAGGTTGATTATGCACATGCAATCGGATCTACTGTGTCATTCAGCAATGCATCTGACTATTTAAGAAAAAGTGTGCCTTTTAAAATAAAAGGCTCGTTTTCAACTTTACATCAAAGCCGCTGACCCACCTTGTGGCATAGGCTGCAGTTTTTTAGTATTTGCCAGCCTTTAAATTGTCTTGATTTAAATGCAAATCAATTTCAATTCAAAAAGTGAAATCATACACACGTGATCTGATTTGAATTTGTCAAATCTCCGCTTCGCTCCGACTTCAACTCGTTAGATTCCCAAGTGGAATTTAAATCCATCAATCATGCTGCCACGCATCTCAGGTCAAAATATTTGTTATAATGAGCCATCTTGCAATGCTATCCGTCAAGCTGGGCAGGTTCTTTCAACAGATATAGTAAGAGGATTGTGTCATGTTTTACTGCTTGAGCACATGTATATAAACTTATGCTTCTTGCGCGTATTATTGCTCCAAGTCTTTTAGCAGACCATACGAGTATGAGAAAAGCTGGGATATTATTATCATTGCTCTTGGGTCTCCCGAGCCCTTGATAAGACTCACTGGGTTAAAGGCTCTTCAAATGATATCTCAGGGAATACTCAGAACTATTGTAGCCGTCAATCTTGCCAAGAGAACACGACTAATTGTGCAATTGATAGACATTCAGTCTGGCTCAGAAGTATGTAGTATCTAAGTCTGGATTTTTTCAAATATAAACTTTAGGATTTAATTTGACCCGTTCAAACTCATGTAGATCTAACTAAAAGCGATATTTGAACCCGCTATCTTATTTACTGTGCACCAATCCAACCTTTCAAATTACTGAAAAATAGAACTGGACCGAACGATGTCTTGCTGCACAAATGTTGGGGGCATCGGTTTCAGTAATGATGATGCCCGACTTTTTTACAAATATTCGTCTGCTTGCATTTCAATCTGTCCTGGATCAATTTATTCTGCTCTTTCCCCCTAATACCGATTCTCTTGCTGCCTCAAACAACATTCCAACCATTGAAATCAAAACAGAAACAACCGTGCAGACCTTTCAGTCACGAATCTACTATATTTCTGCTCTATCTCATTTTTTTCAAATTCCCGAGTCCAACACGTCCCACTTTATGGAATATGTAGATCGTGTGTTTTGTGCAATTATCAGTAGCAGGCTTCATCCATTGTTAATAAGTGCAGTTGTAGAAGCACTAGTAAAACATTTGCCTACCACGAGTCGCAACCGGATGCGTATCGACCACTTTTATCGTTCGCGAATTGAAACTCTGATAGCAAATAGCTATGAAAACGAAAAACAAGTAATCGAAACAGCCAATAGTACGTCAACTTCATCCTCATTTTTGGCTTCTGAATCCAAAGAAAATTCATCGAGTAAATCAAGCATTGCTCAACCTGAAAGCAACCTACACCCCTATTTGCTTCGAATGATCCATTTGTTTTGGTCTGTTTGGTATACACGGCCCTCAAATGCCACACTATTGGCAACCCACCGCAACACCGAAGTATCTACATCAAACAAGTTGGGTTATGCTGCTCGTCAAAAAACACTCCTTTTAGCATCCTTAGCAAAAGAAACCACAGCTGTTTTAAATCCAAATGTATCTGGCATGAATAATACAAAGCTTACCTTTCCATACCAACAAAATACAGGTGTTTTGATTGCACCAGACTTTTTTAGTCAAAATATACATACATACACTCCATCGCGTAAGCATACTTTGATCCACTTGCGTTTGCAAGACACCACAAGTCAAATGTTATACTTTGTTACTAACACTACATTTAGTCTGGACAGATATGCACACCGTATCAACTCCCGTGGCAATAATGGAGACTCCAATGCCATCAGTGCTTACCTTGAATTTAAAATCGGCTATGCTTTCTTTCAAACATGCACCATACCACATTGACACATTTCTTCAAAATACCTCTTTTTTGCAGGATATTTCGTTTCACATTCAAGTATATCCACACCAGCTTTTTTATGTGACACCATCATTTGGGACAGTTTGCCGAGGTGAATCAATTCGAGTAAAAGTCGCGTTTACCCCACAACCATTCCAATATCGAAAATCATCACAAGTACACGGCTATTTGAATATTCGTCGTGCTGACGGATTTCCTATTGAAAGGTATTGTACTGATATATTTGTGCTTTTTAAAATATTACAATTTCATTGTGACTGTAGATGTGCTGATATCAACTATGATTACAAATATTTGATAGGGTCTCGCTGTCTGCATACAACACGCCTTCTATTAAACTCCTGCCGCCTTTGCTAGATTTTGGATTTTGTCCAAAAGGACAATTGCGTACATCTACATTCATAATTGTGAATCTTTTGCCAATTGAATGTCCCGTCATTGTTGTTATGAATCCAGCAATTTCTTCAGGAGCATTTAATCTTCCACAAACTCAACTCATACTTTCTCCATTTGAGCGCAAAGCTATGTCGGTAAAATTCAATGCACACGAGCTTGATGGACCTATTGAGGATGAGATTATGCTTATTTCGTTTGGCGGAGAAGCTACTCGTCTTCCCCTTCGCGCCATGTGTTCTTTTTCTCTAAAAGTACTTGAACAGAAACTAGAATTTGGGCCAACAGATATTTACTTTTTGCATGTGCAGAAGAAACTGAATCTACAAAATCTGGATACAGTACGATCGTTGGCTGTACAGTTTTCTACTAGTACACACGAGCTGGTCGTCAACAACAACAAACATATAGTAATGCAGCCAGGAGAGCGACGATCGGTTTTAGTTGATTTTGAATCTGCCATGAGTGGTGTACGACAAGAAACAATCGTTGTTCATGCTGCAAATACTCCACCGATTAATATTGATGTTTCTGCATTTTCTGGACCAAGCATTCTTGTCCCGGTGCTGGAAGATATATACTTTCCAATGGTTTCAATTGGAACTTCAGCCACTGTCATGTTTCCTATAACCAACATTGGCCATGTAACTGCTCAACTCTATCTTCTTGTTCCTAATGGATGCCCTATTACATTCAAAGCCATGGAGAGTGATTATTCTAACCGGAAACTCAATGTGCCCAACGTGGTTGTTGATAGCAAACCTCACCAGACTACCGAGCACCAAGGCATATCAATTGTTCTTAGCACCAAAATGACCATTTCAATAGAAATCGCGTTTAAACACTCTAAAGCAGGAGAATTTCTAATACCTTTAATAACAAAAATGACCAAACCCAAAAACATCGAAGTGTGTAGTCACAAGTTGCACTGTGTGGTGACAAATGATGCGTTTTTGGCCAACTCGCAAACTTTTACGAGTTTAAAAAACTTTTATCGAAAACCATTCGGTGAACAAATGACACCGCCAGAAAAATTCAAAGTCATCCTCGATTCATCAGAAACTGAAAAAACCAAAGCATCTTGGTCCAACGTTTCCAAAGTGCTACAGATTAGCGAGGCGCAGTTGATTGTATTTGGCTCAATGTCCAAAGCACGCAATTCTGGGCAACTTGAATATATCACTCTTTCAAACTTAACTAGTGATACACAACGATATCGTATTGTTCTTTCCTTTCATTTTATTACTGATGTGCCACTTGATGGTGAAGTATCTGCTGCATCGACAATATATATCCCAGTCCGACTCGATCCATCGCTATACCTAACGCAGGAAACAATGGAGCATATTGCGTTAGGGTCAATCACTGTTTTTGACACAAATTTCAATCACCCGGGGTTTACATGTGTTCAGTTATACGGTGTTGTAAACGACTTGATTTGGCATGAACTACGACGTGGCATTAGCTCGATCAAGTTTCCACGATCACGAGTGATGGAAACCTTTTCGCGAAAGATTGTGGTTCGAAACAAATCTTGCACTGATCTTTTATGGGAAGGTCGGTTAGTCATGCTGGAAAGTTCCATACAATCAAAACGATCAACTAGCGAAGATATGGAATTATCATCGAGTAGAGCCAACGAGTCGAGTACTTTGTGGAATCCATTTTCACTTTCTGTGTCGCAAGTTACACTAAAGCCTTTCGAGTATTTAGTTGTTGACGTTTCATTCACATCAAACCAGCCTGGTGATTTCAAGTGTTTGATGCATGCAAGCTATATTGATCCAAGCGAGCACCTGGGTGATGTTTCAGAAGAGATAACCGATCGCATCCGACAAAAGTATGAATTGGGTCCATGGCAGTTTGAATGCTCTGTTGGAGTACCTGATGTAACGATCATCCCAGACTGGATTGATTTTGGTGATCTTGCCGTGTCAAATACTTGCAACAAATCAGTTATAATGCTAAATAATCTTTCTATCGATGCCGAATTTGTTCTTGCTTCATCAAAATCAATTATTCCCAGTAAAACCAATATCAAAATTGCTGCAAAATCAACTGTCGAACTTCCAATAGCATTCTCACCTCAAACCGATGCAATAGTTTCTGAATTGCTTTCATTTAATGTTGGTATGACAACTCATGTGATGAGTTTGCTGGGATATGGAGGCCACTTTGTTATTGATTCGAATCTTGCATGTCCACAACCAGTGGATTCAAAATTATCCTTGAAAAAAATGAATGCTATTTCTGACGGCGTGGTGGATTTCGGATTTGTAAGTACCGAATCTGCCAAAACCAAGACGCTCATGATCAAGAACACAGGGACGATAGATATAGTCATTTCAAGTTTGTCTTCAATTGATGAAAGATACGTCACATGGGAACCACAATACATCTATGGTGAAGAACTAAATTGGCACTTTAACGAGCAGTTATTTGGTCAAGAAGCTCCAGATGCTATTGAAATGGATTGGGATGAGCACGATTGGCAAATGAACCAAGAAAAACAGTTGCAAAATTCATCTCAGCTGCAAAATTCATTCCAACAAGCCAATAGCAAGCCAGCTCAAATAGATGGATTGAAACTATTTGAAAAAATAACTAGACAGTTTAATACAAATGCAAAGTCTATTGCAAAACAGTCCATTTTCCCTTTGCGTCTTCCTCCTTTTCAATCATTTACAGTTGTGCTCAAATTTAACGGCAACGAAAAGGTAACTTGACTAAAATTTGATATAATTTAAAACTATTATTCATACAATGTTGATTTAAAACTGGGCTATTTCATTTTGACTGTTGACAGGGAGATTACACATGTCCGCTTGCTTTGGAAATCATAAAGTCACCATCACAAAAGCAAACATTTGCATGGTGGATCAAAGGCTCACTTCAACCCCCGTTAATTCCATGGGATAAAAATATTAATTTTGGGATAAAGTCTGTTAATAATCGTCATGTAAGTGTTTAAACTATTATATTTCATATATTCAAAATTTATTCATTGCAGCATGTTATCTCTAAAACAAATATGAACAGACGTTACAAATAAAATTCACAAATACAGGCACTAAATTGCTTTCATGGAGGCTAGAACCAGTAGGTATTCAGTACACACCCCTCACAAAATACGATCCACCCGCACTGCCTAAAAACAAAAGCTGCATTCCCAATCCAATCTCAATATTTCCAGAGAAAGGAAAACTTTGGCCAGGAAGCACACAGTCCGTTGATGTGATACTTGTTCCAAATCTAGCGCAGTACAAAATACAATCCCAATTTGTTTTACACACCGAAGACTTTTCGAAACAAGATATTCAAATACACGCAATTGGTGCATCGAGTCGCTTGGTGCTTGAAGTTACAAATTTGGATTTTGGTACCTTGCGTGTTGGAACTCAAAAAGTGCTGAAAATTCGATTGCGCAACACTGGCATTCTATGTCTCAAATATTTTGTTGAAAGCTCACATTCACAATTCCAAGCTGATCCTGAACAAGGAGTTCTTGATGCAGATTGTCACACAGACCTATTAGTGAAATTTATGCCGAAATCCATTGGAAGCGTGCGCTCCCATCTCAAAATCACACCCATCTCTGAAGAAAGTTTGACAAAAGATCCCATGTTTGTTCAACTTCACGGAATTGGAGGATACCCCGAATTGGTAGTGTTTACCAAGCAGCTCGACTACGGCACAGCTTTGTTTAAGCATCCTAATCGCCGAGTAGTCAAAGTGCAAAACAAAGGAGCAGCCGAGGCACACATTGTTTTTAATTGTTTTCACCCAGATATATTTCTTGAACTGGATAATCAGCAGAATCTTATTATTGGCCCACATGAAACCAAAGACATTGTTGTTGTTTACACTCCGCAAATAGTCGAGCGTCTAGATATAAAGGCATTTATAAGATCTTCAGATAGCCGTGGCGATAATTTTATGCTAACAATTAGAGGAAGCGTCGGTATTCCTCGTCTTGTTATAATACCCGCGGATGCATTGGACAGCCTTGATTTTGGCGTAATGCGCTTAAACAAGACTTATAAAAAGTCGTTTAAGATTGGCAACGACGGTAACATCTTTTTGAATTACAAAATCAGTCTGGTTCCTATTTTTCAATCTCCAGTACAAACAGATGCTGATTTTGACAGTATGCAGCAGCTAGCATCTCATAATATACCTTCTCCAATTGTTGTGGACCCCAAATCTGGCACTTTGAGCATTGGCGAAGAAACCGTTATTACTGTATTATTTACACCCACCATGTTATTGGAGTATGAATATCAAATCGTTCTTGCTTACGATTTTCAGAATTTCAAAGGCACTGTTCATGGTGTGGGAGGATGCACTATGCTTAAACTCGACACTCCGCTTAAAAAAGTGGATTTTGGGGTTTCTCGAATCAACAGAACATATATCAAGATTGTTACACTGTCAAACAAGGGCAATTTAGGATTCCGATATCATGCGCGACCTGAACCTGATGATGGAGACTGGAGTAAATACGACGGTGATTTGGCACGCTTGACTATTGCAGAGTCTAAAAGCCGCCCCGAAACAGCTGTTCTTCGCAATCTTAATGCCCTGATTGCAGCCACACCAGACACGTTGCAGGATGAGGTGCCATTTTGGGTAGAGCAATTAGCATCCAAAGGAGTTAGTATTCACAATCCTGATGGAAACTGTCCGCCACGATCCAAGGTTAATTTGATTATTGGGTATATTCCAAAATCCACAGCTGTGCTTCAAAAATCTGTGCGGGTATATTTTGGCGATCATTTTGAAACGTTTGAAATCAGTGGATCTGGCTCTATCCCACAGCTGTATCTTCGAGATATCAAAGGAGAGCAACTCATTTCCGTCAAATCAAGCCCTCAAATTGATATTGGCGTGCATCCAGTCAATTCAATATATACGCACTTGTTTGAGATTGTCAATGATGGTTTATTTGGCGTAGATTTTCTAGTGCAGCCCATGATCAGCTCTGAATTCGATGTGTTTCCCTTGCGCGGATTTATTGAGCCTTGCAGTACGTCTACTCTCAAGGTTTTTTTCCAACCCAATTCGGAGAATTTGTTTCACACGACACTCAGAGTACTTTGGGAAGGAAAATCGCTGACTGCTCATATTCAAGGCAATGGTGGAGTGGGTCGTCTTGAAATTATCTACTTGAATGACAAAGACACGATGCTCAAGGGCCTTGATTTTGGTATGGTGCCTTTTAATAGTGCATGCGAAAAGCGATTTTTTGTTCAGAATTTGGGTCTGGTTGGCGTTGTTGCATTTTTTGAAGTAGAAAACGAAGAGTATACTATTACTCAATTTGGCGGTTTAATCGATGTAGAGGATATCAAAAAATCAAGATTGAATAACAAGGGAGTATTTACTAGCTGGTATAATATGTTGCGAGTGTCACTTCCGCCAAACAAAGCGGTTGAGCTTGGTACTCGATTCCTTGCACGTAGTGCAACCACGTCTCTTGGAAATATTACAATCCGGGCAGAATGTGGAAATTCGGTTATTCCACTTAAAGGAAAAGGCGGTACCATTTTACTTTCACATCGTGGAGATCTCGACTTTGGTGATATATCTTGCAATTTTACTTATACAAGAAAAATCACAATTGTAAATGGTGGTTCGATTCCATCACAACTATCTGTAGAGTGGTCCGTTGTAGGGCACTCTACTGAACATGCATCTGCGTACATTACGCTTTTAAGCAATTACACTTCGCTTGATCCTCGATCTGGATGGGCAAAGCGACAGTATCTTTGTGAATCAGGAAATGTAGATCCTAAAGCTCCCTTGACTGCCAAAGAGCATTGGACGTTAATAATTATGATGGTCCGCAAGTCGACTATAAAAGAATTGGAGATTGTACGCAGTGCAACACAAAACGGGCCTTTATCAACAGGCTTGAATGCTACTGAAGAAAATCCAACCATGGCTCCGAATACCCACTTGGATAGAGAGATTGGGTATCAATCAATACAGCTGGGAAAACGAAGCGGTGCACCAGCATTTTCTACGCATTTTAAACGGAGGCAAATGTTTTATCATCTTATCACGTCTACCCAGTTGACTAGCCAAGCATCTTCTTGTCTTCGCCCCTATATCAAAGTTGACCCAGTTGACACGACTTTGCAGAGTTATGGCGAAGCCACATTTAATATCGAGCTGCATTTGGGAACCGAGGATACGTTTCTTGCTACTCTTTTGGTAAAATCAGATGTGCCCAATACTCCCAGACACGAAATTTCATTGACGGCAACACCCAAGATTGTTAATATTGTTTGTGATGATACTCGTATACTTAACTTTTACCGTCAAACACTCGGTGAAACAGAGTATATCACAAGAAGCTTTACCAATGTGGGACACAAGGACATTGCATTCAAGTTCATCAACACCAATGTTGGATTGACTATTATGCCAAGCAAAGGAAATCTTAAAGTTGGTCAAACCCTGTCCATTGCGTTTGCATTTAAGCCGGCTGACGAAACAATTCAATCTTCTGATGTCATATTTGATCCCAATTGCTCACAGCCTATCCGCTTCAAAATGTATGGAGGCGGTGGGTATGCCAAAGCATCATTGTCACGGTACCGTCGATTCGACTTTGGTCACTGTATGATTGGAAAGGATACAGTCTCGTTTCTCCCTATTACAAACGAAGGAAATGCTATTCTCCATCTGTCACGATTTGAAGTAGTTGAAACGGATACGTTTTTTAAAGGCAAAGAATGGCCAAGCTCGCGCGTGTCCTTATTTCCAGGCAAGAGTTACAACCTCCCGCTCGTATTCAATCCCCACGAGGAAAACCCATCGCCAGGCCGCCTTATTATTGGTACAAGCATGGAAACCTACGAAATAGAGCTCATAGGTCTCGGTCGTGAAGCCGTTTTAATTGTTTCAAAAATTGCACTCGAGTTTTCTGAATGTTTAATAGGCAACTCGTACGAGCAAAAACTTGGTCTCAAAAACATTGGTGATGTCAACTATCCGGTCAAGTTTCAGCTTGAAAAAGAGTTTCCTGATTTAGAATTTTATCCATCTTCTTTGGTGATTGATCCATTTAGTGAAAGTTTTGTTGCAATCACTTACACGCCTTCGCACGAGATTCGAACTGCAGTGGTATTTTCAGTTTCGTCACCCTATAGTACGCACAAGGTTCCAGTGATGGTGCATGCTGGCGTGGCTACTTTGGAATTCAATTCTACCGAGATTGATTTTGGAATGTTTGAGAGGACTACAAGACCGTCTATGGATCTTGTAATCAAAAACACGGGCACAGTACCAACGTCATACCATGTCAAAGATGTAGCTAAACCATCCATGTTTAATATTTCGCCAGCAAAAGGTATACTTTTAGCAGGAAAAGTTGTAACACTCAATGTCACGCATATTCGACATGAAGTGGCTGCATTTGACGAAAAGCTTGTTGTGAAAACTGACTTGATTGACAAGCACTATTATATCAAAGTTTGTGGACAGTGCGAAGAAACTGTACTTCACCCAGAAGAATTTTCGTTGGTGAATATGGGAATATGTCCAGTGCTGGAATCTACAAGTAAATTATTCACGTTCAAAAACCATGGCCGGTTTCCGCTGGAATATTCAATCAAGGCAACCTATCCACTCAAAGTGTTTCCTGTTCAAGGTCGCGTGTTAGGCGAAGAAACAGGCACTGTAAGCATTCAATGGAATCCATCAGGTGGTTATGAACTCCGCACTCAACTGTCCATGGTGACAAATATTGGAAAATACCAGGTTGTTGTGCGCGGTAAAGCCATGTTTCCCGAGATCCAAGTCAACAATATGTACTTGGATTATGGCGTGTGTGCTGTTGGATTTAAATATCGAGATGTGTTTATTATTGAAAACAAGGGAAAAGTGCCAGTGTTTTTTACTATTCCTCCGTGTAAAGATATCAATTTCTCTACTGTAGTTAATGGTGGTGTTTTGGCAGCAAAAGAAGTCATGGAGATTGAAGTGTTTTTTACTCCTAGCATGCTGGGGAAAATTTCCAGCAGCATACTGGTGGAATGCAAAGGAATTCATTACAAAGAAATTGTCGTTGTTGGTGTTGGTGGTAGCATGAAGACTGACGTGAGTCCAACTAGTTTCAATGTTGGCAAGTATAGTTTCTGTGGATTGCACAAATTGCTGTGGGTTTTACTAAATACCTTTATTTTGAATATATCAGGAAGGTGCCCGTTCAATCTTCGAGTTTACGAAACTGTTACAATTAATAATGGCGGGGATGTAACACTCCATGTGAATTTTTCAAAAACCGAATTACAACAGGGAATCTGTCAAATCATTGCACCGGAATCAATTGCAATTGGTCCCTGGCAAAGTGCCAAATGTGTATTTGGCTTTTCCGCTGCTGTTGTTGGTCATTTTACCGCAAATTTGCTATTTGATACAAAAGAGCAATCATTTTGCATCCCAATTTCTGGTAATGTTTTATTGCATTCGTTATTTTATTGGTACTGCAATTGTGATGATCTCATACTTTTAATATGTTAGGTGTTGGTATTAAAATTACACTGACAGAGCGTAGCAAAGCAATTCTTGAAAATGAGCAAATTGAATGTGTAAGTTGATTTATCTGAACGCTTTCTACCATGCTGTTAACACTAACTATGGCATTTTCACTGTAATATCTAATTTGAAATAATGCGTGCATTTTGGGTGTCATAGACTCGACCCATTCATCCATTCCATGTCGAGTCATTCCTTTCATCCTTTTCCAACTTGCTTAAACGATTTCACAGATCTTTTGCAATGGACATAAAAATTGCACAGTTGATTTCTCAGCTATACTATTTCCAAAGACACGGTAAACCGCCTCAATCACAAGAGTTTATTTTTGGCACCGAGTGTGGAGTCATGGTAGACAGTAAAAACTTGCAAGAAGTGATTGAGCTACCCAGACTACCAACTAAACAGGCTCAAGACAGCGCTACATCAAGGATGCTTGTGGATTCAAGTCCGATGGAGTTGTTTGAACATGAGGAAAATCTGCGATATGGCTCGGCACTGACTGACGGTACATTGAGTGATTTTCCAAAACTAGAAACGCCTCAAGTAGATATATGCACATCAACTGAAGATCCAGTTGGCGATCAAACGGCTGATATTGCTCAAGAGACTGATGCAAGCTTATTTGTTTCCCAACCGGATTACACTCCAGCACCTGCCACGGATGGCTATTCAGATTCAATAGTTTCTCAACACAAAGCGTCCTTGGGACAGGCTGAAATGGTGACCAATGACACAATGGAGAGTGCCAAAACAGAACCAGACCCGAGTTCTAATGTGCCTTTTAATGATCTAAATGGAGAATTGATCCAAGAAGTATCACACAATGATTCTACAAGCCAGGAATTATATCAGAGTGCTCAGCAAGATAATAGAGATCAACTGACTCGAGAAATGACTACAGAGGATGATCAACTATTCCAAGTCGAAAAGGATGCTAGTGTAAGCATTTTATTCCAGACTGGCGCTACCACAGATGCCACAGAGTCAAAACTCATAGCAAAATCTACTTTATCAAGTGCCAGTCAAAGCATGTCATTAAATAATGCCAATTATCCAGTTGGTGAACGTGAATCAGAGTTGCTACAGGATGATGACTTGTCTAGATCAAATACACATTCGGAATCCAAGGACAAGCACGAATCTCGAGAAACCGTCAATTCAGAAAAAACTACGTCGGCTGCGACAGTGAAAGCCATCATCATTCAGAAAGAAACGCCAGAAATTCTAGAAAGATTAAAAATTATTAAAGCATTAGACGAGCTGAGTCAATCAGCAACGCCTATTGATATTTCAGCCATCGATGGTGCATTCGATCAAGTAAGTTTTACCAAACAAAATGATGGATTTTGAAATTCTATTGTCTGCAGATATCCGTTATTAACTCGTTGATTGGAATGTATTGTATAGTTTATTGAGCTGAAGAACAAAGAACAATGTTTGGACACTATACCAGATGATCATATTATACACGAAGTGATCAAGTATGGTTGTCTTAGCGTAAGTATTTGAAAGTCTTGTGTATAATGGCTCTAGTGCAGTCAATCTAAAAGTATATTTACAACACCAAATATGCAAAAATAGGTGCCTGAGCTAGATATCAATATGATCATTGCGGACCAAGAGCCATCTATGGAGATTAATTTGCAAGTGCTTACAGACAGACCTCCTCCATTTGGTAATAAAACCGAGGTATGTGGTTTAAATCTCATTGTAAATCCTATAAGCCTCGACTATTTATATGCCAGCCATCAAATCTATAAAATACTGACTATTGACTGCTTTACGCTACTATTTTCGAAATATAATTAGCTCGATTTTTCAGGTGTGCATGGTTATGAAGATCCTAAACGATATGCATTGACATTCCCATCACTCAAGCGAAAAGCACGGAATGCACAAACTGATCCGTTTACGGATTGGAAGGACAAAGTGATATATGGAAAGGGTGTAGATCTGTTTTCTCCATACAGATACTAAAACTGGAAACAGGGTATCAAACTAATAGTAATAAAAGATATGATTTAGTGAGAATATGAATATTATTCTTCACGAACTTCGGTTTCGCTTCAATAAAGCCGCAGGAATGGAAGTGAGATTGTCAAAGTTTTCCTTGGTAGCAACCTCGGCCTCAACCAGGCTGATCATTGGGCGAAGGTAAGCAACGTCCTATATTGGCACGATCGAGTATTTTAAAACCACATGGTAGATATAGCAAGATAATTAGCAATAGATCTTGACGCATAGTAAATTTCGCAAAAAACAAAACATGGCCAGACATTTGATTCGACAGCTGCCAATGCAACAGTTTTAGAGTTGAAGGATTACCTGTGCAGTAGTAGTCCATTCATCCTTGGGAGCCTCTTGCTTGATCAGGGACAGCGAAAGGGCACGACGGAAACGAAAGGTGCGCTCCATGAGTTCTTTTTCTGGAAGTCTACGTAAGGCTTCCTTGATGATATAACTGTTATCAGGGACCATATCGTCATAGCGCAGACCTATGCGGTTGAGTTGAGAAAACAAAATGAACGAGTAGATATGGTTAGATTAAACCCAATGAGTTGTATTGACAGGAAGCACAAGAATGCATTGCAAAGAATCAGATTGCCAATACAAGACAGTCAAGACAAAACAACTGTATCAACCAGTAGCAATACCTAGCTTTCTATAACCCATGTTATTGGAATGCCATTCTCCCAGATTGGCAAGCGCAGGACTGTTTCTCAACGTACGAATATATTCGAACACCTTCATTTGGCAACGATGGCAGGAGTCGTTTGAGCAGAATTGCAAGCCAACTTGAAATAAAATGAATTCATCTGCACGTGACTTTACCGACATTTGACATGAAATGGTTGATTTTACAAACTGTTGAAGAAGTTGATTCGCTCCTAATATGGATCTCAACAGTACTTCGCATAATTTATATACTGCACTCTATCTGTTTCGTCAAGATCCAAACAACGAGTCGCTTCGGACAGGTTTGTGCTCTCTGCGCATGCAATACATCAATCGCTTTAATTTCTAACTCTATTCATTGCTCAAGACTTTTTAAATCGATTGTGCGCATTTGTAACAGAAAGTGGTCCGTCCGTCCACTTCTTTCATAATCATCCAGATGCTGCTGTCGAAGCCATGCTCGTCTTGTCCTTGACTGAATCCAGTCCGGCAGTCAATCAATTTCAACATATTCTCTCCAAACAGCTCTCCCATTGTCTCGAATGCATCAATGTTTACTATCGTATGTCATTCTTGGATAAGATCTTAAATCCATGAACTACAGATGAGGTGGTGCTAATCTAGAGATTTACTTTTTATCAATCTATTAGTGGCAAGAACTTCTTTTTTCAAAATATATTCTTCTGTGTATCTCAAGCAGAACTTGGATAAATTGTAGGTTACTCATCCAGTCTATGGAAACATACGATCGATCTTCAATCAATCTTCTTGCTTGATTTGCTAATTTGTTTATATTGATTTAATACAACAGTTTACATTGGTTGGAGAATTGGGATCTGACACGTCACGCATCAACCCTGTCAAAGTAAAGTTGTTTTTGTCAAATATGTCAGGCATAGTCACAGTCATTCCATCAAAGTTGCTTATCAAATATTATATATGCTTTTATTTCAATAGGTTTTTAGAAGCACTCGCCTTGTGCAAATCAGATCCTGTAGCAGAAAAAAATCTTCGAAAAGATACTCTTATTATCATTTATGAGATCTTAAATCATCCAGCTTCATTGCGTGTTGATTCAATAGACCATTCGTTTACTTCTTTACTATTGTCTGTACAGCAAAAATCTAAACTTAAACTTCGTGACTTGGTATTCCCAGGTAGAAATACATAGTGTTTTGCAATGTTCCACTGATACTGTGTATCCAGCCTTTACGACTCTAATTCCATCTTGATTTATAATATAGGAGTTGTTTTACTAAGTGTTCATCGCATTCCAGCAGTGCGTGAGTGGGCACAAGGCTGCATTCTCCAAGCAGCAATTCCTATTAAAATGTCGGCTTTACCCAATCTAGCAAATGTTCTATTGAGCATTATACACAAAATTAGACTTTTGTATCACAGTCAAGAAAATCATTTGAATTTAAACGATGGATGGAATATTTCAACTAGCGAGCATGCTCTATGGAAAGGATTTGCTTTGTTTTGCGCCATGATCGAAAAGAGTGATGTTAAACAGTTTTTTGATCAGCTTATGCCAGATGCAGATAGACTGATATGCTCTGCATTGTCCAAAGATAACGCTGAAGAGTTTTGGATTAAATTCGAGTTTTTTCAGATTGTAATCAACTCTGCTTCCACACAGTGGCTGTCTTCAAGTAAATGTCCAACAAGCTTTCGCACTATCATATTAACACACATCCTCAAGTCTCGTGATGTGGTGGATCTTTTTTGCAAACCTTGGAATACTATTGATGCTCCACTCAAATCTCATAATAATTCGCGCATAAAACTTTTGTGTGATACAATTCTCAAGTTTATTTTACTCACTCCATCTTTAGAATCAACGACTGATTCTTTTGAACTATACGACTGGCTATTACCGTGCATGGAGGACTTGCGGCTAATTTACCTGCATTGTACTTTACACGCTAAACAGACTATGGATCTTTTTCTTGTCAAACTTCTTGAAATCAAGAATTTGCGTCTCTCTATATCCATTAATCCATTGATACATTTGATTGGCCAAAAAAATGCATTCATCAATACAACTTTGTTTGGCCTTGTTGAAGCTGCAGTTCAACAGGATGTACAGCAGATACTACACAATGAGCAAAACACGACTCCACACACTTGTTTCACTTTAGGTAGTCTAGGCTGGACCAACCTTCAATCATATCCATTTGAGCCTGCAACATTATCCGCTCTTGTACGCTCAGTGCTTCCTTTGACATTTTCATCTGCAATTGATCGTGGTGCTTCTATTTATAATTTGTCGCCCAACTCAACGGGAGATATTGAAGCATTGGGCAATGTTGTGTTGTCTATTCGCTGCTGGCTTCGTCAGGCCACTTTGCTCGGCCATTCAGTATCTTTTGATTTGAATACAAGACTGTGTCTTGTTTTATTCAATGATATTGAATCACAGACTATTTCCCGAGACATTTTTATTCACAGTGGATCTCAAGAGAGTTTCTCAGAGGTCTTGTCTTTTCAAATTATGGAAAATCCAACTCAATTTTTAAACGAATTATTCAATTGTTTAATTTATTTCAAAAAAAACTGTCACCAGCCGACAAACTGCCTTCATTCTGCAAATGCGGTTGTTGAATTATTAGACACGATCGTTGTTCAAACCTTGAAAAAGCATTGTAGCTCCTTGATTGACTCTAGATCTGATGACCAGTCTATGTGGACGACGCAGCATTCATTAAATCTATGGCTACATTGCTACTTGACGACATTCTCTATTCTTAATGCGTGCTTGAGATGGGCAAAGTATGCGTGCTTTTCCTCACAGGAGATCAAGAAGCTTGTTTACAATACTTTGGTTTTTATGCGCACGCTGTTTCAGTACCATAAAAATATTCTTCCTGCAGATATAAAGCAAAATTTGCTGTCTGATTGGTGCCAAGAATGTACTCAGGTGCTACTTCCATGGACCAAAACAACTGATTCTGAGTTGAAAACCATTGCTTTATCTTTTGTTCTAGAAATACTATCACTGTCTACCACTATTTGTGCAATATTTGAATTTAAGCTGTTTGAAAAAATTAACAGCTTGTCGACTTTGTGCAGTATGATGAATGATTCACAAAGTATGGATTTTGCAATGTGGATTTCGCAGCAAGAGCATCACCATGGAATATCATTTCAATCACAAAAGTCTGTTTTAAATACTAAATCCAACGGCACTGCAATTTCTGATGAAGCAAAAAGTCAAAAAGTCGTGCCAAATGATCAGCCTACGACCACCGACAACAGCTTGGCACTATCATCAGCAAATGAGGTCGAGTCTACTACTTCTACATCGAAATCTAAAGCGGTAGTGCATAAATCTAAAATAGCACTAATCAGTCAAGACCTAACACACTTATCCAATAGTGATTCTCGTTCTGATTCCAGCGAGGATGATTTCAGTGATTCAGATTTGGAGTTTCTAGATAATCCAAACGAGAATCTGCCAAGAACGTCTGATGAACATACTTTTACAAAACCACTTTTTTCAAATTATACACAATCTAAACCATTAAATGGTTGTGTATCTACACCAGGGAATACATCCTCAACCAATACTTTGATTTTACAACGTCGTGGGTTTGCACTGCCTCGTAACGTTTTATCTGGTAGTAAAAGCCGTAGTTCGGCTACATCTGGTAAACTGTCCAAACTTCAGCAATTGCGCGCCGAAGCAGCCGTTCATTGTCGACGATCTAATATTATGAAGCCAATCACTCCTGTTCGTTCAACATCAGCATCAGTTACAACCACTACGTTTGAAGTGAAACCTTCTGCTCGTATTACAGCAATAGAAAATGGCGAGCTACGCGAAAGACGCCAGGTTAAAACAATAGATTTGCCTCTTAGCATGAACAGCTCATCACGCATGGGTAGATTAATTCAAACAGCTGCTACAATGAAGTCCACGCCCGTAAAACCACTTCGATCAATCAAAGATTTGTACAAAATTGTGTTATCGTGGGATATCTCCATGGATGCAAGTCAGCTTCCATCTAATATAAAATCTAAAAAGATGGTAGTTGTACCTAATATGTTTCAGCTGCCCATTGACTATATCAATTGCTTTGAGCCTCTTTTGTTTTTGGAATGTTGGCAACAATTTGTTCAAGCGCGAGATGAATTGCACAATTCAGACTCGATTGTGATACTAATTCATTCTGTGCAAATGGTCGATGATATGCATGGTAGGATATTGATAGATCTAGCTAGTTTATGGCATGCTTGTTAAATATGATTTTGTCTTTTAGTTGCTGATTTGTTTTTATGGGTTTTTAAATAATCTTTATTAAATTCACAAACCAAGATATAACGCTGCTGGCTCAACCATCCGATATGAAACTTCAACAACTGTCTGAAAATACAATTTTGCTTTTGACTATGCCAGAATCAAACATAACGCTACTGGCCTGCATTCGAAGCATGTCATACAAGGATAACGACGTATACGTTGTTTGTCAAACTTTTCTTGGCAATCGCATGCAAATAATACCTCATCTAAAACCTAAATCGAAATGGGATGCCACACTAGTGTTTTCTCTTACAACCTTTATGCGAGAATATCGCACTCTGATTGCAATTAATTCTATTCCGTTATCGAAAGAGATACTTCAGCCTGCACAGACTAAACAACTTGCTCCAAACAAGGCCAGAGTGGATGAATATCAGCAGAATTTAAAGGTAAATTTTCCGCAAGCAAATGCGATTGCTGCAGCAATCGAGTGTAAATCTGGATTCGTGTTGATACAAGGTATGTTTTTGATGGCAATATACCCAGCTTGTATCAGACACGTTGTTGACTGGGTTTTTATATTTGAATTTTTTGTAGGACCACCTGGTACAGGCAAAACCAAAACCATTTTAGGTCTGATTGGAGCACTGCAGTGTACAGCTACAGTTATTTCTTTACCAGGAAAAAGTAACGAAAGGTTAAATTCACATCAACAAAATCTAGCTGCTACGAGTTCTGCATCATCACATATACCAGCATCAAAAAAACGCCTTCTTTGCTGTGCTCCAAGTAACGCAGCAATTGACGAAATTGCTCGTCGGTTGATTGATGGCATTCTCAATTTAAAGGGACAGATTTATAAACCAAAGATTGTTCGAGTTGGCACGACTGCCATTCACGCAGATATTAAAAGCGTGACCTTGGTAAAGTCATTTATTGTGTTTGGCTTTGAAAATGTTACACTTGGTTGCTTTTTTGCACACATCATGACATTTTTGGTTTGAATAGGATTATCTTGTAGAGGAGCGACTCAAAACAGATATTGATTACCAAAAGGCAGATTCAAAGATTCACGATGCAGGCACAAACCGATCTGATATTTTCAAAGAAATGGCACAGCTAAAAAGCGAGCGAGATAATCTTCGTGCATTTGAAGATCAACCCATTGAAATTTCTGGCAAAACACCCACACCATCTACAACCAAACTTCGCGAGATTGGTGCTCGAATGGCTGCTTTAGCTAAATTGCTGGACAATGAGGCAATGTCAAAAAATGATGGTGGAGTAGAGCTTGAGCGTGCAAAGCGAAATATTCGTGCAAAGATTTTGGCTGAAGCAGATGTTGTTTTGGCTACCTTGAGTGGTGCTGGGCATAATCAATTTTCAGAAGCAAAACAGTGTACGTTTCATACAGTAAGTCTATTGCTGCATTACTTTTGAGTACGTTTATTTGTAATGTGATACTGATATGTTAACTTTAGGTGATTGTGGATGAAGCGTGTCAAGCTGTTGAACTAAGTTGTCTGATTCCATTGTGCTATGGTGCACAAAAATGTATTATGGTGGGAGGTATGTTTATATCGTTTTAAAATTCTGTTTTGATCAAATCTCATACTTTATCCAATAAAACACATGGTGAAACTATAGATCCGAATCAGCTACCACCAACAATTTTGTCACAAGTAGCGCAAGATTACTCTTATGATCAAAGTCTGTTTCAGCGCTTAATGAAAAGCTGCAAAGACTCGATTCATCTGCTCAGGTTAGTTTTGGTTTATTTCTTGTCATGGTAGTAGCCAATGTTTCAGTATTTAAATCATTTTGATACCATTTGCAAATCAGCATTCAGTATCGCATGCATCCGCATATATCACTGTTTCCGAGTCTTAATTTTTACAACTCTGCGCTCAAGGACGCGCCAGGCTTGAATACCATTTGCTCAGCTCCGTGGCATAGTCATCGACTTTTCCCTCCATACTTGCTTTTAAATGCCGTGTCTGGACAAGAGCAGTTTGGATCAAGGAAATCTTTGTTTAATCACGAAGAAGCTTCACTTTGTGTTGGATTGGTTAAAACCATATGTACCAATTTTCCTGATATCAAGGTAAAGTTTGTATTTTTATAAATCATCATGTTAGCTGTGCAAGTTTATCAAATCTGACTATTTTTACTTGATAGTTTTTTGCTAGAATCGGAAGTAAGTGAATAAAACTGTGATTTTTGTGGCATGACTTGTAGCTTATGCTAACCGTGCCGTTTGTGTTGATAGTTATTACATTCTATAAGCTTCAAGCACGAAAATTGCGAGATATGTTTGTTAAGCACTTTGGTCACGCTATTTTGAATAGTGTAGATATCAATACTGTATGCATGGGTGATTTTGTTGAGTTTGTAAATTGTACTTGATTGGATTTTAACTATTGTTTGCGTCTCAATGATTAGGTGGATGGATTTCAAGGCCAAGAAAAGGACATTATTTTACTCAGTTGTGTTCGAGCGAGTAAAGGTAAGCATGCTATATTTTTGTAAGCCTGGTATTTTTGAATACAACCTCATTTTTCCTATTGGTTTATAATCAGATACCGATCGCAGCGTTGGATTTATCAGCGACACTCGGCGAATGGTATTTAAATATTGAAAATTTTATTTTCTTATTGCTTATACATAACCAAGACATTGTTCTAACTGCATCACTGTTTTAGAATGTGGCTCTAACCCGAGCCAAGCATTCACTCATTATTATTGGCAACTCTCACTCATTAAAAACTGATCCTGTTTGGAAAAATTTAGTGAACAACGCCAAACAACGATCTTTGACTCTCAAGGTGATTGTAATATTTGCATTGCAAAACACTTGACGTTGTGTTGCACTCTATCATTAACCTTGCACAACCACTTTCAATTTGAACATTAGATCAGTTCCAAGGACATTCAAGTTGGTAGTAATGCCACTTTTTCTAATCTTATAGATGACATACCAAGCAAATCGTCCAGCTCCGGTATGACCAATAATCGTAAAAATGAAACACAGCAACTATCAAATAACAATCAACCTGGAAAGCATGGTAACGAACCAAAAAAGCGAAACTACTCCAACTCTTATGATTATCAACAAGGATCAAACAAAAAATTCAGCAATCAGTCACATTATTCCCATGATAAATTGTACTCAAAAAAGAAGCGCATGTGAATGAAATAAGCTTATCCTATTTTTAAAAAAATGATTTATTAAACCGACTATTTTTAGGCAAGCATGTCTTCCATGTCGTTGATAATATTGCAAAATTTGCTCATCTTTACTACAAGAATACGACGTGATGGCATTATGCCTAGATCATGGAAAGCTCTTCGAGAATCTGTTGATTGCTTTTGTGCGAGTTTGTAGTCAATGGATAGTTCGGCGTACTTTTCAATTAATTCGTCTTCTGGTTGAAAATAAAACATTGGTGTTTCCGACTGTTCAAGTAATTGAGATGTTAAGCCGGATCTATAGAATTGATACTAAAATACAGTCTAGAATCAATGAATTTACCTTTTTCATCTTTTTCTTTTTTTGAGGGGCTGGCATGGATCCATTTGCCTGAATTTCTGTTTCATCAATGGTAGATATTTCTTTATCAAGAGTAGATTCCACCTCCTTGTATACTTTTGAGATAAAAATCAAATGACTGAATTTAAAAGGTTGATCCTAATTGAACATGGTCAGTATCCATTTATACTGGCATGATTCTATTCCAACTTGAAATACGAAATGCCAACTCACTTCGTCCTGAGCCCATTCTAGCTCTTCGGCAAGCATTTTAAACATGGGCAAGGAGATTTGAGGTGGCATGTTGATGAGCCTTTCGTTGAAAACGATGGCAAGGTGTTCATTTTTGTTGGAAAACAGACGTTCCAATGTGGCATGCGCATTGGTATTTTTTCTGGATTTCTCCAGTAAATATTCTCGCAGATGTTGAACACATGCGAGTTCCTATTGATAAAAAATTAAAATACACTTGAATATTAGCATCAATAAAATTTGAATGACTGAATTGCAGTATAGACAATGGGAATGTTACATACAGCATGGTGGGTCATATTGATTGCAGTAAGTAGAGCATATGGATCAACATTGCCATCAGCCTTGACGGTTGATCCAACAGATTTTTGAGAAATAATTAAATCAGAAAATGCAGATACATCTACTCTGTCTGCTTCCTCGACAAAAGTTTGTTGCAGTAGAGTTTTAATGCCATGAAAATCAATTTCTTTGGGATCGTTAAAATCGAAATCGACATCAACGGTTTCCTTTTCACCATCCGAATCGTCCTCATTGCTGTCGTCACTTTGATTGAGATTGCTGGGATCCACTTGATCTTTAGGTTCTCTTGCTTTATCAGACATGAAAGGATCACTCTTAATCTCTCGAGTATGCGGTTTAGTGGATAAAGAGCATTCTACTTGATTGACGAGCTGAGAAGGTTCAGTATCCAAACACTGGCGTTTCAAAGGCGGTTCTTTAAATAAAGAAGCGGATTCTTTCTTACAAGGACTGGCTGGCGACATGTATTTCAGTTAATTATCTGAAGTTTGATATTTTTCGAGTATTTTGAATTGATGAATTCAAAGTATTTTGGCCAAATATTTATTGAACATTTTGGCCCAATTCAACATTGAATCTAACAGTCAAAACTTGCATCAAAGAAGCGTTTTGTATTCAACCAACACTCGGCATGCCAGTCATGGCTGGATACTCAAATGTGCAGATTCAGTCGCCCAAGGAGAACACAATTCAGAGTCCTCAATCAGAAACCAACATGAACCTTCTTGCTTTTAATCGCCAAGACTTTTTGGAACCACAGTTTGCTGCTGCAGACTTTGTAGCTGCTCGCAAGCATATTCCTATTGACCAACTCAAGCATGATTTTCATAGCGTTTTAAAGGCTCTCAAGGGCGAGTTGGTTGAGCTGATCAATAATGACTATGCAAAGGTTATTGGCTTGTCCACAAATCTGGTGGGCGTGGATAGCATGATCTCAGATTTAAAACAGCCTATTTTGAATATCCGTACTGCTGTAGAGGTTAGTCTAGCCTAGTTGTTGAACCATCCGCGCAGTACTTGTTTAGTTTTGGTGCTTATGCTGAATTCAAATCTAATTCTGGGTTTAAGAATGTTCAAGCTGTTTTAGATGAAATGATTGATCGTCTCGAGACTGGACTCGAAAAACGGGCTCTCGTTAGAACAAAAAAAGCTGCATTAGAAGTATTTTTAAATATTCACCAGTCTCTTGAGAAAGTCCAAGCAGTTCTTGATGCTTCATGCACTACTGAAAACAATGGGTAAATAATCAAAACTTTATTAGGATACGGTTACATAGATCTGGTAAAATGGAGCCAGGTTAATTGCAATTTAGCTTTGACTAAACTGTGTCGTATCTATGTTTAGAAACATTAAAATGGACGAAATGCTTGTTGAGCGAGTTGCCATTGAGTACAATCAGTTGCAATATCTGGTTTCAAGTGGACAAAGTCTTGCATTTGTTTCAAATATTTCTTGGGTACTATATTGCTTATCCTGATCCAAAATGACCAATTTGGATGTACTATTTACCTGTCAACTTGTATGAATTTATAGAAAATTGAGGGAATTAAAAATACGCTAGTATCTACACTTTCCGGATCAGTACGTCAAGCATATTTGACTATATCTACAAATCCATCGGATAGCGAAGCTGCTTCGTCTTTGTTTCAATCGCTGCGTGTATTTGTATTAATCGATCGGGTTGCGGATGCTCTGTCTGTTTTCAACGAAACTATCCTTGATCCATTTATTCAAAAAGTAAGTCGAGTGCACATTTTTGCTAATGGGCTTCTAGAGAGTTTATGCAATAGCTGATGCTATACATGTTGCATTCTAACTTTTTTTGGTTTATAAACTGATGGTTTTAGAATATTAATCCTGAATCGGTCGAGTTGATGCCTGCTGTTGGTTCAACAGGCCGTACTCTGGGTGATTTACTGGACTTTATTATTTTATTCGTGAAAACAGAGTGCTTGCGGATTTACACCATTACTTTAGCTGCTTTGAAAAACACTCAGTATGATCTATTGGCGGATATTATTTGGACGGGAATTATTAAAGCGATTATATCTAGACTTCCTATTGTGTTCAACGCAGGAATTCCAGATGTATTTCATCGTAACTATCAGACATGTATCCGCTTTGTCCAGCAGTTTGAATTGCTGTCTGGGTCGACTAGTTTATTGAGAAACTTAAGGAATCAAGAATCGTATATTGAGTTTATGCGCAAGTGGCAGCTGTCAATTTATTATCAGATCAGGTAATAGAAGGTAGTTTTGAATCGCTTTATTATTTTTATTTTTATTCTCATGCTATACATGGTACAAGGCACAACGAAATTGCAGCCAGGTTTGAAACCGGTCTTGTAAATGGCAAGCAGAAAGTAGATACCACAGATTCGCTTGGTATGCATTGCTGATTTTATCATTGTTGCAGATACCATGTATTTTTATTTACTAAAGTTGTTTAAATGCAAGGATTTCAACTTCAGGGCACACAAGCTCTATCTGCAGCATTATTACAGTGCTGGGAGGATAATGTATATTTAGACTCACTCTCGTTTCGGTTTTGGAGACTGACTCTGCTGGTAGGACAAATCAAGTTATCATTTGATGTCGCGATTAAGCCTTGCAAGATGCTAATACTTATATTGTTTGACCATTTAGCTTATTCGAAGATATGCTAGCTGGATTGAACATGCGATTTCCAATGATATGGCATTGCCTACAACCACTCTAGATCCCAACCTACCTCCAGTAAGCGTATTATCGCAAACTTGACTTTTTAATGCACAATACTGTTTCGTTGAATGTTGACACATTTTACAGTCCACAACTTCATCAAGTGATATGATATCCACTGTAATACTGTCGTTTTACAGTGATATTATCAAGATACGTGCACACGTAAGTATATATATTATGTATATGATGGGCAGATAATTTAATTTATATTGTCTGGCATTAACGCCAATAGACTGACTTTATACTAATCATACCGTGTAGATTTTGAAAAAGTTTGAAACACATATATTGCCAAAGCTTCCATCAGCCATTTCGCAAGGCAATCAGCTGTCAGGTAAACTCAAGTTTTATTTGTGATAATGCTCATTGGTTTATGTCAAAGTGTGTGTGTTATGCTTAAGAATTTAATTGAGCATTCGTAGATTCGTTGTTTACAGCAATTAGTGGAGTTGAATCATTTTTACCAGCAGTGACTGGTAGAATTGTTGCCAATTTTGCCAATAAATGTGCAGAGCCATTGCGTAGTGGTGTCAAGCATTTACCACGACTCTATCGAAGCACCAACCACGAGGTATGAATTATCCAGTGCACAAAAAGATGCAAGATTTTGTTATTGACAATCAAGTTTTTTGGTCAAGACTCCTACGAGATGTTCGTATTTTATTCCAACAGCGTTCAAGCCTTTGACTACATTCATTAATGCCAACTATAAGTTGCTAGACAAGCCAACTATTCATATATGGCAGCAGGAGGTAACGCATGCTGTTAGCCAACAGTGAGTATCCTACGTTTCCAATGTTACCCATTCATCTTGCACTTTGACCAACTATATGCCATGTTTAATTATTTATAGATATTTGGATCAAGTCAAAGAAACAATTGCTTCTGTCAAGCAAATTGAAGAAAGTCTGAAGCGATTTAAAAAAGCAAAGAAGCCAGCAGTGGGAGGGTCGACTGAAGAAACTGTGACTGATGACGATAAGATCCGACTTCAAATTCAATTGGATATTGAACAGTATGGGAAAGAGGTATGTGGATAGTTTTTCATTTTGGCCATGTTTGCTGCGATTAATAATGCTTGTAAATTTAGCTTTCACAGCTAGGACTTAATCCACAAGACGACCCTTCGTTTGAAATATTGAAGAAACTGGATCTTGGCAGGTCTACTAGTTAAATGGGTAGTTTATTTTAAATAAACTGATACTCTTGTTTTTAGTGTGGACTAGCAATGCATTTTGCGAAGCTGAATGAATAGAAAAACTTTGCCAAATACTTGCAAAATAGATTCAAGCTTGTTTCAATATCAAATAGCTTTTACATGCCATGAGTAGTTTAATATACTCTAGCGGACCTCCATTATCATATGTGTAAGGCAACATGCTTTAGCAGACAATATTATGTTTATCGATTAGATGACCGCAAGTCAAGTTGGTTGTCGCCATTACTGGAACAGTGGTTAATACGACTATTATTATTGTACATGCAGAACCCCAGACTGGCCTTCGCTTTTATTCTTTTCTGGACCACAGACATCACAGACAGTGTTTCCCATTTTGTGGTTTCGAGAAGGTACATTAGGCTGGGCATGAGTGGTGCCGAGACATTGCATAATTACAAAACTTGATTACCAATACTGACCGCATGTTTAAACCATATGCATGTAATGCCTATTATTCGGCTGGCTGGATTATAACTGTAGACATGATCAAATTTACGCTATTATGGACAATGGTAATCTTTTTTTTCATATATACGACAGCAGGACTGGTTGCACTGATCATGTTCCACAAACATCGAGCAGGATTATTCCTGCTGATTGCATTTTCAGCATATGGAGTGCTAACAGGAGCTATCTCCGGATCGATTGTTGGTGAGTAATTTTGTGAATCTACATATCCGTCAGTAAAACTGATGAATATGCTGAATCTATAGGAGGATTGCTGGCATCATTCTATGTGACAGGATATATTAGCATGCCTACATGGATACCTTTAACATGGGCCATTCTACAGGCAGTTGTAACCATGATCTTTTCCTATTCACAAATCGCATTTTTAGCCTTGTAACTACAATAAAGTTTAATAGTTGGTTGTATCACGTGTTATCATGTGACTATGGACACAAACTTGAGCTTGACGACTTGCACCGACTTTCAACGAGTTGAGACATTGCAGCGGACTGCAACCATATCGGGGAGACATCATAAGAGAGAAGACAACTAAATCCACTCAATACTGAATATGACTTCTGATCCACGAATCACTGCTGCAGAGGCTGCGGCCATCCATGCGTCTGCTGTCACCCGCAACTACTCTGTCGAACCTCGTTTAGGTGGGTGTCGTTTGGCTTGTCTCAAGCCTGACTTGATGTCTCTACTTTTGGATTGAAACAGTCTGAAAGTACTTGATGAAACTTCTCTACTAACACCATGAATGCGTTGACTATAACCATTGTCTCAATGAATGAATGACCTTGACTCGCCCTGGTCTTATTGTGCGCGTCCCTGTCCTCCCTTGAACAATTCTACACTGCATTGATACTACTGATCCTGCTTATTTCCATTAAATCGTATTCACGATTTTCTGCTGATGGCTGAACCCCAATACAGATTACAGAACTGTTTCTGGTGTCAACGGTCCCCTGGTCATTCTTGATCAAGTCAAGGTATGTCGAATAGCTTTGTACTCGCCTTCAGCCAATCTTGCTGGAATCACTTCAATCGTCTTGTAAAAGTACAGTACTAACCTTGTGATGCTTCTACTTACTATACAACGATGCATGTCTTATTTTTCTGCTGTGGCATATCTTTTCTATCATACCAAATCCATTTGAAAACAGTTTGCAAAGTTTGCTGAAATCGTTGAACTGACCCTTCCAGATGGAACCAGGCGGTCAGGACAGGTCCTTGAGGTTCAGGGAAACAAAGCTGTTGTACAGGTATGCACTCTTGTCTATTAGATTGGCCCGTGTTTTGTCTCTTGTATGAATCGCTGCCTGATCTAGCTGACTGCAGTGTTAAAACTATACAATCTCTGCAACTGATCATACTTGTTGCTAAACATTTAAATATTCTTATATTTAGGTGTTTGAAGGCACATCTGGTGTTGATGCCAAGGCCACTCGTGTTGAATTCACTGGCGATGTCCTCAAGATTCCTGTCTCTGAAGATATGCTTGGTCGTGTATTCAACGGATCTGGAAAGGCGATTGACAAGGGACCCAAGGTGTTTGCAGAAGAGTATCTTGACATTCAAGGTATAGATTGGTTTCAGATCACTGTTGAAATACTGAAAATTTAAATATAATGATGTTTTTGCAAACTCACCGCCGGTCTTTGTAGGTCAACCCATCAACCCATTCTCTCGTATCTATCCCGAGGAGATGATTCAAACTGGTATTTCTGCAATAGACACCATGAACTCGATTGCTCGTGGACAAAAGATTCCTATTTTCTCTGCTGCTGGCTTGCCACACAACGAAATCGCCGCGCAGATTTGTCGTCAAGCCGGTCTTGTCAAGAAGATTGACAAGGGAGTGCTCGACGGTCATGAAGAAAACTTTGCTATTGTGTTTGGTGCCATGGGTGTTAACTTGGAAACTGCTCGTTTCTTTAAGCAAGATTTCGAGGAGAACGGTTCAATTGAGCGTGTCACTTTGTTCTTGAACTTGGCCAATGATCCTACGTATGCACTTTTTATTTCAACTCGAGACTATTACTCTTGAATTGGGTTTCTGTACATTAAAATTCTAACCATGCTTGTTTTTAAATAATTAGAATTGAGCGTATCATTACACCTCGTCTGGCTCTCACAACCGCCGAATATTATGCATACCAACTCGAAAAGCATGTTTTGGTTATTCTTACTGACATGAGTTCTTATGCAGATGCTCTTCGTGAAGTTTCTGCTGCTCGTGAAGAAGTTCCTGGTCGTCGTGGTTACCCCGGTTATATGTACACGGATTTGTCCACAATTTACGAGCGTGCCGGTCGTGTTGCTGGACGTAACGGCTCTATTACACAAATCCCCATTCTCACTATGCCCAACGATGGTAAATTGGCTGATTGATTTAAAAAGGCATTTGCAGTTTATTGTATATTTTGAACTCCTTTGTTTAGTGTTTATTTTCGTGGATACGGCTTTAAAATGCATTGAATGTCAAGATCTATACTGATGACTAATTCTGTCTTTTGTTGGCATGATTACATAGATATCACCCATCCTATTCCTGATTTGACTGGGTACATTACGGAAGGTCAGATTTTTGTTGATCGTCAATTGCACAATCGTCAAGTATATCCCCCTATCAACGTTCTTCCATCACTTTCACGTCTTATGAAGAGCGCTATTGGCGAAAAGTTGACTCGCAAAGATCACGGTGATGTTTCCAACCAGCTTGTAAGTAAAGTTGTAGCTGCGATTTTAAACTGTAAATGATGGATTGGTCTGTATAGCCTTTATTTACTTGTGGTTTATTTAGTATGCCAAATATGCTATTGGTCGTGATGCTGCTGCGATGAAAGCTGTTGTTGGTGAGGAAGCACTCAATCAGGAAGATAAGCTTGCACTTGAATTTCTTGAAAAGTTTGAAAAGACTTACATTGCGCAAGGTAATTCAATGTTTTTCTGGGTCAAATTAGACAAGGTTGTTTGTAATTTATTTATTAAATTATCTGCTTTCAATAGGCACATATGAAGGTCGTACGATTTTTGAATCTCTTGATCTTGCATGGTCACTCTTACGTATCTTCCCCAAGGAGATGCTTAATCGTATTCCTCAAAAGATTCTTGGCGAGTACTACCAAAGAGCAAAAGCCTCTGCGTTGCCGTGATTGTTCTGTTTTTGTTGGTCACAGATTTCGGAATCTCCACTTTAGTCTTTTTCTCACTCCATATTTTTGCTTTTGACAGTCGGTTTTTAAGTTTTTGGAAACATTGCACTTGATCTTTACCATCATTCAAATTAAAAAAGACTGTTATTTGGTGATAAGCATTGGAGTCTTATTATTGATCAGCTAAGATTTAGATGCAAGTTAAACATGCCCACTGGCAAACAATACTAAAGCAAATGTGATTTTACTGTCAAGCTTGTTGGTGAGCTTTCCGAGGTAAATGCACTATAAATGCTTGCACTCGCCGCTGTGTTTACATAAAATGAACCATTAAGCAGCCAGCTCGTGATATGATTGGTCAGTTTAAAGATTACACATTCCAAAGCAAAGGGAGATTATAAACTAAACAAGGAAAACGTTTTTATGTGAATACGGCTGTAAATTGAAAATACTAAAAGGGAAAAATAATTGTATACTGAATTAACGGGACAGTAAAGTCGGGCCAAAAAATGTTTCCAATCACTCGACACATTGTTTCCTCATAAGCAGTGAGTGAAACCAAATTATAAGTTCCAAAAAGCGAGTTTAAAGTTTTACCATCAATCTATTTCAAATGTAGATAAAAAGAGAAAATCATATTGGGTGAAACCACCTCAAATACACCCTATTACTGCTGTCCAGTCAAGTTTTCGACATATTTTCGGCGAATTTCCTGGGCCCAATCAGATATATGAGTAAATCCACGAAACTCTTCCTGATTTGAAATAGAAAGGATCGATGTACATGGTGTGAGAATGGGCATTTCTCGAGTAAACTCTTCGTCAAAATTGGATACATCAGTCGAAGATTTCTATATTCATTTCAGTATTGAAAAACAGCGTTCAAATTAGTCGGATTGGTTGAAAACAAAATTATTTGTATAAACAAATTAAAATGCATTTTAATACATACCACGGTAGGAATAAATGGCGGTGGGATCTCTAGGTGCTTCAAAGACTCCCAATCAACACCTGCAAAAAAGGAGTGCTGTTTGATATCTAATGCATCGTTTTTACCAGATCCAAGTCTCTTTGAAGGGTCCTTGGTAAGTAACTGCAACACATTAATGTTTTATAAAAAAGAATTAGACACGCAGTCTTGAATCAATTCCAAAGGCAAGCACGCAGCCCAACATTTCAGCATATTTTGATTTCATAAATTTTTAAATACCTTTTGTAAAAGGCTCACTGCATCTCGTGCAAGATGTGAAGGGTAGTTGATCTCAGAGTGCATAATGGCTTCAAAAATCTCTTCCTCGTCCTCACCCTTGAATGGAGACTGGCCAAGCATCATTTCATAAATCAGTACACCAAATGCCCACCAATCTACTGCACGAGTGTATGGTTTTTCGGAAAGAATTTCGGGAGCCATAAACTCGGGAGTGCCGCAAAATGTGCCAGTAGTTACACCCTGCGGCATATTTTCTTTACACAAACCGTAATCTGCAATTTTGATATGCCCGGCTGGAGTCAAAAGGATATTGTCTAATTTTAAATCCCTGTAATCAAAACAGCGCATACAAATAATCCAAAATCCATATTTAGCATATAGCAAACCAGACACTATATTGCAAATGGCTCACCGATACACAATGTTGTTTTGATGCAAATACTCCAATGCCATTAAAACCTCGCATGCATAAAACCGAGCACGCTTTTCTGAAAAATGTTGCTGTTGAATATGCCACATTAGATCACCTCCAGAAACAAATTCCATCACAAAGTAAACACGAGACTCGGTCTGAAAGGACGAGTGCAAGTTTACGAGAAAGGGGTGCCGTTCTCTATTGGCAGTCAAAAATACACGCTTCTCCGACTTTGTGCTAAAATGACATTAAATTAATCCACCGAGTGAGTCGATTGTTGATACAGATACAAAACAAGACTACCAATCAAAAAATGTATAAAAATACCTTTCAACCTCGTCATTTTCAATAATAAATTCCTTTTTGAGCACCTTGATGGCATAATGCTTTTTTGTAAACTTTTCCTCGGCCAGCATAACCTGATAGTACAGCATATATATCCAGTCAGAAGCCATCACTACCAGCCTATATTATACAGCCTAATTAAGCATGAAACAAACAAAACATCAACCTACTTTTCCAAAATTGCCCTTTCCAAGAACAGCTAAAAAATTAAAATCATCCAATCCGACCCCACGCAGTCCGTTGCGGAAAGGCATCACACTATCCATACGAGGCTTTGCTACATTAGAATCAACAGCCTGTTTGTGGTGGGGAGGAATAACCAGATCTTTAGGAAGCATCTTTTTCATTGATGGAACCACGTCAGGAATTATACTGTTTCTCTCTTGTTGTAAAACAGCAGGACTTGGCGCAGCAACTGTAGAAACTTGGTCATTCAATGGCTGTGCAGCAATGAATGCTGATGTGCTAGGTGGTGTAGATATTGCAGGTGGCAACACCACTTCTGTAGCAAGTGTAACAGGCTTCACGAGATCTGTTGTGGGAGGTCTTTCAGGAACAGATGGTAGTGGTGGTGATACAGCATACTGATCAATACTCAATTGGCTGAAATTATTCGTCGGGGTAGGAAGAAGCAATTGAGAATTAGGCAGCGACGGTGATTTCTGAAACTGATTCAATGGACGAGAATCGTTTAGTGAAAACGCGGATGTAGATAGTGGAATGCCCATACCATCGTTTTCAGATTTAGACTGAATAAGCTGCTTTGGAGGTGCCTGCTTCAGGGTCGATCTCTTGGTTCGCTCTATGTTTTCAATACTGCGCAACTGATTCATCATTTGTAGGGGGAGACCACAGTGACTTGGTACAAGAGCCATGCATTCCTTGTGGCAAGCACTTGAACATTCGGAACATTTCAAAAACTGCTTTTTCCCAATTGGAAGCATAAGTCCACAATGGCAGCACCAGTTGACAGATATACTGCTTGTTGGTTCAAACCTATGAGGAATGCGATGTTTTACCAAATGAGAAATGCCACTATCCATGTCATTCTGTTAAAGTATATATAAAAATTAGTATTATTGTATTTAAACCATTAAAAATGAGTGTACCTTTTTCTCGTCCGATGCCTGTGATATACAATCAATCACTACATTTTCATGGCATTTCTTGTGGCATGTAAAATTACAAGCTATTGACAAAAAGCACTGAATTAGACAAAAATCTAACAGTACATAGGTCAAGTCAAAATATATCAATGTAAGCAAATAAAAAACATACTTTGGCATTGATATCCTCGTCCACTCATGAGAAAATCTCCACAGCTTGCACATTTTAAAACTTGATATACTCGCACTAGAGCAAACTTGTGTCCTTGTTTATGAACAACCTTTTTCACATTTCCGCGACGTTGGATTCCAGTAATGGATCGTTTCTTTGAAATATCAGGTAACCCTAGAACAAGTGATACAGGAAAAATAAACAAGATACTTTAAAAACAAAACCTAACAAAGCAATAAAATGGCACTGTGATACTACATACCATACTTGAGCTTGACCCAAATCTGACCCATGGGCTCCATGTCAAGAAGCTCTTCAATACCTTCGGTCATTTTATGGTTTACCGGGACTGGAGCATTTAAATTCAAATACCCATCCGACTTGGGTGAAGATATCACTGTCTCTTCTTGGCTAGAAAGCTCGTCAAGAAAATCAGAAACCATGAACCCAAGAACAGTAAGCAAAGTATCATTTTTTTCACAGACTGCCAACTCAATATAGGCATCTTTGTCAAACGAAACGCGCAATTCATCTGTCCATTTGCCGCGAGTAGTTTTAGTTTTGGCTTTCTGTAAACCATCCACACGAACCTCTAGATAAATATCAGTGTTGAAAGCCTTTTTTCCTGGAAGACCAGATGTTTCAATAGGAATAATTGTGATTTTTCCAGGTAGAATTTTTCTGTTTACTTTTGGCAGAGACAAATCAGGGTTGGATGTTTTGAGTGCACCCGTGGAATTTTTGTCTAAAGTATTGTAATAGTTTAGCGCAAGTTAATATAAAGTGATGCACCACATTTAAAGAATATCAAGCAGTAGATACACGTACCAGCAGTATTCGTACCTATATTATCACCGTCTACATTTAAACCTTGATAACGCAATATAGCCTTGTTAAAAATAGCGATTCTAGCGTTGGCGGCCTGAAAGGTGTCTTCCAGTTCCGAACGAGCCTTGGAGTTCATGGAAGAAACACTTTCAGTATATGTAGGATGATCAGAATCCACACCGTTTAAATCATGAGCATGGCTTTGTATCATTTTCCCAGTAGCCTGGCGAATATTATGCTCGACATCAAGCCTGTGCTGAACATAATCCAGCTTGAATTTAACCTTGTCCGACGTAATAGTTGAATTTGTTCGTAAATAACCTTGTCAAACAATATTTAGAGGTAAAATTAGAAGGAGGTTCTCAAAGCAAACTTGACAAGTCAATTTATCAAAGTAATACGTACCGAAATTTGTAGTGGCAGGTTTAATGGGGCCAACAGAAAGTAGCCCTTCAGTAATGCAAGTAAGATCAGAAAGGGAAGTATGTGACAGATGCGTACCAAAATTAGAGTTTTCGGCAATAGGTTTACGGATACCCATGGTAGTCAAAATACTACCAAACATATTATGTGCACTCCGACGAGGAAGACTGATGCTATTTTGAGAGAGAGCAGAAGCAGATCTCCACATGGATCCAGAGGGCTGCTGATGCAACTGTTGCTCGTGATCGATTGAGCTGATGGAATGTGTTGAGCCCATTGCAGAGGGAATAAACTGGGATTGTGGACGCATATTTTGCAATTGAGAGGTAGAAGCAGAACCTACGGGAATCTGGCCAACAATATCGATATTCCCCGTAGAATTGTTGTGATCCAAAGAATAAGCAGATGCAGATTGAAACATGGTGGCCGGCCGACCTGGAACAGATTTGTCGAGACTCATAGTACTATCTAGAAACTCTTCCTCGACAGGAATGCCAGTCACCTGAAATCTACGTTGCTGTAATTTAAGCATTTCCACACACAGGAAATCAAGACGTTTCTGGGACTCGAAATGGTTAAGTTTGCACTGTTGAATGGCATTAGGGTCCTTGAGCTGAGTAAACATGTTTTTGGCACCATCAATGCATTTCCTTTCAACTTCGATTTTGCTACGAAGACTAGAAATCCTGGAATCAATCGTCTTTTACAGATAAAGAATGGAAGATGAGTATCAGTGATATTCATGCAAATCAATAGTTTAACAGGACATAAGCAACAAGTGATGAAAACAGTGAAAATCCAGCAGTCGATGCACTCATCCAGACCAAAGAACGCAATAATTCGATACGATGGTTTTGGCTGACATTCTGACCAGGACAGAATGCATCTACTAACTGATATCTTCATAGCCATCTGACAGCGTTGCTAAAACTATTGGTCTGAATATTCAGTCCAATTCACCAGACTCACATGAGCAGACATGACTGCACCACTTTTGTCTTGCTTCAACTCCAGTTATACGACTCAGTAAACCCCTACTTGACCTATCAAGTATAATATGGGTTTACGTCGAGGCTCGTTGGATTATTTCAACTCATTCCACGTCACGTGTGAATAAGGCTCATTTTATTGCTGGTTAACTCACTAGTTAACTCACTAGTTGGCTTACTAGTTAACTCAAAATCATAACTATTCAAGACTTTGTCTCCATCTTATATATGCTACTCCTGCTGTAGTGGTTCCTATTATTGTCGCTCCAAAAATAGACGGCGTGCTTGGTATTTCATGAAATATTACTTGTCCAAATACAAATGCAAACACTATATCCAGATTTCGCATCAATGTTGCTGGCTAAAAACATATCAAGTTATTATCAATCATTTCAAAACATAGTTTAAACTATTTACTTACTCCAGCATTGGCCAGTTGCAATCCCTAAAATCATCAATTGAAAATAAGCAAATTGGCTTATCGAAATAGACTAGATAGAATACCCTTACTTACTGCATTCAAGAAGCATTGTGCCGCAAATGCTGATACACCAACACCCAACATAATTGTCCATTCCTCTATTGTCCATAAATACACTGGTACGGGTCTTTCCACAAAAAATAACAGCACACCTGACAAAATCGTCGATAGCAGTCCAAAATATGTGACATGTACCAGATAATGCACGCTCTTGCCTACAACACGAACAAGGCAGTACGCAACTGCCAAAGACACTGCTGCTGCTAGTGCTGACAATGAGGGAATGTATCTTGAATAAACGTACTGGCCAGAGTTGGGTGTGGTGTCATGAGGTAATTTCCCAAACAAAAACTCGGGCCGAGAAACAAGTACAACACCCACTAAACAGCAAACTGATGCTCCTGCATCTATTATAGTATACGGCTCATTTAGAAATAAATACGCTGCAACTGCCGTGAATGCTGGACCAATAAAAAATAATGCTGTGATAAAAATAATCCATTTTTATCGTGAATTAGTATCAAGATTTAAGATTTGTTGGGATATGGTTTAAACTACTGCCTCATTCACATAAAATAAACCACTAAACGAATGTTCACATCCTTGACATTTGTTTAATCCCAATTCCCCTTTGATTCAAACCAACCGTTGGCGATTGACATGAAAACAACTGTTGCATTCCTGAGATCTGCAATCATTGTTGAACTGGAGAGCAAACATACGAGATTTTAGAATACAAAGTGGAGTTTGTACAGGGTTCAATTGACAGTAGTTGACCCCAATACATGAATTGCATTGAATGAGTCTGATGATTGCACAATGTATGGTTATATCAAAATATAATCTCAGTTCAAAACTATAGTTTGAGCACCATATGACGAACATTGTAATTAAAGCAATCAATTTTGATAAAAAAGTGCAACACATATTCAACCACTGTCTATCCCAAGGCAAAACAGAGGCAGTCACAATAAATATTCCAATTTATGTGAATATGGCAGTAAATTCAAACTGAAAAGTATAATAGACTCACTTGTACCATCGCCCAGTGGCATATTGATAATGGTGAAAAAATAAAATCCAAGACCCATTGCTCCTGCCATTCCTCGCCCAATTAACAGCCATCTGTTTACCGTGGGTGGTCCCCACGGCGCTACTTTAACTATCGCGCATCCGATTACACCTGCAATCAACTGAAACATAGATCTTGCAAACACAACTTCTGTGGATGGAAAAGTACGTCCTGCCATCTTGACCAAAACAGACATGATGGAAAATCCAAGAGCAGAAAGTGCCTGTGATATATTAAATGTTTAGTCAATAATGCAACAAATCTTGAATTTCAATATAAAATAAAAATGCTAATATCTTTTCGCTTACTAAACCGTTTGAACTAGAAAATATATCTAGTCAAACCCATACTCTGAACATTACCGGTTAACCCATTCGTAAATTTTCAAATAACAAATATGATCCTACCATAATAACCAGTCCAAAAAGCTCATTTCTTGCTGCTGTTGCAGAACCCATTGCAGCATGTCTAACACCTGGAACAGACACAGGCGTCTCTGTCCTACCAAGAAGAGGCTCATTCTCTAATATAGTAAAAGCATCATTTCTTTGATTCTGCTCATCAGTCTCTTGTTCATCTGTCCTTGATATATTCATTTGCAATGCAATGGATAAACTGCAGATAATTTGTATTTCGAGAAAAATCGATTTGTGGCTTCCACTGAAATGCTTTGATAAGACGAGCAACAAACCAATTATAATTCAAAACACTCTTCACCGTGCATTCGTATAAAATAAACCAAAATACATAAACTGTCAGTTTCGTCAAGTTTACCGATCAACATTGTGCTCCAAACAAGTGTTTATAATAGCATTTGCATCGCGGTTTTAGTAAATCTTTTATTTGTTCAATTTCCAACTCTGTTACAAACCGAGTATTGCAACATGGAAACAACAGTTGCAATCACTGTTTTCTTGGACACGAACGTATCTGTGATTTTAGATACAGGAATTGGATGGACAATATCAAAACAGTCTAGCCCAATACCTAAACTGCAATGGATGAGCCCAATGATTGCACAATGTAGACTATATCAAAAAAGATGAATTTAATTCAAACCTATAGTTTGTGTGCATCATATGATGGACATTGTGTTTATTGAAGAATTCAAAGCGTCAATTGAAGTAGCAGTGCAGTCGATTTCTAGTGGAAAAGTATAACGAGTATTTAGTCATTGCCTATTTAAAGCAAAATAAAGGCACTGCAAGGTAAATACAACTGTATTTCACTGTGAATACAGTTGTAAACTCAACGCTTGCGCATAAATACGAAAAATAGCCATCAACTAGGCAGATCAAATTTGAGATGAATCCACTGCAGATATCTGATCCAGCATCTGATTATGTTGTGAACTACTTGGACTAGTTACCGGTCACTCTTTTTCTTTTGTATTTATATATGAATTTTGATACTTTAGAGTTGGCACCTGCGTGCAAAGTTTTGATGGACTTACTTTTAGGTTTCTTACTAGCAGTAGTTTGATGTAGTAAGTCAGCATGTCCAGTCTTGTTATTCGTATGCTGCTTAGAAGCTTTATGCTTTTTAGAGGTTTTTGGCGTGGGATTATCAATCGATGTAGATGGGTTTGACTGATTTGATTGATTTGATTGATTTGACTGATTTGTAAATGATGCCGAGATGCTCTGCTGACTTTTAAAGGTTTTTTGTGTGGGATTATCAATCAGTGTAGATGGGCTTGACTGATTTGACTGATTTGTAAATGATGCCGAGATGTACTGCTGATTGTTAGTCTTTTCAAATATCGGATATGCTTTAATAATCTCTTGAATATTGTCACAGTTCCTATAAGGAATCTTCCTGAGCCATTCCACAAGCAAGATTAGTGAATTATCATTATTTGGATCGACCAAAAGTTGACTCCTTGAAACAAAGGTAAACGTTGGAATCCCTATGGCATTTAGTTTGGAATGTCTGAATTTTCGTGGAGAATCGTCAATCAATATTGTGTTTTTCTACATGCAACCAAAATATTGATTAGATTTAAAAAGTATTAGCATATTAAACCCAGTCCTATTAGTGTCTGAGTTTGGTAACCTACGTTGGACCAGACACCGTTAGGATTAAGAGTTTCATCACTCCAGATTTTGGATACATCCTTGAGCAAATTATGCGACTTTACACCTGTAGGCGCATGGTCGCAATAGGATCGGTCCATCACAAACGACACATGCTTGAAAGCAGGACCAAATGTCAATTCTGTAAGCCGCTGTGCATTAGGAGCTTCAGCTGATGTCCATACACCTATAGTAATATGTGGCTGTTGGACCACAAACCGTATAAGTTCATTCAAGTGTGGTCGAAGAAAACACCTATATTAAACGTATGCTTAGTGACTAGCTACACCACACAAACCATGCCCGACTTTAAAACTCACCACTTTGAACGGTATTTATAGTTGCTACTTTCAGGCAGGAACGAACACTTGGACCGAATATCCTTGACCTCTTTTGAACTAAGTCGTTCTAGTAATGTCCCGTTAAGATCAAATACTATCAAGAGTTTTGGCTGAGCCATATGAGTAACTGGACAATAAGTCAGTCGAATGCTTAGTAATAGTTGTAGGTTTCAAGACAGACTGCTGGACAAAATCAAAGTCGAGTCGAACTGATGTCGCAGCTGTATTCACGTAAGCAAAATACTGAAAAGTGCACAACAATCGGTTTAATAAAACGATTGGCAACAATTTACTGGAGTATTTTTCGACCAAGTTTGCGATCGGCTCGTTTTGTATAGCTGAATGAATGTCCACATCACATTCTTGGCACTTGTTCAATCCTAAACTTTTCTTTCATTCAATCCGAGTATTGAGTGACTGGAATGGAAGCCATCTTGAGTTTAATCGCAAACGTGTCTAATTTCGAAATATACGAGTCTGTGCACTTAAAGCAGTACAGTTCAATATTTGGATTGAAATGGATGAATCAGATGATCTTACAATGTATGACTGTGTTAAAAGAGGAGATAATCTCAACTCAAAACTATAGTTTGATGGTACTATATGATGGACGCTGTGTTGATTGAATTGAAGATACCAATTTGTAATAGGAAAGCACAATACATACTCCATTGCAAGATAAATAGTATTTTATTTTACGTGAATAGGGTGGTAAATACATACTGTCAATGCACTTGATTGAGCATTACTAGCAGTTCAATTGCCAAGTTTTAATTTTTCAAAGCAGTCTAGCATACAAGTACAAAATGTATATTCGAGTGTAAAGCAAATCCTTTCAATCATGCAACAGAACTAGCAGTAGGCATATTAACAAGTGCAGCTTTTTTCAATTTATCTTCGGGCAGCAAGCATCGGTATTGTCTAATAGCTGGATCCATAGCAAGATGGCGTTGAAGCGCATCACGACGACAAAACGCTTTACCGCATCGATCACAGCTAAAAGGCTTAATTGGTGAATGAATATACATATGTCTGGTTAGATCATGACGACGGAGAAAGGAAAGCGAGCATTGCTGACAATGGAAACGTTCAAGATTTTTGTTATGGATCCTCATATGCGATCTAAGGTGACAAGTCCGATGAAATTGTTTTCCACATTCTAAATCATGATTTAAACAAAGGTTAGTAATGTAAAATAAAGTTGAACCTCATTTATGCAGACTACCTTTGCATGATATATTGGGTTGAGTTGCAGGAGGTGCAGGAGGTGCAGATACTTCATGGCAAACAGTCAATGCATCTTGTGGCTTTTGATGGACCTCATCTTCAGTATGCGATTCTTCTTGGTGAGATTCAAGTGCTTTAGCAGCCGAATATACAAGCATGTCGGTAGGAGTGAATATACCGTGACGAGGAGTAGCGTGTTGAGGCTGATATTGTGGCTGATATTGCGAGTACAAAACAGGCAGCGACATGCGTCTTTGTGCTGCAGATGTGGCTGCTGCTTCAGCACTTGTAAAGGCTTGAGGGGTTTCGTTCAAATGGTGGTGTTGAGGTTTGAGGTGTTGTGAGTAGTCGGAAAAAGTGATGGGTGCAGAAAGTGGTGGGGATGGGTATAGCGATCGGTGGAGAGAGTTGAGTGGAGATAGACTGATGGTTGGCGAAAGACAAACGATCGGACTTAGTGATAGTGCAGGCTCTAATGTTTGCAGAGGTGCCAAACTCAGCGACGCAAAACGCCAGAGGGGCTTAAGTTTGCAACTACTCTGAAATTGGTGATCGTGAGTGTAGGTGGTCATCAGAAATGCTGCAAATGTCTGGTATCTTGGCAAGACAGTTGAAATAGGATTAGAGACAGAGCCAACATCTATTTATACCATTCATAAAGCCTCCGTATCAGGCGTAACTTGTGGGTTGCTATTAGGGTTCGACTCTGCCATCATTCTCATCTAAATAAAAACCTAACAATCAGCCACAATTTAACTTTATTTTGCACAATTGTTGACATTGGTCTTCCGCTTCAAACCATTTGTTGCAGCCAAGATCTACTGCAATAAAAACTTGTTTAAAACCGACTATATACAAAATATGATGACTTTGAACAGACTTTTGTAAAAATACATGTCCTCGTCTTTCCTCAACAAACATCCAACATGGTTGATTACAACTTTCAGTGAGTTGGTCATTTGAGCCGGTTCACTCAAAGGTATTTGCACATCACCCCACTTATGCAAGAAAAAAGGGTGTTGAATTTTACCAACATGAGAAAGAAACAAGATCTGTAAAAAAGACGCGTACTTTAGAATACGATCGTCATACTCTGGTAGACATCTGCCCGCAAAAAGGGTAGAGTTCAGCCAACCAGATTCAATATATCAATTGGATTAAAAAACTCATTCACAGCTGTAAAAAAGAAACATAACTCGGTCATTGACACTGCAAATTGAAACGTCGCAGTGAATCCCTGGATAGTAAACAAATGGTGTCTAAATCATGTGCTGCCAACTGATGGGATGTAATAAACGTATTAATTACTCAACATAAGCAGATGTACTTGGATCAAGCAGTGGCAGTTTAAACATAATATGTATTTTTACATGAATGGGTTGTTGCACAAGTCTGATTGCTGTCAAAAGAATGTCTGCAATCCACATTGAGATCTATTTGCTACACACCTAGTCATATCTGCTACTCTACAAAAATGCATGTCAAATATCTTGTATAAGGTGTTTAAAAATGATTATAGTGCCAGTATTTTACTATTACAACCTGGTAGTCGCTTTAAAATATTGAAACGATTCTGCCACATGTAAACTCGTTCAATCTACTTTGACCAAATATACGCTAACCCACAATGCGATTTTCAAAAAGCTCGGTAGTGAATTTGGACCAAGCAACCCAAGAGTCAAACATGGTAATCAATACTCGAATAAATAAAAATAAAAGTTTTATTTCCTACTACCAAATATACTAGAAAACATGGATTGCGGGGCAGGTGGAGGAAGTACTGATCCCGATGAAGCACCAGATGCACTTGAATGCATTCCTCCAGTGGGTGTAAGTGGCGATGTGGGGTTGACCACCGATGTAGACGAGTTACCAAATCCAGATCCTTGTCGTTCGTGATCAGTTGAAATAGAAACTCTTGGTGATAATGCTGATCTTACCAGTGGAGATATGTCTGTTTCTTGTGAATTGGATACATCACTGGGCCGCTGTTTTGTGTTTGACTCGTTCACCAAAAATCCAATCCACATATCCATAAATGATTCAGTTGTGCTACTACTAGAATCACCACGAACACTACTAATTGAATCAGTAGCTCCAGCATAAGTTCGTACTAATCCAACTTTGAATTTCTCATCATTGCTAAAGCGTAATATATTGGAGATGAGCTCCAAAATCTCAAATCGCTTGCTGTCACCTCGTGGTGCTGACAAAAAACTGACGAGTAAGTTTGCAACCAGTTTGCTGTTGTATAAATTGGTGTAAAAGCGCAAATCGTTGCAATCAATTAGTGAGTAATCAAGTTTGATATCATACAATCAATACCATTTAAAGTTCACTTACCGATCCACACTCTCTTCAGCATTTCCACTACGTATTCGCCGCATAGCTTCTGCCAAATGAGTTTGAACTTGAACTAAATCTCGTCGCAGCTTTCCCACCAGCGCATTCTTTTCTTGCAAATCTTGCTCTACATTTGCGCCAGTATCAATGCGACCACGTATCTCAGCAAGCTGCGTTTCTGCTGTATTTGCACGCTCTTTGAATAACTCCAACGACGTCGTCATGTCTACAAGTTTACGATTTACTGCATCAACAGCCATAGCTATTTCATTATCCTTGGATGCTTCAAACTGCTCCAAAACCCGTTGTAAATTAGCTTGTGATAGCTGCTCCTGTTCTACTTTGCTTTTGAGAGTCTCCACTTGCTGCATCATGAGCGCCAGTTCTTCCTTTGCGCTAGATGATATCAATTCCGCCTGGTGTCTTGCAGATAATGATTCATCTGCAGTCTGAGACCAATATTCACGCTCCTTTTCAAGTGACTCTATCTGCAATTTGTATTCGTGATTGGTGGATTGCATCGCCAAAGCCTCCTGAGTCTGCGAATCCTCCAATTCGACAAGAAATTGTCTTAGTCGATCCAGTTCGGCTTGTAAACTATCCACGCTGTGTTGAGCATCAGCCAGTTCAGATTGCAATCGGATCGTGTCTTGTGAAAAAACAGCTGAATCGGTTTCTGTTGCATGCACAGATTCAGTTATATTCGTCAACTCTATTTGCAAGGCCACAGACTGTTCCTTTGCAAGTGCAAGCTCGTCTCGTAATCTGCTGTTTTCTGCCATTTCTGTCTGTAATTTAAGCCCAATAGTATTTTTCATACTTGTTAATTTATCCATAAGAAGAGTGCGCTCGCCGAGTAGCTGCTGGTTTTCATCCGAAAGTTCCTGAGTAAGAGTTTGCTGCTGAACAAGCATTGCTTGCACAGGTTCTATTTGGCGAGATAGTTCATCTGCTTGACTTTTGTACTTGATGATAGATTGTTGTAATTCTATAGACAAACCAATTATTAATGCAACATACATAAAATAGAGTGGCAAGTGTATTGCTATATATCCAACACAGATTTGAAATAATGTAAATAAAAATCAATACCTGAATGATCCTGCTTAGATTGCCTTTCATGATCTTCAATAGCTTGATTTTTAAAGGAAATAACATGATGCAGCTCAGCAATATACTGTTGCAATAGAACAACAGACTCGACAAGATGCAATGGAACACCAGCATCAGTCAAAGCAATACGACAGTTCAACGTCTTGTCATGTTCAATTTGAAGCGCAGCTAATGTCTGCAGCACACGTATGATTTCATCCACCCAAGATAAATCAACTGTTTCAACCGGAATAGACTGAGTCGCCTTCAACTCTTCGTATTCATGTCGAATACTTTCTGTCTGAGACTGAAGCAAATGCAACTGCTCCGTCAACAAAGCAATGTGTGTGACCTGCTCGTGTAATTCGTTATCTTTAGTAACAATAGATGCTTGTAGTTCTGATATTATAGATGTCATGGACGAAACTGTATCGTTCTTCTCTTGCTCGACAAGTAGTTGCTGCTGTTGAGAATCAAGTTGTGCGCGATGAGATTCGGCAAGATTAAGCATTTCTTCTTGATGAAGAGCATGTGCTTGTTCAAGTGCTGACTCTAACTCGGTAACCAAAGCCAACTTTTGACTTTCCAGTTCTTTGGTCATCAAATCCTGAGATTGAATTGTTGACTCGAGACTGGCAACTTGTGCACGCAATGCTTCAATCTGTGTTTCCAGCTCGGCATTTACAGAAAGACTAGCAGCTTGACTTGATAGTTCAAAAAGTGCTTCATCCAAACTTATACGGAGCTGCGACTCACGAGTAGCTGCAGCCGCGGCTGTAGTTTCTGTCTGAGTTTGGTGTCGTAAATTGATTTCTTCCAATGATCTCTGCAGGTCAGCAATAGTGGCATGTAGAGAATCGATTTGCTTTTTATCAGAGTCTACCAACTCCTCCATGTGGCGAAGAGATGCAATAAGTTCAGAAACACGATGCTTCTCTAAATCAAATTGATTTTTGATGGATGTAAGTTCAGTTAAATGTGCTTGAACTTGTGCTTGCGACTCGGTATAGTCACGCTGAAGAGTTGCCAAAGCCGTCGCATCATTTGTAGTCGAGGACAGCGTGGTTGTATTAGAATTGGAACTATCGCCATTGGATGATGCAGATGCCATGGACAAAATACGCTGATTATCAGCCAATAGCCGCTTGATTTTTTCCGCTGCCATTACCTTTACAGTGGCCAATTTCCCAGAGATTTCGTCTTCACGCAATTTGGAAGATTTGGCAAGTGATTCCAGTTGAATGTGCAGATCAGATATTTGTGATTTAAGTTGATCTACTTCATTGGAATGCATACTCTTCATACTTTGCAACTCAGTCATTTTGTCCTGTTCTAAATCTTGCTGGTCTCGCTGCTGGTTCATTTTTTCAATTTGAATAGTTGCTGTATCAAGTTTTTCACAAACAATATTAAGCTGGGACTGCAAATCAGAAACTTTTTGCTCCAATTCAAATTGACATTGATGGCTTTCGCTCAAATCCTGCTCATGAGCCCGCTTCAGTGATTCTGTTTCCGTAGAAAACTTGTCTTGACAAACCAACATCCCACGCTCTAGCACAGCACAACGTGCATTTACTACCTCCAGTTGTTCAGCCAGTTGATCACGTTCAACGCGTAGCGTATCCAGCTGCTCCTTGTTGAGCAAGTCTGGTAAGACTTTAGAGGATTGATACTCATCCACCATAGTTTGCAATCGATCACGAGTCTCAATTGTAGTTTGTAATTCAAGCTGTAAAGCATCAAGGTTGTTTTGATATGTGGAAGTGTGATTTTTGCTTGAATCAATGCCGTGGTCAGTATGCTGCATGGCAGTTGATATCTTATTGCTGGGATCAATGTCATGTGTTGAAGTCACCGCTGATTCTTCCCAAGCATTATCGTCGTTCCATTCATCTACATAATCAGCCTTTGTTGCATCAGTGTGAGCAGTGGCCAAAACAGGAGATGAAATACTTGCGTGAGTTTCGTCTGACAAGTCGCTTGGTGAATTTTTTGATAGTTTAGTTTGACCAAGTTTAGCATTAGCATCAGCAAGCTCTTTTTCTAAAGACGCGCAAGTTGATTGAGCTGCATTCAGATCAGCGCTGAGATCGGCCAACTCTTCTTCCCATTGCTGTGTCTGCCTTTCGTGAAGTTTAATTGTTTCGGACAGTTTGGTCTTTATGAAATTTACATCTGTTTGATTTGAGCCTGCAGCAATTAAAGGAGCATGAGAATCAGCGGTGGATGGATGATACGAGTCAGTTTTGTGAGTGTTTTCGTGTGTAAAGCAAGTGTGCTGATCCATGTCCATGTGTAGTTTATCCAATTCTTGTTGCATAGTTAGAATCTTTTGCTGGTATTCGGCTTGAATTTGCTGCTTAATCTTGTCGGCCGATTCAACAAAACGAGTGTTTTGAGTTTCAAGCTCATTAATTCGCATAGTCAAAGCAGACTCATGATCAGCAGAAACCTTCAATCGCTCAGTCAATTCCGTGACAATAGCAGTATGTGCTTCATTTTTCTCTACAATACTGGCATTTTTTTCATCTGAAAGCGTAGTAATTTGTGTTTGAAGTTGTTCGTTTTGAGTAAGCGATGTTGCTAAACTGGCGTGCAGCTCATCCAACTTTACTTTATCTTGCTTTGATTGTTGTTGTACAGTTTCCAAGATCAAAGAGTGTTCATTCTGTAGTATGGTAGCATGTTTTTGAATCTCTTCCTGTTCAGTACGTAGTCGATCACACTCTGATTGCGTTTGTGATAGTTCTAGTTCGCGCTGCTTCAATTGGTCACGCAATTGTTCCAATTCAGATTCAAGTTTGACAAATTCAGCAGACGTTTCTAATGAGTGAGATTGCTGACTTTCAATCTGCTGTGTGTTGGCTAGATTAGGATCAGTTTGAGTTTGTTTCAACTGAGCAACTGCAGCAGTCAAACTGCCATTTTCTTCATTGAGACGTTTAATGTATGCAACAGCTTTTACAAGTTTTTCTTGTAAAAGCTGAATGCGTGCATTAGATTCCTCAGAGGCCTTAGTGGTGGTGGGGGAAGAATCTCCTGACTGGGACTGACTGAGTTTTTGAGAAAGCAAGGATATACGTTCGTCTCGTTCTGATACCTCTTTCTTGAACATGGCCTGTAGTTGTTGGATCTGGATATTTACAAAAATAAATTAATACTCATGCCAACTGATACATATGGCGAATTTACAGCCGATTCATGTAAAATGAAACACTAAACAAGCAGTTTGCATCACATTTCCTAAACAACATTGTGTTCTTTAAACTCTTTTGATGATTGGCATCAAAACAACAGGTGCATTCCCAAAACGTGCAATCACTGGCACGTTTGTACTCTAATTCAAGTAAGCAGAGATCTCAGGACATAGGAGTTTGATGGACAATATCAAGATAATCAAACTCAATATCTGAATCAAGTGAATGTACAATGTGCGAGTACCAAAAAAAGGGAAATGGGTTGATTGTTGTGTTTCAAAGAATTGAGTGTGAATTGAAGTAGTCAATATGTAGTAGGAAAGTGCAGCGAATATTCAACTGTTCCAAAGTAGAAGAGTTACTGCAAGATCAGAGTTCCATTTTACGTGAATATGGCTGTCAATTCAAACTGCAGTTACACCCTACTTCTTGTTCAAGTTGTTCATTATGAGTTTCCAATAAAGTCAATGCATTGGTGTCGGATATATTTCTGTCTTGAGTAAGCGATGGTACAAGTGAAACTATTAGAGTTGAATAAACGGTCAGTATAATAGAATCCACAATGTCGAATCAAAACCTGTAATGAATGGAATATCAACAAGTCCAGTTGCCAAGACTGCAAGTGACCAAAGCCTTTGATAAAACAGAAAACAAACCTTGATCGACAGAAGAACTGCAGCGAGAAGTGCTTGCTGGTTCATCTAGCTGATGGGCATCTGGCAGTTCATGTTGCTGGCCAAGACCAGCATCTTCCATTAAAGCAGTTTCAGCAATGTTCTGTATTTTAGAAGCGAATGAACCAATGCTGCCAGCCAGCTTATTGGCATCGACAGAGTTGAACCAAGACATGGCTGGCTCTACTCTGACAGCAATAGTTGGTTGATGGGTTAAGATCTTTATAGTAGTTTTGCATGGATTCTCGGCGTGGTTTCATTTCCCTTGACTCGGTCAATCCACGCTGATAATCATGACTATTGCCAATTAAATGTATGATTTTTATATATTGTATTTGGCATTCAACATCAAAAACATGGTTCATCTATGATTTAGATTGCTGCATCTCGTTGTACTGACTGAATGCCAATCTACATTCATTCACTACAAAGAATGTCACCGCTGATCCTGGTGCTGCCTTGGCTAGGCATGGCACAATGCCTTTATATAGTGCCAAAACACCTTCATGCTTGACTATCTGGCATGCTGTATGTACGATTCCACGATGATACCGAGGCACATTGTCAACCACGATCGCATTCCGCATCGGTCCTTGCACTTGGTATCGTTTCCTATAAATTACATTGATTTACTAAAAAGTGAGCAATGACAATACAAGATCTTGTCAATAAGATAATAATCAACGAATCGTGTACCGGATCACATCAAAAGGCATGACCACTACTTTGGTGACTACTCCTGCCATGGCACCACAAAATATCTCAGAGTATCCACTTGTCCATTTATAAACTGTAGGCGCTTTTGTCTAGGTAAATAATGAATGACATCAGTTTTAAATCTACTTTAAAACACGCACTTGTCACTTACTTCAAGATGCTTAAACAGCTTGACAAAAATCCGGTGTGATTCAAATATTAATCCCATTTGAGGAATAATTTGAACAAGAGTAGGTAGCATACCCCGATAAAATCCACTGATTCCTTCCTTGACAAAAATATTTTTAATCGCCTTGGTCAGACTTGGATAAAAATTGTTTCTTTGAACAGCAAATCGTGTTCGCAAGAGATCTAGCGGATATGTAGATACTGTCGATACACATCCTGAAATTGCACCTGCAATAAACGTATGTGCTTGTTGCGGTATATGAGTTGCTAAAAATGAATCCTATAAGGCAGACAGATTTGTGAATACACAAAGCTGAAACTTTCAAAAATGCACTACTACAATCAAACTGTAAGCAAATAAAATGTTTAAACCCAAGTACTCAACTTGTTTTTTGCTATTATTCAAAATCTCATGAAAAATAGCAAATTGAACTGCACCATATGCCAAGTACAAATATAACGCAGACAGATTTCCTTTCCACAACCCCTATACCAGTTTTAAAATATAAAGTGTTGGTCAGAATAACTTGCTTTTACAAATGTATCCACGTAAAATGGAATACTAAATAAAAGTGTCAATACATAAACAGCCAATCTACTAAATTTACTTGACAGTATTATGCTCTTTCAACCCTTTACTTGACTGGCATTTATCCTGATGATTGCCATCAAAACAACTGTTGTATTTCTGCACATTCAATCATTAGTTTCGTGAACTAGATTGTAAACGTGCCTGTGATTTTAAAATACACGAGTTTGATTGACAACACCAGTCCAGTACAACCCAACATCTGGATTGCAATGCATCAATCAAGTGATTGCGCAATGCATGGTTGTGACAAAAGTGGAGAAAGAACACGCTCAATACTATAATTGGATTGTATTGCATAATGATTGTTGTATTTGAACAAGAACGGATAATGCCAATGAAGCACTCGACATGTAGTAGAAAAGCAACACACATTCAACCATTGTGCACTACAAACCAAAATAGTGGCAATCAATGCAAGTGTTCCATTTTACGTGAATACGACTGCAAATATGATAGAATTCAAATAACATGCTAGAATTTGTAACATGAAGTGTAAACCTGTAAATATACTTACAAGAATTCCTTCTTCTTTGATAATCAGTCGGCCCGCTTGAAAAATACTTTGATATTTGGGCTTGTGATAATTAGAATGACCTTTTTCAAAAACTTTGGTTGTGGTAGTTTGCAGCTATATAGCGTACCAATAGCAAATACAAGTCATTCCATCCATAAGTATCAATGATGTATTCAGTATTTTGAAAATGATAACAATTACCTGTAATCTACATACAGTAAATATTCATTAGTATGATTGTAGAATTGAAAGTTTATAGATTAAAGAATTTGTATCAATGTAATGCCATTCGGCTAAATGGCAATGCAACAAACGATATTTTTCTTATTCAACAAGATTGTCGGCAGCAAATAAAAGTTTCAAGACATCAAACTGCAATGAATGGTCAAGAGAACAGTCTGACCTGATTTTGATTACATCTAATGGAGCAGTAGCAAAACGAGCCATAACACCTGATATGGCACCACTGATCGCATTTTGCGTTGGAGTGACATTCAAATCGATTTTGGCTGAAAGCAGCGACATTTTAGACAAGCGGTAGATAAAAAAGGTGTACTATATATTGCCAAGTGTACAATATTGGCAGCAATCAATATTATAGATGTTACGGTTGTATTCATGTAAAATGGATCATTAAATAAGGGTGCCAAAATATATAATAAGCAGCTAATCTCATGACGTGATTGGTGCTAATCTCTACTAGGTTCATTGGACATTGTCCTTTAATCTCCCTACATTCACTGTTCTTGTCATTTATACGATTGAACAAGTGTCCACATTTCTGTTTCAATGCATTCCACACCTGTTCAATCTCCGACTCTTTATTTAAACCGAGTATTGAGTGATTGGAATGAAAACATCTTTTTCTTGAATTAGATCGCGAACGTATCTTTAATTTTGAAATACATAGGTTTGTACAGACTTAAAAGCAGTACAAGACAGTATCTGGATTGAAATGAATGAATTGGGTGATCCTACAATGTATGACCATGTCAAAAGAGGATATGATCTCAGTTCAAACGCTCCATATTACGGGAGTCCGATTGTAATATAATACAAAACTATGCCAGCATTTTTATTTTATTAATTGAAACTAAACAAAACCATTTGAATATTATTTTGGATTTTCATGGTAATACCAGTTCATTGAGATTGTAAATACCCCATCAAGAGCATATACAGCTTTAATCACGTGTTTTCATGTGACAGTTAAATTTACTTTTGGAAATATCGACCCTGACTTGAAACATTGAATGTTTACAGCCAGTTTTTTGTTTTCCTTGTTGGTAAATAACCACATCATACTGCTTTGCCAAGATGAGAATGCTGCAGCCATTTCATCGGCATCAATTAGTATCGCCTTCTATTTCAACTCGCGTACTTTTGGGTATGCTTCACCTCGAATCATGCCCATTATTGCTACCAAACATCAAGATAATCTACTTTAAACAACACACTACTTTGTTATTCATAAACTCGACTCTATGCTCATGAGATTTGAAAAAAACTAAGAGATGCGTTATTGGGTTTTGATTTAGGCTTAGGAGGAGCAGTCAATAAGATGTGGTTAAAGTATTGTACTGCATTGTATGTTTACAATCAGCACTATTTAGAGCTTTCATTAGCACGAAAACATCAACCATTGATTTCAGCTTGCAATCATAGTGCAACGCTTGATGATCCAATATTATTCGGTAAGCTATTGCATCAAGGAATGGACTTGAATCCAAATCTTTAAATTTCTCAAATATAGACTAGATCCAACCTTACTCACGGTTTGTAGGTTTATTGCCATGGTCTACTCTTCTTGATGCAAAAAATATGAGATGGTCGCTCGGAGCCAAAGAAATCTGTTTTACAAATGCATTTACGTCTTGGTTTTTTACCGTGGGACAAGTGCTGCCAATTATTCGTGGCGATGGGATTTATCAACCTGCCATGAACCAAGCGGTAAACCTGCTTGACAATAATCGCTGGGTGCATATATTTCCTGAAGGTTGAAATATTTCAAAAATGGATCATTTTGAGTATTCTTTGAAGCCAAAGGTTGAATTAGATCTGTAAACTAACTCCTGTTTACATCATTGAAATATTCCACGTATATGTATTATTGGACATGTCAATCCATCTATCTTTATACAACTCTGTCAGGCCGAGTCAACCAAGCCGAAACAATGCTCAGATTCAAATGGGGAATCGCCCGTTTGGTTATGGATTCCAAAACTCCACCATTGGTTCTCCCCTTTTATCACACTGGCATGCAACACATGGTTCCTCTTTCACAGCACTACCCAAATCCAATGAAAAAGATTGTCCTTGCGTTTGGTAAACCGATTGATTTTCGCAGCTATTCTTTCGAAAAATCCATCACAAATGAGGAGCAGCGGATACGCATTACGAAACGAATTCAGGATGAGGTGGAGCGGTTGAAATTATTTGTTGATCAAAGTCTTGATGTGGCGAAATGAGCTAGCAGCGAGTACGCTTGATGGAATGAACTTCCTAGTGTGGGAATGGCATTGAAGCGCTGATTAATATAAATACCATTTATAGTGTGATTGTCGTGTATTGGCAATCAAGAAACACAATACTATTTTTATGCAGTGTTGGGGGAGATACAAATGCTACTGCATTCAAACCATCGATTCAAAGTATTTTGAATTCATATGCATCACAGTGGTAAACAATCTAGACACTACCTCGTGAAATAGTTCCTGATTAAACAATGGCGCCAGGTCAATCGTCTCCCTTGGCACGAGCCATTCTAAAAGCAGCCAGAGCAGATAATTGACTGCTACGATCATAGCAGATAATTTTCCTGCAAACAAACCACATTCGTTGTATCTAATCAATCATTAAAGCAGGTAAATAACAGCCTAATAGTTGATACATTTGCTATGTTTTGAAAAAATAAACACTATTTTGCCAACCTTTGCAAACGTTCTGCCAGCGATATGGAGTTGCCTTCCATAACATTTTTATACACCTATTCGTAAAGTAAAAATTAATGCAATCTTGAAAGATTCAAACTAAATTAAACAATAAGCAAATCTACCTCTTCAGTTCGACCTGCAACATTGCTCCAATTATACATTTGAGATACTCGACAATGGAGTTCAAACGGGTCGATCCGATCAAGCTTAATATAGTCAATAGCTTCACGGACTCTTTGCACAAGTTCTAGATACCCAATATAAAATCAGTACTACTGTGTAAACCCTAAAAAATACCGAGGCTTGGTACCATCAGTGCTACTTGCCGTTTTCGTTTGGACTTGAAAATATGATCATGTCATCAGGCAAAACCTCTGGTACGCCACCAACCTTTGTACTTACAACTAATAACCTATTCAATATGATATATAGTGTCAATCAGACAATAGAACCCAACATATACCAATAAAAGTCATCATTGATAGACCTACCCACACGAAGCGGCTTCGACAATAGCAATACAAAAAGCTTCAGTCAGAGATGTATTTAAAAAAATATGGCCCTGTACCAAAAACTAGGCACCAAAAGTATGGCATGTCAGCATATTCGTATCTACACAACTAATCACATTAAAATCACGGAAACATTTACATTACGAATGTCACAATGGTTGATCGCCCCTAACATTTGAACACGGTCCTGTAACTCGTATTTTTCACGCATCTGTTCCAGCTCTATGCGCTTTGGTCCATCACCACCAATAAGAAACTGAACATGAGGAAACTCGGCACATATCACTGGGATAACTGACACGAGTAAATCAACACCCTTTCTGTACACAAGTCTGCTGGCTACAATAATTGTTACTGATATACAAGTATAGTGTTGAATGCTAAAGTTAGTGAAATACACTAAAAGAGAATGAAACCAGACTACCAACGACAAGTAAAAATAAGCTACTTTTTGATTTATCTCGTTTGGTGGGATCAGGAGTAAATTCGGCACACACGACAGCATTTGGAATTACAGAAACATTGATTGGATTAAGTGATGCTCTCAAAACTGTGTTTTCTTTACTACCTCCAAAATAAGTTAGATGTAGTATACGCATCACAAAACAAGGACATTATGCATGCACAAATAGCTACCTTGTATGAGATACACATACGACATGATCAATGTCAGATAGAGTAAATTTGAGCAGTTTGTTGGTAAGGATACTGCTTGTATCCTCGAACCCAAACAACGAGTGATCAGTAAATACTGCACGTAGTCCCATAGTTCTAGCATGTAGAATAGCTTCATGACACATGGCAGAGAATGCCTGATGACCATGTACAATATCAATTGCCTCGCGAATGGCAATATAACGAAACAAGGGCAGAGAAGAGTAGATGGTTGGCAGAGAAACTTGATCGACAACTAGCCAAAGAGGAACATAATAGACTTTTGCACCAGAAGAAAGATATCTGATACCAACTCGGTCAGAGTAGGCGTGAGTGAGAATAATCACTCGATGGCCACGACGAATTAAACGTTGAGAAAGATGATAGATATGGCCTTCAACTCCACCCATGTTTGGATAAAAAAAATCAGATACCATACTATATTGTGTAAAACGGTAATATATTTAGTAAGCATCAAGAGTTTTGCAGTTGTAAATCTAACTTGAACTATGCTATACCAGATATTAAGCCGCTCATTTACAGGCAGCAAACCACTTTCTCCTTCAGAAACAGCATCTGATGTTTTAAACAAAGATTCGATATTAGAAGTAGTGGGTGCTAATGAAGCAGACTGATGAGTTTTACTCGAATTGGAACTAGTTGCGAACATTAATGTGTCCAATTCACAATAAATGCAATATCTAAAACCAACAACCAAGTTGAACTTGAATATCAAATTTGATTATGATTTTGCCATTTAATTTGCATTTATCAAGCAAATTGAATGGCATATAAACTTGTCTTTTAGTCGAAATTGGAGTTTTGATCCAAGAGTTATTTTATTGCTGGATATGTTCTAATTCATCAGCAATACTGTTATCAAACCATTTCAATTGATCTTCAAAGTAGTGCATTTTTAGTATACATGATGCATGTCATACTCAACAATTCATGGCCCAATGTATTCAACAAAAAGCAGTGAATGAGCAATGTTTATGGTTGAAATAGAAACCAGCCAAACCCCTAAAGCTGTGCATGTCCTTTGTAATCTGCTTTATATAACCATATGTATATATTTGTTGTGAAAAGAGCCACAGATGGCAATGCCAATAAGCTCAAATGTAAAAAACCAGCATAGATGATATCAACAACAATGTAGCTAGCGACCATCTCAAATCTCCAGTCCGAGAACATGCACCAGACACGGTGGGTTTGGCAGGACCTACAAAAAACACTCCCGACTCGACCATTGGATTGGCAGAAGTGATGTTTTGCACAACACCATTCACTACAAACACGCCAGTCACTCGCAGTTTAAACCGTTTGTTTCTTAGCGCCTTGTCAATGCTCCAGACTGTAAAGTTTAAAGGGCGACCAGCTCCAAGCAATTTATCGCCAGTGTTTGGAGGCATGGATTCCATCAATCGTGCAGCCAAAAGTCCATCAGATGTGAGTAGATCCAGATGGAAAAAGTCTGGGACCAGGTTGGTTTGTAACATTTCCCAGCGGACCCTGTAATCTGCATTCGCTAGCCAATATGATCCATCAAGAGGACTCCATAGCTGCATTTGTGCTATTATAAAAATAGTCAGTGGTTTGAACATAAACCCAGACTTTAGTAAATAAACCTTGTTACATACCCATGGTAGGTAAAGGATTGGTGTTTTGGATAGAAAAGAATTGAGACTGTCCACGAACCAAGTTTCCGTTGGCATCGATCGCAGATAGCGATAGAGCATAATAGTCGGAAGGAAATCTAGAAAGATTGGTGATGGTGACTTGTCGAGCATTGCCAGCCAAAGCCTAATGTTATGATCATGGGTTAGAGCAAGTTGATTGACAAGCTTCAATGCAAGACTTACAGCAGAATTAACAACGGTAGGAAGCAGATCAGTAGAGGTGGAGTTGGAGCCTAAGCCTCTGCGAAGGGTGAGAGTCTGCAGACCAGTAGGAAAGACTCCACCCAAATTGATATTAACAGGCTGGCCCTTTGAATCTCTACATGAGCCCTGAATCGGAGAAAGGGAGCCACCAACAACAGACTTTCCGGTAGAATCAATAGCACCAGCACAGGTATCAGTAGTCCAGCTTAAGGTGATGGATGGAGTTTGTACAGAAACAGGACCCAGAGGAGGAAAGTTGACTGCTGTAACTAGAAATGAAAATGCTATTATTGTAGCAATAGTGAGTGATGTGCTTGTGTAGTTTGATCATTTGCAAGTGCATTACAGGGCTGCTAAAGTTGCAATAAAACAATCTAGTAGAAACAACTGAATACTTACTCTGGGCAGCAGGAGTGGCTATAGAAATGCAGTGGATGGTTAGCACCAGCAAGTATCTTGAATGCATGCAATAGAAACAGTAGGTTACCTGACAAGACAAGAACCGGAAGAATAGATAGTAAAAGTAGCTTTACAAACAAAAGTAGTGCGCTCATAGTACGAATATATATAATCTATGATGATAACAAGTTCAAGTAGAAGATTCCAATGGCAATGTCAAGAATGTCAAATAACAATTTCTAGCAAGTTAGCTCAGCGCCACAGTTATCTTGAATTGGCTTCTGATTTTGTTCTTACTCCGCCATCACAGCTGGTGATAAAATGCATGAGAATAAATCAAAAAATTATCATCACGATCAGTGTTGCTGTTGGAAAGAATTTACGTAAACTCGACCACTTTTGTGATGAGTTTATTGCTTGATGTTTTACGAATATCGACAGATTATTGGTTTGAATGACAAGATCATCTATCATGTCTTGTAGCACAGCAACAGTCTAACCTGTCGATACAATCAGTTGCTAAATAACCCGCTGATTCAAACATAAACAACATCACTCCTTTGGTCTTGTTCTGACACGATCTTCAGCATCCCATCTATACAGTCTACATTAACTTGAAGCAACCGTGCAATTTACAAATCGAAAATTCGTTTTCAAAATGCTGCAACAATAACCTGCTCAATGCCATCAGAATGTTATCAAAAATGGCAAAATCGAGTTGTTCAAATATAAATAAATAGTTGTATCCATTCTCATCACTTTTGTTGCTACTACAATTTATTCTGCTCCGAGCTGATTGAATATTTAGTTGTTGCTTGAATAAACTCAACTCCACAGCTTCCATCCAACTCTTTCTGTTCATTTCTCCGACACACTTGATTGCTCAATATGTCACTGCTGTATTTTGGAACTAACCTGCATCAGTTACAGCAATCTTTATCACTTTTGCCAGTTCTTGGTCTATTTCTTACTGGCAGAGGATAACTGGCCAAGTCGTTTACGGGAGCTTTCGCGTCCATCTCTATCTGCACCTTCCTTGCCGACCAAATGTGCACTTGAAGCTATATGGGAAGCGGCTACAGGAAATGCGGATTGTTTTGTCGCACCAGTGTGCTTTTCTTTTGATAAGCGATACTCTTCTCTAGCAACCATTGCACTGTGCACACGATCAATCCGAGATGCCATGTCCCCCAATTGCAAATCCATCTTGCCCATCAATGATTGTTCTAGCTCTTTAAACATATCTGTAATATTTGTCGTAATGGCTTGAACAATATTTGATCTAGATATTACCATGGCAGCGTTATCGCTGTTGGGCTGAGACACAATGGCTGCATTTGACTTGGCCATTGGAGTTTGCATAGTGACGGTATGAAGTGTAGAGTGGCTTGCACGATGCAATAAAGTATGATTAGTGTCTGAACTCGTATAGGCTTGAAGTAATCGTGATGAATCTTTTGATCGCGTTGTTTGAGCAACTACTGGGCCTATACTCTGTTCAAGTTTGGCATTCGATGAACCTAGCAGTCCAATAGATTTGGATGCTGTCATGGTAATTGTTGGGTGTGAGAATGTAGTCTCATTTTTGCTTTTCAAATCAGCTCCTAACCATTTATCGTCTGCCAAATGGTCTGTAATTCAATGATAGTCGAGTTGAATCATTCGTATTAGTGATGTGTAACCAACTATTAAAATGCTTGCACGATTCACCAAGCTGAACCCACTCACCATTTTCTGATTCTTGCTGAGCATGTTGTGCATGTTGTGCAGTTGCATTGAACACAATAATTGGAACATCACGGAATATTGTATCCACGCTTGGTATGGTAATAGTTGTATGGGATAGCTCCGCAAACGGTGCAGCCAATGCTTGTTCCGCCTCAGCTACAGCAATTCTAGTTAATTGTTGGATCCAACAATTTTAGACACAATTTACAACTACTATTCAAACCTTACATTGTTGTTTCAACAAATATGCTACACGTTCGGTATCTGCTTTGAGTTTGATGTCAGCAATCGCTTGAAGACGTGCTGCTTCAATTGCTTCAGCTTTTGCTACTTGTGCCAATACTGCCTGCTCTTCCTCAAAACGACACACTTCATCCCACTTATCAGCTGGAACACCCTGTGATAACGGAAGAAATGGCAAAGGATCAGGCACCAACTCGATGACTTTACGCACTTTTTGGATCATCACATTTTGTGAAGTCGTGAACGTGCATGCAATCAATCGCACATGTTGAACGTATCTAATTCCCATTGGTTTCCACAAAAAATGCAATGTGAATTCAGTTTGCATTTTAGAGTGGATCTAAACCTTGGATTATGAATGTTGGAAATTGACTTGAAACATACCCTGATACAATGTACTCAACTAGAAGCTTTGTTTCATATGCTGAAAATACTTGCTTGTTTTTAAATACACCAAACTTTTGGATATTTTCCTGAAAAATGTCAATGCATTTTGTCATATCTGTCCTGTATGCTTTTTTGAGATCTATAGTCAAATAAATTCAGGACAACGTAAACTGAAAGTTGCTGTTTTAGTGGTGGTAAAAGTCTATTGACTTACTGATATGTTGATGATGCGATGTTTTGAATATCGTAAGCCATATGGCACATTGAACAGGTGTTAGTCCTAAACGATGAACAAAAGTAAACATCCAAAAACATTCGCAAGTATTTAGTCAAAGACTGCCATTGGAACAAGCTGCAGTGCATGGATAATTTAAACTTGATAAAAAAGGATATCATGCCGCTTCGAGTAAGTACTGGGCCAGTATGGTTTCATGCATTTGCAAATCTTCGGCATGGCGGTCATACGTGATGCTCTTTAACTCGAGCATAGCCGATGTAGACTTAAAAGTTGGATTAAATCTGGCTGTATCTAATGCCAACAGAGCCTGTGAAAGATCAAAGTAGACCTTGACACAATGTCTAGTATATCCCAAATATATGCATTCATACAAATATCGTTAACTGAATCTGCATTTCAAATCGATTCAGAAAATGACGTTCATGTATATCCACTAAAGATAAGCTCAATTTAAACGTTACCCAGCCAAATCCATATCTTGAGCGTCAATAGCAGTCATCAGCGTAACACACTCGTCAGGCTGCACGACCAAATGCTGAAACTCTTGTTTTACTTCAGACCTCAACACAACTACTGCAGGAGGCTTATCATCGTCTAGTTCACGATGGTCTTTGATATCTTGAGGCGTGCTTAACATGCTTCGTACAGACGGAGTAGAGCATATGGCTGCAGGTTTTTGTCGATGCGACTGTACAAAGTGTCAGCTGTCTTTTTATACAAAGCCAAATAAAATCAGACTGTTTGGATTTAATACCTGACTGTGTGATAATGCATCTTGGATACGTGGTGGCATAGTTAAAATCAAGATATTAGCAAAAATCGCGGGCTCAATATAGGAAAGACTGCAGGCTTCATTATCTTGTCTATTACAGCCATCCTCACGTAAAATGAAACACTAAATAAAGTGCCAAAATATTGGGCTTTATCTTGGAATACAACTATGAATTTCACGCCCTCCAAACTGCACAAGAGCTCTGTTAGCATTCACGCCGAGAATCAATCATATCGTCGTATCAAGGTAAGCTTTTTTCTGAAATGGCATGCCTATAATTATACAAGCTAAAATACTATTGAATGGGATGATATAGAATGAGAACCGACTGCAAATGCAATGTCAGATAGAGCGACAGTAAGCTTTTAGTCCTGTCAACTTAATTCAACACTTTATTTGGCTTACTATGTACTACGATTCATTATGTTTCATTCAAATATGCAATAGAAACACAATGGCGGCATTTGTATCAAAGTGGCAAGATCAAGCGTCAAACATCACCTGGAAGACCAACTTGAAAAAAATGAAGGACGCAACTGCCGAGGAAATCGCGTTGGCAAATAGAGAGTTTCTATCATTGCGCCAAAAAGAGTTATGCCAACTTTTAAAAGACGATAAAGCAAGGTAAAGTGATGGTGTTTTGCCAATGTTTAAACAATCATAAACACTTGTAGATGTAGTTTTGAACTAATATAATCAATATGATGGTTTGGTATATAGATATGAAAAGGAGCTTCAATTACAGCCGTATCCACGTAAAATAGAATACTAAATAAAAGTGTCAATACATAAACAGCCAATCTCTACTAAATTTACTCGACAGTATTATGCTCTTTCAACCCTTTACTTGATTGGCATTTCTCCTGATGATTGCCATCAAAACAACTGTTGTATTTCTGCACATTCAATCATTAGTTTCTTGAACTAGATTGTAAACGTGCCTGTGATTTTACAATACACGAGTTTGATTGACAACACCAGTCCAGTACAACCCAACATCTGGACTGCAATGCACCAATCGAGTGATTGTGCAATGCATGGTTGTGACAAAAGTGGAGAAAGAACACGCTCAATACTATAATTGGATTGTATTGCATAATGATCGTTGTTTGAACAAGAACGGATAATGCCAATGAAGCACTCGACATGTAGTAGAAAAGCAACACACATTCAACCATTGTGCATTACAAACCAAAATAGAGGTGATCAATGCAAGTGTTCCATTTTACGTGAATGACTGCAAAGGATCCGAGCTTTATTACAATATAATTTGAAAAGCAATACTATTTAATCTCGTTGGTGCACTGTTTTTGAATTTAATCTCATGGTTGGATGAATAATATGCTTTAAAAATTGACTATTTTCCTGACTGTTTTTACAGGAGGTTTAGATTTGACAGCAATAACAGGCATGGAGTTCATGCCAGATGCATTAGCTGAAGTATGTCCGCCTGTTTGCTTTCCATTTTGCTCAATTTTGTGAAAGGCGACAAATACATCATCGTCATCTCCGCCTTGTGATAGATCCACAGTTCCAAGTGCTATGACGCCAGCCTCTTGTTGAGCCGGTTTACAATCCTTGGCAAGATGTCGCACAGATCCACAAAATCTGCAGCTGCCACCATTAGGGTACATTCCTTTTGTATTTTCAGGACATTGCCCAGCAAGATGCCCAGATTGCTTGCAAATGAAACATTTTGCAAATGGAAAGGGATTGGACGAGTTTTTCTTTTTCGGGCACGCGGAAAGTGAATGGTCAATAGATCCACAACGATAGCAGATACTTCCGGCAGGTGAACCTTCAACAAGTTCGAGCTCTGCTGCTGCTGCCATTTGGTTACGGGGACATGATCGAATCGAATGACCTTTTTGTCTACAAAGAAAGCATTGCTAAATGTGATGAAAGGTTTAGTTTAGAATGGTAATGCTAGGATAATAGAAATTAGAGCACTAGATATCAAGATATTTTTAGATGTATCCACGTAAAATAGAATACTAAATAAAAGTGTCAATACATAAACAGTCAATCTCTACTAAATTTACTCGACAGTATTATGCTCTTTCAACCCTTTACTTGACTGGCATTTATCCTGATGATTGCCATCAAAACAACTGTTGTATTTCTGCACATTCAATCATTAGTTTCGTGAACTAGATTGTAAACGTGCCTGTGATTTTAAAATACACGAGTTTGATTGACAACACCAGTCCAGTACAACCCAACATCTGGATTGCAATGCATCAATCAAGTGATTGCGCAATGCATGGTTGTGACAAAAGTGGAGAAGGAACACGCTCAATACTATAATTGGATTGTATTGCATAATGATCGTTGTTTGAACAAGAACGGATAATGCCAATGAAGCACTCGACATGTAGTAGAAAAGCAACACACATTCAACCATTGTGCATTACAAACCAAAATAGAGGTGATCAATGCAAGTGTTCCATTTTACGTGAATACAACTGTAAATATGACAGAATTCAAATAAATTACCATTTTGCGCTCCTTCAACTTTTCTTGGCGGGATCGTCGCTTCAAAGCCTGTCTTTCTAATTCATTTAAAGTAAGATTAGTCAAAGGTTTAGTTTTATAGCTTGATAAAGCAATCGACTCAAACATTTGCCAAATTCAAGATTACAAAATAATTAAATAGGCTGATACCTGTTTTAGACAATGGATTTTCCGAGTGATTTGAATTTTCATGGCTAGTAGAATCAGACTGTTTGTTGTCTTGAGGTTTAGTGCAATCGACTGAATGGCTGATACTATCTGTCTTGTCTAGAGGAGTATTTTGAGTAGAATTCAGTTGTTTTGACCTATGTCGCATTTTCTTTTGTTTCTTGACTGGCGTTGCATCAGTAAAAGCTTCTTCAGCAGCAACGGTCGAGTCAATTCCCAAATCAACAGTAGATCGCTTCATTCTAGTTTGATATTTTAAATCAGTTGGGCAGAGTTGTGAAGACAGTTTTGGACAGAAAAGAATTTATCGATTCGAGTCGACTTTTCTGTTGTTTCGACAAAGTCTAACTTTCTTTGCCAAGAGCCATTGTTTGCTTCATCATGGACTACCAGCGACAGCTTCTTGCTGAACTCATGAATCCTTTGATTCCTTCTGCAAAAAAGGATTACAGGGACAATGATGTCTGCAAGCATTTTCTTGTTGGATTCTGTCCAAATGAGCTATTTCTCAATACCAAAGTCGATCTAGGCAAGTGCGGCAATTTACATGATGAACGACTACAGAAGGAGTAAGTATCACTACTGGTTTTAGTAAGACTTTTGTTTTAATTCGTATTCTAAAATCAACGGATCCACTGTGTTGTATTTAGGTATCAAAGCTCATCAAATAAAAACCGTCTTGGATATGAAGACAGATTCTACGACTACCTCGCCAAACTTGTGTCTGATATTGAACGAACGATCAAACGAGGCCATACCCGCCTGGAAAGCAAGCCTACAGAGGCAAGTGTTTAATCTTTTACTGCCAGTGTATCTGACTAGTTAAACAGGAAACTTCATGGTTGTTGTAGCCATGTCGTTGAAGCAAACTCGTGCTGCTATTTTAACTGTTGGTCTGAATAATAAATTACTTTTTGTAGCCTACTGGAGTCACCCAAGACGACATTCGAGAAAAAATCATTATTATTGAAGAAACCATCAAAAACAAAACCAATCAACTCCGCCAATTGGGCGAATCTGGTCGAGTAAAAGACGCCTATGATCTTTATTCTGCAGTTGAAAGGTCCATGGTTGAACTCGATCAATTACGTCAAACTGATCAAACTCATCCATCGTATCGGCCTGATAAAAAGATGGAGGTGTGTGAAATCTGTGGTGCTCTGTTGGCAAATGACTCCACTGGACAAAGGATTGATGCGCATATGACTGGAAAACAACATACCGGATTCATCAGGATTCGTGAAACTCTTGAAGAGCACAGGGTTTGTACATGTATTTAACCGATTCGATCTACTTTTACAACTATTGATGAAACTCACATTTGAAATGTACGGTTTGACACTATGTCTTTGGTATACTGCTAAATATGATTACAGAAAAATGGCGGAACTCTACGCCATTATGGATCTGGGAACACGCTTAGCAATAGAGATTACCGTGACAGAGACAGAGACAGAGATGGACGAAGAGATAGAGACTATCGTGGTGGAAGAAGGGAAAGTGGCTCAGATCGCAAAGGCAGCTCTAGTAGTATTGGACGAGGTAGTGACAGTGGTTCATATAGGGACGGAAGACGCTATTAAATGGTTTGATTCCATGCAATAAAAATGTTTTTATCTATGTGTTGTTTTGACAGACTATCCAACATGCAATTATCATGTTTATTAGACAAGGTACGTTTTATTATGAGGTTGTGTTTGCCAGTTATAATCTAATAGCAGCAAGAAAACTCTGCGCACTCTTGGCCGTAGGTCGCTTGAGTTGATCTTCAAGCCAGCATTGCTGTATGACTTGTGCCTAGTGTTTAAAATATTGAAAATAGTATGAAATTATGCGGTTGGTGTAGGACTAGTGAGCACTGTGTTTCTAAATCCGGTCCTACTTGAATGCGTTCAAATTCAAATATTATCACACTTACCAATGCTTTTGGAACATAGACAGGTATTTCTGGTCGTTGTCCTTCGACCACTACTCGTATACCGATTGCCATGGCATTCATGATTTGATAAGGATGCATTCGTGTCACAATCTCGTGCAGCAACATTCCAAAGGCGTAAATATCAATTCCTTTTAGATCTGTGATGATTTCACCAGCCAATATCTCAGGCGCAAGCCATTCAACATCATTTAAAAAATTAGGAAACATGTTGCGTGAATTGAATAAACTTGTGGTAAATCCGTAATCAGTTAGCTTGACAGATCCATTAGCCATCAACTTACATTTACAAAAAGTCAATCATGTCAGCATTTATATTGATATAATCATTTTGACAAACAGTTGACCCGACTCATTTACCATAACATTGGCGCTTTTAAGATTGCCATGAATTATGGGTGGTTTTTGTTCGTGAAGGTATCCCAATGCCTGTATGATATCGGTAGCAATCCTCATTGCATATCCAGGTGACATTTCAATTGCCGGATTATGCAACAGTGTTGAAAGGTTTCCATTTTCAATGTATTCTGTAAGATAACACATGTCTGGTGGAGTGATACACGCAGCAAGAATAGGTAAAAGTGACCCATGGCTGGCATTTCTATTTCATTAAAATCAATAGCAGTTGATGCAAGGTAACAAGTGTAAAAAATAAGTACATTGACCGGAAAAAGTATATTTTATACTTTTATTCATTGTCTTGTACCTGATTGCAGAAATCTCATTTGCGATTGCACCAATCGCATCTTCAGATAAATCGCTAGAAACAGCAGGTAATTTTACTGCTACTGGCTTTGTTTTCCACACACCTTGATATACAATTGCTGTTCGTGTCTGTGATATGGGTGCCAGAATCTGAATAGCTGATGACTGTATGGCCCAATCATAATAAACTAGAATAAAATTTGACAAAATAGTTTGTAAAAACAGTGGTTATGCTATCAAGTACTACAGTCAGCCAATACAAATGTATGAGTCTACCTGGAGTTTTGAATGCATTCGAGATTGCCTTGCTGATTTGCAATTTTGTTCGAGCTAAATAAATGCAAATATGCATTTGGTCAATGTATTCACAATAATATTTGAATTCGTTCCAGATACTACAACACTGACAAATCAGCTTACTTTCAGCTTTGATTATAGTGTCACCTTGTTCTTTGGCAAAATCTAAAAGAATTGTAATTCAATCATGTGTAGTGTTTTACAATATCAGTATACTAGAATTTACGTCTTGAGATTTAACGTAAAATAGCAGTTGCTAAATATTGGCTTGTTCAACTACCTTGCAAAGTCTTTTGAAGCGCTCCGCTAGTTTTTTGGATAGGAGTCTTGCCATGAATGTTTTGGGTATTCACATACGCATTGGCAGTTTTTACTAAAAGCGTGGCAGCCTCTGTGTGTCTCCAAAATGCAGCATAATGCAGCGGTGTATTACCATGATCATTTGCTCTACCAACTATTAAAAGGTATAAAGTCGTTGATTGCACTATTTTATATTGATGGTAAATCAAAACGCGGTTGAGTCGAACACAAGATTACCTTCTGCATTCGCAGCAATCAGCTTTAGTATCAATTCAAATGTAGATGTTAAACGATTGTTTGACACGTTAGTGGTGTGACTAGACTAGGCAAGTGAATTTAAACCACATCTAATTGATCCACTTACCTTTTCCATCTGGTGCAAGTCACCGCGTTTTGTGGACAAAATGAGAGCGGTATCACCAGCACAATTGACTGCATTGACATCAACCTCCAATTGCATTGCATATTCAAATAGTGGATTTAAAGCTATCATAGAGATGTGTTGACATGCGTGAATGCAAAATGACAGTAAAATCAGGTTTTAGCATACCTTTGTGGCAAGATATATGCAAAATAGTATTGGCATTCAAGTCACTATGTATCCAAGTTTGTATTAAAACATTGACCCAAACTACAACTATTTACATGTCGTATCGACTGCTGAGATGATGGGTTGGGTAATGTCATTTAATTACCGCAGAGTGCGCACATATTCTGAACTCTTTTCCAAAGCAAGCTTCTTAATAGCAGCAAGGTCGCCTTTTTTGACAGCATCCATCTATACAGAGTATGCAATGGAATCAAAATTAGACAAAAGCAAGAATAAATGCCAATGACACGTTTAAATGAATCCAGTCTGGCTATAAACGTTACGTGCTTGTATATCAATCGATGAATATAGACATAATGCCGTGTGATACTACATGAAAGTCGTGCCATTATAGCAGAATGATAGTATGCAGTACTGATGTAGTATTTGGGCTCGATAAAATGACATGATTGCTAGTAAAAATACTCCACGACCATGCATTCGATCTTGGAGTGCTCAACACAAACTAATTGAAATCAAAATGCTTTATTTTAAAAAATAAACTAACCTAAATAAAACTTATACCTGAATAGTAAATCTGGGGTAAACACACCCCGAGAGATCTCATTGGCAAAGCAACAGTGCAAGATTCAACTTCATATATGCAAAACAATCCATAAGCCCTGGAGCACGATAAACCAATTATTATCAAAAAGCAATCTAGCCCGAGCAGCTCATGCACGCATCCCGGTTCTCCAAAGAGCATAGCATATCAGTCATATTATTTACTGAAGCAACAACATTGTTTTTATCCTCTGCACCTTGAGTCAAAGATTGTTTATCTACAGTAAACTTGATGGCATCAGCAGCAGGACGTGATCGAAGATAGTACATTCCAGTCTTGAGCCCCTTATGCCAGCCATAAAAGTGCATGCTAGTCAGTTTGCCGTAGTTGACTTCGGCCAAGTGGATATTAAGCGACTGGGACTGATCGATAAATGCACCGCGATCAGCAGCCATGTCAATAATTACTTTTTGGGAAATTTCCCATACTGTTTTGTAAATAGCCTTGAGTTGTGCCGGGATACTGGGAATATTTTGAATGGATCCATTGGCAGAAATGATTCGATTCTTCATACTTTCGTTCCAAAGACCGAGTTCAGTAAGGTCTTTCAGCAGATGCTGGTTGACAATCTGGAATTCTCCAGAAAGAACACGTCGGATATAAATATTGGAAGTGTAGGGTTCAAATGCTTCGTTGTTGCCAAGAATTTGGGATGTAGAGGCAGTGGGCATGGGTGCGACCAATAAACTATTACGCACTCCGTATTTGGCAATGTTGGCACGAAGAGTAGGCCAGTCAAACTGATCAGACACCTTCACATTCCACATATCGGGCTGAATGATACCCTTGCTCATGGGTGATCCAGAGTATGTTTCATATGGACCATCACGTTTGGCAAGCTCGCATGATGCAGTCAATGCAGCAAAGTAAATGGCTTCAAAAATCTGGATATTAAGTTTCTTGGCTTCGGGAGAGTCAAATGGCATGCGCATCTTAATAAACGTATCTGCCAAACCTTGAACACCAAGACCAATAGGACGATGACGCATGTTGGAGCGTTTTGCTTGCTCAACAGGGTAGTAGTTAAGATTAATAATCTTGTTTAGATTATATGTTGCAATTTTGGTAGTCTAGAAACAATAATTTGCACAACTTTAGTACAGAAAGCACACACTCGAAATCAATCCACAAAACAACATACATCTATCATTTTATCAAAATCAAAGACAGGAGCACCGGTGGTATCCTTGATAACAAAATTGGGCAAAGCAAGCGACGCAAGATTGCAAACAGCAACTTCGTCAGGGGAAGAGTATTCAACAATCTCAGTGCACAGGTTACTGCATTTGATGGTGCCAAGATTCTGCTGGTTTGACTTGCGATTGCAAGCATCCTTGTATAGCATATATGGAGTGCCGGTTTCACTCTGAGAGTCAAGAATGGCATACCACAACTTCTGAGCTTTGATGATCTTGCGAGCACGGCCTTCACGCTCATATTTTTCGTACAAAGCATCAAACTCATCACCCCAGACATCGTCAAGACCAGGTGCTTCTGCTGGACAAAAGAGACTCCAATCGCCATTGCTTTCGACACGACGCATGAACATATCTGGAATCCACAAAGCATAGAACAAATCGCGTGCACGATTTTCTTCTTTACCAGTGTTTTTCCTAAGATCTAAAAACTATACACGTGTAGAAAAGAGCGACAAATAAAACATGGTTTAGATGCTATTGCGTTGAATGCATTACAGGAAATAAACTGATAAAATCCAGCCAACATACCTCAAAGACATCGGCGTGCCATGGCTCAAGATAGATGGCAAATGCACCAGGACGTTTGTTGCCTCCTTGATCAACATAGCGAGCAGTGTTGTTGAACACACGTAGCATGGGAATAATACCATTTGAAAGACCATTTGTGCCAGCAATATAAGAACCAGAGGATCGGATTTTGTGAACATTCAAGCCAATGCCACCAGCAGTTTTGGAGATCATGGCACAAGTTTTGAGGGTGGAATAGATTCCCTCAATAGAGTCATCTTCAATGGTGAGTAAGAAACAACTCGACATCTGGGGGTTAGGAGTACCGGCATTAAATAAGGTGGGGGATGCATGGGTAAAGTATTTTTCGGACATAAGATTGTAGGTTTCAATGACAGCTTCAACATCATCACCGTGGATACCGACGGCAACACGCATAAGCATGTGTTGAGGACGTTCGGCAGTCTTACGATTGATGCGAAGCAAGTACGAGCGTTCAAGAGTTTTGAATCCAAAAAAGTTGTAATTGAAGTCTCTATCGTAGATGATAGCTGAGTTGAGACGGTCAGCGTTTTTAAGAATACAATCAAAAGTAGTTTTTGAAATCATGGGGGAATGCTTGTTATTCTTTGGATTAACATATTCGTACAGATCTTGCATGACAGACGAAAACTGTTTCTTTGTTTCCTTGTGGAGATTAGAGATAGCAATACGAGCCGCAAGAATGGCATAGTCGGGATGTTTTGTCTATAGAAAGGGTGTGAGGAAGAAGAATAAAAGCGGGTATAAGTGAATACAAATTGACAACAATCGGACATGCAAAATACGCAAAAAACGTCCGACATTCAGACCAATGCAGAAAAGCGAGGTAAAAACAATGTACATACTGTTAGATAAGCAGTGGTTTCTGCAGCCAAGTTGTCTAATTCCACAGTAGTCACACCTTGGTATACACCAGTAACAACCTGGAACAAAATGACGGATTGAACAATAGTATTGAACAATATTAGTAATATGAACACATGAAGATCTTTGGACATGATGTGAATGGAATAAAATGAGTAGTTCACTCGAATAGCAATTGAAATAGATAAAAGCGACAGATACAAACAACTAGTAATATCAAATACCTTTTGTGCAACCTCGGCAGGATCCACATAATTCATGTCTAGACCATAACACAGTTTGTTAATGCGAGAAGTGATCTTGTCAAAAGCTACTCGCTCTCTTCGTCCATCTGAGAATTAAAACAAGCAAAAGGTTAGTAAAACCAAGACAGTAATTGATCAAGACTGTCCATACCTCTCTTATACACAAACATCTTTGATTTCACTAAAGTTTTGAATAAGAATTTAAAAGATTTGATCGCTTCAATAAAAGTCAAGATAAACAATTTAAGCAACTAGTGTCACGTGGTTAGAAACTGTTTGAACAAATTCAATGTTTTGAAATGAAAACGCGAATTTGTGTTGTCATCATGTGACTTGCATTTATATTCAAATGAAATGTCAAGATTTGTGTTGGAAAATCACCAATTAATTACTAGTGATATCAATCTGTTTAGTAATTGATTGTCATCATAGTACACAAGACACGATCAATTAATGATTCTGTCATTCAATCTACCAAAATATCAGAAAATCAGCCAAACTCATATAAAAGTGGTTGAATAGAGTTTATGCAAATATTTTTAAAAACATGATATAACAGATCGTGATGATTACTGACAATTCTTCATCTCTTCATTTTCATTTTCATTGGCTGTATTTTTGATTATGGCTTTGTGGGTGCAACTGCTGATGTATTGGGTAGTTTCAGAACTGGTGCTGCCATTTTACCTACTGATCCTGCCAACTTGATGGACACTGGAAGAACGATCTTGGATGGAATCGTTGGTTTGAATATAACTGCTTCTACCATTGGTGCTGTTGGTTGTTTAACTGAGGATTCAGTTGCGTTTGGATGCTCCAGTTGTGGTGCCTTCAAAGTCTTTTCTCTTTGTGTTGGCAGAATAGGTGCTGCTTTGGCTGGAGGTTTTGATAACACTGCTTCACCTCCAATTACTATACTGTTACCCTGTACTGTTTGGGCTGATCTTGCAAGAATAGGTGCCTCTGGTAATACTGGTGCTGCTTGTAGTGATTTCTTGCCTACATGGCTTGCCGGATTACCTGATATAATTCCTACAGTGTGGAGATGATTTAACTTTGCTGTCAAGTCTATATTTGATGCGGTTCGACTTATATTTTCCATAGACCCGCCAATCTTGATTTGCCTTTCACTCACCATACCTGATATCAAAATAGGTGCCATTTTAATAGGAAGAATAGGAGCTGTTCCCAACTGATGTGCATTCTTTAACGAAGCTACGATGGGCACCATTGAAATACGTGCGTATGGCCTTGATATCGAGTCACAACTACCAGTAGCGTGTGTGTCTTCCTCCTTTTGAATATTGCTGTTGGATTTAAGCAATAATTTTTCATTGGATCGTAATGGGGTTGGAATGGGTGTACTTTCTTCATCTTCACAAAGCTCTTTCCTGATTGTTGGATCCCCATATTCGGTCGTAGATGGCTCGCTTTTGAGCACTACATTATTTTGCTGCACTGTTTCATCATTTTTAATGTGTTCTGATGAATTGGAAATTGCCAATGTTTGATGAATCGAATTTCTAGAACTTGAACATAGAATCGGTGCTGGCTCTGGCCGGCTTGCCAAAATAGGAATGTCAATTGATACACGCTTATAAGCTCTGCTGAGCCGATTCGTATCTTGTGCTTTGTTTTTCTGAAATGACTGACGAGTCATGTCTGGTTGAAAAAGTGGATCGTTTACAGCCTCGGAATCTGGCAAATGGCTTACGCTTGTTTTGACGAATGGGTCAATAGCGTCAAATGAAGCACCAATGCCACTCGATGTGTTCTTTGGTGAATCTAGTTTATGGAAGGATGTTTCAGGTTTATCAATGGATTCTGTTGATACTACTTTTGATCCCAACACAGATTCAGGTTTCCACAAAGTCGCCGGAGCATCAAAAGATACGCTTGAAATATTGGCTGTTTGTGTCTTACTATCTTGCATCTGAGATGAGATATCTGAAAAAGAATTTGCATCTAGAGCCTGCATGCTGGTTTTTAACGATGCGTGCTCACTATCATTTGTAGTGCTTTTACTAATGGATAATTGGTCTGCAGTAAATGAACTATTAGCCTGGTCTGGCTCAACATCGTTTTGATTCAATCCGTTTATCAACTGTTCAGTCGGGCTATTCAACTCTTTGGAAAAAGTATAAGGTACTGGAATAGGTGATGGCTGAACAGCCTGTATTGGGATATCTATTGATACGCGTTTGTAAGCAACACTTGTACCATATACCAATGAAGTCTCGCCATCATGCTTTCTCAGACCAATAGATGCATGCATTGGTGGAGACGATTCCTGCGCATGAATGTAAGACTGCCTCGCTGTTATGTCAGACAGGCTTTCCACGTTTACTTGAATGGGCTCTTTTTGACTGGAAAGAACATCGTTGGAGGTCATCATCGGATTCGGTTTGTTAATGGAAAGTTGTGACTCATTTATAGTTTCCCTGGAATTTTTATCCAATGCTGATAAAGGTAAAAGCTGAAGAGTGCAAGCAGGAGGCTCAATGCGTTCTTCAGCTAATGAAATGTGTGAGCATGATAACTTTTTCGTGATATCGTCATTGAACTCGGTCAGTGCATTTCTCTGGGTTGTGTCTTTTGCTACAGTTTCAACGTGTTTTAAAACTGTGACTGCTGGAGTCTCTGCTGATTCAAACTTTGCTTGATTATCGTGACTTTGAGCTGGTATAGCATTATCATTGTGGACTGTTGACAATAGATTGTGATCATATGAAATGTTCAAGCTTGATTGGAATCCGTCAAATTCCTTGCTTTTGGAAAATGCTTGATCCAACCCGTCCAAACTGTCAATACATTCCACCAGATCGGCCGTATTAGCAAGTGGCTCAGAATCTGCTGTAACAGTTTTTTGAAAAGTACTTTTCAAATATATATCTTGTTCTGACTCTGATTCTAGCTGTGCTAGTTTCTTGTCAATTAGATCAGCAAACGCCATATCAATCTTGTCACTTGTTGTAGGACTTTGCTTTGACGTGCTCCCATCAACTCTAGTCGGGCTACGTGATAGTCCCTCTCTGACAATTTTGTCTATAGTAACAAATGATAATCCACTAAGACGCTTTGTCCTATCTTTGGTAAAAACACTAGCGTCACTTTCTATTAGCTTGTCGTCGTTAAACCCTTCATCCAAAGGATCATCCAAATTTACTGGCATTTCATACGAAGACTGCTTTTTGGTAGATTCGTGCTGCACAATTGGCGTGGTATTATCGAGCATCGTTTCCGATATTTTGGATTTGACATCAATGCTATGTTTAGCAGAACATGTGTCAACTACGGGTTGAGTGGGCTCTGTTATATTTTCCAGTGGTTTGTCGTCATCGTTATATGTGGAGTGTATAGCATCGACGCTACGAAGTTGATACAAGGGAATCGAGTCAGAAGGACTTTCACATTCACTCTCCTTGTGTTCATTTTCACAGCTGTCCTTGTCGGAATCGCTTTGCTCGTCAGAACTTGATTCGTCCATTTCTGCATTGTCGTCACCACCTTCAGCAAGAAATCCCATTCCATTGCGTTTTCGAGCCTCAAACCCATTTCGAGCTTCATATAACGATAGCTCCTCTGGAGGTATTTTTCAGGTTGTAGTTAGTTGTGTATAAATCAATATAGACTGATATAGATATCATTTAAACTACCTTGCCGTGCAATCACGTCTGCTAGCAAATCATCTTTTATTTGCATATCCATTGTAACATCTGACATTCTCTAAATGTGAAAGCTAGTATCAATAAAACTGGCTTATAATACTATGCATCAAATGTGAAATTACAAGTGGGCTAAATGTAGATTTAGTAAAATATGCCTAAATACCTTTTGGACTTTGGGTGGAACCACTCCGTTTTGACACATTTCCCATAGTGATCCCAACTGTTTACGCAAGTGAGCTACGTCGTGCTCTAATGTGATCTTTTGGATAGCTCCCCATCGAAGTGCAACGCGACTAATGACGGATTTCCTAAAAGTTTAACAAACCAGATGGTGATATCACAAGATGTTAGCATCTGACGTAAGGATTGACTCGGATGCTTTGAGTCTCGACACCTACCATTGAAGTAGTAGCGATTGATCATCACTTTCGAAAATATGGGTCTCGTTATCTTCGACAAGGATTAAGCGTAAAAGCCAATGGTTTGGATGAGATGGTGCATCGACAATGCTTGACATGGCATTGGCAATGGATATCGTTGAAATAGGTTTGGAGCACTCTTCAAACTGCCAAAAATTGAGTATATACATACATTATCAAACACGATTAAATAAAGTTCATATCAATACCTTTTCTTTGGATTGATAGCGGTGCAGTTGGCCATCTGATATTGAAAAAAAGTATTCTACAAATCCAGTTTTCTACAGTCCAAATAAGCAACACATGAGCAAAGCATGATTGTTGGTATTGAACCAACCATCTTGTAAGCTGACAGTAGAGGTGCAAGATTTTCAAACTTATTGTCTAAATGAAAATGCAAAATCACTGCAGCAGTATTCATAGACATAATTTTCTGTAACGTTTATAAAAAGGATACATGTATAGGAATAGTTTAAACATGACAGTATTTCACTCACCTTTCCAGAACGCTCAGATGCAGGGAAATTCCACAAGAGAGGACCTGCAATTTGTACTTTTAGCTTTTCATCCTCCTGTAGTGAAAGTCTTTTACTAAGATAAGTGGAAGTTCCTAGTCGTGATTTTCGCTTATCAGCTATAAATGATGTTTTTGAATTAGCTTGGTTATATTCATCGTTGAGTCGCATTGTATTGGATCCATCAGCAGGATCATGTATCAAACTAGGTTGTGGCTCATCAGAGATATGGTTAGAGGACGTGTTGCCAAGGCTGTTACTGACTGACTGAGATGCTACACCAAGGTTGACTTGGGACGAACAGCTGGAAGAGCTAGACGACCTGAGCATGGGATTAGAAGCAGTATCAGACTGTTTTGCATAAAAGGATGTTTTAAATCCAGCAGTGAGAACATGGAATCGTGGAGGCATATATACAGTATTATTGTAATTAGAGAATCAAGATTATCTTGTTAGAAACATTAAACTAAATAAGCTTTAATTTCTTGACCAAATCAAGTTTGGATTCTAAACTTAAAATCAAATGTAAAAATCCAGTTAAACTTGAGATTAGTTGGTTACAGCAGAACTGGCTCTTTCAGCTTATTTAGCAGAATATCATTTTATTATTTTGTACAAGATTTTAATTCGACTTGAGAATGAGTCGGTCAATCGTTTATAATCCTGAAACCAATTGAATTCACTTTCCACATTATTCACAATGTCTGAACAAGCTCCACGAGTAACACTTTACTATTCCAGTGTTTCTGGTATGGTCAAGGTTAGGAATATTTATTGATATCTGTTGACACTGCATCTTGTTACAGAATTTCTTATTAGTGACTCTACAAAACACATTGGTTTGAGTTGGATGATTCCATCATGAGTGAATACTAGTCACATTGCACATGTTTATCTTTCAATAGAGCATTTGAATCTTTACATAGTAATAACTATCGATCATTAACTCTATATGGTGGCATGCAACTAGGTCAAGAAAGCTCAGTCCAGAATTCAAGACCTATTGGCTGCCCATAAAGTGCCATATACTATGCTGGATATCGCTGCTGAAGAGTAAGTTAATTATAGTTTGTATACTTGTATGTATCGTTTAATTTGGAAAATCCTAACTTTAAAACTGTCTATGCTTGTGGATCACTGATCCAGGGATGCTAAAAAGTATATGCAGTCCAAGTCTGGAAGCAATGTCATTCCGCAAATCTTTGTTGATGGAGAATACAAAGGGGTACGATTGATTCAGATGCTATACCACTGATGAAGAATATAGTGTGACTATTTTATATCTAAAGGATGAATTCATTGCTCTGCAGAATATTTATTCAATTGAGTGAATTCCAGCCATATTCATGTAAAATGAGACTTTATCCTGCAGTGATTGTCTATATTCTACTTTGAAATGGGCAATGGCTGGATATTCGTTGCGCTTTTCAACTCTTACCAGATTCATCCATTACAATCCAGATATTGGGTTGGATTGCTGTCAAACTCCATTTGTATCTTAAACTATCAGATACGTTCGTGTCCAAAAAACAAAAATTGCAGGAATGCAAGCTGTTTCCATCCAATCACCAGGAGAAACACCACTCGGCTTTGTCAAGAAATTCCGAGGTTACAATATTGCTCAGTCAATTTGGTGTCCATCAAATATGAAACCGGCTGTTTATTATGTACTTTGACTCCCTTGCTTAGTGTTTTATTTACCCGAATACGGCTGTAGATATGCCAACACCTTTGACTGACAAATTGACTTGCTGAATGGCAATCTAGACCTGTGAGGCGTTTGACGAGGCAAATGAGTATGGCAACGCATTACAATGGCTGGGATTGCAACAATAAACTGTTTTGACACGTGTATCAACATCATACATTGTGTAATCGGGAGGGGTTCTGCCATTTTATCACTTATCTTGACCATAGATCAGTATACCAAAACAGTGTGATCGCATTCGGATTTATTATACAATAGAATAGTTTTACGTTTCAAGATCTTCAAATACCGTTTGTAGACTCGTTTTCAGATTTCTCCGTCTTTTCAAACTATTCAAATAGATTAAGCAGCAGACAGTATATTTCAACAAAGTTGGCTCGTTGATATTGTGACAAGTTGCATCTTGGATAAACAAAAAAACCTACCAGCGTTTCCAAAACACCATAATTAATTTTTTTAGAAAGTGTAGGCTTGGACATGACCAGATTTTTGGCAGCCTCTGCTGCAGTAGGTGCCTCGTACGATCGAATAACCCTAGGTCTCTAAAAATAGCAGTCATTGAAAGTAATGCATACCGTAGTATCAGTAAATCAAGTAACAGAGTTTGTCAATCAAAAAATAAACACTAGGCTCACCTTTTTGGGCTTACGCTTTTCAGATTCAGCTAGACCAATGCCTAATGCAGCCTTGGCTTGTTGTCGCAAAATCCATTCCTTATTTTCTTCGGTCCAAATAGCCTCTTTAAATTCTACTTCTTCAGGAGTAACATCAATCATGGCTTGAATCTCTTGGTCGTCATCCAGATCTGAGAGATTATCAGAGTAATGGATCTGGTGAGTAGCATCAGCCTCTGTTTTGTTGTAGACCTGTATAAGACTCTGTTCAAAGCTCAAGAGTTGCTGTTCATTCAAATCTTCCAAATCTTCGTCATCATCCCCAGCCAACACGGATTCTTTTAAAGAGCTGAATGCTTGCTCTATTTTTGCTTTTGAATCACCATTACTGTCTTCAAACAATTGGCTCGCTGGTTCGTGTTTACGAGTTTTGGGTGGTGCAAATGAGGGCGGATCCCTTTCTCCTTCAAGCCAAATGGTTTGAAAATCCTGGACAGAGAGATTACTTGAAGGTGTTTCACGAAACTCCCTAAGTCTTCGCCGCAATGTAGCTTCGCAGATTTTCACTACCAAGATAATTTCTCTAATTGTGCGATTGTGATTGTGCATTCGTGAAGCAACAAAAAGACCTTGTGACAAAGCATTAAATAATAGTAGAGCAGCTCAATGTTGGTAAGAATAACGTCACAATCAACAAAAAATAACTGCATCATCATGCACGAGTTGAGCATAAAGGTTCAAAGCATCATTTAGATTGCTTACTTGCAGCACAAATTCCAGCAGGTCGTCTCCCTGTCTGCATCCAGTCTCGACACATGCGCTGCACAAGTCGATTTGCATCTTTTACAATATTTTGAGTGTCCTCTCCAAAATCGAGTTTTGCAGCAAATCTGGAAATATAAAGCGATGGATCCACCAACGGCATTTTATCAACACCAGAAATTTTGCATAATGCAAGAAATGTGGCACCCACTTGGTATACGTTTGTCTGGGATTGATAAACAAGGCCATGTAGCATGGTTGATTGAAATGCAATTAGATTCAAGCAATAGTCGTGAAAAACATGCATCAAGTTCCTAAACAAACAGGTTCAACTTGAACAACATTACTTACAGATAATGCATCGGCAAAGTCAATCAGCATATGAGCAGTTTTCTCCAGTCGGCATACGATATAGAGACATGCAGCAACAACATTTCCAGATTTCCGGCCTTTTGTGAAATTATTAACCACAGCAACATTGAAGAATCTGCGTGCATGACCAACCAAACGTTCATTCATTCGAATCTGGGGTTGATTTGCAACTTCTTGAATGCGACGATGGCCTATTGATTTCAAAAACAAAAGCATGAAAATGATAAATACATTTGTATTGATTGGGTGTTTTGTAGATAACGTTCCACAAATTCACGTATATTGATAAAAAGGCTTGAATACACCTTGAAAAGATGAATGCATTGCAACTCTGCTTTACAAATCATACCATTTTGTAGTGTTTGTTCACGAGATTCCTGACCGCCTGTTCGAATAAGACCAAAAGTACCACGATTGGATGCACGAGCTAAAGAATACCGAATTACATTTTGGGATGTCAAGATGCTATTGTCAATAAAAAGATTGTGATGGATTCAAAAAGTCCAATGACAGATTTAATAGGCAAAATTGTCAATATTACCCTGTCCGGTAGAAAGTTGAAAGCCATCAGCGATTGCAGAGCCTTTAGATGTCTCAGAAAATGTGACTTCCGAAACAATAGTATTTTCTTCCAAAACCTGATCATACATTCATGACTATTAGCAAGCCAAATAGACTACAGCTGAATTAACGAATGCAACAGCCAAGCGATGCGTTTCTGATATATCGATACATGAACAATCAGTGTAATACAACTTACTGCACCACATTCCAGACAAACGATGTGACCCATTCGCTCATCAGTCTCTGCCTCAGTGGGGCCGCAGTATTGACAATGCCATTGAACCATGTTGATGCCAATACGAACAAGCGATAAAAAGGTTGAATTCGCGAATCAATTTGTTCATTAGTCATGTGATTGCACGTGATTATGTATTTAATTTGAACAAAATCGAGTCGATTTGAGTCACAAAATTGCAATGTTTCGATCTGCTGCTGCTGTTCGTACGCTGGGTGCTTGCAAACATGGTATGCATTCATTGATGTCGTTGGTTGTTCAAGTCGCTATGAATTCAACTGCTGCAGAGTATTCTCGAGTCAGTCAGTCCATTTGATTGATCATTGCTGGACTCAAGACTGCAGTTTGAATCTTGTTTGCTGAATCCAGTTTTATACTTGAATTCAGCCAATGCTGTTCAATGCATTGCCATCAGTTCAACTTATTTGAAATATTTGCTGTCGCATTCACCAATCATTCGGCTTGCCTTGATTGTGTGCACTCATTGCTGACAGGCAATCATGAATGTCTGATTTTTGTATTGATTTGTAGAATGGCTAATTCATTGATGTTGAATTACGGGTGTTTTAAATGAAGCCTCCACTCGCATGTTCTCACTGCAATCACCACTGATGGCTGGTGGTGCTGGCTTTGGTCCTGCAAAGTTTGCCAAGTTTGATTATAAAGATCCTTTTAATCTCGAATCCTTGCTAACAGAGGAGGAAAAACTCGTTCGTGATACTGCTCGTCAGTACTGTCAGTCCAAGCTGCAACCCCGTATCATTGACGCATATCGTAATGAAGGTACAAACTGAATATCTTGTATATCTGTGTGGATGATCGTAAAGTATGAATCTAATGTAAAGTTTTCTGGTGTGTTTTGGGATAAACCTGACAGACTTTGCTCGTGAAATCATGAGCGAGATGGGTGAACTTGGCTTGCTCGGTGCTACCATTGACGGTTACGGATGTTCCGGTGTTTCGTCTGTTGCTTACGGCTTGATTGCTCGTGAAGTTGAGCGGTAAATTTATTCCTGAACTCAATGCACTGTGCTAAAACTTGTTTAACATTTTAATATCTAATTAAATTGCAATAATAGTGTTGACAGTGGATACCGTAGCGCTATGAGTGTGCAGTCTTCTCTTGTTATGTATCCTATCTATGCGTAAGTCTCGTCCAAATATTTCTGTTATTGTTCAATTGACTCTAATCCTATTTAAGCAATGATTTCATTGTGGCCGTAGTAACTAATTTAGTTCAATATGATTTTGTCTGTATGATCACTTTTGTGTAATCAATTCTTGTTTACTTAGTTATGGTACCGAGAAGCAGCGTGAAAAGTACCTTCCTGATCTTGGTTGGTTTTTACTAGTTAAAATTTATATGAATTTGACATTTCTGTTTTAGGAAACTAATATTGCAATGACGTTTATTTAGCAACTGGAAAAAAGATTGGTGCATTTGGTCTTACCGAGCCTAATCATGGTTCTGATCCTGGCGGTATGGAAACTCGCGCTACAAAGCTTGGCGGGACATATGTTTTGAACGGTTCAAAAACATGGATTTCCAACTCTCCTATTGCAGATGTCTTTGTCGTATGGGCCAAGACTGACGATAATGAAATTCGTGGATTCATTCTTGAGCGTGGTATGCCAGGGCTTGAGACTCCTACCATCAAAGGCAAGCTTTCGCTTCGCGCCTCATGCACTGGCATGATCATGATGGATGATGTCGAGATCCCAGTATCCAATATGCTTCCTCTTGTCAAGGGGCTTAAGGCATGTACTGTTTGTTGGATACGCTTTGATTGAGTTGATTCTTGTCTGTTGATATCAATTTGCTGTACTGACCTTGTTGACACATTTAAACACTAGGGACCTTTTGGATGTCTTAACAATGCTCGTTTCGGAATTGCATGGGGTGCTCTTGGAGCTGCCGAGTCCTGTGTTGAAAGTGCTCGCGAGTATGTTTTGAACAGAAAGCAATTTGGAGTTCCTTTGGCCCGTTTCCAGCTTATTCAAAAGAAACTTGCCGATGCTGTCAGCGAGGTAACATTCCAAGGGAAACAAGTGCTTTGTAACATGATGGATTACGTGTACTAATGTGTTTAAATTTTACTTTTAGATTGGTCTTGCCACCATGGCTGCATACCAAGTTGGACGACTCAAGGATCAAGACAAGGCTGCTCCCGAAATGATCTCCACTGTTAAGCGTAACAGCTGTGGAAAGGCGCTTGCCATTGCTCGTGACTGCCGTGATATGCTGGGTGGAAATGGTATATCTGATGAATACCACATCATTCGTCACGCCATGAACCTTGAATCTGTCAACACATATGAAGGTACCCATGACGTCCATGCTCTCATTATTGGCCGCGCCATCACTGGAATTCCCGCCTTTGGAGTCGAGAAATAGTTTTCAATCATCAAACTTATTTACTGGACATTACAATGAAGCTTAGTGATATACCATATATCAAGTGTGTTTAAATGAGGTGTTTTATTGTAGCTTGACAAGGTTCTGATATGGATACATACCCTAAAGCAAAGAATACGTTTATTTTTAATAAAACAACTAATGGATTCGAGTCAAGTCTTCGACCATTTTTGTAAGAGTCTCTAATGTAACTGGAGTCGATCCGGCAACCTGAGTAGCAACTTGTGTAAAAACATGGTCCTGCATACTACGGTCAAGTTCAAGAAACGATTCAATCAAATCACCGTCAATAATTCCAGCACTCTTAATGGATCGACGCTCTGTGCGATATCTCCTCCAGCTACAACACATCCATTTCGTTGTAAGGGTTGATCATATGGGATCGGTAGACGCAAAAATGTCAAGATAAAAAAATAAAATGTAAGCATAGTGATTTCTGGAGAAACAATGTTGCAAAGCTTACTCTGAGTGAATTAAACCGCCGACTCCTTGTACAACACTTTTTAACGCTTCTTGCAACGTTGATAAAATTTTGGCAGTTTCATCAGATGGAATCCGTGCTACTACCCCAATAGCGCCGTGCACAGTACAATAAAGAATTTCCGGTATGGCAGGAAGTGCAAGAGTCTCATCTGTAGCATGTAACGTCAATGATCCTTTTCTAAATCGATTGATAAGCTCACCAGTATGAAACCATCCCTTGGGTCGCAATCGCTGTCTTTCTTCTTCAGACACTTGGTCGCCCTGCTTGCTTAATGCAAAGATATTCATGCTGCTATCAGCACCAAGAAACGTATCATCATCAATCAGCTCAGCAGCAGTCATCCAATTGCTGTCTGCATCGTACGCAAGCTCCTTTAAACTGTCTGTTGCCAAATCAAATTGCAAAAGAGTGATAGATTTGATGAGATCTGCCACTAAAATAAAGTCACCACGAACTGCCAATGAAAGTGCTAAAACATGCCCGTGATTCATGGACTGTAGTTCCAATAAAGATGTATCCGAGTTCCAGCGTAAAACCATAACATTACTATTGACACCTGCAACCAATCGACCGTGGACAGAAACAAAACTGTATGCTGAGCCTCGAATATCATACTCGTGCACCAGCTGAAGCAGCCTCATATCGTTCACCTTGAACACCAAAATTCGACCACGAACTGGCTCGTCTTCGTGAGGAAAGGCAAATCCTGTACCAACTGTATAATATAGCGTATCATCATCTGTAAATCGAATAGTAATCAAGCTAGACGCAATTTCAAACGGCTGCAACTCAATACTGTCGAGAACTTTATGAATATGGTGAAGATGTCAGTAAAGTTGATTAATAGTCAAACTAGACAATCTCAGCTGTCTGATCTGTTGAGCAAAATCCATTTTACAACTGCATGCTAATGTAGCCTACCTTCATATCCTTGCCCATCAAGAAGCCGTAGGCACGAAATATCTGCCAAATCTCCGTTTGGCAAATTGCGAGAAAACACGGTAAGAACCCCAAATGTATGGCTTACATCATGATAGGCAATCCGCCGCGGAGTTTCACCAAGCTTGATGGTTTTGATGTGTAATTTTTGTACCGTTTCAATAGTGCCAATCTTGAGCGCACCATCAGATGCAAATGCAAGAGCACCTTCCGCCATATGACTATTAAAGGGAGATACATGCGAAATCTCACGAACATTCACGTTCGAGTAAAGTAGCTGCCCCGATTTTACAAAAATGACAGTGGGGCGATCAGAAGCAGCAAAAACATGGGTTCTGCCATGCGACTGAAATGTGCGAAGAGTAATTGGCTGAGTTGCAAGGGTAATTTTTTTGCGATCAGCTAGTTTCAGGGACTTTCCAATACGGAAATTAAAAAGTTGACCATCACCTAACACGTTGTGACATATTAGCTCTTGATATCAGATCGTCAACAGTTGGCATTTTAGTGTTTATAAAACATTCATGCTCTGGAATGGGCTTACCAAGCGAAACCAGCAGATAAGGCAAGTTATCAAACTCTACAAGCAAAATTGAACGAGGAATGGTGTCTAAATAGTGAATATAATATAAACATGAATATCTAGTTCTTGGTGACTATAAGCAGTTCGTCTACATGATGGCAGAAGTAAAATACAAGTATAGTTTAAAGCAATACTTGTACTTGCTACAAATGCTTACCTCCTGGAAGAATTTCTTTTTGAATTTCAGAAAGATCTGGAATTTTCAAAAGACGGACGCTGTTATCCTCCCAGCATCCAACAGCACAAAGACAGACGTTCAACTCCTCCATTTTGCAAATATGAAGACATGATACTTCAACTTGGATTTGAATAGACCTTGACAATTCAAAAACAAAAATACATGTTCAGACTAAGTTAGACTGCTTGTACAGTAAAAAGTGGTAGAAACACCAGACAATTTGCACCTTTTCATAACAAGCTCTCGATCGTTGAATTCAAACAAGTGAATCATGCCTCCACCAAGTGAAACCAAAATCATGTTTTGGTAAACACTGGCGTGTGTAACACTTGCTCCTAAATCAAAACACCATTCAGCAACAGTCGTCCATCCTTCAATGGTCAAGATCGTAATGCTTTGTGAAGTAATCTAAACATACAGGAGTAGAATACGGTTGAATAAAAGCATTAGAACCAAAGTTGGTATTGCTACATTTAAAAAGCAGCATGATGCATCTTTTTTAAATATCCCATATAATATGCATCAAAAACAAACCTGAACAACCATGTCAGATGAAAGATTTTGACACCATAAAGTCCGCTCGGCAGTCTTGAAATTGCCCAGCATATCCATCTCAGCCATTGAATCGCCATCCAACTTTTGCAGCCTTGTTTCTCCAATAAATGAAAGAACCAAAACATTATCGTGACGTGCAGCACTATACGGCTTTAATGCCCATACGCCAGTCAATTCTTCCATATCATCCAACTGTCCAATTTCTTCTACTCCAATGCCATTTCGAATGATTCGAATTGAGCCATCTCGTTGAGCACCACTGCATGCAACTATCTGAGCCTGTCCTTGCTTTTCAATATCCACTACACAAAAGTCGCTGATGGGTGCTAAATTAGAAAAGGTTTTACACAGGGTCAATACATTTCCAGTATTTGCATCTTCCGGTACAATTAGATATAGCTCCGAGTCGCCAAAATGCGAGGCAACAAAAAGGTATCCATCTGTGAGATATGTCAAACTTGAAGCTTGAACAGTCTAAACATAGTATAGTGCCATTAAGAATATTTTAAAACAAACATTAGTCAAAAGGATAGAAAGCACGGTATATGTTTGATTTACCAAGTCTATTCAGAGTATTTAGAATTGAATCAGTAATGAATAGCACATACCTGGCCCACTGGAGTCATTTTAAGTTCTCGCGCAGTGCCATTTGCAAAAATGATTGCAAGAATATACAATTGTCCTTCATAGTCGCCAAGTAGATAACGGAATCCAACATCGACTTGATTGAAGCTAAATATTTAGTATGCAACACTATGAGTCATGGCGTTTCAAGAGTCATCGTGGCAAACCAAACAATATGATGGTGCGTTTATACTAAACTATAAAAAGTCCAACATCACACATACCATTTGATCAATGTTGCCTTAATTGACAGCATAATAGGTTTTTGAAGCGACGGGGAATGTAGAGCAATGGACTGTTCTCCTACAACAAGTACTCCTCCTCCTAGTGAGACCAAAAAAGACGACGATAGATACAAAAGGTCATTGGATATATAAATCAATGCAATCAGTATCTCAAACCGTTCAATAAATTAAATGGTAGATTTATGCTTGATAAATAAACGTGCGAATCAAGATAAACGGTTTAATTACCTGCAGCAAGAGGGACAGGAATTAGTAAAGAAGAGCCATTTTCAACCTTTGTAGCAGCACTTTTTAATACGAGCGCCTTTTCTTTAATAACGACTTCGTACTGGGTAACGTATCTAGATTCCTTTGAATCCATATGAAGCACGGCCAGAGTAGGGTGCTTTTCTATTGGCTCGTGAAGCAAGGCAAGCGATATAACATGCAATTCATCTAGTCTGAGTATTATACAGCACGTATGATTAATAAACAGATTTGGTGGTATGAATCAAAAAATAAAAAGTCGACACTTGCTTTGCATTAAAGGCCTCTCCAAATTCTCCTGGGACTGGTGGTCGAGCAACACCTTTTCCTTTAATAGATTGGCTTGAATTGACAAGTAAATTCCAGCTGGATAAGGAAATCTGAGAATGAAACATGGGAATGATTTTGAAATTGCCTTGATGGATATGTAATCCAATCATTCGATTTTGAGGATCAACCAACCCAATCTGTCCTGGATCAGCCAAACGAGACGACGGATCATTAAAATCGCCAGTAGCTTCAGGAACAAGTCTTTGTGTTTGCTGATCAAATGAAAGAACAATAACGCTTCCTCTCTCAGTGCTAACAAAAATCAAATCTGTATCACGATGCTGAATAATGCATAATTACTAGTGTTAACTATTGATTCAAGCAGATCTCAGTTTACATGATGAGACTAGAAAAGGGTCGAGTGAAAAACAATACTGGGGTTTATTCAAACCAGATGTTCAAGAGCATCTGGTTTGAGTTATAAAATAACACAGTTGCTGATTGCAAACATCACATTGTTTTGAATGCAATTAGCTTTAAAGCAAAACTAGCGAATATAGAACTAGCGAATACAGATCTAGCAGCCAAAACCAAGACCAAGACCAAAACAATTTACCTCTGGACGAAATGCATGAATGCAGGCTATACGACCATAGATGGGAACATCTGTAATAAGACGAAGTGATTTACGAACAGTGGGATTTGAGTCGATATTGGTAGAAAACTCGTCCGTCATTCTTGTATCTTCGCCATCTTCAAGTCTATCCTGATCAACTAGCAAATAGATTTGAAGATGTGACCATTTACTGAGCAAGTAGTCCGATTGATGGATTGAAATCAATCCCGACACAACACATTAGTTTCAACCATGTCAACTATATAGAATCAAGAAACTTTTTAAAGATATGGATAAAATAGAGAATATACCTGACAATCAGATTGATATCACTTGCACTAGTGAAATTTGCTCGAATGGCAGAAGACACCGAGTCTGGTTTATGAGCAGTGACGTGGTATAACATCAAGAGTTGGCAAACAGCAATGCGTTGAGATTGAATTAACAGATATTAAACATGTCCTCAGGAACAAAGGACCAACTCAAACACTCAAACAAAGACTGTTCTTTATGGCCAACACGAACGACGAAACGAGATTGATTGTCAGACTGCGAAGCGAGTCAAACGACAATTCTGTCCAGTTTTCACCTTTGAGTAAAAGCTGGAATCCAAGTGAGCTCAAGGACATTTCTTCTCTTGCAAAATGGTCCTTGTCTTCAAATAAAGAGGCTTTTGGTGTGGATCGACTGCACGATGGAAACTTGGATACATATTGGCAGTTGAGTCGAGTGTTGTTGAATCACTGCGTATACCAATGTCATGGTTTCAAGACTAATTCAAACAAAATTTAATATCTTGATCAGATCAGATGGACCTCAACCACACTATATCAACATGTACTTTCACAAGTGCTGGGCAATTGCTCAAGTATCAGTTTATTTGGATTTTAAACAGGATGAAAGCTATACACCTCGTCAAATAGCATTGCGTGTAGGAAACCGTGTTCAAGATTTATATCAAATCAGCCAGCTTGAACTGAACGAACCATCTGGCTGGATCGATATTCTAGTCAGCGATCCTGACAAACCGTAAGTTGTTACATTAATAAAACATTGATACTATTCAAGTCTATTGCTGAACCATGATTCCAATCAACTCGTATCACTCCATGTCATGAAAATCAACATCAACTTGTTCTAATGGTCTGTAGACCCATTAAAGCATTTATGCTGCAGCTACTCGTACTTTCAAACCATCAAGGTGGTAAAGACACACATGTCCGACAGGTAAAGATTATGCAACACAAGCATGATGGCAGTATCGAGCATCAATCTTGATTTGCACAAAACAAAAAACAATCGTAATCTTACTGTCCAACTTGGCAATAAAAACTAATACTGCGTTCAAATAGTCAACCCTGTTTATTTCTTTGCAAAATAACTTGGGTTTACTGGTCGTGGCTGATACAAGCACCTTGAAAAAGGTTGCCAAGTAAGACATGCCATGCAGGTGAGTAAAAGTAGTCAAGTAAATGCTCGATCTGCTAAAAATGCATTATGCCTCAAAAGTAAGAGAGAAACCAACTTTGTGGACATCAGCTTGAAGACGAGTGGTGTCAAAAAGACCGCCAAGAGCAAGTTTAATGCCAGGACGGAGAACCTGAGTGTAACCAAGACCAAGACGGCCGGTATTGTCAACCTTGGCCTTGAGGAAAGCATCACGATCAAGAGCGTACTTTGTACCAACTTCAATAGCAACAGAGGAGTCAGTAGCCTTGTTCCATGTAGCCTTGGCAGCAGCCTCGACCTCATTGTTCACACGGTGGTGATAAGATGCAGTGAAAAGAGAAAGCTTATTGGCACTAAAAAAAAGAATCGGTTAGATAGTTTACCTAATTATAGGTGTATTCGCGTTGAATACAACATCAAACCAACATGTATAGTAAATAGACCAGTTGTTACATGAAACACATGTTTAAAACAGTATTCACATTACAGTAAACCCCATACTTGACACTCGTTCAATCCAAACTATACATTGATGACTGCATGAATACAGCAGTTGCAATCTATGTTCCCTTGAATCAGATTGCAAGCGTACAAGATTCAGGGTACAGTAATAGTGATTTGTAGTGTGATTGACAATATCAAAACAGTCAAGTTCAACATCTGAATCACAATGTATGAATCTGATGATCGTACAATGTGTGGTTATATCAGGTGAGGAAACGACACATCCAAAACTAGTTGGACTGTGTGCATCACATAATAAACAATGTATCGAAAGGATTGAAAGTGACAAGTCCAACAAGTGTAATGGGAATTTAACCACTGTATATCCCAATACAAAATAAAAGTAGCAATACCAGTACTCCATTTTACGTGGATACAGTTGTGGCAATAATGAATTCAACCATGGCAAAACTAGGTTACTATACAAATGAATACTCACGCAAGAAGAGAAACAGAGTACAAGGGAGCAATGTAGCCGAGAGAAGCACAGTACTTGTTGACCTTGGCATCGGAAACATCGTAGGCAACTTCACCACCAGCAAAGAAACCATTGTTACCAACGACAGCATCGGCAAGAATAGTAGGACCTTTAAAGAGATCGAGGCTAGTACGGGTAAAGACATAGTCTTGCTTGTACTCTACACCAGCCTTGGCATGCTTGGTGCTGAAAAATGAATAATATCATGCATGGTTAGCAAGTGAAATATATGAGCAATGCACACTATTGATTCAAACATGTAAACTTCAGATGAACTTACCCCTTATCGGGAAGAAGAGAACCAACAAGGCTAAGCTTGAGACCTTTAGCAAGAGAGTTTTCAAGCTCAAGCTCAGCTCCAAGAACATTGGTAGTGGTCCAAGTCTCGGTGAAAGAAAGGCCTAGAAATATAAAAAATTAGATTGAAATCATCCGAGTATTGAATTATAGGTGTATTCGCGTAGAATATAACATCAAGCCAACATGTATAGTAAATAGACCAGTTGTTACATGAAACTGATTGTTACTGGACAGTATTGCGTTTGAAACACATGTTTAAAACAGTATTCACATTACAGTAAACCCCATACTTGACACTCGCTCAATCTCCAACTATACATTAATGACTGCATGAATACGGCAGTTGCAATCCATGTTCCCTTGAATCAGATTGCAAGCGTACAAGATTCAGGGTACAGTAATAGTGATTTGTAGTGTGATTGACAATATCAAAACAGTCAAGTTCAACATCTGAATCACAATGTATGAATCTGATGATCGTACAATGTGTGGTTATATCAGGTGAGGAAACGACACATCCAAAACTAGTTGGACTGTGTGCATCACATAATAAACAATGTATCGAAAGGATTGAAAGTGACAAGTCCAACAAGTGTAATGGGAATTTAACCACTGTATATCCCAATACAAAATAAAAGTAGCAATACCAGTACTCCATTTTACGTGGATACAGGTTGTGGCAATAAAAACCTACCACGGGGTTTGTCGACATATTTGGCCTTGAGATCTGATCCAATCAAACCAGATTTGTTATCCTTGTTTCCAGTGACAGTGAATTTCTAATCAAAATAATAAAACACACCCACTGGTTAGTATCTACTTGACCAACTGATAGAGTGAATGTCCAGCTGTTTACAGCTTCTATGAAAAACCAGACATGTGACCACAGATCAAGAACCCCAAATGGGAGCAGAATCGGCAGGTTATGCAGGGGTGGTAGTAGTGATAGACATGACAGAGTATTTATTTTACAAATGCTGACAATCCCATAACAGAAAGTCAAGGGACTGATCTATGTCATGCATCTACATTGGCAAGCAACAGTCTTATAATCAGCCACATTTTAGAATTACACATAGCAGCTTACAATGCCATTGGGAGTGGTGGTGTTGACTTCAAGCTTGGCGGAGCCAACTGGGTAGTCTTTTCCAAGCAAGTCGTTGGCAGATTTGCCGATATCAGAGAAGTTGGGAGGAACAAAGGACATGATGTGGTTGAGGTAGAAAAATAAAATGCCAATTCATCATTCTTGGTCAGTTCTCACGTGATGATTTATTAATAGTCTTCAGACATGATCAGCAACACCAACGCTGTCCAGCCTGTGAAGGGATGAGATCGTTTGCCTTCTCCATGAGTTGCTCCGTACTGTTCCCACACATATCCTGTTTTCACATATTCTTCGTGCACATTCTTGATGACGTTGGCTCGCAGATTTTTGTAGATCCGCTGAGCTTGCTGCTGGTATGGTCCAGGCTTGTTCATGTAGTTCTAGTAATTCAACACACCATCAAAACTAATAATTAGTGTTGCATCAATACTACAATTTCAATCAAATAATTACCTTGAAAAGAGACTGCAATGTCAAATAGTTCATGTTTATCCAAATCGGTCCGCGCCAATAGTTTTCTCCTGTTCCAAAATATGGATCGGATTTGGACAAGGACGCAATGCCATATGGAGTCCAAATATCGCGCTCACTTTCTACCAAGTCTAGAATGGCTCCAAGATGCTGTGAATCGTGTTCAAGAAGTCCAAGCATCATTGGAAACAAACTAATATATCCCTTGTGTACAACATGGTAAGATTGTCCCTGCGCATTTACAGACAGATCGGTATAGGTTTGAGAGCTTTCATCCCAGTGAAGCTCTTCTAAAGATAAAAGCATATCTTTGTGCTGTTTATCAAACAAGGCCGCGTCTTCGTCCATACCCAATTCCTGGGAAATGGCACCAAGCGTTTTAGAATACAGTGCCATCCAGCAGAGCAGATCCACATGCAACTCTCCTGCGTGTGGCTCAGTGCTTCGAGGATAGTCGTCCAGTCCTGCCCATTGAAATTGCAATCGTCACCAAGAATTAGCATGCAATCGCAAAAACAATCATTGACAGATTCATCTCTCAACTCACCACTAGTAAGCGTATGAATTCCCTTGCGTCCACGCCATCTATATGCTTCTTGACTTGTCGACGATCTACCCCATTCTGTAATTTGTCCCCATTGCATACGACGAAACCATTGATACTGTCTTTTAAAACTCGGGTATATGGTTCCAAGATAAGTGGTAGCAGCGTGCTTGGAAGTAATGTGATAGTTTGCCAAGAATAAAGGATTGTCCAATTCTACCCCTTTTACAATCCATTCAAGTTAAAAAATTGTTTTATAATCTACTTGTCCAGTGCATCATTAATCCTTATTGCAGAAAAACATTCACCATTTTACACTTACCACCAAACATAAAAGAGTCACCACTTTCCATACTATTTCGACCAGTCTTTAACCGATTCATGTAACGCATCAATGCTGTAATGAGAGTAGGCGGATTGGCAAAATGAGGATACTGTATCTGAAATTCCTCGGGAACTTTGCTTCTTGGCTCATCACCAAGAATCTGTTCACGAGCAACCCACCCATCTTCATCAATAAGTGAGGCCCAACTTTGGATTACATCCAGACTGAGATCATTATCCCATACACCAATCAGATGCTGATGGAAACCAGAATCCCAAAAAAATCCTCGTGGAAAAAACGGACGGCTAGGCACATCGGTAAAAAGACTGGTTGGTCCTTCTAGTTTAGGATTGGGTCGAGGTGCTTGGGACACCGATCCCTCAAAATAATCATCCTCTTCCCCGTCATCTAAATCTTCATCTGGAAGATAGTCTATCAATTCTTTACCATTCAGACCCATCCAAGCGCGATCAACCATGCTTGTTCCATGGAAATAACTAATGATATACAAAACAATCGGCGTCAAAATGTCAAAAATGGTCAAGATATAATCTGGCAAGAAATTGTTTTTCATAAAAAACAATCATGTCAAAACAATAAATCACCCAATACTGCAATCACTTACCCCATTCCTCCAATCATGTTGCTTAGTAACATTTTCCCAAACCCGATCTCACTCTCAGAAAACCCACGTTCTGCAAGATGAAAAGTATTTTCAAATCGTACATCAAACTGAGACTCTGCATTAATGAGCGAGTGACTGAGTTTGGAGCCAACACTAGAGTCAATATCTTCCCGGGAAATAGGACTTTTATGAGATGTGTCTGGGTTTGATAAAAACGCAATATCGATAGAAAATGGTGAACGAAAAGTCTGCTGGTAGAGTGCAATGTTGCCTGGAGCGTCTAGTGGAGAATTCTTTCCCAGATGAAGTAGGTTTTGCAAAGGTATATTCGATTGCTGTGTTTTTGAATAAGTAGAAATCAGTGTTTGTGCATTCTGTATCAAGAGATTGCGGACATGATCCTTGATGTTCCAGACTTGATCTTCAGGCAGTGCCAACTTGATCAACACAGGATCGCGTAGATCTGGCAAGTTCATGGCAGCGGCAGTAGAACTAATAGGCGGCGGAGCATTCTTGGATGCAGGGTCTTGATGAAACACAAGCCCAAAATTACCAAGAAGAGGAGTATGGCCATTGACCATAAGTGGCAATGGTCTAGCAATACGATTGTGATGATCCTCATCCGTGTCAGATTGATGGGAAGGCGTCTTGTATGAATCAAGAGTGATTTCACCCTGACCGTCCAGTCCGGCATAGAATAACAGCGAGATATCCGCAGTGGTTGAATCAGGTAAAGGAGTGCCTGAAATGCGAACAGTCCAGTCAGTGCCATCGGCAGATTTGAGAAACTGAGTTCGAATCGAAACATTGTTTGTTTTATCGATGATGGTTTGATCACCAAAATTACGACCAGAGTGTTTATTCCAAGCATAGCCAGCAAGACCAGCATCTTGCTCACAAGAATGACGAATATTATCCCAAGGTTTGCTGGCTAGATTGGATATACCAAACCACATAAGACCTGCCAGCACAGTTTCTGGAGTGCGAGAACGAGCACCAAAATATAGATTAGGACGGTAAGTTCCCCAGAGTAAACTGGCATTGTGAGCTCGTTTAACGGAAGTATCCATGTGAGAATACTCTGTCTGTGTAGCAGCAGTGATACTCGCTAGCAATCCCATCCACAGCAGCGATAATGAAAATCCTACCATTGCAATCATGGCCGTATTCACGTAAAATGGAACACTTTATCTCGCAGTGATTTCCTGTTTCGCTTTGGAATAAAAAATGAAATATTTGTGATTTCCTATTCAACATACTTTTATTCAGATACGACCATTATACAAACTACAGTTTTCAGCTAGGATTATCTTTTGGTATAGCCGTATACTGCACAATCACCAGATATTGGTTCGACTGTTTTCAAATTCATCCTTATTGTATTCTAAACTCATACATTCGCGTTCTGATTCAAGAAACCAAAAGTTGATATAAATCATCAAGATAAATGCAATGGTAACAATCGAATTCAACATGTATTCATTGAATTCTTGTATGAATACCCAACATTGGTTTAAAATTAAACATTCGCGATGGCAAGTTAGACCCTAATAAACTCATTGACTGGCGGCTGCTTCAGCTACTGTGCTTTTGGGCCCTGTTACTGAAGCAGTGCTAAGAATTGATCGCACTTGCTCCTTCTGTTCTGCAGTCAGCTCAGTATCCAGTATTGCTGCCCGTCCTGTTTGCACAAGCCTCGTCATCAACGCCTCGAATTGCACAAACACATTCACTTCGTCTAGATACGTTGTAAAGTATACATCTTCCATCATCATACCATCTACGCTCCAATTATCGTCTGATTCATCATCAGCCACGTCATCCTCTCCTTTTTCACCAGAGTGTGTTGTCGTTCGATATTCAGCTGCATTTCTAGCAAGCGTCTCAAGATCATCCTCATCGTCAGATACATCATCATTGAGATAATTACCCTCGTCTTCCACTTCCACTTCGTCATCATCATCACCCTTCTCCTCTCCATCAGCAACACGCTGTTCTCGCGTCCGATCTTCTAGTGCCTTGCTAAATCCTTCAAACCCTTTCAACATACCTTTGAAAAGGTGGATCCATGTGGTTTGCATAGAGGGCGGACACATTGTGTCATTGCATATAAAGTTTAAAATTGCCGACAAGGCCAGAATGGTAAGACGTTTATCATGAACTCTTGTAAAGTACTCCAAATTATGGAACCACAACTCAAAGAACGTCGAAGTCCATCCGGATTGCTCTAGTAGTCCCAATGCAAGTTTGGGATTGTAAAACAATGCATTCGCCACAATCTCAATGGCATGAACACGAAGAGCAGGAGTCTTGGCATATTTCAAAGCTGGTTTTACATCAGACTTTGTAGGTTGAGGCGAAAGTGTTCCATATGCAACTTCAAGACATTTTGGAATAAACTCGTCCATGTGCTCACGAAGGTGTAGCATCATAATCTCAAGTAATTGACATGCTCTGACTCGGTCCGACTCGCCTACTCCTGATCCACCATGAAAAATACGCCATGCAATGTCAAAAATCATATTCCGATGTTCCTTGGATTGAACCAGCACTTCTTTGCCGTATATTACATAGTTGTGCAGCGAAGGTGAAATTTCTTGAAAATAGTCAAAGGCATCAGATTGGAAAGTCTTGTATATCAAAGGAAAAAGCTTCCACAGGGTTTCAGAAATGGATTTTGAACAAAACGTGGCCGTCTCGATAATCTCGAAAATCTCTTCGTATAAATCTGAATTGAACAAAAATACACCAAATCAACAAAAAGTATAAGAATCCAGCAGTATCAAATAGGATCATAAACAAACTGTCGTGTACTCAATTGTTATTCAAGTTGGAAAATGGAGTGAAGCTCAACTTACCAAGAATGCAGTTTTCCAATACAAAAACAACAGCTGGAGAAATGACTTTATCGACTTCAGCCAAGATTACGGGAGATCCCTCCACAGATAGGATCAAAGAAGATATGGTTTTAAGTACACCCATGGCAGCCATTGTCTTGTCCTCTGCCTCATCCAAATCAAAGTCATCTTCGTTGGTAAAATTAGTATCGCTCATAATGCGCATAAATGTGCTGCAAAGCTGGGTAGCAAGCTGAACTGCAAACGGAGCCAGTTGTTCAGAGTATTCAAACACTAGCTGATCCATTACATGAGTGAGTGTATCCATATCAATCTCATTAGTTAGCTCCATGAGCCCTTGCATGATTTCTACTGCATGTGGTTTCATGGCTTCGTGGATTTGTGGGTACCGGAAAAACGGAGAGAGGGCTAAAGATGCCTCAACACGAACAGGCAGTTCTGGATCTTTTAGGCATGCAAGGATATGCTTGAAGGTATATTCTAAATGATTTGGATCTTCATATTCCATTTCAGATGAAAATTTTAAAAGCGTATCACAAGCTCTTGCACGAAGGAACGGAAACGTGCTGGTGGTTTCTGGAACAACGTGGGTAATCAAAAAGGTTTCCATTCCGCCGCGAATAGGTGACCGCTCATTTAAAGCTTCCTCTACAAGGCATGCCATCATATTCAAAATACCGTATTTGTGACAAGGATTTCTAGATTCTGCTGGAGTAGCATCATATTGGGCAAGAATCTCATTGATAATGGTAACAACAGATACAAATGCTTGCTTAAAACGATCCTGGCAAATGGCGACAAGAAGTTGTGCGGCAGCTACGACAGGACTTTTGAAGTCATCCATGGGAGGATCAACCTTTTTATGAATGTAGTCTACAGGATTGTCTTGCCACAGTTCTTCATCCTGAGGAGAGAAACACATGAGTGGGAAGATAAAGTGTGTAACTATCATTGGCAAATGATCTTTGAGAATTGACCATGTAGCCTTTCGCTTCACACTAGTAGTTGTCAATGCATGATTCATGTTAAAACATTTGAAAGGCTAGTATAATAATACAAATCACTAACATGTGAACAATGGTACAACTATTTTAGCTCACCAGTGTTCCAAAAACGCAGCAAGATGCTGTTTTGCACGGTCTGACATCCACATCCCTTGAACCAGCAATTGGATTTGGCGAAGAAAACATTCTAGAATCTTTGGTGCAAAGTTGACGGCAAACATTTTTGAAAACGCTGCATATCGCTTTTCTGGTTTTGCAGAACCGTATCTATAAACCCGAGGAAATCAACGCATGTTAGTACACAAAGATTATCATTGAATTTGATCTTATCACAAACTCTTACAAATTGGCTACTAAACCCATTTTAAAACTGATTTAAACGTACCTTCCAAAAAGAGTATTGAGGCATTGGTACGCCCACTTTTTGAGTTTCCACCACGAATGTTTTTGACGCTCGTCCTTATCTTCAGGCATAGAAAGTGCGCCAGCTGGAAGCTGCAGCTCAATAATGTCTACGAAAAGGGAACCCCACGGAATAAGCGACTCAAGGTCTTGCTGGGCTTCGCAGATCTCAAGCTAGTCATGTAAAAACCAGCAGGATCAGCAACTTTGACAATAGATCATGCCAAATACAGATACCTTTATAATTGTAAAAATTGGATGCATATACATACTCTAATTGAACAATTATATATCTTGATAATTGTTTTTGCCATTGTGGTTGCCTCGATGCTTGTTGTCAGATGCGGCTTGATGTTGATTGCAGTAGCGAGCAAAATTGGAAACATGTCGGCGATGACGGGATGCAGTGGGGCACGAGCATTTGGAGAGACCCATCTGATACATTACAAAGCGTAGCCAGAATGTAAACACAATAGATCCAGACCAATGCAAGATATAATAATAAATGTTGAAAATAATAAAGAATATTGTTATTAAATATGGTAATAAATTAAAGTACAGAGTCCTTTCAACGACAGACATACTGAAATGCCTTGACTAGCTCAAGAAATATTAGCAAGCCAGAATAAATGACATTTTGTGGTTGATCCATGGCCAACATGCTCTTTACTGTTGGTAGAAGCTCTGGCCAAACTCCAAAACGGAAATCGGATTCCAAAATAATTGAAAGTGCAGTCAGAAGCTGCGCTCTAAACAGAATGCACAGATTAGTATGCTATACCGATAAAAAAATCGCTTGAATTATTTGCAATCAAGTAAATGTGATACTGGAGATCAGTGTAACTATGACATAAAAGGCCCACATGGCAAAAGGGTACCAAAACGGTAGTCCATGGTTTTGTTCGGCTCCAAAAATGGATAATATTTTCATCACACCTCCAGTATCACAGTACCCAAGCAATACAAGATAAAGCCATACCTGATTAGTGCATTAGTAGACGATATGGCAGAAATAATATGTTGCTTGACCCAGGTCTTGTCCTCTAAAGCAATCTGAGTTTCAGAGGAAGTTTCCCAAGAACGAGAAACTTTATTTTTAAAGTAAATAGCGCCTATTCAAATTCAAGCAGATCAGGATTGATAAATTGTTCTATTCAAGTCGTGTTTACGTAAAATGGAATACAATAAAATCAAAGTGTAGTAAACAGCCAATCTTATAGAATGATTGTTTGCTAAATTCTTTAGTGATTCTTGCATAGTTTTGTATAAACTGAACAAATGTTTACATGATCTTGACAATACCATATAATGGAAGGTGTGTTTTAAAGAAAAGAGAATATCTAGTGGGAAAGTACAATGTCTATTTCAAGCAAATAATGATTGCAAATACAAAAGATGGCTTGTCAGAAACAGAGAAACACACCTGCTTGTTGAACTGCGTGATCAGACTCTGGAACCAGAGTGATTTGCAAAAGAGAAGACAGAAACCCAGACTGGGAAGAGCACTGATGATGGTTAAATCAATACAAAGCCATGCATTAGAAATCCAAAAACAACAGATTGATAAAACTGACAGTATAAAACACATACATCACTCAATGCAGACTCTCCCTGCTTGCGAACAACAGGATCAGCCTGTACTGTTGCAGCCAACATCTGATAAATCGCTTGAGTGGTCATGATTGCAGCCAGCGACAAAGGCAGAAAATTGCTGTCAAATTTAAAAAAAACACAAAAATTTGATTGGACAATCCTATAATCACGTGAATACACTCACGTGAGCACACTCACTTTTGAGCCAGTTCAACTGCACGCGGCCTTCCTGACTATCTGCACAATGAGTCGTGGATCTGGTGGTATGCCATGGCTGCTCTGCTTGCTGATTCTAGTGCTGCAAGTGACAGTGTTCATTTGATTTGAAATCACCAGAATGCTGCGTCTTCCTCTTGTCTGTGTCTTGCATTCTGATATTAGATATTGCATCGATCCCATCTACTCGTCCTGCTGTCCAGTATCTAGACACTATCAATGCTATGCAAACTAACTGTTCTGCACTGTCTTGTTTAGCCGGATATGACCGTCACATAACTATCTTTTCGCCAGAAGGCCGTTTGTATCAAGTCGGTAAGGCTCTTGTCCATCACATAACCTTGGTGTCTTCATGTGTCAGTTACAGCTAGACTGTGTCTTTGTTCTTGTCTGAAACATTGCTGTTGGGTTTGGTTTGAGTCTGGCTTGAGGTTTCTCGTTGAAAATTCAGATCATTCCGTTGTTGTGCCAGGGTTGGGCACATCTACACCCTGTTTTCGTCTTTTTATCTGCAACTAATGGCTTATAACTACTCATTTCGTCAATCACCAGAATATGCATTTAAAGCCATCTCTAATGCTGGTTTTACCTCGGTTGGAGTTCGAGGCAAGTCTTCTTGCGTCATCGTCACCCAAAAAAAAGTTCCTGTAAGAATACTCGACATGTTTAAATTGAACCTGCAACTTTCATCTGCTCAGATCTAGTGATTCCGCTTTAAATTGGAGTGAATCAGCATATAAACACTGAGCATCTTGTCTGTCTTGACCTGCTTTACTCACGTCTGTGTTTTACACTCATTTGTAGGACAAGCTTCTCGATCCATCCACCGTTACGCACATGTTTCAACTGACTCCCAAAATTGGCTGCGTCATGACTGGACTGATTGGTAAGAGCAGGAAAATCTAGTTTTGTTTGACATTGATTTCAATTCATCAGTGGTGTAGCTGTTGCAAATGATTATAACATTGACATATCTTACTTTCATCTATCTAGCTGATGCCCACAGTCAGGTAGCTCGAGCACGTATGGAGGCTGCTGAATGGCGCTACAAGTACGGATATGAAATTCCTGTTGATATGCTTGCTAAACGTATTGCAAGCATCAACCAAGTATACACGCAACAGGCTGCTATGCGACCTTTAGGAGTCTGTAAGTTTTTGAAGCTTATTGGAACAATATGGGCTGGCTGTCATGTGTTTTACAAATAGCGCTTATATTTTGGGCATCTGAGAAAGTATCATTAACACCCGTAAATATCGCGACTTGTGTAGCCATGATTCTAATTTCTTATGATGATGAGCGTGGTCCACAGCTATTCAAATGTGATCCAGCTGGGTACTTTGTTGGCTACAAAGCAACTACTGCAGGTGCAAAACACCAAGAAGCTCTCAACCATCTTGAAAAAAAGTTTAAAAAGGAATTGGTGCTGAACCATGAAGACACAATCGAGGTTTGTTTTTTTGAAATAATCAGACTTGCAATCCATCATGCTTTTGCACTGCTGGAAAACAACTCTTGTTACTAATTCCAACTTTTATCTATGTTGCCGGTATTTAGCTTGCCATCACAACACTCTCGAATGTACTTTCTTTGGATCTTAAGCCGCAAGATATTGAGGTTGCTATTGTTACCGAAGAAGACCCTCGATTCAAGATTTTGAACGAGGTAGATATCGAGGCACATCTTACTCGAATTGTTGAACGTGCCGATTGATCATGTTTCAGTGGTTAAAAATTTTAAGGAAATATATTTCGTTGGATGCCTAGATAGTTGTGTTTAATGTATTCCTGTTTGTCTGGTTTTTGTTGAGAAGATGATCGCTTGATAGAATCAGGACAGTTAAATTCACGTTGGTGACTGAATGGCAATAAACAACGTTTGCCTTGAATTTGGACAAATACTCGATAATGTCAACGTGAGTTCACTTGTCATGCTGTACATTCTAAACTAGATATACCGAGATTCGTGCAAGGATAGCATTTTCCTGTAGTCTATCCAATCATCCAGATGCTAACTTGGCACTATGCTTTTGTTTGCGTCATCTAACCCATGGTTTCTTCAGCTCAACCGAGTACATATCTGCCTTTGAAGCAGAACAACTAGTGCACGATATTCAAAAATTAGACATTAGCCAATTTGGCGGAGAGGTTTGGGAACGTCAACATGAAGTCCTAGAGCGACTCAACATTCAAGTAAGTTGACTGGTTTCAAACACACTACTTTGACATGGTGACTGTATCTTTATTGAGTCCATATGCACAATGACTTGAAGAGTCGGAATCTCCGCTCAAATGACAATTGAATCGCGCGCATACTGTCGCTAAATTCAACAAGATTCTTCCGACTAAACGCCATGTCCATATTTAACCAATACTAAGGGTAATATTGGCACTAACTAGACACTTTATTCTTGACCCATTTAGGCGCATTTTAATCTTAAATCCAACAACGAGGAATACATTACTCAGGCTTTGATCGTATCTAAAAAAGTAGGTGCTTTCTAATCCATAAATGAGTGTTAAAATCATACTAACACTTGGTTCAACTGCACGATACATTAAATAGATTGAAATTGTGGTGCACAATCTTTTAATCACATCACTTTGGAAAACGAACGTGTTTCCTTATTTACTGGAACATTTGATTTCTCAAGACAGTCTCAAAACGTATTTTATGGTAATATCAACTGACATTTTGATACATTGAATTACTGGTTAAAATTGGTCATCATTGTATATTATAATTGCCAAAACACACCGAGATAGTGATATACAAACCGTATTCATTTCACTTGATGATATCTAGATTTTTTCAGAGGCTTCGCTTGTCAATCTAATGCAAGTTGTTTTATTTGAGAAAGAAGCTTTCAATCAGATTGGAGATAGCATGATGCCTTTTCTTGACTATCTTGTTCAAAAGGTCGTTTTTCTTTGCACAGTGTAAGTATCCATCTAAAAATTGTTTGGATAGTAGGTTTTAAATTGAATCGGCATTTCATCCTATGCATCTGTTTCATTTGAAATACTGAAATTGAATCAAAGTAAACAGGACGTGGTATAAATCGTATGTTATAATTCAACCTTTTCTAACCAGTGTAATCTATACCCATTCAACTTACAGGACCACTACTGAGGAAGAACCGCTTAAATTAGCCAATAGCCTTGACTCTGTATCTGAGCAAAAGGTAATCCATTTTATTTGAAACAATGTAATCCAAATACAAAGTGTCTGGGGTTTCATCAGCAATTATACATTTTGATTTTAAACTTTAGTGGATTCAACGCAACACTGCCGATTTGAATTTTTCAGTTGCTATAAACTCTTTGGCATCGCTTAGATACATTACCGACTCTGTTGATTGTCTTGAACTAAGCGTATTAAACAGGATACTCAAAAGTCAAGATAAGTAGTGGATCCACAGTATCTATGTTGTTTTTTCAGCCTTTCACTACCAATACAGCAATTCGTGTATTATCCTTTGAATTGCTTTCGTGTCTTGAAGTAACTGCTGTTGAATAAATAATGCAATCAATACATTAGACTAACAATTTATTTTGGGACTATACACTTGATTTGTAGCCTTGTTGTTTTGCTTGAGCGTGCTCCGTGGATGCGTTGTACAACATCAAAAGACACTGTTCAACTATTTCACGATAACAAATGGCAAAACATCAAGAATGAAAACATTGAGGTTCTTGGTCAAATTGAAGCTCAGGTACAATGGCTGCAATCTAATTCATACCCACATGACATCATTTTTATTGCAAGATTGCGTGTTCTTTACCTATGCAATAACCATCAAATTGAAACTAAATCTAGGTGTGGTTATCGCTCTACAATCTGTTGATGGATCGCGAATGCAGAAGGATATACACATATACCAAGCATAATCAGCAAATTATACTACGAGTAAGTGTCATGGCTGTAAGCAGTACGACACAATACTTAATATGCCCCTTTTTATGTGATTTACATAGCTCAAGGATCTTTTGAATGAGCTTCTGATAGATCAGCTTCCTATTTTAGTTGATTTGAAGCGATATCTTGAGGAATTGACAATGATGAATGTTCCAGAAGCAACTGCTGTACCAGCTTTTAGTGGGATTGAAGCGGTAATGTACAAATATGTTTGATTGAAGCAACTGTATGATATACATTAAACTTGAAACCAAATATAACGAATTGTTTATTTAATAAAATGGAGCCAATGAATATTGGTTTGCATATACACAGTACTTTTATTTGGGCAGCACGTTGTACTCTACATTATTTAACTATATACTAAATCCATTCATATTGAATACTGTCAATGTAGGTTCCAGATGCAATCACATCTATTTCAGATTGGAAGGCTTTGGCAGAAACTCAAAAAAGAATGATTTTTGGAATATCTACCAACCAAACACGACAGACTAGTCTTGAACGCTTTGCACGTATGTATGACTTTGATGATCTAGACATGATTGCTGGGCAACCCATGTGTGGAAAATGTGGCAATCCTGCAACCCAACGTTGCTCAAAGTGTCGATCTGAGTGGTACTGTAGGCAAGTAATATGTATAATTCTTGTAGTGCATCACGCTAGTAAAATGAATCTCATCACAAACTTTATTTGAATCAAATATGCTTGTAGTCGGCAATGCCAGGTAAAGGCATGGGGACAACACAAATCAATCTGTAGTGTTCTTCAAGGTGCTGAACACGGGAGCACACGAACCAGTGGCATTGGGCTTGCTGACCATCGAATTCAAGAGGCGTGAGCCTGTTGTGATTCCTGTCGTTAGGATAATGAATCCCCGTTGTGCTATAGTCATTGATTTAAAGCACATTAGTGTCAAGCTTGATTAAAATTCAAATGAAGTATGCGTTTAAATGTGGAGACTTGAACTTTGGGATATAGTTTTCACGCCAATTTAAACTTACACGAGTCTCCTCCGCTAATGAATCTTAGCGCAGCAACTTCTGCCATGGTGCATCCGCCAAGAAAAACAACAAGAGTCAATGGTGAAATCTGTTGCACTTCTATTTATACCAGAATAAACTACATGTGTAAATAAAAGCAAAAATTCGACACTATGAACCATCATGCCCAATCAAATTGCCACGAATCAGCTTACTTTTTCGAAAACTGCGATCGCTTGCAGTGATTGTTTCCTCAATGGATGGACCTGGGATTATTTTCAAAACATCCTCACATCCTTTCCAAGACGGAGCCGAAGAAATTGTATCACTTGTATTGTTTAGAATCCGACATGCCATCTGGATCAGCCTAATAGAAATAGGAGCGTAGCCATGGTAAACATATGAAATGTCTGCAACTTGATCAGAATCATAGTCGCATGTGAGTTGTAGCTGTTTAATCAGTTGTAGATATGGAGCTTTGGGTCCAGTTGAAACAAGAGGGAAAAGCAACGAAGCTTGCTTAAGACGTTGTAAAGTGACGATATGCATGTAGCCATAAGTCTATCAAATCTCAATTCACATTTGGTTTAAACAGTATAAATATATCAATGTTCAATAGCGTTACAAAAGATTGACATGGCTGCACAAAATTCATCAGACTACAGTAGTTTGTGGATACAAATTTCATCTCATCGCAAGATATGCAAATAGCCATTCACTGACCTGAACAATATGTCGCCGAAAAGAGTCATAATACTTTGTTTTAAGGCCGCCATTCACAACACAGTACAAGCACAATAGTCGAAGTACAGTCTCAATTGGTGCTTGTCTTCCAATAAGCTCCTCAATATATTCAAGGTCAGAGGAGGACGATTTACCGTGAGTGAAAACTTGAAGTAGATAATATTTCAACAAGTTAAATTGACACGCATTCATAGATTAGCCAATATAGTGCATCTATCCCACTATGGATTACAAAAACGTATACCTTCTTCTGCTGCCCACCGTTTTACAGTGTCTGGGTTGCCGGCATATCGCAAAATATCATCATAGATACCGTTATCTAAGTTTAAAATAAAAAGTTGACTATTCTCAGTTTACTCATCATGATAAACAAATGCAAAATAAGCATTTTTGTTTTAAAGTCAAATAAATATTATAAAGAAAAACATACGAAGTCCAAGTGATTGACGCTGTTGTTGCAAACTTCCTATTTTTGAGGCAAAATCCTTGAGCTGAGTTGTAGTTTTCAATTTGTGTCGCTCCTAATTATTCAAACAATATTATATTGGATCACAGAGCATATATAGGTAGCATCAACAGAATCATTAAAAAGTGCCAAACTCCTACATCTTCTTCCTCTTGAATCCGAAGTGCGACATGGCTTAGCATACTTCCAACAACTATTAAAATGATGGTTAAAAGCAAAATAAACAGATGAATTCATATTATCATCAATAAAATTGCTCGATAATGGGTTATCGAGTGCAGTCTACGTACTCCAAATATAGCATTGGTAACTGTACTCATACCTTCAAATCCAAGGTTTCGGATCTCAGAAAACACATGATCCTGATTATTAAGAACAAGTTTTTTTGACTTGGAGTACGTTGGTGGAATAATAGCTGCAGGAGAGACTTGAGATACAGGAGCCGAAATTTCTACAAAAGCTGTGATTTGTGGCAAGATTTTCAAATAGACAATATGTATAGAAGCTGCTGGTTAAATCATCACATTGCTTCATCACTAATATAGTTGGTCATTTAAGCGAAATAGGTATTACTTGTTTTGATGGAAAATAACTCGTCGATAAGACCTTCGTATGTCAATTGAACACGTAAAGGGCTGACAAGATCAACCGTACGATCAAGAATAATAATGGAGTCAAATTCTGAATCACTTGCTTGAGAAGAGTTCAAAGGTGCGTCTGCAATAGAGTAATCACGACGCATTCGAATCAACAGTTCGGTCAACACCTAAGCACCAATAAAAAGGTGGTTTAAACTAATTTATACAGCGATAAAAATGCGTTATAAATTCTGATGAGATGATTTGATCATAAACTTACTTTTGCACCATTACCCTTTCCAAGAATTCGAGGAATGGAGCCATAAAGAATTTGGAATTTCATGATAGCATGTGCTACCGAGTGGATTAAAGTAGGATCTCCGTCCTAGTATGCATTAATCAATTCATCATACTGTTATACCGCGAATCACATAATGATGACATACTCGAGTGTATTTCCCTTAATTATCGACAATAGCATTGCATGAATCAAGCCGGTATAAAACTCACCACATAAAATGGTTTAAACGAGTCCAGTTCTAAAGAAAGTAAATCTTCCTCTAATGGTACAATGTCAAGATGGTAGTCGCCGATTGCAATATCACCAAATATGCCTTGTTCTTCTAGAATCTGATCGCATATCAATGTACGACGTGGTACAAAGTATACGGTAATGTCGGGTTGATTATCTGGTGTGGAAGAGCGCTGAGAAGCACACCACTTGTACTGATCTTGAAAGATGTTCATGAGATAGTTGACAGATCAATTCGATACAAGCCACAGCAAAGTTAATTAAGCAGTGCATACTATTGATATATTTAAGCATTGATCCATGACTGTCATGTATATTTTTCTTCATACCAGCAATCCATTTCATATGAGTTGGGTTAGGACGAGTAATGTAAACCAGACTTTTGCAGTCTGTTTCTAGTGGAGCTGATGCTAGATGAAATATCTTTTCAACACCATGCTCCTATAACAAATCAGCAAATATTTGTTAAATCGGATTAAACACAATTTTCAAGCCCATATTACTACAGTCGTATTCATGTAAAATGAAATGCTAAAGGCTTTAAAATACATAAACAGCGAGTTTTATAAAGAAATACATCTCACTCGTTCAATCGTTTCTTGAACGCGAACATATGAGATTAGAATACAGAGATGAGTTTATACAGAGTTTGGCAATATCAGGGATGAATCTGGTATCAAACTTGACGATTGTATAGTGTATGGCAGTCAAACAAGAACAATTCCGGTTTAAAACTATAGATTGTATTATATGAGCGTTGTGATTGAAGAATTGCCAAGCCAAAATTTCCAACAAGAATGTACAAGGAATACTCGAATACTGTCTATTCCAAAGCAGAGCGATGGTCCATTTACATGAATACGACAGTAAAATAAACTGTTTTCAGATTGATATGTATAACAGCCTGATCAACAGTACCTTGAGAACTGCAAACTCTGCAACCAAGCTCAATGGTCCACTAACGCTTGGATCTATAACAAGAGCCTTTTTTCCTCGAACCTGAATTAAGTGGTTAGAACCAATACACAGATATTTATACAAGACATGAAAGATTGAATCTTACGGAATCCAAGACTTGAATCAACTCTCTTCTAGAAACCTCTCTTAATGCAGCAGTGCTGAACGAAGTTGGACCCAAACCAAAGGTTTGTGCATTGGAAGTGGATGCAGCAGTCATGACAGTTTGTGGTTAAAATAGAAAGCTTTAATCGGCAGTTGAGCAACAGAGAGTCACGTGATAAGATGATAGATTCAACAGTGGAAAGCAAGATGATAGTTTAAACTACAAGACAGTAGTTTAGATTACAAGATGATAGTTTAGACAGCAAGACTAAAGAAGCGATCGGACAGTTTAAACGATTTAAATAATCCAACGTGTGAATCTCAAGTTCAACACTCGGCACAATTTTACTCAAATCCTTCGTCGCCATCAACACTCGCTTCAAGACTTTCTGTCCTCAAAGCATTCGTCCTTTAACTTGCTTTTCCTCAAACTATTCCATCATGACTTCTACTTATCAACCTCGTGTCGTGGGCGCACCCAATAGTCTCGAATACAGGGTCTATATTGGTAGTATTACGCTTGATATCTATATTGCTGTTATATGGAGTGTGCATTGATGCAACCATCATCATCAAGTCTCGCATCAAACTGCATCTATAGTCCGATTGTAGTGCATGACAAACTAATGTTGTGGATCTTGTATCATTGGTGTATAACTATATAGTATTGGATGTGTTGATGGAAAGTGTTATCAGCGATCTGCTGCCTTGAACTGTTTGACATGCATTCAAGTATTGGATCAAATCTTTATACTAGATGACAATATGTAATGCATGTATCTTGTACTGCTTCTGTATGGATGCACTCCTCCATTTGCATCAACTACTATTCATCATTTGTGCTTGGATCGTCAACTCACCACTACGTTTGTTCTTGTATTGAATCCATCTTGTAATGTAGAGGATGTCGCTACCAAGAAAGTAGTCTCCCCTTTCCATGACATTCCATTGTATGCCAATGCTGAAAAAACTGTTCTCAACATGGTTGTGGAGATCCCTCGTTGGACCAACGCCAAACTCGAGATCTCCAAGGAGCACTTCTTTAACCCTATTCTGCAAGATACCAAAAAAGGCAAGCTCCGCTTTGTTCGCAACTGCTTTCCTCACCACGGATACATCTGGAACTATGGTGCTTTCCCACAGACTTGGGAGGATCCCAACTTCATTCATCCAGATACCAAAGCCAAAGGTGATCAGGATCCCGTTGATGTGTGCGAGATTGGTGAACTGGTCGGTTATGTTGGCCAGGTTAAGCAGGTCAAGGTTCTTGGAACTGTGGCTTTGATTGACGAGGGTGAAACCGATTGGAAGGTGATCGTCATTGACGTTAATGATCCTCTGGCACACAAGCTAAACGACATTGAAGATGTTGAGCGACATCTACCTGGTCTGCTGCGTGCCACAAACGAATGGTTCCGCATCTACAAGATCCCTGACGGTAAGCCCGAAAACAACTTTGCCTTTTCGGGCGAGGCCAAAAACAAAAAGTACGCTCTTGATGTCATTCATGAGTGTAATGATGCCTGGAAGCGTTTGGTTGCCAAGCTGACTCCTTGCAAGACTGACGATTACAACATATGTGTCGCGAATACAGAGGTGGTCGACAGTCCCTACAAGGTTAATGCTGACGACGCTCAGTACTCTGCTCTGCCAAAAAGTGCTCCCAAGGCTGCTCTTTCCATCGATTCCTCTATCGACAAGTGGTTTTTCCTTTCGGGCCAGCCTAACCTCTGATGTGTTTTTTCAAAACCGTTTGGAATAAACAAGTCATTTTTCTATTACATGAAACTATTCCATTGTATCGACATGGATTGAGTTTAGGATAGCACTGCTAAACATTGCAGGAATTATCATTTGATACGACACAACTGTTATTTTCTTGAACCACATACATTCGCGTTCTGGTTCAAGAAAACAATATCTAAACTACAATGATAAATCTGATGATCGTGCAGTATATGATTATATCAAAACAGAATAATCTCAGTTTCAAACTATAGTTTGTATTATATGATGAACGTTGTTTAAACACGCAATGCAGTCAATGTGTAGTAACAGAACTAAACCGATATTCAACCATTGTATTCCAAAGCGAAATATAGGCAATGGCTACAAATACAAAAGTGTTTCATTTTCGTGAATGCGGTCGTAACCCATTGATTAATCAACTCGTTGTCCTAGTGCAAAGCCACTGCATCTGACATGGGAAACGCATTGGCAGGCCAGTTTGAAGTACAAGAACAAGTAAGCCAGTCACTGCTCGAACCATCATGCTCATTAAATAAATCATTTTTTGAATATCTTGTTATATCAACAGCGCATGCATTTTTAATCAACACTGTTCTCCACACCAGCCATTTGACTGTTTCCATTGCATACACTTGAACCTCTACCGTATACACCACTGATAATATACCTTTGAACAACTGCAAAATACGAATGTGCTCATGAATATTATTTTGAATGTGTTTAGATTGGCAGCTCAGATAGGGTAAGCTAGATCCCACATCAGTCGGGTCGATGTTGCAATCCCATACTTGTACAGCTACTTTAATCTACACTTGCCAATTCTTTATGCATTTTTGCATAGCAGCCATATCGATCTATTCAGTTTATGTTGACTTGCTCTGTTTTCATTTAGGACCGACTGTGGTTGATTCGAAAAGCAATATCCAAAAACAACGGAAAGCCCTGTGCAGTCTGGGTAAGAACTTTGCATTCTAAATCAAGTTTATGGATAATGAATTTGGAATATCGATAGCTTTGCAAATCATGCACAAATGCTGGTTGTCAAAAGCAAAACGATGGCTGGATTCAGTCATTGAATTTTCATGTAGGACTTGTTCTCATCGCCTCTTATGAATGATACACTAGGCTTTTGATAGATCGGATGCTGAAAAACGGAATCCATTGGCTCGACAGTCCAATGTCAAAAACGAAATGGCAATTATATCTAATCTATTTAAACGAGAGGTTTGTATGATTTATACTCGTTGCTTGATTCACAATCAATGTAAATAGACTGTGTAGTATATGCTTGATCAGAAACTGATGTGTAATACGAATCTATACAATCGTGCTGGAAACTTTAGGTTCAACTTTTGACAAAACTTCGGCATCCCTCCATCGTCCAAGTTCAAGAATCTCTGCAGGAACTTCGCACTCTCTTTGCTTTTGCTACAGAGCCCCTTATTGACACATTGTCCAATGTTTTGGTGTTTTCATCATCGGCTCGATCTGGTGAACAACAATCGCTTCAATCCGGCTATGAATTAGATTCATTAGAGGTGATTGTTGAAATGCATATTATACAGACATGAATAGCCCTGATTTATAGCGCATTTATTATAATTTAGTAGAAATTTCTATTACCATTAGCTGGTTGTTAACAAACTATACTTTGACCATTTTGATGTGTTGTTCAGATCCAAAAAGGTCTTCGGCAGATAGCAAACGGACTTCAATTTTTACACTCGGCCGGAATCATTCATGTAGGGTCAGCCGAATTAAAACTGACTCGTTCCATGATAGAAACTAGGTGTTTGAAATATACTGATCCATTATTTTGCATATAGATGAATTTGTGTCCAGATGCAATCGTGATCAATCCAATGGTATGTAGCCATGTCAGTTAAATTAGTTTCTGACTGTCATGTATCATACTATAGATTATATAGTTGAGATACATAGATGTACAGTTGTTGTTGCAAATTTACTTATTGTAGTTTTTAAATCTCGTGGCGATAGGGAGATTGGAAGATATCCGGGTTTCAGTTTGCTGTAACAATACCTAGCGGTAGTATTCCATCTCAAGAAACAACAATTGAAAGTGCATTCAATCCTGCCCAGCAGCCAAATTGCTGTACTCCTGACCTGGCGTTTATAGCACCCGAAATTGTTTTAAATGGGCAATGTAGTTCAGCATCTGATGGTTTGTTATCGAGTGATTTGCATTCACATATCTACCACTGTATTTGCTTGAATGGATATGTTGCATAGTACTCGTTTTGTGTTGGCAGATCTTGATAGGTTAATGTTAACACTATTTTGTTGACTAGTATGGTCACTTGGCATACTCATTCACGCACTTTTCAACAATGGACGTCCACTGTTTGAATGCAATGGAAATTCATTCACATATAGGGAGCGTGCAAACGAAATGTTGATGATAGGTGCACTACAGCTTCGAAATGTTTCTGCCGACTTGGAGGGTATGTTTTAATATTTTAACAACCTTGGCATTATTTGAATTAAAGCATTAAGCTGAAAGTTATTGTGCAACTACGACTTTGGTATACCTCGTGTAAAATAGGTATCACTATATCGATGCTTCCTATGAATCCACAATCTCGCATTACTCTGGAACAATTTCAAAATTCCCACTACTTTGAAAACGTACTCATGAGCACTCTCGAGGTAATCTAATACTGTTGCTGGTAAATTTCTAGATCTACTAGCTATTTGTGAGTTTAAACAAATGGATATGCAATGGCTTACACAATTATTTTTATATTTAATGGCATTATAAAAACAACTGCTTTACCACGAGCAGTATATTGAGTCTCTTATACAGAAACCCGAGTTAGAAAAGGCTAAATTTTTAAAGGCTCTTCCTGGGATACTGCCACGTTTTCCAGAAAAAATTGTTACTCGCAAGGTAGATTTACTATTTTTGTCGAGATGCTACAATGGTATTGTCTGTAGGACTGTACAGCAACAACTGTTTTAGCATTTAATCATTTTTCTGTATAATGCTTTTTGATGCATTTCTGACCATACCTTTGTATTGCCATTATTTTTGGGATGATTGATTTTATCCATGTATTCTAGATACTTTCATTGCTATTGAACGAGCTTAAATCGATTGGAATTGTAAGATTTGTTTTAAAAACCGGATTGCAGTTTTGAAACTAGATAGGTTTATGTGCTGCTCAGTTATTTATATATTACTCGTGTTTGGATAATTTGGGTTTCTGCATATTAGGCACCATTTGTTTTACCTAGCATATTTTGGTGAGTCGTTGTGCATATAGTTATGAATATGCATTTGAGAAGACTATACCACAAAGTACAAATATCACGAGTAAATCTAGATTGAAATCTGACATGTTTATTGTAAACAATTGCCTTGATTATTAGGATTTTGGAACGTGCTTCTGGAGATGCACTGACAATCACTCTGCATGCTCTGAAGCCGCTGTTTCAAGTCACAGATCCACCCCAGTGTTCTTTGCTACTTTTGTCAAAAGTCGAGCTTCTTTTGTCCAAGCTATCAAAAGATGCTGTTCCAGGTACAAACTAGAAAACATCCTTCTTGCTTGGAAGTCTATATTTAGTGTTGAATATTTCAAAAAACTGCATTTTAAGCTTGACAACTTAACAAAGCAAGCGTGTAGACTATTAATGCAACTTTACTGAACCCATTTGAATGTATTGGTTTACTATTGAATGTTTAATCATTTGTAGAGATTATACAGTTTGTTTTACGATCTATGGAATCGCAGCACCTGGGAACTCAAGACGCAGCTGTCAAGTCAGTATTACACATTTTATCAAAAACTGATATGAATTGTGTTCGGAATGTAAGTAGGGTCTGCATGATATTTGAGATTTGAAGTTGATCTTATGCAAAACTGTAATGGCAGACTTTAAGAATGATGTGCTAATCTGTATCATTTTGGGATATGTTTGATACTGGTTTTCGATATGATGCCATGTCTCTACGTTTAGATCGTCTTGCCGAAACTAGAAGTAGGTTCAGTTTTTGATTAGTTTTACAAAATTGACTTGGTGTTTCTAGCCACTGAGATATTGCACGCATTGTATCTGTACTGATTTGAACACACTTTTATTTAGACAACTTTTCAGAAAACCACAGCCATTTCGACCAAAGTCAATTGCTTGATTGCGGTACATGCCATGGTCAAGATTCTTGACAAGGCAAGTGTTGATTTTGAAAATGGCTTGTTTACTTTCGAGTCATGTTTGTGGTGTAGCCAGATATGATTTACTAACTCGGATAAATATTTGAATTGTTTGACAACAATTAGCTGGATATCATTGACCGTGTGCTGCCTATGCTTGAGCGTAACCGATCCGAGGATGTTGGGATCACAATGGCCATGTTGGTTGTGTATGAAGGTGTATCTACAAAAGTAGATTGTAAATCAATTGCTCTTTTTCTTATTCCGTCGCTTTGGCGAAACTCTACACAGAAAGGTCTTAATAATCAACAGGTAAGACAGATTTTGAATGCTATACGCTGGTATTTGAGATGGGAAAAATGTCGTGTGTAGCATTTCCAAGGATATTTATATTCAAGATCCAAATGGCTGGTACTGTAAGCTAACCCACTTTCGTAGTTTATGAGGTTTATGACGCTAATTGACAGACTGTCATTACGTGTTAAAGAGGAGATGCTCAAGATAATAGAGGCAGAGTCTGTTTCAGGTAGATTATGATAAACTTTTGAGCAATTCATGACATTGTAGTCCAAATGATAGCTGACAATGCTGTAACCTTATTTGCAATGGGATGCTATGTTTCAAGCACAAACACCCAAATTGGATAAAATGATAAGCCAAGGAAGCAGCCATGTGCCGGGATCGTTGAATCCCGGAGCTTCTTTAGCATCCACAGCATTACAGTTGAATTCAGCGCCTCGTCCCAATGCATCAGCATCTGCTATGACAAATCAAGGATGGAATTCGATGGATTGGTCCGTCCCGACAGCATCTACACCGTATTCTACACAAGCATCACAACGAACCATAAATAATAATGGATTACGTAGTAACACTACTTCTGTGCTAGCATCCAACGCACAGTCTTCTCAACGACGAAACATTGTAAACGAGTTTGATCCATTGAAAGGTAAATAAACACTAGCTATAAAACCAAGTTTAGGAAATTATAATATAAATTCTACAACTATGGACTGGAGAATCGAATCTACTGGATATTGCAGCCGCATTCAATAAAATAAAGCGCTTTATATTGCAGTGATCATTTCTTGCTTTTGAGTAAACAATGGTTGATATCCGTTACGCTTTTCCATTAGACATTCTCAATTCTTTAAAACACAGCGTCCATCATATGATGCACACAATCTCTTTTTCTTCATTTGACATAATTATGGGTTGTACGATCACCAGATTCATTCATTACAGAAATTGAACTTGGTTGTTGCCAAACTCCTGTAATCACAGATACGGTTGCAGTCTAGTTTAACAAGGATCACATATCTTGCAATGCAACTGTACATGGCAATCACCCAATGTTGGAGTTGAAGATTGCACAAGTGACAAGGATGTGCAAAGACCTTTTAGTTTTTTTTTACAGAAACGAGTCGAGACCAGTAAACTTTACCCAGCAGTTCATGTGATAATGGTGACCAGTAAATTTAGCGAGAATCAAAAGACTGTTTATCATGTACTTGGACACCCTTTGTGTTTTATTGAATAGGGCTGTAATTGTGGAAGAACCTGAAGTTTGAAGGGTTCTAAAGGTAAAGCCAACAGATTGAAATGGGAATATGAGGGGATAAAGAAAACTATTGAATCGAAATCAATTGGTACCACTATGCCATTGGTAGTCAACCTTGACAGATACAGGACTATCATGAACCCCACAATCCATACCATTTTATCGAGTAGACCCACTTGTTCCTAGAGATGGATGGAATTGAATGAGTTGTAATGGATAACTGTCCATTACAATTGACATGCAAAGAGTACAATGAGTTGAATGTAATGATTAAGGATGGATATGCAAGACATTGTTACAATAACTGGATGTTGATCCATAATAGCTGCGCATGTAATAAGCTGTTGTGGATTAGGTTAGGGTGGATTGACATGGACAGAAGCTTCCATAACAAACAATGCTGTCCATTCATGATCAGCCCTTGGCTTATAGCATCAATAGTAAATACAAGCTTTGAATAAGGCCCTGCTCGCTCTGCTTTTGCCAACCCACCCATCAGTCACTTGTATTTGCTTCTATTAAAGACTTTTAATTCAACCTCTGTGCCAATTCAACTGCTAGTTTCGAATCTATTCGCAACATGACTGAGATCTCGTCTGGCATGACCATTCCAAAACATACTACACCATCCATAGTCGAACCAGAGCATTCTCAAATACCCATTCCAGAACCTTGCTGTCAGGAACGTTCATCTTGGAAACAGTATCGCAAACCATCGTTGCCCATGAGCGACACTACTGATGTCATGGATGCAATGCATTCACAGGCTGTTTGCTCGCCATTTCAAGACTTGTGCATGTCCGATACCTCTACGGAAGCCACTTCTCCACAATCTGCTACCACATTGCAGGAAGTTGGGTTGAGATTCCTTCAAGCAAAAGGACCCGAATGTTACTCCAATACCACTAGTCCCATGTCAGCCTTGCATTCAATCACTCATGCATCAACTGTCAGTGCTGTTCTGTTTGGTCATCCAGAATCAATGGTCACCACAAATGCTGTTTCAAGCATTGATCATTTGGTTTACAGAAGCGATTCGTCGTCTGTGCATTCAATCGAAACTCCGCTTCAAATCAATTTCCATCAAGAACAGAATCCTGATGATGTGGGGTTGAGTCCTGACTGCCATCATGGCACTGACGACAGTCTTAGTATAAGTGATAGTAATAATAGTACAGGCAGTAGCTGCGATCCTTGTTTTGAGCATTCATGCAATGGGATGGACCAGGGTGATACTACCCAAGAAATGAGTAAGCGACTACAGAGTATTGGCTTTTCTCACGATAAAGCGGCTGCCATTCAGGAAATGTTGGGCTCAAAAACTGCTGCTTCCACTCCTAATCTATGTTTATCTAGTCCTTGGCAATCTCAGTTGAAACGTCGAGTTCCTGTTGGCATGTTGGCATCAGAACTCCCAATTTCACATTCACGCCCATCACAGCGGTATTCAGTCGATACTGTCAATACTCGCTTGCATACAAATCGAAAGCGTTTTGCAAATCAGTGTGTTTCAGATACAAGCATCCGTAGAAGCACCGGAGACCTTAATCTGGGTGTCAATAGCAGCAATACTGGAAGTCACTACACTACCTCGTGCAAATCTGGTCAAATGTGCTACAGAGAAATGGACGAGTTTGTGGAATGGTGCGAGGAGATGACTGGAAATATGTTCAATCATTATCCAACTCGTCGTGAAATATCAATGCCATCATATTCATCCATCTTGCAACTGGCTGCAATCGAAGAGTCGTCGGAATCTTTGAGTCGATCAGAAAGCTTAACGCGTGGTTCAATATCAACACAGAATACATCCTCCATTTCATCTGAAAGTGGGACCTCGGATGAAAAAAAGGACAGTCGTTATAGCACTGCTTATGATACATATCGAGCATCATCGGATAAGCATCTATCTAGCAGCACATCCTCGTTTGAATACCCATCTGCCAAGTCATGTATGTATGTCCAGCATCAATGTTCAACACCTCCTCCTTCAGCAGAAGACTCGGCATGTGCTGATTTGGTGTTGGAGGATCCATTGTTTTCTTTGACAAGCCTTCCAAATGGCACCCGAAATACTTGGCCGACATCATCCAAGAATAAACCAAAAATGTCAACCTCGACAGTGGTTAAACGACTGTTTTCGTTTGGGTCATACAAATCAGAGCAACGATCTGTTTCTCAGCCTGGGTCGTCTTTGAGTTCTATATCCAGATCCGTATCTGCAACAGCTGCTACATACGTCAAAACCTTTTCGGCAGCAGAGGAATAAAGGCCTAATCTACCACTGCTTCATCCAATGTTACCGAAACCCTACAGTCGTACCACCTTTGTTCATCTCTTCCAGCATAGCCTGTGTTTTTCTCAATTTTGTCTAGTCAGAATAATCGTGATTGTCCTAGTACCGAATGTGCATACTGTTCCATCTGCCCGGTTATGTATATTTTTCCTGTCGGATCCCTTTTACTTGATTTACATTTTATTCATTGCTGGATCATCATGCAAATAATTCACATTGTTTAATACTTTGCGAAATAAAAATCATTCAATTTTTGTACATGTTTGGACTTTCTTATTTTGGTGACTCTTGAAATGAGTCGGTTGGTCCAAGTCTTGCCATATTAGATTGTGGTGGCTCGCTACAAAACAGTTTGATGTACATCCAGTCTTTTCAATCTTGCAAGCTACCAAAAAAATTAAATCACAAGCTACATATTTTTTTTAATGTTTTTAAAAAAAACAGATTCGCTTTCATCAATCATTTTCAATGGTATAGGAGGCATGGCGTAAGTCACTTCAAGGTCTTTCAGATGATGTTTTAGAGTAAACATGAATGCGTTGCGTCGTGACCATCTTTTGGTTGGGTCTTGCCAATTTCCGCGGTACTTGATATTGAAACTACACCTGAGTCTATTCGTGTTTTCGAAATCGTGAATAAACATATCGCATGAAGGAAGAAATTCGCGTGATTCGGATTTTACAAACTGGATCATGCGTGCATGCACTTCTCGTAAAACGTCTTCAGGTGTATCAAAGCTAAACTGAAGCTCTATCATTTCCGACTAGTCCAAGAAATTAAAAAAAAGGTAAGTACACACGATAACGTTGCAGGTTTGATGTATTGCATGGTCTATTCTACCAAACAGACAACATTTCAATAGAAAACCAATGGCATACCTGGTCACCAGATCTGCGAATATTATGAATCATTTTTTGAGACAAAACAGCTATATAGTCGCACAGAATAGTTTAATCATCAAACATGGCACACTCAAGAAATTTCAGTCAAAACAAGGTACATACAATTGGGTGCATAGACTGTACGGCCATCCGTGTTTTCAAAAACCGTAGTCAGTAAATTTAATTCAATGACCTTGAATCCAACATTATCAATAATCACTCGATCCCCTGTGTCATATGGATGCGTGACAAATAAAAACACAATGCAGTCAAATGTGGTTTTTGCCGCACCACCAAAAATGAAACTGAGCGCAACAAGAATAGACGTAAAGGGAAGAACTGCTGTAAGAGGAATGCCATATATGGGCAGTGAAAACAGTGCAGCCAAGAGAAAGCTAAACCCATACAAGATTTGATTTAATCTGCCAAGAGCCTGTGATAGATCGTGTAGCGAGCCAAACAAGTTACGACGCTCACGATAGACTCGCAAGATCGCCTGTTTCATTTCTTTAAGCGACAGAGATTTGTTGAAGTCGGCATCAAAAAGATCAAATGCTTCTCTGGCTGCTGTATCACTAGAAAAATAAGGACGAAAGCAATCAACAGTTAAAGCTGTTTTGCAGTCGGGATTATTCACTGCTTGTGAAGGCAATGTTCCACCTAGAGCAACAAAAAGCTTGCGTGCAAGTTTGATGGCGTGCTTGTCGCTCATTAAGCCTATACTATCTGATCGATTATAGTTTTTCTGTCCACCAATAGTCATAGATGTACCAGCAAGTTTACCCTGGGAAGGCTCGCTTTCCGGTAAATCTGTTCGACCACGTCGTTTCGCAGTTGAAGTCAGCGTAGTGAACCGGGAATTTGGCATAGATCCCAACATTTTTCGATCAAATGAACCAACATTCCTTTGAGAAGGAGAACCACCATCTGTCAAACGTTGATGGAGGGTGGGTGACTTGCTACGTGTGATGGAATGTAAGAAATCGGCAATGGTTTTGCCACGATTTAGTTTGGTTCCTAAAAGGTCTGATGATGACTCGGTATCATTATTTTTTGATGGGGGCTTCAAATGCTCCGGCTGGTTTGAATCTTTGATACGAAAAACACTTTGCAAACGAGTCACTGTTTTGGGTGGTGGTAAAATACGATCTGGATCTGAAACGGCCACAGACTTGTAATTTGTTTTCTGCAGATCGGGGTGGTTTGAATCAGGAGATAAAATAGTAATCCCATTTGATTTGGATGACATGTGGGCAGGCAATGCGCTTGGCTCGTGATTCATGTAACCATCTAATCTAAACCTATCGCTCTGATTCGACATTAAACCACTGACTGGCATGATTTTGTCCTGCTGATTGTATTCTTCATTGCTCGACTCTAAATGAGCATGACTTACGTTGCCATGATGGGTTCGTGCATTATGTTTTTTTTCTACATACTGCAAGTTTTGAAGTGGAAGCATGTTGATTTCATCAAAATCTTCCTTGACAAACATTTGATTAAACTGGTTACCAGAACTGACAGAAACTATATGGCTTTGGCCAGCTGAAGCTCCGTTCAAATGAGGAGATTTATGGCTGGATCCATTATAGTGACTATGACTTTGAGTAGATTGAGAATCACTTCTAAATTGATGATGCTCTGGTTTGCCAAATCGGTCAAGGTTGTGCTTATGACTTGAATTGGACTGATGATCAGAGTCGGTGGTACGTTCTGGGGATGTATTTTGCGAGTCTGTAGCTTCAAAAGTGTTGTGCTTGAATTTATCAGCATTTTTTCCTGTACTCCCAGCAATCTTGTCTAAATCAAAGATATCTGTCAAACCAATGCCCTTGATACTTTTGCGCAGTTTGTCCAATACACGAATGTATTTCTTGAGTTGCGCAACACGATCAGAGTAGGCGACATGATGAAAATTGACTGCAATAGACTGTACAGATAAACGCTGGGCCAGTAACAGTATGGAAAACACCATGAGCATGCATAGTACTTGAAATACAGCCATCCAGTAGTAAACCTCGTACATTTGTTTGAACAACACCGCATAGGAAGCAACAGAAAAGACGGAGAGAATGGCAAAGTGAATGACAAAGCGCAATGATGGGATATAGTCCAGATTGGATCGCACTTGTTCACTGCAATCGCCATAAATCCATTTAAATAGACGTTCAATGAGATAGGGAAGTTGGCCGACAAAAAACCAAATTGCGATAAAAAGATTCCATGCTACTGCCAGCCACAGCAGACTAACAGTGCAAGTGAGATTAGCATAGTGGATACACGATGTTAGTATTTTAAACTAAAAAAACAGGACACGCTCAACAAGGATCAAATCCAAGACTTTTTATCTTGGATACGGGTATGACACCATTCATTGCACAACTTACAATCGCACCAGCTGCGCCAAAGCCAGGAGTTGTCCAAGTCTTTCCAACTCGCTCATTTTAATATCAGTCAGATTGGGAAGTAGAGTCTTGTCTTTGAGGATCAGATACACAGCGGGTCCAAGGATCACGATGGAACCAAAAACAACCAAGATCAAGTAACGAGCAATAGTAGGTAAATCTCTAAACCAAAGACAGTTTAAAGACTCTTCTTCAAACTCTCCATTATCGTCCAATTCATCCAATTCATCGAATTCATCATCTATATTGGGGTTTCCAGGATCGTTGTCTTGGGTATTGGAATGTTTGTTGTCATCGTCACTGTCGTCGTCACTGTCATCTTCAAAACTACTTCTTTTAATGCTTCCGCCGTAAAAAGTTGGACCTCGAGTGATTTGACGACCCAGTGTAGGTCGAGCAGTGTATTTTCGATGTAATTCAGGCAGCTGACCAGGAGAAGGAGGAGGAGGAGGAGGAGGAGCAGACTTGAGGCTTGAATTACCCGGTTGTTGCTGTGGATCATGAAAAATATGCAAACGACTAGAACCGGGACCATCCAACTGGATGGATGGCATCACTGCAGGATTGCCATTGGCAGTATAACTATCCATCGACTCATTGCCCTCGACAATACTAGCAGCTTTACGCAGCTTCAGTTCACAAGGCAGATCTTTAGACATGAATGCATAGACTCTTGCTGTAAGAGTATGGGGAAAGACGGATCAATCCACAGTCGGCTATAATCCTGCTATGGCTACCCTGACTAATTAATAATGGAAGTCGCTTGTCGGTCCTCCGACCTTATCAATGGCTTGATCAGGGACGTGTTGTGCATGATAAGCAACCGTTGGGCTGCTGTGAGCCTATCGCCACTACGTGTTGGTCGATATTCTAATCTGTGTTGACTCGGTTATTCATCTCCCTTGACCCTTTGTGCCTGTATACATGGTTTCATCATAACACAGGCTGTTTAATCCAAACTACAAAAACCTAGTCAAATAAACTCGTTTATTTTTGATGATTGATTCAAGCCTTATTGTTTCTTGAGAGTATAGTGTTGGGCAATCTGTTCTTTAGAAAGCCGTTTTGTCCTCCTTTCCAGATACACCATGATTTGTTCCTTAGTCATGTAGTCAGGGTCACCCTTGTTGGCTAGCTGAACAAAATGGTTGGCCAGTGTCGAGTAGTTTTTAAACATCAGCGCAACCCACACTGCGTGGAAATCTAGTCCTTCAAACACAACTGTGGTTTGCTTACGATACTTTTCTGCAGTGCTGACAAAGTTTTGTGGGTGATCATCCCATCTTCTGAGCGGGTTCAAATGATGCGAAGTATGGTATCCATCATTGAAACAGTTTTTGTTGTAGAAAGAAGCCAGACATGTAATGGCAGATTTGTAGTCGTTGGTTGGATCGGTAGGCTCGATAAATGCATGTTGTGCCCAGTTGCCTGACATCATGCCGTATCTGGCTAGATTCAATGGAACAATAAATACAAATGTCACTCCGAGTGGATTGTTGGGACAAATGTATAGGTAAAACAGACAGTAGCCTAGCATGGTACCATATTCCCCAACAAGACAGTTGAATGCCTGCGAATACCTGCCCTTTTTGTAGAAATACCAAGGAAGCTCCATGCCAACAAATAGATAGAAGCGAGCAAAATAGGCTAGGAAATGCAGAGCATTGTCTCTATCGTACCAAATGGTAGAGGACAAGTCCTCTGGTCCATTGTCCTCTACATGATGGTGCTTCACATGATGGTAGTAAAAGGTGTTCCAGGTTTCTCCAAAAAAAGGTGCCAGAAAGTAGTGGACTATAGCATCTAGCCAAGGAGAGTTTTTGGGGTTCCCAATACGACGGTGGCATAAACAGTGAAGCATCAGAATAAACGGAGCAGTGAATACGGCCAAATAGACCGTATGTGCAATAGCATGAATCCAAGTAAAGCTACCAAATAATAGCCATAAAGCAGAGGGTATAGCGGTGAACAAGTAAAACAGCATGTACGACACAAAGATGGCATCCCTTGGATCAGCAACTAGAGGATTGATGCATTGGCGCATAACAGCAACCAGTGGATGTAGGATGGATGGAATGTTGGCTGTAGCAATCCAGCCAAACAGCCGTATGTCATTGTTGATTTGTGGTGAATGAGCTGTTTGTGCTGATAAATCCGCCTTTGTACCAGAGTGAGATTTCAGTAAGCCCAGTACTTGAGTATCTACGAGAGCAGTGGTCGTCATGATGCCTAAATGAATACGAATAGAATTGGTCTGGATAAGTAGCTATTAGTAGCTGCATAGTGTTCATGATGAATCACTTCAACTCAACTCCGCCAACATTAAATGTTGCATCATGATTAATATTATTATCACCTGGTTGAATCCAAGCGAGTTAAACAGTACGACTTTGTATCAATGAAACAAACCGCTTTTCATTGTCCTTTACAGCTATTTGGAGATCACAGAATAGCCACAAACTGCATGAAAAAATAAAAATAAGGAACTGTTTGCAACCCCACTCTTCACTTCCAGTGCATCATGTGTTTAGGGTGATACTTGCATAAAATTCACTCAGCTACACAAAAGTGTGGTCTTGCTTGGCTGTTTGCTTGATGTTGTTTTGAAAATATCTGTGATTGTTCATTTGCTGATTTGGATAGCAGGATCATTCATCGATCGTGTCTTGTGCACCGTGACAACAATCCAACCTGTCGATACGATCAGTTTGCTAAACTGCTGACCCTCTCAAATATAGAGCAGCGTCCCTTATTTGGTTAGCGACGCTGCTTACTAATCTTGTTTCGACACAAACCTAACCGCTTTACCTATAGAATCTACGTTACCTAAAACAATCGTGCAGTTTTACAAACCAAACGCTCGTTTTAAAATACTGCAACAATCTGCTTGATGCTATCAGAATGTGTATTAAACGCGCCAAAATTAGATTGTTGGAATATAAATAAATAGTCTGCATTCTTATCCCTTTTGTTTTGAGCTGCAATCTGGCATATGCCAATGTTTGACTCTGATTTATTTCCATATAGCTATCGTTTGGTTCCACACGATGAACAGAATCGGTCTGCACCACTAAAGGCATTCCCACATTGCGAACAGTACGCCGATGTATTGGTCTTTACACCTGCTGGTTGGGATCCAACTGCTTGCTTGGATGGTCGTGAATCACATTGCTTTTTTTCTACTGGTTTACGGCAATCTGTTTCCGACTTTTCACTCTTTGGTTGTTTTTTGGAAAAAAGTCCGCCTGGTCTACAGCTTCGAAGATGCACTTCTAATCGATCAGGTGCAAACTTTTAAAACAAAAATACGATTCCAAATCAGATTAGCTGATGAATACCATTCGAGTGGCTTGAGCTATAATCAACATGTGTAAAACATCAAACTGCTGTATTCTGTATGCATACAGCCACTACTATACCTTGTGAGGGCAATTGGGGCATTGTGACCTGGTTTGCTCAGAATAGGTCGCATACGCTGCATCATTATACGACTGCATTGCGTTCTGCTGAACTGTTCCTATACCAGGCGCGTTCCCCGCTTGATTCGACACTACCTGCGACGACCCTGCCAAAGTACTTTTTTTTGGCAGAGACGGTAGCACTCCTACTGTGGGTCTGACTGGAACTGGCTTGCGCTGTGATTTGGGTAAAGCGGCTTGTGTCTTTTCAAACTTTTCCATACACTTTGGTTCGTGAATACTGATGGATTTGCTACCAAAGTCACGACCACAGATATAGCATGTTACTGTATTGGGGTTACGACCATCTGATTTGGGCTGCACCCCCAAATTCATCATTTTTGGAATGTATTAAAGGGTCAAGTCTGCGAGCTGATGGTAAAAATAGTATATGCAACGCTGAAAATTAGAATTCACGTAATTCAAGCAAACTACAACAGTAATTCGACTCCAAAAACAAATGTGTAGATTAAAAGCAGCCAAAGTGCATGTTGTCTGGATATATACCAAACCAAAGCTAATAGTAGCAACAGTAACTGCTCCTGCTACCCTAAACAATCACACTCCATACGTAAACCAATCTACTACCCATGTACACTATCACCTTGCATTTTATTCTCAGTCATGTCAGTCAATATAACGACACAAATTTAAAAAAAAGCTTTAATGTAGAGTTCAATTGTTTTTTTCAGTAGTCATCTCCACGAGAAAGAACTTCCTTGCATGTGGATCGTAGCAAGATAGTGTGTTCGTACTGAGCAGTATAAGAACCTTTGACGTCACACAGTGGTGGGTAAGGATTGACAATTCCTGAATCTACAAGATTTTTTAAAGCCAGCAGATATCTGGTTTCACCAATACGATCCAAGTAACGACGACAAAAGGCCAACGTGCCAAAGTTTTTGTTAATTGTGTTCAAAAGCTGCTTTGCACGCGGGAGTCTGGCAATTTAAAGTTGAAGTGTCAATCCAGCATTATTCAAGCATTCCAAAAAACAAGTTGTTGTTAAAGTACGGATTTAAAAATGAAAAAAATCACTCAGATTCAATGAACTACCTAAGTGGAATATACGAAGTATCAAACTCTTTCATGTAGTGGCTGCATTCCATATCCTCGTGAACATAACCACGGCCTGTGCTTCCAAAGGTCTCGATGGCGTAAAGCTCTCCTTCCTGTAAAATAATATACGAATTAGATACCTCTGTATTAGTCAGAAAAAGACAGCCATGACTGACTCGACCACATACCTCCATTTTTGTTTGGTTGCCATTTTTGACAATGGGTACCGTTTTGCCAGCATGAATCTGATATGATCCAATAGAGTGACCATTGAGATTTTGAATTGGTTTGACTTGAAAATACATAGCATCCAGTATCAAAAAATCAGTACATTCATTAAAATCAACAACCAAGGCGGTAGATCAATTGCAATGAAAAGTGTCATCATCGAGTCATTGTATTAAACACACCTTGATACGTTTTCCCATCAATCTCCACCTCATAGGACTCCATAACTTCTTGAATGGCAGCCCCAATATCAGAGAGTCTGACATCAATGCCAGCCTCTCTGATACCGGTGTCGGTAGAATCTTTGATGGCTTCCAGAAGCGGGTTGAACTTGGGATTGAATGCCATAGTGAACGCACAATCGATAATACGGCCTTGATATCAAGCACAGAATGCAAAACATGCCAAAATACGATAGTTTAAAGACTGATGCAGGTTTTACAACTCTACAAAAAGCGTATTGCTAATGAAAATGCATGAAATACCTCCAACGTGTGTTCCAAAATCAATCTTCATCACGTCATCGTACTTGAGAACAGTACCATCGCCGCCATTAGGAGTGTAATGAGCAGCACAGTGATTCAAAGAGCAGCCAGTAGGAAATGCAATACCAGCATTGAGTCCGTTTGCTTCAATCAGTGTACGGGTGCCATTCTCGATCATTTCACAAATCTCAATCATAGACATGCCTGGTTTGATCTTTTTCTGAGCGTAACTACGAACTTGACGATGCACTTCTGCAGCACGACGCAAATCGTTGTGCATATCTTCGTATAAGCGGTCTTTCTCGCGAGCTTCAGCACTGGTTGTCCTCCATAGATTGCTATTATCAAATGGAAATATAATGATAAAATACTAACATTAACCAACACTGAAGCGCAACAACTGGGCGATTTAAAAGCTAAAAGTACTCAACTCATCCTTGTACTCTTGAATCTCTCCTTCTGGATAAATATGGTCGGGAAACATCTGAGATACAGGAATGGTTGGTGGATCCGTTTGCTTTGTTTCTTTTGGGGCAGTTGCAGACTCATTGACTTGTAGAGAAGCTACGGTTGCTCAAATTAAAGAAATAGTGTTGGTTAAACAAATCAATTTCAAAACTAAATAGCACACATGGCATTCATTGTACTGCTTGATGCATTACCATCTGTAGCAGCAGTTCCACTGGCAGTTTCAAGCCCATTCTTTTTTGAAGCTACGACAGTCGAGTCATTTCCATTGGTGAATCCATTGCCATTGGTATGTACACTTTTTCCAGAATCCTTCGCAATTTTAGCAGCAGAAACTGGAGTCTTGTTGCTTGCACAGGCACTCTTCACTGTATCGGCTTGAGTTGGGTTTCCAGTCATGGCTTTGCGTTTTAAAAATCTTCAAATTTCAACAAAACCCTTCAAATTGGCACCCTCAGGACATTGTGATTTTATCAGTTTTGATATTTGGCTTTAGAATTCATCAATACATTTGTTCAAATTCATTCAATACATTCGTTTGGACTGTTATTTAATAAGAAACATTGCTCTTTGTGCTTCTAGAAATATGCATCATCACAAACTACTTTCAGGCTATACACTTTTCAAGTCGTGCAAACTGCATACATTGTGTTTTACTCATATTCATCCATTGGCAAGACATCAACCTCGTTCGCTTCCTGCGAATTGGTTCATCTCATCTTCTCGACTATTTTCTGCTACATCCACTACGCTCATGTCTGGAAGAAAAAAACGCTCGTTGTATGAAGTTTTCGATTTACCTGAACATAGTGACAAGAAAGCCATCAAAACCAAATTCTATGAACTATCCATGATGTAAGAATAGTATCATTCTTTTAGCTCTTGATTGCATCTGCTGTTTATTTAATGAAGTTTATGTTTAACTAGGTTATTTATGTTTGAAATTATGGTTGTATTGCCAAAGGTATCATCCGGATAAGAATCAAGACGATGAAGGTGCTCATGCTCGATTTTTAGAGATCAACGAGGCATACTCTGTGTTGGGCGATGAGGCCAGGCGCAAAGAATATGATATTAGACACGGCAGTCTATCTACCTCTAATCAGCATAGATCAAAAACTGGACCAGGATCAAGTGCATATGGGAGTAATCGTAAAGCCACTAGTGCCCCAATAAATACCAAACTTCGACCAGATGATTGGATTCAGTATAGGCCACCCGGATCTGGTCCTGGAGGAAAATTCAATAGATTCAATCAAAAGCCATTTTACAACTATAAAGAGCATCAAGAACAGCACTATGGACCTGCCGAGCAGACACGGCATCAGAGATCTGAACGAGCTGCATTGTACCGATACATATACCATTCCAATATGACCGAGCCAAAGATTATTCCATACATTCTATTGGCACTGTTTTGTGTGTTGTTTTATCACTCTGGCGTTGTTGGCATGATATGGATGGAGCCCGAATTTGAATCAAATGATGATTCTCGACATTCTGATTCGGATATAATTGTTTCCCCCCTTACTGAAGCATGACTGGTTTATTGTATTTTTTATAAATAGTGAATAAGCGATTGTTTTAGATATAATGGCAGTTTTGTTAATAACGAGTCTAAACAAGCCTCCTTGGAAACTAGATTTCCAAACGCTAAATTTGTTATGCAAGTACATTTTACAAACTCGGCGTCATTGCTCAAATCCAAGTCAGATTAAATTGGGATTTCAATTCACAAAACCATTTTATTTTTAAAAAATCGACGCTTACATTACCATTCCAACCATATTATCATCACCAGAATCTCCAGATGAGTGAACAACACATACACGTTTCAGAACCAAATGTCACCCTCTTAATCACTCTTGGATTTTTTTGGTTTACGACCAGTAGATCTGGCTTTAACAGCTTCTTCTCTTGCACGCTTTTTACCTTGCTCACGATGAAACTCTTTGCTTCGTTCGCGTCCCATTACTCGATCCATTTCAGTAATTTTGGCTTGCTTTTTGGCTGCCTCTGCTCTTTTTTCCATCTGTTTAGCCTTTTGCTTCTGAAGCTTGTCATTTTTGATTGTATTAATGGCCTGAATAAGAGTAGCTACTTTACGTTCATGAGGCTCCATAACAACCGCACGGCGTTGAAGAAAACTGGGTTCAGTCTGCTTTTCCAAAAGCTTGGGCTTGGATGCAAATGGAAGTCTTGCTTGCAATTCTTTGGGGATTTTCAACTAATAGGATTTACAATACATTAAAAACTGAAAAACTAATATACAATCCAAACATTAAAGATCACCTTGTTGAATCTACGCTCAGGTCGCACTATTGGTCTGTACAACGAATCCTTATTATGTACCAATTGTACATTTAGATCTTTGCGTAGCTGTCCAGTTGTTCGCATTCCCATCCACGCAAGCTTGTCCGATAATAGTAATGATGTGACAGGATTGTAGAATTTTTTGGGTTTAACAGGATACCATGCACGCAAAAAGATAATGTCACTCATGAGAACCTTGTCCTCGAATGTAGCTCTAAATGCGCCTTCAGGCTTACTAATACTTTTCTTGACTTGACCACGAATGCCACTGACCGTACGCAGACTAGCACCTTCAAACTTGGCCACTTCAAGAGAGCTAGAAAACATGTCTTTTACGAACGCCGTGTTTTTGAATACCTTGATAGGTGTTCCAGTGATTTTGAGTTTCTTGACCACTTCTGTTGTTTTTTCCACAGCAAGCACCACACCCGTGGCACTTATCCGGAATGCAGCAGTTTTATCCGACACGGATTGAAAGCAACAAAAGCCAGTATTTTGTGGTGTTACTGGACCAAAAAATGTTGCAAGACAATGCATATGCTCTGGTGTATATTTAAGCATGCGATTCCGTGTCGCATCCGTATTCAATGAATATAAAGGAATACTTTGGAATCGTCGCCATCCAAGTGAAAAAATCAGTGGATCATTGGTTTTAAGAATCTTTTTGGCCCATCGGTGCTTTTTAATACGAACTTGAATAAATCCAAAGCTGAGTTCTGTAGAAAGCAAACCACCAACAATAATGGGATAATCTGCATCAAACGATTGCACAAATTCACAGGGCATGCATTCAAGAACAATACGCACATAGGTCCCAGCAGTATATCCTTCTAGTAAAGCACGGGTTTCCGCATCCTCGTTTTCAAATTCTGCTCGATTCATCTCTTGTTGACGGGCCATCTGCTGCTTTGCATTCTCATACAGGTTTCCATCATCCTCTTCATCTTCGCCTTGCCCTTCGAAATCTGCATCAAATTTCTTTTTGATCAACTCTTCCTTTCGCTTGGCATTCGCTTCACGCTCACTCTGAATATCCATTATATCAGGATTAATTCCTGCTGTAGATCGCGATTTGGTAGGAGCAGAGCCACCTGAGCCGCTTCTACTAACCGGCTTTGTCTTGTCATTTTCAGATGCATTAGGATTTTCAAGATCCTCAAAGTCGTCATAAACTTCTTCATCGCTGTTTTCATCAGCCTTTTCCATATCGTCTGCATTCTCATCTGATTTGGGCTTTACACCCGTCACAAAACGATCCCGAATACTGTCAAGAAATTCTTCTTCTGACCACATATCCAAAAGGTCTGGCGATATCTCAACTTTTGGGGTGTCTACATTAGCAAGCGTTTGTAGTAAATTAGAGGCAAGATCACGACGACGGACATTGAACCAGCCATCTTCATGCGAAATATTTGAAGGAGTTGTCGATCCCTTGGATTGCTTGTCAAAAGCAGTTTCGTGTGACAAGATGGTCGAGTTTTCTGCAGTTTCGCATTTCTCTGGATTATAAACATGATCAAACAGATTGAATCGACGAAGTTTGCTGAAATTCAAAGCGGCTTTTGCTTGGAGATTTCCCTTCCATTTAAGAGAGCCATCTGCATCTATACCAACCTCGGCATCATAGTCTTCCTCGTCATCTTGACTGTCATGATCAGAACCATCAGCTTCGTCATCTTCACTAAGTCCCAAATCGCTGTCACTTTCAGCAAACGCAATATTTTTGATGTCCTCATCGTCAGATGCACCTTCACCGGCATATGCAGTTGCATAGCCACGAGCTACACGACGTCTTTGATGGCCAAACGAATTAGAAACATCCTCTTGATCATCCTCGTCGTCATCGTCATCATCGTCGTCGTCATCATCATCGTCATCCTCGTCTTCATTCTCATCAGACATACCACTGTAGTCACTTTGATCCTCTTCATCCTCTGATTGATTCAACAGTAGCTCAGAGTTTTCAGCAAGCAACGGCTGAGATTCGTTGAATATTTGCATTTGACTAGACTTGACACGATCAGCAAGAGTTGAAGGTGCATCTTGCAGATCCAAAACCATCTGTTCACCTGGCCCAGCAGGCACAAACGGCTCATCGCTTCCATTGTCGTGATTAGGTTTTGAAAATGCACCAGGAACGCTAATATACACGGCATCCTTGTCGTATAAAATACCGCCGACATCACTCATGGGAGCATACAACAGCTTGTGCTTGTCGCTAAGTTTTTTTCGTACTTTGTCTGGAATAGGACATGGATCGTCCAAGATTGAAATATTAAGAATATGTTGATCGCCCACACCAGGAATATGCACCTTGGAGTTTTTTTTCAAGTTGGTTCCACGAAGATACCCATATACAGTAACAGTTCGATCGCATTTTGGATTACTATGCACCACATCAGGATCGGTAATATCTTCCATACGATCAGCCAGCATGTACGGATGGGTGTTGCGCCAAATCAAAGGTCGGAATTTCATGACAGAAATGAAACGAGACAAATTGAGTATCTCGGTTTTTGGATAGCGTCCATTGATGATACCCGAGAGGTAAAACAGTTTAGCACCTTGATAAATCTCTGTCCAGAAACGCTGCTTTAAACGTTTTTTGACTTTGCGCAAACGCTTGTTGTCTTTGAATTTGTCAAGATGAGTTAAAACACCCATGACTCGGGGAAATCCATGCACCTGCAGGATATTCAAAAATTCAAATGTTTCCTATATTGTTGAATGAGCTGTTAGAAGACTGATGTTTTAAATTTTGCGTTCAAAACTAAATATGCAGCATGCAAGGATATAAATGACTAGATGGTGATATATTTGAAATAGACAACCACATTGATTTACCATTTCAAATCCATAACTAGCGTCAATCAGCAATAAAATCAAGTCTGCGACTTTGCCAATATCGATCATGGAGTTGACATCGTTGTTGCACTCGAGAAAAGTCAATCTCCGCTTTTTGCCTACATTAAACATGGCATTCATACCAAAGTGTTGGTTGAAAATATACATTTCAAAGATAGTTCAAAGAGAATAAAAATAAAGCATACCACTAATGACTGTAATAGGTCCATGAATCTCATTCAAATTATGCTTGGTATATTTCTTGACAAGCGATTTGATAAGAGTTGTTTTGCCAGTCTTGCGATTTGAATTAGTCAAAAAAACACATGCAATGAGTTTTAAAGTTATAAAATCTGGTGTTAAAATAGGGATACGTGCAAGCAGGATTAAAAACAATCGAGCTTCCCACCTTTGGAGGACCAACAACAGCAACAATAAATGGAGGCGCATCAACAGGACTTCGATCTACCAAAGGCACATGTAATTTTTTCTGATCCTTTTCCGAGTTTCTTCTGATTGCTTTATCGGCATTACGACTGGAGAGGGAGGTAAATGCTCTTGGATTGTTTTTGGCAGCATTTTTGTTGGGCTGATTGGCCTTTTTCCGTTCAGCTTTTGGGCCAGCCTGAGGCTTGCGATGTAGTTTTGGAGTAGCAATATCCATGGTTGATCAGGAAAGGACAACTGCACAAACGGATACTCGAATCTGCGCAGGACAGCCGAATATTAAATTCAAACCAAGAAAGAAAACTAAAATTGGAAAAGACGATAAAAACTGCAGCCAATCAAAACGTGGAAATTTATATTGACGCGGCTGAGGAAACCAGCGAAGAAACCAACGAGCAAGTCAACGAGGAAACCAACGAGGAAACCAGTGAGCAAGCCAACGAGGAAACCAACTGGCAAGAATCCGCTGTGGAATGCACGAGTTTATACAATTCAATCCATTTCAAATGGAATCCAAAGTTTCTTGAATTTTACAGTTTACTTTGTCGATCTGCAATTTACATCATGAACGATTGCTTCAGTACTATTCACGATGTTGATTTGCCTGACCAAAAAGCCCGCTTCAAAGTGTATGAAATCAGAAACTCTAATGGCCCGGTGTATGTCTTGCATCATGGAGCTGGCCATACTGCCATGACTTGGTATAAGTTGGCCCAGAATCTCAAAAATCTAACTACTGTATCGACATCCACAGAATGCTCGATTCTCTGTTATGATGCTCGTGCTCATGGTAACCTTGATTCTTCCCTTTTGTCTGCGTCGAGCAGTCCAACTGCTGTTTAGTTTTACGAATCAATATTCATCTTTAATGTGTGGATTGGGTATATATAGGATCAACTGCCTCGGAATCTGAAGATATTCCATTGAACGTACTTTCAAATGACTTGGCTGCTATTATCAATCACTGCTATCCTCAGCCCCACAAAAGGGACATCATATTGGTCGGACATAGGTTAGTCATTTTATACTTCCTCTGATATTGTACTTGGTTTATTAGCCAACTCTGTCAAGTTGGAGAATCTAACCTGTCCGACATTTTTTTGGTTGGGACCAATATAAACTTGACTCGAATTATATTTACACTTTTCTGTATTTCATCGTCTATAGTCTTGGAGGATCTGTCGTAGTTGATGCCATGTCCAGATCACTTGTTCAAGGAGTTCGTGGTGTTGTGGTTTTGGATGTGGTTGAAGGCAAGATCCATTTTCATGACTGATTCTGCTTAGAATAGATTGTTTATCATGTATATAACTGTTGGACTTTAAAACTCAAATATAAATAGGTACTGCGATCGATTCTCTGATTCACATGAAACGAATCTTGCAAGCTCGTCCTAGCATGTTTAACTCGGAAGATGAGGCAATACAATGGGCGTAAGTTATATGGCTGTATGATGTGCAGCTATAAATCATTCAGCCGTGTAGTCTACTCTTTGGATTTTATATCCAGCTAAAAATTGTATTATCTTTCAACTGCAATATTTTAGTGCCAAAAACAACCATGTTAAAAATATCGAACTTGCTCGTCTAACCATCATCGACCAACTTATTAAAATCCCATCAGGAAAATTAATATGGCGTACTGACCTGCAAAAAACAAGTCATCATTGGAAAGATTGGTTTGACAATCTATCAGAAAAGTTTTTGGCTGTTCGCGCCGGTCGTTTGTTGGTTCTTGCAGGTGCGTGTTTGCCTTGAATGTGTTGTAGATAAAACTGTTTTTGTGTTGACGTTTTTATTGATTCAATGAGTATGTTTTTAGAGGCAGATCGACTTGATAAACCACTCACGATTGGGCAGATGCAAGGTATTTAAATCTATTTAGTATTACATCGTGGCACTTGATTTAAATTCAATGGGAGCTTACAACGATTATATCCTTCAATTACATGGCAATATTTAGGCAAATTCCAAATGGAGATTTATCTTGAAAGTGGACATAATATTCAAGAGGATGCTCCAGATAGGCTTGCCAGAGATTTACACGAATTTTGGAAGCGTAATCAGTCTTTGGTTACCATCAAGCGCTTTCCCATTCCACCTCTAAAATCTTCAGTACAACACTCGTCATGAAAATGAACCATTAAATTTAACGTATATTTCCAATACAACTTTTGATCCTAGTTTGAACTTCAACACAATGAATTGATTTCAAAAATACCAAATTGGACTGTTGAACCCGAATGTTTTATTTTGCGTTCAACCCTTGTTTTAGTTACGATCAGCAGGTAATTTGCAGAATTAGAAACCAATTTCACGTGACTAGAATGTGTGTTCAAAACCAATTAAACTGCGAATTTATCCAGACTATCTGACACTATTGCGATGGACAATCGACCACTTCCTTCTGGATGGGTGCAGCAATGGAGTGCCCAGTACTCCCGTCACTTTTTTTATGGTCAGTCATTTCTACTATCAACTGTCTTGAGAGTCCTACTGACATTATGTGACTAGATACTACTCGCAATGTGTCCAGCTGGGACGATCCCCGAGGTCCTGCACCTGGCCCTCCTCCACCTGGACCACCTGGACCACCGCCATCATCGGCACCTTCTGCTCCTCCTCCATATCAGCCTATTGAGTCAGACCGCGGCGGTCCAGTCCCACCACAGGGTTATGGTCCACCACAACCTTATATGCAACAACCTCCTCAGCAACCTTATATGCAGCAGCCTCAGCAACCTTATATGCAACAACCTCAGCAGCCTTATATGCAACCACAACCTTATATGCAACCACAGCCTTATGGTGCTGCCCCTATGGTCACTCAAGTAGCCCCACAAGCTCCCTCAAAGCCTGGTATGTTTGGTTTTGGTAAACCTAGTGGCGGTTCCGCATTGGGTACAGCAGGCGCTGCCATGGCTGGTGGTGCCGGCGGTGCTGTTCTTGGATCGTTGGTTGGCAAGATGTTCACTGGCGGAGGTGGTGGTGGGGGCGGTCTTTTTGGAGGAGGTGGTGGTCTCTTTGGAGGTCATCATCATCATCACAGTGGAGGCTACAACGATTACAACGACTACAATGGTGGTGGTGGAGGTGGTAATGTCTACAATACTTACGAAACTACCAACAATACTTACGAAACCAACAACGAAACTTATAATGACAACGTCACGTATGATAATGACAACATCTCGTATGATAATGACGGCGGTGGTGGTGACTGGTAATGGATGTTCTTGGCAAGCAAGCCATCTATTTGGTTTAGCATGAATTCTGGCTGCTATGTATTAGGCTTTCAAAGATATTCTTACTGATCGTATAGGAATTGAATGTGCATCTATTGGGATCTTGCACTGGCGATAATTATGGCTTTGGATTTATCATTCGAGTATCTTGGTTTGTCTATTCCACAGCCGTATTCTCATAAAATGAAACACTTTTGTATTGGTCCTGTAATGACTTTATTTTGCTCTGGGATAAACATCGTTACATGTTCGATGTTATTGAAAATGTATTATTTTTATTGAAACTCTTGTGTCCTAATATCAGATGTGTTTGCGTTCCAGTTCAATATATCAGGAATGCAATTATACATGCCAATCACACAGTATTTGGTTTGAAGGAAAGGAAAGTTGGAGGTTAAAGAGATGTCAAGGATGTGGAATGTATTGGAAGAGATGTGAACATCAAGACCAGTCAACTAACGAGTTCAAAAAACAATCTTGTCCAGTAAGATTGGCATCATTAATGAAACAATTATTGTTTAATTTTCGGGAATTAACCGTGTTTGCATAAAATGAAACAACCACAATGTCTGTAAGTGTCCTAAAATGATTGGTGCCAAATTGACTGGTCATTGTGCCATCTGGACCCTGTTCAAACTGAACATTGTGATTGGCATGAAAATGATAATTTTATTTCCAGGACTGTCGTCTTGGGTTTCTTGAACTAGATTACAAACACGTTCAATATGTTAGGGTATAACAAAGATGAGTTTGAAACCAGGAATTATGTCCTGATGTTGCCAACCCCGTTGTGTTTGGAGACTGATCAAGAAAGCAGTGAATGCTTCAGTACTTGAATTTTTTGAGCAATCGCACTGGTATAATATTCCCCAATGTACATTTTGTTTTGGACACACCATGCCACAAAGCCATACACTCTGATTGGACATGGCTCGTTGACTATTTAACAAGCAGCCATGTCGCAAAGGATCGAGTTTCATAGTATTTATAAATCTTGCAGACAATCGCTTGATAAACACCAAGTTTCTCAAGCAGTTTCAAGCACAGAAAAACTCGCAAGTCTATTCAAGTCAATCTTTAGTAGGAAAACAACGAATATTTGACCATTGTTTATTCCCAAGCAAAATAGAAGCTTCGACGCAAGATGAATACAGAAAAGTGTTTCATTTTACGTGACTACGACTGTAAATGGACATCTGATAGCATTAACACTAAAACAGTCTCTAGTTGAAACTGCCCCACGCTCCACTGCCATTGGTTACCCCGTTGATACCTGATCGCAAAGGTATTCCTAGTTCTGACTTACTTCCTACTCGTGCCATCCCATTAGCTTCTTGACCCACTCCCATAATGCCCATGTTCTGTCTGCCCGATCCAATACCACCACTTGCAGATGAGTCTGTACCACTAGAGTTCATCAATCCACTTGTGTTACCAATCGACAAATTGGATATGTTGGGCGTCAATGCATGCATGAGTATTGATGTTGTGCTTGCAGCAGAGTCTGTATTGCTTCCAAAAAACGGCAGCGTCCCTGATGGACCTAGATTGAAAAGTCAAATGGCTGGAGTTAGTTTGTAGATACAAATCAATCTATATTATAAAAAACATGCTTACCTGAGCCGGAGAGTATTGAATTGCCAGACAATTGAGCGTAGCTAGAAGAACTTGCAGTGCCAACCCCATTAACACTTGCACCAGTAATAGAGGAAATTTTATCAGAGTTTAGCATAGTAGTATCACCTTTACCGCCATGATTAGCTCCGAGTTTAGAAGCAGGTATTCGTCCTTCAAGTTGATCATAATACAACACCCATTCTTTCTTAACTCTGCTCCACGTTAGTGGATCGAAAAAGATATACACACCACGCTCAAACCCATTTCCTTTAGCAAACGACTCGGAAGTTGCTGAAGATCCAACTGGATTAGTTTCTTTACACACCCACAGTTTTAGCTCCCTATGGAATCGCCATGAACGATCATACAACTCTTGTGCTGCTGCTTCTTGCAGTATGTCCCTGGGCATGGCGTAAAAGATATATAGTAGTGACTCATCCGCCAGCGACGCTATTTTGGATATTGCTGGTGGAGTCGTTGAAAGTAAACTTGGTGGATGCTGAGAACCTGCTGATCCAGTAGGAGTGGCCAAAGACCCAAGTGACGTCAACGATCCTAATGGCGCGTAGCAGGGTGGAATAGAAAACACTGGATCTGCACCAACGGATGGCACATCGGCAAAGGGACTCATGAATGTCGAGTAGATAGGATCGCTTGAGTTGAGATTCAAACCAAGACTAGGTAAATCACATCCCAATGCAAGTGTTGTTACATCATCATTGGTCATGCGAATTACATCAATTAAACCCAAAAGTCCATGTTGCTGCTGGATTTGTGTTTGCTGTTGCTTTTGTGAACCTATATACGAATCTATGCCACGCCCGGAAAGTAAACTGCTTCCAGAAGCTGTGGTTTCTGTCGATGATGCATTAAGAGCAGATAGCAATGCTCGCTCTCCAGATATATCACTTGCAGTGGTCTGACCTCCACCCAATTTAGACGCAAGATCTGACCCTTGTTGATGAGACCAGTTTGCCAACGCCTTCAATTGCTGTGACGAAGCACCATTCTCAATACCACTTCCATTTAAACGAAGACCAGAAGCCTCCATAGACCGTCTCAAACTACCAGCGTGTCCAATGGGTGATTGACCTCCTGAAATCATGGAAGTCGACAATCCACCAACGGGTGATTGCTGTGATTGATGCTGTTTTAAACGAGATGTGCTCCCATTCACGTCAAAAGAGTAAATGGATTCAGACAATCCAGAAGTAGCGGACGCAATGGCAGAGTCTGACATAATCGACGCGCTGATGTTTGGCGCTGCGTTTTCTCGAGTTGCTACAGTGGATGCTGGCTGCAATGGTGGAAGTTGAGCATTTCCACCAAGCAAGTTTAGCATTAAAATTTCCTCTCTTGTTTGCTGTGGAATCCCCATTGTTGCAGATAGTCGTTGTTGGATAGATTTTTGATGATGCTGAGACGGCATTCCTGCTGCTAATCGACCAATTAATAAGTTTCAGATTTTGGAATAATGACAAATGCATTATTGCCAATATACAACACAAGAGTAATCTAATATGCAAGAGAATAATATGTATAAATATAGAAACTTGAAAAGTCTAACCTGATATTGATGAGAATGAAAGCGCTGATTGTCGAGGCCCATCATAGCTCGTTGATCCCCCAAGCGAAGGAAACTCGGTCAATTGTCTAATATAAAGTAAGAATCAAATAGGTTTAACCCAGAAAAGATTTAGCAACATTGATCATGATTTATAGCAAGTCAAGGATCGTCACTCAAAAATCAAGTGGAAGGTCCGCCACTGATTCCATCAACACCAACCAAATAAATGTCTTTGACAGACAATAAAGTCGACAATGAATCAAAGTATAAAATGATAATGATTCCAGTGTTGGATCTACAAGTGCATGGCTTAGCACTATCCAAGATGACAGGATTGGGTGCAGGTCACATTAACTTTTTACAAAAGTTTTAAAAATTCAAATCCAAACGCAGTATGAACAGACTCCAAACATCGATATTATCGAAAATAAACAGATCATAATAGTCGAGTCAACCATCAATCTGTAGTTGCAATCGGTGACGTTGGATTGATGTCAATTCATTCAACACAGGACTGCAGTTTAATCGCAACAGTGACTGCTCTCCTATACGGACAAATAGCATGCCAACATCATGTACTGATAAGTATGCAGTAGGTGGTAATGGGTTGTTATTTTGTGTCAACGCTCGATGGAATGCAGCACTGCATATCCTACAAGTCAATGCAGTGGGAGTTGATCCAGCCTGTAGGTGTCGAATAGAAACTGAAATAACAGTTGTTATGCTGTCAAGTGTTTAAACCCCTTCCAGATACAACAACAGCCACGACCCACTAACAACAGCACTCTTGCTGGGCCATTTACCTTTCGTTCATGAGCTTTGATGGTTGTTGTGGTCGATGTTTGCTCGAATTAATCCCATCAACACACCCTCAGGTCGTGCGATATTTAGCCATTCTTGCTATTTTTGGTCTGTTCATCTCAGCCTGACATTCATTCCATTTTGGAATTATTCGCCATGTCTGCAAAAAAATATCTGAAACTAGTCGATATTCACAATGTCTGTCTTGACGAAGATGAATCACCGCAACACTGTACTATCGAAACTCGAGACTTGACCGACGTGTCCCTTGACCCGCTATTTCAAGCCAATACACAGAAAACTGACGACCTTTGCAATACTGGCACTCCTGCTGAACATCGCTTATCCATTTCAACGTCTTCTACCAATACCCATTCGTTAACAAATGCCCAGAATACTACCACGACAAATCCCAAATTTGGCGCGCCTGATAATCTCAATGGTGGAAGCAAGAATACTGAAGCATATCCCCACGACTCGCATCCAGGCATTTTAAAAACAACTAATTTTGGAGGTAAATATTCAATTGAAATATTCCTATATACCCTTGACATAGATAAAACACGCTAGGTTATGCTGTAATAGACTAGGTTTGAAGTATATCGAGCTAACCCATGGAATGATCGCGCTATGGCTTAAATTCAATATTTTCAGCAAGCATGGCACAAATGTTTTCTGAATCATTTTCATCCTCGCCATCACGATTTAAAGTCAGCCTACCAACGCGAGCAAGCACGACCAACATCTTTCCCTGGAATGCAACAGGTCGGCCTCGTGATGCCCGTGAAGTCGAACTTCTTATAGACTTGACCAGACTTATGGCCGAATGGGGTGCTCCAATTTATCGCGTAGAAAACCGTATAATAACTGCTGCAAAAGCTCTAGAAATTCCTATTTCATTCTTTTCCCTTCCATCAATGATTATGGTAAACATTGGTGATGGTGGAGCTCAGCATCCTTCTAGAACTGTATTTATCCAACTTTCATCTTCAATGAATATGTGGAAGTTGCATCAGGCTGATCGACTTGCTCGACGACTTGGATTGATCTATATTCGGTTTGAAAAACTCAAAATGAGAGTTTTGAGTAAACACCGAAAAGAAGACTCTGTGTATGAACATGACGATCATGTTGGGTTGTCTGAGCATGCATTTTCATCACCTCCAGCTACAAGCGCATCCAGTAAGCCACCACATCAACGTACCACAACTTCAAAAATGTTCAGATCGGATTCCATAGCTTCAGCAACAAGTAAAGTTATTGGAAGAGGTGACGAAGAGCCCGTTGCTGTCGAGGAAATCATTCAAGATCTGCGCGACTTGGCAGAAGAAGACGACAGCTATTCATCCCATGCTCGAGTTTTATCTTCTCTCTGTACATCTGGATTCATTGTTATTCTTTTGTTTGGTGGAAGCTTGAGTGATGCAATTGCTGCAAGTGTTTTAGGTGCATTGGCAACAGCTTTTTCCATCATTGCTGAAGAACTTGAAATGCAAACCGTGTCGGTCATTTTCATTGCCGGAACAGTGTCATTTTTTTCTCGCATTGCACAGACAAAGTATATTTGGTCTATGGTTCCTGGGAGCCCATTTGGATTGTGTCATGATATTGTGTCGTTGGCTGGTTTGGTTCAATTTATGCCAGGCATGCAATTCACTTTGGCAATGCTAGAACTTGGATCAGACTATTCTGTTTCGGGAGCTTTAAGACTATTCAATGCTTCGATGCGATCAATTATGGTTGGGTAGGTGACAGTTTTTCATGCTGAATCTTGATGAAGAATGGATGCAGTTTTGTTGATTTAATCGTTTTATATTTTAAACAATTTAGCTATGGTGCTACATTCGGATCTCGATTTGCTGTTACCGTTTTACAAACATTTGAAGCGTGGGCAATTGACGATACTCTTAAAGCTTGCCCGTCTCCTGATCTTCCCTATACAATTGATTTTTGGCGTCTTCCGGCATTTATCCCTGTAAGCACTACACCATTTTGATTGTGTGACCCATACCAATTACAGTCGTATTCATGTAAAATAGAATACTGTATCTTTTAGCAATTATTTTTGCTTTTGAATATACAATGGTTAAAGATTGTTTTGCTTTCCTATGAACAAATAGACTATTTTGACATTTTCAATTTGTTCAAACATCAGATTCATTCAAATCCAGATATTGGGTTTGACTGTTCTAATGTTGTCCATCAAACTCGCATTCTAATTTCACAAATACGTTTGTGATCTAGTTTGTGAGAACACATTGCATGTCTTGGGAATGCAACATGCATGCCAATCACACAATGTCGACTTGTCATGTTCATTTTGAAAAGTTCAAGATTGAGCAGGTGTGGAATCTATTGAAATAGATGCGAACGTTTGTTCAGTTTTTTATAAAAAATGAGCAAAGATGAGTCAACTTTGCCAAAGTTTAAAAAACACAATATTGTCCAGAAACTAATACGAATCATTCCATGAGATTGGTTATTTATGTATTTCAACACCTTTGTTTGATATTCCATTTTGCGTGGATACAACTGGAGAAGATATACTAGTTATTGATTTAATTTAAACTGTTAAATTGTAGATGACTGTATCAATCATGATATTTCTCAAAGCACATCCAAGCCAGTGGTTACCAATCATTACCTCGTCGTTTATCGGATTCATGGTATCCACTATATCAAGATTGTTTTTCACAACAGTAAGAGAAGTCCACAATGAATGTCAAACGCATTTTACATGCACTCGAGATTTTTAGTACACTAACCCATTTATCCTTTTGATCATTATAATGGTTCAAGGAAATGACATCTGTTTTTACATCCTTTTCACTCGGTATCGTATCAAACTTATTGGCCAGGTATAGAGACAATATAGCTATTGCGTCAGTACTTGCAGGGATATTTTGGTTGGTACCAGGAAGTGTTGGTGTGCGTGGAGCAATTGCTGCATTTTCTGGTGATGCTTCAGGTACTTCGTTTGGAGTACAAATAATTGTTCGGGCCATGTCCATTGCTGTTGGATTATTGTAAGTTCAAGATTCGTTTATTTTTATATTAGATTGATGGTTGGATTAATTTGAGCATCTGGAACCATTTTTTGTAAATCAGTGCTGCCAATGCCATCGTGTTTCCAATTGGACCAAGGAAACGACAAGTATACGAGGAAGACTCATTGGCGGTCTGACGCTTTATTCCATATGACAAAAAATCATTCGAGTATTATATTACCCTCAATAACATGGTATTACAAATCTACCACACAAATAAAAATATCATAGAACAAGTACGACTATTGAGTTGAAAAATGATGGCCAAAAAATAAAGGTATATGCATGAAGAGTTTATTGCATGGATAAAGTAAATGCAAAAATTCTACGACGGTGAGGATGTGTCGTGCGATTGAACTGCCCATATATCATCTTGTTTGGCTATACATCAAAATCAAAACCAGTTAAAAATACAATCATTCTAACGCTTACTACGCAATACATATCCTTACCACGACTGCAATCAGACATGCTTAGTTGAAACAGTGTGAAAAACACCAGCAAATGCAAGGCCCCACTGTAAATAACAAAAATCCATCTCGAGTACTTGTTGGTTGACAGTAGACGAGTAAGACTCAATGCGGCGCGTTCGGCAGGATTCATTGAATGAAATCGTCTTTGCTCCTCTTGCTTGTGAAATCGCTTAAATGGATCAAGAGATTCTTCATATATCCCTCGATATTTGGTGCTCACACTGTCTTGGTCAAGCAGCTGGTTATTAGAGTATCGATCAGCAGTTATATCCACCTAAATGTGAATCAGAAAATACATAATGTAAATCTATACAGATTCCAAAATAGGTGCACCAGCACAAAACAATAGCTTTTAATTTTTTGTAAAATAAACTTACTGCAGACGAGTGTCGATTATTTGTACCTTGAAATCTAGTATTGGAATAGCTTTCAGCATATCTCAATTTCTCATATAGCTTGACATTATCGGCTTTGAAATTGGCAATCTCGTAGCGCAGGTCAGAGATTGTTTGGATATGTTCGCGCATATTTTGCTCAACTTCTTCAAACCGCTGCTTGTACCTGTCTCGCTGGGACGTAAGAATAGAAACAATAGATGCATCAGCAGTCCCTGGTATATTTCCGCCTGTTACTGGGTGGTTTGTTTTACTCAAATTGTCCAGCATAATGGATTCAAGACCCTATATAAATAAATGAGAATAAGAACACCCCTCATTACAAACATTATACGGTTGCTTCAGATTCAAAAAATATACTTGACCAACGTACATGATCCATGGATGTGTATTTTTGAGGTGAAGCCATACAAGAAGGATTCAACTGAAGTAAATCTGCCTCAAGTTTGACTATTAGTGATTTACTTTCTGTCAACTGTGCCTCCAAACTATCTTTAGTCAGAGTATATTGTGCAAGCTTTTCCTGCATGTTTTGAAGCTCCGTCTATCCAATCAATTCAATGAGTTTGCCTATTCAAATAGATTAGCAATCAGGTCAAGTGTGAGTAAATACCTTGAGGGTGGTCACATCATTCTGCAACTTTTTGTTTTTGGCTAGTACCAATTTTTCAAGTGGATGATCTACGACAGACGATGATATCTCTGATTCAACAAACCCATCAAATTCAATCCCCTAAACGATAAAAAGTTATTATTGTACCAGCCGTGTACATTGATACAGCCCAGTCATTAGTCAGCCATACGCTGTGTAACCTACCTTGATAATGTCCAGTTCTTTTTTGATTTCTTCATAGTCACTAAACTCTGCAAGCTGTGATTGAAGTTGTGCAATTTCAAACAACTATACTTGACATAAATATTGCTGAATCAGTTGGCAGATTGTATCTACAACCATGTATCATTGATGCAGATGGATTCGGTTACCTTCATGGCTTGGTCGCGTTTTTGGTCTTGAAGAATTTGAAAGTTGACCACTTCCAAGTTTTTTTGAGCAGCAGTGACATCATCCAACTGTTCAATCAGGGCAATATTTTCTGCCTATCAATAAATGTTAGCACTTTTATGTTCAATCTATACGACTATGCAAACACACAAGCCATTACCTCTGCCAATCGAATCTGATTGTGCAATCTACAATATATATAATAAGAAATCTAACAGATCTATAAAGTGTCAATTGTATCACAAAAATTGAAAACTTACTGATTGATCTTCTCATTGTTTTGGGATGTTTCAACGGAATCCGACATTTTTTCCTTTAAAAGACGCTACAAGGCAATACAAAGTTTAATACATTTTGGTATTGGAATCAGATTGACTATTTCAATAACAAACAAGTTTAATTTACGTTCTCATTGCTCAGTTGAGCTGTTTTAGTATTGGCACGTTCTAGATCCATCATGACAATTTCCAATTCTGCCAAACGAGCAGCAACACCTTCATCTAAACCATCAAATCGTGAGCATGTGTTGAATTTGAATCAATGTGGTTCAACTGACCATATTTCTGAGTATTATCAACCAATCTAGCTTGAGCAACTTCGTGGTTACTCTGAAGACTTGATATTTGATTCATAAGGTGGTTCAATTGACGATTGAGTGCATGCTCACTATATCGAATAAAATGGTCAACGTATCATCATTAAGATTTACATGTGAATGAGCAGTGCTTACGTTTCTTTGTAGATTCTGATTTTCTCGTCCATGATCTGCTTCATTTCACTTTCCTTTTGAGCCACTTTTTCAGCCACCATTTCATCAAGCTAAAATAGATGAATATAAAATAAGTAATATGGATACTTGGGGATCTGATGGTTAAACTTACCATGGCTTCGTATTTGGATAAACGCTGTTTCAGACTGGATATAGTAGTATCCAATGATTTTGAAGCAGTGATTTGAGTGCTTGATGCAGCCAGTTCTTCTTTTAATCGACGATTTTCAGTCTGTAAAGAGGTGACTTGATCCAGTTGCTTTGCTTGTTCCTAATAAAAACACGATTGGTGTTGCATAAGAATGGATGTTGCATTTGAAAGTGATGAATTCCACAAAAAAGTAGGGACAAACCAGTGCAGATGTGATCAGTATAACAGGATCGGGTACATCGGATAGTAGTTTGTACAATGTTAAAAAGCAGGTCTCAGCAAACTTTGATCTTTTGGTCATGCTGTCAATCTCTGTATTGACACAACATTGAGTTTAGATGGTTTAGTACGTTGATTGGCAGTAGAGAGATTCTGAGTATTTACCAGACTGATAGGCTAAATGCAGTTTGTTAAGAACATTTAAAAAGTGGATTGTTAGTTGATGCTAGAATATGATTTGACTTTGAACCAAGAAATACCTTTCAAGAGAATCTTGACTTGGTTCAGTTTGTCATCATCGGGTACTTTTTTAAACTCTATAAATCAGCAGAACATTAGATACTGAGCATTCTGGGCATCAATAAAACATAAGCCAACCTTTAGTTTGGTCAGCAAGCTGTTTACGACTTGTGGTAGATTGGTTCTGATTTTCAATAATGCCGAGTCCTTGAGCGTCCAGGTCTCGCTGTAGCTGAGCGAGCCCAACCTCTAACAAGTAGTTAGCGAGTTGAATAGTAGTTGATGATAGTAACGACAGAATACATACTTTCCCAGGCAACAAGAGCAAGTCTGAGCGAGTCTTGCATGAGTAAGATTCAGTTGCAAGGAAAGAAAGTTGACCATGAATTCGTTGGTGGTCGCTCACCAAGTACACCCGTCACTCAACCAGCCCTTCTAAATCATCGGGATTCTTGCTATTCCCCACGTGGTGATGATGGACTTCCGATTAGATAATTGCTGTTTGGTTTCAATCGTCATCGTCTGAATGTTCTCTTGGCTGTTTGGTTCTAAATCGGTTTGTACAAAGCCATCTACTGCTCCACAGCTCACTCCCGAGCAGATTGCTGCTGGGAATGTGGACGAGATTAAAGAGTTTCACTTTCATGTCTATTGGTTCTTGAATGACCCAAAAACAGAAACCCTTGCCCTTGCTCTCAGGGATAGGGTAACTGCTCTCACTGATTCAGGCTACTTTGTTGCCAAGCCACTCAAGACTGTCAATCGTCAGCCCAGAGGTCCACATCCCATTGGGTCCTATGAGGTTTGGGTGCCTTGTGAGTCTTTTGCTAAAGCATATTCTTGGTTCACTCTTAACCGTCCAAAGGAACTCATTATTCTTTTGCATCCTCTCACTCGCCAAGAAAGAATCGATCATTCTACCAGAGCCGTCTTTCTAGGAGGTCCTGCTGCATTGCCCATTAAGCTTGATGAACTGAGTGAGCTTACTGATAAAATGCCTTTGCAATACCCTGAGCTCGGCTTGGGCTACTCTGCCCCTCAGTGATTGCTACTTTCAATTCATTTACAGCTGTATTCTCATAAAATGATTCACTTTCTGTATTGATCTTGTAATGACTGTCTTGGAATAAACAATCGTTATATTTGTTGTTGGAAATGGATTATTTGTTTTATTGAAACTCTTCTAATATCAGTTACGCTCGCGTTCTAGTTCAACATATCCCAGGAACCCAACTGTTGGTTTAAAGGAAAGGAAGGTTGGAATGAGTTCAAAAAACAATATTTCCCAATAAGATTGGCACCAATCAAACATGATTGTTTATCATATATTTTAGCTTAATGATTCATTTTACGTGAATGCAGCTGTAATAAACGTATTTAGTGTATTGTAGATAGAGTTTTTGCAGTAATGACACATCCGCTTCATCGCCTTATACATGTAAAATGAAACACCAAGAGTGCCAATGTATAATCAACAGTCAATTCCATGACATGATAGGTGTGAATATTGCTGATGGGAATGTATAGTCTAAACTCTAAAGTTTATTGGTCTTTTCTCCAGTGATTGACATGCAAACAACTACTAAATTCCCGAGATATGCAATCATTATTGAGTTAGAACGCGAATGTATCCGAGTTTTAGGATACAAACGAGTTTGGCAACAACCAAATCCAATATCTGTAATGAATGAATGAATCTGGTGATCGTACAACCCATAATTATGTCAAATGAAGAAAGAGATTGTGTGCATCATATGATGAACGCTGTGTTTTGAATCAAGAATGTCTAATAATAGAAGAGCGCAGCGAGTATTCAACCATTGTTTATCAAAAGCAAGAAACGATCACTGCAATATAAAGCGCTTTATTTTCCTTGGATACGGCTCTAGTTCAATTAGATAGTTTATATGGCTACACAATCCACTTGGTGATGAATATCAAAAATATTGCGTCATTAAGGGATTATTGCATGATAATAACACAGCTATTACGCCTTTGGTTTCAACTCATAAAGACCAAACTACTATCATTAGAGCCAAAAAATATTTTGAGGTTGCGGCCTAGTTGATCACTCCAGGGCTTTAATGCTATGCAATATTTCGGCTTGGAACTTTATATGGGCGACCAAATATTTTTAGGTGCGGTCAGAATAGTTAATTGCTAAATGAGGTACACTTTGAATATCGGTCGCCCGTGGAGCGTCCAGTGACTGCTTGGAATGCCCTTTAAGGACTTGAAATTTTCCTGGATTGTGGAAATATTATACTATTCAAATGAAAAAGCTTTGTCCAGCTACACCCATTGAATCAGTTCATGTCCCGGCTCTTGTGTTTCCATTAGCTGTAATGTCGATCAGAAATCTTGCAGATTGCATGCTTTTGTAACTTGTTTACGCTATATTAGTAATCTAATGACCAGTAAGAAACGCATTAATTTACCATATATCAAAATGCTGTAATTTGGCAGGCTTGTGAAAGGACGGGATAGCGGCGTAGCTCACTAGTATTGGATAAAATTGCAATGCCGCCCTTTGTAATATTAAAAAGCAAACTTATGCTTTTTCCTGGTCATCAATTGCCATAAATACTCCTGATGCACCAATGTTACCTTACTATTCTGTCATTGACAACATGCATGAAAGCGAATCCTCAGATAAAAATGCAAAGTACAATGAGGCATCCAAGTCCAGTAAGCTAATTGATGTTGAAATTCACGAACTCGATCCAGAGAAAATTTTGCTCAAGAGCGGAGATATTGAGCATGCGGATATTGAGTATGCTCGATTGTATACAAAAGGCATTGTTCCCGAAACAGACGACCCTAGCGCTCCCTCTCTGTCTATTCGTATGATGTTATTAGGAACCATATGGGCAGTCTTTCTTGGACTGGTCAATGGTATATTTTCTTTCCGTACCAACTACTTTGAGATTAGCAACAATGTTGCCGCTATTCTATCGTATCCAATTGGTATCTTTCTTGCCAATGTTCTCCCTCGTGGTATTCTTAATCCTGGCCCTTTTACCATCAAGGAGCACGTTCTTGTATATATGATTGCCGGTGCTGCTGGTGGTCAACCCTACGGTGTTGAAAACGTCATTGGTCAAAAGTTTGATCAGTTTATGGGCGATTCCAAGATTACATTTTGGAATTCGATTCTGTTTGTCATTACCACTCAAATGATCGGATATGGTCTTTCGGGTATGACTCGTCGATTTCTTGTCCGACCTGCTGCCATGTACTGGCCCACTGTGCTATCTACCGTTGCTCTGTTTGTGTCGTTCCATGAAACCGAAGAATCAGAAGAGTCCAAGAAAGTCGGCGGTCTGTCACGATTCTCTTTCTTTTGGGTTGGATTTGCCTTTATGTTCATGTGGCAGTGGTTTCCTACTTTCTTTGCTACCGCCTTGCAGTCCGTCTCAGTGCTCTGTATGATCACCAACAGCAAGTCTGCTCGTTTTCTTGGATCCGCGTCACCCGACGCTGGCATGGGAATTCTTTCGTTTTCGTTCGATTGGTCCAACATTGGTTCTGGTATCATCTCCATTCCTTGGTGGGTGATTGCCAATATGGCCGTTGCCAACATCGTTGTTGGGTGGTTAATTGTTCCTGTTTTGTACTATGGTAAGCATTTTGGCAATCCGGTCTTGGAGGGCAGTTATACGTTTGAGGATGGTACTCCTTTCCCCGTTCTCAACTCTCCCGCTCTCTACAACAGTCAAGGCAAGCCTATGCGTGCTACCAGCATGTATGACAGAAACAACTTCAATCTCAACAAAACTGCATATGATCTTGTCAAACCTATCTATTTGACCGAGTATTTTGCTGTTGCCTACTCCATGTCTTTCTTTGCACTTACATGTGGTATATCTCATGTTGCTCTTTGGTACTATAAGGATATTATACGTCAAACCAAGGAGATGTTTAATCAGGTTGACGAAGCTCACACTGACATTCACAATGAGTTGATGAAGGCTTACCCCGATATTCCTGAATGGATGTATATGGTATGGCTAGCTTTCTGGCTTGTTGTCATGCTGCTTGTTGGTATTTTTACACCTTTCCATTTGCCGTGGTGGGGTACTCTTTTCGGTCTTGTTCTCGCGTTCATCTTTTTGATTCCGTATGGTATCATTCAAGGTTCATCTGGACAGCAGCTTGGCCTCAATATCATCACTGAGTTGCTCATGGGTCTGTTTATTCCTGGACAGACGGTCGCTGTCATGACATTCAAGTCATACTCGTACAATATCATGATCCAAGCATTGTCCTTGACATATGACTTGAAAGTAGGACATTATTTACACATTAATCCTGTTCACATGGTCGTTGCTCAGTTATGGGGAACAATTATTGGTGCGTTCTCCAACACTGCAGCCGTATGGATCGCAATTGCCTACTTCCCTCTTGGTAACGAAGATTGGTCATATCCGGTGCATACCACCTTTTTCAATGCCGGTGCCATTTGGGGTGCTATTGGTCCAGCAAGATTTTTTGGGCCATCTTCGCCATACTGGTCTCTTAATCTGGGCTACGTGATTGGTATTTTCCTTCCCATTTTGCCATGGGCTGCCAACAAGGTCTATCCCCATCCATACTGGCGATTTGTCCACTTTCCCATCATGTCTAATTATGGAAATCCTGGCGGGATTCAATCGTCCTTTCTCTCACAAGTTATTATTTCCTTCATTTTCATGTACTATCTTTTCACTTATAAGCACGCTTGGTGGACAAAGTATAATTACGTTCTTGCCTGCGCTTTGGACGCTGGATCAGGTGTAGGAGTTTTGATTTCAACCATTGTGGCTATGGGTGTAGTCATCCCTCATTCAGCCGCCAATCCACCCATGTTTGATTTCTACTGCACTGGAACCAACTGGGATGATAAACAATTTGAGTAGACTTTCTAGGAGTTAGCTATAGAGTTTTAGTATTCTCTCAAGTTCAAGCTCTTGCTATTTTCACTTTACTACTATATTCATGTAAAATGAGATACTGTGTTTATCTTGAAGTGACTGTCTTTTGCTTTAGAATAAATGATGGTTAAAGATTGTTTTGCTTTCCTATGAACAAATAGACTATTTTGACATTTTCAATTTGTTCAAACATCAGATTCATTCAAATCCATATATTGGGTTTGACTGTTCTAATGTTGTCCATCAAACTCGCATTCTAATTTCACAAATACGTTTGTGATCTAGTTTGTGAGAACACATTGCATGTCTTGGGAATGCAACATGCATGCCAATCATACAATGTCGACTTGTCATGTTCATTTTGAAAAGTTGAAGATTGAGCAGGTGTGGAATCTATTGAAATAGAGATGCGAACGTTTGTTCAGTTTTTTATATAAAAATGAGCAGAGATGAGTCAACTTTGCCAAAGTTTAAAAAACACAATATTGTCCAGAAACTAATACGGATCATTCCATGAGATTGGTTATTTATGTATTTCAACACCTTTGTTTGATATTACATTTTGCGTGAATACAGTCTGCTTGATGCTGTTTGAATGTTTATTAAACATGATGGAATTGTCGAGATATAATGCTTATCTCCACTCAACTCTTTGGCCGTAAACCATTATCACGTTTTGGTCCACGTGATATAAAGTCACTCTTAGTATTGTAGTCGAGTGAGCTTGGAGTTGAGATCCGACACGATACGATACATGGCAGATTCATTGAAGGTGGTGACGAGGGTATCTACCGTTTCTGACTCTTCCAGACTTTCAGCACATGACAAGGATGCCATACCAAATTCTCTTCAAGGAGTCATTTCAAAGTTGCTTCAGGATGCAGAGGTACTTTTTATAACTGGCTGGATATATCTTGAAGCGAATAAAGACTATCAGCTGGAATCAGCCTAAATAAACTGTTCAATTTATACACACTTGCTGGGTTTGAATGCACTATGCTAAATGCAGTAGCTAACATTCTGGGGTTGCATTCATCAATAGAGTACTGTAACAGACGAAGCGGCTTGGCAAACTAAACCACGCCAAAGCGTTGTGGCTTCTAATAAACCAGAATACGATATTACATTTGACGAAGTGGACGGTAATTGAATTGCAAAACCATTTAAATATATTGCATTTTTTGGCATCGACCTACTTGATTTTTAAATCAACTTATTTTGCTTTACATTTGAAATCGAGTTAGATCGGATTACAGAATTTCAGGAAGATGAGCTTGTCAAAAGTGCACTTTCAAAGGTACATTCAGTTTATCTACTTGGATTGTCTGTCAGTATGGCTAAATCGTTTTATGCAATGTAATAGGGGGTTAATCTAAGGGAATATGCAATGCAGATTGAAAAAGACTTGACCCTAGTTCAAGATGCGCATGTGTTGGATTGTAAGCCTAAAATATGCTTTTATTCATTTCATTCAATCTCTACCATTATATCAATGCAAGGCTTGAAGAGTAACACCAGTTTTCAATTAATCACGCTCGGTAGATATTCGACAGGTGCATAGTCTAATTGATCTACATGGTCAAATTAAAGAATGTGATTTATTGCTGGGTAATATGGAAACCCTTCTTCGAGGAAATCAGATGCATTTGGGTCAAATCAATGATGAGATTAGCGTTATGCAAGAGCAGTCGCGATCAATGACAATCCGACTTCGTAACCGTGTAGTAGGTTTTGCATAGTATTCATAGTATTCATAGTTGCATGTGTGCATATAATGAGTACTAACATTTAAACACGTATAAAACCACATAGTCGACGCAATCTTCATTGTTTGAAATGCTAGAGGGGACTGTTGTATCACCAGATTTAATCAAGTAAGTTATAGCTCAATTTTTTCAAACTAGTTGCATATCTAGAAATACATCCAACAGTTTGACTTTATATACATAGGAAAATATGCGAGGGGGAAGTCAACGAATTCTTTCTTCAGCATCTGATTGATCTTGACAAAAAAATGACATATGTAAAAAGCAGACAAGAAAAAAAAATTCGCAGCTTTAAAGATGTTGCACCAGAACTAGAGCGTTTACGGCAAAGGGTAAACAATTCTATAGGTTCACGTGCTGTATTTAGACTAGTACGATGTAATAATTGATGATCATATTCAGGCAGTTGAAAAAATTCGAGACTTTTTACTAAAAAAGATTGAATCGCTCAAGTCACCCAATACCAATATTGCAATTATCCAACAAAGTGTGTTTCTTAAATATCGCAGCATGTTTTCATTTTTAATGGAGCGGTATAGCGAAGTAGGCGTTGAAATACACGGCAACTACGTAAGTTGGATATACATTTACAAACGAGCCCAAATTGTGATATCTGGCTCATTTTGGCACTACAAAATTACTGACTTGTTTTGTAATTTTACTAGGTTGCAACTGTGTCTAATTATTATTTTGTGCTGTTTGAAAAATATGTCAAATCAATTGCTAAATTTCAAGTGAGTGGGCTTGCATAACATTCAGAATACTCGACTTTTGCATAGTCTAATCGTCATTGTGGTTAAGATGGTGATTGCAGACAAGTTTGATCTTATTGGATGCGAAGAAGGAGCAAAACGAGGTTGGTGCTATTTATATCATTGTCACTAATTCATGTTTCATGCTTCAAGCATACCATTGCTTGAACGTGGCATTTATAATTTTAACTAGCATAAGGCTTATGGTGATAAATTCATTTTTTTTAAAAATACATTGTGATAATTAGGCCTATTTAGTGGACGGCTTACGTTAAAAGACAAAACAAATGTTTTTACATTGGGAGATCGATTGCAAGTACTGGTCAACCCAGATCCAGGAATCATCATGTTAAATATAGCCGAGGATAGCCATTTGGTAGGTATTTTAGTTTTGTGTAACCGATTGAATATTCACAGAGCCATTCAACAATTACATTATGCTATTATTCTAGAAATACTCTTACGAAGCCATCTTTAAATCTACCACCCGCCTTTTATTGGACAATGCATGCTCCGAGTATATTTTTACAACCGAATTTTTTTCCAAAACAAACACATCTCACCCAATTGAGGTTCCAGGAGTAGTTTTTACAGAAATCTTTGATCAAACGCTTAAAATGCTGCAAGTAAGCATATTGTCGAAAATATCAAATGTTTTATTGAAAAACAAAATGGATACAAGAACCACATAATCACATGCATTATAATCATGTAATAATAGGCAACTATCAAAGCTCAAATCGATAATACATTTGATGCAGTGGGCATTTTGATATGTATTCGAATCAACAGTCAAAACATTCGTATTATGCAAAAACGCCGTATTCCATGTCTCGAAACGTTTTTAAATCTAATTAATATTTTGCTATGGCCACGATTTCAAGCCATTATCGATATGCACATTGATAGTTTGCGCAGAGCTGCTGTCAATCGACTACTTGTTACCAAAGAAGTTCATCCGCACTATGTAAGTGCCTTTTTTGATATTGAATGGGTAATGCGTAGATATGCTTGATGAACTATGGGTTAAATCGATTATAATCCAGATAATGAGACGATACGTCGAGTTTAGCGCTGCCATTTTAACACTGAATCAGGGATATGACGATGCTCTTTTGACAAACAGGTAATGCAATTGTAAACTCGTTTAAACTTGGATTTAGCATTGAATCATTTGAATTTACCACATCACTCTTGGCTAATTTTAACGGTGAATTAATTGCTAGTCTTGCACGATTACGGAGCGAAGTGGAAGTGTTGATTCAAAGAATGGCAATGGAGTTTCCAAGCCGTAAAAATCGATCCGTGTTTTTCATCAACAACTTTGATCTAGTGGCATCGATTCTCAATGTAGGCATTTATTTTATTTTTCAAATCAGTGTAATTTTAAAGTCATACTGACTATATGCTCCATGCTGAATCAGGAATACACAACAGCTTCGTTCAACCATGAAAAAGAATACTTTGATCGTATTGTAATTGACCACACTTCCGAATTTGTGGATAATGAGCTTGATCAATACATTCATGACATGATGGAGCTTGTGCAAAAATATGAGACTGTAGATAACTTGTCATTTGTAGATGCAGGTATTTTTTACACGACAAATATGATGCTACACTCATATTTTAAACCACAACTGACATGTGCCTTTTATATTAAAATCTTATTAAAACACTGCATTATATAGAGAAATTTGAGCAGGTAGCCACAGATTTCAATGCAACGTGGAAATCTACCATCAATAACATGTATATATCCATCACGCAAGCATTTCCCAACTTTCAAAACGGAGCACGTATACTGCATACTGCCATGACCCAGTTTTTACTGTTTTATCGCCGATTCTTGACATGTTTTGAAAGACGATTCAGTCAGGGCAAAAAATCACGAGTGCAACCTGTGGGAATCCAGAGTCTAATGGTCGAGATTAAGAAATTCAAGTAGGTTTGCTCGAATACATGTTGGTTCAATTATGAATCTAACTTTTTATTTCTGTGTAAATAGATCCAGTTTCCAGTAAATGTGCAGATTGATTGGCCAGATAGGTTTGCACCAAGTAGCTGAGATGGGAATAAAATTGGATAGTTTCTACAAAATTGATGGGTTTGCTGAGATAAGCGAAACACGTGACCAGTTGTACAAATTCAAAAAAGCGCGACCAGCTTTCTATTGAAACCATAACCTATCTGTGTCATGGTAAGTATTGAATCTATCCGCCTTTTTGGTTGCATGTGTGATGTGTCTTGTGAACGAGATCCTGTTTGATACAAGCGATTAGTTTTCAGAAAACCAGTATTACCTGCTATTTAACAGGTCAAGACACGCCTATTTCCTACCTACAGACTGTAGATGCAAACTGTATTGTTATGCATCTAGAATACTGCCATCAACCCCTGGTTGTATCTGGCTGTTTATTTGGGTTTCCAGACTCTTATCTGGCATTTGTATGCCGAGTGCGACTGGCATTACCAAGTCTTGAATATTTAACCTGCTTCCGCTTGGTATCACTTTTGGAGACTGGGATGGGTGGTGCTGGGTTTGGACTATGACAGATGATGTGAGCCTGTTGCTTGTCTAATGGCGTTGGTGTATTTAGAAAATAGAGACTGACAGGGATACATGCCAACACTCTACCGTCATGAAGCCATCGTTCTAATGACCACAATCAGATTCATTATTTTGTGCCCTTGCCCATATCTTTATCCTGCATCAAGTGTGGAGTTTATGTGAAACCTTGTCTTGTAAGAGATTGACTCATTGGTCAGATCTACAGTCATTATACATGACCACCTTTTTCCATTTCAAAGGTTGTTCCTGGTAGTTTTGTTTATACTAATCTGTGCATTTAAATCACTATTGAATCTATCTAACCCATCAAAGTCAAGTGGAGTTACCGTCAACGATTCAGCAATCGAAGCTTACCAAGAGCTGAAGATTAAAAAGAAGTTCCGCTTCATCACTTTTAGGCTTAGCCAGGATTTTAAAGAGATCCAGATTGACAAGACTGTCGAAAAGGGCGAGTATGCCGACTTTGTGAGTGCACTGCCTGCCGATGACTGTCGATATGCCGTATTTGATTTTGCCTATGATTTCCCTGGGAGTGAAGTCCAGCGCACCAAAATCTTGTTTTATGTCTGGTAATGCATTTCTGTTAATTTGAATACTAGATTAGATGTCATGCTGACCAACGTTTCTGTAAACCTGTAGGTCGCCTGATGGTGCTAAAATTAAGCAAAAGATGCTTTACGCTGCAAGCAAAGATGCTCTTCGCAAGAAACTCGATGGTACTTACACTGAGATTCAATGCACCGATTCTTCCGAGGTCAGTTACGAGACTGTTCTTGAAAAGGTAATATTTATTTTTTGTTTCATTGCGTTGAATAGTTTAATATTCTTGAAACTTATTGCTGACAAATCTGCCATACCGATCAACTTTTCAATAGGTTCTCCGTGCAACCAGTTAAATGACTTTATTACCTATCCTGATTTTTGTCTACCTTTTAAAGCAGAAATTAAACCCGCCTTCGTTTATTCCACAAAGTACATGATTTTGCGTTACAATGGCATCGTGCAATATAAATCAATATGAAAAATAGCCATATGGATCGAGACGATTGAAAGCAAAGCAACATAAGTGCTTGAGATTGATTTATTGCTTTTTTTGAAAGGCAAAGACAGAGTAAATACCTATTGCCTCCCACTCATCGGAACTAATTGTTCCTTGATGGTTAAATATCCTCATTCGTTCCAGTAGTTCAATATTCTTGACACACTCGTCTTGATAAAAATTATGAAATGGCTTCCACATGATTGGCTCTAGTTGGTATTCGGCTGCCAATCTGTTAAAAGCAATAGGTTAGCTCAGTTGGATTGAATGGGTCTGTTACTCTTGAAATGTGTGATGGGAATTCACACTGCCAGGTTGGATAGTATATCTCAAAAACATGAACCTACTTTTTTAACGTGGAGTAGTTGATCAAATATTCAGGGCAATCATCAATAGCATCCGCAAGTGCGAATTGATACTTGTGTCCAAACAACGTGGGTGTAGTAGATTCAAACGTGATAGAATAGATGGAGTTTCCAAACGTATAAGGCCCAGTGGTTTGGCCTTGTGTTTCACCAATCCTTACAGCCTCCATCAATCGTTTGTATATGAGATCGGCGTTTGGAATTGTACCAATGAGTATACCGCCTGAATGGAGATGTGACGATATATTGTATATGGCTTGTCTCGCTTGTTTTTCCGTTTCAAACGAGTAGTGAAGGGCAAATTGGATAGAACAGAGGTCGAATAGCTTTCCTTTAAGAATATCCCCAACTGCAGACTATATACACGTTGAATGATAGCATAGTGAAGTAAGAATATGTTAGTAGAGCATCATAACGCGGTTAGATGAGAACCATAGCTTTGCAGCCAAGAACTTTGATGCAAAAAGTCTGACTGTACAGCTTAAAATTACTGGCAAATCTGATGATCGAAATAAGCTTACAGAAAAGCAATCTACGGCATAAAATGAAGCTGGATAATGCTGGCTTGTTCCTTGATTGTATCTTGTGCGTGCTTGCTCTATACTCACGTCTGCAATGTCCAATCCAACAACTTGGTTGACTCGCAATCGCTTCCATTTCTGTAGATCTCCTCCCTTTCCACAACACATATCCAATATTTTAATGCCTTTAGGATAGCTGGGTGCAAACAGGTTGATAAGAACTGACTTGATCCAGTTGTTAAAGTTTTTAAGACTGAGAATCGCCGATGTTTGTCTTCCTTCGATCCCCTTATCCGGACGAGCATTATAATGTGATTGTACAACAGCTGAATTGAACGTTGCATTACTATTATTATGTGAGTGAGATTCATGGATGGCTGGGTTGGGAATACGCTGTTCACAGCGAGTCAATGACTGGACAGACTGCAAGGTTGCAGTGGATGATGTAACGGAAGACTGTTGTTCAGCCTTACCCGACACAGAATTTTCGCTTACAGGCACACAGAGTGAATTGGTATTATCAAGCACTTGTCTATGTGAATATGCCTGTTCAGATGGTCGATGCTGGCTATTATTTAGCATTGTTACTGTTGGTTGAAATAACTGGACCCTAAATTCAGCGAACACACCCAACACTATACGGATCACACTCTATAAATAGTGTTATTGTAAGTACTATTTATAGAGTCTGTTCCCCACTTTTATCTGTAATTCAAAAACTGCCTTTTATCAAATCTGCAGATATTCGCATATTTGTGACTATTGAGTTGGTTTTATCTGCATGTCCGACGCAAAATACTTTCAAAGAGGTATGTTTTCGGGTATTTTTCAAGTTCCGTACTGGCTTGGCTACTTCAGTCTCATATACAATAAGATTATACCTGCAATACTAGAAACCATTTGTAATCTACTACTGCTTTCTGGATCTGAATTTGCATAGTCATATTGTTATTTCTACCCCACTCAGCATGATGGAAACTTGTTTCAAAAATCACTTGAAGTACCAAATCATTAAGGATATTTACCAGCACTTGCATACATCAATTACAACACCCATTCTATTCAATATATAAATAATACCGATATTTTTTAATATTGGTATCTGGTATAATAGGCAAAGTCCATGACCTGCGCGATGAGCTTGCACTCGATAAAAAAGATGGCAAGAGTTCCCGTCGTCGCCATGCCCTGAAAAAGGTTGTGGCCAACATGACCATGGGAAATGACATGTCTGCTTTGTTTCCAGATGTCATGGCTTGCATAGGTATGCCTCAGCTGGAAGTCAAGAAAATGGTTTATCTGTATCTTATTACCTACGCAAAAAGCAAACCTGACTTGACCGTCAGCGCCATTGGGTCCCTTACAAGGGTAAGATTTTACAAAGTTTGGCCTGGTTTTTAAACTTTGTAGTGCTGTATATGATGTGTCTGTAATTGCATGTCGTGACCAATCATTTTCAATGCAATAGGACACGGGCGACGACAATCCACTTATTCGGGCATTGGCACTTAGAACAATGGGCAGCATACCCGTTGAAGGTGTCGCTGAAAATCTTTGTGGCCCTTTGCGTAGATGTTTGTCTGATAAAGATCCATATGTGTGTAAAACGGCTGCCATCTGTGTAGCAAAAATGTTTTTCTTTCGAGAGGATATTGTGCGACGTGAGGGATTCATAGATCTGGTCAAATCGTTGCTCAACCACGAAAATCCATCTGTATGGAAATGCTTGTATTTGGTTTTGGCATTATACATAGTGATAGATTTGCTATCTAATGTCGTAACAAGTAGCCCACTAACTGTCTGCTTCGTTTCAACTATTTCCTGGTCATCTACCTTTATAGGTAGTCGCCAATGCTGTTGCTGCCCTTTCCGATATGACATGCCGTTCTCCTGATGTTGGGTTTTATCTTGAAATTGGCTCTGCAAACAAAATTCTGTCTGCAATCGAAGAGTGCAGTGAATGGGGCCAGACGTACATTCTTGAAGCTCTCATGACAGTAGTCCCAGAGAATTCTCATGATGCGGTACTACTTGCAGATCGAATTTCTCCTCGTCTTCAGCACTCCAACTCTGCAGTCGTGGTTGCTGCTGCGCGTGTCATGTTGTATCTGGTGAACTATTGTGACAATGAGGTCGCAGTCAACACTATTATCAAAAAGCTTGGTCCACCTCTGGGTATGTATTATGTTTTTGAATGAGCTTGGCTTAGCGAACCCACGACTCCAATCATTAAATTTGCTTTTTGGACTGTTGGTCATGCACAAATTGCACCAAAACGCTCCTTACAACTAAAACTAACATGCATGCTTTTGCAATTTATCGACAAAGTCACACTTTTACATAGTACTCCAGAGGTGCAGTATGTAGCACTGAAAAACATTCTTCTCATTCTACAGCGACAACCTGATTTTTTGAAAGCAGACTTGAAAGTCTTTTTTTGTAAATACGATGATCCAATATATATCAAACTTGTCAAATTGGAGATTTTGTTTTGTTTGACAGACGAAGTCAACATTAAAATCGTATTGCCAGAGTTTAAAGAGTAGAGTGCAATGGTTTTGAAATCACTTGGATTTTGCAAAGTTGAAAACTGGACCAACTCTAATTTACAGTTTTTTTGAAATTTAGGTATGCGGCTGAGATTGACGTTGATTTTGTACGCAAGGCAGTTAGATCTATTGGTCGCTGTGCCATTAAAATTGAACAGTCTTCAGACAAGTGCATTGAAGCACTAGTTGAGCTCATCACTACAAAAGTGAATTATGTGGTCCAGGAAGCCATTGTGGTTGTCAAGGTCGGTTTATTGGCTCAATTATTTGTACCTGCTTTCAAATGGGTGTTTGTACACATTACCCTTTTGGTATTATAGCCGCCATTATTTTCATCAAAATCCCTGTCAATCTATTCTTTTAAAACTAGTGCAATGATTGGATATTCAAGTCCAATGTTATTTTACTAACATGTTTTTTTGTAAATCATAGGATATCTTTCGAAAATATCCCAATAGATATGAAAGCATTATTGGCACACTCTGTGAAAACTTGGATGATCTCAATGAGCCAGAGGCAAAATCATCCATGATTTGGATTATTGGCCAGTATTCTGATCGAATTGAGAATGCAGACGAGCTTCTTGAACAATTCCTTGATAATTTCAAAGAGGATACAAGTATGGTTCAACTTACTCTTCTTACTGCAACCGTAAAGTTATTTATTAAACGACCAGGTGCTGGAGTTGATCTTGTTCCGCGCATTCTTAAGTTGGTCACAGAGGAAATAGACAATCCAGACTTGCGAGACCGCGGGTTTATTTATTGGCGGCTGCTATCGACTGATCCAGTGGCTGCTAAAGCAATCATTTTTTCAGAAAAACCATCTATTACTACAGAAAATGACAGTATGGACGGGCCGCTTTTAAACAGGCTATTGTACAATGTGTTCACACTGTCATCGCTAACTCACAAGCCTCCCGTACTTCCTCCAGATATTTTATCTCGTGTATCCAACTTTAAGTGGTGCATTGGTACTCCAATGCAACCTGTTCAGCCCATGATTGCTGGTGTAGCTGCATATCGCGAAGTTTCAAATGAGTATACAGACAACAGTTTGATTGAAGCCAGACCAATGACTGGCATGAATAGCAATCTTATTGATTTGCTAGACCTTGACCAAAACGATTTTGTTGCATCGCCTTTATTTGGAAATGCCTACTCGGTGGAATCAGCGAGCGCGTCTACTCCTGGACCCAACATGCTTTCATCTGGAATGACAGATATGCCTATTATGAACAGACTACCTGCTGAAAATATCACTCCGTCTATTCAAAGTATAAATAGCAGTTACAATCCGTTTGGACCAATGCCTCCCAACAAAAATCCGGTACTAAGTGGAGCAAGTGGTATACTTGGACCAAGCGTTTCTGGTGCAACGGCTGAATATATGCCAAATGTGACTTCCTTTGATTTATCTTCAGTAAACAGCTATAACCCTTTTGGACAGAATACTAGCGCATCACTGAGTACCACATCTGAGAAAGTATTACTTGATCCATTTGCAAAAACTTCTGGATTTTCCGGAGCAACCGGTGTCAATAATACTTTTACATCGCCTTCTATTGGCCAATCCACCATCGAAAAAGAAATCAGTCCAAGAGGAAATTTATTTAATCCGCCTACTAATGGAATTGTAGATAGTATCACACAAGATTTATTCTCCTTGAACATGCAAAACGGGTTTGTGCCAGTAAAAACAATTTTCCTGACTGCTCAAACCGGCCGTGGATTTGAAATCCAAGGATGCTGTAAGTACTTTTTGTAAAGGTTTATTTTTACCATCCGTATTATATGGTATTCACCAACTTGATGTATCTACTCGTATTTTTATCAAAGTTACAAGGCTAGATGGAGGCATGGCTTGTGAAATGGTGTTTACCAACCGAGCTTTACAGCCGCTCACCGATTTTGCCATCATGTTCAACAAAAATAGGTAACATTTTAATGCTTTGTTGATTTGGCCTACAAATTGTGTATTCTGGCTCTACCTTTATTTTGAAAATGCCGAGTATGTTGATGCCTGAACATTCCTGATTGACATATTGTTTATCTTTTTAGTTTTGGACTAGTGCCAGCTGCCCCACTTGATATCAAAACCCAGCTGTTTCCAAATCAATCTATTGAAGTCAGTTTAAAGCTAAAAGTTGAAGGTCTTCCCGTTTTGTCGACTCCAGTAAACAGTAGGTGTTGGATGTATGAATATATCGTAACCATAGCGTGTTGCTTTTGCCAACTAAAACATGACGAATTACGTTTCTTGCAACTACTCTCCCAACTATTTGTGTAATGCAGATCTTCAAGTGGCGGTCAAAAGCACAGCTGGTATTGTGTATTTTCAGACACTTGTGCCGCTATATATATTCTTTAGTGATCAAGGTAGTCAGATTCAACCAATGACATGGGTAAAATTGTGGAAAGAGGAAATTCCCAACCAAGTTCAATTTGATCTTACTCTTGGACAGTTTGGAAGTTCTGCAAATATTCGTGCTCGTCTTCAAGGGAGCAACATTTTTACGATCAATGAACGGATAGTCGATGGTTGTGTAAGTTTATTTTTGAACGTGGAGTATGTTTCAATTTTAAAATGTGCGACTAACTGCCAATTGCTGGCGTATTTACTGTGATTCACCACTTTTACAACTATAGACACATATGTATCTGTCAATCAAGATGGACGATCAAACCATATTTCTGGTGGAAATGCGCTTGAGCTCAACTTTACTATCTTGCTCATGTACAGCAAAAACCTACGCTGCACATCTACTTGGTGCATTCCAATTTTCCTTGCAAGATATTTTAAGCAAATAGACCTTTTAATTTTTTATTTAAAATTTTGGTTTTTTATGTTTGGATTATTTCAATAGTGTATGAAATTTAGTTATTGTAAACCAAAAAACAATCATGGTTTGTTCTTGGCAATGATTGGTATCGACAGGTTGTGCCAGTAGTGGCAAACAGTGAATTACTTTGTAGAGATGACCAAGATTCAAATGGTTGGAATAACTGGATTTTCGACCACACCATTCAACGAATCTAATGTACCAGCTGTATTGAAATCTGTGTCCAGACCCATATCAGTGTGTGATTCATTTACTTTGCAGATCTGTTCCTGTCCAACGTGATACTCTCGTTTTTTATCTGGAATGTGAGCCTCTAATTGAAGTTTTAACTCACGCTCAGCCTTAATACGATAGTTGAAACCGATTTCTACTTTTTGAAGAGTTTTCCATTGCCTGATTTTTGTGCGCATCCATTTGATAGATTAGATGTACATTTGGATTGTGAAAATCCTTCATCAAGCAGAGTAATGATATACGTTGTTTCGGCAGATAAACCATTACAACCATGCAACATAACATTCAAACATAACAGTATTATTCACTAACAGTTGGCAATAAGACGTACATTGTCACGCTTATATCATTAACAAATGCTAAAAGCTTAAATGTAAAGGTGCAGACTGGTATATTCGATTTATTTATCGAGAGTAAAATAAACTAGATGTCAAATACTGATGATTAAGCAAGCAAAGTGGCTACATAGGCGTAAACACCAAACCAGAAGTTATACTTGGCAATAGTGCTAGTAGCTGTAGTCTCCTGGATGATGGGAGCCTCTGTTTGCCACACGACCTGGGTAGGATTTGAAGCAGTATACTGAGGCCAGTTGTAACTAGATATATTGGAAGGAATGTTACTGAGTGCAAGACGTGGAGCGATTGAGCAAATAAAGTCGATCATGCCAATAATCAGTGCATTTGAGACCGTTTGCTCCAAGTTGGTCGAGCTCAGTTCAGGAGAGTAAGCCCACATGAACGGAAGATCAGACTCGTGAAAGACGCCAATAGCTTTATATCTCTGGTTAGCGACAATTGATGGTTTAATATTGAAACGACCTTTATAGACGGCAACAGGGTTAGAACCACTAACAAGGTACTGAGCGAGTTGAAAGGCGGGAGCATTATACTCCGAGTCACCATACGAATCACTGGTAATCTTGAGAGCACTGGAATTAGCACTGGCTGGGTAATAAAGATCAAATGCATTGGACGAGCTGGTGTTGAGGAATGATACACTGCCACGACGGTATGTAGAGTCACTTTTGATATTACTCACGCTAGAGTCGATTGCAAAGCGAGTACCTTCATTGGTTACTGTGGTAATGACAGAATCTATTTTACGAACACGCTGGGCAGCAAGCGCGGATGAGGGTTGCTCAATAAGGTACTGGCCATCTACAACGGGGTAATACCGGAAGTTGAGGTTGTTGGCCGCGTTTGAAAGAACATTGGCATCGACATTGCGCATGCACGCCATAGTGGTGGTCGTAGCAGTGGTATTGCAGCCAACAGCAGTAGCAAGTTTGGTAAAATCTGGCTGGACTAGTTTGGGAGTGTTCAAAACAGAAGCCATACCACCAGACTGCAGAATCATTCGATTAAAGTAACTACTATTACCGCCATTACCCATCAGATGGAGAGAAATGGAAGCTATACAATATATTATTAGTCAGTTGGTACCAAGATGGCTGAATCGCCGGTACGATTTGCTTAACAAGTCACGACTTACTTGCACCTGCCGAGTGACCCCATGCAACGACATTGTTCGGATTACCGCCAAACCCTTTGATGTATTTCTTGACCCATTTTAAAGCGGCAACTTGATCAAGAAGCCCCGGGTTTAGACTGCCCTCGCTAGCAAGCTCTTGGGAAGCCATGAACCCAAAGACATTTGTACGATAATTGGGAACGACAATAATTACTTGGCGATCAGTAGCCTGGGCCTGTAAAAAGGAATCTCCATTATAATAAGGCTGAGAATTGTGGCCATGGTCGAAATCGCCACCATAGAAATATACTACAACTGGAAGACCAGAGCTGTATACTCCATTGTACTGAACTGGAAGATAAACGTCGAGATTCAAGCAATTTTCGCTCATTTTTAGAGTGCTGCTGGTGAAACCAGTAGATAGGGGGTTTTGCATACAGGCGCTGCCGTGCACAGTAGAATTGTAGACCATGCCAGCACCGATCGAGATGGGAGGCTGAGGCGGTCTGAATCGGTTATCTCCGATTGGAGGCATGGCATAGGGTATACCTAAAAACTGTGCTGTCCGCATATTGTTCAAGAAGTTGCCCAAGAACATACCATAGTCCAGCTGGATCATGGGGTGCGGAACAAGAGGATTGTAATTCGCGTCTACGAAAAGGCTGTCGAATACTCCTGGAGTAGGCGAAGCAGATGTCAATGGGAGAGATACCAGCACCACATAGTTTAGTATCTTTGAAAAGGAAACCATATTGGCGGGGATGGTGGTGTCAGATATTAGTTTTAACGAGCTCAACCACGTTCTTGGAGCGATATTACTCGGGTTTATATGCCAATTTGATGCGCACAAGTGGGTACCCACTAATGAGAATTAAAAAGTATCATTTTGCCTCGACTGTTCCCAGCTAATCAATTGGCACACCATAAACGAGTAATTTTGCTATATTTCACTTGATTGTTCCTAAATGTATGCGCCTTTTATTATAAGCTTGGTTTGACATTGTACTGAAAATAACCAGACACGCCGTAAATTGCAAAGATTTGTAATGAAAATGCTTGAATTTACATGATTTTGAATATTGACAACAAGCCACATCCACGTCGATAAAATACAACACCATGATTATCAAACTTTATTAGTATGGCTAGTGACAAAAGACATGAGAATGAAGAGGGAAATGGGAAATTGTCAGTAACCATCGTTTTTGGTGTTGTTTTTCGCAAATATCGGTAGATTGTCTAATGATTTGAATGTCGGGACCATCTATTGCTCGTGCTTTCTGTATCACGGCGACAATCTGACGTGTTGGCATGGCCAGTTTGCTGAACAGCCTATTTTTAACTCAATATGCAACATCACTCACTTGATCCTGCTTTGATGTGAAAGCATTGGCCTTGTAGTCTACACACTAACCTAAAGCAACATTAGTATATCGTATATATACTCAAATAACTGCATATTACAATCCTAAACTTATTTTTGTGGTCAAATTTACCTTTCAACTGTTGTTTTCATGCCAATCACAATGTTCGAGCAGGGTAAAAGGAGAGTTGAAAATTGAACGGGTGTGGGATGTACTGAAATAGAAGTGTGAATGTTTAGATTTTTACAGAAATGAGCATGGCGGAGAAAGACCAATGAACTTTATTACAGGGTTCAGATGGCACAGTGTTCACTAAAATTAGTGGAAACTGGCACCAATCATTTCATGAGGTTGGCTGCTAATTATGCACTCTCTACCCTTATTTAGTGTTTTATTTTATCTGGATACAGTAGTAATACATTCCTAGTAAATCATTTGGCAAGCAACTTCTAGTTGGTGGATGTGATAGTTGTATTTCCTCTTTGCGCTGATTCTGAAAACAACCAAGCAATAGCATCAATTGTCGCCTATTTCAACAAAATACTTTACTTGGTCAATTTTTGCATACTCGAACGTATTCCAGTTCGACACCACAGATACCGAACCCACCATGCACGGCCCTCCACCTACTAGTCCCATTCCACCAATACCTACCGGCCAAACTGCAGGTATCTATACAATCAATCGATTGATCCAATCCACTATTCAATCTGAAACAGCCTCTTGATGCTTCATAATAGCAATGGTTGGTTTCATTTACCCACCAGCAAGTTATCGAGCATCAAGTTTAATTCTATGATGGTAGCCATTGGCTTGAGTTGTTTTGTTGGTACCGACCTTCTTAGTAGATATGTTATAAAAAATCTACATCTCGGGGTAACCACGTCTTGTATACTTTGAATGGCCTGCCAAAGACACTTTTCTGCCATCAGCCAATGAAGATTTGATGCCGACTAGAATGATTCATAAGTATATGTTTGTAGTGCATATCAATAATGCAATCCCAGTATCATATCATACTGCTGATTGAAAGTGGATGCTGAAACTTGGTTGTGGCTGATTGAAGGCGTTGAATTCATATTCTCAGCCTTTGCACGTCGAGTTTCAGTGACATGAAATTCTACTTGTATTAAACCCAGATACCTATTGACAAACTTGTGTATCTTACATACGTTGATTATAATATAACTTACGCTGCTATACATTTGTGCGAAATTACAAACGTAGCAGGTAAACGATCTGCAAGTGCTACAACCTACTATGAATCACATGCAGGCACATCATCAACTCATTCAGTTTCAAGCTCGAGACGTACTTTGAATTCACAAACGCTTATTGCCGCGGTCAGGGCTGGAAACAGTAATACCATTTCTCCGCCACTTCCTCAGCATGTCCTTGGACGTATCACTGAGCTTGCGCCTCGTTACATCCAGCTTCGACACGAAGAAAAATCACTTCTCGAAGCTGAAAAAGCATTGAACAATGTTCAAAATAGACTTTCAGCCACGCAAGAGTATTTAATGCAGTATGAAAAAGAGATTTCAGAGTTGGACACAAGGATCGAGTATGAAAAGAAAGCAAGAAGTCGAACGTTTTTAGGAAGTAGAACCAAACATAATTTAGCAATTGTAGATTTAGAAGAAAGAAGAGCCACCGTAGATCTGAGTATTTCTGCTTTGAAAAGGGATCTTACATCGCTGCAACTTCAGGTAATTCAAACGTTTTGATTTGCATTATGGGTCGAAATCCAAGTAGGTTTAAGCTGCTTTGAAACGTCGTTCTAAATGGATAACGAATACTTTGTGTTGAATGTATTTAGCGACACGATTTAAGAGATGTGGCAAGAAAAACAAAGCAAATCCGAGACGAACTTCAAAATATATTTACAGAGCTATTTGAAGGATTTCCATCGGAATTTCCCGAAGAACGTGAGCTAGATCTTAAAGTCACTGATTTGGCCATTCGTGTTCAAAGTCTCAAGGATCAACACGATCTTACTACACGAATACACACATTGCTTGTGGAGATACACACTGGACTGGATTGTATACATATATCAATAATCAAAGGAAAACTCAAGCCATCAAGTTAGTGCTTGTTAATTTTGATATTTACGAGGTAATGCTTATGTGACACCATTTGAAAGACTAATACTTTTTGAATGGAATTGTGCAATTCATTAGAGGTAGTCGAGCAAGTTATGGACACCACACGTGTATTTGAAGTGGTACAAAGACTTAGACCAGGAATCATGGACCCATTTAAAGGTATAGATCCCAGTGATTCGCACCTGACCGATCGACGCATTAATCCAACCGAAGCCAATTTAACTCTCATCCAGTCAACTCTTGCAACACTCATTGAAGAACTAGCATGGGAATCCACTGGATTTGCCAAAGAGTTGGAAACCACTAAGCAAAATCATAGAGCCGCAACACAACAATTAGAGCGTGAGCGACATCGAGTTGTGCTATTGGCAGTTGCAGTAAAGCAACAACAGCTGCGAGAAAGTGCATCAACACTAAAACAATCACAGTTGGAACTCAGTGGTGATGATCTAAGTGGATCAACACACCACTCACAATCTATAGTTGATGTGGCATCGTATCGTGGATCCTACTCGAGCTTTGATACACCTCTTGGCGATGTAGCTAGCAACAATGAAGGTTTTGGTCTAGTTGCTGCACAGCCCATTTTGAACGAACGCGATAGTATAGCAAGTATACGGCGGTCGTCTTGGTTAAATGGATCTAGATTTGGATCGCCATCGTCATCCCCGACGTCTATATCATCTCCCTTGTTGCCTATATTGTCACCACCACTTGTGCACCGATGGCCAGTATCTCCAATATCTCCACGTACTGCTCAAACTTCTCGTTTCAATGGAATAGAGGGCTTGCGTCGCGAATCTATTGCGACTAAACCTTCCATGCCACTTTTTGAAAGAACAGTATACATACAAGGAATTTCAGGCGACCCTGTTGCTGTTGCAACCGGGGAGTTGCCGGCTTGGGCTCGCAGGGCAGAAAATGTACCCAAAGGAGTTGCCATGCCAGCAAGAAAGAGTTTTGCAGTAAGACGAGGTGGAAAGTACTGGTGATACTTTAAAGGAATCGTATATAATCGGGGTGTTTTTGATTCAAAGTTTGTAACAAGCAACGTCCTGTTTTCAAATCCAAATCCAAATTCTATGTTGGTTACTTTTGGATTGGGTTTAATTGTTTTGATGTTGTCAATAAAACTCTGTACAAACTCGTCTTTGTTGTATCCTAAAACTTGTATACTGCACTCTAATTCAAAAAAGCAACTTTGCCCAATCATCATTTCGAAAAACGAACTCTTTATTACGCATTTTAACCTTATTCAGTACTCCAATTACATGAATATGGCTGCAATAGTAAAGCGACAAAACAAAATTCAAGTCAACTGCAAAATCAGTATACATAAACTCTCAAATAATGCGCCTAATCCTTTATGAATCATTTTTGAATAGATAGCACTGTTTCATTTAAATTCACCTAAATCTGATTTACTAGGCGATATAGTCGGACGTTTATGGAATGGGTTTTCAGAAACTAGTCTAGAAGGTGCCTTGTTTTCAAATAGTTTCGCACTGATTAAAGACGCCTTGATGGGTATAGCCAAACTGGCTTTAGGAGACTCGCAAGAAAATCCTTTTGAACTTGTCGAGGCAGACGCAGAAAGCGTCTGTCTCTCATCACCATTGCCTTGTGCCAATGGACTTAGATATCTAGCAGATGAAAATGCTCTAGACTCGTCAAGATTTAGTTTATGCATGCTATTTTGAATAGCCAATCTATTCAGGGTTGTCGTATCTAATACGCCAATACCAGATCCTTGAACATAGACTGTAAAGTGAGTTTCAATGAATGCCATCTGACGACGCTCTTGCTCCTTCTGTTTCTCCTTGTCCGACATATTCGACATATTAGGGCTATTATGAGACGTGCTGGGTGAGCTGGTAAGTGATGCACTAAGCGAAGCAGCAAGGGAATCGCGATTAAGAACAACGGAGTTGTCTGTAATAGTCTTTTTCTTGCGACGTTTAGGTGTAAGTGGGGATGAATCGTACAGGAGCTCTTCCAACGCAGGTGCGGCTTCAAAATTGCTTTTCGACATCTAGCAAAGGTTGTAAATGAGAATATTTGATTTAGCCCACATTAGAGATATACACAGTTTCACGGTATAGCAGAATTACAATGCTACAACTTACATCTGGAATGAAATCCGGAAACACTTTACGTTCATATACGGATGGCCAATCAATATCGCCAAACCACTCATGTGTGGAAATTCCATTCGAAAATGCATCCATACTCTCTCCACCAAGTCGTTTTGTAGGAGTGGTGGTCATTAACGAGTACATAATATCTTTGAATAAGTTAGATGAATCAGGCTTTGTAGTGCCACGTATTCCATAGTCTTTTGGAAAGTGGAGTTCACCAGATTTAATCTGGTGAACAACTTGACGATCATCATCGCCCCTAAATGGCTTCTACATGGTTGAAAAGTAAAATATCGGGTGTCGGTACAGTTTTAAAAAACTTAAAATACCATACAACACATATAGACTTACAATCCCATAAAAGCTCTCGAACATGACCACACCAAGTGCCCACCAATCGACGGCATAAGTGTATCTCTTTCCCGAAAACATTTCTGGTGCTATACAAGTGCGAGCCGGTTAGATATAAGTCTACACACGATATATAGCTGATAGCAAAAAAATATACCCATGTAATTCATAGTTCCTGATCGCGATGAAGGAAACTTGACTTTTGTGGAGTATGCTACATTAAAGTCGGTGATCCTCACATGACCGTCTAAATCAATTAGCAGATTTTCTGGTTTTAAATCACTAGTATTATAAATGGCATGTATGAAAGACTGGTGTGAATATAAAGCAAAAACAGCTATATAAATATTGGCGTGGCATAAGCCACTCATCTGTCGAAAAGCATACTAAATAGGACATTTACCGATGAATGATGTGTTTGCTATGAATGTATGAAAGAGCCAAAGAGATTTCTGCAGAATAAACCTTGATTGTCTGCTCAGTCAGGCCTGCTTGCCTTAAAATATGAAACCTTAAATCACCACCAAGTGCCAAATCTAGTCCAATGAACATATACTCGTCATCTTGAAATGCAAAGCGCAGATTGATGATAAAAGGGTGGTCCAGCTCCTGCATCATTAGTCTTTCACGAAACACATTCTCCATGCTGTCCTTTTTTATGCATTGTCTTTTGTTGATGTATTTGAGTGCGTATTGCTGTTTAGTCGTTTTCACTTCCACAATCCGTACCTGTAAGGTTTAAATCACTTTTGATGAAAAAGGGTTTCCAATATCTCAAAAGTGGAGTAATTCCATGAGGGTTGACATACCAAACCAAACCCGCCTTTTCCAATGACCTGGTGCATACGAAAGTGGCTCAAGTCGACTAAACAGTTTAAACAATGTGAGTATCAAAACAATGACATCTGTGCGAGGAAATATGCAGGAGATGTTTAGATGATCCGATTTGGTTGGTAGAGAACAGAGAGAGAAGTAGTAACAAGGTTGCATCATGCTAGCCCATTAGAATGGCCAGCAAAAGATAGACAGGATAGTCAGTGACAGCAACTGTTGTAGTGGACTGCGGCAGGATAAAGATGTATTGGATGGACACCAAGATCGTAAGCAATTCATACTGAATAGCAGTCATGCAGCCAAACGGTCAAGCATTTACAACCATCGAGGTGGATAGCATCAGCATTACTATACAAGTATCTGTACTGATGACTGTCAGATACACCAGGACTATTCTTGGTTATCGCCAAGAATAGTGGCAGTTGGGTTGGAATGAATACAAAGGATGGCAATAGCGTACGTTCTTCATACTCGGCAGCATTTTTAGAGCTGCTGTGATTATTTCCCATCGTATTGCTGTAGCAGCAGTGTAATGGATCCTGTATGATAACTTGGAAAGAAACCAGGAGTTCCAAAGCGTGCTGTTTGTGGGCGTTTGTAAAATTATTAGACAAGTGATTGAACCACACATTCCTTTGACCAAAACAACTTGCTTTAGTAGGATTTTCAAAGTATCGATGAGTTTATTACTGATATGAATCTCTACTCTGCTCGCCCTTTCCCTTTATTCTTGGAATGGAACAACTTGCGACGCGTCTGATCTTCAAACTCAATCAATGACTGCGATAAAGCCTGCTGGAGTGCTGCTTCCTCATCATAATCTTCTTTGTTGCTTCCTATTTGCTCATGTATAAAACTGTCATCGTCTTGAATTTGTTTGTTTTCAAAACTGCTACGAATACTCAAACCATCGATCCCTTTCGATCCCGAACTACTCGTGTCCTCAATCTTATCACCGCCACGATATCCGACTTGGTGATCCTTGAGCGACAACTCAATCGCTGATTGTATTTGTCGAAACTCCTCTTCTGTAATACTGCTGTCTGATCCGCCTTGTTCATTCGATGCTGCAAACTCGATATGATGGTGTCGTGGTTTAGAGTGGTCGTGGCTGTTATTGCGATGACGGTCCTGGTATGGAGGCTGGCTCTGATGGGATTGCTTGGTTGATAGTTTGCGCTGAGATAGTAAAGACCCTTTAGTGGCGCCTTCATTGTTCAAATCAACATCATTGTGATCCAGCGCTGTACTACCACTTCCACTGGCATTATAGATTTCGGCATGAGATCGCTCAAACCGAGGTGAGAATTCTCCTTTGGCTAATAATTTGCGTGCAAGTTTGCTAGATCCATCCAATCCATTTCCATTTTTTGAACCGGAAGAACCCCGCGAATGACTCTTGTTGGACCAATCTGCACTTTCTGATCCATCAATAGCACCTACAGACGACACGGATTGGCAGTCCCAATCATACATCGAATCTGTCATAACCATGTCAGAATTCAAGCTATTATTGTAGTGGTCTAAAGCCATGTCTTCTATACTTGCGCTTCCAAGTGAAATCAATTGAATGTTGGGTGCTGTTTGAGCTGTTTGGTAAAGTTGCTTCTGACCTTGGGAAAAAACCCGACAAATTTCATCATCAATAAGTTTTTGAGATTGAGCATTCATACTTGCCTCTTGAATTTTTTTTGGATCCTCTTCGGAAATCTAACATTTAGTTTATGGTAAATTCAACGATATTGCATTATTATGTTTGATTTGGTTCGACACTGTTTGACTACTGCAATCAACTTACACGTACAGTACGCTGAGACGTACTTTTTTTCTTTAGAGTTGGACTATTTTGGAATCTTATCGGTACGTATTGAGACTCGCCGATAACGCCCAGCTTCAGAGGTTGAGCTGAATCATTGCTTTTTTCATTCCGTTTTAAAGCAGACCGATTCAGACATGGATCAACCACCAAGGGCCATAATTGCTCATTTCCTGCTTTAAAGATATGTAATGACTGATTGAGCATATCAGCCATAATCTGTAGCTCAAAAAAGCCAATTCTACGTGTACGATTGCAATGTGGTCCAAACACGCCTGCTTGATATTGAGAATAAGTGAGAATAGGTTGTGCTGGTGATTTTGAAAGATGTTGGTACAAGTTCCAGTTGGATTCCTATTCAAAAGCATGATTGATTTAAAATTAATAAAGCTCGGGTTGAAAATAATTCCGAGTTTCAATTCTTGCACCATGTATAGTTTGATGGTAGATGAACATAAAACGTACAGTAAATTCAAGAAAGTCATCTTTGATCAACTGATACAAGCGCTCATTCCCCAAGGTCAGATCGGCTAAAATGAGATTCAATTTTTGAAAACTGAAAATTAGTCGAGCGTAACCATTCATGTGGTTTGTAGTCATAGCAGCTCGACCTACCACATGCACGAAATAAGCTATTGGAAGTTTTCACACGAGAGATCAGTAGCCCGTCTTCCTTTAGTTTGTCCATAAACGACATGATTAAGAGTGTATGATCTGAAGGCTTTTTCAAATCTGTATCGCTTTTTTGGCTAAATAACAGCGCACCTTCACTGTTGGCATCACCTTCGGAGGATGCAACATACCCTGATCTTACTGCATCCATTGGTAAAAAATTCACATCAAACAGCTTTCCTGAAATTTCATCTGTAGATTTGGTACGCTGCTCTGACAAAGTATACTCCATTCCATTCTTTGAGAGTGTGGGCAAAGGAGGCAAAGTTCGTGAAAGGGTTGGATCATGAGCTGATGGTTGCTTTGGAAAAGTTATCGACGGTTCAATTTCCATCGAGTCATTTCTGGAAATGGATTGCATAACGATTGCTTTTAAATCAATTGGATGTTTGTTGGGTAAATAAGTGGAGAGCCGGTTTGACTACTTGGTGCAACAGGAACTGGTGAAAGTCGTGCAACGCTGCAGAAAAACTGAATGATACTAAATGATCAAGAGCAGTTAATATTTAAATTGAGGATTGGATAGGTGAGGAATATGCCTTGAAACATGGAATTAGCAAATATCCATGTGGCACACTCACTTTTGGAGTCAGTCAAGGCGCGTCTAAAGGTTACGCTCAAGACAAAAGACATGCCAATGGAAAAGTGAAATAAACTGAAATTGCCAACAACCCAATCTCATGTTTCAAGCCATTCTGATGGCATCAAGCAGGTTGATGTTGCAGTATGTCACCGTAAATCATCTGTTTGTAAAACTGCACGATCGTTTTAGGTTAATACAGACTATATATGTGCAATACCGATACTCTTGTCAAAGCAAGACCAAATGGGCAGCATTGCATATTGAATCAAGAAAAACAGGTCGTCTAGCAACTGACCGTGTTAACAGGTCAGATTGTTGTGTTACAGGAAATACAAACAATATATGCTTTTATTCAAATCAACAATATAACAATATTTACAAGACAACAGCAACACCAAGAAAAAGCAAACTCGATCACGCACCAAAGTATGGTGAATCGATTCACATGAATACTTTCCAAATACACGATACACGGAAGTGAAAAAGATGATTGTTGACAATTTTTAATTTCCATTGGCAAGCTAAATACTTTTCTATTGTATCGTGTATAGACAAGTCAAAACAGACAATGGTGGGCAGGCATATATTGTCAGATAAACTTGGCATATTATCCTTTACAACTCACTAAGTTGAGTCTAACCCTATGCACTCTGCGTATATATCTGCTATACACCATACTTGATAGGATACACGTCAGGTTGCATCTACACATATCCTTAAACCACGCAATTCTGCCAGTTTATCACTCAGAGCTTATGGCATACAACCCAACCGTACATCTACAAACCAAACCCTGTCCTCCAGTAGAGGGTTGCTTCGAGAAAAATCAAAGAAATCCGACTCCAACATCGTCTCAAAAGATGCACTTGTTAGGCTACGACTTCTTCTTGGTGGAGAACTGCTTATAATGGTAATCCAAACTTCAACCCTCTTAATCCATAGTAATTACAAATTTAGACTTTGACTGATAATTAGTATACTGTTACCACAGGCAGTAACAATAATAGGGCTTGTATTTATTCCTAGAATGATTTTTGGCGTAGTTGGAATGCTCAGTCTCCATCTAGTCTTGTCCACCATGCACATAGTTACACTTGTAATGCGTTTGTTTTCTTTTTGGGTTATCCACTTGAATGCTTACTCACATTTGATAGATTTGACTGTAAGCATTGCCAATTTGTATTTTGTTTAATGGAATTTCATAATAACCCCATTTTGGAGATTAGCATCTATGTTTAGCTACAGTGATGTGCTCCGTTGGGTTGACTGTATACTGTTTTGCAGGATCATATTTTTACACCTTGAACACTCAGTGCAATCAGGACTGCAACAACGTTTTTGGAGTTACTAGTATAACCACGTGTATACAGAATCGTAAGTTGATGTTGATGTTGGATATGAATGCACATGTTTCCATGCAATAAAATGTTACTCATTGCCAGCATTTTAACTTTGTTCTAGTATTTGCCAACGGGACTGCTATGTGCGACTCGGATTTGTTTGGATCATATCAAAAGCAATTGGTGGATTACACCAATGGCCCATGGATACTTCTCGCTTACGTGATTATTCAGGTAGCTGATTTGAGTATTGACTTGTTTACATCACGATAGTTGAGAGTGTGCATTTATATTCACCACAAATAGTATTAATCAATCAATTGAATACTGGGTTAAATTAGCTTCCAAGTATCCACATTAGTGTGACAAACACTATCGATCATCTCAAAACAAATATACTATTCCCCCCAAAAAACAAGTTGTAAATATATGGCCAGTTTTAATGGTAATTTGCATTTTTTCATATCAGAGGATATGAAAAGTTGTGTAGTTTGGCTGTGTTGTGGGATAGTTTGGTGAAGATGCATCAAGCCAAAAGTTGGTGATACAAGTCATGACCGACTTGCATTTGGTGAGAATTACTAATAACAGTAGGCTATGTTTAAGCGTCTGCCGCCCATTCATTCTCCCTAGTATCAAACATGGATTTCCAATAAAAAAAAGTATACACAATTATATTAGCCTCAAATCTGACATCTAAATCAAATCAAAAAACCGAGATGAGCTTAATAGTAAGCCATACGAATCGTACAAACCTCATAATCTGCTCTTCTTCTTCAGGAGTAAAATCATTTTCAATATTAAAAGCAGTTCTAATCTCTTCGGCAGTCTGAGTATAGTAAAGATGCATATACAAAGGTTACAAATAAGCTATAAAAAGGTTCACCGTGTTCATTCAAGTACACTACCTTTCCCTTGATCATATTGGCAACAGTCATGCACCCGAGATCAAGTAGCGGTTTAATATCCATATAATTTGCAGCAAGAATCAACTCGAGAAGGTCGTCATTCTCCACCTTTATAAACTGCATGTCCCATTCAGAAATATTGTCGGCACGACGACGAATGACTTCAACATCCTCTTTAGATTCGGACAGAGGTGGAGGTGGGTCGTTTTTGTGATATGTACAGTACTCCACAACCTATAAATAGTACACATGTCAGTACATGTCCAGGAAAATAGTGCATATATAATAATGTAGACTTGCCTTTTTCAGGATTCTACCAGTAACATTTGGAAGGGGAATAGTGGTGTCGGAAGTATCACCTAGATCCTCTAGCATATTTTTTAGCAGAACGGAGCGCTCTGCAATGGCATGCTCAACTGTATAAGATTCTTTGTCATGTGAAAGAAGAGTAATCATCATGGCTAGTAGTAGATGAGATTAGCGCTGGTTGAATGCCAACAGTTGATTTCACTTTCAATTCAAAGTAAAATAATTCCACGTGACTTTATCTCACTCTAGCCATCACTTCCATGTATCGTGTATTTGGAAAGTATTCATGTGAATCGATTCACCATACTTTGGTGCGTGATCGAGTTTGCTTTTTCTTGGTGTTGCTGTTGTCTTGTAAATATTGTTATATTGTTGATTTGAATAAAAGCATATATTGTTTGTATTTCCTGTAACACAACAATCTGACCTGTTAACACGGTCAGTTGCTAGACGACCTGTTTTTCTTGATTCAATATGCAATGTTGCCCATTTGGTCTTGCTTTGACAAGAGTATCGGTATTGCACATATATAGTCTGTATTAACCTAAAACGATCGTGCAGTTTTACAAACAGATGATTTACGGTGACATACTGCAACATCAACCTGCTTGATGCCATCAGAATGGCTTGAAACATGAGATTGGATTGTTGGCAATTTCAGTTTATTTCACTTTTCCATTGGCATGTCTTTTGTCTTGAGCGTAACCATGAATACCATCGAATACTTTTTATTGATAACAACACAAGAGTAATGCTAGCTAAAATCAATGCTATCTACAGAGTAGAGATGCTTAATTTCCACCGGTAGATTTGAAATGATCGTCATCCAGTGTACTATAAATGTGTCCTTCATTAGACAAGAACTGAACCTCCTCCCTGTCAAAATATACAAAAAATATCAGTCAACAAAGCCTTGCAATGCATGCCAGTATTATCATAACTGTACCGAATTTGAGATTCAGAAGCTCGGCCACGCATACGAAAAATAAGGTCTTTTATAGCCATGCCTTCGACAGATGCCTGATGCTCGCGAGCAAAGTTTAAAATCTCGCTCTGGATAGGAGTAAACATGCTATCGTTGGATTGACCATATCCACTGTTTGACTGTTGACCGTATTGACCATACTGTTGTTGAAGATATCCTGATTGAGTCTCTTGAGGTTTTATACCAGCCATCATTCCACCATGCTGAGCCCCTGTGCCGAACCCAGCAGTATTAGGGTTGGCGTCATTCTATTGAAATTAACAAGCCAGTCAATAGTAACACGTTAGATATATCTAAACAATCGCAAATGAACCTGGTCTATCATACAAACCAATATTTAGTTTCCAAGGAACATGAATATATCCAAAATTACATACCAGTCCTTTGGTTAATGCAAGATGGGCCATGATTACCATGGTGTTGTGATAGGTAATCTCATCAATGCTATTTATTAGTCGCATCTTGAATAAACTCAAGGTTTTTTTAGATCCAAACGACTTGATCTGACCAAATACTTGAACGTAGCTTTCTTCGGGAAACTGGTCTGCCTGGACTTTCTCATCATCAGCACCATTGTAGTCAAAAAACTTTTTACATTCAATGGTCAATCCAGTGCCATCATCGATCACATAGGTACAGTTTGTAGACTGAAGAGTAGTAGAATTCAGACGACCCACAAGAGTCACTTGGGTAAGCTCTTGCGAGTCGATTGTGAAGGGAGAATCTGATGTCTGCTGTGTTTGGGTAGCTGCTAAAAGCTGCTTGATAGTGACTGGACGAAGTGATTGGTTACCGGAACCCTTCTTCATGTATGATTTAGTAGAGTTCAGCAGCAGATTGCATGGAAGCTGGATCATGCAGATCAGCCTTGCTAAACAAACAGAAACAATACCTTTTTGTTTGGAGAGTCAACCATGGGAGAGTTTCCAGATCCACTGATTCCATACTGACCTGTGGAGCTGCCTCCACCAGCCAAGAACCCACCGCCCACACTGTTGCTAGACTGGTATGACTGTTGAGGAGCATTCATGCCTGCGTGTGGTTGATACCCATTGCTGCCGTTGTAGCCACCATATCCTCCTAATATTAAGCCGTAAAGCATTAGCATTAAAGTTGGCACTGACAGTGTTTACATCCAGCAGTAGATTACCAAACGACATGATATTTACTACAAAAACTTGTCCAGCAATCGACACTACAATCGGACAGACAATCGTTTACTGATCGCACTCGATCTTTACTCAATGTTAACCTGAGGACTGTGCTTGACTGAAATCGAATTTTTACTTGCAGCTCACTGCACTATTGCAACAACAATGGAACACACTGGTCCTGTCAAGGTCTGCTATAATTCCTGCCATCACTATGCACTAGTGTCATCAACTTACTTGTTTATTACATAAAAATAGTTGTCTCCTGCCGCAAATCAAAACAATGCCTTTGATCCTTATGGTATTCATTCACTATTGCCACTGTCATTCGTATACTAGAGAATCGCTCACATTTCAACCTGAATGTACTTGATTAGACTACGCTGCTGTGATTAAATCCAGAGATGAGTACTACAAAGAGCAACTGGTTACTGGACAAGAAATTCGCATTCTCCGTGATAAACTTCGTTGGTGCTACATACGAGAAGGTGTCAACCATTTACAAAACTGTCGCCATCTTTCAACCCAGCTTATGGAAGTTATGCGTCTGACTAATGCTGGTCGTCTGGTCCCTTACTCTAGGCCTAAACCTGAAGGTGTTCAATAAACAACTGTTGGTTTCAAGCATATATCTAGGGAATACACAAGTGGTTTTCTAACTGCTCGTCTAAAATGGATCTGATTAGATTAAATTGGGCTCTACATTGCCAATATTCATTGTAGATTCCAACTGGCTGTAAATCTGCAGACTGTATGCCAATCTTTAAAACGTAGCTAGAGGTCTTGTTGACATTCGATCTAGTCCCTTTTATACAACTAAACTACAGATCTCGTAACACAAGAATAGTATCATATTAATGCGAAATCATAAGTGGCTTGTTTTATATACTCAAGGTTAGCTACAGGACTAACAAGCGAAATATAACTTGAGCTCTATATCAGATCCAACATGGTCCAAGCTTGACACTTGAATTGGTAAACTAAACAGTATAACCTCGTGCATTGATGCACAACATATTACACATCACACTAGTAATGGTCAATAGACTGCTGGTTGGTATGGATCATCAAGGTCACAATTTACTCATGGCAAATCCCATTCTGGTATACAATAAAATCATGATAGTAATGGTATTGGTGTTCATTTGGATGTAGATTCCGATTGCCTGGTCTTTATATCATGTATCAACTGAGCCCTTTCCTTTTGCAGTAGCTTGGTTTCTGTCTGTTTCTCATCCACTGTGCCCCATATAGCCACTAGTCCAACACAATACAAGCCCAGCATGACTCCAATGCCTTTAGCCATGGGTGATGCTTTCTTTTTAGGGATTGAAATGGGATACTTTGGCTGTTTCTTTAATACAGGCTGTGAAAGGGTACTCAGTCTCCTGTGTCTAGAGTAGGTGAATGGCTGTATTTTCATGACAATACTCTTGCTGGCAACAACTGTTGCATGGATGCATCTCATTTGTTTCGACTGACAATCTGATGATTGGCTTGGCTCGTTTTTATATTTGAAAATCCGATTTCTTGAACATCCAAAACAAATTGGTTATTTCAATCCACCAATATCTTGCTACATTGACAAATTGTATTATAATCATCAAGCCATTTTATTGAGTTCGATTGATCCATTTCAACACTCGCTGCTCCACCAATGATCGAGGCATATGTAACCATAATGACACATCGGCAAACCCTGCTTCCGCCAATGTTCTGCCAGCAGATGCATTCGCAGTCACAGTTGTCATTCGCAACTTATCTCCCGTTCCAAATATATTTACATTATGCATTCCAAATCTCGGACACTTGTTTGCCCACTCCATAAATCGCTCCGATGGATCGTCATCAATCACTTGAATCTTGGCCATTTTTGAAAAGTAATGTACGCCATGGATATCACTCGACAACACTGGCACAACCTGTTGGTATCGATCATTGTCAAAAACAGATCCATGAACATCTTCTTTTCGGAATATCAGTCTTGATCGCGCTCGCTCCATCTCTCCTCCGATTACATCTACAATCTTTGCAAACTTGTCAAAAGCAGAACGAGTCACCACTAGCTGTCTGTTTGAAAATACACGCTGCATAGCTGATAGAATTGGACAATCAAGTTCATCTCGGGCTTGATCTTTAAAAACGCCTGAGAGTATGATCTATTCCTGTTGCATTGATACTGGCAAATCGATGTGTCGTGTCCGCCACAAGTGCCAAGAGTGTTGGCACGTCTATATTTAATACTTGTGTGAGTGAATCCAGCTCAAAATTATGTGGTTGAGCTGCCAGCTGTGGAAATGAAGTATGTGTTTTTGAAGGCTCCTTTTGTACAGTTTCATTAGACATGGATCCAGTAAGCACTGTTGAACAATCCGTGGCATCATCCTGCAGAGTCGCATTAGCAAATGTATGGGACATGTCAGGCTCTGTGTTGGAGCCTAGTCCAAACTCAACCACAATACCCAACTCCTGTAGCCTGCTAACAATTTTGGCATTCTTTTGATCGGCGAGGTTTGATCCAAGAAATTTGATCACAACAGTAGGAGTTGTGTAATGCATCTGATTCTGTCTAGCTGCTTCGAGCAATTCAAGCGATTGCCGAATAATAAGAGGGAGTTTTCCTTGTAGAACTAGAGATTGACCTGCAGTGGTATTGAATGCATCTCCATTGGATTGTTGAGCTGCATCACTGTTGCTATCGGCTGCATTTCAAACATACATACATATCAGATCAGTCTAGCTATCAAGTGTTGAGTAAAGACATGAAAAGACATTGCATTGGTTACCAACATGGCAACGTGGACTTGCATGAATCAAGATCGTCGATATCAGATTCGTCGTCAGCTGTTTCGATATCTTCCAGATTACTCAACATGTTTGAAGCCTTGACTTTGATCCATCTCATCCCACCAGCAGCAACCACATCCACTCGAATATTAGATGGTTTGTCTTGTTTATCAGATCCATGATTCCCGCCCGGAAAGTATTTAAAAACATGAAATACACTTGCTACTCCATTTTCCTGTTGAACCGATTTCAGCACGGATGACAGGTACGGGACGTTTGAGCAGCGAACATGCGCTGGCTTGATGCGTGATGGATTGACCAAAAGAGTGGATAGGAAGGACTGTTCTGATTTGATTAAAGTGAGGAACTTTGAGATGCCTCGAATACGAGTCAAATATTTACGGGAGGTTGTATGGGTCATAGTGGTTGAAGAGTCAAGTGATTGGACAGTGGATAATAAGTCATTTGCAATATCGTGTAGATGGAATGCCATCGTTTCCATTTCATCCTGTGTCATTTCAGCCATTTCAGTAATAATATCAATGCCAGATTCTGTAATGAGTTGGATTTGTATTTCCAAATCTTCAAAATTTACTCACGTGATTGTATGCTGTACTTGCAGACATACTCCAGCAATCTATTCGCTGGATGCATACAAGACCATGTTTATTGGGATACGAATAGTGCTCTAGTTAACGCGCCTTGCAAACTCTGGTCGATTCATATATTTTATATAAACCTGTGCACGCTCTGTAATATGTTCAATGTTTATGTGGGGATATATGTGCAGAATACGGTCAGCAATCTCATCGATACTATCTGGGTAATGACTGGCAGCAGTTGCAAGAATCGCTGTCCATGCGTAAATATACATCCAATTATTGGAGTTGGCTATGGATGTGAGCAGATTTAACGCCCCATCCATATCCCCTGATCGGCAATACGCCATCACAGCTTGGAAGTGGATAGATGGTGTGATGGGAACAAATAATGATCGAAGCTCATCAATGATGATGATTGTTGAAGCAATGTCGCCGATATGAGCGTAGCCAGTGAGAAAATTCATGAGAATTGGAATGTCGATAGATGAAGGAATAGATTGAATGAGTCCGTGTTTCACCAATGTGTTGCGAGTCTGTATAGGTCCAATGTGTTGAGCTAAACTCTGGAGAGATCGGGTAGAAAAATTACATTTCCGCTGTTGCAACTCATTATAGACACACCACATGGACTGGGAATTGCCTAGTCTAGAAAATGACACAATCTGCTCCATGTACATCGCATCAGTTACAAACTCTCCTCGATGTTTCATTTTGTCAATCAAAGACTGTACTTGTTGATAGTCTCCCATTTCATTGAATGTACACATCATGATATAGTATATCCTGAGCAAGGGCACTTTTGATTGATTCGCAAGACACGATTGAATATGAGTCAGCACTTGCTGGTAGTCTTGAAGTTTAAAGTAAAACTCGCACAATGGCAACAGCACTTCTGCATGGAGCTTGTACTTGGCATCGATCATAAGTTGAAGAGCAGACTCGACGCCTTTGTGATCGTTTCTATCGATATAGGCTTGAATGAGCATACGGTAAGGCGATACAGATCTATCTACCCGACACAGTTTTTGAAACGCATCCATAGCTTCAGCGTCCTTTCTATGAGCAATATAAGATCGTACCAGTGGTCCTGACACTGACAAGTCATAAACACGATAGTTGTGTTCAGTCATTTGTTTAAATGTCTGTTTGACATCTGCCAAACTTCCAATAGAGTTATACAACCACATGAGCAGTTTCCACCCCTTCAAATCAGGCTTCACGCCAGCAGAATATAGAGCTTTCAGTACTGGTACTGATCGTTGAAGTCTCAGTCTATTTGGAATCTGATTAAGATCAACATACTTGTTTTGGCGAATACTCATTATAATATGAGTGTAGTCTTGTGACTGCATACTTGATAGTTGGGCAGTGGAAGCTTCCTCAAGTGTGCTGAGTGTTGTTGCAGATAGCAATCGCTGTCGCATCAATACAGGTCTTTGAGGTTTATTTAGTTTGGGTAATGGTACTAATTTGTTGGAGGTATTGGTAGAATTGATGGGTACAGACTTGGTATGACTTGAGATCTCAGTGTATGCATTGTTTTTAAACTTTTTTGTGCAAACTATGGGATTTTCTAGTGTATCTACAGTAATTCCTGATAGGAACTTGTCGAGTTTCAGCCGAGATACAGCTGTAAAAGCAGTTGATGTTGGGTAAAAGACTAGTAAAGATGGCTGTTGTATTGAGTAGTAGGCAGATAATATCGGTGGTTTGACTAACCAGCTTTGAGTATATCTATAAATCATGCACGGTATTCTGTAGCAATGTCAGCTAGACTGTCTGATCCAACACTTGCACTGTATGCATGCAAAATGCATTTACCAACAAATTGCTGTCAAATTTTGGATTTGGCGTAAAATCAAACCTATAAACCGGAAAGGATTCGCTGCCATTTTCATTCACATGGAATAGCCAATCGGACCAAGTTCTGCAGCACTAGTTTATTACTATTTACACATTTCAAAATATTGCTTTGAAGCTAGAAATCAATATCACAAAGAACATTTGGATCTTGTCTAAAGGTGTTACGCCATAATACCGCATGCAAATGCAGCCAACCATTCCATCAATCAGCTGCATCAAGTGTTTCAGCACAGCACGATAATATGGAAGATTATAATTATGTGTATGGTTGTTCAAATCCAACTTGGCTGGCATGTTCAGCTATATTCATTGCTATACAGACTATTGATTTTTCGCCCTTTAGAAATACTTTTAGCAATTTAAAGGGCATTCTTGTAACGTGTATTGGTCCTATTTCTCTTCAAATCGATAGCTTCATATACAGTCCTTATGCTGATTCTTCTGCCCCTTTTAGCATTCAATCCCTATTTTGTCTGTTTTGATCAACCTCCCAAGCGAGCAGGCCATGTAGCCCTTCCAAATCCATTTGCTCTTTCAGGCCGCGTCAAGTAATCAAGCAAAATATTCCACCCTGATGTGAGGGAGGTTAAACTTAAGCCCATTTGCAGTACTAGAGATAATAGAAAAAATGAATCAAGTTTTTAAATGGTTTTCTATCCCATTACCTTAACCGCAGCTACTTTCACCTCTAACATTCTATTTGGTCTGACATTGATTTGACGTTGAACTTCAACCTGAATAGTTTATACTCGTTTGGTTTCTGCGTTTATTCAATTAATCTACACTTGAAATTTCATGCAGTTCACATTACCAGCATCAATTCTGGGATTGCATACATGGGGCGCTATATGCCTGATCGCAATCCTATCAATGATGGCTATAACTGTTCTAGTGATAGCGTTTAAATGGTGTGTAAGCAAAAGGCAGTCGATGCTTTCCACTAAAGCTGTCTTGTCAAATAAACTCACTACGCCAGTAACGGTTCGATCGTCATCAATGGCTGCAGCTGAGATGGTAAAACGAAGAGGCGAGACAATGCCACGGGATATTGAGACAGGCCAGCGGAGCATGGCTAGAGCCAAGCTCGTCGATAATACTAAAAGATATGCGCTGACTGCCGTGCCTGTGCCAAACCAATTTGAACCATCATCGCCGTCACAGACAATCAAGAAATCGCCTCAAGCTTGTCCACCCCAGTCAGAAACATACCCTGTGCGTGGTCCGACTCAACCCACAGAAATAAACGGAGCATCCAATAGTTTATCTGAAAGGTCTGCAATACAATGTTCGTCTACTCAGGAATCCTGCTCATATTCAAACAAATGTTCGACCTTGAATCGCAATACAGAAGGCATCTTAAAAGCAAGTTTTGATAATCAAACTTTGGCAACGCTAAGCCGACTCATACGATCCAACACTATTCGATCAAAAGCAAGCTCTCACAATGAATTAATGATATCTCTTTCTCGAACCATTAGCCAAAAAGCAACTCTTAGGAGTAGCAATGGGTATTCACCCTCTATGTTGAACAGTACAACCTCTATTCCAAATCCTCATGAATTCCATCCAGAAGCGACTTTAATGGCTGCAGGAGTAATTGATTCCAATGATTTGAGCCCAAATGACAGTCCAAATAGCTTCGAATGCAATCCTATTTCTACCAATCTATACGATACTAATGGATCAGTCAGTGCAGCTGCGGAAAGCTTGACGGTTTCTATCAAAGATAATCTTGACATGGAGTCGGTTTCATCAAACTCTTTTGGGTCTATTCAAAGTCATGATGTTTCTTTAGCACCTTTATATGGTCAAGTAAATCCTCAAGCAAGACTGCCCATCCTGACACAAGATACACGGCCAGAAAGCGAAATTCCTTTATATCATCCACAGGCTCAAAAACGGTTGGATCTCATCAAGCATTTAGCAGATCGAACTAGCAAAGCCATTGATTTTCGTACATCCATTTCATCTTCTGCTGATGGTGAGCAGGATATTATGGATGTGCTGACTGCACATCGACAGTTTGATCAAGCAGATGGGATTGATTTGGGATCGGGTGTTGGTGCCAGTCTATTTCCAAATGGGTTGAACGGGACAATGAAAACTCCAACTACGGATCGTACTGCTTGTACAACGCCGAGCACGATTGGAAGTGGAGGAACACATAGCCGTCTTGGAACAATTACTTCTGACGTGCATGCAAGTCCTGCTACACCCATGTCATCTGTTATTCGAATCGAAGAGCAGCCATTTGGAGATATTGTTACACAAACAGTCTTGTCCGACAAACTGATTTCAAACTCGGCCAAGGAATTATTTTTAGAAATGAGTGCTAGTGGAAGCAATAGTGGAACAATACACTCTACAAAGTCTTCTCGTGGAGTGGCTCCAGTGCCAGCTAAAGCTAAAAATGTTCATTTATTGAAGTTGTTTAAAAAAGTTCATGGCCAAACAAAGAATCTGCATGGGTCGTCAAGCATGTCAGAACTGGATTGGGAAGCAGAATTGAAAGACTCTGGACCCAACTCAATCCCATGCAAAGCAGAAACACTGCAACGATGTGCAAATGCAACGGGGAATACGTTGAAGGCTAAAAGTAAAATCCAACACAACTTGGCGTTTTCTGGTGTAGAGAATGACAATTATATGCTCACACGTAGTAACAGTGATGGACAGATACGATCGCTTAAATCGAAATTGGATGGATCGTTATTGTCTGATGCAACCCCACGGGCAAGTTCAAAGTATAACACAGAATATCAAATAGATAAAAACTGTGTAACAACGAAAGGACCAATAGGATTCCTACACGCAACCGAGACAGAACCCAAAGCATCTATTCTGCAGGTGATGAAATCACAATCAAACCGCCACACAACCAAACAGCTATTGCCGAATCTGCAGCAAGAGCCAATAAACATGAACAAGAAAGAGAAAAGGAGATATCTAGAAAAGGAATGCGAGTATTCCATGTCGAACAAGAGCACAACATCAGAGTTGAGTTCAGAAGATGATGTTCCGCTGGCGATCTTGGAACGGTCGTATTCCAAGAACGCAGCTTTCAATCAAGATAAACAGGGCTCATTAAGCCCAAAGAGAATCATCAAGAACAATGGGATTGTAGTGCATGATTCAGCCATAGCATTAGTTGAATAAAGAATATATATTGAATTTGATAAAAAGTAAAGTGTGATGAATGGGAATCAAGCCAAGTTTACCCGTGGATAAGCAACTAGTTTAAGCGAGCACTAATACAACTGCAGCCATCACTACACTGCTTCAATGGCTGACCCTTACTACAGCAGCAACAGGAGTCGGTCACCCTCAGACTCAAACTCCCGCTCTCGCTCAAGACCTCGTCGTAACATCAATCCCCAACCATCAGGACTGTCTGCTGCTTCTACTGGTCTTGCTTTAGATATGTAGGTCTATTCTTACCATGTGAATGACTACTGAGTCTTTTGTCTTGACACTGGTTCAAGTACAAAAGGATTGATTCCCTCTTTGGCATTGGAATACATGTTGATTTATGTGAATATTCAACTTCATACTTGCTTGGATTCTATAGCAAGGGATTTGCTGATGATTTGAAATTCTGATTTTTGGTCCATCGTTCTAATCTTCTCATGAATGGTTTATACTTTCATCTTGTTTTATCTACATATTGGTAGACCCACGGGCTCTTCATCAGACAAACAGTCTGGCTATATCAGAGATAGATCTGGAGGCGATAATCCCAGATTACCCAACAGAGCCCTTTCTCCAAATCTTTCTGGAACTTCTCAGTCTCGCTCTACCAGCAACTCCAATGCGAACCATTCCGACTATTATCGCAATCCAGATGCTGGAATATATATGAAGCGACCCCCTGAATCTACCGAAGGCTCGGCTAATCTACCTTCAACCTCTACCACTTCTGGAATCACTAGATCTAGAGACGACCTTTCTTATTCCAGTAAAACCCCCACCGACCGTGCAAAGGCTACTCTTTTCAATCCACAATACAACAATAGTGCACCCTCCATCAATACTTCTGCATCACTACAATCTACTACCACTTCCTCTAAAACTGATCGCTCTTTGTCTAGAGGCCTGTCCACCGAATCAGCACCTGCATATAATAATCGTTCAGAAAGAGGTGAGAGCAGCAAGGACCTTCGTTCGTCTGATCAAATAGATACAAGAGATCGTTCTGCTAAATCTCCAGATTTGTCTTCCATAAGAGACCGTTCAATGCGTCGTATTGACAGAGACCGAAGTGGTCCTATTTCTTCAAACTCAATCACAACATCTACTGCACAAGCCAAAAGCGACGACCGCGAACCATTATCATCTACTCTCTCATCCTCTAGCAGTCGGAAATCTCCTTTGCTGATGCGTCCTGCAGCTTCTAATAATAGTGGCTCTTCCGTTGGGTTGGATTCCCGTAATGCAATGAGGCCGTCCGGTTCTACTGGCCGTGCTGCAGTTTCCAGTAACTCAACCCCCGATGCCTTTGACAGCATGCTACGCGACCTTGATGACATTGATTCTCACGGCCCTCCTCCTACCTCCTCTAGAGTGGCTATCTCATCAAGTAGTAATGCAAGACGTGCTGTTGGGCCTGACTATGATCGACTAAGTCAGTCTATTGATAGACTGATGGAGTCCCCCGCTCTTTCAAACGGAAACGCTGCTCGAGCTGATAGATCTGCTGTTTCTAGTGGGGGTGCTCGTTCTGTTGATCGTCTCAATGATCGTAATACAAGCTCTACTGCAATTATGGATTCCAGACGCAAAACAGATTTTGACTCGGACAAAAACTCTGGCAGTGCCGGTTCGCCTGGCTCAACGACTCCAGATAGAAGTCCAATGAGTCCGCGTGGGTCTTCTGCTACGAGCACCTCTTTTTCATCTGCTGGTAGAACTGATCGTCGTCTTAGAGACAACATGCGATCTCCTCCTCCATTGCGGACGGATGGGTCTTCTTCGCTTCGTGCTGAAAATAGGCAACGATCTGGATCTGATCCTAACTTGAATGTTGCCGATCCTAACGAGCGCAGGGGGCTTTCTCGTTCTAGAGTTGTGGATCGAGACAGGGAATCACCTAGGCCTAGCTATCGTTCTGCACAGAACCGACCAGAAGATATAGATTCTTCTCCAGCTACTGATCGAGACTCTGCTTCCCAACGTGCAAATCGTTTTGCTGGTAGGCCATCCTCTCCTTCAGCTGCTCAACCTGATAGTGACAAAGGTCAAGATTCTGTCATGCAGGAAAAGGAGCGAAAAGAAATGGAGCGTCAGCGTCGTGAACTGGAAAACTTGAAATCCGAACAGCGCGAAGCTGATCGTCAAGAGCTTGTGCGTGTTGCTGCTGAGCGCCAAAAACGAATTCAAGCCGATCGCGAGCGACGTGGGTCTGATACTCGCGAGTTTATGCTTCTTTCCCGTTCACCCATCAACGAAGCTTTGGTTGTTTCCGACTATATTCGAGCTTTGATTAGTACACTGCGCAGTGATCCAACAGTTACCCCGATTCCAGATGACTTTACATCCCCAGATGCATATCAGTCATGGCGGATGAATATGAACGTTTCATTGCAAAAAGTACTGGTGAACGTACTTAAACTTCGATTTTTGAAACCCCAGGGAAAACCTGGTGAAGTTCCTCAAACAGAAATCAAGTTATTTTTCAAAGTGGTCCAGGCTTGCGGACTTATTGCCAAAGAAGGCAGATCTCGAGACGCCTATTGCTCTATCGAGTTTGGTGATTTGTCTGGTCGAAAAAAGAGTAAACATGCTCCCGAGACAACTATTTGGAAAACCGAAGTGGTGCAGGGTACAACAAACCCAACTTGGAATCAGCATCTCAACTTTGATGTTCATAATTTGACAGACAAAATTCATGTAGAGGTGTGGGATTCACTCAAGGACCAGTTTTTAGGTATTGCCAAAGTCAATATCAGTGATGTCATTACGCGAAGTGCACGGGAAGGATACATCTCAATGTGGATTCGTCTTGAGCCTCGAGACGCTAAAAACAAGGATAAATATGTTGGTGGCAAGATTCTTCTTGAAGCTGCAATTGACAAGGATGATAACAATCGTCGGCCGAATGGAGGTCAGCCGGACAAACCTCAAACATTTGAACAGTTCCAACAACATTTGAATTCGTGCCGATTAAGTGGAAAGGCGCTGTATCGCACACTTTTGCGGAGTAGCTTACTGTTGGACTTGCATTCCAACCAGAACAATCAACCTCCGAATTCAGGTGTTGGCCCACCTCCACCACAATCCGACCAAGACGTATTATCTGAAGAATCTGTTACTATGCTGAGAATTTTGTCTCGAGTATGGGGCGTTGGAGAGTCGGTTCAAGTAATGCTATATATGCAGTTGTTGCTGGAAAAGTACAAGACAGACCAAGTTCCTGTGACAGAAATTCTCAAAGCGTTTGAGATTTTGTTTGCCAATGTCAAGCGTGAAGGATGGGTTCCCACACCTGAACATCCAATGTTTGTTGGACTACTGCAGGATCTTCAGGATCATTTTCAAACTCAAGTTACCAAATACAAGGAATTCTTTCCAAAAAACCGACCAGCTCGTGCACTAGAGACAAGTATTTTAATTTTGCGCATGATTCAGAAATCACCACTATTTAGGCAGGCTCACCCAGAAATGCACGCCTCATTTCGTGAAGAGCTGCGTCAAATGCTACTCGAGGCCCTCATTGTCAAATTTCAACGGTTCCGTGAGCATACAGCTCCATTAGATGACTCTGATGTTGAAAGTGTTGTTGAGGGTATCAATCGACTAGCTGAGCTTGTATCCGAAGAAATAGAGATTGACAACAAATATTTTCAGAGCTCATTTTCCAATGAGCTGGATATTGTCCGGCTCACTGCTGAAAACCACCTAAAGTATTTTGTACTGACTCTAGAGGATGCTAGTGAATTGCTGGCATCGCAAAATGCGGTTGAGAGTGCATCCAAGCTTGTATTTGAGCTGTATAAGAAAGTTAAAGTCATGCATGAGCGATATGCCAAATTGGTTCCAGGACTAAAGAGTCTTTCCATTAATGCTGGGTTTAATGCCGAGCGATGGTTTTCTCCTTTTATGATGAAGTGGCTAGACAAACTGCAGGACAAGACAGTTGAATGGGTGTCAAATGCTGTTAAAGCGGATACATTTGAACCAAACGATGGTGCTACAGAAGATGGATTCCCGCCACATTCATCGTCTGTGACAGATATTTTTTCAGCCATTTATTCCGAATTGGAGTTTATTACAGATCTTGGATGGAGCGACCCACTGGAAAATGCTGTTTTTTTCCAATCCTTTGCCAAGACAGTCAACAAGGCTATTGAACAGTATTGTGATGCTATTGCTATTGGTGAACTAAAGCGTGCTTCAGACGGACCTACAACCGCTGCCGGAGCCATGAATGCGTTTGCTTTGAATCTTCTTGGTGGGCGGTCAACTGCTCCCAAAGATATCCAACACGACTCTTGCGTTAAACTGCGAAATATCGAGTATGCCATGTCCAAGTTGCGTGATATGTATCGCATGATGAATGTTGCTGCAATCACAAAAACAGTTTCAGATCATCGTAAAAGTATGGCACCTACGCGACGTGGAGGCAAAAACCCATTGGCAGCGATCGCTGGTGCTGGGGCAAAGACTCCAACGGCCGCTGGTGATCAGGAAGAGCTAATTACGGGTGCATTTAAAATTCATGCATCTTTTGCTGAAAACATTAAGCCAATCAACAAGTACGGTATGTCTAGTCCGTATATTATTGTGCGTGTACCGGAAGGAACAGTGGTACCACCACCCGCGTTGGACACATCAGCATTGAAAACAACCCGATCCAAGTCACAAAATAGCCCATCTAATCAAGAATCTGCTCCGCCTACTCCACCTGCACCAACTACTTTAACTGGAAGTAGTTGTGAACTGCTTCGTACTCGTGTTATTCAGGACACAGTGAACCCCACATGGGATGAAACATTTCAAATTATTTTCCCACCCATATCTCAGTTGGAAATTCAGTGCTGGTCACGCAATTTAATTACTTTTGACGAACTAATTGGCACAGCTTTAATTGATTTGTCTTCAAGAACAAGATTGCGACGCAAGTTGGTTGATAATCAGACACATGATATATTTGTTGAGTTGGAACCACAGGGGAGATTGCTGCTGAGACTGACAATGGAAGGAGAGCAGGAAGATGTAGCGTTTTGGTTTCGTCGAACCAACGAACGACTCATTCGAACTCGGGATGATTTCCTTCGCTCTGTTGTAGCAAAAATATCACCATATATCAAAGAAGTTATATCCAAGGCTTTAAAGGATTTAGAGGCTGTTCCGGTCAAGGCAGGATTTTTTTCATCGCTTACTACGGCAGTGCAGTATAGTAATCTTACGGCAGCAGGTGCAAGTATTGATACATCTGTAACAGAGCTTGATACGGATGTATATCTTGCACCTTTGATGGACTATCTCAACAAAAATCTTGAGATTCTATGTTCGTTACTATCCCCTCCCATGGCACAGGAGGTTATCAAGCGAGCCTGGGAAGATGCTTTAGTTGTTATTGAAAGCGTGCTGGTTCCAGGACTTTATGGTCAAATTGAATCCACTCGTCGCGTTCTTAATCGACGCCAAGTATCGCTCTTAAAGTGGTCACTCAGTATTCTACGTGACTTTTTCCATGCAGATGGGCAGGGAATGGGACTTCCAATGAGTGTGTTGGATACACGCAAGTATGTAGATATCTCGCATCTAAACGAATGCTACTTTAACGAATTGACGGTACTAAAGCGAGAGTACGAAGTCTCTGCTAACTCTGGACGAGATTGTGGGCTGATCTTGAGATTGATCCGGTTTCGGTTTGAAAGGGATGAAGGAGCAAACGCTTCAGTTTCTGGATGGAGAGATGAAGGTAAAGCCTGGGTTGACGATCAGCTTATGAAACAAAGGGAGATGTCTCGAAAATGATCCTTTCTAGCTATGCTGTTAGTTTATCAAATGGTACATACAATAACAATATACACAAATCAATTCAATTTAGTTGTCGGGATGGGAAATATGAATTAAGATTTTAATAATAATGCTATTTACTGTGCCAATATATGCATTGGTGAGATTATTGTTGAATCAAGCGAGTCTTGCTTTTGGTTCGTTTCCAAGCTAAAAACTTCAATCAGGATCAGTAATGAAACGTACATTCACAGCAAAAGCCGAGATTGTTTGATTGAATAATTTAATCTGTAAAGTTTTAAAACCTCGACCAGCAAATCTAATGGAATTCAAGATAGTTCAAAGTGCCGTAGAATTTAGCAACGTGTTATTATCATTATTGAATACACGCCTGGCTACCCAAAGATTTGATTGGTCAATACAATTTATACCCGAGGAAAGTATTCTACATAGATGTGTCCATCACCGTATTCACCCAAAATAGGACAAGGGATTCTGTGCACAATAACCAGCCGTTTATGCAATGACAGTGTCAATCTCCATCAAATCTACTCAACAGGATTGTTTTTGAATTCATTGACAATTCACTAATCTTTCTCCACGCTCATGTTGTATAACTGAACAAATGTCTGCATCACAATGTCAGTAAATCCCACACTTGTTTAATCAATTATTATGTTGTATAAACCAAACATTATGGCATTGGGTGGTTGGCATGGAGATAACAGCCGCATCCTGAAACATGCAATCATTGTTCTCTTGAACTAGATCACAAACACATTTGATATTAGGATACACAAAAAGGAGTGTGTACAATTGTACTGGCAGTATCACAATAGTTGGGTTTGACATGTGAATTGCAATGATGAATCTGGTGATCGTGTAATGTAAAGCTATGCCAAGAGTAGAAAGGGAGGTTCAAATTATAGATTGATTGTATGCATCGTATGATGGATGTTGTGTCTATTGAAGTGTTCCATTTATGTGAATACGGTTGTAATTATCTGCTATTAGAACCTTGACACTAGTAGATCATTCAAGGATAGTTGCGAGTCTTGTATAATAGTATCCAGAATGTACCATGATAGATTGGTGGGGTTGTTCATTTGAAATGCCCATCATCTACAATTTCATACTACTGCCAATAATGCATGCGTTGGATATACCAACCATGCTAGCAAAGTAGGTTGGTGAGGCGAGTCTAACGAGGCCTATCTCAGCTTTTAATGATCTATGTTTGAAGACAAGCCCACCATTTAGATAAAAGGTATTTTATTTTTTGCACCACGATTGGCTAATATTCAAAGCCATTGATTTGGTTCAGAATAAAAAATGGCGTGCTTAGTAGTGCTTATACGCCTTTAGAGCGGAGAATGGTGTAACCGTCGAGTCACTGAACACCCTTCAAATATGCTATGCCAAAATGGTCAGCATTGCAGCATTATGGCATAATATCCATTGCAGCATAAACATCATGACACTACTCATTACAGAATGACGAATAGTACGATACTAATGAGCCAAGTAGTGCTCATATATTCATGATGGAGTCAAACACAACAATCGTAGTGGAGCAAGCGAGATTCAAGTGCTTTAGATAAGGGCCACCACTCGCTAGATTCGTTTGAATCCGAAAATGACACGATTCTGATTTTACAGCAGCCAAAACTATAAAAGCAAACCGTGTTGGTCTTCCTTTTCCTCTACGCAACAGCAACCACATTTGCTTACGCTTTTTTCATCAGTTACTCGTCTGCTTCCATCACAACCTACTTCTCCAATAACTAACTGGATTGTTGCTCATTTCTACCTTGCAAACTTCCATTCCATACTCTTTCCAATTACCTATCTTACCCAAAGTCACCCCTTTCAATCTTTCAAAATTCAACAATCAACAGAATTCACCTTCTCTCTGTCCTCTTACTCCACTCTTACACCGACACCTCGGAACTTTGTGGAAACATCTGCTACAAGCGATACTAGTACTACCTATCCACCGCCTTTTGAGCAATACGACTAAACTGGGATTTGGAGATACTTCTCTTGCCACATTCGGCCCCACCTCTATCGCACTACTTTTTACGGAAATTTCTTCAAATCTAACATCACTGCCTCGCTGAATCTCGTTTGTTTTTTGCTACTACTTTGACCGCTTTTTAAATCTGCTCGACTACTGCGGATTTCAAGCTTTCTTTCAATACTATTTTTTATCCAATCAACTTTGCCTAACATGGACTACCACGTTGGATGGTGCATGACTTGCGAGAAGCGTATTGCTTCAAGCTACATTTACTGCTCTCTATCTTGCCAGTTTCAAGATTTCCTGATGGACGATCAATCAAGCCACAATTTTACTGACACTGATGGTTATCACGCTTCTGAATGCATGCCAACTGCAATTAAAATGTCGTCATCTTCATCAACTCATTCATCTTACTCTGCCACATCGTCATCTAGCGGATCCTACTCTGCATCTATGCTAAAACCGACTTCCCAGAGCGTGAACTATCTGGAAGAATGGATCGTGTCAGACGAATCATCCTCTGGCATATCAGAGGGCATCACTGCTTTCAATTCATTGGATTCCAGCTCAGGCTGCAGCAAAAGCATGTCAGGATTTATTCCTACCAGGTCGAGATCCGGAATTCCATCTCCTCCACCTTCTCCATCATCTTTTTTACTGATGAACGGCGTGCCAAAACTCCTTGGTCGAGGACGTCAATCACCTTATGCTTCTCACCAGCGTGTGAGATGTACCCCACCACCTAGTTATATTTCTGCTTGATCATTTTTTACAACTATCCAGTCCAAGCGACTCTTTCAATTTACAATAAACCTGATAAAACAATCTCTGACTCGAGCAAGTGTATGTATGATTTTAGGGTTGCTTGAAAATAAGGAAGGATGATCGGATAAAATGTACTAGATTGTGATACTTTTACGGGCGTGCTCACCCAAAACAGGACAAGGGATTCTGTGCACAATAACCAGCCGTTTATGCAATGACAGTGCCAGTCTCCATCAAATCTACTCGACAAGATTGTTTTTGAATTCATTGACAATTCACTAATCTTTATCCACGCTCATGTTGTATAACTGAACAAATGTCTGCATCACAATGTCAGTAAATCCCACACTTGTTTAATCAATTATTATGTTGTATAAACCAAACAGGTTGTCATTCGCTTCAGCCAATAAGACTTCTGTTAGGATGGCATCAATGACAATTCGACAGGCCTTCTTGTTGTCTAGCACCCACACGGTCTTGATTCTGCTGAGGTTCTCGCACAAGAAATCGCTCGCAACTGGAGTAGGAAATGAAGTTGGAATGTGC